TTCGATTATCTATGCTTACGTGTGGCAAAAGAAGTTTCCTTATGTTTCTTTTGACCAGTTATGTCTCCCTAAGAATCAAGGTGGTGTAGGAGCCCTCAACCCTATCACACAATACTTGGTGCTGCAGATGAGATGGGTCTTTACTCTGTTTAGTTCGTCTAATCTAACACCTCAGCTCCGAGTGCTTATGACAGAACATTTTGGCATCATGTCTCCGGATGCTGACAATACATTGCTACCCTTTTTCTCTAGAGCTCTTCGCCGTCATGACCTTTGTCATCCCACTTCAGTTGTCAATGGTATTTATGCTGCCTTTGATCACTTTGGTATCAACTTCAAACTTGATAATGTGCCTCTTGCCAACTTGCTTTATTTTCCGCTAATTAACATGTTTCAAGAGGTACCTCAGAACCACTGGCTTCATCGACATTCAAAAGTACCAGCATCTCTCTTCTTCCTCTTTGACGAACAGAGTAACCGGTTACGCCTGAAGGTTCGCCATGAATATGGGACATTACCAGGATTGTGCCATCAGCTCTTTATAGACGTTCTTCGTAGACGAACAGTAAAACTTCAATCTTTCCTGTGGCAATATATTACACAAGATGTAACACCATCTACTGTATCTATCTATGATGCTTTGACCAAGCAATTAACTGACACAAGATTGTGGCGCTCTTTCACTTCTAGGGATTTCTGCCTGCATCCTTATGAAGACAAAGCTAAATCACAAATAAAGGCTTCTCATACTTCACTCTCTCTGTTTTGGAGGACTCCAATGCTCCCTCAGGCTAGAACACTGTGGTATCGTGTGCTTCACAAGAAACTGCCCACTGCGTCCGAACTTTTCAAGATTGATACTGTCTCTACTCCTGTCTGTCGGCTGTGCAAATCACAACCGGAATCGTACGATCATTTCATAGCCCACTGCTCTACCAAGTGGAGTGTTTGGTTGGAAATACTAAACTGCTACTACCCTCTGGTATACTTTACTCCGTCCTCCCTCCACAAGGTCCTCACTCTTCAAGCCTTTCCGCCTGCCATTACAAACCGCTCCAAACTTGTATCCATCGTTGCGATAGCTCAATGGAATATCTGGAAATCCTATTGGAACCTGATTCTTAACCAGGTTGCTTTTGAACATTCTTGTATCATTTCAGATACAATTTACCAGGTAGCCTTAGCTACAAAAAATCACTCCTTGCTAAAATAGCCCTGATCATTGTATGATATTTACTTCGTCTTTCTTTACTCCTGTTTTTCGACGTCCCACCTCTCTGCGATGTGTGACTAATCAATAATATTGTAAATAAAATCCAACTACAAAAAAAATATATAGTGGTTATAATATGAGAAACATTATTATATTAAATAAAATATGTTATCCTAAAAATGGCTATCTAAAACCATATATCATCTATAATATAAATAAACTATATGAATTTATAGACAAATGTATTGGGAGTAAATATTTTATATGGATGTAGAATGAGACTTTTCTTTTCATGATTTTTATGTCAACGCATCAAGGAAAAAGGCGAATACTCTATTGTAGATATGCATGGGCATGTAGAAAATTGGTAGAAAAAACCAAATTGCTCACAACCATGGTAGTTTCCATGCATAACTCCATCTTACCGCTATCTCATGAAAAATGTAGAAGTTGTTTCCTATTTTGGATATTATTTTTGGAGTTTATTATTGACTCTTATCAATGGTTCAAGATAGCTTATAATTTTGAATGGCTGTTCAGCGTACCTTAGATCATTGACAAAAGCCAATTTGAGAGTATGATTGGCTATTTCTGAAAAGAAGCTCTCGCCCAAATAATAAACCCCGTATTGCTAATCTAATAAAGCCAAATGTCTTTTGTTAGTTTCTTTTCTTTCTTTTTTTATCACTTTGTTTATTTTTTATTTATTATAAAGTTAATTGCAAGATTACAAAACGTAAGGTTTTATTTTTAGACCATATCAGAGTTTTTAACCTGATTAAATAAAGCTATTGAATTTCTATTATGCTAAAAGATTTGAAATTTTATTGGCAAACGTAGAGTATCGACAGTTCACTTACTTGGCCATGATCTACTTTGCATTGACTAGTCACTGCTTTGAAACATATGAACTCATTACCACCTAACTATGTGTTTGCAATTTTTTTCTGACCTCACCCTTTCTCTTTTTCTCTTTTTCTTACTCTTCAATTCAGACTTTCTAGTGATACCGATTAAAGTCGTCATTTACTTTGATGAGGATGATTATCCTCAATTAGAGCACAGGATGTCCCTTTGTAGACTTTATTTCTAAGGGATGCTCTTCACCTTATTCGAAACAATTTAAGTCAGCAAAAAAAAAAAAAAAGTAGACTAGATAAGATAATCAAGCTGTTGTCTTTAACTTTAAATTAAACTCTTTCTAGTAGTCTTCTTTAGATAACAAGGCTAAAAGGAAACAGCTTATCTTGGTGTCTGAAAGTATTGAAATGTGCTTATTACTCTATCCCTAACTAGTTGAATTTCTTAGTCTATGTAGCAAGGTTTCTAAAGTAATATCCAAAGGTAAGTTAAATCAGCAAGATTCTCCATGAAATCAATGGTCTATTTCTGCATGACAAAGCATACCACTCCGCTCTACCCAGGCCTAGTGCTTTAGCAAGTTTACTTCTACATACAAGGATAGATTATATGTATACCTAACTATTTAAATAAAAGCTTATATACAAACCTATATAGAACTATAAAAATGTGCTGAAAATACTCTATATAAATTCAATAAAGACGTTGTTATCTGATGTTATAAATATTTACCATGGTTTAAGAGAGAAACAAACAATATGATAACAAATTTTTTCGTATGCATATAGTAATATATAAAAGAGTATAGAATTACATTGATGCCATATAGAAGTTCATAGATTCAGAAAATAAATTTCTGATATAAGATAAAGTTATACAAATCTATAAAATAACTCTCTTGAGGGGCAATAATCCCTAATTATTTTACTACAGTTACGCCTATTTATTCTGCTCTGCTATAACATATCTTCAAAGCATAAAGATTTATATAAATGTATAGATGATATATATTTTTTAGATAATATTATGAAATCACACATGTCATTTCTTATATTATATAAGATAATTTTTGGCCACTGTGGGATTTAACTTAATTATAAGCGAACGTATATTCAGATTAAGTCTTTGTGTTCATGGATTTAAGATAGACTAGGATAATCCGCCTTTACTCTAGTGATTTCGGTATTAACAATTATGTTTAGACAATACTTGTAACACTGAAAAAAACTTTCTAAAGAGCAACGTTGTAGTAACAAGCAGGTCTTGGGAACAAATTAGGAGAGGAGAGGAGACAATTGCAGAAATAAATAAGGGCTTGGATTGCTTGAGCATACCATCAAATTGACCAACTCTGTACACATCCTTCCACCCAACAAATAACAAAAGGAGCGATAGCAAGGGGCGAGTGCCACAGTCTAACAAAAAAAAAGAAGAGTGTCAGCGAGCTGTAGGCGAAATCATACCTGAACGTTCCGCGAGGCAATGTGGAGATACTACATATCAGCTGGCCATGAAGGAGACCCTGATTGACACAAGTACGCAAAACCTTTCTCTTTTTCCCTCTGACGTTAGAGCAGCCATCCTGCCTATGCGTCAGCCCATACTTAAAAGAAGGACATTGCTTTTTAAGACCAATTGTGTGTATGGGGTCATTCAAGGGAGAGGACTTCGTAACAATGTGCGGCATACGGACATAGCTTAGAAATAATCCATGTAGAAGCCTTTCAATATCTTTCCGCACCTCATAGCTTCCATCTCCAAGCGAGGGAAGAGATACTCATGTAAGGTCAGACAACTTGTGAAAAAGAAGATGAAAGAAAAAAACTCTCTGGAGAATCCAGTAAACAAACGGCACACGCTCACGAGCCAAAAAGAACGAAGGCTTGCTATTGACCATAAAAATAAAGGCTTATCATTGGCCAGCTATGTTTATGCTTATTTATGGTGTAGAAGTTGTTTCTTGATCTTTTTTTTATACCTTCTGTTGCATCAACGCAAGTTGCCCGACAAAATCTTGTTGAGAAAGTTTGAGTCAGCTAGTCATCTAATTTCTGAAGGCTTCAGAGAGTTATACACAATGGCACCCTTTCATGCTCTAAGCTTCTTTATTTTATTTTATTTTATTTTATTTTATTTTATTTTATTTTATTTTATTTTTTGGCCAAGAATGACCAGCAAATTAAACTAAATGACATGCGGCAGTAAAGGTACGATAAAAGTTTAACTGAACGATAATGATGAACTAGAGTAGCAATATTCTCTTTACTGAAAGAACGATTTAGTGACAGATACAACCAACAACAAAAACTAGTTTTTAACTCTGCCTGAAGCCTGATCAAGTCTGTAATGATGAATAATAGGAGGTGAAGATAAATGAAGGTCTACTAATAGTAGATCAAGAATTGAAATAAAGAGATGAGATTGGAATTGACGCAACATTGACCAACTTTATTATGTGTGCAAGCAAAGTGAAGATAATGTATGATTTAAAGCCTACAATCATAATTTTACTGAATACGATTATTGAGTTGACTTTGGAACTATTTGATGATAAGGAATTTAATAATAGTCGCGAAAGCATCATCGAAATTTGTAGTCAATGGTAAATAGCAATAAAGACATCAATACATCAACTCGCAACTTCACATGTCACAATGGGGGTAATGGCATTGATATTCTTTTATAGATTCAAGATGAGTATGTTGTAAGAAATCAGGATACTAGGAAAAGATGCAATTTGAGCTGCCAAAGAAAGCTATAAAAAAAAGGCATAGAGTTTCAAATCAATTAGAACAAACTCGGCAAAGAAAGTCCTATTGAAGAATGTTGTTAAACGAGAGCCATATTAGAACAACAAAAAGTTTACTATGTAGTCTATCGAAGAGCAAAAAAAAAAAAAAAAAAAAAAAAAAAAAAAAAAAAAAAGGGCCAAGAGGGTTTGTGCTTACTTATTGTCTATCTATATTGATCATACCATTTGTACGTACTTATATGTCAACGTACTACTTTGTTTTTTTTTATGCTATCCTATATTACATTTGTGATTTTACTCTCTCAAAAGACTTCTTATTAACATTATGCATATCGTCAAAGACTGAGCTTGGTCAGTATCAGTTACTAGGATTCTATTGCTTTGTGATAATATTAAAGCATTTTAGATACTCATATGTTTACTCTTGTTTAGAGAATTAAATACTTCTTTCATGTCTTGTTTCTATTAGTTGAATAATCAAGGTATTTAACTTTGTGCATTGAAATGATTAACATGCAGATCAATGTACAAAATACTCCTTAATTCTGACCAAAAACATGTATATATCTACGCCTATTTCTTTCTATTTCTCCCTTTCTTCTTTACTATATGAAATACGTCAATATCTTACTCTTTCTTGTTGCGTCTATGTGTCTTCAAACAATAAAAGCAGATATAGCTCATAATGATCGATGTGGATCCTTTGTAGGGCACGGTACTATCACCCACGCAAGATGCAAACCAGGGCAAACCTGCATTAATGGACACTGTATATCCTAGGGCATTCTATTACCTGAGACATCATCATAATAAAGACCTATGTGTGACTTTGCCTTGAAAACATCAATTTTTTTTTTATATCTTTCTCGTTCTTCTGCTTTTATTTTCTTTATCATGTACAGAACAGGTCCACGATATTATTCTAAGGGCCCTAAAGCATCTACTTCAACACAATGTCAACGATGTTTAGAACATGGTCATTGGGTATGTTTATCTGAGTTATGTCACAATATTTAATCATCATAGACCTATGAATGTAAAAAAGATAGAAGTTATAAAGTAAGACCTACACGCACACAACAACTCAAGAAGCCCATCAAACTCGCTCAACCTGAACTACCTAAAGAATTTCAAGATAAACGCGGTTTAGCGGACAAACTCTTGAAAGAGCGTAAAAGAAAGAGAAGACGATCAAGGTAAGCAAAATAATCATCTAATTTGTCATGGAACTCATGGTGTAATAGATCGTCCTCTTCTTCATCAGATAGTGATTCTGGAAGTGAAAGTGATAGTAGTGTATCCAGTAGTAGTAGTGGAAGTATTACCAGTAGTAGTAGCAGTAGTGGAAGTGGAAGTAGTAGCAGCAGTAGTGGAAGTAGTAGTAGCAGCAGTGGAAGTGACAGTGAATCTTATAGCAGTGACAGTGAAGATAGAAAGAAAAAAAGAAATACAAAGCGTTCTCGTCATTGATCTCGTTAAATACCTCTTTTGATATGAAAGCAGAATAGAAATGACCACATATTTGATCCTTATTCTATAATAATAAAGAAGTGTGCATATCTCAAAAAGAGGATGATAAGGAAGGTTACTGCTTCAGCTATTCACCTTTTGAATGCATTGATCTAATCTGATTTTCAATTTTGTTCGACGTCATTATTTTTTTCTTTTTGGTAACATAAGTAACGCGCGTCTCTAAAGGTCAAGTTCAATACGTCTTTTTTTTTTCTTTATTTCTTTAAAACAATGAGCCGTGGATCTGGTGCAGGTTACGATCGTCATATTACTATCTTCTCTCCTGAAGGTCGATTATACCAAGTTGGTAAATAGAAAAAAGGAGTCATTTGATAATGATGGGCTTAACATGATATAGAATATGCTTTCAAGGCAATTTCCAACAGTGGTATTACTTCTATTGGTGTTCGTGGACGTGATGGTTGTGTGATTGTCACTCAAAGAAAAGTACCTGTAAGTAACACTCTTTAGTCTTATACGTCATGTACTTAGCTTTATCTATAGGACAAGTTGTTGGATCCTTCTACTATCACACACGTCTTTAAGCTAACACCCAAAATTGGTTGTGTCATGACAGGCATGATTGGTAAGTAAACATAGCATTGATAATTTGCAATGACTGATTCATGATCAAAGCCGATGCTCGTTCTCAAGTGACAAGAGCACGTCAAGAAGCTGCTGAATTCCGTTACAAATATGGTTATGAAATCCCTACTGATATGCTTGCTAAGCGTGTTGCCAACATCAATCAAGTCTACACACAACAAGCAGCCATGAGACCTTATGGTGTCTCTATGATTTTGATTGGTTATGATGATGAATTAGGACCTCAATTATACAAGTGTGATCCTGCTGGCTACTATGTGGGTTACAAAGCAACTTCAGCTGGTGCTAAACAACAAGAATCATTGAACCATTTGGAAAAGAAATTGAAAAAGAATCCTGAATTGAACATGGAAGATACCATTGAAGTAAGTAAAGAATAAGATATCTTATTTTTAACGCTTGTGTACTAGCTGGCCATCACGACATTATCCACAGTATTGGCTGTCGACTTTAAAGCAACTGAGATTGAAGTTGGTATTGTTCATAAAGACGACACTGATTTCCGTACATTATCAACTGAAGAGATTGAGGATCACTTACAAAGAATTGTTGAAAAGGATTAAACATTCGTGTTTGAAATAAAATAGGATGTATACAAAGCTCATTTCGTTTTTTATTCAATGGACAAGTGATGGATAAACAGCTGTGTTTTTTTGTACTATTGATCTATTCTTTTGAGATTGATATTTACTCAAATACAGTGATTTACGTTTAAAATTCAAGATAGTATGATATAGTCAAACAAGAATGGGCTATTCACTATTAACATTAACCATAAAACCTTTATTTAGTGCTGCCTGGGACAGTTCGTTACTACTTTTTGAAGTAATAAAATGTCGCTTGTTATTTTATGACTGTTTTTCCAGTACTCAGAAACTACTGTAAAATACACCTTTTTTTTTTTTTTTGACAAGTTCATATGCATTTAGACTTGGCCATCTACTAAGGATCAACTTGCTTTACATGTCTAATTTATATGATCTAAGGCAATGCCTCAGGCATTTTACGCAATAAATCATGTTTATTCATCTTACATTAGGTTACAAGAAGATTAACACTCTATGTAAAATACTTATATGAGGTGGTAATTGAATAATTTTGTCAATTGCATAATTGCTTCAAGTCATTGCATTTATTATTTTGCACAATATGGCCAACCAATACCAAATGTTATTTTTGTTAAATAAACAACTTGAGCTTTTATTCTACACAGTTCACAGTGTTCATCTATAATCCTTTTGGGGGGAACTTGTTGTATAATTACTTTCATTACTTGAGATAGTAACACATTTAATGACTGTTACAGTCATTCGAGAAAGTAAAGTCACTGATTTTGAGTTTGATGTCTTGCAAAAAATCTTCGTGTCCAACAATGATGTCGACTGATACAAATAAAGACGCGTTCATGTGTCCTGCTCCCCGTTTATTTTTACTTGTCGTTTAGTAATAATCCAATAAAAATTCTCGGCATTTTATTTTTATAAAAGAGGCACAATTTCTTCATTGCTTCCTTTTGCGTTTCCTTTTCCTATTATAATTTGTTTTACAGACATTCAGAAGGGATATGCAATGTTTTTTTTATGAAGATGGACAAGGGCATGTTGTTGATGAAAACAGAGTTGAGCCCATGGATCTTGTTGTTGACGAGGAGTTATTCGCTATCGAAACAATAAGTTCTCGTACTCAATTCCTAGCGAATAAACCTCCTGAGAGACCTCATAATCCTGTAATGCGTGCCGTTGCGGATGAGAGGAGCAGTGAGAATGTTTATATGGAGCAATGCAACAAACCCTGCTATACAGTTTATTCTGATGAAGATAAAACTCGATTTTTTCATTTATTTTTTAGCAAATGCTTGAATGCTTCTGCTGCTGCTGCTGCTGCAAGACAATTGGGTATCCATGTCCGAGCAGCACAGAGATGAGTTAAAAGTTATTACGAGGGCCCTGAAAGCATCTTCGAGAAGAAGAAAAAGTCAGGTCGGCGTCGTATTCTCGGTGAGGAGCATAAGCAATTTGTTTTGAATTATATTGATGAGAATCCTTCTGCTGTTGTAACTGAAGTGGCAGAAAGTTTAACACAAAATTTTGCGGATCTTAATGCTTCTCGTAGCACTATTTATAACTTTATGACAACTGAGTGCAATCTATCTATTAAGCAGGCACAATTCCAGCCTGTAGAAAGAAACAGCAAAGAAAAGATTCAACAAAGGTACGATTGGGTACAAAAGTGGCAGCAAACTGACTTGGATTTCACAACAAAGTGCGTCTTTCTTGATGGCAACTGCAATGGATCTATAGTCACTGACATTCACTCATTCTACTTGTGATGATCTGACATTAAATAAGTCTTCATTTACATACTAAAATACATCATAATCAATTTACATCAGAAATAGGCATAAAAGAACCTTTTGTACTGAATAAGACAATGTATCTTTTAATAGATCAAGACGTATAACCGAAATCCATAATTTACATTATTTAATTAGTTTAAGTAGTCTATGATAATAGAGACTCAGTCATTTGCATGAACTCTACTACTACTTACTCCGACATCTCTTTATGTATAAATATGCTAGAATAATTTATAATCAAAAAGGAACAACAATAAAATTGTATAGAACAGTCTCAAAGTATCTACCTTTGTCTCACTATCATCTTATTATATAACTCTATTATCAAAACATCACACATGCTACCTCAACATTAGTATAAATAGTTTAGTTATTTTGTCGTTGAGTTACTTCTTCGTCAGTTATATTATCAACCTATAATATAATAAATATCTCTATATTCTCTAGCCAATTGCTAAGCTCATCTTGCCTATAAAGTATTCTTCGGTCTGTCTTGTTCCTGACACACTCGCTTGCAGAATGGCATTACCTCGCAATCGTAAGTGAGGTCCTTGAATTCCTGGCTCGTATTGTGAGTACAAAAGATTACTGCCACTGGCAATATTGGGTGTTGTTTTCTGATCATTAGACAATACTCATTGAGGCGACGGAAAAAAGCACCATTGGCAGCGTGTTGGACTTCGATAAGCACAGGCGGTAATGTCTTGGTTTTTGCACGGTTAATTGGACAGTAAAATACATCTGATCTGGTGTAGTTCGTCCATTCTGTGGGTTTTGTGTTGTATTCATTTTCAGCGTGTTCGCCTGCACAATTTAGATAATTAATATGATTCTTGATAAACAATTGTTATGCATACCAATAACACTTTTTACAATAAGATTGACGACCAGTTCATGATTCAACATCCATTTACTCATTAAGTCTGTTCCTGGTGCGTATTTTGGTGGCAACTGGAAAGAAAAATTTTCAGTGTCGGAGTGGCTTGCCATGATAAGTGTCAGTGATATAACAAACGGATATAACAAACGGATATAACAAACGGATATAACAAACGGATATAACAAACGGATATAACAAACGGATATAACAAACGGATATAACAAACGGATATAACAAACGGATATAACAAATGGATATAACAAATGGATATAACAAATGGATATAACAAATGGATATAACAAATGGATATAACAAATTTTATATACCTAGACAAACTTAAATTCACGTGACAGTCATTTTCTTTTTACTATTATATTTGTTGTGATGTAAGAGAGAAGATAAAAACAAAGAAGTCGATTAGAACTTGTATAGGTTTATTATCCAAAAATATATCCATCTCTCTTTTTCTAGCTCTTCATTCTCTAGGTATTTATATATGAAGAGATGTCGGAGTAAGTAGTAGTAGAATTCATGCAAATGACTGAGTCTCTATTATCATAGACTACTTTAAATTAATTAAATAATGTAAATTATGGATTTCGGTTATACGTCTTGATCTATTAAAAGATACATTGTCTTATTTAGTACAAGAGGTTCTTTTATGCCTATTTCTGATGTAAATTGATTATGATGTATTTTAGTATGTAAATGAAGACTTATTTAATGTCAGATCATCATATGCATATATATTCTATATGTTCACAACAATATTTATCCCACGTATTTGTTTATTCTAAATTCTTTATTTTGAAACTATCAAGTGATTAGAAAAAGTGAGTTATATTTTTTCATATTTATCTCAATAAAGCTATTTTTAAACAATTTTAACCCAATAAGGTCGATTATTTAAGTTTGTCCCTTATCAATATGTATAACAAATGGATGTAAATGTTATTCAAAACAAGCGGTCATAATTGCCCTAGGCGATATGGGTAACAAAGTATGGTTGGTTACACAACGTTTTTTGTTAGATATAACAACCTGGTGTTATATGCTTTTTTTTTTTTTTTCTAGCCTATCATTTGTCTTGGATGTTCGTTTTTGAAATAAAAATACTGATTTAAACTCAGAATCACTCTAAGAGACATTCCACTTACACCAAGCATTTAAGCATTATAAATAAAATCCTATTTGACAATACCATCCAATCCTGTCTAAATATTAAAGCTATTTTAAATAAATATATTTTTGCTTTTTGATCCTTATTATCGTTTTTCACTTCATTAGCTTTAATGACGGCACGCATGCAGTTCTGACAATTCTATTGAAAATAAGATACCCTTTGAACTGTGTGTTTCTCTAAACATTCTTGTTTGACTTTGTAATCTTCCATTTTAAACGTAAATCACTGTAATGGACAATGCTACAAGTTGAGTGCAAAGATCAAAGTGTGTCTCTTCCTATTTTGAGTGACGTAAGCAATGTTACCATTGGCTGAACCCTTTTCTTTTTTTAAAACTCTTTTTTTTTCTTTATCACAGTTGATTTACCAACAGACACTGTGTGTGAACTTGATTAGAAAACGTTGTATACCTTCAATCTAATAGCGATCTAAACCATTAGTTTGAATTTATATGGTGAGTTGAAAGAAATAATCTCCCAAAAAAAACACGTCAAGAAAACTAAGAGAACTCCATAGTCATGGTACCAAGTACAGAGAATGCAGTCATAAACACCCATTCAGACTTTTGTAGTCAATTGTCTGAAGAAGACAAGGCTATCTATGCTAGAAACAATATTCGCCTAAGACAATTAGAAGCCGAACTTTTGGAACTGTCAACATATGGTGCTGCGTGCGATGAATTGATGGTTTGGTTGAGCGATAACCGTGCCTATAATACCATGAATGAAGCTGCCCTTTTAAATTGTATCAAAGCTATCTATAAGAAAGCTATGGACTATGGACGTTGGTCCGGTATACAGATATTGAAAGAAGCCAGTCATAAATGCAGTAGTTTGTCAGGACCTACTCAAGGTAAGATGCATACACACACACACATATATATATATATATATATATATAACTCGATATTGACACATTTCTTTGGTTAGCCCAAATTAAGAAAATGTATATGGACCTCAGTAAAGCAGCACTAGGAAAAAGACCAAGTGAAGATTCGATCCAGTCTCGACATACTTCACCTGCTTCTCCAGCTAGTCATAAATCACCTACCACAGCTAATTTCTCGCCCAACACGATTCATTATTCACCTACTGCGGCTAATTTTACACCTACGGTGGATGTGAATGCTATTATGCGGTCACTGATAGATACAGGCGTATTACCTCAATCTCCTACTTCTATTGCTTCACCTGCAGTATCACCTCGGTTTGGTCAACAACAGACTGCTGCTGCTCCCAATCATATTCTGAATGTAAACAACAACACTTTGTATAATAACCGACAACCGTTAGCACTTCAACGACAACAACAACAACAACAACAACAACAACAACAACAACAACAACAACAACAACAACAACAACAACAACAACAACAACAACAACAACAGCAACAGCAACAGCAGCAACAACAGCAACAACAGCAACAGCAACAGCAACAGCAGCAACAACAACAACAACAACAATTAGCGATGCAACAAGCTCAACAAAGATATTATATGCATCAGCAGCAACTAAAGCAACAGCAACAGTTAAAGCAACAGCAGCAGCAGCAACAACAACAACAACAACAACAACAACAACAACAACAACAACAACAACAACAACAACAACAACAACAACAACAACAACAACAACAACAACAATTAAGACAACACTTGATACAGCGTCAACAACAGCAAATGATACAAGCTAGAGCTGCGTATACTCCACCACAGTCTAGTTTTGCTAATTCATCTAGTCACAATACGAACTCAACTACTGCTTCTGCTAATACCAATACCAATACGGCGAATACGAATTCATATACACATCAAGATCCTCGGTTGAATGCATATACTATGCAAGCGAATTCAATGGATTCAAATACAATCCTTCGCTTACAAGAACATGTCTATCAACTATTGAATTCGTCTAGCGTGTCATCGACAACAAGTCATCATCACTCTTCTTCTTCTACTTCATTACCGTTAAACCAATTCCAATCTCCTGCTATGTCCACCAACACAGCTCATATAACGATACCTGCTACACCTGTCATTCCTTCAGAACAAAAACCCGCTGCACCAGCTACTCTTTCAAAAAATGTACAGCAAACTATGTCATCCGTGGCTCTTCCAAAAAATAATCAAATACAACTTAACGCAAGTACACCACCTACACCTACTGCACAAATGCCTTCTACTCCACCTGTGAGCGTCTCAAAGGCTGTATCACAAAACACAGGCACACCACCTACTCCTTCTGTGGACCATACCGCACTTTATTTACCAGGTGGAGGTGTCGTTATTAAAGCGTACGACAAAGATGATGCAGCCGATCAATTCAACTTTCGCTTCAAGACAGGCTATGCTGTGAAACCTTTTAGACTTGTCCATGATGTAGTGTTGACGAATAATAACTTTCATATTGAACCAAAAGACTTTAAACGCCTGTTTGTTCGATCTGATATCACCTTGGGAGACACAAGGGGTATATTGCCTTTGAGTTTTATGTTTACAGCATGGTACAATAATACATCAGAACGTAAATGTGATTGGCCAACAACATTACGTGTAGAATTCAATGGAAAAGAACTCAAACTACAAAAGGTAAAGCTTATTTCGAATGACCTGTTGACTGATACATACTAGAAACAAAAATTACATACAGCTACTGGCAGTAATTGGGTAGGAAAAGATCTACCATTTGATTTGACAAGCAGAATTGTGGAAGGAAGAAATACACTTAAATTGATTCAAAACGGATGTGCCTGTGTAAGTCGCTTTTCATCGTCTTCTTGTTGTCTCACAAATAGACCAAAGTCCTATTATTTTAGCATTCAGATCCATACAAGATATACAGAGAATCACATATTGACTCTAGTCAAGAACAACACATTGAGTATAGCAGAAGGACATCGCTTGATTGATAATTTACTGGGTAAAAACAAGCAAAATGCAGAGGACGATGATCTTGTCATTCTACAAGAATCTGTCAAACTCAACCTCAAGTGTCCTATTACCATGAAACGTATGAAGCAACCTACAAGAGGTAAAAAGTGTCGACATCTTGATGTAAGTAAGTGCAGTGTAAGGCACAGAATAACTTAGGATGACAGTGCTTTGATTTATCTGCTTATTTACTGGTAAATAAGAATGGAACTCCTGCATGGCGTTGTCCTCACTGCAATCATACGGTGGGTCCTGAAGATTTGGCACGTGACTTATTGATGGAGAATTTGCTGCAAGAACTAAGTAAGAATGTTGTCGAGATTGAGTACAAACAAGACCACAGTCAATACAAGATAAACAAACTGGATGATCCTGATTCAGATCAAGACGATGATGATCATCATGAAGAAGACAATGCTCATAAAAAGATCAAATTGGACAGTGCATTGGATGAATCGAGAGAAGTGATTGATTTGATAAGTGATGATGAATAAACCGAGTGGTTCTTTATACCCCCCCCATTCTATTTTCTTTATAACAAAGTAGTGAAATAAGAGTCAAGTGTAGCAGCATTGCTTAGTTCGTCATCCACTGACACTAGTAATTGATATGGATAGATCGATAATGGCTTATAGTCTACATGAATACTAGGCTTTTCATCATCCAGTTCAGAAAAACTAAAGTCTTTGGCCTATACATAGCACATATGAGTGTTCATATGGAGTGTATGGTACTTACTGTCTTGATGAGTGTCTGTTGTACATTACGCATAGTAAAGCGATAGAGGATACGAAATCCATCGTCTATAAAATAGAGTGAATGCATAGTTTATATATATGTGTGTGTATGCATGTATGTTATACTTGCTCTGTATGGTACGATTCTCTTCTTTTAGCTTTTTAGAGGGATCTCTGACAAGATTTTCAAGAATAACAGGATAAAGTGCTTCAATGACTAACTTGTGTAGACCATGATCATTATACCAGTTAATCTTATCTTTAGCTACATAGAGTATTACACGTAGTGCCTAAGAGAATGCTTGTTAGAAAGCATACCTGATGAGCACAAATACATACTGTATTTTCCGTAATGGCAAGGTGAAGTACAGTTCGACTACGCTTAATAGACATTGGAGTAGAGGGAGGCTGAGATAAAAAAAAAAAAAAGAGCTTATTTTCTTTTGCATGAGCCACTTCAATGAGGAGGGGGTTTATCTCCTTTTATTTTTCCAAATCAATGTCTGCACCTGGATTGACTCATTCTGACTCTTCATTGTCTTTGAGGACAAGGAGAAACACACAAGATACAAAAGGACAAGTGTCTGATAACTTGGCAAGAAAAGGATTTGTGGTTGATGAGAGAGTGTTTGGTGATGTTGAGGATGACTATGAAGAAGACGATAATCTATTAAGCAATACTGAAGTGATTGACATGGGTGAATATGGGGACATGTATCATTCAAAAGAGAAACAAAGACCTTCTTGTTGGAGACAATACATGACAATGGTATAACATATATATATATATGCTCTTATGTAAATGCTTATACAAAATAATAGACGAATGCATTAAGGACATTGTTCATGTTGTTTGTACTGATCCTGTTTGGTGTCATTACAATGGAATCTCTAGGCCAATTAGAAGCGAAAAATAACTTGTATTACAATGGAACTACTTACTTTGATACCACTGTGATTTACATCTCTTTGGATGGATTTCGAAACGACTATTTAGATAGAAAAGTAACCCCAAACCTTGATCTGATAGCAGCACAAGGTATTCGAGCAGAATACATGTCTCCTTCGTTCCCTGTAGGTGGACAATCATCATCTCTATATAGACTCATGTTATGCATAGTCCATCACATTTCCAAATCATTGGACGCTAGTGACTGGATTGTACCCAGAAGCACACGGCATTGTCGCCAATGAATTTTATGATCCTGCCTTTCAGCAAACATTTATTCATAAACAACCCGAGATCAGTGGTGATCCTAAATGGTGGGGTGGGGAGCCTATTTGGATCACAGCCAAAAATCAAGGTAAAAAATCAGCTGTAATAATGTGGCCTGGTTCCAATGTGCCTATTCAAGACACTCGCGCTGATTATTATGTTGAATACACAAGAGCCACGACTGCTCATGGTAAAATGGACATTGCTTTAAGTTGGCTTGATTTACCAAGAGAACAAAGACCTCAGTCTATTTCTATTTATATTCCTCAAGTAGATCAAAAGGGACATGGTGGAGGACCAGATGGAAAGCAGGTAAACCCCCCCCGTTGATTTTTTGTAGACTTAACTTTTTTATTCTATTAGTTGAATGGTGTATTGGCAGACATGGATAATGCGATAGGGCATTTAATGGATGGTTTAGAACAAAGAAACCTTCAAGACCATGTTCATCTTGTCGTAGTAAGTGACCACGGTATGGCTGCTTCAGATAAATCTCGTTTGATCTTTTATGACCATATCTTGTCTCCACTGTCTGAATCCTATCTGAGTGAAAGAGAAGCATGGCCCTTACTTGGATTACGCCCCAAACCAGATGCACCCTCACACGCTTTAGATCAAATCTATCAAGAGATTCAAGACTACATTCAACTTCATCCAAACCCTCATTTCAAAGTCTATAGACGACAAGAAATGCCTGCTCGGTTCCATTACAATGCTACAGAGCGTATTGCACCCATTGTGTTAATACCTGACGTAGGCTATTCTATCATTCGAAGCAATGAGTTCAAACCAACAGAAAAGAAGCCTTATTATAGTCCAAGAGGTATTCATGGCTATGATAATTTAGCACCTGAAATGAGAGCCATCTTTGCTGCCCGAGGACCTAAACTGACCCAATATCAAGCTGGCACGATTGTCAAGCCTTTTTTTAATGTGGAAATGTATCGCTTCTTGACCAGCTTATTGAACTTGACTCCAGCACCGAACAATGCAACATTAGACGGCGTATTTGAGGCACTTTAAAAATGTATATGATAAACTATTTATTTATTAAAATTCAAAATATTAGTAAAAGACCAACAACAATACATTTTACCATACAATAGCAGCGCTACAACGAACAATGGTAGCAAGAATACTTGCTCTTCCTGTTACAGCACCAAACGTGAAACCAGCGGCTGAATAACAAACAGCTGCATCCTGTTTGACAAATAGCAAAAGCTGCTGGACCAGCAGAAATGCAACTGAGAACAGAGAAAAGTAAAGAGTAAAACAAAACAAAACTTTGTGTTGAAGAGAGAGAGAGAGTTAAAAGAAAAGAAAAAAAGGACCTTGCGTTGATATTTTCATAAGTTAATAATGCAAGAGATATCCATCAGTCTTTCTTTAAAGAGAACAAATTGATTATTCATGGTTTTATTGTATTTGAGGCAATTTATTAGAAAACAAGGCTAGCTAATGATAAGAAAAAGAGAAACGACGATGAACCAGAAGCTAATACATTTCAAATATGCCAATAGGAATAGTTAGGGTGTTGGCGCAAGAAGAGCGGCAGCACAAGCAGCCATACAAACGCCTTGAGCAGAGTTACAACCCAAAATCACAAGAGGAGTACCTGCTCCAGCCGTAATAGTGCCAAACACGAAACCTGCTGCTGCATAGCAGGCAACAACAAGTGTGTTGCATCCAGTTTGGCATAAACCATAGAGTGCAGGCCCAGCATGAACCAAGTTAGACATACACAAGATGATACTTAAGATCAAGACAGCTTTAAACATGTTCAGTTCAACTAAAGAAGAAGAAGAAGAAGAAGAAGAAGAAAAGAAAAGTAAAAGGACATCTTTTTTAAAACCAATTGTACATGGATTGTTTAGAAATTTACCAGTATATATTGTTTTATCTGACAAGTTTCTTTGTTTAACTCAAATAAAACGCCATTGGATGATATATGCATTTCTCTTTATTCAAGGAGTTGGTGTACAACTAGCACCAGCAGCAGTAGTGCAGGAATACCTACGGTGCCAAGTGTAAAACCGGTCGCTGAATAGCAGGCCACTACAATAGCATTACACTCCGTTTGACAGATACTATAAGCTAATGGACCAGCAACAATACAGGTTGACAAACAAATGACAGATAAATCAAGAGTAAAATGACCTTCATTTTGTTTTTTCTTTAAGAAAAAGAGAAGAGACCTTGTGAGTGTATTTATAGTCAAATCTCCAGAACAGCAGGAAAAAAAAATTTATTTGACCTACACAGGTTTTGTAAAAATGTCGTCAACAAAGGATGTTTTGTAAACTCATATGCTTGGCTTCTTCACTTATGCGTGACTTGTTTGATAGAGTGGGAGAATCGGATAAGCAAAGCGTTTCGGATACTTTGTTATTATTTTGTGGTTCCTGAGGAGGAGTCAAGGGCGTTACACCAGTAGAAATGATAGGTGTGCCAGATTTAATCACATCGATTGGCTTTAGACCCTTCGTTTTGTGTTCAGATGTCACATCGTCGTCCTCATTGGCTTCATCTTGACTCTGTGTCACAGGGAATTGGTTTGTAAACGGTTCTACTTCTTTAGGCAGCATCGATTTGGCTGTCTTGACTTTGAGGTGATTGCCTTTTAGTAATTGATCACCACCACTTTCTTCATCCAATTTCTTGACAACGTCTTTAAGATAAATAATATAGTCAATAGCGCTTTGCAAGATAGACATCTTGTGGAGGTTATCTTGTTCAACACAAGAGGGAATCAGTTGTTTGAGTTGAAAGATTTTATCATTGATGCGTTCTCTTCGTCTTCTTTCGATGGCACTGTGGGATATCTTTCTGGCTTTTTCTCTTTGATCTGCTGTTGTGGCTGCTGGTGTCATTGTACTCAGCATGGACGGGCCCAAGCCTGGTGAACTAGAAATAGAGTTTTGGCGACTAGGACCATATGATGAAGGCATCAATGTAGGTGAGATTTGTTGAAATGGATATGGATGATAAAAAGGTGAAACAGGCGTTTGTGGCTGCTGTTGTGTAGCATACAGGGCTTGTGGAGACATGTCGGTATGCTTGGGTAAAATGCGAGGCGATGCTTTTTTGTCCGTTTGAGGGGCAAGGATAGGTGAAGGGTGCGTGTTGATAAAAGGATGCTGTTGTGGACTCACAGGATAATAAATAGGTTGCATATGATAATAAGGTGCTTGTTGAGGATGATGGACAACAGAAACTAGTTGGCCATTAGGATATTGCATTAAGGGCGGTGGAAGTGCCACTAATGGAGGGTGCAGAGAATTTGTGGTCAAGGCGTTCTCTGTTTGTTGCTTTTTAGGTGACGCATTGTCACTGTTTTCTGATTCTTCTGTGGCAGATAGTTTTCTTTTGTTATTAGTAGTAGGTGAAGACACAACAGACATGGTGTATAAGTGAAGAAAGATATAAAGAAAGATAAAAGAAAGAGAGGAAATGAATGGGAAATAAATAAATAAAGAAGGAAAGAAGGGGGCTCAAGCTATCAAGTATATACCAATGAAGTTCTAGAAACCTAAAGCATGGATTTTTGTACTTCTTTAGAATAATAGTTTGTACCTCCAATAAGTAAAGACATGCTCTCCCACGTGTGCTTCTGATTGGCTGTATTCTGGGTCACGTTTCATTCAAGTGGAATCTTGCAAGTGATCAACCAAAAGATCTTCTATCACGTGAGAGGACTGCTTCCGTATTACCTATTTTAGATTGTATATCTTGGATCCGGGTAAGAAGTTAGCATTATTGATCGCTAACCTTATTGCATCTTTCAACTACTGGTAGGCATAGTATACTATAAAAACACGCTTCTCTTTGATAATTGAAAGATTACATAGAATTAACAAAAAAGTGAACAGAAAAGGATATGGGCTGTTAAATCAAGGCGTGATGCTGATGCAATAATCAAACTCTTTTTTGGTTTCAGATGATGTTTATTCTTTCCAGTTCATTCTATAATGCTTTTTTTTTTAATACAGCCTGCTCTTTCAGCTTTTTGAATTTAAGCTTATTAAAAGTTTAGTAGTAGTTACAGCACAAAGGATTATTTTAGTCAGTCAAGAAGTTTAGACAAGAAAAGCCTGTTTCTTAATGTATTGTTATTATTCACAATTCAGTACATTTACGCAAAATGGGCCGCTTTTTAGGCTTCTTTAGAATGACAATCAAAGAAGAAGTTAGTAGAAAGCGTGTAGCAAGGAAAAGCTACGACATCTATTTCTTGATCATACAGAATTTCCAAATACAAAATTGGCTGATTTGCAATTCGACCAATGTACTGAACTTGATCCTTCTCTTACTAACTGTGGTAAATTCGCTGACTTTTCAGTAAAACCAAGCGTTTTCTTCTCTTGAGTGCAAATCAAATAAGACCAAGAACATCAATAATCCGATCAAACTATGCGACAAACTGGAAGATGCAGTTAAGGTCATGAACAATGAAGATAGTTCTAGTGGTATCTTAATTATATTTATTGTTTGGACCATAAGTACGATGGGTCGTACCGTATTGTCTTGTTGAGGAAGATTTTCTTGCCCCATGACTACTATGAAACGTACCAGCTTCTCTCAATTATTCCACTACTTAAAAGCTGAAGTCAATCATTCAGTTATCTGCATTGATTTTAATAAATACTCCTTCTTCTCAAGCTCAAATTCCTGGGGACATTATTTCTATGCATACCCCATCCTAGTCCGTGTTTCAAAACGCCAACTCCACAAAGATCCCTTGAAGGGGAACATTCTGTTCACTCCAAAAGAAGCATACATGCATAGATGTTGAAAATACAATTGTTATCAGCTTCAAAGTATTCTACAATGTTTTTTTTCTATTTGAATAAATTACGTATCTTCAAATGCATTCAATTAATTACTGGTCTCTTTGTATGATGAACAATAAAAACTTGTTTATTCTTTTTAAAAGTAGTCAATTGATAAATAATTCTTTTTTATACTATTATTTACATTAGATTATAAGAGCAAAGAAGAGAAGAGAAACGAATTAGTAACAGATATGAACCAGTATATGTGAAATACTTATACGGATACAAAGAGGTAGTTGAATACCACTTTATCTTCTCATTACATGCATACTACCAGACGCTTGACCAATCAATATCAAGCTGTCATTGATACCAAAGGCAGTACTACCAAGTGCTACTTATATTATCTTAAAACAAACATCTCGACAAATCATCCACAAAAAACTGAGCGTGTTTAAGAGTGTGTCAGATTGAAATCCTCGCCAACTTTTGTTCGCCCAAGGACTACACGAGTAACATAATCATTAAACATCTGGCAATCTGAGTAGTTGTAGCCTTTACCTTCACGATGGTATCAGCTTTTCGTAAAGTTATGGATTCTATGATCAAACAATATCAGCATATACTTCCAATACTTATGAAATCTTACTCATCACAACTAGCAAGACACCTTCATTTGTGGAAGTTCTTTTTTTCTGTTTCTTGTATCGTCCTTTGAAAAGATCGCCCAAAGGTCAACTGAAATGCAAAATAAGAGTCCCATCATCAAAACAAGGAGTTTCTATCAATAAAATCAATTCAACATTTGGTTCTCAAGTTAAACCATTTTTCTCTCTACCTATAATCTCAAATTTATATATCTAACAATGCTTTCTATATCCACTGCTATATTTACAACTATCTCTAAACTTTGTTGAATTTACACATAAAAAAAAATACCATTATGAAATACAAAGGCATCAAGAAGCCGGAAAATATAAAGACAGTTATCTAACTTTTGTATAGTTCTTTACGACTTTGTAAAGAATCAAGAAGATTTTAATTTGGAGTCTTTCCTGAGCACACATTCCAATTTCTTTGATCGTGCTGCTTTTGAATCTATTGATCAGTTCAAAAGTAGCGTTTTAAGTGCCTGCGAGAACGCTTTGAGAAAGTACCGTCCTGACCTCAGCAAAAAGGACGCTCTTAACTGTTGCAGTGTTGAAGACCGGACCTGGAACAGAGTATTTGAAGATGTAAGTAAGCACATACTATTAGAAATGTATACTAAATATTTTCAAGGGTGAAATCCAGGCCGATGAAGTAAAAGGGATGCTCTTTTCTTGAAGCTACCAAGAAGTAAGTCAAGTACTCATTACACTTTTGTTTATTTTTGTTTGATAGTTTGAAGGTTTGCAAGTCAATGAATTCACTTAAGAAGAAGCAAGACGCTTGGTAGCTGAGCAAGCTAGCTTTTATGGAGAAGTTCTCAACTGCCAGCTCGATTCACTCTCCTTGTCCTTCTTGGAAAGATTTAGCAAGTTAAGCACTGTTGAAATTGGTGTTTTGAAGGACTTTTATCAAGCAAGATCATTATGATAATATATGTAAAAAAGACTTGCCTTGTCGCATGTGCTGAACATCAACAGCGATGAATACAACTTGGTGTTCAAGGAGCACTAGAGTCCTTTGTCCTGGGAGAAGATGAACAATTGGTACAGCTTCACTAGCCTCAATTATTCTAGAAGTAAGAATTTCTATATTACTAAGCTTGGTTCGTCTTACTTTAGCTTTTATGATGGACCAGAATTGTTCAATTGGATTTAATTCCGGCAAGTAGGGTGGAAAGTATACTGAGATGTAGCCTCGCTGCATGATTATTGGATCAATTATTTCAGGGACATGAATTGGAGCATTATCCATAATGATAAAGTAATCTTTCATTTCTGAAAACTCATCCATGATATCCATGGTATCACTAATGAACTGAAGATAATGTTCACCTGTAGTACCCTTGGTTACAGACAATTGATCCTCAGGTGCCTTTCTTTTTGTAGCTCCAACTACTTTCCTTCTCTTCAAATTTTCAGACTCTTTTAGCTTCATATTCACAACACCGATTGCCGAAATTGCACCAAGAACACTATGCAAAGTAGCTTTTGTCGACGGAGTCTCAGTGATCGACTTTGAACCGCGTGGTGACCAGCCTCGACTACGACGCATGTTGATATTAAATCCGGACTCATCAACAAATATACAGTTCTTGAGATAGTCCATACCATTTTGGACCCACCTTTCAACCCAATCTGCTCGTTTCTGAAGGTTTTCCTCTTTGTTTCTGGCAACAGGATGTCGACTTACAACCTAATATTGCGCTCCTCCTTCATAAACTCGGCTAACCGTGACTTTTTTATATCCAGTCAAGTCCTCTACAGCGCCCTGAATTGTTGCCGTAGAATTTTCGTCAAAAAATTGATTAAATGAGACTTATGGGCTTCATTTAGCTGGCTGACTATTCTATAAATGGTTTCATTGGTTTTTTTAACTGAGATACTTGTCTTAGGATCATCCTCATATGTTTGTTTCCACTTGCGAGCAGTGTGGTAATTGACATTGGCTGCTATGGCTGCCTGCTTTGGTTTCATGAGTTTTTCCTTTAAAAAATAAAAATAACGCTTGCGATCTTCGAACGTATAAACGTTATACTGCAGATCTCTTTCCTTCTTAGGCTCAGCCTCTTTCATCTCAGTGTCGGCTGGAGATCTTGTTTCAACCTGAACTTCTTGGTTTTTGATATACTTTCGATCTTTCAATTTTTTCAAGCGAAATGATTTATCCTCGACGTAACTCGGTGCTTCCTGACCTTGCTCGTCAAAAGCGCCACCAGTACCGTCTTCATAGAAAAAGAAAGTGTTCATGTTATGGCTCATTGTAAAAGTAAAATAACAAAAGAAAAAGAAAAAAAAAACGTCTCAGGAACGACCAAATAAAAGCTCACAAAAATGACCAGTTGTTTTTTAACTTCCTACCAATGATCTCCAAATGGCAGTGGATGCACTGTATGGTGTAAAATTTTACTAAGATGGACTGTTTTTAATATTTTGCCTCCAGATAGGAGGCTTAGATAGAGGGCACTGTCACTGTTTACTTATTCAATTGAATTACAAAAATTAAGTTATGCGTATAATTGGATTATTTCTGTTGTAGAGATTATCATGACGAAACAATCGAGCTTCACCGGCAACATCTGAGTGCGCAAACTTTTTAAATATAGTAACGCGATAGTCTCTTCTGCCATACCCCTCTCTCACCTCAATAAAGCTGAGTGAGGAAAATGTCTCAAGACTATCGGAAGCATGAAAATGATTACCTTTGTGTTTCATTGTTGCAATAGTTTTATTAATATAGAAAAGACACGGTCAAGAGAAACCCCTTCTTTTTTTGGGTGTCCGAAATGAGTGAGCTGAAAATAAAGTTAGAAACTATAGTTCATTCAATGATGATCACTTACCTTTGTTTAAATTAAGAGCCCGCCTAAACTTCAATTGTTGAAAACAAGAATAAAGTGACGCATTTTACACAAAGACCTCACAGGATATCACAGACAATTTTTTTTTTATTGTTTAAAATTTTTCTTTTTTTTTCTTCCTATTAAATAAATCATGAGAGAAATTATTTCACTTCATGTTGGTAAGTTACTTGTTTATGAAAGTCTTGTTTAACTTGTCTTTCTTCTTAATAGGTCAGGCAGGTGTCCAAATAGGTAATGCTTGTTGGGAACTGGTAAGAAAATTCATCGCACAAGATCCTCAACTGATTTTGTTTAGTACTGCCACGAGCATGGCATTCAGCCCGACGGTCGTTTTCTTGAAGGTAGCCATATCAATGATCATTCGTAAGTCTATAGAGCATTCTTTCATTGGGTTGACCAGACAGATTTGAAACTTTTTTCTCTGAAACTGAGCGTGGAAAGCATGTTCCTCGTACAGTCATGGTTGATTTAGAGCCTTCTGTGATTGATGAGACTCGCACTGGCACTTATCGTGAATTGTTTCATCCTGGTAACTGATATACAAAATCACAGTATGTATTGTGACTAATATATATATAAAAAAGAACAGTTGATTAGTGGCAAAGAAGATGCTGCCAATAATTATGCCCGTGGTCACTATACTGTAGGCAAAGAAATGGTAGACAATGTCTTGGATCGTATTCGTAAATTGGCTGATAATTGTTCTGGACTTCAAGGCTTTTTAGTCTTTCACTCATTCGGTGGTGGTACTGGTTCCGGGTTTGGTGCTCTTTTAATGGAACGTCTCTCTGTTGACTATGGCAAGAAATCCAAATTAGAATTCTCAGTCTATCCTGCTCCTCAACTCTCTACATCTGTTGTCGAACCCTACAACTCTGTCTTGACAACACACACCACATTAGAACACTCTGATGTTTCATTCTTGGTAGACAATGAAGCTATTTATGATATTTGTCGTCGTAATTTAGACGTTGCACAACCTACTTATGCTAATCTCAACCGTCTTATTGCTCAAGTGGTTTCCTCCATCACTGCCTCTCTTCGCTTTGACGGTTCTCTTAATGTCGATCTCAACGAATTCCAGACCAATTTAGTTCCTTATCCTCGTATCCATTTCCCTCTTGTGACTTATGCACCTATCATTTCTTCTGCAAAGGCTTATCATGAACAAATGTCTGTTCCTGAAATTACTTCTTCCTGCTTTGAACCCAATAATCAGATGGTCAAGTGCGATCCTCGTAACGGTAAATACATGGCTTGTTGTTTGTTATACCGTGGTGATGTTGTACCTAAAGACACCAATGCTGCCATCTCTACTATCAGAACAAAACGTACGATTCAGTTTGTGGATTGGTGTCCTACGGGTTTTAAAGTGGGTATCAATCATCAGCGCCCTACGGTTGTACCTGGTGGTGATTTGGCTGAAGTACAACGTGCTGTTTGTATGTTGTCTAGTACAACAGCCATTTCTGAAGCTTGGGCACGTCTTGATCACAAATTTGATTTGATGTATGCTAAGCGTGCATTTGTTCATTGGTATGTAGGTGAAGGTATGGAAGAAGGTGAGTTCTCTGAAGCGCGTGAAGATTTGGCTGCTCTTGAAAAGGATTATGAAGAAGTAGGTGCTGATTCTCTTGGAGACTCAGAAATGGAAGACAATGAATATTAAGTGGGAATAAAACTTTTTTATTGAATAAATAATATATTTATATGGATATCTAAAGAAAGTAAGTAAAAGAGGGCTAGGATATATATATACACGCTTAAAGAAAATATGCTTTTTGATGACTTTCAGTTATTTCTTATAAAACATCACTCAGCACAAGCCACAACGTTTCGATATTTCGTAAACGAGAGGCTCTAAGACGGCTCTTCCTATATTTTGATGTTGTCATGTTTCATCCTGTCATCAAAAAAAGCAAATTTTCTTTTGACGCGTATCTTTCTGTCAACTTACCAAATCAGATATACATTTCCTTTTAAAAACAAATCATTGACATGGCCTATGTCTTAAAAAATATGTAAGTATACTTGTCTAAAAAAAAAGAAACAAGCGTGTTGTGTGTCTGTTTGTTATACTGGCAAGTATCAACAGCACTCAGCGAAGCACTGCGGTTTGTCTCATCAAGGTCGATAAGATAGTTGAAGACATATAAAAGAATTTTCTTCACTCACACTCGCTTGTTTTTTCTTTTATACATACCAACTTTTGTTTTATAAAGAAAGAAAAAATTTTTGTTGAGCTGTCAAACATGAAAAAATTTATACTTGTGGTTACTGTGACTACTCGCTCGATTGAGCAGTCCAAAAAGAGAGATACACTTGTACTCGATCAATTCAAAGTTCGCTATCATAATGTAGGACGCATATCTTTTTCTCTTTAAAAGAAAAAAAAAAGGCCTAGTCAAATAGCTTTGTTTAACAAAGGAAAAAAAATATACTCTTCCTGTTCAATAATAATGAATACATTTCTCTTTTTCTTGTTGTTCTTGTGTTACAACAAGGACCAACAGATCATTTGTACGACAGAATGACTTTTTCAGAGCATTTTATTGTTGGTGATTTGGCTGATTCATATCTACAATGTCAATTGAATGCCTTTCATGAGTGGGATTTGAATGAGAAAAAGTATTCATGGTCTGATCATGATCTTGTGTATGTTCTATGACCACAACATCGGGCAACTTTGTATAAGCTGGAGGTGAAGGCAATTCAGAATAAGAAGGTAACGTATAATCAATTTCTTCATCGTAACGATGTACAGAAAGCGCATTGTTTTCTCGACTTGGACGTCTTTGAGGCAAAGAGTAAGATAGCTCATGCTGTGTAGTATTCTGCAATGGGGAAACTTTCTTAAAGAACCAAAATGTTGACCAGGTTATGACAGTAAGACAAAGGAAAAACGAAGTTGAATTATATAAATCTATAGACATTGTAATGCAAGACAATCATCCTATGCAACTTACTATAGCGAGTATCATTCAATGGCATAAAAATACCATATCTTGCTCTTAATACAATAGCCGCAATCAATAAAGCTACAGTCCAGACTGTTATGGCCCTTATTCTGAATCTTGTCATCGAGTCAATTATCTTTAACAAAACCAAAGAGGCTATCATTGCAAATGCTGCAGCACCTATAACTACATCACTCTAACTATATTATTATAAGGAACATATCTATGGAAATATACCTGTAAGTTATAATCAATATTAGTGGTTTTATTTTCAGGTTTAAATCGAAAGACTAAATCAGAGATAAGCAACGATATTTTGTTAAGAAATATACAAATTACTTAGTTCAGTTCCAAAAGTAGATGTGCTTAAAATACAAGTAATATATGTTATCTCTCTAAACATATCAAGTGGGAGAAAAAAACATCTTTATTATGATGAATTACACAAGCACAAATAAAAAAGACGGTTTTAGTCATTATGCATATTACCTTTTTTGCCGAATACTCGGAGAGCAGTAATAATTGGCCTATTTACAATGAGTCTACCAAACGGAAAATCATTCAAAAAAAATCAATCTTGTATCAGTTGCAGAAAAACAAGCGTATGTATACACACGCTCAATGCGCAAGTTTATTAGATGTTGGCAATAAAGGCAGTTTTCAAATGTGGCTTTAGAATATCTATGAAAACCTTAAAGATCATTTGTACAGGAACATATTATCGATATCTACAATATCTCTTTATCCAAAAGCTGCTTTCTCTAAAGTTTGCTTTTAAAAGCCAACCAAAATTACTCGGTAGCTACACTTTTTCTTAAAGAAAGAATGACAAGGAAAAAACTAAAGACTTTATTATCCCTTTTTGAATTGCTTCAATTTTTTGATGCTTGGTGGCAACTCTTTGTCTTTTCGCTTAGGGTCAAGGCAAACTCTTCTTTCTTTCTTTAATAAGACTTCGACTTCCAATATCATTTCATTCTATCAAGAAAGTTTAGTTGATTGGGTCATCCGCAAAAAAAACACATTCATATTTACTTTGCAGATCCATATGGCTTCAAGGATCCAAGACAAGTTCTCCACTTCATCACTCACTTATAATTCTTACATCGAACAGACACGATAGGCATATCCTGAGGGCTGATCCATAACCTGGCATTTCATACGAAAGCTTGTAGCAATAGAAATAAGTAGAGAATGTGCCTGCGGTACAGCTCCTCGAACCTCTTTTTCAATATAGCTAATGCTGAATCTTGCCCATTCAAGCTCTTGATTTTCCCTGTATTGTAAAAGTCTTTCATAGTGGAATAGCTTTTTTTCATAAATGGAAGCACTTCAAGCGACTTATCTGCGATTGAGACACCTTTTCAATTTCTGTACATAAATTAATCTCGTATAATAAAGAAGTCGAGAAAAGAGAGCGCAATCTTGAATAAATGTTCTGGATGAACCAATCTAGACAAAATTAGGTGTCATTCCCACCTCTGAGTATAAAGATGTTTCTTCCGTTTGTTGGGCCCATATATGCTCACAACCATCATTTTCATGATCACAAAGCAAAACATCATATTCTGTAGGGATTTCTTCTTTGATTTCCTCCAAAACAACATCGTTTCTTTTTGAATTGACAGTAATCGAATGAATGGGCAACAACTTAACTATACATTAAATTCTCTTCGCTTCTAATTGCTTTTCCGAGGATCAATTCGTCGTCTTTGTTGCATAGGTCTTCGTAAGAAACGTCAGTTTCCCCAACATCAGCATCGATGGAATCAGAGGACCTCTTTTGGCTTTCTTTCTTCGTATTCTCAAAATATTTTTGATCTTGCTCTTGTTTGTTCTTGTTTCTGTTGACTTTCAATCCTTTATCACCAAGATGTGCCTCGGTCGTATCGGGTACTCGGCTGTGACTTTCTTCATAAAAGCTAACAAGTCTTTTGTTTGGCCTATATCTTTTCTTGGTGCCATACCCGACAGGAATACCATGATCGTAATAGCACTTCAGCGATTCCAGGTCATTCTTTGCAATCGACAAGAGCTGTCCCGTTCCGAGTGAGAGAGGAGCCTTTTCATTCATGGTAGAACACAACATTCTGTGGAATGCTTTTACAGAATTTGAGGTTCTCATCGGATGAGAAAACAAAGAGCTTTTTATCTTTCAGTTGTATAAAAAAAATCATGCTGCTGACGGAAGGCTGCAGCCGCCACTACAGCCATCGACGGCAGTTGGAAAACTTCATAAGCAACTAAAGAACTGTTTCAACAAAAGTAAGCTGGTTCTCAGCGTTTTCTCAAACGATAGACAAACTGAAGAAAATCCAGCTACAAATGAGGGAGGGGGGAGCATAACTGAATCATTCTTCACTAACCGCTAGACGCTTTGCAGCCAATGCATATAGCAGCTCTTCAAAAACATCAATGCTTCATTCATTTGTTCGGGAGAACCGCTGCCGTTAGCACTATTATCAAAATGGAAATTTAAAACATGGATAAATTCTTGGAGTTGTGCAGCGGAAAAGTCCATAATCACTTCAAGAAATTGGTACTTATTGAGTTGTAAACAGCTGAATAAAACACTGGACAAAATTGTTTGCTCCCAAATCACTCATTACCGCCTGGAAAAAGATAACACTTTTTCTAGATAAATAATGGAAGAGCAAAAGTACTTCTTGCCAGAAATAGCTTTGTAAGTAACATCAGTGATAATAAACTGAGTGGCAAAAGGAAGGCGGTAATTACTTATTCCTGGAGGGTTGAAAACAATAACAAAGTATTCATCAGATGCAACCTGAACATAGGTGATAAACTCTTCATATTCTTTCCTAATCTTTCCAAGTTCATCCAAGGATTCACTGTTCTTCTGTATGCCCAAGACTGATCTTGCAGAATTCAGTTCATACTGAACTCTATTTTGGTTGGATAAAACCAAATCAATCCCTCTTGCTGTCTCGATTATTTCGCTAGTACGGGAGGGAATACTGGTTTTCATTTTTTTTTTGGGTGTAGTATGAGGATCATTCTTAACTTTTTCTAAAAACTTGCGTATGCTGTCACCTGAGAGATGTTTTCGGGAACAGATTTCATGCGTATGATAGCCATTGGTATCAACAAAACAAGTATTTTGCTTGAGAAAATAATTATAACCTGAGGTGAACATTGCAAGGCTTATACTTTACAATGTGCTTGTAACGGCATTGTTGCTTTTGAATCAAATCCATGTTATTTTTTGGTCTCACAGTTTTCCCGTACAGAGAGCAAGACTCATAATTACAGTAAACTGCACCAAGACAAGTATTATAGCGAGTAATGTCGCCCTTGTCTTTCTCATTGGTGGTCCAGCCGATATCCAGATTACACTTAGTAAACGCAGTCAATATTTGATAAACTATTTCAAAATTGCCTTTATTGTAGACATACACTATACTTTTTGTAACTATTTTTCTTAAGATTATTATTTACATTTGGTGTTGTTTATGGTTGTTGTTGTAGTAAATGGAATCGAATAGCATGATCAGTCAGTTGTGGCATAATATCTTGTATCATGTCCTCCATGGAATTGACTCGAAAATGTATGATTTTTGTATCGGGATCTGAAGATTTGACTTCAGTTGTATTCAAGACAGATATCAATTTGACCTTGATTTTGCTTATTGGGAAATCATGATTCATTTGAACTAGTATTGGGTTAATTTGTCTTGACTGACAACCTTACTTACAATGCACTATCATGGGGGCAAATGGTTTAGGACGTGCTAAATGCTTGTCTGTATCATTATGAATCGATTGAAATACAGTCAATCTCTCTCGCTTTAACTGATAATAACGTTTCCATAAAGCAGTATCTTGAGCAATTTTGAAATTCAAGTAGAGTGTAAAATGCCTAAATTCAACTGGATCATACCGTATGATTTGACTATAGACAAGTCAACACCATGATTGGAATGCAGTATGGCTTACTCTCTAAATTTCTTTATCCACATCATCACGCATTCTTTTCTCTTTTGTATTGCGTTGGGTGGAATGACGCATGAATCCATGTTTGGTTTTCTCTCTGATGTTGTTGATTGTTTGATTGTAAAAATAGGATAATTGTCTAGTTTACAAGATGACTTCTTTTGGAATACATCTTTTTCATCATCACTCAAGTCAGGCATGGCTGGTTTCCTTCGTTTAGAGACATGATCTGCATCTGGATCCAACGTACTGCGCTTCTTTCGAGTGTCTTGTTGTAAGGCATCCTAAAGATAGTATCAATATTCAGTCTTGCATAGTATCACTTAACTTGTTTGACAGTAGTCAGAATACGTTCAAACCAGTCATATAAACAATCTTCATCATTTATATTCCACTCCTTATCAGGCAAAAGACTTGCCACATCGTCCACATCAAACAACTCTTTTACATGACGATTTCTAAAGATGAGATCAGGCGGGAATCGATAGTTGGACGAATCAAACACGATTTGACCTAACCCCATGTCAACCATAGTCATGGTACCAGACAAACTTACAGTCAATCTTGTCTGCTATACAAATATCAAAACGATCTTCAATATGCTCTTTTCCAAAAGAGTAATGACAAGTTAGTTTTTTAACCATCTTTATTGAATCTAGTAAAGATAACTTTGCGATTGCTCTTGAGAGTTGGATATCCATTAGAATAATAAAAATAAAAAAATAAAATAAGTATAGATGCTATTGTCGATGCTTTGTTTCAAGTAACATGACTGTCAACATGCCTACAAATAAGAACAAGATGCAAAAAGATGCCCAAGTAATAATGCCTCGACTAGCAGGGAAATTGCCATGTTGTAATGCCCATTGTGCATGAAAATAACGCACATTGCCAAAATAAAGAAACACAATACTGGCCATCACAAAAATCAAACCCAGTGCTCTGCCTAATCGAGTATGGTTTGCATTCGATAGATGGTATACTTGTATGATGCCTATCCCTAAAGTGATCAACGAAAGGGATGTTCTGAACCATGCAAGATAAGTTCGTTCATTTGCTATACTCAAGATTAGATACTAATTAAGCGTTCATTTAATCTGTTGGTTTTACCTAAATGATCTCTGGCTGTATTTCCTTTATTTTCAAGTATCACTGCTAAAGAAAACCTTGAATAATAAGTTTCAATACATCCTAGCCAAGAAGAAAGGTAACATTTGTTCTCTTCTACTATGGTCTTTGCATCATTCTGTGGATTATCATGGCATTGTTCGCCTATATCATAAACAGCATTTGTCTCATAACAATAGTAAATACTATCTCCACTCTTATTATGGCGGTGTAATTCTCGGCGATCTTTAGGCATAGAAAAAGGTAATGAAAAGGGCCAATGTTCCCCCTCTCTTTCTTCTTGTCTTTTATAAAGACATCTCCTTTGTTGAACTCCTTGCTCATGGGTTTAATTCACTTATGATTGGTTAAACTATGATGAAAAAATGTGCATAATTTTATTTTTATTTTTATTTTCTTTCTTCTTTATTTTTAACTATGACAGACACTTCTACAAACCATTTTCATCCTGATGTTGAGCAGAATACAATGTATGAAGAAAGATTAAAATCAAAGTCTATTCGGTCTATGCCAGTAGGAAATGAACGATTGGCTGCACTTAGGGATTTAGGTGCTACTTTCACAGAAGGACATCACAAGACAGCCAAAATTGCCACGCCTTCTGGTATACCCAAATTACCTACCTTTGTTGATGTAGGTCAAATAGAGTATCTACTTCAACAAAAGACCAAGACTCGAGGCGAACTGGGTCACTTTAATGATTGGCATTAAATAAACTCTTTTCTTTTTACCGTGAGAGTAAACGGGATAATATTTAGCCTCTACCTATGCTTTTGTTTACCTTTTTCTTTCTTTCCACCCCCCCTTTTGTTAGGCACATCCATGCTTCGAGCAACGACAAGAATAGCATACAGAAACCTTAGAATAACTCCTTATAGACTTCCTATTAATACTACTAATATTATTAAACGGTTACCCCTTGTTTATGCTCGGCAATGGAATTCAACCATGACAAACACAGTTCCTATGGAACCTCATTCATCCTATCAAGGTAAGAAGACATGTCTATAACTCAACTCATGCTGTCTAGCATCACCTATTCAACGCTATGACGAGATCACAAAGACGGGAGGACCTGTAAAAGCAGATCCCGGTCAAAGACAAGTGATAGAGAAACTCGATCAAGTATGGCATCAACTTCAAGGCTATACACCTCCACCTTATCAATCACCCAGTCATTCAGTAAGTAAACCCATACAATCAGGATCATAAATAACTCGAAAATCAAGTGGACTCGATGGTTTGGTACCAAATATCAGGCACAGCATCATGGACCTAAATCCTTATACATCTATGGTAATGTGGGTACAGGGAAAACCATGGTCATGGATCTCTTTTTTGATAGTCTGCCCATCCGTCGTAAACGAAGAGTTCATTTCCATGCTTTTATGTTGGATGTGCATCAACGTCTGCATCAAATCAAGACAAGGCACCCTGGCCTAAGTGATCCACTCTCACCTATGGCAGATGATCTGGTCAAAGAAGCCTATGTCTTATGCTTTGATGAATTCCAAGTGACAGATATTGCAGATGCCATGATTCTTCGTCACTTGTTTGAAGAACTCTTTAAACGGGGTGTTGTCTTGATCACCACGTCCAATCGTCACCCTACTGAACTCTACAAGAATGGCATTCAGCGTGTGTCTTTCTTGCCCTGTATTGATTTACTCATGAACAAATGTGATGTCCTCTGCTTGGATTCTGGTACTGATTATCGTAAGATAGAGCGTATTCAATCTCAAGTCTATTTCTATCCACTCAATCAAGACACACAGGCTAAGATAGACAAGATCACACAACGCTTGACACACAATAAGCCTATGAAACCTATGGACCTTCATTTCTTGTCTCGTACCTTGACAATTCCACAACAACTAGACGGTGTGGCCAAAGTACGATTTGCAGATGTCTGTGCTCAACCCCTCAGTGCTGCTGATTATCTTGAGATCGTCAAGCATTTCCATACAGTGATCTTGACAGATATTCCCCGTATGACCATGAAGCACCGTGCAGAAGCCCGCCGATTCATTACGTTTATTGATGCCATGTATGAATCTCATGTGACTTTGATTGCTAGTGCTGAGAACAGCATGATGGACATCTTTCATGCAGAAGAAGGCAAAGAACAAATGCAAGAAGAAATGCTCGCTTCTTTAGACATTGATGTCTCAGACATATCTTCTCCTTTATTTACTGGACAAGAAGAAGCGTTTGCTTTTCAAAGAGCTTTATCAAGATTGATTCAAATGCAAAGTCAAGCATGGGTACGTGATGAACTTAAATAAAAAAAAAAAATAAGTTTATTATTGGTGGTGGTGATGATGATACAATTTAGGTGAGGCTTCTTCTACATAATGTGTTTGACGAGGTGACCAATGATTGGCCATCGAAGGTTGTGAATAACCTGAATGGTAAGAAACAGGCGTACTGGACTTTGTTTGTTTTTCAGAAGACAGATAAGCAGAAGAAGAAGCATCATCAAACGTAGTGCCTGAATCCGTTCTTTGACGAGCCACTTGTTGTTGCCAGTTTCTTAATGCACTTTGGATGCCTACATGATAATCATCAAACAAGCCGCCTTCGTCATGGCGTTGATATTTAAGACGGTTTCTGGCAAAGAAATCAGAGTCATTGGCACTCTGAGATCGACCATGAAATTGACTGAAAGCGGAATTCATCATGGTGGGAGGTACCATAGGCTGATAAGGTGGTTCTTGTTCATGGTTGTTTTGTCTAGCATCTAATATCATGGGGGAGGCGTATAGACATACTGAGGAGGAGGAGGAGGAGGAGGAGGTAACGTGGCCATAAACTGAGGTGAAGCATCCATAGGAGGAGGTGAGGGTTTAGTAAGTTGACTGACAGAAGTTGTAGGTGATGGCAACATTTCCTGTTGAGGAGAAACAAGCTTCTTTTTCTTTCTTACATCTTTTGTTTGAGGTTCTGTGCTATAATGACCTGGACTTCTTCCTCTGACAACCAATGGTGAAGAATAGCATTCAGACACAACATGTTGAGTGGCATCTTCTAATTGAGCTACCAGCTGAAAGATCAGACAAAAGTACTGTTGCGATGCTCTACGTTTCCCATTATTGGCAGTGGCCACACGAAACTGCAATCGTTCAAAGGTGACACAAACTTGTTCGCTGCTAAATGCACTATCGGAAGGGGTAATGGGTAAAACAGGGGGTTCTCTTTGTGGTCCTTTATCACGTTTAGGTGTCATTTGAGTCAGAGCAATGGGCTTCACAACACTAGAGTTTTCTAATGAACTGATTTCGTCTGTTGATGAAGGTGGTGTGGGGGTGATAGAAGTACAGGCTCTAAGACGAAGAAAGAATCGTTGAATAGGTTGCATTGGCTTATCGGGATACAGTTGCAATGCATAGCAACTTTGATCTGTATGACCAGGAACGATAAATGAAGCAGTGACCTGGAAATAGTTTCTTCGGTAACAAGTCCAATGGGATTGAGAAATAAAAAACCCTCTATCCATCTTGCAATTCAAGATGACTGGACAACTGATATAAATAGATATGAATAGATAGTATCTATAGCGTGTATAGGTTACCTTTTCTTTTGATAGTCAAATACGTTCAAAAGTGTCTTGGGATGATGAAAGAAACTCAATTCTTCTGTCTCTTGTTTGTTCTCTTCAGAAGTACGGAAATGTGAACTGACGGATTTAGGTATAGGAAGAGGAAATCCCTCATTTGTTGTTATTTGTGCATCTGCGGATCTAAAAAAAAAAAACGTATGTATATATAAGCTTGTTGAGTAGTGAGATAACAAACACACACACAAGTACCTTTTAAGGTCAAATGTACGATGGTTGTCTAGTCCATTTGCCATCATTGAATGATTACTTTATTTTTTTTTTAAAAAAAAAGGAGGGGATGAGTTTAATACTAACAAGGATAACTTACTTTATAAATGCATGTCCAACAGGCATAGAATGCGATCTTTGATGATATAAAGGTGTTGCCATTGTATGTTCAGACATAAAAAAGAAAGAAAGAAAATAAAAAAATAAAGAAAAAGTAGGAGGCTATTTGTACAAACAAAAACCTGTTAAGAGAACGATTCTTTATAAGGAGTAACGCCATTCAAGTAAATATTACATAATACAAAGAAGCTGCAGTTTGAAACATCTTTAAGCGTGTAACTCTATCTTGATTCAAGTTTCAACGACGCTACTTTGTGTCACTCAACTCTTTTTCTTTTTTTTCAATATGAATATTTTACACCATAAAAGGTAGGTTTTGAAAACAAGAGAAAATATTACCTAACTGTACTAGTTGGCATGTTTATAACAAAGCAAATATTGAGAAAGTTCGTCAAGATGAAGCTAAGGCAGAAGAAGAAGCTAAAAAGAAACATGATCGAGTTGTATTAGCAGTAAGGAATCGAATGACTCACCCTATGAGCTTAATTTGTCTATAGGAAAGTGAAGCAAGGCTCGAACTGTTAAGACAAAGAGCTAATGTCAACTTGCCAGTGGAAACAAAACCATCATCAGTAGTTCAACATGTCAATCTATTTCAAGATCTTGAAGATAAAGCAACGAATGAGGAATATGAAGCAGAAAAGAAAACCAAACAAGACAAACAAGAAAAGCAATTTACCATGTACCTTGATAAAGGAACAAGCCAACGTAAGTAGGATCCTTTGTGTGTTCCCTTTGCTGATCCGTTATAGAGGATCGTCCTTGGTATGCTCGATCAGATAAAAAAGAAGACAAATATAAGGATCAATATGTATTCAAAAGCAACAGAGACGATAGCAAGAAACGTAAAAGAGAAGCCATTAAAGTGATGGAAGACCCTTTAGAATACATTACAAAATCACTCAAGAAAAAGAAGCATAAAAAAGAGTCTAAACATCATCGTCATAAAGAAAAAGAGCACAAGAGTTCTATAGAAGAACTTCGAGCTAAAAGATTAGAAAGAGAAAAAGCTGAACAGGCTAGAGCAAAAAGCTTATTTTTAGGCCATAATCCCATAGAAGAAGAGATGGACGATAGAACAAGGGCTTATAATTCACAGTTCAACCGTATTGAAACACTTCAAGCAAAGCAAAAACATAAAAAATAAAGTGACTTTATTTCTTTCTCTTTTCTCTTTTTGTATAGATGCACGAGATTATCACTTTACAACTAGGTTCTTTAGCCAACCATGTTGGTACTCACTTTTGGAATGCTCAGGCAAGTAGAGACAGTATGAGGCAATGTTGTATTCACATTGTTATTTTTTTTTAAGGAAGAATATTTCTCGAGATCGACCTTGAAAGATGAGATTGATCATCAAGTTTTGTATAGACAAGGAGAAACAACCAGTGTAAGCAACGCGCTCTCTCTTTCTTGCACTCATGTCTTGTTTAGGGCCAAGTTACTTATACACCTCGTACTTTAATCTATGACTTAAAAGGTGGATTTGGTTCCATGCAAAAGTACAATCAATTGTTTGGAACAGATGAAGATACACCTATTCTCTGGGAACAAGGCATCAACCGTATTAACAGAACCATACCAAAGAACAAATATCAACAAGAATTAGATCGTATGGAAAACGAACATGATTCCATTATGGACCAAGCTGTCCTTGATGATTTGGACTTGGTTGTCCATAACTGGTCTGATTATAACCGTATTTACTATCATCCTCGGTCTGTTAATCCTATTGTTACTCATCAAATGGACAATGACATCACACCATTTGACAATTATACGATTGGAAGACAAGCCTATGTCGAGAATGAAAAGGAAGTCGATATCTTTGAAGATAATTTTCGGTTCTTTGTGGAAGAGTGTGATCGTCTTCAAGGATTTCATCTTTTGACTGATGTCGATGACGCTTTTGGTGGATTCACTGAAGGACTGTTGCATCATATACGGGATGAGTTTGCAAAGACACCTATTATCACATTTGGCATGTCTGATTCTTTTGCGCCTTATAGAACACAAGTAAGTCTCAGTGAATGAAACCCCCACCTCATACTGATGGACTATGGGGATAGCGTCATCAACAGAAAATCATGCTCAACAGATCTTTGGGATTGACTCGTCTTGCTGAATTATCAAGCATTTATGTACCTATTTATACACCCACAACCAAGGCAGTTCAGCAATGTGGATTGTCACCTTATGTTCAATTCAATGAAATGTCTAGATACCATACAAGTGCCATGATTGCAGCCGCTTTAGAGACCCATTCTTTGCCTTATCGATTAAAGCAAAATTCAATCACCATGGCAGATACAGTGAGTCAATTAAATTGGGTCAGAAATACTCGCTTGGCTGCATTGTCTGTCTGTTTGCCTTTGCCCATCTTGAAGACAGGATATACAGATACTTTAAACATGCTGAAACCAAATGAAATGAAGCCTATGCTATCATTGTTGGATAAAGTATCTAAAGAGGTAGAGAGACCTAAATGAAAGAAAAAGGAGGACTTATGATCAATAGATGAAAAAAGATGTTTATGGAGAAGTGACTGTGGCAAGAGGCTTATTAGACAATCCTCAAGATCAAGAGCGTTATTTAGAGAGTCTGTATGCAGACTTCAAAGATACCAATGATCCTCTTCAATCTCGTTTTAGTCTTGACTGTCCTCTGCCGCTTCCTGACTCTTATCCTCGTCTGTTCACTTCTCGAGTCAATTTGGATGGCTTTATTGATCCAAGGCTTTCAACAGAACGTCCTCAGCAAGCAAGTGTGCTTACTCATCTTGCTTCTGGTTCTGAGCTAAAAGCAAGCATAGACCAACATGTATTCAACATGAATTCGATCCACATCAATGACTTTTGGGAATACACACAAGGCGAATATGGTCTGAGCAGAGAAGACTTTTTAGAGACCAAAGAGAAATTGATGACTTTATCTGATGTTTATAATACAGAAGATGATGATATGATGTTATAATAGATAGGAAGCCCAAATAGGATTGGCAGGAGGAGATGGCTGAACAAACATAGGCGGTACTTTATGCTGAACGTCTTGATCGTTTCCGTCAAATAAAATATAATGATCCCATTGTCGACGTATGTCCAATAGACGATCAAGTGTTTGGTCTGCAGCACACCAATAGGCATAAGCTTCTTTATCAATGGCTGTATGTTGCCAGACATCATTTGGATGAATGGCAAGTTCTGTTTGAGGCTGTTCTTGTTTGGTTTCTATTTCTGTATTAGCTTCATGCCATTCTTTCACCTTGTTAAAGAACTGGTTGCCGCTCTCAGCAAAGAAATGACCTTTGGACTCGAGTTTTTTTCGTCTCAAGTCTCGTAGTTGAACAAGTGCATTGAGCATCCTGGATAATTCCCTCACCTTTGACTTGCGAGCATCTTCTTTTGTTGTCTTTGTTGCCTGTTTTTGCTCTTTTTGTTTTTGTGCAATGACAGATGGTGACATGATCACTTTCATTTCAGTTTCTTTGATCCATTTCGCACTTCTTCTGGCTTCTTGAAGTTTCTGTAGACGCGTACGCTTCTTGTGTTGTTTCTTCCATGCTTTGTGTCGTTTGAGTTTGGCTTGCTTTTTGTTTAACAACTGTATGCGATCTGGATTGTCGATATGACGGCTTATTTGGATCAAACGAGCCTAAAGAAGATCAGTCTATGATAACACTTGTACTTATTTACTGTTTGGTAGCCAATATCATTTAAGAATTGACGCCACTCGTCTTCTGTATAAGCTTCCAGGTTATTTTGTTTCACTTTAGACTCGATATGTTCATATAATTTAATGGCTTCAGCAAGTTGCTGCTTTGTATTGGTAAGTGACATTTTAAGAAAAAACAAAATTACTCAAATGTTGTGGCTATGCATAAATGAACTCCTGCTTTTTTTTTTTTTTTTTTTATTCCGAGTTACTGTTTTATAGCAACTGATCTACACAACTTTTTTCTTACCAGTCTCAAAGAAAGGGGAGATGATTTTTTATCTAAAAATATTGATTGTTCAATTAGACAGGAATCACAAAAGTTGGTTTATAACTTGTATTTATATAGTCTCCTTTTTTTTTTTTTTGTATAATGACGCTATCTTGGTTTTTTGTTTGCCACAAAATAATAAATCGAGTAAACAAGTATTCTTAAATAAGTTGGGCTTAGAGTAACAAAACCACGACATTGTGTCATGTCAAACTGCCTGCGCAATAAAATTAAATGCATACCAAAAAGATAACCAAACGTCCTTTTTTCTCTTTCTCTCTCCTCTTCTTTTTCTTCTTCTTTTCCATCTTTTGCATATCAAGTCACTTTCAAAAAAAAAGAGAAGATTTTCATAGAGACCATTTGGAATATCATTTTCATCTCTATACTCTACTCGGATTTAATCAAGTTTTACAGTAAATAACATAATCAAAGGTAATGAAAGGATTCCTTCTTTTTCTTTCTTTTTTTTTTTTTTGAACTCTCTATTTTACCTGTCACAAGACAACGCTTAATAATACGCTTCTAATCAAACTACAATTTCTTTAAACAGAGAACAAACAAAAGAGAGACACGTCTATATAAAACACTAAAATCATTGTCTTTCTTTTCTTTTCTTTCTAAGCATGACTTCCAGCCTTTGTTTTTGGTCCATTTTATCATTAGACGATAACCTAAGATTCCTAAGTATCTCTCAAAAGATGGGTACTGCAAAAATCTCGGACTCTGGTCTCACAACAAAGGATGTATTACTTTATCGCTCACTGTTTGATTTTATGCATCCGAGTGAGATTGAGCTTGCTAAAGCAGACATTGCTCGTTTCTTAAAACTAAAAACACTTGCTGGATCTGTAACAAGGTAAGAACATAGAGTTGATTCAATCTATGCTAACTCTAAAAAAAAAGATGTCAATTGAAAAGTCTAAGCTTATTAAGACCAAGTTTTGCCAATAATGTAAATTTCATCATCCTGTATTTGCTTATACCTAATCCTTGACAGCCTTTTAGTACATCACCAACCACTCATGAAAAAATAGACATCCAAAACTATCGAACTTGGGATATTGTTGATATTGTGATGTATACAGCAACTGAAAATACATTATTGGCGTTCTTTCATAGTGCAGGTAAATCATTAGCTTTGTGTGAGAAAAAGAGATTGATTTCCTTTTTGTATAGAAACTAATAGTCAATGCTCTTTAAAAAACAACTTGCTAGCATCTGATATCACTTGTGTTGAATCTACGCAAGGCATCTTTGATATTCAAGTAAAGAGAAATTTTCAAAACACACATATGTTTGAACTTACGTTCCTTTTTTTTTCCCAAGGATGCAGAAAATCTTAAACATACATTAAGAGCTGTTCATGAACCACTCATGACAAGAGCTCCTCCTTTACGTATCTTTCAAGTCATAGATCAAGCAAGTTTAAAACCCTTATTTGTCTGGCCATTTTATGACCCCAAAACGTCATATGCAGTCGAACTAGCACAATCAATTGGTAAAGCTTTGATTATGAAAGAATACAAAAGCAGCCTATTTGAGAACAGTCATCAACCACCACCCAAAATAGAACTCAAGAAAGAAATTCCTTGTACTCGTCATTTTTATGCTAGCACCATGGTGAATTTCATTGACACAACATGTCATTTCCAGCGGCTTTCTATACCTTATGGAAACATTGTATTTGAATCATGTCAGGTAACACCTGTCTATTCTCGAGAAACATCGCCTATGCATCACAGTCCTTTAAGCGCACTCATGGACGCCAACAATTTACAACAAGAAAAAAAATCAGGCAATATTGTAGCTGGTACTACATTAACAGACACAAAAGGGTTCAATGCGAATGGTAAGTATAAAAAAGAAAAAAATTGTAATGCTTAAATGATGCTTACAAATTATAACTAAAAAAGAAAGATAGAGGTCGAGCCATTGGATGCGTGTTCCAAGTCCTCTTCGCCTCCTCTTTCTCAAAAAAGAATGGCAGCCCTCTTTCAAAAGTTTCGTATCTATTCTGGTAAACCCAAGCAAATGTGCCAGCCACAACAGGGAAAGAATCTCGAAATCAGACAGCATGATGTAGAAAAGAAGAAAAGAGTCAGTTTTAGAAAGCATCAGAGCACAAACACAATTATGCAAGATACAGTCAAAATATGCGTCAGATGTCGTACAAGCAATAGTCCTGAATGGAGACGCGGCCCAGATGGAAACAAAACGTAAGTATATTCCATTTGATATATCTCATACGTCTATAGATTATGTAATGCTTGTGGCTTAAGGTATTCTCGGTTCAAGTCAAAACAATGGCGTACATCAAATGAACTCACTAGACCATAAATAATAAATAACGAGCATCATTCATTGTGATTCAAAGTGATCATTAGTTCATTTAAACCCTTTATCTTAAGATGCATAAATCACTTTCTATCCTTCTTGTCAAATAAAATCAATCTTGGATTTGACAGGTTCTCCTGGTTTTGAGCCCCGACATAAACAAATTTTTTTTTTCCTTTTTCTTTCACCTGGCCCCCTTTTTTTTTTGTTTTCTTTGTTCCTTTTCTCTTCTTTACATTATGCCACCCTTCGACGCAGTTTTGGAGACCCTTTCCAAGCTTTCCATTACACCAAAGACAGTTTCTCACGACGCCGTCAGTGACAACAAAGCATGGGCCGAAGCCTTGACCAACACCAAGGACGTTACTTTTGAGATCACCAAAACCTTGATCCTGAAGCCCAAGACTGCCAAAACTGCTGCTCCTACACCAGTAGTTGTGATTGCCTTGGATTCTACCGAGACAAACGCTACTGCTCTTGGCAAGAAGCTTTCTCTTAAGGATTGTCGTTTCGCCAATGAAGATTTATTAAAAGAAACCTTCCAAGCCGATAAAGCCAGTGTCTCTCCTTTTGCTTTATCCAATGTTCAAGATCTTTCTTTGATCCATCTTGTGGTAGATCATGCTATTTTGTCACTTGCTGGCTCTACCTTGTTGGCTTTCCATCCTTCTGCTGCTGACAAGACTGTCTTTATTAGTGTTGATGAATTGAAATCTTATTTGAGTTCCATCCAAAAGGAATTCATCGATGTTGATTTCAAGGCTTTGGCTGCCGCTAAACCTGCTGCTGCTGAAGCCAAGCCTGCTAATGTTCCCAAGGCTGCAAAGAAAGAAGGTAAGACAAAAGGCACACATTGTTGGTTCGTTTTGACGCGTTATTTCTAGCTGCTGCTGTTCCTGCTGAAGACTTTAACCAAATGGGTCTTGGCTGCAAAAAGGAAGAAGATTTCCCCAAGTGGTATCAACAAGTATTGACCAAGAGTGAAATGTTGGAATACTACGATGTCTCTGGTTGTTACATCCTTCGTCCTTCGGCTTACAATGTGTGGAAGGAGATCACCAACTTCTTCGATGCTGCTATTACTGAAATGGGTGTGGAGGACACTTATTTCCCCATGTTTGTCTCTAACCGTGTCTTGCAGCGTGAAAAGGACCACATTGAAGGCTTTGCTCCTGAAGTTGCTTGGGTCACCAAGGCTGGTAACAGCGATCTTGAAGAACCCATTGCCATTCGTCCCACCTCTGAGACTGTGATGTATCCTTACTTCTCCAAGTGGATTCGTTCTCACCGTGATTTGCCCTTCCGTATCAACCAATGGTGTTCTGTTGTTCGTTGGGAGTTCAAGAACCCTCAACCTTTCCTTCGTACCCGTGAATTCCTTTGGCAAGAAGGCCACACTGCTCACTTGACTTTGGAGAGTGCTGATAAGGAAGTCAAGGAAATCTTGGATCTTTATGAACAAATCTACAATGATTACTTGGCCTTGCCCGTGGTCAAGGGTGTCAAGTCTGAAAAGGAAAGATTTGCTGGTGGTTATTACACGACCACAGTGGAAGGTTTTATTCCTACCACAGGTCGTGCTATTCAAGGTGGTACTTCTCACTGTCTTGGTCAAAACTTTAGTAAGATGTTCAATATTACGGTGGAAGACCCCAGTGCCCCTGCAAATGCCAACGAAGAAGCCAAAAAGCTCCATGTATGGCAAAACTCTTGGGGTATCTCTACCCGTACCATTGGTGTCATGGTCATGACACACGGTGATGATAAGGGTTTGGTCTTGCCTCCTCGTGTTGCTCTTATTCAGACTGTGATTGTTCCTTGTGGTTTGACTGTCAAGACAACCAAGGAAGAATCAGATAAGATCTTTGATGCCTGTCAAGCTGTGGCTACTCGTCTCAAGAAGGCTGGTCTTAAGAGCAAGGCTGATCTTCGTGAAAACTATACCCCTGGTTTCAAGTTTAACCATTGGGAGATCCGTGGTGTTCCTCTTCGTCTTGAAGTGGGTCCTAAAGATTTGGAGAAGAACCAAGTCACTTGTGTTCGTCGTGACACAGGTGCCAAGTTCTCTGTCTCTCTTGATAACCTTGAAGCTGGCATCAAGGAAGCTCTTGATACCATTCAAAATGACATGTATCAAAAGGCCAAGAACAAGATGGAAGAATCTATTATTCGTGTTAACAAGTGGGAAGACTTTGTTCCCACACTTAACAACAAGAAACTGCTTTTGGTTCCCTGGTGTGACCGTACTGAATGTGAAGATGATATCAAGGAACGTTCTGCCAAGGTTGCTACTGAAGGTGAAGAAGAAGATGAGCGTGCTCCTTCCATGGGTGCCAAATCTCTCTGTAAGCCTTTCAAACAACCTACTGAAGATCCTATTGTTCCTGGTGTCACCAAGTGTGTTGCTTGTGACCATCATGCAAAGCACTTTATGCTCTTTGGTAGAAGCTATTAAGTTATATAATAAAAAAAATTCTTTCCCTTTTTGTAGTAGTAAAAAAAAAAAATGCGTAGTGTTCTTATTCTCTTTTTTTTTTTTATCTTATGGACTATTCAGCTTCTCCATTCATAGAAATATCACTTCCTCCAGCGTATATACTACCTCTGCCTACACTTTTATCTATCTATGCTTGTTTAGCCTATGTTGATCTTTTTTTGCTACGTCATGACCATACATCTATACGTCTATTGATGGCATGTATTCATGTGTTAGTACCTATGGTGTTTATCTCAAATAATCCTCCTCTTAACGTACTGATTGCAGCAACACCTTGGTTCTTAGCAACCTATTCAGCACACATGCCAGTCCATGACTTGACACCATGGAAGTGGATCAAAGCATTCCTTCAGATCATTGTCGACAAGGACAATGCACCCACCCATGACACCATCATACGACTCAAGGGTCTTCAGAAAATGGCTTTGGGAGTACTCAAGATTAGTTTTTTACATGTATTTGTAAACCCCTTATTACCTAGTCATGCCAAAGACGCTTTGGCCTATCCATGGTATCATTCTATGAGCTGTATTTATACCGTGCTGTTTGGCATCAAAGGCTATTGTATGTTGGGTGTGGTTGATTTTTTTATTGGTGTTGAACAGACGATCTTTGCTTGGCACTTGGTGTCGTTGTTCAATTCGCCTATGCTTGCTAGTAGTCCAAGAGATTTCTGGAGCAGGAGATGGAATCGAGTCGTGCGTAATTTGTTGCATACACAAGTATTTACAAAAAAAGCAAAGACATCATTGCATAAAAGAAAAAAATCAATCACTGTCATAGATCAACCACCAAATAGAAGAATTACTCGAAGTATTACTGCTGCTGCTGTTGCTAATGCTCATGTTCATGCTCATGTTCATACTGCTGTTGCTGTTCAAGATATAGAAAACCGTACTTTCTGGTCTACAAAAAAAGGCCGAGGATTACTGACATTTATTATTAGCGGTATTTTTCATGAACTGATTATTATGAGTGCCTGTAGAAAGATAACATTAGAGAATTTCATGTTTTTTACACTACAAGGTGTGGCTGTCATGATTGAAGTTGGAGTGCGGCAAGGTCCATTAAAGCGAGAACCTAAAGGGAAAACTCGTCTCTTATGTATTGGACTTCAATTACTGTTTATGTCCATCACGGGTAGACTCTTTAATGGTCCTTTTCTTAGATATGATTTTTTTTAAATAAAATTTGCCCTGAATCATCACTTGATATTGACCACTCTTTTTTCTTGCGGATAACAAAATTTAGTGCGACCATTAAGTGTATGACGTTTCTTGATAAAATAAAATAAAAAAAAAGAACATTTATAGCTTGGCAGACACAAGGAAGTACAACTAAAAAAGAGAAAAGAAAAAGAAAGCCAAGTATTTTATATATATTATAAACTAGACTCTTTCCTTTTGGTATTGGATTCAAACAGATGATTTGTATGTATGGGAATTCAAATTCCATAAGAAACTCAGCGAGTTTTAGAGTGGTGTAATGAAAAAAAAAAAAGAGAGAGAGATGATACGATAGGGGCTACACTATAAAATAGATAATTTTATTTTCCTTTTATTTTTTTCTCTTCTTTTCTTTCAACTCGTATATATACAAAAAAAATGGTAAGTGTTGATATAAACGCGAAGAAAACAGTTGAGATGAAACTAACTTTTTCTAAATAGTCATCCGGTGTCGCAGTTAATGACGAATGTCTTAAGCTCTATGAAGAACTCAAGATTCGTAAGAGATACAAGTACCTCATCTTCAAGTTAAACGGTAAGCCTTTTGTTGTTTCTGTCATTTGTAACTCATTTCATTCAAGATACCAACTCTGAAATTGTTGTTGAAAAGTCTGCTGAAAGTGGTGACTATGATGAATTCTTGGCTCAACTTCCTGCTGATGAACCTCGTTATGCTGTCTATGATTTCGAATACGAAAAGCCCGGAGAAGGTAAAAGAAGCAAGATTACATTTTATGCTTGGTAAGTTTGTGTGTTGTGTGTTGGTTAGTGTGAGGCTGAATTAACGCGTTTTTATTATTTTTAGGGTCCCCGATACGTCCAAGATTCGTCACAAGATGGTGTACGCCTCTAGTAAGGATGCTCTCCGTAGAAACTTGGTTGGCATTGCTATTGAAGTTCAAGGTACTGATGCCTCAGAAGTTGACTATGAAGCCGTTTTGGACAAGGCCAATCGCTCTGCTTAATTCATTTTATTTTAATAAACAAAACATACACACATACTTTAAACATATATATATCAAGTAGGCAATGAAGGTCTTTCATTGTCATTGTTATATCGCCATGAATTTAAGGGTGGTAGAGTATACATCTTTTCAGAAGGCTCTTTCATTTCCTTTTTTTGTTGTCCGTCGGCCAGCGACGCCAGCATATCAAGTGGAGGAGATGCTTCTTTTTGTGATTGAGAGGATGGTATCTGTGGTGAGGAGGCCTTCACCGTATCTGGATTATTCTTTTCTTCTATAACTGGGTCTTGTTTTGCCCATTCAAGGTCTTGGTCAGCATCTTCTTCAGATAGACCTAAAGTTAAAGAACGTATACATCGAGTTAAGGAAAATGATAAACTGAATAAAATTGTTCTTTTTTTCTTAAGAAAAAAAAAGGATATTAATCATAGAAGGTCTATCTGGAGGAACCCATTCAGTAAGATGTTCTTCATCTAAAGAGCCTAAAAAATGAAATAGGTGAATACGATACCATTGAATTTGTATGTTACTTTGGACATGATTTGAATAATATTCTTGTTCTAATATATTCATTTTATGTTGTACATGCTGAATCATGGATCGTCGGAGGGCTAATTTGTCCCACTTTTGTAATTTTCTTTAGCCCCTAATGCGTGTATGTTATTTGACTTACATGGTATTGTGAATAAGCTGCATTTTTCTGCCAATTAAAAAAGTTAGTGACGATCCCTTCTGCAAGAGATCTACGCTTTTCAACGACATGTAGCATATTGGCTCTCTTTTGTTCAATATTGCTTAATAACTTGTGATATTCTGAATGTGATCCATCCTTGACAGCCTGTTCAAGTTTATCCAATTCTTCAAGTCTAATATAAAAAAAACAAATGAATAAAATCATTAAGACTGTGTTACTTGCCTTTCTTTAATCACAAGATCTCTTTGAGCTTTTTTAGCTTCTCTTGCTTCTTTAGATAGTCTTTGAGAAGAGTTTCTTGTTTCGCGTTCTGTATCTTCCTTGACGCTTGAAGAAGAAGAATAGATAGGGGGCGGACTTGAGGTTAACATTTTTGAAGGGTCTGTTTTTTTTTTGTTGCTGTTAGGTACTGAAGTAGGTTTGGCGTGTCGTTTCCGCTTTCTAGAGTCTGTTGTTTCATAACCGCTTGACTCTACCGATTGCGACCGTGTCACGCGACCACCTGCTCCAGTATGAGTCACTGTAGTGGTTATCATGTTAGGGGTATTGAGTGAAGAAACAACAGAAGTTTCTTCTGCTGAAGAAGAAGCAGGAGAACCTATATCCTCCATTACAGGTGAGGCAGAACGAGTTGACCTGCTTCTATCCATAGTGCTTTCAACGAATTTTTTTGGTTGTTGCTGTGACATTTTAAAACTGAGAGAGAAAAAAAAAGAGGGAGAGAGGAATGAAAGGAAAAAAAGAGAGAAAGAGGTAAGGGAATGGTGGAACGGGGTTTGAAGTCTATAAAGACAAGTCAAGATCAGAACCATTCGATATCAATGCGGCGATCATTCCTCCTTCTCCTTTTCTTTCCTTTTCAAATAAAAGAAAAAAGAAGAAACATATTGCTGATAGATAAAATATACATATTATCAAAGTCTTGTTTGAATAGGAGACCGCACATATATATATATATATATATATATATATATATATGTATACATTGTGTTTGGTAGAGAATATCGGTCAATGAAAAAAAAAAAGCCTAAATGACGTCGGCTGGCTTCTTTAATCAAGATCACTGTTAAATCCTCATAATTAGGATGCACAATGTCAAATGAATGTCTATTATGCACCTTTTTAGTAAGTTATATTTTTTACAGAAAAAAGAAATTTCAGTCACAGAAATACATGTTGTCTTGTGATTTCGCGTCGTAATATAAAAAGATAAAAAAAATGTGTATGCTATTTTTTCTTTCTTTCTTTTTTCATTCAATATGCCTACCTTTACATCAGAGCGCCTTGCTCGTCTTCGCTCCTTAATGAAGGAACAAGACATCCATGTCTAGTAAAGAAGAAAAAATATTATTTCTACTGCATAAAGTTAACATCGTATTTTTTTTACTAGTCTTGTTCCTTCTGAAGATGCTCACCAAGTAAAACAAAATAAATAGATATTTGCATGTTACTTATACTGTCTTGATAGAGTGAATATATTGCTGACTGTGATAAGCGTCGTCATTGGATTTCTGGCTTTACTGGTTCTGCTGGTAAGGATAAATAGAAAATAAGCTTTTCTCACGCCTCTATTGTTCAGGGTTTGCCATTGTCACTCTTACCGAAGCTGCTCTTTTTACTGATGGTCGTTACTTTTTACAAGCATCTCAAGAATTAGATGAAAATTGGAGTTTGATGAAACAAGGTCTTCCCCAAGTACCTACTTGGCAAGAATATTTAGTCAAGGTAAAAAAAAAAGTGGTTTGAAGAAAGCATGAACCTAATAGTCTCATTAGAATGTCAGTGCTGGTTCACGAATTGGTCTTGACCCTACTCTTATTAATGCTGGTAATAGACATTGTATTGTGTTGTAGGGTATTGACTTTTTTTTTGTTAGTCGATGCTCATCAATTAACATCTCAACTTGAACCTATGGGTTCTCGCTTAATTCCTATCAGCCAAAACCTAATCGACCTTGCTTGGGGTAAAGATAGACCCGAGTCACCTAAAGACAAGGTTTTTGTACAACCTATTGAATATACTGGTAAGAAAAGAAAAAGTCAAGAAATGCCAAATATAGTAACCTTGATGAAATTAGGTAAATCAGTCCAAGAAAAGTTGAAGGAATTACGCCAACATATCCAAAAGCGTGATGCTTACGGTACTGTAGTCTCTGCTTTGGATGAAATTGCTTGGTTATTTAACTTGAGAGGCTCTGATATTGAATGTAACCCTGTCTTTTTCTCTTATGCTGTGGTGAATGTATCCGAAGCTATGTTGTATGTAGATTTAGATAAAGTGACAGAGGAAGTCAAGTCTCATTTGGATCAAGCAAGTATTACTGTCAAGCCTTATACTCAGTTCTTTGATGATTTAAAGACATTACAGTTTGAAGGAAAGAAACTGTTGGTGAACAACAAGACAAGCTTGGCTGTGGAAGTCGCTGTAGGCGAGGTAAGATAGGATGATATACAAAAAAAAAAAAAAAAAAAAAAAAAAAAAAAAAAAAAAAAGACTAAGGCCATCTTTATCCTTAGTCCAATGTCTTGGAAGAAAGATCATTTATTACCGATGCCAAGGCTATCAAGACCAAAGAAGAACTGGAAGGTATGCGTGCCTGTCATCTTCGCGACGGTGCAGCTCTTGTCCAATACCTTGCCTGGCTTGAACAAAAGCTTTTGGCTGGTGAAAAACTTTCTGAAGTAGATGGCGCTGACCGTCTTGAACAATTCCGTGCTGCTCAAGAACACTATGTAGGCTTGTCTTTTGCCACCATCTCATCCACAGGCCCTAACGGCGCTATTATCCACTACAAGCCCGAAAAAGAGACCTGCAAGATCATTGATCCCGCCCATATTTACTTGTGTGATTCTGGTGGACAATACCGTGACGGCACCACAGATGTGACCCGTACGTTCCATTTTGGCACACCATCTGCTTATGAAAAGCGTTGCTTCACACGTGTACTTCAGGGCCACATTGCTATTGACCAAGTGGTGTTTCCAAAGGGCACCACCGGTTACTTATTGGATCCTTTTGCTCGTCAACCTCTTTGGCAAGACGGTTTGAATTTCTTACATGGTACAGGTCATGGTGTAGGATCTTTCTTGAATGTACATGAAGGTCCTCATGGTATTGGTATTCGTGTCAGTTACAACGATACACCTTTGGCTGCTGGTATGACAGTTACCAATGAACCTGGGTACTATGAAGACGGCAAGTTTGGTATTCGTATTGAGAATGTCATCTTGGTCAAAGACGTAGAGACACCCAACAATTTCGGTGGACGTGGCTATTTGGGCTTTGAACATGTAACCATAGCCCCTATGGGTCGTAATTTAATTGACGTGGAGCTGTTGTCTCCTTCTGAAAGACAATGGGTGAATGATTACCATCAAGAATGTTTGACCAAGTTAGGTCCCCTTGTGGCTCATAACGCAGTTGCTACAGCATGGCTTAAGAAAGAAACAAGTCCTATTTAAAATAAATGTTTATTGATTGTCAAGACTTGAGTAAACCGTGTGCGAAGGAAAGGAGCAAGAAATAAGCGGCCTGTCAGTGTCATGAAGCTTAATTGAGCCAACACACAGGCGAATCGCTTCCATCCTTTTGGTTGAGCTTTTGAACCGTATTTGGCTTGGATCATACAAGCTATACCATGAAGCGTAAAAAACGAGAAATTCTCAAGTGTGATCTTTCGAGAAATACTCCAGACAATCAATTCGTGAAAAATACCGCTCGTCACAAACGTAAGTAATCCTCGGCTTAATTTCGAGGAGGATGTGTGTTGAGAACGAAACACTTGAACATGTAACAAGTTGCGCACTGTCTTGTTCCAACGACGACTAAAGTAACACGTCAACACAACAATCTCTGTTTGTGATGTGCTTACCTCCAGAAATCAATAGGGCTTTTTTTTTTAAGAAAAACAAATAAGTGAATTTGATTTCGTATGTATGATCGCTTACCTTGTTGCTAAAATGGGTGAATCAAACATGTCTACCATACGCCAACCAGTGAGAGCTTGAGCCAGACCTGCAGTCACATCCGCGCATCCCAAGACAAGGTACGCCTTCACGCCAAACAAGAAAGTATAGGACAAACTCTCACTACTGAACCAAGGATAGTTCAGCATGGCATCAGGCATCGTAGGTAAAAGTGGCTGTACGCCCACATACAGCAAAACTAATTTAGCAAGTCCACGTGCCATCTTGATGAGACCAAAAGCATGGCTGGTCTGGCCTGTGCGGTCCACCACAGTATCATACAATGCCTGGATCCATTGTTTGAGTGTAAATTGCTCTGTAGGCAAATAAGCACTGTAAGATGCTAAGAACCATGGAATAGCTGCAAAGGCTACATTGTTGGGTACATGGGGTGAGACAATACAGATGGGTACAGCAGCATGGATGGCTGTGATGCCTATCCTTACCATCTTTTTACTCATCATCAGTTGTTTGTGATGGCGTAAAAGGACATAATCTAACCCCAACATACAGGCATAAAGGCCACTCAGCTGGAAAGTGGGCACAACAAGAGGTTTAGGTAAAGCAATATCTAATAAAGGTGAAGAATAAACAGGCATCAAAAGCTTGCAACACACACACAAAAAGTAGTCTAATTTAAGCACTTGTCCCTGAGATGGATTACCTAAGCAAATACATGAAATATAGAGTCACACGGAAAAATGATTGGCTGTTTTTCACGTTAGAATTTTATTTTATTTTACAATTAAGTGTATCTAGAATGTACAGGTCTATCCCTTCCTTCTGACTGTTGATCATGATAAGAAGAGCGTATATATCGACCACCCAGACTACTGCCATGATATTCTACATGTGATTGTTCAAGACTAATGACCGAGTTTGAAAGAGAAATAATGGATTCTGTGTCATCTTCTTGAGTAGGCAGTGGTACAACAGGTGGTGGCATAAACATCTCTTGATGATCAGGCTGGGAAGTGTGACTAAAGTAAGATGACTGAGACCGCGTCTTGCGATGTCGCCGTGTGTCTATCATATCATCTAAAACATGAACAAATGGGTTTCGAGGACTACTGGTCTGTGACGATGCTTGAGATATCATGTAGCGACGTGCATCTTCATCTGAGGCAAACCGAGAATGACTACCATTCAATTTCAGTTTATCTCTTATTTGAGCTAAAGGAGGTGAAGAAATCAAAGGTGAGTCGAGATGAGAGGATGACCAAGAAGGTTTGCTGGCATGACCTTGCTGAACATGGACGTAGCCTTGAAATCCATTGAATTTGGCATCCAACATTTCAGCTTGTTCTTTTTCACGCTGGGCTATTTTCTCTGCTTCCAGCACTTCAAAGTCTGTCAGACGCATACGAGGGATTGTATCTTCATTGTCTTGGTGTTCACTCTGCTCGTGAGCGTCCATGAGAATACCATGCAGTCGATGGCGACGATTGAATTGGGTAGGCCAGACATCGTACCACAAATAAGCAGTATTCGAATGCCAAACAGAGAGCAGCACAAACCAGATATTGAAAAAAGGGACAGCAAACAAGCAATACAGAATAAGCCAAATAGTGTACTTAAATTGACGTCGCAGAATAAAATAGATGACATGCAGTAGTATAAGCGAGGTAAATGCACCGACAATGATAGCAAATGCAAGATTATGGTAAGTGAAATAGCGAATATAGACCGAGTATAAGTAAGCTGTCAAAGGCATTGTAAAGATGGTATCCAGTAGTTTAGTCGATGATACAATCCAGTACATCCAACCCAAGTGTTTAGCCACATGTTGAAATTCGAGTTGGAAATGAAAGGTGGTGCGTAAATGTCGAATGGCAAGGGCCTGAAGTACAAGGAAATGCGTTGGCAAGACAGCATAGCCTACTGCTTCAGGCTCAAAGGCAAGTCGGCGGTTAGGATTCGATCGTAATAAAACAATGCTAAAGTATTGCTCTTCACCTAACAACAGCAAATTCTCCATATGCATTGTGCTGGGTTTAGGTGCTGCTAAACCACGCAAAACAGTAGGTTGAATACAACAAGGCTCTATGTTTGAGTTCGGCGCTAAAGAAAAGACAGGTGGTTGAGGTGAAGTTGCCTTCTTTTTCTTTTTGTGCACACGACGACGAAAGCTCATTTTGGTTCGAAATGTACTGGTAACAGTGGTATTGGTGGTTGTGGTAGAAGTCACATTATCATCACTACTGCTATTATCCTCATCATCATCCTCATCATCATCATTTAAATCCAAGTTTTGAAATGCATTGGTGGATCGCATATCGCCTGGTACAATTTCATCACTGACTTTGGCGTGTTTTTCAGTCGAGTGAAAAGGATGTGCGCTTTCGTGACTGGATTGACTGAATGCATCAAACGGATAATACATAGTTCGTTTCTTGTTTGTCTCTGACCATAGTCGATACATCACAAATCCACCATGAATCGTAGTGACTGTCCCTAAACAAGCTTCAAAGGCTGGACCTGCGTACTGAGTTAAATAGAGCGGAATGATCTGTAACATGGTTACGATGTTTTCTTCAGGATTCGCAGGCCGAATATGACCACTGACAGCCATTAATCTTGGATCTGCTTCAAGCCGAGAAGCCAGTCGACAGATGGCATTGTCTTGCACTTGAATATCGGCGTCAGTCACCAACATGTATTTCAATTGTCGAGGATCAATGCCCAGTAGGTTATAACAGAGATTAAACAGTTCAAATTCAAGTGGTGTGATGCGATAATACATTAAATTCATGCATCGTTCTAAAAACCCAAGCATCATCAGCATTGAATCTCGCTTTCCACGATTGCCTGGTACCCGTGTGGTCGAGAGAGATTCATGGGGTGCGCCTACCTTGACAATCAACAAGAACGGCACGCGATTACGTCCTGATTCATAGAACCCTGCATACACTTTGGCATAATTGATCCGACGAGACCCTTGACCCAATGAGATGTACGAGCGTAATTCAGGATCCTTGGTAGAACTATAGCCCAAGGCATCCAAGATACAGAGATAGGACTCTTTGGTGTCTGTTTTACTCTTGACAAGTCCATCACATACAAAGCAGAGCAGTTTGCGCGTGTCTGGGTAATTGGTTCTGGCAAGTGAATCAAATGTCTGTCTTAATGTCTCTGAAGATTCAGCAAAACAAGGAATGAACAAGAGTGTGTAAGGTGGCAAGTGGCGATGATTGCTCATGATCGAGAGGGTGCGCCGAAAAGCATGTTCTGCTGAATGAGACGAAGGGGCTGCTTTATAGACCAGTTTCTGTATACATCGTAGTCGAGACAAGTAAGCGAGGTTCATGCGGACCAAGAAATAGAGCAAAAAACAGCCGAGTGTGATCCATAAAGCCAAGTTGATATGAGCACAGCCTATGTCTTGTTCTAGTTCGGCTACTCCATGATAAAATAAGGTATGAAGGCATTGTCGATAGGCATGAGGATTCTTTATGTCTTTATAATAGCGTTGAGTGATATCTTCACCCATATGGACATAGAGCAACAAGGTTAAATCTAAGGGCAAGAACATTCGATCCATAGCAAACGATCGAGAGTAAGAGCCTTGTGCGACCCGAACGACATTCGTGACACCCTCTAAATAATCTGTGATATCCAAGACTGTACCGTCAAGAATGACAAATGCTTGTCCTTGTGAACTATGATAAGGTAATGTTGAATAATTATTATACACACTGGCAGCATCAAACTTGAGCACTAATACAAAGTCAATACAATGCAATGGCCATGAATGAAAGTCTTACCTCCTTTTCTTGGGTATCGTAAGAATTGTTGTTCACTCATGATTGAATAAAAGCAAGACGCACCCGTCTTGTTTCGTTGAGTAGGATAAGGACAAGAGACGAGTTTGTTGTTCTCTACTTTATAGCCGGGATCAGTGGCTAATTTGTATTTTAGCCAATTGTCTGCTTGTGTAGAGCGATTAAAGCCGTTAATACAGCTGTCTATGTATTGGTTGTTATACGTGGTTCGATCAGCCGGTCGTTGTAACTGCATAAAATTAGGAAACATGGGCGATAAGTCGTAATGAGGATATCTGTTGACTTGTTCTGTCATTTGAGATGTGTTGCCTAGATCTTGCCAATCAACCACAACACCATTGATAGAAGACAATCTCGAGCTATTGGCATAGACAACATTGTCTTCATAAGTAGGTGGTGGGTCACAAAACAAGGCTGTAATGAATTCCAACCAAACACAAAACAAGACCACAATAAATAAAGAAGTCAATACTAATGCTATCTTTTCTCGTAAAGCAATTCTTCTTTCTATTGTTCTTGTATGAGTTTATGTATAAAAATTCTTTTATTTACCTTTTGTCTTGAATTGTCCATATGGAATATATTGAAAGAGTATATCAGGTATAAATAATGTACATAGTTTAGTATATGCGACCCAAAAGATACGCCGACAAGAAGGTCGTATATATTTTGAGTCATTTTTTATCATTATTCTCTTTCATGAATATACTGAAAAAAACAAAAAAAAAAGAAAAAAAAAAAGAATCTGGGTTAAACACATCAAATAATAATAATAATAATAATAATAATAATAATAATAATAATAATAATAGAAAGGGGGGTTTTTTTGTAGTGTTTTATTCAAAAAAAAAAAAGAAAAAAAAAGCATTCATATGTGTGTATATATAGAAAAAAAAACAAATGATATGTATAATGTATAAAGAAAGAAAGAAACTGGGGTTATATGTAATAAAGAAGGGATAATTATATATATATAAAGAATAGAGTCATACAAGATAATATAAAGTGAATGTATGGATGAAAAAGGAGTGTATATAAAATGATGGATGTGTATGTATAATAAACTTAATCTTTCAATGATTGTCTGACATGACTAATGTTATATGAGCCAGAATTACTTTCTACAATGGTCAATTTCCTCTTTTTGGAAAGGGATGGTGGTGGTGAAGTCCAATGAAAGACTGAGATACCTGGGTTATTCATGCGAGTAGGTGAAGGTGTTTGCATAGGTGAAGAACTGATTGAACTTGAAAGTGAAGGTGGCTGACAATAACAGGTAGTAATCGATTGAATACTTGTCTTTCTTCTTCTTCTCTTATTTGTATGTGAGCATTCGCATGGAGCTGGTGAAAGTACAAGTGTCCAACCATGCTGATTTTTTTGATACTTGTACCCATTTGGACGAGCTGGAGTTGTACAAGGTGAAGGTGTATAATCTGGTTGTTTCTCTTCAACTTGTCTTAATGGACGAGCAGCAAATAACAAATCAGAAAAGTCAAGTAAAGACGTAGGTTGATGAAGTGTCTTTGCTTCCACATGCATATGTAACACACGATGCCAATGTTCAAATACAGGCTGAGATATATAAAGACGGTAATCCATCATGTTGAGGAAAATACGTTCGGCTGCATTGACTTCAGAGACTGGTAAACCTGCTATTTTTGCCCAAGCTGAATTACGATATGTCTTGTCTTGTACAAATTTGGAAGCAACCACTAAACTGGCCAAGAACATGCGACGACCACAGCTGACATAGGCATCTTCCCAACAGCTTGTATGTCTCATTTTAGCTAAATACATGGTGATTTGAGGCTTTGAGCGAAAAAGATAGAACAAGGCTGTCTGGAGTGTTGAATAGGTTGTTCTTGATCGTTTCAGTACTTCTTGAATAAATGTCCTAAGTGGTACAACACTGTTTTTATTGTTGGAAGGTAACTGCCAAATAGATTCAATCACACTAGCGTTGACATCTAAATAATCATGATGTTTGGTATGCGAACATATATATATGTATATATACACATTCTACAAGTGTATCTTTTTTTTTTTTTTTTTTACCTACAAGGGCATCTACATATGCCAATCGATTTGTTGTATTCAATGAAGACTTCATAGAAGGTAACAACCCTCCTCTTAATTGATGTTGTTGTTGTTGTTCATATTGAATTGACAAGAGAGAAGCCATGATGAATTGATTTCAGAAAAGAAAAAGAAATAAAAAAAAAGGATGGGTTTTTTTTAAATATAAGAAACCAAAGAAAGGGAGTTAATTAGGGACAACAACAACACGCCAAAGGGTGAGAGAGAGAGAGAGAGAAAGAAAAAAAAGAGAAAGAGAGGAGTGAAAAAGAGAAAAAGAAAAAAAAAGAAAGGAGAAGGAAAGGCAGAAAATAAAAAAAGAAATGCACAAAAGAAGCGCTACTTTTAGAACTTTAGCACACAATAAAGTTATGAAAGAGTCGGTTAAGAAGCCTTAAAAGGGAATCCCTATGTCCTCGCTGGTTACCAATCACAATGTGATTCTCCTTAAAGCAGTGTGTATAATTTAGATTCAAAACCCGCTTACCGCATTGGATTTTTTATTGTATTTCGTAAGGAGTAAGAAAAAGAAAAAGGAATCCTTGCTTGTGATTTCATCAGATCTCGTGGTGTTGTTGGTTTGTGGCAAATAATAAATCATAAACTACCATAAAAGGCAAGTCTCCATTTCATGATTTCCTTTTTATTCATATGCAGTCAAGATAAACGTGAATATATAATATATAGTGAGAACGATGACATTATGTCATTTTGAAATGTCTGTAGCCATAAAATAAATGTCAAAATTAATGACACTCTTTAGAAAATAATTGTCCTAAAAAAACAAACCCACCTGTCCCTTTATGTCTATAGACATTTAAAGCAAGAGAGAAAGGCGTCAATAGATTAAATCAAACTGACCCAAAAAAATCATGCACATTTTTTCACTCCAAAACAAGTAGAATGGAGTTAAATGACCAGCAAAGTTGGTTGAATAAGCAATAGAATGTTTTTATCATCAATAAATTCAATAAAAAAAAATGTACGCTTGTTGAGTTGTAAATTTTTATTTATTTCATCAAAGTACCATTAGACAGTACCTTTGGTATTATAGGTCATTTGTGGTTGGTTTCTAGGGCGGTTTATCCTTTCCTCCATCAAATTATGATTTCATCTTGCCAAATACCAATGTTACCAAAAAAAAAAAAAAAAAAAAAAAAAAAATGCTAGATACATGTCAACATTTTCTATGAAATATTTAATTATCTTGTAAATTTAATTTATAGATATGAGTAGCTAAATAAATACGAATACATAAAATGACAAGTCATGACATCAGAGGTCGCCGTATTGGACCAAGTCCGGTTTGTTTGCTGTCAATCCAGCAAAGTCGATTGTCATGATTGTAATTAGATAATTGACGGCCGCTAAAAATTGCAAGAGATCTAAAGCAAATTGTTTTAATTTAAGCGGCAGGTTTCTTATGCATCGTACCCTTTTTTTTAGGGACCATCATCTATCAGACATGTTCGCAGAGTATCGGGTAAAGAGGGAGTGACTAGAGAACATTCCATCCACTCCAAAAGGTGACCACTTTGGTATGAATATGCAATTTCTTAGAGAAGAGGAAGTCATTGTAGTCATTCTATAAAAAGAAAAACTATATTTATAAAAGATGTTCTATCAATTGACCATATCTCAGATTTTTTTTTATTATTTATCACATAAAGACACCAGTAATTTATCAATATAAAAAAAATAGGAATACTAAAAAACGAATAACAGTTGTATTCTTCTTTTTGAAGTAGACAATTATTTTTTAAAGTGTCATTAATTTTGACATTTATTTTATGGCTACAGACATTTCAAAGTGACAAGATTTACCGTTCTTGCTGTATATTATGTATATACGTAATTCTTACTTAATAAGGACGATCCCTTCTGTCATGTCTGCGTTCATTGCGATCATTACGGTCACCACGGTCACCACGGTCACCACGATCATTACGATCATTACGATCTCTTCTTCCGCTGTTACTACTGCTGCTTGAATAAGGTTTCCTGCCTCCTCCTTGCTTTTGAGCATGACACTTGAAACATTCATTTCGTCTAGAGAAGTTGTTCACACCACAACTAAAATTAAGGTTAGTAAATGAAGTTTAACTTTATCTCTTTTTACTTTTCACAAGACCAATCTCCTTCTCTAGAATCATTGCCGCGGTAATTATTAGATCTATTGTTGTTGCTGCTGTTGTTGCTGTTGTTGTTGTTGTTGTTGCTACGGTAACCATGGTTACCTCGTTCAGCTTAATCAATAGTTGAGTGTATGTTTCAATCAACTTTCTTTTCTTTTTTTTTTTTTTACCTGGCATATTGATCTTTCTTTCTGCCTTGGATACTTGAATAATATTGCCCATAAATTCTTTACCTCCAAACCACTCAATAGCAGCATCAGCAGAAGGTGGATCATCATAAGTCAAGGTAGCTATGGACATGAGCAAACCCTTGACAACCCTTAGATTGTGCACTTACCATCACCTTTAGGCATATTGGTTGCCTTGTCCAGATAGATCCAGACTGTTATTGTGTCAGTATAGTTTAGGCATAAAAGTAGACTTACTCTTGGGTTTTCTTAACTTTTTGTCTGTTTTGATGATACCAATCGAACCAAAATGAGCAGCTAATTTCTCTTCTGTCACATCTTGAGGCAAATTGGTAATATAGACAGTGTCTTCAATGGTCTGCATACCTAGAATATAGAGTATCTAAGTATATGTATATATATATATTATCTTTACCATTTTCATTAACGGTAGGTCTGTATCGATTATCACTTCTTCCTCCATAACCACGATGGTATCCAGTATCGTCATCTTTATATAAACAATGTCAGGCAAAAAGAATAATGAAGATGGATATGTTTTATAAAAAAAATCATTCAAAAACATGCATACACTGCTGATATCCTCTGTCTTCTCTTGAACTAGACATACTGTATAAAAAGGAAAATTGTGGCGCGATGAAGAGAAAGAAAAAAAAAAACTTGCATAGCGAGTGACGTTGAACGCGTCAAATTAAATTCAGACACCGAATCACGAACCTTTTTTCTCTCTTTTCTTTTATTTCGAATGCTAGAAGAACTTGAGAGATTATCGAATGTTATTGCTTCTTATCGACCTGGAGAGGATCAAAAGCCTCTTGTTCTCTGTATTCGAAAACTAAAACGATTTATTCTCGATGATGCAAAGGAAATAACTATTGTAAGCACGTCTGTGTTGAGTCACAACCATGTTAACGCATTCATTTCAAGTGGGTTTATGACACACTCAAATCAAGAAAGAGCATGGCAGCACGTATGTCTTGATTGAAAATTAGTAGCACATCACTTAATTTCCATATTTAGAAATGACAGATCCTTTAGATCAAGCATTACTTGACTTGATCAAAGATATTATCCTTTTTGAAAAAGCAGTGAATTGTATAGAGTAAAGTAGTATTTTCATCAAGAGGATGACTAACATAGACATAAAGTTCATTAGACACTTTATTTAAAGTAAGTTTTCTTCATATTGCCTATGCTAATCCTATGTAGCATGTACAAGTGGAATCAACAAGTATGGTTTGGCTCCTATGTCTTGTTGGAGAAAAATTACCCCAGATTGTTACTCGTCGAATTCATCAACTGTTTATTCTTGGAAATGTCTCCTACAATAACCCTTATTTGGGAACATCTGCAAGGTAGATTTTACCTGTCTATCAACTTGACCTTAATGTTCTATATAGTGCAACAGATCACAGCCAAAAGAATTTAGTCTACATAAGCAATTGTCTATTTATTCACTTGCTCAATGGTCATAAGCAGATAGTGATAGATTCTGTTGTTGAGTTATTTCAAGACTATCTGGGCTGGATTGAACACAATCAACCCTTGACAACAGGTAACTCCTATTGTTTCTCTCTTTTTTTGTGTTTATTGACAAGAAACTAGATTTACAAAAATTTACCTTATCTTATTTATTGTTCCTGCCAAAAACCTCGGCTATGTTGTTTAAAGGTACATTGTTCTCCTATTCTTGTTTGCTTATCTTTAAAAGAGTCTTGGTCTATTCTTTTTAGACTCTTATGTGACCACGGAGTTGCAGGAACTATCTTTCTTTATGAAAAGACATATCAATCATCCTTGATTAAGATAGACGACAAGCTTCAAACCATTGCTTCTATTTTCCCCCGTTGGCTTAAATCAGTTGCTTTTGAACAGAATGGATTGTTTATGAAGCATGCTATGGATGTAGCCATTATGCTGGATACACTCATTCATGATTCTCGCTTAGACTTGAAGCATCTTGTTCCGGTATGAATACATGAATAAGAAAAGAAAAAAAAAGAGCTTAACTTTCGAGTGGTTAGACAGGAGGAAGGTCTATGATCGACACACTTAAACCTTCTTTTGAACAATTAGACTTGAAACCTTCTTCTATTGACCTAGTTGGATGGACCATGACACTCTTTTCTTCAGACAAAAGACCTTCGAGGGGCACACATGATCTTCAAATCCCTCTTTTTCTTTTACAGCTGGATTTTTTTAATGATACTAAAAAAGAAGAAGCTATCCAGATGTTTGTTCAATTGATTACCCGAGTAGATCAACCCATAGACGAAGCATCTGCTGATGGTATACGCTATTTTATTCTTGACCTTGTTTCTTCTGCAGAGGCAAAATGGCCAGACTTATTTCAGTAAGTGATTTACAGACTGGCTATTTCTAATAGAGTAGATTTGTACTAGAACAGATCTTTTCAAAAGCGATTGCGATGCATATTGCAGATAATGAAGGATCTGTCAATATTGAGAAAATCCTGGGTAATCTAGCCATGTTGTTTGCACCTTTTGAAGGAGACAAACCAGGTTTTGATGCTTTTCAGAAATACATGGTAAATCACTGGCGTCAAGTGTCTCTATTGTTCTTGAACCATCCTTCCATTCAATGCAGGGCTATGGGGTATCGTGTCTTGACTCATTCTCGTTTTTGGCAGCATATCGCTACGGAGGAATTTACGACTGTCTCTAAATTGTTGATGGATGCTTGGTTTAGACATATTAAGGGACGTTATCTCCGAGTCAATCTAGAGGAGGAATTGTGCGTGATTGAAGAACAACAAAAACTAAGTAAGTCTCCCCTGTTTATTTTCATGCTTATCTCTCCTCCTTTTCTTTATAGTCTCCTGTTGTTGTCAAAATACAGAATTAGCGAAAACCATGTTGTGCTTTACGATGGACTGTATCTTAGGAGGTGCTTTGGAAATCTTTCCTTCCATGGATACAGTGTCCATTCAACAAGAACGACAAAGTCTCCTTGACCAAGTCACTCAGCATGACTATTTGCCACCGCCCATGCCTACTTCAAAACCACCTCAGTTTATCACTTGCCTTTCATGGACTCAGGATATAAGAGACTGTGTCTATACAGACAATATCGCAAGAACAGCTTCTTTATTTAACGGACTCTCTACGGACATCAACCACCATGTCTTGTCCCATTTACTAAGACTATGGCAACCTATCTCTGTCTCGTTTAACACGTACCATGATGTCCTGCCTATGAATATACCCTATCAAAACGACATTATGATCGGTGGTGCATTTAAAGACCACCCTGTCTTGTTTCTCATCTTGGAAAAATACAGCATGGCTCAAACAAGAGACATGGTACGCAGCATTCTAGTCTATTTTATTGTGTTTTGGCACATGAAAGAAGTCGTGAATGTACCTACCACACTTAGTTTTGCCACCCAGCTAGAAGAAACCATACGGCTGGTGGCTTTTATGAAGCCTATCTTACCCGAGTTTCTGGTGAATACCCATCCGTTGTTTCCGTTTATGTCTGCTAAAGATTTAGGTGATATTTTGTTTCGTATGATTTGGGATTATCTGAGTTGGCAATCTGCCCAGCATATTCCAGGCATTACACAACACATGTCGCCACAAGACCAGGAAGCAAGAATGGACAAGTATAGAAAGACCATGTTGGCCATGTGCCAACAACGCCTTGTCGTATTAGAAAAGGCGCCTCAATGGCATCAAGCCTTATCAAAAGCCATGTCTACTCTTTTTCAATAAATTTTTTTTCTTATTTTCTGGAGTCCCCTGAGCGCGACATCAAACGAAAAAGGGCTCTTTTTTTTTTCTTATTCTCATCAAAGACGCGTTTTTTTTTTCATTATTATTATTATGACAAAAAAAGAGACAAAACCCATTTCAAAAGATAAAGAAGAAGAAATGAGCTCGGCATTAATTGCTCAGTTATTAGCAGAAGATGCCATGATACAAGGCAATGATAGTTACTATGCCGAGTACAGCAACGATAACCGAGGTTATGATCCATATCAAATGCATGAAGAATATGACGATAGTTATGAAGAGAATTCTGAGGACGACTTTGATCCACGTAAAAAAAAGAACGTTAAACCAAGCACAGGTAATAGGATGAAATAAAGAACAAGACAACTCATTTAAATCAAGGTAAACGAGGCAGGAAAAAGAAAATAGTGTCCCAGCCCATCATGGAAACTTCAGAAGAAGTCACGGAGATAGAGCCCAAGAAACCAGAAGAACGTGTCAGTAAAAAGCCTAGGAAGCCTGTTCCTGAAGGGTACAATACAGGCGTTTATACTGACATGGAAGAAAAGCATTTCTTAGAAGGACTTGATATGTTTGGTCGAGATTGGACAAAAGTAAGGAAGGGAGACATTTTATTTCTATCGAAGACTAATAAATTAGCTTCAACGACATATTGGTACAAGAGATGCCAATTCGATTCGAAGTCATGCTCAAAAGCATTTTATCAAAATGTTTAGAGACAATATTCCTTTACCTCCCAAAGTCAGAGAATCAGGGGAAGGTTATACTTTGTCTGGAAAACCTTTGGACCCTAATTCTGCTGCTGCTAAGCCTTATTTAGGACGCTTAAACACACCCAAGGAGAATAATGTAGAGCCAATGGTTGAAGAAGTGGCAAAAGCAGTCGAGAAACAAACTGAGACTTTGCAAATTACCGAAAATAAACCAAACACAAGCACTACACCTTCTCCTACCCAATCCTCAACGCAAGTCATGTTCTTTATGCAAATGAAATAACTCATGATTTAAATAGTACAGATCATTCAGACATACATTATGATGCTAAAGGAAGAACCTCTTATTCTTCTTCCCGTCTAAGAAAACAACGCGAGTCTGTCAATTATGGTCAAATCAGTAAAGACGAGTAAGTGATGCTATGTTAAATATAGACTCATGTCATGCTTTAGTGATCCTTTGACCATGATCAAATGTGAACCATTTACAGGCAAACCAGGCACTGGTGCACTCGGTAGCCAACCTTTTGAATTGGCTGTGGAATCCAATGTGTTATTGGCCATGGATTTCCACGCTCATCTGATGACTACCGAAATCATTGGTTTCTTGGCTGGTGACTGGGATAAAGATACCAAACAGTTGGTGGTCAAAGAAGCCTATCCTTGTCGTTCGATAGAAACAGGCCAAAATGATGTGAATGTTGAAATGGATCCTACCAGTGCCATTGAGACACGTCAATTGATTGAGGAACGTAACATGAAGGTCGTTGGCTGGTATCACTCACATCCTACCTTTATACCCGATCCTAGTTTGGTAGATATTGAAAATCAAAGAAACTATCAAATCCTTTGCCGAGAGGAGCATGTTCATTCTTTAGAGCCTTTTGTGGGTGCAATTGTGGGCCCTTATGATCCTGCTTTGCCGGGCTCTGCTAGTGTGATCAATTGGTTTCATGTCAATAATGCTCATAGTGATCGACCTATTCCTAAGCGATTGGTGTATGAATTGAAAGAAAACGATAGTCTATCACAAGAAGCAGAAGAGAGAATGGTAATACATTTTATATAGATCATAGACTTATTGTGTTAGTTTGCTTTATTAGATGTATATAAAAACTCGCCTGAAAAAGTAGTGTTTGCAGAACATTGGCGTCAAGATGTATCTGAGACAAAACTACAGAAAATAATCAAGAGTCTAGGATCACGGATACCTTGGGTCCAAAAACTAATAAAACAAGATGCTGCAATTGATGATGTGTTTCTACAAAGAGTCCAAACAAGCTTAAAGGAATGGTAAAAATGAAGGTTTTGCATGTTTAATGTGTCTGATTGGTTAGTATGTTGACAAGCCACACAAAAAAAAAAAAAAAAAAAAGAATAAAAACTATTTTTTTTTCATTGTCTTTTTCTCTCTTACAAAACTTATTTTTTCAACAAAAGTGAGAACATCAATAAAAATACGTTTGTTATGACGAGGTTGCGTGATACCATAGACCGTACACCTGAATATGTCAACTTTATAAAAGAATTAAAGCAATTCCACCTTGAAAAAGGGTAAGCATATACTACAATTGACAGTAACTTATGGCCTTGTTAGCACAACACTTCAAGCAGAACCTGTCTTGGGTGGAAGAAGACTGGATTTATATAAAATATTTCAAGTCGTTGCTAGTTCAGGTGGTTTTGAAGAAGTGACAAAGAATAGAGGATGGAAGCAAGTGGGCGATATTTTTCAATTTCCTTCTACTTGTACCAACAGTGCTTATATTCTTAAGGGTGTTTATATACGTAATTTGGTAAGTGATTGGATTTGGATGGTTTTGTATCCTGATGCATGCGCACCTAGTTGGGCTGGGAAGAGGAAAAATTATGGAAAAAGGATTGGAAACCACCAAAGGAATTATTGGGTCCAAATGCTCATAAATCATCTACTTTGGCTGGTAAAGCATACAAATCTGTCATCAAAAAGACATCGCCCACCATAAAATCAACAACAAAGACAACAAAATCAAAATCAAAAACCAACCCTCCTCCTCCTTCTACACCTCCCACTAGTCTTGTCGATCCCTTGACTGTATTGCAACAATTGAGCAACCCTCTTTTATACGATTTTAGCAACTTGAATGTAGATACGACTGTGTATTCCCCTACAGCTTCTAATACTCCCTCACCTGCTGTAGAAGATCAAAGTGTGTTTACTGAAAGGGACCGCATTTTATTTGCTTTACAGTTTGGAGAAGGGAAAGATGTGGAATGGGCCTTGGATGAAATAGTGACCATCTCATTTGAATGTCCCGAAAAGCTTGATTTGAACACCTCTCCTTTTCTTTTACAGTTGCTTGTCTCACTTGCTCAACCTTGTCTTACTACGCATGTAGCCGATAATGCATTACCTACCAGTGCTACAGATACGCTAAACAGCATGCTGAATAACAATACGTCTAAAAGCACCTTATCACCCATCACGATGACATATGCCACAGACAGCGAAACATGTGGTCATTTGGATATTTCGCTTAAAGTACTTCATATCTTGCGCAACTTTTCTTTTTTAACAAGCCATGTCCCTTTATTGGCTAAAAACACCATGGTGAAGGAGCTTTTGGTGCAAGGCTTACAGGCATCCATGAGTACAGGTCATGTTGAACTTGGAAGGCATTCGATGGATGTGCTGGAAAACATGGCTGCGCATATGGAACTCGATTCAACACAAGATCCTTGCCTTCAATGTGTGCAAACACTGGTGGCTGCTCATGATCGATACTTGGTGATTGGCTCTATTCGTACACTGACATGGCTCACCATGAACCAAGTCAACCATGCCTATTTAGAGACCAGTCCTGTCATGACACGCATTGCACAAATGCTGTTATCGAATGATGAAGAATTAGTCGGTACTTCACTTGAATACATTTACCAGTACACCCGTATTTCAGCCCAGGCTCGTTCTCGATTCTTGGTATCACCTCCCTCGAATGCGTATGTTGGATTGTTGATCTCGCTTTTAATGACCAAATCAAAGTATTTCTGTACTCGATTTATTCAAGAAGATACAGCTTTGACTACACCTAACCCCACCGTATCTACTACGCCTGTTGAACCTATAGTGCCTCGTGTGCCTAACTTGACTGAATATCAAAAATTAGATGAACCTTTTCGATGTTTAGGATGGTAAGGGAGTAAAATGAAGGTCAATGTCAACTCATGCTTTGTATCAGGTTGAAAGACAAGTTTGAAGTAGCCGATAGAAGCAGTGTGTTATCTTTGGATGACATGTATTTGCTTTATGAAGCTAGATTTGGATTAGAAAAAGCACTCAAGATGAGAGATTTTTATACAGTTATGAAAATTGCTTTTCCGAAAGTATCTACTACCGAAACCAAGTCTTTGTTAGGCAGTCCTGGCCAATCCGCTCCTGTTGTTGAAGGTTTAAATATCATTGGCATACAGATCAAAATGAGTATTTTACAAGACCGTATGTATACATGTATGTCAACAAATGTCACTCATCTATTTCCTATAGGCCCTCAAGTACCTTGTAAATGGGCTCAATGCTCACTTTTATTCGATGATACATTTACACTTCAACGTCATATACTCCATGACCATATGCCATCCACCATGGAGAGTGAACACTATGTCTGTAGTTGGTCCCACTGCAAAAACGAACAAAACTTATTTTCATCTAAAGACGGCTGGATATCCCATTTACGCACCCATTTCTACAATCAAGTAGGCGAAAGTTGTTGCAACAGCCCTGTACAGAGCCCTGAACCTTCACTTTCACCTTCACCTTCCACACCTGCATCTCAAATTTCATTAACAAGTACCACGTCGCCTAGGGTAAAACCGGTTGATATGTCTGACATTCAAGGCATTGCCCTTGTTGCCTCTCATTTACTCAACTGGCTCTCAAAAGATCCCCAGAGTGCGCCCTACTTTATTCCCTACGAAAAGGAACTGACGAGCATTGCTGAACAAAGACCCAAATTAGCTGCATTTGTTTGGTCTATTTGTTCCAATTTTAAATCTTCAAAACCTTCTCAACCCATTGTTTCAATCAATACTACACCAGTTTAATTATTAATACACATTTCATTTTTCCATAGATCTTTAGCATGTAGATATTATGACAATAAAGATAACAATTGTTCTTGTAACATACACAAGCGCCTTATCAAGGGTTTTGTGTTGTATGGGAATCCGTCTCCTTGTAAGACACGCACTGTGTCTCTTAGGATCCATCTGAATGGATTGACCATATCCAACACCACAAGTGCTGCATAAAACTGGTGAATGTCTTGGTGTGCATAGACAACATAACGATAGAAATAAGCCAAGAAGTCTGAATCATTCAACAGCGAGTCAATCAAGATATCGTGTGTTGAACCGCATTGTTGTAAAAAGAACAGGAAAAGTGAGTGTGGATTGACTTGAATGTGCTGTAAAAGCGTCATACAGTACATGTCTTGTTGATAGACAGTGAGTACAGTGTCTAGCAATTGCGTTGTATCATCATCATTAGCACAACACATGTTGAACAACAGTTCGATTGGACGGATACTTGCTTGATATGTATGATAGAGCACTACAGTATGAATACGACAATCATGTCATCATGTTCTCTTACTTGATATCGTGTTGGCTAATGCTTCTAAACCAGGCGGGAAGTGTGTTGTATGCTTTAGAAATAAAGCCATGATGATTTGAATCAATCGTTTGATGGTTTCTCTATCGAATGTCATAGTATTTATAGTGGGTGTATAGAAAAACTCGGTATATTCTATTGATTGAAAACGATCCAAATCTTGCTGCTTGAAGCAATGGCTTACATCTTCTATATAGCGTATAACATTGGTTATGATAGGTTCATCATTCTCGATATAAGGTATCATTCGATAACTGAGCTCCATTGATTTTCGACACATATAAACCTTCTCGTGCCACCACAATTCTCTTGTGACAGCAAATAATTGATTTAATGTCGCATTGGGTGGAGGGGAAGAAGATTTGAGTAGATCAATAAAGCATATCACTAAAGAGCATGACATGGGCCGATCCTTGTTGGATTCAGACAATATTAAATCTGATAAACCATGCTCTGCTTGACATTCAGAAACAGAACAAGTACGTTGATGCTTCAAAATCAAGTGAATAAGATCCAGTAAATGGTCTCGATAGGTTGATATTGAATAGTCTTGGATGATATCACGAATGATCTGTTTCGCTTTTATGCTGTGTTGTGTAATATGGATATATTTAGCATGATTGTTTTGATAGATTTCATAATCCATGCCCGAAAAGTGTTATAAAAGAAAAAAACACTTATTTGAATATCCGCCCGAGAAAAAAAAAAAAAAAAGAGGAAAGGACTGATGACGCCAACCTTTAAATGGGTACGTCCTTATATCACTCCATTTTAAGTGAATTTCTAAAGTACTTAACAGAAGTGCATTTGTCGAGAGCGCGTTAAAGCTTAAAGCATATTTTAAATAAACATTTAAGTTTTTTTTTTTTTAAAAAAAACACTTTATTCCAATTTTATTAAGCAAAAAAAATGTCCAACAGTATTATTATGAAGAAGTACTTACCTTTGCCTAAAACCATTGTAACTCATGCCATCGAGAACTACATGGAAGAGATTGAAAACTCTGAATCAGTTTTTGGTGTCAAATGGATCTACAAAAGCAAGTTTCTTATACACTATTCCCTATCGGACATGTTCAAACCGAAACTCGCAGGGTAACGGATAGAGAGGAGGTAGCTACAGAACACTTCATTACCCATACAAAAGTGGTTACTTTTTGGATTGGATGAAGAGGAAGTACTTGCAGCCATTTTACGAAAAAGAGTAATTTATCAAATTATTTGGTTGTTTATCAGAAATAAAGAAGCCGGCCATTTATCAAACCAAAAATAAATGATTTGTTTGTGTGAAAAAAGAACGCTGTATGATAAAATGAGAGACAGAAAAACTAATAACAGTTATATTGTTAACATGTTTCCGTTTGAAGTGGACAGAGTGTTCGCCACTAATAAATATACATTTATGCATTTTGTATTCTTTAGGACAGCACCTTCTCTATCCAGTACTCTGCGAATTTCGGTTTAAACATATCTGATAGGAGGTAGTACAAAGGGAAAAAAGGAGTGGTGCATAACTAAGAAACCTGTTTACAATTGCGATTGATAAATCCAAAGATTTCTACAGACTCAAACTAGCCTTGCATCAGTCTAAATCAAGTTCATATTTGTTGTTGTTAAATGTACATAAATACTTTAACAATTAGGAACTCATGTTTAATATCTCTCTACTTAATTTACCTTCTAAACAGATTTCCCATAAATGATAAGTTTTTTTTTCTAAAAAAAATAATGAGGCATTTCGAACATACTCATGTGGTCTACTTAAACAAGAAAACGAAGACCAACAGGTCGTCCAGCATCAATGAAAAGGCGATCTGTTGCAGCCACTGCTCCTACTGATCCAGAACTTCCTCCAGCTCTTCTTCCTCTTCTAGTCCCTGCTCCTGCTCTTGCTCCTCGCGTAGACGAGAGGATCAAAATAAGTTTCCCCAATAGAAAGCTCAAACTTAGTACTCTCTTAGGTAGAAACTCTAAAGATTATAGAGTAAAACATCACACGAGAAGAAATGAGATACGTATTTACTTATCTCGTATTGTATTAGACTATGATTCGCAATATTACTGAAGAATACACCATACTTGGAAAAATGCCTTAAATTTTGTACTTTTAGTCCGAGTTGAGTTTCTCTAGAACTTAAACAAAGCTATTCAACAAATATACCCAACTTAAGAAGCATAGCACACCAACTCCATCATAAAACAATTTTAGCAAATCAACTATTTAATGAACTCGAAAATATCAATATATAGACAACTTGAAAGAAAATATACTAATATTTTTAGTGTTCAGTAAATCATCCTCATAGGCTCTGAAAAACTGGTTTACAAGTTTCGTAAAGTTACTAGCATTACATTTTGGTCACATGTTTATAGAAGAGTTGCTCGAGACTCAATCAGTCTTAACCGCATTATAGTGAATAGACCATACAGATAAACAGATAAAGTATGTTACTTAACTTTCTTTCTAATGTTAAAACTTTCTTTCTAGAAAATCGACCGGATCCAATGAATACCTGTATACTATATCTACTTTGGATACCTTGCATCGAGAGATCTCACAAAACTACGACTCTACCATAGTTTAAAGTGTGCTGTAAATTATAATGTAGAACGAAGAACGATATCCAAGCCTCATATGACCCACTTCAGACAAGAAATACATGTACAAGCGAAGACATCATGCAATTCCTGGATGTCTACACAAAGCAAGTATTTTGAAAGCATGAATAGGTTGACATATCTTATGACATCTAGTACCTATAATTACATGAATACTAGGTGTCATAGAGAACGAAAAGGGTATAACTACTCTAATCAATAAATGACCAACAATTATGCTGCGTGTGTTGTTCTAGGTCAAACAAAAAAAAAAGATGAAGAGTTCAGGCTGGCTCATGTCTCTTCTGCTTAGCCAAGAAAAAGGTTGAGAAGGGAACACAGACGTCTACTTGCTGAAGAAGATTTGAGACGACATGATGATCCACAAAGAGCAATAGTCGCCTATGGCTCTGTTGTTTTAAAAGGAAGCTATAAAGACAACACGCCTGTACCAATAAAGGCGAGTAATCATTCCTTTACTTTTCATGTCAGTGGAACTAACTGTATTATTTCATAAACAGAGAGTACACCGAGCTATTGTTGAACATGCCATTGTGATTCCCGTGAATGAATTCAAAACAACCGTTATCTGGTGTTACTGTAATGGAAGGGTTGACAATGTTGTTCGTCATGTCCGTCTATGCAATCACAGATAAATAGGAAAAAGCGTACATTTGTCATTGATTTTAATCTATGTGGCGCACATAGAAAGAAAAAACATCGTTCAAGCTACCAAGAAAATAGGCCTGCTGAAAAGTATTCTACTTGGAAGTGCTTTGATAAGGACAATCACATCCTGTATCGTACAAGTGAATGTCCTGGCAGAGGACTAGGTAGTTATACGCATTGTTTTATTGAAGCCAATACTCATCGTGTTATTTTTCTGCTAGAGCGCAACCGTGTTGTCTATGTGTTGAAGCTGCGTCCCCAATGTTCGGCAGTACAAGAACATGATCTAGTAAGTAGTCATTTCTTTTATCGTGTTCATTCAAGACGAATGTTTTGGTTTTTTTTTTTTAGTACTGGAACCGAGATGTTAACGCCGCATGTAAAAAAAGAAGTTTCTTATGTGAATATATACGTTCGGGTTATGATATCAACAGCAGGCTGCAACAGCTCTCAAGAGATCAAGATGACCAAGGTGCCTAGAAAAGCGCCATCAGCAACACTACCAAAAGTTAACTGGTAAGTAAATTCTTTTTTCAAGAATAACAGTCCCAAAAGCTAATGTCATCTTTTTTGGGGCGTATTTACGTAAAAACCTTTGAATGGTATAAAACTTGGTTCCCATCATATCTTTTCATTCGTCTTTTTATTTTGCTTTCTTTTTGATTGGGAGAACTCTTGTCCTATCATATTCTTTGACTTACTTTGACAGGTCTTACTCTCCGCAATCACAAAAAAAAATAAAAAGGTTATTTCTGCATATATATTTTAAGGCACAAGTATGAACACTTACAGCGATCCCAGTACTGGTCAAAACCAACCTTTGCAGAATACTGCTGCTCAAACAACCAACACACAAGAACCTTTGGTAAAGTATTAAATATATACATGTTGATTAACGTATCTATAGAATGATGCTCATAATTCGCCACTTTCTTATTCAAGACCACAGCCATCAACACAACCTCAACCACAACAGCCACAACAACACTTGAATTATTCTCAACAACACGTTGCTATGGTAATGCTTTATGAAATACCATTTCATTACTTAACTTACTTTCGATATAGCCTGCTGGTATGATGGCTCCACAGCCAGGACAAGGTAAATAGCATCATAAGAAAACAAGTATCTCATGCGTGTCTTATAGTGGTTGTTCCCACTGCTCCTGTTGTTGTTGAAGAAGAGCCTTTATATGTGAATGCAAAGCAATACCATCGTATTCTCAAAAGACGTGCAGCTCGTTTAAAACTTGAAGAACTTCACAAGTTGGAAAGAACAAGAAAACCATATCTTCATGAAAGTAGACATAAGCATGCTATGCGTCGTCCAAGAGGTCCAGGCGGTCGATTCTTAAGTAAGTCTCGATTCTATTTTTTTTTTTTTTTTTTTTTTTTTTTTTTGCTCATCGTATTTTTAGCTGCTGCTGAAATTGCTGAACTACAAAAGGCAGGCAAATTACCAACATCAGAGAAAGATTCAAAAGAAACACAACCTTTATCACAACCTAAAGGTGATTTTATTAATCTTCAATCTCAATAATAAAATTTATAATTTCCTGGAAAATTTTTCATTTGCATCAAAACTGATTAATGGTTTGACATGTCGACCATGAAGCTCTTTTGTATGAAAACTCTCAGGCGTATCATCCAACTGAAGAAGAGCTGTTTTACTAGTAGGCTTAGGACTATTTAAACCAGTGGTAGGTATAGAAGCAATGGCTGCATTGTTAGGCAGTGGCACATCATGATGCCTTCTTGCAGTTGTCTTTCTTCGCAAAGATGCATGTCGACGATGTTCACCTGTTTCTGTTGCACTCGATGCTTCACGCACACTTTTTGACCTTGTCATTCGACTAGGTTCTTTTTGGTCTAGTAAAGAACCTTTTGCAAACGTAACACGGTCTTCTACTTGAATCAGTGTCTTGCTGGTGTTTGTCTCTTCTTGTTCCTGGGATTCTTGTTGTCTATAGAGTATTTGCTCTTGTTGTTCTTCTTTAGCCAACAAAGAGCCTTTAGAGAATGTAGGTACATCAAAGCAATCAATTAAAGGCCCGTCATTGTTTTCGTTTGAGTTGTTTCTCGATAATCCACGTGTTGTTGCATTTCGTCCTAACGGTCTCTTTTCATCTCCTCCTCGTCGACTGGATTCACTACGACTAAGACTGGAGACATGTTTAGGTTCTTCTGTTGGTTTAGTTGTTTCTTTGGTAGATTTGTGTCTGCGAACGGTTGATTTTTCATCAACAGCATTCTCTAATGAAATATGAGCCAATGGATTTGCCACTCGGTTGGGATACTGTTGATATTGAACAATACTCTAAAAATAAAATCAGATGTATATATTCGGGATTATGTGTTACCTTGGCACTGCGTATACTGAGTACCCAATCTTTCATTTCTTCTTGATTTTCTGCAGCTAAAAACCGCATAAAATCATTTTCATTCTCAAAAATACTCGGTCTATCTTGAGCTCGAATAGCAATCACATAAGGTGTAGGGCTTGCCTTGGGTGATTGCAGTAAAGTATAAACGTCGTAGGTTGCCAAATAACACAAAATAGAAGATGATGTGCTCTAAATTAAATCTTAGTTTGAAATGTCTATTATTATTTTTTCTAACCTTATTATTGTCTTTTGCATGATGAATAGCACCATCCTTGATGAAGCAATATCGTCTTTGCCATTTGTTCTTCTTGTACTCAATTGAGAGCCAACCATGCATAGAAGGCGTCTTTTGCTGCAGAATGCACTATATAACAGATCAATTGACATTCTCCTATTTTGTTTTCTCCTTACTTCTGAAATGAGACTATAATGATACGAATATTTCTTCACCAGGAGAGCATTACTTGCATCAGGTTCCCATACACTCAATACATCTATTACAACTTCCCATTCACGAAGTGGTCTTTCTTTCTTTTTGCATAAATAAAATACTACAAAAAAACTTACCAATGCCATGACTATTATCAATTTCAAACAAGGTCCAATCTTCTGAAGTATCCAGCAAACCTTTCTTTTTCAAATACTGTACAACCATAGCTGTTGTCAAAAGGTTGGTGAGTTGCACAACTTTATGATTTTTGGCATCGTCAATATAAATTCGAGTTGTTAAGGTCTTTAATGGCACCGTATGAATACGGGCTGTGCTAACCATATGAGCTGGCTCCTCTGGCTATAGAATACATGAGCTTGTATGCTATTTAAAGAATCTTACCTCCACTTGATTCTTGTCATGATTAGCATCCAAGACTGCCCAAGCTCTTTGCATGACTAAAGTCAATTCTTGATCCTCTTGAGAAACGGGTTCTTTTGTATGGTTGGTTCTTAAGGATCGAGAATGACTCAGCGTAGGTGGTTTTTCAGGCTGAGGACGACGAGCGGTGGCTGATCTTTGAAGAATGGTGCCTATACAGACATCATCATCACAAATAGCTATACTGTTGTCATGACGAGAAGGGATGGCACGCGACTTGTAATGCTGCAAGGGAACATTATCCGAATTGTTACTATGATAACGCTTGTCTATAGCATGATCATTGAGTATAATTCAAGCTAAATAAGAAGTTACCTAAAGATACTTGGTTTGTAGAATCATTCATTGTCTAAAAATAAAAATAAAAATAAAAATAAAAATAAAAATAAAAATAAAAATAAAAATAAAAATAAAAAAGAAAAAAGAAAAAAGAAAAAAGAAAAAGAAAAAGAAAAAGAGAAAAAAATAAGGGGTCAATGTATTTTTATATCTAAACACAAATTACCAAAGCAAAATTATTCACTTGTTTTTCCAAGTTACGAAGCATATGATTGAGATTATGTGTCATTTATTTATAACAAAAGAAAGAAAGAAAAAAACTGATAACGATACTAATTACTGATTTTGTAAAATCTAATTTTGTCTAATTCAATTGGCGTCGTTTTACAGTATTCCTACTTTGAATTCAGACGATGTTAGTTTTTTTCTGGACGAATCAAAATTAATTTCCAGATGTTTTTCCTACCTATTTTGGACGAAATAAAAATGGAAATTAAACAGAAAGAGAAGAATTATTAGAGAAGGTACAATAGTATGCTAGATGACTTTACCTATAACAATCTTAATTCCTGAAGGAAATACCGTGTTTATTACGGCGATCATTGCTTCTCTTTTTGATTTCTCTTGAATCGTTCTGCACGGCCTTCACCTTTCCAAATTGACTTGGCAATGTTCATCATATTCAAACTAGCGTTGATGTCACGCTGCCATAATGTTCTGTACGTCTTGCAAACGAGAACGCTACTACTGTGGGCATCACTAATACCACCCAAAGTCCTACTTTCACATTTAAAACATATTTGGGACATCAAATATTCATCAATGTCCACAGCGAGTAAGTCACCAGTCCTCTTTCTTTTTTTCAACGTTCTGTATAGAAGACCAGTGACACCAGTCTGGACCGTTTTTATCTTCACATAATCCTTCCCAAACATGCCACTACCAGATATTATCAGTGGTACCTTCTGTTTGTACTGAAAGAAATTGCTTTCTCTAAGTACCATAAACTTATGAGTATGAAAATTATCGTAGCCATGCCCAAGTAACTTTTTACCTTGTTTCTGTTGTTTTCAGTGTCATTTTTCTCTTTCCTTTATCCTTCTTTCCGGACTTGTTCCCCTTCTTCTTCCGCTTCCCTTTGTTCTTTTCTCTTTTTCGTTTGTTTCCTCTTGACTTCTTGTTGTATTTCTTGGTACCATCTAACAACATTTTCACCATTTGCTCCGGCGCTTGTTGGCAACCCTGGTACAAGAAAAAGGTTTCTTTTGCAGTTTCTTGATTGTAAAAACTGAAAATACGACCAATGTTTTCGAGCATATAAATGGCATACTCCATATACAGTGATTCATTGGCAGCCTTATTAGTCGGTATATTTGTTTCAATCGTCTTAACACCGCATGCTTTCTTTTTCTTCTCTTGCTCTGCTGAGAATTTTGTAGAGCCTGTCAAGTGGTAATATTCCTTGATGGAACATTGTCTGAAGTTGTTAATATTACCAGTTGAACCAGCAAATACAGTGAAAACCCTTTTTCTTCCTGGATCTACGGCTATTGGTAAATAGTGGCTGTCAACTTCATGCTGCTCAAAACCATCCAGGATCAGATCAACTTGATTGATTTGCTTGGTTAAACGTTTTTCTCTGATTGTTCGTTTGTTAAAAACAAAATCAACAGAAAAACCGTCTGATCTGATCAGGTTACCAAAGAGCCTCTTATTTGTTCCAGTGGGTAATAAAGATTCAATCCTAATAGTAAACATATTTTAAATGACTATTATATAAAAACATTTTTTTACAACTATGTACTTACGATTTGGTTCTAAGCGGTTTAAAATCAAATACCTTGTAAAATAAATTCAGCTGATCATTATACCCTCTGGGGAGTGGTTCACCAGGAAGAAATGCTGCTAATGCATTGACCGAAATTGTCACTGATCGCCAATGGCATGATAGTGAAGGGAATACATTGAACAGCCTTGGTAAAGGAAGTCTTCTAACGTCAAACGCTTTATGGGATTGATGTTCCCTTTCAAAGACAGCCAGTATATGAAACAACAGAGGAATAAAGGAACCAGGGTTATCAGCTAATGATTTTATACTAACTCTAGCATCGAGTTTGTTTTTAAGTGGCAGGCATAGTTCATCGATTCTTCGTTTGATCATAGGGTCTTCAAGTGATTTCTATTCAGGCCACACCGCTTCACCTTGGCATACATACTGATATCCATATTTTATAACAATATCGTCGACGTCCTTCGGAGCCATGGACTATATACATAATATTTAAGTATTTAGAGTAAATGGATGTGATTGTTAGCTCTTACAACAAACATAATTTGAATTTGATATTGCAAAAATCTTCTCAATATATTTTCAGTCTTTCTACAACTGCATTCTCGTAGGTGGTTGCCAGCTCCTTGCAGGCCTCAGTAATGCACTGGCTAGCTCCTCCAATAGCAGATGGAAAACTTAATTTTTCTTTAATAAGATGAACCTCGTTAAAAAAAACATTATAACAGACAAGTCGATCTAACTATTGTTGATGATCTGGTATAAATAACTTTAAATAAAAAAAGTATATTATCACAAATAAATCTTTTCTCATAACAAGAACATTTGTCATATTATTATTATTATTATTATTATTATTATGCCAGCTAGTCATAGTTTGATAGCAATAGAACTGAGTTCATTCTAAACAATGATATAGCTGAATCAACATTTACACTCTTACGGAATAGAGTCATATAATCCAGAAACCAGTAAACAGATCTCATCTTGAATGATAAACAACTGTAAAGATGATTCGCAAAGTATATTTTATTGGAAAAGCCAATACTCTTATTCCATCTAATATAACCTTCAGCTCATCAAGTCCTATCTCAAGTTACATCTAAGGACATAATCCAAATCATATATAAGCCTAGAATATAAAAAATCTCTCTCGAACTTTTACCTCAATAAACATTTATAAACGGTCTCAAAGTACTTCCTACACGTCTCTTTATTTTTTTATAATTTCTATATTTAATCTTTTTATTTAAAACGTCCCAAAACACCACAATAACCAGTCATTTTGATATTGCTTCTCTAACAATTGATTTCCCTTTACAGATAAATGTCTAAATGTAAATTCTCATTCACCCAAAAAGCTAATTCTTTTTCTGTCTAATTTCCATTTTTATTTCGTTCAAAATAGGTAAGAAGAGCATCTAGAAATTAATTTTGATTCGTCCAGAAAAAAACTAGCATCATCTGAATTTGAAGTGTAAAAACGATATTATTATTGAATCAATGCAATTTTATTGCCAGAATTTATCAAGCTATGAACAACAGTGAGTGACAGTAAACAGCCAATAAAACTTACAGGTACACCTATTCTCTTGAATACATTGCTTACTTGAGGAGAAACTGAACCTGAAATGTGTTGTAAATATCCATCATTCTGCTCAGGCACCTGATTTTGGATTTGTTGAAATGTTTGCTGCCTAGCTGCAGGTTGCCTTAAAGGAGGTAATTGTACATGACCATATTCTAATGCCTCATCCATTTCTGGTAACATGTCTTTTTCTTCTTCTTTTTTCTTTTTTTCTTCCTCTTCCTCTTTTCTTTTCTTTTCCTCTTCTTCTTCTTGTTCTCGAAGTCTTTGTTCCTCCACCTCTAGTTGTCGTTTCTTTTCTTTTTCTGCCAGGGCTTTTGCTTCTGCTGCTTCTGCTGCTTCTGCTGCTGCTTTCTTTTCCTCTTCCTGTTGTTTTATTCTGTCTTGTTCTTGTCTCAATTTCTCTATATGGTTAAACTTTTCCAACAAGATAGAGCGACACTCTTCCATGCGTGTTTTGGCTATATGAGGTCGACGCAACTTTTCTAAAGCTATGTCTGTATTGCCTTCAATCAAATGTAACTCTTTCTTGACTTTTTCTATATGGATCTGTGTTGCTTTTGCATTGTCCGAAATAGTCTTGAGTTCATAAAGGATACGTGGCATAGATTTAATAACTTGAGTAGAGAGTTGGTCAAATGCTTGCGAAGTGGATTCACTTTCTAATTGAAGTCGTGTTACTAACAATGTTGTGTTTTTTGTGTCATCATCATCTTTGGATTGCATGTCATCATGCTTTGGTTTAAGAACCGTGTTGATCCATTGCTTGGCATCAAATTCCGGATTAGAAAAATCAGCAAGATGGAGGGCTAGATTAGACATAACAAAATAAAAATAGAAAAAAAAAGACAAAAAGCTTGTTTAATTTAAATAAATGGTATACTCTAAAAGTGATTCTCATTCCTAAAAACATCCCAGGCTTGATTTAAGGTAGTAAAGATACCATTTGCCAACAGACGTTGTTCCACAGTAGCATTAGAAGCAAGCTTTTTTTAAAAAAAAAGATGAGTTTTAATACAGAAACAATACTGCTTACTTTATCTGGATGCACTTTAGCAATGGCCTTCATATAAGTGATTTTGCACTTTTTAGGCTCCACTAATTCACTCATCATGACACTCTTCCATTGAACACCAGACCATAAGATGGATTCCAAAGAACTCAAAAGAGCTCTCAAGTTATTTTCTTTGCCTGTCTTCCACATTGCAATTTGTGCATTGACTTTATCTTGCTTTTCTGCTTTCTCAGCATCTTCGGCTTCTTTCTTCTTCTCCCTTTCACGCATTTCTTGTACTGCCTTACTGCTATTGATTTCATCCAACTCGGCTTGTGTAGGCTGTGATGTCTTTGGGATAAACATATTGAAATCAATGTCAGGAAATGCACTTGCATTATTGTTGGCTGGTTTCCAACTAGGTTGATTGGCTTTTTTGTTTTTCTTTTGTTCTAAAATAGCTTGTTGGCATCGCATAATACCCTGGCTGACTTGTGTACTACGGGATCCTTCCAGTCGTACATATTCTTCATAAAACTGAATAGCTGCTTCAAATAGACATAATCCTTCAAGAGCACATGCTTTACGATGCAAGGCCTTTGTCAATTGTGCTTTCATGGTAGTTGATGCCTCTGTCATGAGTGTGGTTTGGGGTGTTCCTGACTTGATATGTTTACGTGCAAGGTCAATAGCGACAGCACAATCAGCTAAGCAATCATGATATTTACTTTGCTTTAACCGAGCAGCAGCTCGATTATTAGAGAGCAAGACTAAATCACCATGTCCTGTTGGTAAAGATCCAATGGCTAAACTATAGGCTGCTTCTGCTTCTTCAAATCGGTTTTTGTTGAACAGATAATTGCCTTGTTTACGTTCCTTTTCAGCAAACGAGGTAACAGGATCTGATTGTTTGGGCGTAGGTGGCGTAGGTTTGTTTCGTTTGAGTTGATCCAGATATTCTTTTCGACGTTCTTCTTGTTGTTGCTTCCATAAGGCTTCTTGTTCTCTTTCTTTCTCCAAGTCTTCATCATCATCAGAAGAAAGAGGCGCGTCTTTGGGTTCAGCAGGTGCTTTCTTGGGTGATGCTGTTTGTGTGTTTTGGATTAAAATGTCAAGTGCATCTTGTAAGTTGTTGCCTCCTGTGGCTGCTACGGCTACTTTGGCATTCTCAAGTGAGAATCCCATATCGACTAACTGAGCTAAAAGCATATCTGCGGTGGTAGATGTATTTGTGTTGGATGTTCTTGGACTGGAAGACTATATACAGCTTATAAGCATCATCGAAACTGATAAGTGTTGACTTACTGCATCTTGAGAACCAAGATGAGGACTTGCATGATATTGAGATGAAGTAGACTATGAATGACAATTGAGTCTTTCTTTGTCTAGTTGAGAACATGTCTATCTTACCTCTCCTCTTGTTTTTTCATAGGAGCTGGATCCACTAGCGATTGTTTTTATTTTCTTAGTATATTATGATACATGTATGTTAAACCTACTATGAAGATGGTGCAGATGAGCGTTTCTTATCCACAAGAGGATCAAACGATGCCGAAGTAGAATAATGTTTAGGTGGATTAGGATAGTTCTTTTGAGGCGAATATGTAGGGCGTTGAGTTGAGCTCGTATATCTCGGTTGAGGGTTTAGTTCGTGCCAAAGATACATGTTGGTAGGTGTCGTAAACACAGGAATCACCGCTTCACTTTCCTCAAGTGTAGCATAACGACGTTGTGTGGATGGTTTGTTCGGGGATGAATACTTTTGTTGCGGTGTTGTGTTTTCATAGTGAAAGGATGTGCCTTTATTCGGTGTATGATACGACATGTGGTTTATGTAGCTGGTTTCTTGACTCATGTTCAGTAGCGAAACAAAGGAGACAAGAAATATGTTCCCGATTAAAAAAAAATATATATATATAAAGTACGTCAGAATGGTACCACCTAAAAAGAAAGGGCATTTTGTTCTGGAAACACGGCATGATTTCTATCGCGTGCCTTCAGCATACAAATCTTGCGTCGAAGAGCTGTATTTGTAGCATAATAGATAGAGCTGTACTTTACAGCCAAGATATAAGATGTATTCCATAATTCACAAATAAATAAATACAATGTGATGGTTCATAATAAGGGACTCCTGTTTCTACAAGTCTTTTATCTATGAACAAGAGGGAAACACTTTATCCGCTTCATAGAATGGTCTCTTTTTTTTTTATAGTTAAACTATATAAAGGACATAGTGTCTCTTGAAAACACATATCCATTTTGACTTGAGAAAGTATGCAGATCTTCATGAGCCAATAATGAGATTATATTGGTCAAAAAAGCCGAGAATGCACAAGGCTGAATAACCACATACAGGAAATACAAAGCCTGTTTATGCACGCACAAATGCTCAAGATACCTACAGACTATGCTTATTAACATTTAGGGTGCATTTGGAGTTGATTTGGAACAAAAAAAGCGACTTGTGAAAAATGACCAAAAAAATTTTTTTTTGTAAGCGAGTCTTGCTCCAATTTTATTTAAAGTCCTTTAAATGTCAAATGAGGAGAAGAAAAGACTGTGATATTATATGAACTAGACTAAGGGAAAGAGAGAAACGTGCGGTACAAGAATTGGAAAAAATTGAGAGTTTGAGAGAGATTGTTTAATACTTGAAACGGAGTTGACATCATGGATGAAGAGGGAGGGACCAGAAAGGAGAGCAGAGAACATATATGAATTCATATGCATAGATCAATAAATGATGATCATGGCAAAAAACCAGATCACATCTATGGCAATTGCAATGGATCTATAGTCACTGACATTCACTCATTCTACTAGAAGTACTACATCATCCTCATAGTCAGAGATTATGAACCTAGTGACTTTGTTATTATTAACGGCCCTCATAAAGTGACAGTTAGAGCTGACAAATACATTGGCATTGGCATTTGACAAATATGTAATAGTTTATTCAAGTTCAGGTCAGATCATGTACTATTGGCTGAGCTGACAACTTCCTCTAAAGGCATTTCTCTTAATTACTCCTGATCTAACAAATCAATCCGTAGTCAAGAAGCTAACCCCAAAACAATATTTTGACCGAGAAGAAAAAGTATAAGTACCTCGACATTTTATAGCAATTGAAAGATAACATTTTCTTGGAGAAATAAAAACCTATACAAGTTCTAACGGACTTTCTCTGTGTTCTTACCTTTTCTCTTATTGAATATCTACTCTCTCTTCGTCTCACAACAAAGGGGATTTATGGCTCAAAATCAAGGCGGGATTCATCATGTAGCTTATTTGCTAAGCGAAAGACCGCATTGTTGATAGCTTGAGAGAGGAATTGAGTATCGGAAAAAAAAAATAGAATGCCAGTGAGCTTGCCAAATGGCTAGAGCAGTGCATGCAAAGATCTGGAAGGTACTTAAGGAACGGAAACGGAGGAGAGAGACACGAAGAACAATAACCCGGAAGAGGAGGACTTGGCGTAGGAGTTGGACCGAAGGAGCATGGATGTTTGAATTAATATATTGCGGTAAAACATACGACCAGACGGCATACTTGGTGGGACAAAGGAAACAGAAGTGGTGAAGGGTGTTGTGAACATACAGAATCTATATACATATTACAAGTAAATATCAGACTTTATTGCCACGTACAGATATTCATGGCTAAGTGACCAGAATACAGATACAGTGCTGTAATAGATCTTATGCTCGCTTCATCTATGTGGTGATCTGAGCACTTTCAATACAAAATATAATAGATAGCCTTTCATCTTATAGATGAATAATCACTTATAGCACTATACATTATAAATATAAAGTAAGCACTGTATAATGACAGTAAATAACGATAACTGGGATAATATGGATATTTACAAATAAGGAAACCATAATTGTACCTTTTAGGTAACAAGGAGAATTAAAGGAGAATTTATATAATCAATTCCCAGGCACCAGCTGTCAAGGTGTTAAGTAATCAATAATCAGTAATCATAATTAGTCAATAAATCAGGTAGTATAAAAGACAACCTGGAAAAGATATGTTCTAGGGAATAATCAATTTATTTTGTAATAAAGAAGTACTGAACAGTCTCACTGTATTTCTTTGTTTTCTTTTTATTCTAATCTATTTTCATTTTACAACCCAAACATCACAGGAGTAGCATGATTTTGACCATTTGAATTGCTTAGTACCCGATTGACGAGGTAGATTGACTGATTGATCGTGTTGTTCTTGGTATCCAAATTGCTTCTCTTTGAGTCACTGGTACAAACAATTGTCGATTTCAGTACAAACATCCATGAGGTTGTTTAATTCGGTAATTTTGTCTCTTTTAGCGAGCTCGTCCTTGATAAATGGCTTCAAATTCAAAAAATATTGGGACATCAAAGCACAATCATCCCAATTTGTTTTGATGGCCAGAGCACGAAAAGCAGCAGAGTAGGTGGCACAAGAACCAGTTTGTTTCAATGCACGTATTTTGTCAACAGCGGTCTTTTCGGGGTTTGGATCTCCGGAAGCAGTGATCATGGTATGTCTGAAATAATGGTAGCTTGTCTATACAGTACTTCTTTCGTTGACAGGTTGATCCAATTGTCCGAGGTAAGGTTGAATGTAAAGAAAAGCATTACCCCCAGATTATTGATTGCGTAAAGTATTTTAGCTTCATCCGACACAAAACGAGCAGGGTCAGAAGCAAAGATCAGAGCAAACTGAGAGAAGAAAGTGTCAAAATCACTATTTTTGCCAGTGAAAATAGGTGGATTACGCATTTTTAGTGCAGGCAAAGGAGCGTTGTTACTGGTGTCTTCCTTACGAAAAAATAACGTTGGTGTTTAAATAGTCGTGTATTTCCAGACCGAATTGGGCAATACGTTCTTGGAGTTCAACTAAAACGTTTTGTGCGTTCGTGGTCACACGCTCGTTCAAATCTTCATTATTGGTATTAACAAGATTCTGGAGATTATCCAAATCTGTTTTGAGCAAAGACAGACAGTGGTTTAAATTTTCTAGTTGCTGAGGTAAAGCTTCCTTAAGGGCGTGAATCTTGGCAGTAATTTGTTCCATAGGGCTTGACACTGTAGCGAAAAATATTTTTTAAGCAGATAGGTAGATAAAAATACAAGTAGGGTGCGAAAAGTTGGGCAGATAGACAGAGACAGACAGAGAGACAGACAGACAGGCTACACAAACTTTCCAAAATAGAAATAGCGGCTCAAATACTTGTGTAATATACGATTTTCTTTTAGGTAATGTTGCACAAAAAATTTGTTTTTTAGTTTGACAGTGATTGTGGCTTTTATGGACGCAAGAAAATGAAACAATCGGTTGAGTACGTTGAGAATTCATGGAGTTATCCGATTTCAAAGTTTTGACTATACAGGCAGAAGAATACACAAACCGACGATTTTAGTATTCAATTTGTTTGGTCAGTTATAATGTCAGGAACAAGACAGACCGCAGAATACTTTATAGGCAAGATAAGCTTATCAATTGGCTAGAGAATATAGAGATATTTATTATACTATAAGTTGATAATATAACTGACGAAGTAACTCAACGACAAAATAATTAGACTATTTATACTAATATTGAGGTAACATGGAATATAGGTGAGGAAGGGGCTAAGTCATAACATGACGAGGCTTGGCGTTACGTTCTACCTCATGACCTGAGGACTGAGTCATTTGTACATGGGAAAGTGGCATTGTTTGTCTTGGCATTGTTACCTTAAAACTACGCCATAGATGCTGGTAACTAGATGCTGGTAACTTGATGCTTGGAACTAAGGGTTGGAACACTGAGACAAGCGTGCTAAGGCTAACTAGGCTTGCTTGGTTCATGACACTCTTACACTTTTCTCTACCACAGGCTCATTTCTCTTTCCTTATGTTGTGAACATATAGAATCTATATGCATATGATGATCTGACATTAAATAAGTCTTCATTTACATACTAAAAATATATCATAATCAATTTACATCAGAAATAGACATAAAAGAACCTCTTGTACTGAATAAGACAAAGTATCTTTTAATAGATCAAGACGTATAACCGAAGTCCATAATTTATATTATTTAATTAATTTAAAGTAGTCTATGATAATAGAGACTCAGTCATTTGCATGAACCCTACTATTACTTCGACATCTCTTCATGTATAAATACCTAGAGAATGAAGAGCTAGAAAAGAGATATATTTTTTTTTTTGGGATAATAAACCTATACAAGTTCTAATCGACTTCTTTGTTTTTATCTTCTCTCTTATATCACAACAGTGGTAAGTAGAAACAGTATATTTTCAGGTTGTCAATGTGACAGAGCATATAGTATTCGGATTGTAGTAAATCCACATAAATTCTGTTAAACTTGGAAGTAGGGTTGATAAACAAGGATATACCCATTTGTTGACGGTAAGAGTTAGAAACTGCTTTGCCGTATAAATGGTATTGATGCCATGTTGTGGGTATATTTTTTCCTGGAGGGAGCCAGGTCTCTGTGATAAATAAAAGATCGATGTGTTTACAATAATAAAGGACTGAATCAATGGCTTCCTCGCGGAGTTTACCATTGGCATTAATGCACGCTATACTGAGTTTCCTCATTATAACGTTTCATCCATGTTGGTTGTTGTGGTTGTTGGTGAAGGAGTGGTGGTAGTAGTGATGGTAGTAGTGATGGAGCTGTTGTTGAGAGGCTGTGAGTCACTACTGTTGCTGACCTGTGTGGAGAAGGAAGAAGAAGGGTTAGTCTTTTTTTGTAGTTTTGTGGTTTTAAAAGAATCCAAGAAGGATTGATGCTGAGCATCAGAAATTAATTGCTCTTTCAAAAAGAACGAAGCCACAGCTTTAGAGATATGCTCTCGAATGAAGGGCAGAGCACGGACAAGACGTTGGTTGTGCTTTTCAGCAGCAATTTTTGTTTTTTCGGCAATGGATTTGTTGTTATAGATTGGATCAACTAAATTGTTGGGGTCCAATGGCGAATATGATTCCAGTGCTTCGACTTTTGATTTTTTGAGAGTGTCAATCAATTGTTGACGGTAATCGTTGTGCACTAAGAGTGCAACTACGTTACGTGCAGGATAGTGGATATCCAATACACGTCCGTTGGTTACACCCAAAGCTTTGAGGTTGTTGCGCTGAGTTTTTCGACTAATTCTGGCTTTTGAAGGATAGTAGACATAGCTAAAGCCTTGTTGTTCAGTCGTGGGTGGTGTGAAAGCTCTGATAGCTGTAGAGATATTTTTTTTGTTAGTAGGTTTTTGTGTGTTTTTTTGTTTTTCTATGAGTATTTTTTTGTAGTTTAAGGGTGTTACCGAGCGCTCAGCAAGACGCTTCTTGACATCGAATGGATGAGCGTACTTGGACTGAGTAGCACCAGAGAGAGCAGGAAATTCGACATCATCATCAACCATGACATGATCGTCTTGGTCAATTTGTTGTTGGTGTTGTTGTTGTTGCAATTCGATGATTGTCTGTTGTTTTTGTTGTCTCAACAATTGACGTTCAAGTTCAGCATTCTTTGTTGCATAAAGCTGCAATTGGTTCTTGATTATCTTGTTTTCTCTTTCAAATTCAGACAATTTGTCCTGAAGAGACAAGAGCATATCTTTTAAAAGTGCAATTTCCTTGTCGTTAATTGCACCGTGAATGGTGTTGTTGCTGTTGTTGTTGTTGTTGTTGTTGCTGTTTCTGTTGATGAGTTGACCACTCTTTACTGGAGTGGCAATAGGTGTGCCTTTTTGTGAGCCATTGCTGGCATCACTTGCGACTCTGCTTCGCTTTTTGGCCTGGTGAGAGGCGGTGTTGATTTTGCTGATTGATGCTGTGGCACCACGTGTAGAGGCATCAATGGCTTGTTGAATCTCCTTTTCAACAGCTGAAAAAGAGGTATGATTTTTGCACTTTGCGCATTGAAACACAGGGAGTGCAGGTGTCGATACATTGTTAGCAATGTAGCCAAGTGTGCCAAGTTCAGCACAAGAGGCACAGTTTACCAAGTGATGGTATTTGAAGAATTGCTGCATGATTTGTCGAGCATGAGCTGAGAGGTCAGGGATAGACGCAGGGCGAGTATCTGACATTGTTTGGTGAATTAATTTAATTTTTTTTTTTTTTTTTTTTGTGTATGTGTTTTTTAGGCTGTTTTTTTCTTGTTTTAGTAGGTGTTTTTGTTTGAGCTAATTAATTGATTGGTGTAGAAACTATATCTATTTTTACTGAAGATAAAGATGTTTTCCAAAAGTAGGTGTTGATATGGGAGAGTACGGGATGTAGGGTGTTGGTTTTAAACTCCAATTTTCTTATAAAAAGGGGCTGTTTTTTACGCGCGACCTTACTCGGTTCTTAACCTCGCGCGGTTGGTTAATATTAATTTTTTTTTTATTAGATATCAAGCTAATAATACTATTGTAAGACGATCCCATAAGTCGGGCAATAAAGATACAAATAGCAGATTTTAGGTAGTTAGTAGTTTGAGCAAGCAGAAGAAAAAGCGTGGAGGATTTGACTGGACAGAGGTACTGAAGTGGGTTTCCCAGGCCCAAGCGGATTCGATGTATTACGACAGCACGGGATTAACCAGCAAACGACTTGCATTAAAAAACTCGTGGTCTTGCTCAGAATCGAACTAGTGCCAGAAGCGCGACGTAGATATTTAGGCAGTGATTTAACCAAAGGGAAAAAGAGCACATGCCCGCGCGGTTGGTTAAGGCTTAACATTTAAATTTTATTAATATTCACATATTAATGATACTGTATAACGATCCCATTGAGCGGGCAAAATAAAATACAAATATCAGGATTTGGAAGTAAAGAGATTTAAAAAACATCATGAAAGATGAAAAATTATGTGAGGAGAAATAGACAGTAAAAAAGGGCGGAAGAAGAGTGGAAGTATAGGGGAAAGACAGCAGGGCTTTCAGCTATACGTCGGCTTTGAATGAACATGGCTACAAGGAGGGGACACACAATGCTATGCTTTGGGGAACTCGTCTTGAAAATGTTGATTAAAGTTGTTGATTGTCTGCATGAATTAAGTGACTGTTGTAAAGGAGTGTGAAGATGTTTAAGAGGGGTTTAAATTTTTTTTGGTTTTTTCTTTTTTATATATTTTTTTCCCCTGTTATATGATTTTTCTTTTTTTTTTTTTTTTTTTTTTGTTTTTTTTTTTGTACTTTTTGTTTTTATGTTAGTCTGCAAGCCACTTGTAGAATGACTCTCCTGGATTAGGTTCGTCTTGGAAGGGTTCTTGCGACTTGTGACATATTTGGTCAACAATAAAGAGGATATTGAGTAGGTCAGACCATAGAGGCTGCCACTTTTGTATTTGTTGTTGTTTTTTTGTTGGTGTTTTTGGTTTTTCAGACGGCAATAGTTTAAGTATTGCGTCGATTGGGTTGACGTCGTTGACAGTTCCACGTTGTATTTGATCCCAATAGGGTGTTGGGATTGCAGGACAGTTCAATATATGGTTTCGACTCATCACACCGCCACAATAGCATTGAGGCCGGCCACCAGGCAACCAGTTCATTCGCCACCTTAGTAGTCGCCTACGTTCCTTGCGTGTCATGGGGAGAGTGAGGATGGGGTCTATTTGTAAATCAGATCTACAAGCCTTTATCATTGTTTCCGAGGAATTTCTGATGGCGTTCGATCGATATTTGGAGAGGATTTTTTTTAGTTTCTTTTTTTCAGTTATATTTACAGTGGGAGTACTGATGAATTCTTTGTGGAGAGGGTTTTTGTTGCGGATGATATTGAGGCGACTATAGCGCGTGGTGGAGGAGTGAACTTGTTTGATCAATGACTCTGGTGGGAGCCATTGCAAGCGAAGGTTGTATTTGGTGTTGAGGGTATACCAACGTTCCATCATAGAAGGTAGGTTGGCCATGACCCGGAGTGCTTTTACTGATGCTGTGGCGTGACCACCGACGATTAATCGAAGGCAATCATCCTGCATGCGTTCAAGAGCAGCGATGTTGGTGGCGTTGATGTTGGTGACACACAAACCGTATTCAATCTGTGGTCGAATGAATTGTTTATATATTTGTATGCTGAGAGGTAAGGAGAAACCATTGGCACGAGTACCAATGTCATGCATCCTGTGCATACTTTTTTTTGTTTTTTCTTTGTTGTAGGTGATGAATAGTTGCGTATCCATCCCAAGGTAGTTGAATTGCATACCGAGGTATTTGAAGGTGGTGGTGGTAGGTATGTTGATGTTGTATAGCTGGTAAGTCGGAAAGGAAGGTGGGGGTGTAGGAGGAGTGAGAATGGCACATTTAGTCGGTGACCATCTGTAGCCAAGTTGTAAAGAGTGTTGTTCAGCTATTGCAAAAAGGTTAGTCATGTTGTCGGTATCAGAAATCAGAGCGATATCATCAGCAAACAACAAGCAGTTTATGTTTTGTAACGGAATAGAGGAGGAAGGGATAGAATTACGAAGTAGTTGTGGAAGGGAATTGATATAGATAGAGTAAAGATGGGGACTGAGGACACTGCCCTGCAGTACGCCCGTAAAAGGAGTGAAGAAGTATGATTGATGGTTACCATTGATGACTTGGATATTGACATGATTAAATAAATCTTTCAAAATATTTAACAGTCGAATATTGCAGTGAGGGTACATGGCATCCCAAACAATGTCTCTATCTACAGTGTCGTAGGCCTTTGCAATGTCAAGAAAACAAATCACAGGTGATTTATGATGTTGTCGGGTATATTGATGCATCAATTCATCTAAACAAACGGCTTGATCGATCGCACTCAAGAAGGGTTTGAAGCCTCCTTGGACTATGTCAATGAAGTCTGTTTCATCATAAAGTTGTTGTTGTATGCTATACTCCATTATCTTTCGAAAAATGGAGGTCAAGCTGATTGGCCTGAAATTGGCTGGATCAAGTTGGTCACCTTTACCTTTGTAGATCGGGACGACTTGAGAAGTGCGCCAAAGCAAGGGAGTAAATCCAAGAAGCCAGCAGGCACGGAAAAGGAGTGTAAGGGGTTGAGCTATGATATCGGCCACAGGTTTGACCATTTCTGAAAGAATATGATCGCTGCCTGGGCTTTTTTTAGTGGCGAGTTTTTTGATGGAATCTACAATTTGATCTTGCATAAAAGGGCAGTCGTCGAAATTGTAGTCGGAATTAGTGGTGTTGGGTGAAGGAAAGGAAGGAGATTGTAGGTGCAAAGGAATGTTTTTGGGCTGAGGTATGTATTTACCATCAAAGATACCTTCGAGGTACTTTGCCATAGTGTTTGCTGCATGCTGAGGACCGTCAATAGATCCGAAGCGGTTGCTATTTTTTTGTCTAGAGTTTATGATTTTTTTTATAATGGGCATAGCCGCAGTAGGATCTTCATCCAGCTCGTCACAGAACTTGCGATATGCAGAGGCTCGTGCTTGCTTTACTGCTGCTTTTAATTTTTTATCTGCATCTTTATACTTACGCCACCAGAGACCTTTTTGGATGCCATAGGCACGACACCAACGAAAGTAACAGGCTTGTCTATAGTTTGATGCAGTCTGTAGAGACTTGTTCCAGAACCATCGCCAAGTTTTCGGACGATAGTCGGATTCGGTCAAGATGTTGTCAAGGGTATAATACAGACAATTATAAAATTGCTGTGTGAGATATTCAAGAGTGGATCTGTTATCTGTACATTGGTCTTGTAATAGTTCTGTTGAAGAAGCTATTAGATAGTTGATGAAATCAGATAACTTGGATTCCAGTTGTGTTTGGTGCAATTGTTGTTTGAGTGTACGGCGATACGCTTGAAGAACATCGAGTTCTTGTAGGCGCACCACTTTCCACTTTTTGCGTTGTTGTGGCTGTTGATCGTCAGCAAATGAAAGGTCATCCCATAAGAATGAAAAGACCAGCATTTTGTGATCAGATCCTAGGATCGCAAGGTCGGTTTTAATTTGTAAATCAGCTTGTTGAAAGTCTGATGTGGATATAAAATAATCAACAATACTGTTGTCAGTAGTATTGCTTTGTTGGCGATAGTTGATACGGGTTGGAATACCATATTGGCATTTAACATTCCAGTTGTACCAGTGGTTGTCTTGTATGTGCTTGGATAATTTTGATCCACGTGGATTCCAACGAAGGTCACCAGTGTACTTACCCATTCTAGCATTGAAGTCGCCGCATAGAATTGTATTGTTGCTTAAAGGAATGGAATTGATTATTTGCATAGTTGTATTGTTATCTAAAGAAGGGAAAGGTGGTAAGTAGAAACAGTATATTTTCAGGTTGTCAATGTGACAAAGCATATAGTATTCGGATTGTAGTAAATCCACATAAATTTTGTTAAACTTGGAAGTAGGGTTGATAAACAAGGATATACCCATTTGTTGACGGTAAGAGTTAGAAACTGCTTTGCCGTATAAATGGTATTGATGCCATGTTGTGGGTATATTTTTCCTGGAGGGAGCCAGGTCTCTGTGATAAATAAAAGATCGATGTGTTTACAATAATAAAGGACTGAATCAATGGCTTCCTCGCGGAGTTTACCATTGGCATTAATGCACGCTATACTGAGTTTCCTCATTATAACGTTTCATCCATGTTGGTTGTTGTGGTTGTTGGTGAAGGAGTGGTGGTAGTAGTGATGGTAGTAGTGATGGAGCTGTTGTTGAGAGGCTGTGAGTCACTACTGTTGCTGACCTGTGTGGAGAAGGAAGAAGAAGGGTTAGTCTTTTTTTGTAGTTTTGTGGTTTTAAAAGAATCCAAGAAGGATTGATGCTGAGCATCAGAAATTAATTGCTCTTTCAAAAAGAACGAAGCCACAGCTTTAGAGATATGCTCTCGAATGAAGGGCAGAGCACGGACAAGACGTTGGTTGTGCTTTTCAGCAGCAATTTTTGTTTTTTCGGCAATGGATTTGTTGTTATAGATTGGATCAACTAAATTGTTGGGTCCAATGGCGAATATGATTCCAGTGCTTCGACTTTTGATTTTTTGAGAGTGTCAATCAATTGTTGACGGTAATCGTTGTGCACTAAGAGTGCAACTACGTTACGTGCAGGATAGTGGATATCCAATACACGTCCGTTGGTTACACCCAAAGCTTTGAGGTTGTTGCGCTGAGTTTTTCGACTAATTCTGGCTTTTGAAGGATAGTAGACATAGCTAAAGCCTTGTTGTTCAGTCGTGGGTGGTGTGAAAGCTCTGATAGCTGTAGAGATATTTTTTTGTTAGTAGGTTTTTGTGTGTTTTTTTGTTTTTCTATGAGTATTTTTTTGTAGTTTAAGGGTGTTACCGAGCGCTCAGCAAGACGCTTCTTGACATCGAATGGATGAGCGTACTTGGACTGAGTAGCACCAGAGAGAGCAGGAAATTCGACATCATCATCAACCATGACATGATCGTCTTGGTCAATTTGTTGTTGGTGTTGTTGTTGTTGCAATTCGATGATTGTCTGTTGTTTTTGTTGTCTCAACAATTGACGTTCAAGTTCAGCATTCTTTGTTGCATAAAGCTGCAATTGGTTCTTGATTATCTTGTTTTCTCTTTCAAATTCAGACAATTTGTCCTGAAGAGACAAGAGCATATCTTTTAAAAGTGCAATTTCCTTGTCGTTAATTGCACCGTGAATGGTGTTGTTGCTGTTGTTGTTGTTGTTGTTGTTGTTGCTGTTTCTGTTGATGAGTTGACCACTCTTTACTGGAGTGGCAATAGGTGTGCCTTTTTGTGAGCCATTGCTGGCATCACTTGCGACTCTGCTTCGCTTTTTGGCCTGGTGAGAGGCGGTGTTGATTTTGCTGATTGATGCTGTGGCACCACGTGTAGAGGCATCAATGGCTTGTTGAATCTCCTTTTCAACAGCTGAAAAAGAGGTATGATTTTTGCACTTTGCGCATTGAAACACAGGGAGTGCAGGTGTCGATACATTGTTAGCAATGTAGCCAAGTGTGCCAAGTTCAGCACAAGAGGCACAGTTTACCAAGTGATGGTATTTGAAGAATTGCTGCATGATTTGTCGAGCATGAGCTGAGAGGTCAGGGATAGACGCAGGGCGAGTATCTGACATTGTTTGGTGAATTAATTTTTTTTTTTTTTGTACGTGCTTTTTTCTTGTTTTAGTAGGTGTTTTTGTTTGAGCTAATTAATTGATTGGTGTAGAAACTATATCTATTTTTACTGAAGATAAGGATGTTTTCCAAAAGTAGGTGTTGATATGGGAGAGTACGGGATGTAGGGTGATGGTTTTAAACTCCAATTTTCTTATAAAAAGGGGCTGTTTGTCACGCGCGACCTTACTCGGTTCTTAACCTCGCGCGGTTGGTTAAGTGGTATAATCTTCGCCTGCCACGCGAAGGGCCGGGGTTCGATTCCCCGACCGCGCAATCTTTTTTTCTTCACACATTGTGATATGTGTAGCCAAATAAAGGCGAAAAGTTCCTGTCTGTTTTGAAAGAGAATCTGGCGATATCTTACCTTAATCTTTTACATTTGAAGCAAATATGCTTGATTTCGCTCCATTTTTTTTTTTTTTTTATTATCTATGAAATAGGCCTAATATTGAGCCTGTGTTGTGCCGGCTTTGTCCATATTTTATCGTCAAAGCTGACTTCTTTTTTTTTTTTTTTTTTGAAGAGAAAAATAAGCTGTTGAAATGTTTAGTTAGATACTAGTATTCCGCTTAATGTTACAAAGTGAAAGGAAATGAGACAATTGCAACTTTAATTTTCCTGTAGAGACATATGCTTTACCTACAAGCTGGTTTATTATCGAGGTCCTAGATAGATTTAAAAAAAAAAAAAAAAAAAAAAAAAAAAAAAAAAAAAAAAAAAAAAAAAAACTTTGTATCTGCTTATATAAAAGAATCTTAGCATTCGATGTCAATAAACTTTTGTCATTATATACTCTGATCTTATTTCTCAAAGTTTCAGTCAGGCTTTTGGCTGCATACACTACTTTATAGACAATAGGACTATCTACAACAAAACAAGTTTATTTACTATCATTATTTAAATTGGTCTTCTGTAACACCCTTGCCCATGGCGGCAGTGGCACTCATACCACCGGTAACCACCTTCATTAATTCATCTACATAGTTGGCACCCGACCATTTCTGGTGTTGCAGAACATCTACTCCATGTTCTCTTTCCTTTCGTTGCACATTAGATACATAACCATACATACCACTTTCCTTAAAGCTCTTTGCAAATGTGGCTATGATAGAATGAGTAAGCAAATGAAGTCATGGTATTGTATTTTACTATTTACCAGTAGCAAGAGCATTAGCATGAAGACCGCCAAGGGTGATGAATTGCCAGACAAAACCTAATTTGCCCAATTTTTGTATAAAGGAGCCCATATCATTATCGGTTAATCCAGCAGAATCCCTACGAAAAAAAAAGAAATCAGATCTTATTGTCCCATACTAGTCGCAAAACTTACCAGTTAAATGAAGGAGACAAGTTATAACACAATAATGAATCAGGCGAAGCACTCAAGACACCCTTAGAAAATTGTTCAGCTTGAGATAAAATGGGTTTCTTTGTTTCCATCCAAAGCATATCAGCATAAGGTGAAAAAGCAATGGAACGAGAAGTAGCAGCTTCAGTACCACCTTCGTAGCGGTACATGCCTTCACGAACTCTACAAGAATCCCAATCCCAGAAGATGTTGATACCGTATTCATTTTTGGCAATAGCACGAGCTTGATCGTTAGACTTGAAGCGAATGTCTGACAAGAACTTCTCAGCCAATTGACCATTACCCTGAATAATGAGTTCTTCGACAACAGCAGTACCGTAACGCTTTAACCCAGCCTTGGAAATCCAGTCATCCTCAATAGCTTGGAGAGCGGCTCCTTGAATACCTTTGGATTCAGCTTCATGCATCACAGTAGCCAAGGGCTTTACGTTAGGATTTGTTGTACCAACAATAAATTCATGATCACGAGGGTCAATGTTGCTAGAGATCAAAGTGGCAGCTTCAGCATCGGTACGAGCGACAACAATGTTGTCAACACCCATGATATCGTATTGAGCACGAATAGCAACGAGGCGGTTGATATGTTCAGAAATAGGCACCAATACCTTACCAGCCATATGCCCACACTTTTTAGTAGCAGGAGATTGATCCTCAACTACATCATATTATTAAAAAAAAAACTCTCATCTAATTTATGCAACTTACCATGGATACCAGCAGCACCACGTTCAACAAACATCTTGGTCAACTTCATAACAGCAGTAATACCACCATGGCCAGTATCACCATCAGCAATGATAGGTCTCATATAATCAATCTTGAGAGTCTTTGCACGTTCTTCAGGTGTCATGGAAAGACGAGCTTCGCGTTGCTTACGATCATGGAAGAGTTGGGCAAAGAACAAATGTTCGACCTTATTGGGAACAGTGTCCATAGGATAGTCAGCAAGATCAGGTCCGGGTTCGTTAGAGGTAGAAGCAGTGGAAGAACATTGCCATCCAGAAACATAGACAGTGTCAAGGTGAGGGGCCATTTGAGTGACTTGTACAGGATCAAGAGCACCAAATGTATGAGAAGTATGACCGGTGGCCTTGTTGTGTTGAAGAATGTTCCACAACTTTTTGGCTTGAACATTGGATCTGTATTCAGTAGGGAAAGAACCACGCTTGGATACAATGGATTCGGCGGTATATGGGCGCTTGACTAACTTGAAACGAGGAGAAGCCCACCATTGCTTAACTTTTTCGACTTTTTTTCAATATTGATTCAAAGGGGGCGAAAATATAAAAAAGGGTTGAAATGATCTTCTGCAAAGGAGTGCACATAAAAAAACACAACAGATAAACTATTCGGCAGTGTCCTGCCAAGCAAAGAAAAAAAAATATGTGCATCATATCTTATATGCGATGTACTGACTGTGGCAAATATGCATTTTCTCTTTTAAATAAATAAATAAAAAAAAGATGCATAAAAACACTAGCAAGCTCTCTGTGGTTCCCCGGAATAACCGTCAAAGATTTCAGTGGAATAATTCAGAAAAGTGGCAAAACAACCAAGTCATTTTACATCTTGGCATCATTTATGCAGCCTGTATAATATCCCCTTTTTTTTTCTTGAGGCAAGAAGAAAGAGGGTTTGTAAAGTAATTGCAGCTTGCATAGAAAAAAATATACTTTTCTGATCAGAAAAAAAGGAGATCCAATAGGGAGTGAAGACAAAAAGGCTTCTCAGCTATATCTTTGCGTCAAGGAAGGAGGTTGCGGCAACAATTTCAATATATTATTAGAGAAAAAAGTTCTGAATGCTCCTTTAATCAGCCCCTGAGTTTATTTTCAACCATGTTTTCTTTCAATTCTTTTCTCGTCACTTGCAATGCAGACTACCTAATGTATAGTAACTGGGGAAGGGTGAATTGAATCTGCATCCTTTCTTATGTATTACATACAGTGCGTTAAGGTAGTCCTGGCTTTTTTATACCCTACAATTTCAGGAGAATGTACCTTAAAAAAGTATAGGCCAATAAATTAGATAGACAAATATGAAGACAAAGTTTTAGACTTGACAATGCAAAATTAATTCAAACTTACGGATGAGTTCCAATCCGAAGTCTTGCAAGAGTTAGAGGTCATATCATCCTGAAATTTTGTAGGTTACCTGCATCATGTCAAAGCACATGGACTTAAAGTTTAGCAGACACATTGCTTGTTCCAGGAAGGCGTTACTTTTGTCTGAATTCATTTATCTTAGGGGAAACAATGAGTTGGGATGTTTTGTGAAGAATGATACATTAAAGAAACGACAAACTTGGCCATAATCTGCTCTTAAATACTACAAAAAGAGAGCATAAATTGACCGAGAGTGTGTGGATCATAGATAAAAGAGCAAGGATAGCAATATACGCCGAGTTGAAAGCATCCTGCTTATGCTTAGAATCTATTCAGTACAGCGGGAGATTTTTATATACGTTTTTTTAAGGCCAAATATATGTATTAAATTGAACAAGCAAGATGATTGATTGAGTCAATAATATGTAGTCCTGGCGGAGCAGACAGGGACAAAGAAAGCAGATAATGTATAGACAGATACTCGGATAAATTTAATGTAAAAAACAGAATATTGTAAGAGTCAAGCTTCATTTATGAAATAAGCATGATATTCAAATATATCTTAGGAACATGTCTTGACAAGTCTGTTTTACATATTTAAGAAAAGACATTGCAAGTACCACAACTTGGTCTAATTTGTCAAACCGAGTTACCCTATTTTCGAGGGTGCAGCTTCAAAACGGTATGTTTTAATACGGTGTTTGATTTTGAGTATTATGGTCCGACGAATGGCATCTCAGTCATTGACGGATCTCAAATCATTGACACTCAGAGTGAATAAACGCAAGCTGGGCAGTCTTTTGGATGTCTAAGTTCTTTGGTACACATGATGGAAGCTTAATCTGTTTTGCGTATATCCTAATTTTATTCGTCTTCAAGAGAAATGAAAAATAATTTTATATACAAAATGTTAAGATAAATTTATCAATTGAGATTATAGAGAGTATCAAATAAGAAACAAATGATAAAATTGGCAATACATACTTTTCTCCTTTATATATATATTCAAGTCATTCTGTTAATATGTATAAAGAAAGTTCAATTCAAATGGATACTTGCTTTCTCAAGCAGATAAGAAATCCGTACTAAAGCATACAATATCCTTTATTCGGAGGTTGATTCATAAGTTTCTTCCATCACAAAAATATTCTGGTCTCTAAAAAAAAAAAAAAGCGCGCTTGTTCTTTTCTCTTTTTCTCTTTCTTTTTCTCATCTCATACCAAAGTCTTTTTATCTTCTATGGCGTTTGATCAACCTTCTCAATCAACAACGCATAGACCAGCTGAACAAAGCAATGAGGTGTCGTTGCCACGTATTGCTTCGGAAGAATGGGAATACAACAGATACAACCCCGGATCCATAGCCAACAGAGCTTATCCCCCTCCCCCTCCTCCTAATACTTCTTATCCACCACAAGTACCTCATGAGAATTACGCTACAGTTTATCCTCCTCCCCCTCCTTCTTGGGAACAGGTAACAAAAAACAAATAGAAAACTACAATACTAAACTAAAGTTAGACTCGTCAATATTCACCACCCAATAGAGAGTATCCACCTACTTATCCACCTCCACCACCACCTTCTTTGTATGATCCAATTCGTAATAGTAGTTATATAAATCCACCTGTATGTATTTGCCTATACAAACATGCTGTTCATCATTTTTTTTATATAGCCACCTGAATCACTTATTCCCCCACAACAGGTAAATATATATATATATATTCATACGCAGTCGAAAAAAAAAAACTCATAAAATAAATCATAGGGACGTAACCAAGCAGTCATTTCACCTGTTATGTCAATATCTCAATTGCTTTCATCAGAAAATCCAGTCTATTCTCCTATTACTGAGCCTTTGAGCCATCCTTATGATCCTATTGAGCGACGCAATCCAGGTATTCAAAACCTACTTAACAAAGATCAAGAAGAACGATATCAAATGGCAGATTCCGATACTGATACTGAAGATATCCCATTAAGCAAAGCACCCAAAATGGAGAACGATGCACCTTTTGTTCAAAATAAGGTAACCATCATGGATGATCACCATAGCAACTCACATTTTGATAGAATAAAATCATTCGCCCTCATAGTGAATTGAGTGATTCTTTTAGTGAACAGAGTGATACAGAAGAAAGACCTCAGCCAGTCAAGACACTGGCTCAACGTACTCGTGAAGAATTTGCATTTTCTGATGGTGAAGACGATGATGATGAAGTATTGCTTACTTATCGTGAAGAAATGATTCAATTCATGGTCGAAGTACACAAAAGAAAAAAGCGCATCCTTGAAGAACACGAAAAGAAGGAAGCTTCAAGACATACTAGGATTAAAGAACGCCTTGAGCAGCTGTATGAGAAGCGCTATGGCACACCTATGCCTAAGCCTAGTAGTCACAAAAAGAAATCATCAAAGCAAATCAAACGCATTAAACTTAGTCATATGCTCAGTGATGGTGAATCCACCGATACTGAGTTGCAGGATAACAGAACAGGACGCAAGATAGAAGATGAACGTCGTAAGATCTGGTTGACTATTGCACGTAAAGATATTCCTAGAATGACCCGTATCTTGTCTCGAGTTCAAGCAACTCGATCTGGTAACTGCAAGAAAGTGGCCCAATACTGTCAAAAAGAACTGCGTCGTGCTGCTACCAATGGTGGTCGTGCTAATCGTGATATGCAAAATAAAGCCAAGCGTGTCAACAAGGAAATGTTGTTGTTCTGGAAGAAGAATGAAAAGGAAGAACGAGAATTACGCAAGAAAGCAGAAAAAGAAGCATTGGATCGTTTGAAGCAAGAGGAAGAAAGAAGAGAAGCTCAAAGACAAGCACGTAAACTCAACTTTTTGATTACGCAGACAGAACTTTACAGTCACTTTATTGGCAGAAAGATCAAGCAGGATACAGAAGAAGACGATGAGACTGCCCAGCCTGCTCCTTCTGGTCTATCTACACCCTTGGCTCCTATTGCAGTGGGTGATGAACTGGACGATACTGCTGGTATTACACATGTGGGTGATGTTGATTTTGACGAAGAAGATGAAGCCATATTGAAAGAAAAGGCAAGATTAAGTGCACAGAATGCTTTAGCTAAGCAGCGTGAACAAACAAGAGAGTTTGATCAAGGTGCTCGTGAGAGACGCTTGGCAGCTGGTGACGATGTAAATCTCAATCAAATGGACTTTGACAACATGAATTTTCAAGAACCATCCAGTATGGGCTCAGGTCCTGAAGTCACACAGCCTACAATGCTTATGTGTCAACTTAAGAGTTATCAACTCAAAGGTCTCAATTGGCTTGCTAATCTTTATGAACAAGGTATCAATGGTATTCTTGCAGATGAAATGGGTCTCGGAAAGGTAAGACAATATACAGCCCTGTATCATGCCACTAACTTTTTGTGTAGACTGTTCAATCTATTTCTCTTTTAGCTTATTTGGCAGAAGTACATAATATTTGGGGTCCATTCTTAGTCATTGCACCCGCTTCAACACTTCATAATTGGCAGCAAGAATTCGCTAAATTTGTGCCTCAATTTAGAGCTCTTCCTTACTGGGGTAACCCTAAGGACAGAAAAGTGTTGCGTCAATTCTGGAACAGAAAGCAACTCTATGGCAAAGATGCACCCTTCCATATTGTGATTACCAGTTATCAACTTGTTCTCACAGACGTTACTTATTTCCAGCGTGTGAAATGGCAATACATGATTCTTGATGAAGCTCAGGCTATCAAGAGCTCTTCCAGTGCTCGTTGGAAACAATTGCTTGGTTTCCATTGTCGTAATCGCTTATTGTTGACGGGTACACCTATTCAGAACAGTATGCAAGAATTATGGGCCTTGCTTCACTTTATCATGCCAACCTTGTTTGATTCACATGAAGAATTCAGTGAATGGTTTTCAAAGGACATTGAAAGCCACGCAGAAAATAGAGGTTCATTGAACCAACACCAGTTGAGGCGTCTACACATGATTTTGAAGCCTTTTATGTTGCGCCGTATCAAGCGTAATGTTCAGCATGAACTGGGTGAAAAGATTGAAGTCGAGATCTATTGTGAATTGACAGCAAGACAAAAGGCATTATACCGAGGACTGAAAGAAAAGATTTCGATTTCCGAACTATTGGAAAAGGCAACTTCATTAGGTGAAATTGAAAACATGGATAGTTTGATGAACTTGGTTATGCAGTTTAGAAAAGTGTGTAATCACCCTGAACTATTTGAACGTGCTGATGTCGAATCACCTTTGTCGTTTTGTCATTTCAGCGAGACAGGCTCTCTTTCTAAAGAAACATCACTTTATTGTCCTTATTCTGCAACCAGTCATATCAAATATCATATCCCCAAGAAGTTCTACAGAAATGGTGGTTTCCTCAAAGTGGTAAGTCCAGATACAAATGCTGGATTCAAGGCGAAATATGTCGATAATATGTTGAGCATATGGAATACAAGCCATATTTATGATTCTGAATTCTCAAGTATGTTTAATTGTGCATTGTATCTTAGTTTATTAATTACTGTCTAGATGCTGGATTTTCATTCTTGCGATTTGTGGACACTTCACCTTCTGAAGCCAGCTATCTTTTCAAAGCAACACTTGTAGAGAAATGGATAGACTATTTAGCTAAAAGAGATCAGCGGTCCAGAAGAAGAATGTATCCTTCATCAAACACATCTAGCTTGTTCCTTATCAAAGAGGCTACACAGCTAATTGATCCTTTATTGATCACACCAGATTCTGCTTTAGATGAACTCACCCATATATCAGATACTTTTGTTCGAGCCATACGCTTATTTGGACAATGTTACATGCCAGCAGTAAGTCATGTTTGGTATAGAATGTACGAAAAATAACCATTTCAACTAGGTGAAAGCCGTTCCTGTTGATATTATATGTGATGATATCTCATTTATTCGTGAAAAACAAGACTATATGTTTGATATCAACACAAGATCATGTCTTTTTGGCACACCAGAATATGTGACAAAGACAAAGCCCGAAGAAGCCTCTAACCTGTCTGTTGTTGTACGAAAACAAGAAAGAGGTATCATGACTGTGCCATCCAACGGCTATGGTTTCTCTTGGATGAAGGTTCCATGTAAGTAACGACTAGTTATGTATCCATAATGTACTCACCTATTTGTAAAGCCATGAAGGATTTGATTTTGGATTCTGGCAAATTAGCTACCATGGACAAACTATTAGAAAGACTCAAGTCAGAGGGTCACCGTTGCCTGGTCTATTTCCAAATGACACGTATGATCGACTTGTTTGAAGAGTACATTGGTTATAAACAATACCGCTATCTTCGACTTGATGGTTCGTCCAAGATCTCTGATCGTCGTGATATGGTTCAAGATTGGCAAACACGTCCTGAAATCTTTATCTTCTTGCTTAGTACTCGTGCAGGTGGTTTAGGTATCAATTTGACAGCAGCCGATACGGTCATCTTTTATGATAGTGATTGGAACCCTACTGTGGATCAACAAGCCATGGATCGTGCACATCGTCTAGGTCAAACCAAACAAGTGACTGTCTACCGTTTGATTACCAAGGGCACCATTGAAGAAAGAATCCTTCAAAGAGCTAAACAAAAGGACGAGATTCAAAAGGTGGTCATTTCAGGTGGAGAATTTAGACAAGTGGACTTTAAACCCAGAGAAATTGTATCACTTCTTTTGGATGATGAAGGTAAATTCATGCTTTATCTGATCAAACTTATTGACATGTTCTAGAATTGGACGATAAACTGCAATTACAGCTGAAACGTAAAGCAGAAGAAGAGGAACAACAAAAGAAATCAAGGCCGACAAAGCGATCCCGAAAGCAAGCATTGGCAGCGGAAGGTTCAAAAGAATCTACACCAGCCCTGAGCCCATCCAATGTGGATCGACTCTTTAGTGCAGGAGAAGATACATTTAATACAGAAGAAGATACAAGCAATAGTTCATCACCAGCTAAAAAGACAAAGGGTACACGCATTGGACGACCGAGAACCAATTTTTCTTTTACTGGTTAAAATTGATTTTTCATAAAAAAAATAAATAATGTTATACAGCTAAACAGAAAAAATACTGGATGTCTTTTCATGATTTTTGGAATCAAATGCTTTCCATCCATGAACAAGATTCCCAAAGCATAATACTGTAAACCGTGTAGAATAAAAGCTTAGGTTGTTTATTTAGCAAAATGACATTTGATGTAGTTACTATCTGCATCAATCATAGCTTAGTATTGGTTGGTCATATTGTCTATCAAGCATGTAGTAGTATGAATGCAATGATTTGAAGCAATTATGTAATTGACAAGATAGTGGTATTCAACTACTTCCTCGTATCCGTGTCAATATTTTACATAGACTGGTTCATATCTGTTACCCCTTCTACTCTCTGCTCTTTCTTATAATCTAATGTAACAATATAAAGATTATTTATGTATCTCATGCTCTGCTTAATTTTTTCTTTTTTTTTTTACAATAAAGTGTATAGACAAAAAGTATTGAATGAAGAAAAATTTTTTATTAGGGAAACCCATCCTGCAACCGGGATGACTGTCGGTTCCGACAATGTTGAATGTCGATTATATAAAATAAAAACAATATGTATATAAAAACAAAAAAGAAAATTATCTAACAGTTAATGAAAAGACATGATAAATAGCATTGAAACAAGGGATATGAAATGCAGTTTGTTGAAAACGTTATAGAGCTTCTTAGAACTTGAGTTCTCTGGGGTGTTCCCAGGTGAATTCATCACGACCAAAGTGACCGTAGGCAGCAGTCTTTTGGTAGATGGGCTTGAAGAGATCAAGATCTTTGACAATAACACCGGGACGGAGGTCGAAGTTTTCACGGATGATCTTGACCAATTCAGCAGTGGACTTTTCAGAGGTACCGTAGGTGTCAACGAAGATAGAGAGAGGTTCAGCAACACCAATGGCATAAGAGAGTTGGACGAGAGCACGACGAGCAAGCTTAGCGTGAACCAAAGACTTAGCGATCCAACGAGCAGTGTAAGCGGCAGAACGGTCGACCTTGGACCAATCCTTACCAGAGAAGGCACCACCACCGTGAGCACCCCAACCACTATTCAAAAAAAGATTTAGGGTTAAACAACCGCCCAGAAAATTTTTTCAAATGAAAAATTTTTTAACTTACCCATAGGTATCAACAATGATCTTACGACCAGTCAAACCGGCATCACCTTGAGGACCACCAATGATGAACTTACCAGAAGGTTGCAAGTGGTAGACAGTGTCCTTCAAGAGGTGTTCAGGGATGACAGGCTTGATGATGTGTTCCATCAAGGCCTTACGGAGGTCTTCGGTTTCGATTTCAGCAGCGTGTTGGACAGAGATGACAACGGTGTCAACACGAAGGGGGACCATGGCACCGTTTTCGTTCTTGTATTCAATGGTAACTTGGGTCTTGGAATCAGGACGCAACCAACCGAGAGTACCGTCACGACGGAGGTCAGCCATACGCTTGTTGAGCTTGTGAGAAAGGACAGCAGTCAAGGGCATCATTTCAGGAGTTTCATCAGTGGCATAACCGAACATGATACCTTGGTCACCAGCACCAATGTCTTCAATGTTGAAGGACTTTTGAACCAAACCTTGAGAAATATCAGGGGATTGTTGTTCAATAGCAACCAAGACGTTACAGGTCTTGTAATCAAAACCCTTTTCAGAGTCATCGTAACCAATTTGCTTGATGGCGTTACGGATGATCTTTTGGTAGTCGAGGTTAGCCTTGGTGGTAATTTCACCAAAGACCATGATCATACCAGTCTTGGCAGCAGTTTCACAAGCGACCTTAGACATGGGATCTTGAGCCAAACAGGCATCCAAGATAGCATCAGAGACTTGATCACAGATCTTGTCTAAGAGTACAGTCAGTACAATTCGTTTTGATAGACATTCATGTGTAACTTACCAGGGTGACCTTCACCGACAGATTCAGAAGTAAAGAGGAAAGTTTCGCTCATGTTAACTGTAATATAAAACCAAAGAAAGGTATAACAAAAAAGAAGAAAAAAAAAGCTTGCAAAAAATAAATCAGATTATATTTATATGAAAAAAAAAAATTAGGAATCAATTTGAAGCCACTTTTTCAGGCCAATTAGATACCGTCAAATTGATAGGTTTAGCCAATCATGGCTAGGTAAACATTCAATCGCGACATAGTCAATCAAATTCGCTGATCTTTGGTCTGAAATCTAAGATAATTGCGAGACAATAAATAAGCGGTGTGTCTCAATGACCATAATTGATAAGGGGCGCATCATTTTTTTTACTGCTTTTTTGTTTCTCCTTACACAAGATCTTCTCTCTCTTGCGCCTTTAGCCTATTAGCAGACGACAACGCATTCAAATTTGATCAAACTGAAAGATCTAAATCACGTGTCGATAAGAAGCACCTATTCTTCTAAACAACTCCAGTGTTTTTTTTTTTGAATACAAGGCATAGCAAAATTGTCAAATGCTCTAGACAGGAACTGTTTGTTTTTTTTTCTGGTCAAAGAAATTGAAGCAGTTTTTTTTGAGCTCAAGATATAATTCTCACGCTTTTTTTTCACACAATTATAATACTTCATACACTGTTACCAACTTGGAAATATTGATCTTCTTATAGCAAAGATTTCTTTTTTACTGTTCTCGAGATAAGTCCTGTTGACGAGTCATTCATGGTTTATTGAATACAGTCATTTCACCTGAGTCTTCTGCTTTATTATTCGCTGTAACAGAACACTGATTATATTTATGATTGTTCCTTCAAAATGCTTTTTATTTTTTATTTTATTTTTTATTTTTTTGCTTGAAATAATCAATCCTTTGAGATAAATACATTGTTCCCCTTCCTTTGAGTTCTATAACTAGTCAAACGACAAGCTTGTTTGTATACAGATTTGCTTTTTTTTTCCCAGGCTTATGATTTCTTTTGAAGCAAGAATTGCTTTATTTCAACAATAGAAAAAAAAAAGAAAAAAAAAAACTATACACTTTTTAAGAAGAAATAACACCCAAATAGTCTTCTTTGATTGTTCCAATAGCAAAAATCTCTGTGGCATCCACACGAGTACCAACAAGTTTTAATCGAACTTGAACATCTTTTTGTATCACCTAATGTTGTGTGAGTCAATGTAAACTGCTGCTTTTCATGTTTGTACCTGATCTTCAGAAGAGTAGCAAGGAGGGTTGCCATTAGCATCAAATCGCATATCAGAAGGTATAAGCTAGTTACAGCAGTTAATTTCAACGCGTCATTTTAAGCCTATACTTACATGATATGACACAAATACTTGTAATGGTCCAACGTCAGCAAAGAAACCCATCTTTTCTTACATGTTATTATACACGTCAACATACACGCATTCATCCTTTACCTTGTTGACTGTGGTTACAATGGCATCCAATACTTCACCTTTGTAGGGCTTAAACACAATGGCTTGATAGCTTAGCTTGAATTCTGCTAAACCTGATCCAGGTAATATCTTGCCTTTGCCAATATCATCCAATGTCAATACCGTAATTACATAACCATATCTTCCTGTACAAGTGCCTTCTACATCAGCATATAGTTTATCCTTGATCTGGTTTTGCATGTTGGGTCCAAAATACGAAGGATGTAGAGAGATGGTATGTGTCAGTTTTTTCTGTCAAAAAATAAATAAAACTGTTAACATTTGCAAACCCATTTGTAGATCATGTTTTTACCAAGAAGAACATGGTGAATGTATTAAATATATAGAATAGAATAGAAAGAAAGAAAAAAAGACAATGATCAACTGGTCTTCTTGTGTCGGATTTAAATAGGCTGATGAGCGTGTCTCTTTTCTCTTTTTTTTTTTTTATTTGATTACAATGTTAATCTATACAAGTTTATTCTAGTAAGAAAACTATTACAAAATTATAGCGAGAAAAAAAAAATGACTTTAAAAAATATCATGAGTTAGGTTTCGTCACCCTTCGGAAATTGTATCTCTGATTTGACAAGTCTTCTGCCAATCATAAAGCTCCTAAGCAACTACAGACTTCAGTTGAATCTAGTTACATTGGGACAGAAAGAAACACTTGATCTACTCTTCATAAGCCAAGTAAACAGAGAAGAAATGCTGAAGAGTTCGATTAGAGATACAATGAAAGCATTATACCTTCTTTTTGTCAAAAGATGTCCTTCTTTTATGCGCTGTTCGAAAACGCTAAAAATTTTTTTTCTTCTGTCAAATATAAATAACGCGGTTGTATTCAATTACTGTTTTTCTTTTTTTTTTTCCCTTAATCACGAAAACTTAAAGGCAAGTATTATATGACTTAAAGAGATGTAATTTGTTCGGTCTATTTTTTTCTTTTTTCAAAAAGATGAGACCAACAGACCTGTTCTGCATGTTTACTGAAGACAACTTCTATTGCCTTTTTTTGCTGAAAGAAAAAAGAAAAAAAAAACGAATTCAATTGCATTTCTTTACCATTTTGTTTTTGACATTTTCTAACCACTTCTATAGGGCTTGTGTTCTTTGAGTTTTTTATCTATTTCTTAAATGCAAGAAACATTAAAGGGTAAGTCTTCATACACTTTAAAGAAATGTGGCTTGTTTTAGTTTTTCTTTTTTTTTTTTCAAAAAGATGAGACCAACAGACCTGTTCTGCATGTTTACTGAAGACAACTTCTATTGCCTTTTTTTGCTGAAAGAAAAAAAAAAAAGAAAAAAAAAACGAATTCCATAATATTTCTTTTGTGTTCTATTTTAAATGGTTACTGACCTTTTTTCTTTCTATAGAACTTGTATTCTTTGGTTGATGTTTTTTCTTTAAAAAAAAAAGTTAAATAAATTATTTCGTAAAAAAAAAAAACTTTCTCTTTTTTACTCTTTTGTAAATGTTTTCTCGGTATCGCTTCTGTATCTTAGCCAAACACAGACATTATTCAACATTTGAGGTAAGATATTTTTATCAAAGGTTGGAACTAACCATGTCTTGCAGAAATTGGGCATATCTCGTTCCACAGTCAAGAAGTTAGAATCCAATTTTAATGTGACACATCCTACCCTAGCCCAAGAACAATTCATCCCAATTCTAATCAACGGGGAGCGAGATCTTTTGATACGTGATCGTACAGGCACAGGTAAAACTTTTGGCACTGCCCTTGCTCTAGCATCCTTAATGCCAACTCGCCATGCTTCATTTGAAAGCGTTTATTCTCTCTATGTTGTTCCAAATCAAGAACTTGCCTATCAGATTGGGCATTGGCTATCCCAATTGACAGATAGCAAACATTTTCAGATCATGGCAGATATCAACACTCAACTGACAGACATCCCTCATACCCTTGTTGGCACCCCAGGTCGAATCTTGGACTGTGTCAACCAAGATAACCTTCCTTTGCATGCTTTAGAACGACTCGTGCTGGACGAGGCAGATCAAGCATTGTCCTTGCCAAAACGATATGCTACTCAGCGTCAACAACAGAAACGAGCCACCCATCCCAAGCCTGCTGAACGCTTATTAGATCACTTATCAGAACACAAGCATCAAACTGTGATCTCATCAGCTACACTGAATAGACCATTGCGATACTTTTTGACACATCAGAAAGGTTGGTTACACAGCCCTTTGTTTGTTGATCTCGTTCATGGTTCTCAATTGGACGAAAAACGCAGTGCCACTGTCAGGCATCATTGCCTGGTCGTTTCTGATGATGCAATTCGAAATATTCATCAACACAAACAAGATGTCCAATCGCGCGACCACAAAGCAGATTTCGACGATACCGATGAGCGCATGATAGAAAGTATTGCTATTTTACAAGACATTGAACCTGTGCAAAACGCTATTTTGTTTGTAGGACCCACTGTCAGTGTCACATCTATACAAGAAAAACTAGCAGAATACAATATTCTAGCCAAAGATATTAAAGACTTCAACACGTCTCGAGAAAAATCAAAATTGTGGATTGCGACTGAATTCACGGCAAGAGGCATTGATATGCCTAATGTATCTCATGTCTTTATCTTGGGGAAGCCTGTCTCTGTCACTTCTTATTTACATATGGCAGGTCGAACAGGTCGTCTTGGTCCTTCTGGTTTTGGCAGCGGAAAGGTCATCAACATAGTGCGAGAACATGGCTGGACAGAATCGAAAATGATAAACATGTATGATATGTTGAATATTCCTATAGAGAAATATGAAAATGTCGAATAATAGTATTAATAATAATAATAATAAAAAAGACATGGTTTATTTAATATCTCGTTTCATTCTGACTGACTTGTTCTTCAGGGAAACCTAGAATAACACGACCAAAGAACTCAGTACAAAGAGTAGCTTGCAGTTTACTAATCATATCCAACAATTTGAATACACGCTTCACAATCTAGAATCGGGTTAGAAACAATAGATGTATACATTCTTTAGTTACCTGTTCTTGTTCAGCTTTGTGGCCATTGCCGATAGAAACAAATGAGTTCAACAAGAAGGCAGTATCCATGATTTCAATCTTATCCAGACTTGTTTCTTCAGGAGTGCAGCGAAGTTGAACTAGAATGGCATACAAACCAATGCGAATACTGTCATACAAGCCCATATCGTTCATTTGCTCTGGTGAATTGAAACCACTGACATAGACCACAAATGCATCCAGTACACGAATAATCCAACTCAATGCTTCTTTATCTGACTGACAATCGTCACAGATAGTACTAGCTATGGTTTGCCATGCACTAACAGACTCACCGCATGCCTTCCCAGTAAAGCCGATGAGATGAGTGATAGCTGTGCTGATGTATTTGATCAACACCTGCTTTTGATCAGGTTTGATGCGATAAAACTCACAAAGTGAGACCGTCTTGCCAAACACAAGGTCAGCCTCTATGTCGCTCCAGTCTTGTAGTTTTCCTGTAGGGAATAATTGACTGATATCAGTAATACTGCATTCAACTGCTTGACAAAGTAACGTTTCATGGTCATGACCCTTTGTGTTCAATAGAACTAAAGTGATTGAGCGAAGAATACAATCGCGAATCGATTGTACAAATGCGATTTTGCTTTCCTCCAAAGACTTATCTTCGGAAGGTAAATGCTCACTTAGTCTTGCTAATACGTTAGACTACGTAACGTTTAGTTTACAATTTGAGAATCACAAGCAACCTGCCTTTGTTTCATGGTCCATATAGGTAAACTTTCGTCCAATGAGTTCAACAAGTTCCAAAACTCGACTTTCTGAAAGGCTCACTTTCTTGACTACAGCGTTCATTCCACGTCGCATGGTTCCTTTTTTGGCTTGATGACGAGCTGTCAAGCCGCTTAATTCCAAAATGACACCAAAAGCATTCCCTTCTTCAAACAAGATAGGGCAATGGTTAGTTGTTGCTGAATTCACGGTATTCAGTATCAAATGTGTTTGTGTGATTAAAAACTCTGAAAGTGAAAAGGACGTAGCAGCGTGTGTCGATGCAAACTGGAAACACAATTTAGGCGTTTGTTTCACCAACTTGAGCATCACAGCAAACCAATTCACAGGAGGCAAAGGGCCTGACGTGTCAATCAAACTACGTAACAGCATGTCAATGTTATGACGCGCAGAGGGAGTTAAAGCCAATTGAACCAATTGGTCAAATACTGCTCTCAAGTAACTTGTATTGCTATTGAGTCGACTGTAAGATGCCGGCTCAGAAGAAGAGGAGACGGCAAGCGCAGAGGCAGCAGCCTCTTGAGTTCGGTCTGACTTGAGTGTGTACATTAACCATTTGGCATGCTCAATGACTTTACCACAGACAGCAGCAGCCACACGTCCACTCTTGAGGTTACCTGTAGGTGCAGATCGTACAGTGAGCCCAGCTACAGCAGCTAACTTGTCCAAAGCAGGGCGTCTAAAGGTAGCATGATAGCGTTGAGCTTCTAAAAAGTCTGTTTCAGAAGTACGTGTTGAATTCAAGTACTGGGCACCTAGGAGACTACCAAGAGCAAAGAGACTAGCAATACGGTAGTTGCTAGAGGCATCATCCGACTGAATACTATTAAACAATGGTTCTAATGCTTGATTGTAAAATGATGCACTGCTCTCATGGTCAGCACCCGCATGAAGATAGCTATGATATTGAATTTGAGCATAAGGGATTGTGAAATGATAAAAGTGTTGAGCTAAACTAGGCTATTTGAGAGTGAGACAAGACGTTCCTGCTTTACATATCATTGATGACTTACATCGTTAGAAGCAGCAGCTAGAGTAGATTCTACAACACTCGATAAAGTATATTCCACTTGATTTTCTTCTAATGCTCCGACGGCGCATAACCATGTTGAGCCCAGCAGACGTCCTTTACTGATAGCATCACCCTTGAGGTATGTTTTCAAGCTACCCAGAGCAAAATCTAGTATTTCGCCAGCAACATCCTTTGCTTTCAAAGCAGAGGCAAGACCCATCAAGATACCCATGACACAGCTATCAGAAGTGACCTTTGCTCCACAATACTTGATCAACTCATTGGTGCCTGATTCTCTTAATTTTTCAACATGTTCTGTTGCTGTAGGATAGACAGCCAATGCGCCCACAAAATAACCAGCAGCATAGCCATTAGCAAACTGAACCAAATCGACAGCTGTATCAATGTTGCGTGATTTGATGTTTGTATTGGTAGCAGCATGGGTCAAGGTGTGATAGGTGTTTGTGACCAAGATCTCGTTACTAATGATACAAGTTGCCAAATGGCCGAGTGAAAATCGTGCTGCAAACTGAACTTCTTCACTCATCAAATGAGCAGAATGAGATAATGGTGAGCCAGCAAGTGAAATGTAATTCTTCATCAAAATATCAATGATACCAGTAGCACAAGAAGTAGCAAAAGAAGGAATAATGACACGAATCATGTTGACAAGACCTATGTATGTTAACATCGTGCTATCATCCAGCTCTATCTATATACCTGTCAAAGCCAAGAAGATATTGCAAGTAACACCGGGCACAGTACTTCTCTCTAATCGCACCAAGAGATCCTTGACAAGAGCAGAGACAATCGCTTCTGTCTTGTTGCCTGCTGTCTCTAATGCTGTTCTAAAAAACGATTCCCATGATTCCAGGCTAGATACACGTAGTAACAAATGATCTGTCAAACTGATGTCTGTAAAAGAAGTGACCATAAATCGATACCAATGGGTCTTGCTCATGTCCTCCATCATGTTCTTATCAGAAAAATCCATGGTGTTTAACATGGCAATGGTATAGCCTGAACGAAGACCTGGGGCAACGCGGGCATCTTCCCATTGTGTCTTGAACATGGTCTGTAATTCAAGTTCTCGTTCAGAAACAACTTGACCAAGATCGTTGGTTACTTGTTGTTCTTGGTTAGAGACATGTTGCTTTATACTGACTGCTTCTTCTTTGAAAAGACCACGGCGCATATGGTCAAGTTCGTTTGAAATAAGTGTGGCAAGTAATAAATGTTGCTTAGCGTTAGGCTGATCAGAGGGAGAAATGATCTTCTGGATATAGTCAGTCGCTTTTTCAGGTAAGATGGTGCTGATATCTTGAGCAGGGAAATGAGATAGAGCATACATAGCGTGCTGTGCTGCTTCTTGATCTTGAGATTCAATCAAGGGGAATATGTATTCAGTCAACAAAGACTCTTTGAACTGAAGATAGGGTTCAGAAGCTACCATAGAATGAGTCATTTGAAATAGAAGCCCTGTGTACTTACTGTCATTTCTAGCGCCTGCAATAGCATAAAACGCACACAATTGTTGTACGAGCAATTCAGATCTCTGTGTTCCTTGTTCCATAGCAAACATGGCCAAATAAACTACGGACACATTCCAGATCGAACGAGGTTCCGCTAACCCACTTTTCACGCAATGATTGATGATGGTCAACAGAAGAGACAAAGACGCCATGCTCAGGTCTTGACAAGACTGGAGCAATGAAATCACCATGGGTAAGATATCGGGAGCGCATTCTCGAGGTCGCAACGCACAAACATCCCGCATAGTAGTCAAGATAGCCAGTTCCATCTTGGTAGGACCTGTCTTTGTCAAATCAATCTTGCGACGCACAGTACCTGATTTACGGCGCAAGACCCATTCGGAAAACACCTTTTTGAGTTCTTGCCATACACGGGGTTGGCGTTGGTAGAGATGAGCCAGTGATTTGACAGCAAGAATGGCCATGGAAGAATTGCCTCCAGCACTGATGGCAGAGAGTACCACTTGAAGGATTTTACTGGTGATAGTAGGGTCATTTGTATTGGCTAACATGGGCAACACATCTCTAAAGATATGAGTGACAAGACGAGGATTTGCAAAGGAAACGCGCAACATGCGAAGTAAGAAGAGAAAAAGAGGGAATTTGTAGCATGTCTCTTGAAGGCAAGTGAGTTCAGCCATGCGTGTATAGACAGTACATTGAACTAACTGGTCTTGAGAGTACACAAAAGGTGTACTGAATAACATGTTTAGTGCAAGTGTATCTTCTGAACCTGTATTGTATCCTGCTTCAAGTACAGGAGGCATATTTTGATAAAGCTTGTTCAGATAAACAAATAAATGGCCCAAGAGTCCATATATGTTGTGGTCTTTAACAATAGAGCTAATATGATAAGTGGAAGTCTTTGCTGGTGTCTTATCTTGATCAAGGTAGGTAATTAGACTAAGTGTATCTTCTTTTAGGCCTTTCAGTTCACGTGATGTCTCTTTATCATTGAGTTCAGACAGCAGCTGATACAATGGCAAATAAGAAACACAAAGCACATTTCTGGCCATGTCTTGTTCTCTCAAGGCTGATTTCATTAGATGCATAATGAGCTGTTGCTCTTCTATTGTCTGTACCTTTAGTAAAAGGAATGATAAACTGATCCAAAGCACATCCATTGCAATCACTTGGCTATTCAAAGAAACAATGCGATCCATACGTATCAAATAAGGCTTGACAGAATAGCCTTGAGATGCCACTGTCAATACACGATCCAGAAGAGCATAAGCATAATTCGCCTTGTCTGATTTAGATGTATGGTTCATCCAGATCAAGAAATCAATTAAAGAAAAGAACTTGTTACTGTTCTTTTGCATAGGATAACAGAGCACTAACTGAACCATTTCAGTATAGACAGCGTCAGAGAATTCAGTATGTTTTGACAAGAGCAAGGCTTGTTGGATACGCGATAAAAGAGCACTTGATTCTACATGATTCTCGGTCAAAAAGACAGCATAGATAAACTCTTTTAATACTGTCCATGCATTTCTCTGGAGGATGAAATCAACTTGTTCCAGAATATCAAAGCAAATCTGAGGCTTCTGTCGTATCAGCAAAGCAAATGGATGGACTGGACACGACTCGCTCTTGTGGTGATGAAATACAATGCGAGTATCCAATAATAATAACCGAGTGATTGTGCGTAAAAATACTGTGTTTTTGGCTGAGTCTTGACAGCTCAAGACCAAGTTTTGTAGGCTTGTGAGTGTTTGTAGAAAATCAAGTTGACGTGTTTGAACTCGATCAATGATCTTTTCGCAACTATGAGAGACTGCAATGGAAGGTGTTGCTTTGTCGAGTAAAAAAGTCCAATGCGTGTCAGTGTTTGTTTTCTGACACGCGTGATGGATCTGTATGAAACGATGTTCTACAATCTCGTCCATACAATAGCGTAAAGGAAAAAGCAAAAAAAAAAAGAAAAGAAAAGAGACAATACAATTTTTATGTAGCTTCCATTAAGGCGGAGAGCCATTCAACCAAGTATCCAACATTCAAATCAAAAATAGTAAAGTCTTTATATGTATATAAATGAGTGTAGGTGTGAGTGTGTGAGTGTTTGTAAGATGTATGACAGAGTGACTTGATGTTTTCTTCGTGTTTAAAATCTTGGTGGAGGACCTCCACGACCTCTAAATCCACGACCTCTTCCTCTTGCTATCAACAAAGTTAGTTTTACATATAAAGATACTCATGTTATTACCTTGTTGAGCGCGTGCAACAGTAGCTCTTCCTCTACCCAAACCAATACCTCTGCCTTTAAGGCCACCAGGACCAGCTCCCTTAAACATGGGGGCATTCTTTAACATGTCGGGTACAATGAAGAACCGGACATGGGATCCACGAATATAGACTTGATCTAACTGCGAAACTCTTCCATCGCGTGCAGTCACTGTTATGTCTCTCAACTGAATATTCATATTGTCTTCAGCTATAGATAGATATTAAAACGCGTGTTAACTAAGTAAAAAAAAAGTGTCTATATGTATTGTATTGTTTACCTTCTAATAATTTACCACGATAGAGTTGGCCTGTCTTTAATTCCAAAGAGATGATGTGACCTTGTGCTTCGTGAAGAAGCTTGATGGGAACGCCAATAGTCATGATGTCGTAAAAGAAAAGAAAGAGAGAAAAAGAATAAGAAAAAAAATTGAGCTTGAAACCATATCCTACTGGTATAAAAAATTGCTTCAGTGACGTCTTCAGGGTAGCAATGAATATAGCCTATGTCAATTACAATTCTTGTCTAGTGTGATAGCAAGAAGATAGATAGCATTGGTTGAGCAAGAAGCATATTATTTTTTATGAGCGAAGGTGTGTTGTATGCTTAACAATCTGAATTTAGATGGAAAAGAATATCAAAATAACACTCTTCAAACCAGGTGAGTCAGATGCTAAAGTATAATACACTTTGAGTCATATCTAGTCTTTTGTATTGCCCAAAAGACGCTTGAATGGATACCAGCGATGCAACAAGTAGCCATTTGTGCTGGATAAGCCACTATTCATTGGTGATGCCATATACAGTACAAGTGACTTGTTTTCCAGCCATGAATTTGATTCCAAAAAAATGAACATGCTACTTAATTGTCCTTTTTCTTCAACTCATGAGCACCATTTTAAAGTTTGAAGGCTACAACTACTTGAGACAGAGACTCATTCTTGCTACTCTAAGCGGTAAGCCTGTCCGCATCGAGAAAATCAGATCAGACGATGAAAATCCCGGTTTAAGAGGTAATAAGATTTTAAAGTGCTAGTTGATACTTACATAGACGCATAGAATCCGAAATGAACTTTCTTCGTTTATTAGAAAAGGTGACAAATGGTTCTGTGATTGAGATCAGTTATACTGGTATGTTACCGTTGTTGTCCTGAACTTTATAAACTTACGATAAACTAGGTACTTCTGTACTCTATAGACCAGGTGCTATTGAAGGTGGTCTTATTGAACATGATTGTGGTACAGACAGAAGTATTAGTTACTATTTGGAACCCATGGTTGCTCTTGCACCTTTCTCAAAGAAACCTTTTGTTTTAGTGTTACAGGGTATTACAACAGATCACATTGATCCTTCAGTAAGTAGATGTTTTATGCTTTGCTTAATGTATTCATGTATTTTAGGTGGATTTGATTCGTACAGTTATGTTGCCTCAGTTAAAGAGATATGGCGTAGATCAAAACTTGGAATTAAAAATCACAAAAAGAGGTGCTCCTCCACTAGGTGGTGGTGAAGTGACATTCTCTTGTCAACCTATTCGACAATTGAAGCCTATCCAGTTTATAGACGAAGGACGTATTAAGCGTGTTCGTGGCATTGCTTACTGTACTCGCGTTTCACCCCAGACAGCAAATCGTCTTGTTGAATCAGCTCGTTCTTTGCTGAACAGATACATTCCCGACATTTATATCTATACAGATGTTTATAAAGGCGCAGAGAGTGGTAAATCGCCTGGTTTTGCATTATCTTTGGTAGCAGAATCCAATACAGATGTGTTGTTGTCTGCAGAAAAAGCAGCAGAGCCAGGACAGACACCTGAAGATGTAGGTGTCATTGCTTCCAAGTTGCTGTTAAATGAAATTCGTAAAGGTGGATGTGTGGATACAACTACACAATGGTTGAATTTGCTTTTGATGATCTTGTCGCCTGAAGATGTTGGTAAACTTCGTATTGGTGAATTAACTGCATTTACGTAAGTAGTTTTGAATATGTAGTCTTGACACATACTTATGCCTATTTTAAATAGTATTCAATATCTACGTGATATCAAATCCTTCTTTGGTGTCTCATTCAAGATTCAACCTGATACTTCTAATGATACAATCCTCATGACCTGTATGGGCATTGGTTATGTCAATCAAAACAAGAAAACAAGTTAATTATAATTCATTGTACAGATAATAAATAGCATAAGAAATAATACATTTTTGTTTTGTATGTAAAAAAAAAAAAGGCGACAGAAGCCTGTCGAAATGATTTGCTTCTTTTGAATGTGCTGTTCAAGAGACTTGTAGGTAGTTTCTTGATACTCAGGAACGAACCAAAGAGAGCTTTTAGTTCTTTTCCTTCAAAGATTTGGCTGTCTAATACAGTCAGGCATTGCTCCGACCTAAACCTAAAAGCCTGTAGAGATACTAAAGTGTACTGCCTGTAAAGAGTACCAGATCTCTACCGTCAAAGCTACTCTACAAATAAAAAGGAATGTCAATAGATATTTTGCAAGGTAAAATAACAATGACATGATCAGGATTTGCATGCATGTGTTGACTCTGAAAATGTTACAAATCTGAGCATTTCATGAATCAAGCCAACGAGAAAGAAGAGGAAAATTATTTATTAAAGGGTAATAAATGCATTGTGTGTTTGGGATGAGCTGGGGTAATTTTCTGATAGAGGTGGAGGCGGAAACTCATGTTGCAGGAGATGTGAAGTGATCAAAAGGCTTCAAAAAGCAAAATTATCGGAGTTTTAACAAAACCTTTTTCTTCATTTTCACTTCTAAATTAATTTTGGCTCTATAAGTACGAAAGTTGTAGATAATCTTATTGCGCATCTATATATATATAAAAAAGTGATAGGTTTATAGTAACAATTTTGAGAGAAAGATTAACTCTGCTTTTAAGATTTTCTGGTCATTATGTATAGTTTTTATAGTAATTTTTATTAAAATAACGTACAAGGCTTGATTTACACGTTTCCAAAGTATAGTAAACAAGTATTTGTATTTCTGATCTAACGGAAAAAGTTTTTTTAATATACATTTGCAATGAAATGATCTTGTATCATCAAACGCAGTCCTTCAAGTAAAATATGAAAGCTAATCAATACAGAACTCGCTATTTCTTCTTCTAATGATCAAACAAGTCTGCGCAGACGATATGCCTAAAAGCAGTCATAATTTATCTACTTGAATTATCTCAGTAGACATGTTTTTTTATTCTTCTTTTCAACTAAGAAAGAAAAAAAACCAACACATATGAACGCTCCTGACCGTTTTGAACTCTTTGTTATTCCTGAAGGAAGAAAAAAGTAATCTTTTTTTTTCTCCAAGATAGTTTTGTACTAATATGAACTGTAAAGGGTGGAGATGGAAGTCGACACCAAGATTCCAAACGCTGCCACTTTTACTATTGAACGTGAAGATCACACACTTGGAAATATTTTAAGAGGGTAAACTAACATATTATCCTATAGCTTGTTATATTTATTCTCTTTTAGTCAACTCTTAAAAGACCCTCGAGTTTTATTTGCAGGTTATAAAGTGCCTCACCCTCTTGAACACAATTTTGTGATTAAAGTGCAGACAGTGCCTGGCACATCGCCTGGAAAAGCATTAAAGGATGCAACATCAGAACTTATTTCAGAAGTGAATGCATTAAAGAACAAATTTGACATGGAAGTCATTCGTCATCGTACCTTTGAAGATGCCAAAGCTTCTCAACCAGGCTATGAAGTTGATGCTATGAACACTATGGATCATCATGCTGGTATGGATGTTGATTTTTAGTTTTTTTTTTTTTTTTGTGAATAATAAAGTTTGGATCCATCGCGTTTATAGCTCGGCTTGATTTTTCCCGACTCCATTGTATCGAGCATTTTTCATCCGACGTCAAGGACATCAAAACTTGTTTTATCATCTTTTTCCTTTTTTGATTAAAAAAATTAAGCTGTCCTACGAATGACCTCACGGTAGGAAAATAAAATAAAAAGGCAACCAATTTTCATGTTGATAATTTCCCATCTTTTTTCTTTGATGCCTTCTTTATTTTCCCTTGCCAAGGTGGCTGCTGTAGCCTCTTGTGTATTCAGTCTTACTTTTGCAGAACCTGCTTTATTCCAACAACAAGAAGCTCTTGTTGACTTTGGCGAAAAGACTTGGAACGATGTACAACACGTCTTCCAAGGTGCTACTGATAAGGTCCATGATGCTACGGATAAGCTCAAGAACATCTTGTCTCATGGTTCTGATACCTTCACTACTTTTACCCATCCTGCTTTCTCTCAATATGCTTTGAGATACAAGAGACCTTCTCTCTGTGATCCTGATGTAAAGCAGGTAAGAACACAAGACTGATAAGCATAATACAGATAGACTTACACACTATAGATCTCTGGTTATTTGGATGTCGGAAGAGACAAGCACTTTTTCTTTTGGTTCTTTGAATCAAGAGATAAGCCCAAGGAAGACCCTGTTGTCTTGTGGTTAAACGGTGGTCCCGGTTGTTCTTCTTTAACTGGTCTTTTTATGGAACTTGGGTAAGTTTATAACTACGTTTCTCGGAAAGTTACTGATCTTGACTAGTCCTTGTACTGTCAATGAAGAGGGTACTGGTACTTATCGCAACCCTTATTCCTGGAACGAAAAGGCTAACGTCATTTTCTTGGATCAAGTAAGTCACGTGATTGTTACTGTCATGCTCATCATTTTGTAGCCTTTGAACGTTGGTTTCTCTCACGGTAGCAATGGTGCTTCGAATACCGATGCTGCTGCTGAAGATGTTTATGCTTTCCTTCAACTCTTTTTCAAGGAATTCCCTCGTATGTCTATTTACCCGTGTATGTATCACAAACTAATCCTTTGTATTAGAATACGCCGATCTTGATTTCCATATCTCTGGTGAATCTTGTAAGTGTTTCCACAGAAAAAAAAATAGATACTAATTCTTTTTTTTTTTTTTAATTGTAGATGCTGGTAAGCCTATATGAAACTAAAATGCTCAGCAGAAAAAGAAAAGATACTAACAATGAACCACAATAGGCCATTATATTCCTCGTATTGGTGGTGTTATTAACGAATACAACAAGGGTAACTTCCAATCGATGGAACTCTATAAAAAGAAGGAACACTTGGCCAACATCAACCTAAAGACCTTGTTGATCGGTAATGGCTTGACTGATCCTTTAATTCAATACAAGTACTACGCTGAAATGGCCTGTGACAACTCTTATGGTCCTGTCTTGGACAGAGCTACTTGTGACAACATGGAAGCTCAATTCCCCGCTTGTGAACGTTTGATTCAAAATTGCTACGACAGCCAAAATGTCTTTGCTTGTTTACCTGCTGCTATGAAATGTAACAAGGATCAAATCAGTCCTTACCAACAAACTGGTATGAATCCTTATGATGTACGTGAAAAATGTAAGGGTGGCAATCTTTGTTACGATATTCTTGAATCTGTTCAAAAGTACTTGAACATCCCCGAAGTAAAGGAAGCAGTTGGTGCTGAAACTGAGAAATACGAAAGTTGCAACATGCAAATCAACTTTAGATTCCAAATGGCTGGTGATTGGATGCGTCCTTATGTCAATGAAGTCCCTAAACTCTTGGAAGATGATATCAAGATTTTGATCTATGCTGGTGATGCTGACTTTATCTGTAACTGGATGGGTAACAAGGCTTGGACACTTGCTTTGCCTTGGTCTGGTCATGAAGAATTTACTGCTGCCAATGATACTGAATGGTACTCTGACATTCTCGGAAAGCAAGCTGGTGAGCTTCGTAAGACTGAAGACGGTCGTTTTGCTTTCTTGCGTGTCTTTGGTGCTGGCCATATGGTTCCTTATGATCAACCTGAAAGTGGTCTTGATATGTTGCAACAATGGGTTCGTGGTGAACTTAACTAAATGTGTCTATAAATTATAAATGTACTAATGTATATTGCGTAAAATACAGTCTCTTTTTTTTTATATATATTATACAATAAGAATTTGTTAACTTGAGTGGAATACTAATCTTTGCATTGCTAAGCAACGATCATGTCAATTACCAAAAAAAAAAAAAAAAAGAAAGAGAGAAGCTTGAGGACCCTTTGATTTAAGGTTCTTTAAATTCAAAAGATCTGTTTACTGTAATTAAAGACATGAAAGCGAATTGCATTATTTATAATCATAGCCTGTAGATCGTGCTCTAATCATGGTTTTGTTGACAAAACTTTAGGCTCCGTTTTTTTTTGAAGAGAGTTGCACAGCTGTATATTGATTTTCTTTTATTCTTTTCTTTATTGATATGGGATATACATCAAGTATTGGTCTATATGTGCCTGATTGGACAAAACTGAATTGGTATTCATTGATCATTGGTATTTCACTCGCTCTGTTTGCGTTTGTCACTCTTTTTATTGATCTTGCACCCTACTCAAAGTTTGGTAATCGCAAATTCGATACAATTCCTAGTAAGAAAGCCATGATTTGTTTTTATCTCCCAAGTGTCATTGCCTGTTTATTTGTGCAGAAACCCGTTTTTTTTTATTGGCATTCCCATTTTGACATTGTCCATTTATTGAACACATTGCATTTCTCAAAACGAGTGTTTGAAGTATGCTTTGTTCATATTTACAAGAGCAATACCAATATCTTGACAATGTTGTCTGTTAGTTCTGTCTATACAACCACTACCCTTTTAGATCTTTTGGTGATTCGTCAAATGCCTGACTATGCTTTTTCTGATAAATTATTTACTTGTGGTCTCCTCTTCTTTTTCATAGGAGAAGCTGTCAATACTTACCATCACTGGGTCTTGAGACAAATGCGTATGAATAACAACTCGCAAGAGAAATACCGTCTTCCTCGGGGTGGCTTGTTTGACTATGTGGTGGCTCCTCATTATATGGGTGAACAACTCTCGTTTATTGGATTCATATTGACAAGTCAGAATGTGGTTGCACTCGCTTTAAAGGCTTTTCCTTTGGTCTACCTGTCTATTCGAGCCAAAAAGACACATGCATGGTATAAGGCATATCTTACAGACAAGCATGAAAAGGCAGATATACGCAAACGAAAAAACCTGATTCCGTTTGTTTGGTAAATTCTGTTGCATATTAAAAACAAGACCTTAAGCGCCAATCAAACAGATTGTTTGCTATTTAGAGCCCAGTTTCTCCCTTTTTTTCTTCGTATCTTTAATGAGCTTGTTTCTTTCTATCAACCAATGAGAGTCAGAGTTATCCCTTGTACTGGTAAACACCATGTGTCTATCTAACTCACACTAACTCAAGATGGGGGGGAGAGCAGAGTGTCGAAAGAACCGTCGAAAATGCATACGTATTGATTCCAATAGCCCATGCGAAAGATGCAAAGATCTCGGTAAAGAATGTGTAGAAGCTCTTGTAAAAGCAACCATGAAAGCAAAAGGCTTGTCCGAATCAGCATATAATGCTCATAATTTACAAGATCAAGTAAAGCAGTTGGAAATGGAGGTTCAACACATCGAAGCTGAAATGAAGAGATTAAGTAACCGCAGCAACAATAAGTTGGTACCTATGGGCCAACAGTATCTACCACCTTCTGATTTATTTTATAAATGGAAATTCAAAATCAAAGATGGCTTCTTTAGCATAGAAACTGGCATTCAATCCATCAGTGAATTGATCCCTCTTCAATCATCCTCTATATCTTACCTATCGCCGTTTGGTTCTTTCTTGAACAACAGTGATGATATAGGCAGTCCCTTTAGCGAAAGTAATAGCAGTAATAGCAGCATCTACAGTAACAATCCCGAAGAAAATATCTATCTCGGAAAAGATTCAAATATGCTATTGAGCTTTCATTGGGAAGATGTGAACTGCCAGGCACCACATTTTACAGCACGAATTGCAACACGGTCTTTTGAGAGAAAAAAGACAAGCGATCCTGATGAAACCCTTTTAGCCGAAACACTCTTTATTGACCCTCGCTCTACTGTTCATGAATTGGTGGATGCCTTCTTCAAATGCGATATTGTCTATAACTCTCTGGTACATGAATCTAGTTTTAGAGCCAAGTTATCCATATTACAAGATCCACTCTTGGATCTTACCACTCTCTCTATTTGCTGCTATGTGTGTACTACGCCTTGCAATGATGTCGCCCATTCTTGGCGAAGAAAACGTCATTTAGCTGATTTCTTTTATGTCAAAGCAAAATCTGTTTTTCTTGACCAGTTTGATGACTATGAAAAGCGATTGGAAAATATGGTTTCTGTCTGCTTATTATCTCGATATATACACATGACACTTCGGTTTTCGGACTGTTGTCGACTACTCGAAATGGCTTTCCAAATCAGTCTTGATCTTCACAAAGATTACAATGCTTATTTTGAGTCAGAAACAGATAAGGAAGTGACTGACCATGTTGATGAAGCCCTGTTTAGTCGGTGTTATTATCTTATTGTCAATATGCGTCGAGTAATGCAATTTATTGCCAATGAGTCTATGAACGAACCTGAATTTCGATATCCTCGGTGGCAGTATTTGGTAGACGAATCAGAAGAAACAAGACGTTATGTTAGACTACAAAACTGGATTTTGTCAATTGTCGATCACCCTTTTATGTCTGCTTTTAAGGTGAGTGCGTAGGAGTGAGTCGAGGTAGCTTATAGACGGTAGAAACAAATTCATCGTGTCCATATTGGTAAAGTATGTACATTAAGCTTTGAATCTATTGTCAAAGCAGATCAAGTCATACAAGAATGGGCATCTTCTGCTCCTGATGAATTCCGCTTGTTTGATGACTATTTTGCTGTAGAAGCTTGCAAGGAAATCATTTGTAAGATACAAGACCCTATTCTCTTGGTAAACTTTTGTAACCTTCATGTTCTCCAACTCAACATCAATTCATCTATGCTGCAACCCATTGCTTTGAATAACGAATCCTCACAATTGGCACAGTGTGTTTTGGAACATTCATTAAGTAGATCATTGACAGGATGTCGTCTCTTGATTTACGCGATTAAACAGTTGTTCCACGCTTGCGGTTGCAACACAACATGTAAATATCCTTTAGATACAATACTCAGTATTAACATGTTCTAGGCAATTACACTGTACTTGCGTTCGACAATCTTTTATATACATTTGATGTGCTTATGCTACTCTCTTTATCTCCCAATCAACAGGTGGCAGCAGAAGCCAAGTCAATGATGAAAATTTGCTTTGAAGAAATCAAGAACATCCGTTTTATGCAAGGAATTAGTATTCCTAAGGAAACTTCACCTATGGCAAGCATTATCACTGAACAGTTCAAGGACAAGAAGTTTGATGTAGACTATTATGATAAATACCCTCATCCATGGTTCGCTATGATGTTTGATGCAATTCATGTTATTACTTCCTGTACTTAAACTCATTAAAATTAGTCGGCATTTTCTCGAAAATTAACGTTCTTTTCTGCTTTGTAATGCAATCCACTGAAGGAGAACAATCTTACTTGAATGACTTTGAAGACATCCTACAGTCGGAAGTATACGTTGATCTAGAGAGACTAAGAATATTAGCAAGACACGGCATTCCAGACCAACTAAGAGGAGTAACTTTATAACTATCGTCATGTTCTCATGCTGACATGTAATGTATAGGAAGTATGGAAATATTTGCTAGGGATTCAACAAGCCGATCGATGTAAGCCTTGGTTTGCCATTATAGTACTCTAACCACGTAAAATAAGCCAAAGAATTGAGTTCAAGTAAAGCAAGAGTGGAAGAATACGAGCAATTAGATAAGATTGATAAAGATGTGGCTAAAAGGATTCGAGGCGAAGTATCTCGATATCAAAGGCGCTTTCCTGAATCCAACCTGGGCAATCACGTACAGTCTTTTGTGAATATCATATTGGCTTATTTGAACAACAATCGAGATATTGAGTATAACTCAAACCTAATCTCATTATGTGCACCTTTTATTCATGTCATGAACAACGAATGCGACGCTTATTTCTGCTTTGAAAAGCTAATGCAAGCTATAGGTAAAGTTAGCTCAAAGAATTGCATGATGTTTATTATAGTATAGAGGAATACAACCTTAATATCAGCCTAAAAGAACAAGTAGCCCAATTTATGACATTATTCCGCTGCAGTCTACCTGAATTATGTAGTTATTTTGATGAAGAAGAAGTTGACTTGAACGAATGGTCCACTTCTTGGCTGCAGAGCCTATTATCAAAAGAGATGAGGTTCGAAAATCTCGTTCGGCTATGGGGTAATTTGAAAACGGCAGTTATTGCCTAAGCTAACATTGGATAGACACTTATTTTGCTATGTCGGATCCATTTAGTTTTCATCCTTTTATTTGCTTATGTAAGTCTAAACCATAATGCTTGATATTGACTTTGTTAGCTATTCTACAATGTGTCAAGGAAGCATTAGAGGATTTGGAACAGTCAGAGATTCGAACTATGCTGCTTCGTTTACCGTTGTTGAATATGGAAATGGTAAGAAGTTCATGTTAAGAAGCTCTATTGACTTCTGATATAGATTATTGCAGATGCTTATAACTTTAAGCACGAAACAATGGCAAGACAAATAAGTGAGAATGGCGAAATTTAATAAAGTAATTTTCTATACGCAGTTTAATAGCATAAACTGGTTTTATGCATGCTAATAGAACGATAGACTTAATGCAAACATTTTCTTTCTCTTTTTTTTTATTCTTCAGTAGTTTTGATTAGCATCTTCGGATGCTTGCAACTGTTTAGTGGTATATCTTACCAATCATTAGGTAACCCAGTGTCTGTACACACAAAACTGCTAATACCAACTGATAAGAGCATCACCTATGCCAAATACTTCAAGCTCAATAACTTGACCGCCACCAACTCATTCTTAGAGATTGAGTCTCCTTCCATAATCCAATATTTGGCTAGCAAACAAGGCGCCTTTAATATAATTTTTCTTCTAAGGCTGATCTCATATCGCAATAACAACCTAGTTATCCACCACTCTTAGCACTAAAACTACTACAGTAGTATACCTAGTCTATTATACCATATTTGCAATAGAACAAACTCTTATAGATGTTTTCATAGGCGATGCCTTATTGGAAACGAAGTCATTATGCAAGTTAATTCGACTATTTGACTTTATAAGTATTAACTCAACGCATGTGAATCTATAGCTAGAGAGATACTACAATTAGATCCTTTTTCTTATATAACATGTGATGGACAATATAGAACCTATTTCCCTGTTAAGGCATATTATTCCATGAAAAGTAATACTATTGAGACTGAAGAAAAAAAAACTGTTTTTGATTCATCTCAAACATTGCTTTTACTGCTGAAACTTGAGTTCGAATTGCGAAAACAAACTCAAAAAATTCTAGACAAAAATACTAATAAAAAAAAACACGCTGCACAATCCATGCTTGATTCGCGTGTCTTATGATACCACAAGACGTCATATCCTTTCTTAATAGAGAACTACATGTAACACAGAACTTAACCTTGTCCTGTAAGTCAGTTGAATATACATTCTTCTTTTATATTTGAAGGGACAATTTATGCGTTGGAAAAAAAAAGCGGGATGGACCTTATAAGAACACAATGTACATCAATGAGAGGTAATAACTGTATTTTTTAAACGAAAATAACTGTTCTGGCAAAATAAATCTTACATTAATGTTTAAGACAAATCCTGAGAAATTAAAACTTGAGCTATTTTTGCTAGTGCTTATGCTATTTTCTATATATGACAAGTGTTTGGTGACAGTTCATCAAGTTGTGAATATATCATTAGACTTGCAGCATTTGGATCACATACTGTTGTTTGTAAATATCATGCGGCAAAAGATAAATAAAGTTTGAGGCTAGCTTTACGCATGGTTTTACTATTGACAATAACTATTAATATTGTTTCGCTTATTTGGATTTCCACTATTCAACGCTCTCTTTTCTAGAAGGCACACAAAGTCTCATTGTTTCTAGAATCTTCCTTACGAAAATTTTTGCTGGAATAATTTCCCATAGAAAAGGACCATTTTTTCTATCAAAGAAAAATTGTAGAATATCGCTAAAAATTCTACTCTCCATATTACTAGATCAGTTATTCTGCAATATATTTTAGACATTTTAAGAATGGCCAATTTAGCATAAAGATATAGTTCAGCACTTTTTGACCATCATGATAAATGACGCATAAAAAACCAGACTTTACTATAAACAGGCTTTGTGATGTGATAGGCTAAAAATGAGATAAAAAACAGCATGCCTTGTGAAATAGTCATATGTATACATATATACATATAATTTTCTTTTGACAAAAACAAATATGAGCGCATAAGCTGAGGAGAACAAACAAGTTTTTATTTGATTGTTTATCTCGTCTTTCTATTTTAGAGTCGTTCCGTTTATGAGAATATGCGTGTAAAATTCTTGATTTTCGAAATATCAATTTTGAAGCGGTCTTGTTGTCCGCGCGCCCAGAATGTCCAAATATGAAGACGGGTATAGAGTTTATTCTGTGCGTGTATGCTGCACAAAATATTGCTGGTTGACTGTGGTAACAGAATGATTTTTTTTCTCTTTAGACAAATGCTGGGTATATTAAGGTTAATAGCTACAATTGAGTTTTTTTAGCGTTGTAAAGAAAAAACAGATCAGTCCTATAACGGTAGATTTTCGATTTTAAAGTACAACTCGATCTCCTATTTGAAATGATAGACGCTTCTTTGACAACTTTAAAGCAAACAAGGGGAGATGATATAGTTACATATACATGTGTGTGTACGCACGCGTGTGTATGTGTGTGTGTATGTTCTAATAATAAATTTCGGCCTGATAAATATTCATTGAACCGAGTTTTGTGTACCAAATGAGCGCTTGATAAGTGTTGTAGTGAAAGAGTGGATGACACAAAAGAACCAAGAATTTATTTAACAAAAGGGTTCTTTAATTTTTTTAAAAAAGCGATCGGCGCATTTGTGTAGAGGCACAAGCGAGCCAAAAATTCATAACACTTCAACATCATATCAACAAAGTAAAGCAAGCAGACCTGATTCTATAATTGATCGATATTTCAATATGCTAGTTATACTCTTCACCTTTTCATCGTCTCCTCGAAAAAGTTTTTTTGGCCTGTCTCATCTTGTTGCTTTGGCTCTGTCTAGTTTATGCTTTTTGTTAATTGATTTTGGGGCGATAAGAAACACGTCATTTGCTGCATTCTATATCCAAACCAGCTATAAACAACAAACTTTAATTTTGTATGAGGGCAACCAAATGTTACAAATGTCGTGCGCTAAAAGAAAGAAAAGTTAGACACAAGCATCAAAGCGTAATAAAAATATGATTAACATGGGGCTCTATTCGCGTTCAAATTCATACTGTCCAACAATACTCAAAAGAAGAGAACAATGATACCAATTTTTAAAAGATCTACAATGTACAAAATGAGGCGTATTTTGTTTCAGGTTTCTATTAAGGGACGCTTCATCTTTTATTTTTTTCTTGTTTGTTGATGACTTTAAAGAAAAAGATACTATTTTTTTTTTTTTTATTTTTGGGAGGAGAAAGCATATCTAACCTTACGTTCGGTGTTTCCGATTTTTTCTTTGGAACGCTTGTAACATTAAGCAAAATTTATAAAATGCCTATAAATAATTCTTCCTGGCTTAATTAACAATGAAAGTCATAGTAAAAAAAAATATTGGTATCGTATTAAGAAAGCGTGTTTTGTCATAAAGAAATTAATATTTGATTAAGCTTTTTGGTTCTTTTCTTTTTCGTGATACGCCTCTATTTTGATGAAAAAACTACATAAAGACACATTATAAACTAGGTTGTTACATTGTACTGATTATGCCTAGTGACGTTGCCTAGCAATATTTAAACAAGTTATTATATGATGCAAAATCTAGCCAAACCTTGTAAAAAAAAAAAAAGGAGAAAATTATGCAATGCTACCCTTCATAGTACATTAATTGTGGATTCTTACTTATGGGGTCAATTCTTTTTCATTTCAAGTACTACAGAGCAAAGTTGTTTTGTTTGTATTCCTTGAACCTGACTTCAGTCTTTATGGTGGCTCTTTTGATAAATTAAAACTGAAAAAAAAATGTATAGCTTTAAATGGTCAGACTCTATAATCCCAATATTCAGAAAATGTAGTTCTTTGTCTATCAATCATAATTTGACATAGTTAAATTGATGTTAATTGAAGTAATAGGTGTACTCGTCGATCACGTATGTACATTCATGACTTTTTTTGGAACAATTGTCAAGCCAATGCTTGCCTCATTTAGCCTTGTACCAGAAATTGAAAATGATTGATAGGGCGCGGGTACATAACATACTCATTTGAGAGCTATGATGAAATTTGGTCAATCAGTTGAAGGAGAGGGTAGGTTTCACAAGGATTGAAACAAACAAATTTAAGCTTTTTATTGCTAAAAATGATTAGAAATAGAAATGCAACATTCCCATAGAATAAAATAGAGATAGACTGATATCTACACATTCGCATGCATATAATAATTACCAGTATTTTGTCTATAATGAAAAACAATGTCTCTATGCACTTTTACTATTATGTATGTTAATTTCGCAGTTCCAGTGAAATATATCCGTTTTAGGAGATTGTAGCCGACAACTTGGTACAGAACTCCGATAGTGTAACAGTCAGAAACAAAAGTGGCCAATCACTTCGATTTGTTGTAAGGAGGGGGTGGTTGAGGTGAGCACATCTCATTGACAAGGTTTAATAAAAGAAAATCTTGGACTAGTTTTCCAAGTGATTTACTCAATTTGATTGAACCATAAGGTGCATGACAGATATGTCGTATTATTATGTCAATACGGAGTATGTAACATGATCCAGGCCTATTTAGACTTTATAGTATCTGGAGTAGATCTTTCTATTTACTATAAAGATAGATATATATATATATACATATATACATATATATACATAATTTCTGCAACAAAAGAGTCATATCCATTTTGGCACTTATAGTAATAAACAAATGCTTGTTTTAGCAAGACGACTTGTGTTACTCTAGTCAATTCATCTTGTCTTTTATTTGACCCAAGTGTAGACTCATAAGTAGACATAAATGTAAAAGAATAAGAAAAATAGAAGAAAATGGAAAAACCAAAAGAGCAATGTCGGAGGCTCAGTTTCGAATTAGAACACAGTAAATTGTCCTTATTTTGAGATGCCATGATCATTACGCAACAGAAACAATCAATGCAAAAAACAAGCTCAATCCGATTGATTCAAATAGATTCTTAGTCTAATCTGATTGTCGAATAAGAAGGAGAAATAACATGAAAGGAAAAAAATAAATAACAAAGGCAATCATTGGGCTTTCTTTTTTGGACCTTATGGCTCAGTTGCACAATTTTTTCTACACTATTTATAAAGGGTTCTCATTTTCACTTTTCCTTTTCTTCTTTCTCTTTTCATATCTTATTGTTGATAAATTTTTTTTCTTTTTGCTTCAATTTTTTTTCGGCTTGTATAAAACAGAAAAAGTAAAAAAGAAGAAAGGATTGTTTCTCTTTTATTTAAAACTCTAGATAATTGAAAAAAAAACAAAGGGGAAAAATGGATAGAATAAATGATTCTCCTAATGGTTTTTTTAGACGCTCTTCACAACAACTTGAACAAAATGAAATAGAAGAGCAACAACAACAACAACAACAACAACAACAACAACAACAACAACAACAACAACAACAGCGACAGCAACAACAGCAACACCAGCAACATGAAATGCTCCAACACCAAATTCAACAAACTTTGTCGGCAGGTTACAACCAACAAAATGATACTGCCATTTTAGACATGCCACAAAATTTCTACTCCAACACCGAGTCTATTGAGCAATTTGACCCGCATATGATTAGCCAGCAAAACAAAATTCTCTATCCTAATCAGCCAGCATTGCTTCAACAAGCCAGTAACAACCAGCAGTTTATTATGCATGATGACCTAATGTTGAAGAATAACTTCTTTAATCCAAACAATACCGATAGTAATCATAACAATAACATGTACTCCCAACAACAGCACCAACAAATGCTGAGTTCGGCTCGCCAGACAAACTCCGTACTTCACTTTGGCCAATCTTCCTCATTGTCACTCGATCCTAATCTCGATCAGCTTGCCAGTCAGCAACAACCACAACAAGTGCGCCAAGAACACGACGTGTTTTATGAGTTGATATCTTTAGCTACTAATTTAGGTGGAAGAACAGGTATGAATTCTTGGCCTACAGAAGACCCCATCTTGGATCAATTTATTCCCACTTTTACAAGTACAAACACAATTACCCAACAATTACAACAATCACAGCAACACACACAACAACCACAGCAACCACAACAACAATTCAAACAACCAAATTATTATGCACCTTCTATTGAAGACAATGGGATGGATGTGATGGATCATTCAGTTTATAATGATAAGTATGTATATATTTTTTAATATATATATATATATATATATCTTACACATGAGTAGAATCTACAATCTAGAGGTTATACAACAGCCCCTGAGAGCAAGAATGTGTGGATTTGGAGACAAGGACAGAAGACCAATATCCCCTCCTCCTATTCTAAAACTGACTATTACTACAAAATCCGGGCAGATCATAAATCCAGAGTAAGAATAATTTATCCAGAGTAAGAAATACTTTATCTCAAGATGAGAAAAGAAGATAGTAAATAAGTAAAAAAAAAAACAAATTTTTTGTCAACTCTTTTATAGGACGTTTGATATCTCTTTTTTGGTCGTTATGTGTGATTCCTGCTTAGAATATACTTCTGGAGAAGGAAAGGATTCATCGCCTTCGTCCAATGGTACACTTTCACAAATCGTCAGCTTTCCAACTGTAGTGGCAGATGAAGATGGTAATGAAAGGCAAACTACTGTCCAAATGAAAAACTTGGTGGGATCTTCTGTGTCTTCTGCTAACAAACTGTATGACCTTGATGGTAAACTGGGTATCTTTTTTATCTTTCAAGATATCAGCTTGAGGACAGAAGGCTGCTTTCGTCTTCGATTCTCTCTGATTGATGTTGCTTCGTAAGTTTTTCTTTTGACATCTATTGTATTCACTGCTTATCCTTAGTCCATACTCCCAAAATGTCAATACAAGTTCTGTTTCACGTGTATTGAAAATGGTCCAAACTGAGCCTTTTATGGTTTATACAGCAAAGAAATTTCCAGGCGTTGTTCGTAAGTATAAACAAGAATAGAAAAATAAGGAGGTTAACGTTTTTTCTAAAGAATCAACTCCACTTTCAAGATGCTTTGCTAGTCAAGGAATCAAAATACCCATTCGTAAAGAGAAGAACAACAAGCGTTCATTAAGAGAAGATATTTCTGACAGAGAGAACGAAGAGGAATAAAGAATAAATTTGATTTTTGTCAATTACAAAAGAGGAAAACAAGAAGAACAAATAAAAAGAACATCATATTGAAACAAATGAATGAGTGATTGTCCTCAAGTCTTGTGTATATATTTTTATTCTATATGAAGAGCAATATTACTTTATATTTTTGAACAATAGCTTGACCTAAAAAAAATGTTTTACAAAAAACAAAGCTTCGCAATTGGTTTGATTATCTGTTTGTTTTTTCTATTTTCTTTTTCTTTTTTTTCGATTCTTCTTTTCCATTTGTAGGTTATTATTTTATGAACTATACTCCAAAAAACGAGTACAGTTTGCCTTTTACGGGGAGCCTTACCGTAGTATTGGTTCTTTTTAAAGTTCAAAGGCAGATTTAGATTCAAATTCAGGAGAGAGAAAAAAAAGTCCCAGATTTGATTCAGCAGGTTTCTGTGAACAGATCAGGATAGTCGATTTCATGATCATATTCTATTCGATACGGATTTATTCTTTTATAGTTAGAATATTCTTGGTTAGAAAGTGGTTCCTGTCGGTTCTTTATAAATAAAGTTATGTAGAATGATGTATTTAATTTTTAAACAAACAATAATAGCCTATAAAAAAACAAGTTTTATATACAGCTGTTCCTTTAATTCTTGTATGACCATCCAAAAAAAAAGAAGGTTGCGGGTCTCGGCCAGAAATATGTTTGTCAGCATCAGTTCTTGAACAAGATGTTGGTCATATTTTCCTTGTTTTGTAGCGTTCCTTATACAAGTAGTACACCGACAATATAAGGCGGATAAATTATTATTAGCATTCTATTATTCTATAATGTTTTGTGTGTACCAAATGACCATTACTTACTGCTACTGATTATAAGCGTTACAAATGAACTTTCCTTTGTCTCAATGATATCAATGTGCTTTATAATAAGGACACAAGAACTTTATTAAGAAAACCGACCTGTTTTACTGAGTTTCTTCAGTGCCCCCGAATAAACCTCTAATGGTTTATGGGTTCTCATGTTGGAAATATCAAAGTTAGGAAGACAAACATCTTGTTAAGAATGAAATATAAAGTAAGGCTCTGAAAGAGAAGTTGCATTTGCTTACTTTTTTATTTATTTTAGATTTACATGGGTCCCGAAGAGTTTCAGAAAAGAAAAACAAGAAAAAAAACCAGGAAGAGGTCCCTTAAGTCTAGTGAAGGCAAAAAAAAATGGAGAACGCGTAAAAAAACGATAACTTGAATCTCAAGTCAACTATTATAAGAAGTTCTTTTATGATAAAAGCGGATTGAATAATTTGACCGAAAAAAAAACTGAATAGATCACTATCAATCATTGTTTTTGTATTCACATTTTGTTACGTCTATCGAACTGTCGAATAGCTACAGCTTGTTTTACTTGAAATGATTAAGCAAAATACTGAATATCAATTATCAGATGATTAATAATAGACATGCATATGTCTATAGAACAAAACAGATCGCAATCGAAGGAAAGTATCCAAAGATGTAGAGAAAAGATTAAAAAAAGCAGCTTTGAACGAAGGGTGGCGTTTTCTTTGTCGAGAGAAAAGTGCGACCTGTTCTTTTAAGATAAAAAAAAAAAGTTTTTTTTTTTCTTTTTTCTTTTTTCTTTAGAAGCCAAGAAGGATATACGCAATCCAAACAAAGAAATACAGTAAGCCATCATGAAAAAAAAACTACTTTTTACATGTTCATGTCAATTGAGTCTTATTGCTTTTACAGAAATTGGTTGCCAATCCATATCAATAAACCTAACTTGATTTTTCTCCTAAAATTTTAAGCGAAGGATTATTACAACAGAAAGAAAACAGTTTTCAGATTGAACTATCTTCTTTCAAGGATGCCATCATAAACACAACAACAATGGAAACAAAAAACAAAATAGAAATAAGGTTCATTTGGATGTGGTTCAGCAGAAAAAGGAGTGTTTTTTTTTTTTTTTTTTTTTTTTTTTTTTTTTTTTTTTTTTCGCTGGTGGTTTGTCGGTTCAGCAAGTTAATCCATAGGTTTTTCTTATCTATTCTAAAGGAGGAGAGGGCTTTTTGACCAGCCAACTCTTTTGATAACCCTTGTTTGGGATGAATTGCGCATTTTGACTTATTCCTAGAGATTCTTTATGTATACTAGTAGAAGGAAAGATATTCGGTGAACTTTATTTCTGCTATAAGGATAAAAAGTGATTAGTTAGGTGAACACTCCCATTTTACTGAAATATTGCTCATTGATATTTTAAAAAACAAAGCTTCCTATGCTGGTTTTTATTTTGTTTTGGTATGTCAGAGTGTATATGAAAAAGCATTTCTATTTAATAACTATATCCAAATTTGGGATTACTAAAAAACAACCATCTTGCGTTTTAGTATCTTTACATTTTTCTTGATCATCTTTTTTCTTTAGAAATCAATGGTATTGCTAATGAGAAAGGTGAAAATATCTTTAAAGAAAACTTTTAACACAACTTAAATATGTATTGCTCTTACTTGAGCCTAAGTAGTCCTAATTTTTTAATTTCTTTTCCAATTTAACAGATTTAAATAATCTTTGAGTTGTCTACCATCTTCCTAATTCCAGAATATATATTTTTCGAAAATGTTCGTAATGCGGGTTCCAAGAACAACTTTTTAAAGCCATTAAAGCAAAGCTTTGTACAATTCTTTTAGACAAACAATACATTAAAATTAGTTTTGACAGGAAAAGTCAAGACTAGCAGACTTTGAGGACATTTTTTTTTTTAGTTGCTAACAGATGAACTGGATTTGGCATTACCAAAAAAGCAATAGCTAAACAATTTATGTTGATGTTATAGATGCTTCTTTTGAAATCAAAAAGTTAAAAGATGGCTCACCGGGAAAGATCTTATGAGCGTAAACTAATATAAAATCAATTGTCATTCTCTTTTGTATATTTTTAAGCCTCTTTCTTTCTTGTTTTATGTCAAAAAATGGGTCTTACATTGAGATAAAACTTTGTAATTATTATTCATTGTCCAGTCTTTTTTTTTGTTCAAGTAAAAAAAAAAAAAATAGCTTCTATTGTTGCTAGATTCAATGTTTGGAAGAAAAACCAGTTCTTACTGGCACTAGATATTGATCATTTCGATATCTCTTAGTTTCCAGCATCCATCGCATATTCTTCTTGAGAATCAGAGTGACAGCCTATCCAAAATGCTCAAGATACAAAATAGCTCATAGCTTTAATAACAGATGCATTGCTTTGATCGTTGCATGAGAAGTTTTGTATTAAATCCTGTAGCTCTTGTTCATGTTTTATTTTAATATCTTTTTATCTTCATGTGCTTCTCCATTCGTTTCAACTAAGAACTATTTTTTTTTTCGAGACAAGTCAAGTAAGATGAGAATGGAAGACGCGGTTTAATCCGACAAGTCACTGGTTTAATTGAAATGGAAACAGATGTATTCAAGAAGAGCTATTAGTTAATTGCTTGTACCAAGAAAAAGACTATGTAACTATTACTTTGATCTATTGTGCCTAGAGAAGTTATGTTTTCTGGCTTACCTTGTCAAGTAGCAAGTAGTAGCGTTGCTAATGATGATATAGTTGCTTCTTTTTTTTTAGACCATTACAGGTCAGTGTTAAATATAGACAAAATAAAAGCTATAAACCAATTATTTCAACCTTCAAGCTTTCCAGTGTTGACTCATTTACACAAATTACCATACATGGTTATTACATGGTCAAATTCAGTTGTTTCATGCATTTTCATAGCTTACATGCGCTCGAAGAATGACAAATAATATTGATTTGCTCAAGCTGTTGATAGTTTCATTAGGCCATTCTTCATTACTCCTTTCAGGTCAAGTACAAGCATGGATTATGTTGGTTCCATTTGCTGAGAAACAAGGAGAAGAATCATGCATTTATTTTACTCGGTGCCTTGTTTTTTCTTCTTTGAAATAAAAGAAAAAGTCTTCACTCCACACACAAACGTTATTAAATGTAATGACTTAATTAAAACTGAATTTATGCCTTTGTCTTAATGGCATATTCTTACTATAATTAAACTGATTGCTTCCACACTTCACATGATAGTATTGGAAGAACTACCACAATATAGTTTCTGATAGGAAGATGCATACCAGAAATATACTTGAAAAGGAAGCATCATAAAAAACAACGAGAAAGGAATGCCTTTTATCAAACAAATTGCTGTATCGTAAGATCAATAGCTATTTTCTTATTTGAACATCTTGTTTTTAACTGTATTTAAACTCCTTGTTGAGAGTTGCGTTAGTTACAGTGATTTGCGGTTAAAATTCTTTTTAAACTGTCTTCCTCTCCCAAAAACATCACCACAAGCGATTTTGAATAGCAAAAACAGGAAACTTTGATTTTTGAGCAGGTTTATTAAACGAAATGATGGGGTGTCCCACAAGATCATTAAAAATATAAAATTGCATGTTTCTTTTCTTAGTCTCCCCCCTCCCTTGGCGTTGTAGGTAGCTGCATGTCCTCTCAGGCGTGCTTCTTCCTTGTTTCTTAGTACATGGTGTTTATGGTGTAGTTATTACTGATATAATTAGGTGTATATTCCTTATCCAACTTCCCTCTTCCTTTTCTATTGTTAGTTAGCTAGCCTTCGCCTAGTGGACGCCATAGAACTTATTTCTCCTATTCCCTAATGAGGCAGTTACTCGACGAGTACCATCATGGCCTCGGTGCATGTCATCACTGGTATCAAGAAGCTGCTGCTGCTTTTGCTTGTACAAACGGTTCTTAAAAGAACCTTTGCTAATATTTTTACCAGCTTCTCTGTGTTCTTATTTGATGTATTGTATCATCAACTGTCAAAGAATGTTTTTTATTTCTGTGTGCTTTGATGATATAAATTTTCTTTTAGTAAAGCTTGTTTATGTAAAAAAAAAAAGATAGTTTATGATTGTTTGAGAATAAAGTTGTTCAAAAGAAGCAAAAAAATAAATAAAGAAAGGAAGCTTCAATACAGTATATGGTTGCTATTAAATATAAGGCATATAGGTTGTTTTCTTTTGTGCTATCAGTTCTTGAGCATTATTGTTATGTTTTTTGATCTTAGATCTATTCAATTACATTCTAATCTCTCGGCCTTTTGCCGGATCATGCAACAACAAGATGAACTCCATGAGTCAGTGGTATCTCTCGCCGCTCAACAATCAACCCTTAAGGACATACAACTACTTACCAATACCGAAATTTCCAGTACGAACAATTTTACCCCATCATTCACACTATCTCATGCAACCCAGAACGAAAGACAGTGGTCTACGACGCAATTTAATCAGTCAACAAGTCTTCATTCAGCTTCTATAGCAACTTATTTGTCATTAAAAAGAATGACAGGATATACATTTACAAACAAAAATATAATTAAAAATACAAAGACAAGAGATAGAGAAGCAGGCAAGACAAGAAGCAGAGAAAAGAGTTAAGCACTGCCTCTTCTACTGGGACGAGTCAGATTTGTCATTGCAATAGCATTTGATACTTCTGATTTTTTTGCTCTATGCACTATGTAGCCCTATGTTGAAAAAGGTTTTGAGCTCCATAGCGGATATACCACCCTCAGCTTCGAGTTCCTCTTTGTCACTGTCACTATCACTATCATAGAATTCACTTGGCATATAATCGAAGCCTTCACCATCGCTTCCGTCAGTTTCCGAAATATCAAAAACGCTGATGTAGTCTTCCACGATTGTCAGTTTCAAATTCTTCTTTGTTCAAGGAAGGACGACACGTTGGTCCTTTGGTGCATGTTATGATTTTAAGACTTCAGTAGAAGAGGCCGGTTGATCCTCCTTAGTGGCATGAGGTAAGACGTTTTCAAAATCATGCTTCTTAGGTGCTGGTGTCCTGCGCTTCTTCGATGAATTCAGGAGTACTTTGTGAGGACATACAAATGATCGGTGCTCAAGGTATTGACAGTTGTAGCAGATGATTTGTGCTCTAGATTTTTCACACTCAAACTTATTATGACTCGTTTGGCGGTAATATCTACACCAGGTAGGCATATTATTCCATGTACAATGAAAAATTTGATTTGGAGATTCATCAGCTAATAGTGTGATCCACATCTTGATATTGTGTGTCGTTCTTGTCTTTACCAATGACTGCATAACCAGATCCTTAATTTAGGTTCAATTGTTAAGGGAAACTAAAAAAGGAAATAACAAGACAATTTTTGATTTCAGAAATCTCATTACTATATGTGAAGTTTGAAATTGGCTTGTTGCTACCTCTTCAGGTCTCCTCTATACTTAGGAGTACCTTTTCGTCTCCCCAAAACTCACTCCACTTACGGAAGTAGCCATAAGTCACAATTACTATAGATAGCATCTTGCCGGCTTTGAGGAGACAGCTTGGAAAGGACCTTAAACCCCCTCTTTTTTTTTGTTAAGACTATGACAATAATTTGGCTTGAATTCCTTTTTTTTTTTCGGGGGACTATTTTTTAAAAAGCAGATGTTACTTTGTCCAAGCTTTGTAACTCCGGCCATTTGATTTGAAAGAACTCCTGCTTTTTATTTTAATCTTTATTTTTAATACAAACCCTTATTCTTAAAAGACGGTCATTTTTTCCCTTCATTTCTTTATTTTCTTTCCTTTTTCACCTTAAACATACTCTTTCTCTTTTATTCAGCTCGATCGCAATGTCCTCTTCACCCAAGTTTTGGCAAAAGTTGGGATTAGGAAAGCAAAACAAGTCCCTGTCGGCTTCTACCACAAATTCAGGTACAAAAAAAAGTCCCATTATCAGTCTCAAATGATTAATACCGTTTAGACAATGCTTCTATTCGTTCTTCCATGTCTTTTCATAACTTTCAAGAAGACACACATGGAAAAAAAATGAAACGTTTCAGGTATAGAAAAAAAATAGTCATTCTTGTCCTCACAAGATTATTTAGTAACTTAACGTTAAAGCACAGAGCGAGTTTAACTTCTTTACGCCAACCAATTACCGAGAATAATAAGCAAGCGCTCCTTCTAAAATCAAGAAAAGATCCAGGTACACACTATCATATATGACATAACAAGATATTAACCACTGATTAGAATTAGGTGTATCAGATAATGAGATAAACACAGACGCAGATGACAAAAAATCGTCTATCCCTATTGTTTCATCTGATTACAATTTAAGAAAACTTCAGCAACAACAGCCCACTCGAAAACAATCATGCATTGATTTCAATCAGACCAAGTTACCTTCACCTCCTCGAGTCATGAAAAAGACGAAAAGTAACCAATCCCTTAAATCAACTTCTTCTGCAGGCAGTCGAGACCAAAAAACGAAAAAGACAGAGACACTCTTGAAAAGAAAAAGCTTGCCTCGTATCGAAACAAGCAGTGATGATGAATCTTGTCTTACTCGCACTTCCTCTAATGGCAGTATTTCTGAGAGACGTCATAGAAAAAGTTTGGAAAAAAGAAAGAACAAGCAAGTAACTGAAGGAGGTGAAAACTTTGTTTTAGACATGCTTCGAGATGAACTAGAAAGAGAAAAAGCTGCTTCCCGTGCATTACAAGGTCAAAAAGAAGGTAAAGAAATAACTTTTTTTTATTGATTTATTCACTCCTATTTAGCTATTGCAAAAGATCTAGATTACTTTTGTAAATTAGCAGACGAAATCACTGAAGAAAAAGATGACTTCAAGCGAAAATATGAAGAAGAAAAAGTAATAATTCCATAGGATTGATGATATCTCTCTCTAAAACACTTTTTTGTTTGTTTGTTTTGTTTATAGCATCAACATGAACTATTAAGAGCATTTAACGGGATACAGTCAAGGTAAGTATATTATGCATAATTCTAAACATGATTTATCATGCGTTTTGTTAGTGGCGCAACAACAACAAGTGATCAATTAAGGCAAGAATTAGAGGTATGCTTGTATGTGTACATGTTGATATGCATGACTAAAAAAGAAAGAATGTAGGACTTAAAACAACGCATGGTCAAAGAACAGTATGCTTATTACAGCAATTTACAAGACAAAGATGATGAAATTAACAATTTGAAAAACGACTTGAGACAAACACAAAGGCAACTTCAAATCTTGAGGAAAACAATGGAGCGTCTATTACGTGCAGATGGAAGAGATGCAGAAGAAGCTTCTTTCCTGACAGAAAGGTACAATCTGCCAAACAACAAATACTTGATTGACCCATAAGTTTAGTGATGACAATAAGTGTCTACTCTTACAAGCAAGCTATCATCCTAATGCAGATAGTCCACAATCATTGACAGCCACAAGTCCACCGTCACCAACACCATGCTATACAATGAGTGGTACAACAGAAGATGATGATGACTTATTGTCTACTACATCAAGAGATTCATATCATAGCAGTAGGAGTCATCGTCTTAAACTTCAATATGAGTTCCTGAAATTAGAGAATGAAACTGAGCTTATTGCTAAAAGAAAGGTTAAAAAAAATATATATGATCTCTTATTCTAATGGATTATGTAGTCTGAAGATTTCTCAAAAAAGATTGCCATGTCACGTAGACGCAAAGATCAGCTAGAAGAAATGTTGGGTGAAGTAGACTCTCAACTTCATCGTGTCAAGCAAAAGATCAGATCACCTACGACTACTTCTTGATTCCTTTATATAATTCCCTCTCCTCTTTACAGATTAAAGCATAATTTATAATTATTTTCTTTTTTACTTTATTTTTCTCTCAGTGCATGATATTAAGAACTTAGTAACCGAGGGCAGCAAGGGAAGCGTTGACATCCTTAAGGGCATCAGCCTTGGATTCAACAGCCTTCTTTTGGATAGCAGCAAGGGCAGTCTTGCGTTGGTAGTAAGCAGCAGACTTGGCCTTACGCTTTTCTTCGAGCTTGGCAACAACATCTTGGTACTTCCAGCCAACTTCGTGAGAGATACGGCCAATGGTGGTGTACTTACGTCCGGGCTTAAGACGGAGGACACGGAGAGCATCAGGAACAACCATGCGCTTGACACGGTCATAAGGAGCAGGGACACCTTCAAAGAGCTTGATGCGGTCCAAAGCAGCAGCACCACGAGCAGTCTTGTGAGGGACCATACCACGGATAGCCTTGTACAAGATACGAGAAGGAGCACGGAAGTGGAAGGGACCACGAGTGGGGTTAACAAGACAACGCTTGTTAAGGTAAGCGTGGTACTTTACTATGAGAATGAATTAGTTTTCTTTCTCTTATGCTGTCTTATTTGCTCGCTTTTCTCAGTTTCTCTCTTGCTCTCTCTCTCTCTATCTCTCTCTCTCTCTCTCTCTCTTTTTGTTATCTGTCTCTTCATATTCCAATGATACATACACTTGTTACGGAAGAATTCACCAGAAACATTCAATTCTTCACAACGGACAACAACGACCTTTTGACCGTTGAGGGCTTGCTTGGCGATGATGGAAGCGAGACGACCTATTCTCATATAAATATCGATTTCAATAAAACAAAGTGACATGACATACCCAACAAGTGACCTTTGCCGTCAATAACCAATTGCTATCATATCAAAAAACAGGTCAGTATCCATCAAAACAAGCCACTGTATGGGTGCACTACCTTCTCGAATGTAGACATGGCTGTTATTCGGTTATAAAAAGAGAAAGAGCAAAAAAATTTTTGTAGCCAGTCTGTTTTTTTCAAAGAGACCTAAGCCACCAAGTAGTCACGTACATACAGAGCAAAATTTCAAAATATAGAGTTAACAGCTCGGATTTAATGATAGAGGGAGGGGGGTAGTAGGGTTAGGTATCTTCCGGATTTTTCAACGATTTGATTAAGGTATTCACTTGAGTTTTTAGAATAAGAACCAATGCCTAATAGAAGCATGGGTCATTGTTTTCAGAGCATGTAATATCTTTACCGTTTTGCTTGAATACCAATATTTGACAGTCTGTTCAACTGTTGTTTTTGAAGCACTGTAATGTTGAGAATCAGGCTTGCATTGAGCGTACCATTTCTTGCCTTGAATAATAGTATGATTTTCTTTTGTATCAAGGCCAAGAGGACTTGTTAAAAGATTATTACCATCGAGATCTAGTAAGCTGATCAAGATAAACTCATCATAGACAACAGATTGAGTAACATAAACACCTTCATCCATAGGACATTCTATTTTGCCTTCAATGTTGGTCTTGCCCCCAAGGTCTCTTTCAATAAAACCCAGAAACAAAGCATAACCAGCTTCATTTGCTATTTTAGAGACAATGTTGGCTAATTGTCTATCACTTGGCTTGAGTTGTTCTATTGTGATTTTTGGCAAATAATAGCTATACTTGAGCATATAAAAGATAGGTGATTTAAAATGACTGACATAGTCTTTAAGATAGTTGGATGCACGATCCATGACAGGCTTGATTTCTGTCTCAGTAGACAAGTTGCATTGAAAATCACTCAATCGAGACTTTTGTAGAAGTTCAGCACTAGCTTCATGGTGAACAAGAGAGAAGCCAAGAATGACTTGATAACCTTCAGTCACAGGGAAGAATTTATTGTGGACATCATTATGCCAAGCCATATAGTAATAGCCTTCAATAACAGCCTCTTCTGTCTAAAATATTGCATCTTGACTATGATAGACTGTCAAAATATCACCGCCAATAAAACAGCTAGGCAAGGCAATCAAGAGAGTAGCATATGCATCGCTTTGTCTATATGGTATTGTCAATGCATCAGACACATAAAAAGATAGACTTACAATGCACCCGAGAATGGCAATGTTCCTTCACTGGTCAGAACAAAAAGACGATTGGGCTCAAGGCGTGTGTTTTGAGCAATCAACTTATCAACGCCTAAACGCATTGTTACGTCAGGCAAGATAGTCTCAGACAAGTATTCTTGAAATGAAAGATTGGTTTGAATGTTGGATGCGTCAATTTCTAGACAGGTAGCTTCGCCTTGTTTGTTTTTGGTGGTAGGAAATGCGTGAAATAATCAAATGGCGTCTTTTTCTTCCAAGGGAAATGCAATAGGACCAGGAATACCTTGGACATTAAAAGCAATTCTTGGTGCTTCATCATGCAGAGAATTGCCGCATGAAAAAGAAGATTCAATTTCGTCTGCTTGAGCATCAGAGTATGTGTATTCTATCTTAGTTGCTGAAAGATGTCATCCAGTTTTTGAAGAGGATTTTGTTGTGTACATTCACTGATAACTACAGCTTCATGATCTTTAGGTAATAACTGATTGATCTCAACAGATGGAACCGATTCATCTTCGTCCATAGAATAATCCTCTTCATCACTGTCTTCAACAGAATCAGATCGTATTCTTTTTCGAAGCTGATGAACAACTTCTTTATCGTCTGAAGAAATAAGAATACTATCGTCTTGTTGAGACATTCAAACGCGCCAAAAGTAAAAAAAAAAAAAAAAAAAAAAAAAAAAAGGAGAGAGAGAGAGAGAAACAAAAATTTAATGCATGATATTTTACAATCTAATGAGAGTGGTTCAAGTTGAGTACAAAGGGAATCAACATGCCTAACAGAATAGACCCAATTTGCCAATGATCTCCTTTGTTATTTGGAAGTTCTTGAATAGCATGCATGGCTACATACAGAAATGTACCTCCTGAAAACAGTAACAAGATACCCGTCCAATACTCTAAATTCACAGTAGAGAATGATTCTGAAAAGAAGTGCAATAGGGCATAGGTTGAAATGGCTCCAATGGGTGCAGATAGAGAAAACATCAAGAGGTGTTGTCTTACTCGGGCACGGGACAGACCCTCACTTAACAAGACTGTGGTGAGTGCAAACGCAGAAGGTGCTTTGTGAAGCATGATGGCGAAAAATACTACCATCGATAGTTGTGGATGAGATGCAGATGCACCTAATGCGATCCCATCTGCTGCTGCATGGACAATCAGACCAATCGTAGGGGTTGTGATGGAGACATTGTGTGTGTGATGATGTGGTTCGGATGAGGATGAGGGGGTTTCTGATGGTGCCAACATCGCATCTAATTCTAAAGAGTTTCTGCCTTTAATATTGACCGAAGCTGTAGAGGTTGTTGGGTGAATATGCATAGAACTAACTTGATCAATCACAAACATCATGGCGAACCCAATCAACAAAGACAATCCAACAGCAGTATGATCAGCCAATTGTGCTTCCTCTGTTGTATCGGACACTTTGTTTGTGTAAAGTGTTTCTACTCCCTCGGGTATAATCACAACAAGACTGGTAGATATCAATAAACCTGCACTGACAAAAGTCAAAAAATTGAGCTTTGATTCCGATAGTTTTGTGGCAAGAGGTATACAGCCTGCCACGAAACTAGCAACTAACATTGCCATACATAGCAACAGTAACCATACAAACGGATTTAACATATAAAGAAAAGAAAAAAGGAGTAAAAAATTAAGACTGAATAAACCAGGCTTTATTTATTGTGCAACCTTCTGTTTAGCTGTCAACAATTCGTTCTTTTTTGATCGACAAAATGTGCAATTGAGTGGATAAAGAACCTAACCCTTTTTTACTTACCTATCTCCCATCTTTTTTTCTTTCTTTTTCTTTATATGTATGCTTTTTGGTACAGTCATGATTATACTCTCAGGAGGATTTTTCTTTCTTAGAAATTTGGCATTCATTGTAGTCTGACATGAACAACTGATCACTTCCTTTTTATTGTAAATCTATGACTAGGCTTTTTAGGACTTAATTTTACCTTGCTAGGTCTAGTACTGGTAGTACAAAGGAATTGCTTAACTTTTCTCTTCATTTTTGGTTTATCAAATTATCTTTTATTTTTACTACTATCAAATTTTGAAGCTACCTTTTACTCGTTGTGTTTTATAAAAACAATGTCTAAACTTGATCTTTCAATGTGATTTGAAAAGTCTTTGGAAATGCATGATTAGTGTCACACACAGCCGGCAGATTTCAAGTGCGGCATATGTCCGGTATACACTTCTCCCCTCTATCTCTCTCGGACACTCAAATGAAGGGTGTACTGATTTGCCACTACCACAAGACATCAAGCAAGAAAACGATTGAATCTTCCTCTCTTTTTGCGTATTTCCAAGTATGTATGATATGCCATAGTGTAATGAGGGGAAAAGAGAAGAGAATGGATGTGGTTAGAGAATAGCCGTTTTTTTTTAAGAAAGATGGATATTGATAGATGGATGGATTTTTTTTTTGTTATAGACACTAAGGATTCACAATCAACTAACCTACTTTTTTTTTTAATGGAACAGTACTTGAGCAATAATGGTCAGATACGCTGCTACACCGGCTAACCCCGCCAAGGGTAACTATTCATAAGCAACACTTGGCTCGAACAACAAACTAACTCATTCTTCTTTTAAACTCGATTAGCCTCCAAGTCCAGAGGTTCTTACCTTCGTGTTCACGTATGTGTCATCGTGTCAATCGAAATGGAGTCTAACGTTTTTTTTTTGTTTAGTTCAAGAACACTCACGAAGTTGCTGCTGCCATCAAGGGTTTGAAGTTGAGCAAGGCTTATGCTTACCTCAACAACGTTACTGAACACAAGCAAGTCATCCCCTTCCGCAGATTCAACGGTGGTGTTGGTCGTGCTTCTCAAGCCAAGGAATTCAAGGCCACTCAAGGTCGTTGGCCCGTCAAGTCTGTCAAGTTCGTCACTGACCTCTTGAAGAACGCTGAAAGCAACGCCGAAGTAAGGAAATAAAAAAAAAGAGAAAAGGTATACTTATATAATTATAGGCTAAGGGTTTGAACGTTGAAGATCTCCACATCTCCAGCATTGTTGTCAACCAAGCTCCCAAGCACCGTCGTCGTACTTATCGTGCTCACGGTAGAATCAACCCCTTCATGTCTTCTCCTTGTCACATTGAAATCGTCCTTACTGAAAAGGATGAAGTTGTTGCCCGTGCTGCTGATAAGAAGGTTGTCAAGCTCAATGCTCGTCAATTGGCCCGTAACGCTCGTCTTGCCCGTGCTTAAGTGTTAAGAATAAAATCTTTGCTTTTTTTTTTACATTTCCTCTCTCTTTTTATGTAGCTTATACCGAGAACTCAAAAAACATGATCTTTATTGACCAAAAAAAAAAAAGACTTGACAACTCTGTAGTACATTTCAAATTTAGTATGAATTCTTGCATAAATATGTTGTAAAATGAAGTAATATGACAAGAAATGGTGACACGATCACTGACTTGAAGCAAAATAAAGGGATCAAAACTCTGTTTATTGATTTCTCTTTTCTTGCTGTTGTGCATGTATATCATACTGCTTTTCTTTTATGAATGTGGCTATGTGAACAAGTGAATATCATACCTGTATTAAAATAAAACGTCCGATATGGTCATTCCATAACAACGACTAAGCAAATCACTTTGCTCTCATTGGTTCCAATTATTAAATTGGCATACTCAAATTTATTTGTTTCAGAAAAATATAAAACGCATTTTATTCGTTTTAGCAAGCAGGCTCGACCTTATGGGCTAAACTCTATCAAGTTCAGGCACCATTTTATAGATACGCTCTTATTCTACCAAGAACTGCTAAGCAATTTATTAGCATAATGAACAAAAAAAAACATGTACTACAGTTTTGATGCTGTCGATCATGTACGAAATTTGAACGATGTTTGTCATACATTTGTATTTGTTAAAATATGACAAAACAAGGAATTTTCGTCGCAAATGAAAAAACAAAAACAATAATCAAATTTCGTACTTCTAGACTCTTCATGATAGGAGAGTATGTATTATTTGTTCATGAGAATTAGGGAAAGTTTGCAGTTTTGATAATCCGGCGCTTATCGGAAAGATTTAGAGTTCCTATTTAATGTGAATCTCAGCATTTTCTAAACTGAGATCATTGTTTGACAATGACAGAGAGAAAGAGAAGAAAAAATTATGCACAATCAGGGTTCTTCGTTTTTTTTTTTTTTTGAACCCTAGTTTAAAACGTGTTATCATGAAACCTAGACAAAAATAGCTTAAATTTATATCCTTGTCAAAGAATATTTATAATAAAGTGTCATTTAGACATTTTGGCTGTATAAAGTGACAAAAAATTCAAACTACGTCGTTGTTCGTTCGGAAAGTTTTGCCCCCTTAATTTACACATGTTGTGAATTAAGCAAATGTTTCCTAACCAATAGATTTATACAACTCCATATACAAAAAGGTATTTTTGTTTGTTGAACAGCAAATATACTTTTCGCCTAAAACTCAGCTATAAAATCGGCAAAATGAAAGTGATAGTAAGGTACAAAAGGAAAATATATAATAACAACAAAAACAAAATAAAAAGGTTCCACGATCATATGATTTGATATATCGAGTTGACAAACCGATAAGCGGTTTTTTTTTATTGTTATAAGTGTACATAAATAATATTTACATTAAGTATTAGTAATGGGTAGTATAAAATAAGAAAGGTATAATTAACAACAAAAAGAATTCTTTCTCACTGTGTGAGATATAATATACAATGGTAAAATGGAACGAATGCGAATGTATGTATATGTATATGTATGTGTGTGTGATTTTTCATGGTTGTACACACATACACTAATGGTCCAGAACTTCCTCAACAAGATCCATTTCTAAGGTTTTTCCATGTATGGCCAAATATTCTTTGATTGCTTGTACATTCACAAACAAATTGTATTTTATGAGACCAAGAAAACTGCGCTCCATTAGGTTGATATCTTTTGGTGTATAAACATGATCTGTCATAACCACAATGGCTTGGCTTGTAAGACATGTACCCGTTTCAGAGAGGAATTTAGATGCAGTTAGAATAGCAGCAAGGAATAGGCGATAAGGTGTATCAACATCTCCTCTGGCATGGCTGGGCAAACCTAACTTTAACCGTTGCAAGTAGATCAATGAAACAAGACAGACACAGGGCGACAGTTTAGATCTTTTAAAGACTTGTGCAATAAACTCATTTAATGGAGGTAATTGATTTTTTGATTTGTTATTACAATAAGCAAAACTGTTGTTTTTCAATTTCGTATTTGTTGAACAAGGTAATAATGTAGTGGCTGTATTTGTAGTAAAAGCTAAGAATAACAGAAAGTCAATACAAATTATATATTTGATCTATATAGATCTTACAAAGAAGGGCCTCAGGGCTTCTTGAAGATACAGAAGTGATGGGCATCAAATAGAAAAAGAGAAAAAAAAAGTAAAGAAAGAAAAAAGAGAGCATCTGATTTCTAGCTTTTTTTTATATATATAAAAAAAAGCCCTAGTCATCCACCAATGGACAATTGAATTCTTATCTCTGACCTCCAATTCTCCTTCCGTTGCTTGTCGCAGCTTAAACGACGAACATCATTGTTTCAGACTCCATTTCATTTTACACTTTTTAATATATATATATAGAAAAAAGGAATTGAATTTGTCATAAGCTGCTATTGTGCGTCATTTTTATTTACAACAAAGGATATAATGTATGTATAAAAAAAAGAAAAGAATAAATATGTATGGAATTTGAAGCCAAAAAAATAGAAACATAGACTTGCTTTCTTCTTTTTTTGATGAAAAAAAATTTTTTTTTTATAGTCAAGAGTGTCAACTGAACATGTTTATGCACTGCTGGAACGAGCAGTGCGCTTCTTTTTATAATCCTTAATGGCAGACTTGATAGCATCTTCAGCCAACACTATTCATATATTAGTAAACACATGACACTTTCAACTCAATTTATCAACTACTTACTGGAGCAATGCAACTTGACAGGAGGCAAACATAATTCCTTTGCAATCTCAGTATTCTTGATTTGACCAGCTTGTTCGAGGGTCATACCACGAACACGTTCAGTCATGAAACTGCTAGAAGCAATAGCAGAACCACATCCAAATGTCTTGAATTTAACATCAACAATTTTACCAGTAGCATCGTCTACTTTAATTTGCAATTTCATCACATCGCCACAAGCAGGGGCACCAACAAGACCAGTACCAACATCAGTATCTGTCTTGGGAAAAGAGCCAACATTACGAGGACGTTCGTAGTGATCGATAACCTAAAATTCATTTATTTTGGATTAGTCATATACTCCCTATTATTGTTATGATGATAATTACTTTTTCATGGTAGAAACGAGCACCAGAAATAGAAAGGGGCTTTTGAATAAGACGGGTTGATTTGTTAAAAGCGTTAAAAGTGGTGCGCAACATTGTGTTATTTAAAAGAAAATGTAAGGAAAAAGAAAAAAAAATTTAAAAAGCTGGGGTGCGGTTTATATGTAATCAGATTTTAGTATGAGACTGTGAATCTTTACCAATAAAAGCGCGAGCTTTTTCTTTATCAGATTGCAATTCGTCCAATCCAATTTCACTGTGGAGTTTGTGGCAGGAGCGCTTTTTCGGTCATCATGATGAGAACCGAAGTAGCCCGCTTGTTTAATTAGATGTTTAAGAAAACAAGAATTGAGCTTGATTTATGCCTTCTCTCTCTCTCTCTCTCTCTCTTTCTCTCTCTCTCTCTCTCTCTTTCTCTCTCTCTCTCTCTCTCTCTCTCTCTCTCTCTCTCTCTCTCTCTCTCTCTCTCTCTCTCTCTCTCTCTCTTTCTCTCTCTTTCTCTCTCTTTCTCTCTCTCTCTCTTTTTTTTTTTCTTTTTCTATCAAGCAAGATACGATGGCTTTTATCCTTTAAAAACAAGTGCTATTTTAGTGTCGATGGTTTAAAAGAGAGCATTTTTGAGATACTAGAAAAAGGTCTTTTCTACATAAGCAACTTCTTGAAAACCATTATTGGGTAGGATTCTTATACAAACCAGCACGTATGTTATTTCGTATTTATGCTTTTGTGCGTCAATTGTATAATTCATGTTAGAGAGAAAAAAAGTTTTACTATACACAAACAATGTCAATGCAGTGAAGTTGAATAGATTTGCTATTGCCTTCAAAATATCCTGCGAGTAAAACAAGTACCATGGAATTAGGATTATTGTCTACTTGGTGTGTTAGTATTTTTGAAAGAGCCATTGTTGTGGTTCCATTAAAAAAGCACAAAGTGAAACATTGAAACAGAATAAACTAGACGCTTTTGCAATACAACATTTATGCTTTTGAATATCAATGGTAAACAAACACGATATTTTATTTGTTGTAACAACAGAACTGATTGTCAAGGTTTTCCTCCCCCTGAGTTCTTTCAAATACCCAAATAAGGTTAGTATCTTCAAGTTGTCAATTTTAGCTAGACAAGTACATTAACTTTCAAATGCCAATACCCAGTGAGTAGACATGCTTGACTCTTTTTTTTCCCTCAAGAAGACATTACAATTGATACAATGAATGTGAATTAACTGACATCGGAATATGATTGCTATTTTCTTAAAAGTTCTTTAAAGCTCAATGCATTGGCCAAAACAGATCTTGTAATGAATAAGAGAAAAAACTTGACTGAAAATCATAAATCGTAGCTTGTGTCACACTGTAGCAACCACAAACCATAGAGTATCAAGTCGATCAACCACTCAAAAGTTTAGGATGTAATAATATTAGTGAAATTTTGAACATGGACTACTTTTTATGGATTGCTTGACACTCAAAGTGTGACATAGGCTCTAAGATGAGCATTTAACAAGGTCGTCTTTTTTCATGAGTAAGACATTCAGAACCAGGCTGAATTGAATGCAAGCGTTTTGATTTAGCGACCATCAGCAAATTCTAAGCGCATAAAAGAGTAAGCCATACGTATTTTAAAATATAATTCTGTGATTAATGCTTTAGATTCAGGCAAACAAAATCGTATATTGATGCGTTTAGAGCAAAGCGAATAACATGACAGGTTAAACTTTAAATAAGAGAAAAACTTTGAGCAAAGCAAAAAGCAAAGAAGATAGTAAAAATAGCTTTTCGTGCTCACCCTTAAGCGAGTTAGACCAGGATTAGTTTGTGAAATATGTTTTCTAGCATCAGTTACTATCAAGAGACATGTCTAAATCATTGAAATATGAAAGTAATATCTACCTCATTTGCTTATGATACTCATGTGATATTACATTGCTCACTTAAATAACCGAGATCGCCAGCTAAATAAATACTTTAACAGTAAAAAAAAAGACAACAGTCCATACATATCTTGTTTTCTTTCTTAAACAAACAAAGATATTGTGAAGCCTGTCTATATGCAAATAGGTACTTTAAATAGCTACTCCAAATAACTACAAATAGTGTTTGTAAGCACCCAGGGTACTTTTGGAGTTGGTTTGGACCAAAAGAAAAAAAAAAAAAAAAAGGCTCGTAAAATTTGACCAAAATGGCCTTTCGACCAAACGGTACTAGTCATGAAAATGGTCGATTTGACAATTTTTGTTCTTCCTTTTGGCACTACGACACGAAAAATAGAGTTATTGACAAGTTTGAATACTCAAAATGTGTGCAAGGCGCTATAGTTTTTGATCAAAGTGTTTGTCTACCAGCTGTACTATAAAAATGGTAGGATGTAAGAAAAGAAAACTCAAAAACGAGAGTTTTTGCATCGACGCAGTATTTCACCAGCAATAAAGTTATGCTCTTTACATCAATAGGCTCAGAAAGCAAAGGTTTATAACTTTTCCTATTGTACCAAAGTCCGATTTTTTTTTCATGCAGCGGGATGAACAATTGGACTTATATCGCCGTAGGAAAAAAACGAGGTGATTTGGGATAGAAGAGGATGTATAGAGGTCCATTTGGTACTCTAATAAAGTACAGAGCGGGTGGTCTTGAGCGTGTTTGTGAGAAAACAGCTTATAAGCCTCTGAAAGACAAAGGGATTGGTCAAGGGCGCTTTTGCATTCTCTAAAGCCACCTTGAGCAGTGTCTAAGGACAGTGCTTAGCCTTGAAGAAGCTTCTTGACGCATCTTTTGAGCGTTTTTGGAAGTAGTAGTCAGAATAGTTAGATAGTAATTGACTGGGTCAGTTGGGATGCCTTTCTCATGAATTGGGACTACATATGCGACTTGTCAACAGTGAGGCGTGTATTGCCAACGCTAACACAGATAAAAAAAAAAAAATACGGAGAACCACAGGAACGCTAAAATTTACGATATCGATACAAAAATTAAAGCTAGAGTCATGAAAGGATCAGGGTAATAACCGTAGATGTCAGAAACTTTTCATGAATGCAATGGATTTACAGAAAAACATGCATGTTTTCCAACTTCGCTAAAATTTATGCCGACTTACAAGTATGCCGTTTGTATATTTAAAAAAAATTAAATAAATCAAAAATATTTTCTGTAGACAAAAGATAAAAAAGAAGGATATTTTTTAATTTTTTTGTTATAAATTAAAAAAAAAGTCAATTTTTCGATTTTTTTATTGTAAAATAAATAAACAAATCTACCAGGCAGTAATATCCTTTTCAAATTAAAAACAGCAAGACCATCAACTGGTAGATTTGTTTATTTATTTTACAATAAAAAAATCGAAAAATTGACTTTTTTTTTAATTTATAACAAAAAAATTAAAAAATATCCTTCTTTTTTATCTTTTGTCTACAGAAAATATTTTTGATTTATTTAATTTTTTTTAAATATACAAACGGCATACTTGTAAGTCGGCATAAATTTTAGCGAAGTTGGAAAACATGCATGTTTTTCTGTAAATCCATTGCATTCATGAAAAGTTTCTGACATCTACGGTTATTACCCTGATCCTTTCATGACTCTAGCTTTAATTTTTGTATCGATATCGTAAATTTTAGCGTTCCTGTGGTTCTCCGTATTTTTTTTTTTTTATCTGTGTTAGCGTTGGCAATACACGCCTCACTGTTGACAAGTCGCATATGTAGTCCCAATTCATGAGAAAGGCATCCCAACTGACCCAGTCAATTACTATCTAACTATTCTGACTACTACTTCCAAAAACGCTCAAAAGATGCGTCAAGAAGCTTCTTCAAGGCTAAGCACTGTCCTTAGACACTGCTCAAGGTGGCTTTAGAGAATGCAAAAGCGCCCTTGACCAATCCCTTTGTCTTTCAGAGGCTTATAAGCTGTTTTCTCACAAACACGCTCAAGACCACCCGCTCTGTACTTTATTAGAGTACCAAATGGACCTCTATACATCCTCTTCTATCCCAAATCACCTCGTTTTTTTCCTACGGCGATATAAGTCCAATTGTTCATCCCGCTGCATGAAAAAAAATCGGACTTTGGTACAATAGGAAAAGTTATAAACCTTTGCTTTCTGAGCCTATTGATGTAAAGAGCATAACTTTATTGCTGGTGAAATACTGCGTCGATGCAAAAACTCTCGTTTTTGAGTTTTCTTTTCTTACATCCTACCATTTTTATAGTACAGCTGGTAGACAAACACTTTGATCAAAAACTATAGCGCCTTGCACACATTTTGAGTATTCAAACTTGTCAATAACTCTATTTTTCGTGTCGTAGTGCCAAAAGGAAGAACAAAAATTGTCAAATCGACCATTTTCATGACTAGTACCGTTTGGTCGAAAGGCCATTTTGGTCAAATTTTACGAGCCTTTTTTTTTTTTTTTTTTCTTTTGGTCCAAACCAACTCCAAAAGTACCCTGGGTGCTTACAAACACTATTTGTAGTTATTTGGAGTAGCTATTTAAAGTACCTATTTGCATATAGACAGGCTTCACAATATCTTTGTTTGTTTAAGAAAGAAAACAAGATATGTATGGACTGTTGTCTTTTTTTTTACTGTTAAAGTATTTATTTAGCTGGCGATCTCGGTTATTTAAGTGAGCAATGTAATATCACATGAGTATCATAAGCAAATGGGGAAACTTATTCTGACTTTATGGAGCACGGAAGATAGCCTTTAGCATATACATTAAGCATGTTGGAATCTTACTATATATCCATAGTTTCAATTCAATTACGCAATGTTTCTATAGTGAAGATACATCTAGGGTAAAAGACACGATGATTCAAGTAAATCAATAACATATTGTTTTGGAAAGGTCCCTTTCCTTCCCAACAATGAATGTACAGTTTTAATACACCTAGTTCAAAACTTTCACTTAATGTTTCTACAATTATTTTAGAAATATTTCTCTAGACATTTATATATATATATATATATATCAAAAGAGTGAATAAGCAGTGCAATCTATCTATCTAAGGCCCAAAGCTGCGTTTTAGCAACGGAAACGAAGCTTTCGAAAAGATGAGGAGGCATTGATTTTTGTGGCTCACATAACATCACTTGTAATTCAATCCGTTTATAAAATCAAGCTGGTTATACACTGACACGAAATAAAAATTAGCCCAGTTTTTTGTCATTCGAACTTAGCAACAGAGATATCATGATCTAAGAGCCCTTTAATATTCCAAGATGATACTTAAGCGCGCTCAGCTTTTTGTTGATGATTTGTTGAGATATTTATTTCAAGATAATATAAACAGAAAGAAATCAGTACTTGGTGGTACAGCCTTTGACATCAATCACGGCTTGGTATTGGTTTGTCATATTGTGTAGTAGTATGAAGATAGTAGGGGAGATATTCAACTACCTCCTCGTATCCGTGTAAGTATTCTACATATACTGGTTCATATCTGTTACTGATTTATCTCCCTTCTATTCTTTGCTCTTTCTTATACCCTAACGTAAGTAATAATATAAATATTGTTCATGTATCTCATACTCTGCTTAATTTCTAGTACTTAATTTTTGCTTATATTTTCCACACGATTTTTTTTTTCAATAAAGTGTAGTTGTCTTTTTTCTCTTATGTTGAAATATCCTCAATGAAGTTGCGATTTTGTGTGTGTAATTCAATCTATCCATGTGGACTGATCAAGTCGTTATATGTGTTAAAAAAGGAAATCCGTATCAAAGGTTGCGTTGGGTGTCAAATAATGATCAAGTGCATCTTAATACAGAATCAATTATACTTATTAAACTACATCTGACTTTGTACAATCATTCTGTTAGAGCCACGCATAATTTTATCTACTGACCTATTGAGTGTATCATGAGATTAATATCTAGATAATTTTTCCTGAACTGTTTAGAGTTAAGGTAAATTTCTATAAATTTTATCATGTCAAACTATATTAGTTATATGATATCAGATCAGGCTACACAAGAAATTGCAACGCGGGTTGCTTTGGATTATGTCAGTCCAAATAACTTTCATGCGAATCGTCTAAAGCTATACTTTTTTCCAAATCCTATTTTCATGCAGTTAGACACAAAAAGTGCCAAATAACATCAAAGAAGTAAAATATGCTTTAATTACTTTTCTGATTAAAGAGTTGTTTTTACTTGCTAAAATTGAGAGTCAAATGGGAGCATGAGTCGCTATTATTTGACATCGTGCTGAATAGTATTATGGAACTCGATACTAAAGCTCTATCGCTGTCAAACTAGTAAAAGAGATTTTGTTATCTTGACAACTTTTGAGCAATACTTCTTCAAAATTTCTAATAGTTAAACATAATCTACCATTTAGCTAGGAACCTCATATAACAGCTGGCTATATTTCTCCCAGCCACTAATACATTTTTCTCTTCTCACCGCCATTCACTTTGAGCACTTTGAACACTTTGAGCTTCAGTGACTTCCTGGTTTTAAAATTTTCAAATCTCTGAGTATAGATCATTTCAAATATCACGAGAAAGTTCCGGTTGAAGAAGTCTTTACTATTGCTGGAGTATGCATAAGTAATCCTCAAGCTGATGCTACAGGTAGCTTCATTAATAGAAACAATTTTTTTCGATGGTCTCCATCTATTTTAAGTATTGCTGTATCCTATTTCGACCTGCTCCTTCATATGTATTATTTCTTGCGATTAGCCAGAGTTCCAATCGTAACTAAGATTTTTTTCCAGAAACAAAAGAACCTTCAACAGTTTGCTTCCATGATATCTTATAACGACTCAACACTGTCAGAACTTTTAAATGAATAGATTCTTTTCTCATTTCTATTCAATATAAAAATAACCACCTGAAACAGAGAAAGTAGGAATCAACTTTCGACTTGGCATTGCAAAAGCTGCTATAGTTAGCTGAGACCAAATTTCTGGTTGCTTTATTCAAGTGTGCTGTCATTTACACTTCTTGAAGCGGCGATGGAAAAAAGAAAGGTTGAGGGGGGAAAAAAAGAGCATCTGACACTTACAATCAAGCAATCCAGCAAAAATATCCATAGTAACCATGTCGAGATTCGGTACCTGAAATGTAGGATCACATCTTCATTTGGAATCAAGTGGGTAAACAATATGCTTACTACACAATTTTGGAATTTCATTTTTCATACATTTTTTTCTGTTTGCGCTTCATACCATACTATAATAAGCTCACTTTTTTTAAAAAAAATCTTTTTTCTCTTCTTTTTTTGATATTTAGACCTCGATGCTATCAAAGGACTTGACGCCTAACTCTAAGGCTGTCAATATTATTCGTCCCATAAACCAACAAACTCAACAAAGACCAGAAGACCCTCATCTCTTTCAGTTCTCTCACCAACAGACTAGCAATAACTTTTCTTCTTCCACAAATTCTTCTTCCTGTACATTTTCAACCGCGTCCACTGTGAATACACTTTATAATAATACTGTTTTTACTTCTTCACCCATGATTCGCCAACCATCTGCAGAAAGCAATCCCGGCCTGTCTTTCTTTTGCCAATCTCCAACTTCAAATAATCACAACATTATCACTAAAAACCAGCAAACGAAAGGCACGCAACAAAAGAATGCCTCTTTTGAAGTAACTCCTACAGCGCCTGTTCAACAAAAACAGCCTCTTGTGATTAGTCGCATCAACCTGTCCAATTTTAATCGACGTTCGATTACACCTCCTCCAGTAGTTCCGACAACCGACAATGATGGTATCACAACATTGGATGATATTGAAGATGAAGAAGAAGACGACGACGATGACGATCTAGTAAACTCAGAAGATGATGATATCGATATGGAGGTAGAAAATAAGCCAATACCTCAACAACAGCTCAGAAGAACGCCTTCTTCCTATAACCCTTTATTTGGCGTTATGAGTGGAGGTCTAGGTTCTTTTCTCTTGAGAGGCACCATGGCAACACAAGCAAAAACACAAGCAGACGAAGCAAGAGTGCATCGAAAGGTAAGGAAAGGGGCAAGACATGTACATAGATATCATTGTGCTGATAATCGCTCTTTAGATAGAAGACTTAGAAATAGAAAAGAAATCGTTGATGACATTAAATCAGACTCTAGAGACTGTAGTAAAAGAACAGTCCAATACGATAAGTGATTTACAGAACAAACTAGCTGCGTAAGTAAGAATGATTTATGGTTGTGTCTCATACATCATACGTTTCATGCAGGATAGAGAGACCACTGACGCCTGGCTTAGATACAAGTTTAAGTAAAAATGGTATTATGGTATATATGTGTATTTGTATAAAATGACATGTTCATATGACACTTTTATACTCACTACGCTTTTTTAAAGTCTTCCAGCGATATTGGTATTATGGACTCGTCTGATTTGGAAAAATGTTTGCAAGACGAAGATGATGCATTTGAAAGAATTCGCGCTATGCTACTAGAGTTGATTGAACAAGCACAAGCAGCTGTAGCAGAAGACAAAGAGTCGCAAGACTATCAAGGTAAAATACATGTATATCACACCATTTTTTACTTATCCCTTTTTATAGTCATTGCACACGTAAAAAATAATAGCAACATAGCTTCATCCAACACACTAAGACGTAGCAGTAGCAGACCAAAGTCAGTCATAGACACAAGCTCTTCAAGAAACTCTATGGTAGGGATCACAAATCAGCAAAAGAATCGAGTGACTCGAAGAATATCACTTGGGAATATGAATCAAGTGAGCACCGTACATAACAATAGTAATACCCATCGAATCTCCGTTTCATCTACTTCAAAGCAATCACCCACAACTTCTCCTATACCAAATAGACGTTATTCAATGCAACGTTCTGTCTCGAGAACTTCCTCTATTGCTTCTTCTCCTAATGGAAGCATTCATTCAATTCAAAATGCAACCACTGCATCAAGAGCTTCCAAATACAAAATCAAATCATCCGATTCTCAACAGTCTTCTAGAAAATGGTTGAATTAAACGATACAAATATGACCTGTATGAACAACTTCTTTAGCCAGCTTATCATTATGATATTATACTTTTACTATTCTTATTATTATAGCTATTATACCATCAAAACCCTTTTCTTTTATTATACATACACTTGTCCGCTCCCCCTGCCTTTTTATAAGAACATGAAAAAACAAAGAGAGAGAGAAAAACAATAAACTATCTTTCATAAACACTAAATTTTAAAAGGTCCGTGCTTTATTTATATTTATGACATTCTTTCCATCTAGCTTTTTACTAGTTAAACGCGTGATTTTAAAAAACACTTCCTTTATAGATAAACACTTATTTTGCTTAATGGTAACATATATAATCAGGCGATTCAAGAGAAAAAGGTAGTTGAATCGGCATAAAGTTTTGTGTGAAAATTAGCCAAACAGGAACAGGCAATAACAAAGTCATGGGGAGGCTTTGTTTTTTTCTTCTTTTAGGTGAAAGAACAAGCTACGTATTTGTGTTGCGTTCTCCTGAGACTTTCACATTGTCTAAGCATAAAAAGCAATAAGCTTTTTTTGTGCTTACTAGCTTTTGTCACAAGCGAACTAGTATCACTACACAGTATTTTCTGTAAGAAAAATGGCATAAATTACCCGTGTTACAATGTCATCATAGATTTTTTGAAGGTCCCTTGAAAATGCACATTACAAATTTGGCATGATAAGATGTAAATGATCTATTCGCTGAAATTTGCATAGAAAGAAAAAAATGCATATTTGATCAAATACATATATCAAGGTACATTGATAATTTTACTTGTGAGTTGTCTAGATCTATTTCTATTCCTGTAAAATAATGCTCACATGCAACTATTCAATGCCGAGCAGTTTGATTTGCTGGTTGTCTATCTCTGCTTTACTTTTTTTGTTTATATATACATGTTTAAAATGTGGGGTCAACAGTCAACAATGACGATTGGGATTGCTCGATATAGAACATGATTTCACTAGGCCACTTTTGTACTGATGTGGGCACCCCACTTTGTTCCTTATCAAATCGTTATCAGCTCTTCTGTTCTTTCTGGACCAGGTAGATTATCCCTAATAGACATGATATATAACTGATCATGTAAGCATGAGTATATAGAAACTAAGGCTAAATAGAGCATGACTGAATGGTATGATTGCTAGATGAGAATTCTGCTAAATGCCAACACTTTCTGTTTTGGGAAGATAAAAAAGGGGGATTGATATAAAACCATCCCTTTCTTCTCTGCTTCTTTCATTACTACTTTTTCTTTTTCCAAGCATGGCTATCTATCGCAACATCCGCAATACTCGTCGTCCATCAACTGCTTCTTTGACATTGGTAATTAAAGTTGGCACTTCTTCTATCTGTGATGAAGTTACCCATTATCCTTTGCTTGGTAATCTTTCTCGTATTGTTGAAACAATCATCAAGTTGAAGCGCTTGGGTCATCGTGTTGTTCTTGTGACAAGTGCTGCTGTAGGTACTGGTCTAAGAAGGCTCAACATGACTGAGAAGCCATCCAAGCTGGCTACTATTCAGGTAAAGCATGTGAGCATCCACTTCCAATGTTGACGTTTCTTGTTATAAACATATATATATATATATATACTGACATAACGTTTTATAGGCTATCGCTGCTGTAGGACAAGGCCGCTTAATGAGCATGTATGACGACCTCTTTGGCCAGTTTGAACAACCTGTAGCACAAATCTTGTTAACTCGTAATGATTTAGCTGATGTAAGTCTGTCCTTATAAATCAATGGATTATTCATGTTTCTTTAGCGCTCTCAATATCTCAATGCAGTTAGCTGTCTAGAAGAACTTTTGGACATGGGCGTTGTACCCATTGTTAATGAAAACGACTCTATTTCTGTCAAGGAAATCAAATTTGGTGACAATGACACTCTCTCCGCTATCACTGCTGGTATGGTCAAGGCCGACTATTTGTTCCTCATGACTGATGTCGATTGCCTGTACACCGATAACCCACGCAATAATCCTGAAGCTCGTCCTGTCTTGGTCTGTGAAGACATTGATCTCCTACGTGATCAAGTCAAGATCAGTGCACCCGGTTCTTCTCTCGGTACAGGTGGCATGATCACCAAATTAGTAGCTGCAGACCTCGCCACTGCTGCTGGTGTCACAACGATCATTGCCCGTGGCGCTACTCCCGAAAATATCTTGCCAATTATTGACGGATCCGCTCAAAACTTGCCCCTTCATACTCGATTTGTAGCTAAGCCTCAACCCCTCATGGACCGTAAGTGGTGGATTCTTCATGGTCTACATACGGCTGGTACAGTTTATGTTGAAAGTGATGTGTCAGAAGCTATTCATAATGGTCAGGCTGATAAAGATCTCTATGCTCATTCCATTTCTCGTGTTGAGGGTAACTTTGTCGAACATCAGGCTGTGCGATTGGTTGTCCAACACAAAGATACTCAGGGTCTTATTGACAATATCACAATTGCTAAGGGTATCGTCAACTACTCTTCTGCTGAAATTATGCGTATCATGTTGGCTAAGAAGAGTGATGTCATTGATTCTCTTGGTTATAAGGATGCTAGTTGTATCATTCATCGAGACAACATGGCTATCTCTCTGTAGATTCTTTCCTACTGTATTTATTATTTTTGCATTTCATGATCCATTTCTTTAAAAATCTTCTTTTGCATGTCTAAAACTTATTATTTAAATTCGAAAAAAAACTTTTTTTTTTGTAAATCAAGTGTGTGCGTGTGTGCAATGTATTTGATTTATATATATATATATTCAATGATATGGTGTATATACAAAGTAGGCGTGTATTAACGGTAATAAGGTCCATCATAACTATTTTGATTGTAATAGTTTTTGATTCGATCAGATGGTTGAGAAGATTGACTCAGATGATGCGGTGAATAATAACCTTCTTGAGAGCGCTCCAACATAACTGGTTGAGGGGTTGAATTAACTTGTACCCATGAAGGTGGAAGTGGTAATTGTGGTGGTGGTGGATGAAATGGCATATTTGTATTAGGTTGAGGAGACGAAGTCATTGCGTGAGGACTATAGCCTTGAGGGTTGTATGGTGAAGAGAATGAGTGTTCTTGTTGGACATATTCTCTTGGAATCATTAAATTATTGTTGCCCATTCCATAGTCAAGAATAGTGGGTGTATAAACAAAATCAGAAAAGTGCATGTCTTGTGAGAAATGATCGGGTTTATGCATCTCGAAATCAGATGTTGTTGAAGGAATGGTGGTAGGTTCAAATTTTTTTGGGTTAAGTGGATTAGCTCCTAATGAGATATGAGCTATTGGGAATTCACTGGTAGACATGATAGGCACATCTGAATGAACACAAAGTTTAGAGACAGTCCCAGCTAAGGGAGTTTTTTCTATCACCAAATCTATATCCAAAGCCTCTTTCAAGATAGCTTTGATTCGAGCGACTAGCGTTACTACATATTTTTGGTGTCGGACTGGAGAAGTAGCCAAGATTTTTGCAGTTTTTTCTAAGTTTTTTTGTGCAATTTCCCGCTGATTTCTATTTGGTTCAGACAAGATGCTCCCGTAGATGGAGGTTGCCATCATTAAATTTTCAAGAGAAAAATGACACCACAACTGCTTTAATTGTACCCAACACTCTAATAGCTCGACCGTGTTACTTGCTGCTTTTAGGCATATGTCCCTGGATAACACTTCAATTGTAGAATTTTCTTCTTGTGTACACTTGGAAAAAAACTGGCTGTAAAGTTGAGATAGTTGAAAGTAATATTCACAATTCAGTTTGATACAAGCTTGTTCTCTAAACGAAGTAGAAGCCCAGTTTCTTCTATGTATATCACCTTGCTTATATTGAAAGTAAGAGGGTAGTGTTTTATGCCATTCTTCGAGTTCTTTATCAATAGCAGATATCTGAGAAAGTAAAGGCTTTTCTTCGGTCGTCTTGTAGATAATGTTTCGATAGATACGTGTGATTTTGTACCTTTGTATCATGAACTCGACTCGGTACCTTTTCTCTCCACTTTCTTCGTGTTTCATCACTGTGGGAAAACCAACTGTAATTTGGTTTCTAGGAGGAAGAGAAAATGGTCTATCAGAATGGATTGAGCCTAATGTCTCCAAGAAGAAGAGGGACCAAAAGAAGCGACGATGACTTTCTCTTTCAAAGGGATTATCGCTCTTGGACTCCATGTTCATCTTGAGGTCAAGGCACATACGTATCGCTAGGCCCAGGTAAATATAAGCCTCTGATTCGACTTCGGTCTTGTGTTTGCTGGGAATTCCAATAGCATAAATATACATGATCAACAGACTATTCATTGTATCCACACTTGTCTTCATAAATCGTTCTTTTACTAGAGACTTTGCCTTAAGAAAAAACGCATGGCCTACTTGATTAGGGTCCTTGCCAGGAAACAAGTCATGGTAAATAGCAGCATGTCGTGCTGTCCAAGCAAAAACAGAATTTGCTAGTAAAGGGTCTAGTGTACCGTTCTCGAATCGAAGGGCGATTGAATTGTTCGGATCGTAACAGGGCAAGCATAGAAAGCATTCTCCAAAAATAGAAATCATGCGTGTAAATACTTCTTTAGGCATTTTTTCGATTGCTTTGATGTCACTATCTTGTTGTTTTGTACAAACATTTTCAGGATCCCAAGAGCTATACAAAGGAAACGCTTTGATTCTCGTCTTCCACAGCGAATTCTTTTTCCTTAAAGTAGCATTATCGAGACGAGTGTTTTCGGTACCATTTGTACTGGAAGAAGATTGTGAGGATGTCTCAAGACTGTTTGTGTCCGGCATATTGGACGAAGACGATGACGATGCAAAATCAAGTTGAGATACACCAGATAATAGAATGTCGTAAAGATCATGCAATGATGCAATGTTTGTATCTATGCGAAGTCCTTTTGGTGTGAGCGATAAAGACCATTGTGCGCTGGGTGCAGCCATGAGTCTACTCATATTATTCGTACTTGTCCTCAATGCAGGCTGTAGTACTGTTTCTACTTCTTTTTCCTTCTTTTCGGTCGAAGATTCTCGATTCACCCTGATTTCGTTGGCAACATACTGTGTATTACTGCACACATCTTTAATGTCTGATTCAATTGACTGAACTCGTTTTTGCAGCAAATCGACCGTCTCGTTTAGTTTGACCAAATTAAATAAATCGATTTGGGTAGCACTGCCGTCATAAGAGCATTCAACTACAATATAGAATGGTAAATCAATTCTGCAACATAAGAAAGAAAGAAAGAAGAATAAATAGCTTGTCATTTTCAAGAAGTTTTACCTTTTGCTTGTTGACACCTAGCGCACTGAGGATGAGCAAAGTCGCACTTCACTATGATATATTAATAAAAAATTATAAAAAATAAAGAGAGGGACCCCCATTCTAGAGCTATTTTACCTTTTTTAGACCTAGATAATATTAATATTTGGATAACATCTCTTTTTATTTATATACCTGCAACGTTCACAAGCCATTGTCATTCGTATCTTCTTGGAAGCAGAAGCATTGCTTTGTTTAGAACTCATTCAGATATACAAAATGAAATGAAGTAAAGAAAAAAAAGAAGAAAACAAACCATTTTTTCCCTCTTATTATCTCACTCATCTTTTTTTGTTTGACAAAACTTTTTCTCTCTCCGATTTCTTTGAATTGGAACTCAGGAACAGCTTTCAGAGAGAAAGCAGGTTTAAAAGTTTCAGCCTTTCAGATATATATATATATATTTTACATGGTTTATTTTATAACAATTTGCAATTTTTTTTTACAAATTTAAGATGCGATTTCTACTGTTATTGATGAATGCGAATGGAAAGGGGGTTGTATTTACAAGTTGTGAGCAGTACGGAAGTTCTCACCAGCGTAGATAGAGTTACCTTCACCGAGTTCTTCTTCAATACGAAGGAGTTGGTTGTACTTGGCAAGACGTTCGGAACGGCAAGGAGCACCAGTCTTGATTTGACCAGTACGGAGACCAACAACGAGATCAGCAATGGTGGTATCTTCAGTTTCACCAGAACGGTGAGAGACCATGACACCCCAACCAGCAGCTTGAGAGTCCAAAGCAGCTTGGATAGATTCAGTGACAGTACCGATTTGGTTGACCTTGAGCAAGAGAGCGTTACAGGCCTTCTTTTCGATGGCAGTAGCAATACGAGCAGGGTTGGTGACCAAAAGATCATCACCAACAAGTTGGAATTCAGAGGATTCCTTCAAGTAAGACCAGTTTTCCCAATCATCTTGATCGAAAGCATCTTCAATAGAGACGACTATTAAAATAAAAATTTAGAACATGGTACTCCCAAACATTGCATTCTATACTTACTGGGGTACTTTTCGGCAAAGGACTTGTAAAGAGAGGTGAGTTCCTTACCATCGATCCACTTGGACTTTTCAGAGTTTTCGTTCTTGAAGTCAAGATCGTACTTGCCTTCCTTGTAGAATTCAGAGGCAGCAACATCCATACCAATCTTGACCTTACCGGTGTAACCAGCCTTTTCAATGGCGGTGACCAAGAGTTCAAGACCTTCTTCGTTTTGTTGAATGTTAGGAGCGAAACCACCTTCATCACCAACGTTGGTAGCATCAAGACCGTACTTGCCCTTGATGACCTTTTGGAGGTTGTGGTAGACTTCAGAACCGATCTTCATGGCTTCCTTGAAGGACTTGGCACCAGTGGGGAGAATCATGAATTCTTGCATGGCAAGCTTGTTACCAGCGTGAGAACCACCGTTGATAACGTTGAAAGCAGGAACGGGAAGAACGAAAGGCTTCTTGGAACCAGCGAGGTCAGCAAAGTGAACGTAGAGAGGGACACCCTTATCGGCGGCGGCAGCCTTGGCGACAGCAAGAGAGACACCAAGGATGGCGTTAGCACCGAGCTTACCCTTGTTGGCGGTACCGTCAAGCTTGATGAGGAATTCATCAATGGCCTTTTGTTCAGTGACGGGAATCTTGGCTTCAATCAAAGCAGGTTGAATGACGTCAATGACGTTAGCAACAGCCTTGAGAACACCTAAGCAAACAAAAATGAGAAAAAGACGCGTCTTAAATGCAACTTACCCTTTCCCATGTAGGCAGACTTGTCACCATCACGGAGTTCGATGGCTTCGTGAATACCAGTGGAAGCACCAGAGGGAACAGCAGCACGGAAGACACCCTTAGCAGTGGTGACTTCGACTTCGACAGTAGGGTTACCTCTGGAATCGAAGATTTGACGAGCGTGGACTTTAGTAACAGTAGACATATTGAATATAGAAATGTATAAAGAAGAAAAAAAGTGGCAAGAGTTGGGAATATGAATGGACTATATATAATTTTTTTTTCTAGCAAAATCATACGCGACAGTCACCAAAAAATATATACTATTTTAAAAACTAAGACCCATGCCGCCAATAAAAAGAAAAAAATCTTTCTGCATCAATCTAAAGAAGACTCCGCTATTAGTGTAAACCGTGTGATATTTTATTATTTGTTTATATGAGTACAAGGTTCTGACTCAGGAGTGGGAATTATAGTCATGCAGTTTATTTAAAAGTAGTAATGATATAAATCGCGTCTAGAGCAACTATCAGTGATTACAATCAATCTTGGATCATCCCAGACTTTTTTTTTCTGAGCCAATCAACTGATTTTATCTGACAAGATCAGGACTCCGAAGTGAAACTCTAAATGACACGCTTTCCCTTCTTTTCTTTTTGAAATACAATAAATGCATGTAGATATATAGATTATCAATAGAAATTCACGCGTTGTTGCCATAACTCTATAGATAATCTGGCTATAAGATATCTGATAGATGTATAGATGAATGATAGTAATACAAGCAAATTGATTTCTCAAGATAAAGACAAATTAATTATCAGCCAACAGATAAACAAAATGATTAAAAGCACGACTTAATCCAACAATTAAGAATTGACAGTCCCCCTCTCTCATTCATGTGCATTGCGCGGGGCTGAATTCCTTTGACAAAAAAAAAATATTTTTTTTTCTCTTTTGATATGAGCCAGCTCGTAAAGAACGTGATCCCAAAGACAGGTCAACAAGTAACACGCTTAGGATTTGGTAGCTATCGCGCTTCTCAACCTGTTCATGCCGAGGCTTTAAAAAGAGCATTAGAAGGGGGAGTGAATATCATTGACACTGGCAATAATTTCGAAAATGGTATGTTGACGTATACATGATATGTCAATGCTGATGACAATTAAAGGTGCGTCCGAAACTTTAATTGGAAATACGTTGCAATCAATGAAATTATCACGAGAGGTATATAAACATTTTTTTAGAAACTTGCTAAATAAATACAGTCTATCACTCTTGTCAGTAAATCAGGTTATTTAACTGCAAAGGATATCCAGACACTCGACCAAAAAGACTATGTACAGTTGAATGAAAAGAGCTTTCATTCAGTTAGTCCAAGAGTGATCGAGAGTCAAATTGAGTCATCACTTGAAAGGTTAAAGATAAAAAAATTAGATATCTTTATGATCAATTCTCCTGAGCGTATGCTCATGTCCAAAAACAGAGTAAGTTAGCCTGTTTGCATAATACAAGCGACTAATTTTAATGCAGAGATACACATCGTCACAGTTGTACAAAGATTTATCTGATAGCTTCAAATATCTTGATAGCCTTGTAATGAATGGTGAGGTGATAGAATCATATAGTTTAGAGAATAACATATATTACATAGGTACTATTGGTGGTTACGGTGTATGCTCAAACACAATGGCATTTCCTACAGCAGCAGACCATGTCTCTTTGAAAAGTGTTCTTGAATCATGTGCCAATCCTTCTAATTTTTTAGCTATTCAAGTACCTTTTAATCTATATGAAAGAGAAGCAATTGTATCGGACAACAAGAGTGTTGCAGAGATTGCAAAAGAAAAAGACATTTATGTGATGACAAACAGACCTTTAAATGCCATTGCCAATGGTCAAATTCGAGTACTTGTCAACCATGAATTAGGCGCTGATGGAAAAGCACCAGGTGAGTGATAAGTGAGACAAACCAGTCCATTCATTCGTCTTTAGCCGAGCATGAAATTATGTCCAAAATGCAAACATCATTTGAAAAAGTAGCTAGATTAGAATCAGATGTCATGTCTGAATGTAAGTTTCACTGATATTTCATATGTTATTCATTTGTCTGTAGTGCCTATAGAAGAGGAAGCATTGACAGCCAAATTTGTATGGGGACAAGTCTTGTCTGAAAACTTGGCTCGTTTAGCACAAAATCATTTTGCAACAAGACATTATCTCACTCAACAAGTATTGCCTGTACTTGACAAAGACTTAAAAGAGCTTAGAGACTATGCTACTCAATTAGACACAGAAGAAGAAGTAGCAGCTTATGAACACTGGATCGAAAATTATAGAGAGGTAATTAAATGCAAGAAAGATTAGAAGCTTATTATACAATAGTGTGTTCATAATCTATCACATGACATTGTCAATTATGCATACATTGATACCCTACGCAAAAATAATGAATTAGACCGCATTTTAAGTGCTTTATGCCCAAGTTTGAATACAATGCCACAGGATGCTTATTCGCCTATCTCGATAAAAGCACTGAGATTCATGCTGTCTCATCAACAAGTAGGTACAGTGTTCCATGGTATGAGAGACCCTCTTTATGTCAAGGATGCTCTTTTTGCTGCTCAACAAGAACCCATAAATCAAGAAGATATAGATGATGTGTGGACATGTCCTATTTTCAATTAAAAAAAACTAAATTTCAAAATCAGCAATTAGACGGCCGCGTCATCTTACATGAAAAAAAGCAGACGATAATGTCCATTCTACACGTCCTTTTCTTTCTTTTTATAAATAATATGAGTCTTTTTCCTACTCCTCAAAGAAATAACCACCTTGTTGAATTCAATGCAGGCAAAGTTATCAGAGAAGGTAACTTGCTAAAGCCAGACTTAAGAAAAGGGTAAGTTGCTCTTACAGAAATTATCTTTATTCCCTAATTCTTTGAATGTAGTGTTGTTTATATGGACCAGGTAAATACAAGACAGTAAGAATATGTGACATATAAACGATAAATCAATAGAGCGACGACCAACTTATGCACTTTTATTGGAAAGAACGAAAATCCTCTGAACCTAAAGACGTAAGCTCCATAGAAAAAAAAAAAGACAACCATCATTGAAGTAGCATACATTTAGGATTTTATTATTTTCCCTGACGAAGCAGAATTGACACGCGTTGAACAATGTACAACAGGTCGTGTATATTGCCTTAAGTTCAAGTCTTCAAGTCAAAAAGTGTTCTATTGGATGCAAAGCAAGAATGCCGACAAAGATGAAGAACACGTTAGTCGTGTCAATCAGCTTATCAATGATCCTCAAAGCGCATCTAATGATGGTATTAGTCGCGATGGTGATCTTGAGTATGAGACAAGTGCTCATTCTGACTTGATGCAAATATTAGGTGGTAGTCAAGGTGATTTAGACATGAATATGACACAAGACAACCTGCTACAATTCATTCAAAATGCAGGTGGTTTAGGGTAAGCGAGACATTAGGGGTAGATGAGTGTTTAATTCGATATAGAAGCAGTCTGTCTTCAGCCTTACCTACTGATAATAACAGTGGAACAGTCATTCCTAACTCTAAATGGACAGAATTACATGCTAAACTTGCAGAAGTGAATGCACCAACAGAACCTGCTTCACTTGAATTAGGTGATGCCACAAGCACTGAGGCTATTAAAACCATGTTGAATGATTCAGATATTCGATCTGCTCTCTTTCCTTTTGTGAGTCAGAGCACAGAACGTTCTGATCAAGACATTGAACAATTGATTCAAAGTCAACAATTTCAACAACGATTACAGGTTTTGCATGCTGCACTTCAACAAGACGCGTTGACAAGTGTTGTTGAAGCATTGGAAACTGAAAAAGGTATGTCATATAGATGCATATACACATGTCTATTCACTATCAATAGATATCAAAAGTTTTCTGAAAGCAGTTGAAGAACAAGCCAAGCGTAAAGCAGCACATCAAGACGCTGATGCTATGGATGAAGATTAAATCTTTCCATTTGAATAAAAATAAATGTACAAGAAAATAAAATGGCTAGACATATTGTATTCTTTACATAGTCAGTGTATCGATTTCTTGTTTTGTTTACTCTTTGCCTTTATGTAGACCATCTCAACTTGTAGCTTTCATAGTGAGAAGTTCTGTTAGTAAAAGACATTGAAGAAAAAAAAACAAAAAAGAAAATCTCACTTTTGTAGACAAAAATCAAAAATAGTCACACTCTTTTTTGTAGAACAACAAAAGGTGAGCAAAAGTAGCACAATGAAATCATGAGAAGAGGTAGTAGAGAACTTGAATGAATGTACTTGAAAGTATCTCTTTGAATAGATATATTTCTTTAAGTTTTTTCTTGAATGATAAAAAAAAATGGTAACATTTGAAATTTATTTTCTTAAGCTAATCAATTTTTGCTCAAATAAAATGAAAAATCAATATTTCAAAGTTAACACAGCAAAAACGAGCTTATTTCGTTTTTAAGAACTAATAAAAGGTGTAGATATTTACATTGCGCATTTGATGGTGTAGTAAATCCGATTTTCATTTTTGGATATATTCTATAGCACAAACTTCAAACAGAAACAATATATATATATATATATATATATTCCAAGTCTAAAATAAATTTGGCTATTAAAACATGATGTTATCTTCATTTTCTGGCCCGTAACATCGAAAACAATGTTTATCGGAATTTCAAATACCCAAATCTTATGTGGGGTATCTCTTTGCTTGAACGGCCATTTTCATCATTTTACACATGTTTACTTTTTGGCTCTAAAATGACTTTAAAAGTACTTAATATCATATTGTAACCATTATAAGTCTATAATACGTGCATCAAAATGCACCAGAAGGCTCTTCGGTCTATATTTAGTTTGTTATTCCTGAGTATTACGTCTGTTTATTTAATTATTGCGTCTTCTCCTTGAGTTTTGCTTTATGGTGGTTGCAATAACTTCTTCGTAGCTCTTGACTCGTCTTGACCTGTATTGTCTGATACGCTCATATTTATATAATAAACTGCCTAGGTCCTTAAGCACTACGAATACACATCCGCCCAACACATTTCTTTGGAACGGCTCTGGAAAGTTTTCTTGTACCCATTTAAATCGATTCAGAAGCCTGTCACGATAGTCAGCAAATACGCTTCATACTTTCTATTTACCCTCCCATAGTACTACTCAGTACGGGCATTAAAAGTGCACCTAACAAAGACACACCAATACTGCCTCTTCCGTTAATCAGATCCAATTCGAGGCTTCGCTCTCTGTCTGATATGTCTGTGTTGGATCCTCTTTTTTTCTTGTCTTGTAATGATAAATTCTTGGTTACGTGCTTTTGAATCTGATGGTATACATTCTTATAAAATAATCTACTTTGATTTAATACACGACTTGCAAACATGAACAACCTACCTGACCCAGGGCATGACACCAATCGTGAAAGCAGGTGACAAGGGCCAAGTAAATCGAATATGGTGTGGACTTGTGCCTGTGGCTCTCAAGAGTAAAATAGAAGCAGACGGTAAGATAATATCACCGTATTTTGTTCGGGTAGAGACCAACAAGACAGGTATCATGGGCAACCCAATCCATGATTTATAGGTCCAGAGAGTAGGGTGGCCAATCAATCGATCCCCGTCTCGAGCACCAAATAAAGTCATGACCGAGAAGGCACCATAAGTAGTGCAACTGATCAATAATGAACAACTAATCCCAAGCACAGCAATATAAGGTGTACTGATGCGAACCAATGAGTCTACTACAGTCAATAAAGCCAAGGGAATACTGTTGCTTTGTGCTAAATAATAAGGGGAAGCACATTGTGGACAATTGACCTAAGACTAAGTTAATGGTTCTCGGAAAGGATTCTCTGTACTTTTTTTGTCGGGGACGCTTTCTGATTCTCGGCTATCCAATCTAATAAACACGATTGATGAACTTCTAAAGAACATTGGCATGGTTTGATCCATTGACCTTCGGAATCAGAACTATCGCCAAAGCAGATCCAACATCGACGTTCTTCTGATGTTGTCCTTGTAGATTGACGAGGTGCAAGTATAGTTGAAGAGTCTGACGATTCAGCTGAGGAAATGATGCTACTATTACTGCTACTGCAACTACCACTGTTACCTGCTGCTGAGAAGTGTGAATTAGTGTCTTCTTCTTGATCGGCTAAGCTACTGTCTGATGCAGTAGTACTTGTATCTTGATTGAGGCGTGTTCTAGGGAATCGAAAGTGTGACATTATGTTTTGAAGAAAATAAGAAAACAAAAGAGTAAAGTTCGGCAAACTACAAGGTGCGCTATACTGGTCACGTGCTATCTAAATGTCACGTGACAAACAAATGCTTAATGCGGACGTTACTATGGCCTACACCTATCAATCTAATTGACTTATATTTTAGCATAGTTTAAACAGTATAAATATCTCCAAGCATTCAAAATTCTAGAAATGAAGCAGAGCATGAGATACATAAATAATATTTATATTGTTACTTGAATTAAAGGGCTCTTGGATTAGGATACCTTTGTTTTTTTGTCTGAATGACAAAAAACCGGGCCAGTTTTTATTTCGTGTCAGTGTATAAGATTCTTGCTTAATTGTAGCTTATTCTAAACTTTTCGAGTATGTGATTTTCCCATTTTTGTACTGAAAGGTTATTAACCCGAACACAGTTTGGAAGAGAGATTTTTTTAAAAAGCAGTCCTTGTTTTGGTATAAAACAAGTTCTAAAAGTCACGGATTTCAATTCTTCGTCTGTTTTTATTCATACAGTATGCTTCGATCCAAGTCATTCGTTAAGCGTACTCGTAAGGGAAACGTTGTGAAGGTTGTTAAAGAGCACTATTTGAGAGACGATATACCTTGTTCCTCAGAAGCATGCAATGTCTGCAATAAAGTGTCTGCACCTATCTTGTCAAGTGAACCTAGATCGACTTCCAAGTTTAAACCTCATTACATTATTCCCGATACCAATGTCTTTATTAGTCAAGTAATGTTACTTGTCATATTGCTTGAATGACTTATTCTTTTGGATAGCTTGATATTATGGAACATCCCGCTATTAAAGACGTGATTGTCTTGCAAACTGTCAAGGAAGAAGTGCGTCACTTGAGCTTACCTGTCTACAACAGACTCAATGCTATCTTGGCTGATAAAACCAAGCGATTTTACATGTTTGCTAATGAACATCAACGGTAAGTTGGTGTAATAACTCTCTTGTTTTAATACTTATATCTATAGTGATACTTTTATCGAAAAATTAAAAGACGAATCGCCCAACGATAGAAATGACAGAGGTATAGTCAATAGTATCAGATAAGGCACTTACTGTCTACTTAGCTATTCGAGTTTCTTCAAAATGGTATGCTGATCACTTGAAAGCTAATGGATCTGGTGAAAATATCGATGTTATCATGCTCACAGACGACAATGGAAACAGAGAAAGAGCTAAAGCCAGTGGCATCAAATGCAGCTCAGTGCGAGAGTATATTGAGAGTATCAAAGATACACCTGAATTATTAGATATGCTTTCAGCTCCTAAAGCAGCTGTGGGTGAATCGATTGTGTATGAAGAACATTTAAGCCCTGCTCAGATTCAGAATGGCATCAAGAAGGGTACACTTATTCAAGCATCATTTAATGTTAGTCAGCATAACGTGCATGAGGTAATGTATTTTATTCTGTCTCGTAAGCTAAAGAAGTATATATAGGCCACTGTTGTGGGTGAAGTAGAGGGAGAGACAAAGACGATTTATATTCTTGGCCGCAAGAACTTTAATCGTTGTATTCAAGGAGACATTGTTGCTGTACAGTTGCTACCTAAAAGCGAATGGAAGAAGGGTGCTTCAGTTGCTATTGAAGAAGATGATGAGGATGAAGAAAAGTTATTCGGTGAAGATGATCCTTCCAACCATGCTGATAGAATGACAGAAGATGATACTGAAGCAGAACCTACTGGTAAAGTAGTAGGCATCATCAGAAAGAAATGGAGACCGTAAGTAGACAACCTATTTACATCAGAACTAACATTACATAGCTACTGTGGTTTTATTGTCAAGAAGACGGTGCCCAATGATAACCGCCCTGCTAGTGTTCTTTTCAGAGCGATTGATAGACGTATTCCTGCCATTCGCATCAAGACTGCTCAAGCTCAAAACTTGGTCGGTAAGCGTATTGTTGTTGCCATTGATAGTTGGCCTACGACTTCTGCGTAAGTAGATACACGCATAGATTCAAATGTGTCTCATGAGCTTTTTTTCTAGCCTTCCCTTGGGTCACTTTGTCAAGACTTTAGGTTCTTCAGGTGATAGAGAGACAGAGACAGAAGTTTTGTTGTTGGAACATGATGTTCCTTATCAAGAGTTTTCTAAGCGTATTCTTCAAGATCTTCCCCCTGAAGGAGATGAATGGGTTGTCCTTGAGAAGCACATCAAGGAAGAGAACAGACGTGATTTCAGAGATTTGGATATTTGCAGCATTGATCCTCCAGGATGTACTGATATTGATGATGCTCTTCATGCTCGTCGACTCCCCAACGGCAATTATGAAGTGGGTGTTCGTAAGTAGAAAATCAAACCATGTATGTATCTCATACTTTTTGTTAGACATTGCTGATGTAACTTATTTTGTTAAACCTGGTATGCCAATGGACATTGAAGCTGCAAGCCGTGGTACTTCAGTCTATTTAGTCGATAAGCGTATTGATATGTTGCCTTCTTTATTGGGCACAAGTAAGTTGTAATATGTCAACTTGCTTGAACAACGTGTCTCATCTTTTCATCTTAGATCTTTGTTCTTTGAGATCCAATGTGGATCGTTTGGCCTTTTCTTGTATTTGGGAAATGAACGAGAATGCAGAGATCATCAAGACTGATTTCACAAAAAGTGTGATTCGTTCAAAGCATTCTTTCACTTATGATGAAGCCCAAACTCGTATTGATGATGACCGTATGCAAGACAGTGTTACCAAGGGTATTCGCGCCTTGAACAAATTTGCCAAGATCTTGCGTCAAAGACGTATGGATAATGGTGCTCTCACTCTATCCTCGCCTGAAGTTCGCTTTAACCTTGAGAATGATTCACAAGATCCAGTCGATGTTGAAATGAAGGAACTGAAGGAAACAAATGCTCTTGTTGAAGAGTTCATGTTGTTGGCCAATATTTCTGTAGCCAAAAAGATTTACTCCAAGTTCCCTAGTTCTGCTATGCTTCGTAAGCATGCTGCTCCTCCCACCAACAACTTTGATGCACTTCGCAAGGTCCTTGCTGAAAAGGGCATCATCTTGAATACAGAGAGTTCCAAGGCCTTGGCTGATTCATTGGATAATGCAGTGGTATGTTCCATAACTCCTACTTGAGGTATAACTAAATAATGATGTAGATACCCGAAGATCCTTATTTCAACAAGCTAGTGCGTATCATGACAACCCGTTGTATGATGCAAGCTCAATACTTTAGTTCAGGTACTGAACCTGAATCAGAATTCAAGCATTATGGTTTAGCAAGTCCTATTTATACACATTTTACTTCTCCCATTCGTCGTTATGCAGGTAAGAAAACTCCTCAAAAGAAAAAAAAAAACTAAGATTCGTACCAGATGTCATTGTTCATCGCTTATTGCATGCATGTATCGAACCAGACCTTACTTATGGTCAAGAATTAACAGATACAACTAAGATGAAGGAACTTTGTGATAACCTCAATTTCCGTAACAGAATGGCTCAACAAGCAGGCCGTAGTTCAGTTGAATTATTCACAAGTCTTTACTTTAGAAACAAAGTCGAAGTAGACGAAGGCCGTATCCTTCGTGTTCTCAAGAACGGTATCATTGTGCTTGTGCCTAAATATGGCATTGAAAGTATTGTTTACACAAGCAAAGAAGCTGGTGGTCCTTCTCCATTTGTCTATGATGATGAAGCAAGCAGCCTTGTTGCTGGTGATGTGACACTCAAGACATTTGATACAATCAAGGTAGAAATTTCAGTAGAAGGCGATGTAGAGGGCATGCGCCAAAAGATGAATATGAAGTTGGTTTTCCCTTATGTAGAAGGTATTAGTGTTGTACCTAGTAATAAGAGGGCCAAGGAAGAAGAAGATAACGATAGTCAGACTTTAAAGAAATCTAAAAAATAACCATAAAGTTGTAAATTTGTCTTTTTGAAATAAATAGAAAATATGTAAATGTTTAATCATAAGCAAAAAAAAAAAAGAAGAGAAAACGACTATGAAAAGGAAAATCAAGATCTACTGCTTTCCTAATATGAAAGATATGAATGATTTTTTATGATATGTACATACCACAAATAAAAAAAAAAAACTTTGACTATAAAAAAAAACATGAGAAGGGGGGGAAGATGATTGTGAGAGAAGGGATGCAAAAGAAGGAATGTTGAATATATTTTAAGAAAAAACAGGATAACAAATAAAGAACTTCCTTTTTAAAAGTGTATAAAGAGGTATATAAATGCAAAAATAAGTGACAAAGAACGTTTTTTTTTTTCTGGGGAAGACTGTATGAGATGATGCGTAAACAAAAGTGTATACATAAAGGCATATAAAGTCATAATTCAAACAAAAAAAAAAGGGGAGGGAGCATAGTTTTCTTTTCAAAAAAGGGAAAGATTAGAATTCATAAAAATCACCAACAAGTGCTGCTGGTGAAGAAGTAACTGGACAATAAAGATGATTAGCTTGCTGAGGGAGAATGATGGGATCGTTATATAAGTTGTCTAAAGAGATGGGCGAACCAGCCACAGTAGATGCAGAACAGGAAGCTGTTAAAGGTGGTGTAAGCTGAAATTGCCGCTGTTGTTGTTGATATGCAAGATGGATATCGCTATAGCAACAATTTTGTTGTTGACTGAATGACAGATCGCCTTTACTATAAAAGGCATTGTTCTGCAATGTTATGATGATTAGTCGTCATTTGACGATTTCATGTTTGTTTATATTTACCTTGGATAGCATTGAAGGTGGCCAAGAGGGTGATAAATAACTGTATTGCATATCTGTTGACATCATCATCGTATGCTTGCCTGGTGTGGGACATGACCGCCTTCTTGTGTCATTTGCTCTGTTTTCATATTCTGTTATATTGACAAAGCTAGAGGATCCTCGAATCATGGGTTGATATCGGCTTGAAGAGCTTGCAGCGGCAATGGCTGCTGCTTTGGTGGCAACATTGCGAACATGATCGTTGAGCAAAGCGTTTGTTTTCCATGGCGGCCATTGTTGATCGATGGGTTGGTTTTTTTGATTTGGGCTAGTAAAGAACTGAGAAAATAGAATGGAAGATTGATTGATGTCACCAGAAGAAGGAAACTGTAGATTGATTTGCTCTTTTTCCACTAAACTGCTTTGTTCTTTCTCATTGCCATCTTCTGCTTCCTCCTCGTTATCGTCTCCTTCCTCTAATTCAACTGTTGTATTTTCCTGTTGAGGATGACACATCTTCTTTTTCAATAACTTTGCTTTTGCTCTTCGGTTTTGAAACCAAATTTGGACACCACGGGGCGTCATGTCAAGTTTTTGTGCTAAACTACGACGAATACTTGCATTTGGCTTTGCATTCTCAGAAAATGATTTCTCTAGTATCTTGAGTTGAACACGGGAAGTTCGTCGTCTATGCTTGATTTCAAAAGGATTGTAAAATGTAGGACGAAAGTCTCCATGAGGATATTGATGAAATGTCTCGAGTAAATAAGTATCTGAAGATGCTGACATGCTAGTAGAAGGTGGGGAAAGATAATAGTTATTTTTTTCACCACTATCATCGGATGGAACAATAGAAAATGACTGTTCAAATGGTTGCAATTCACCTAATAGTGTCATTCTTGTACAAAAAAAAAGAAAAAGGAAAGAAAAGAATTGTCAAGAGAAAAATATGTGTTCTTTCACATTTATATTCTCAGAAAACACATACATCTACATTTGAGAAGAAGGAGGTCCAGACACTAAAAAAAAACTCTAAAGAATAAAATTCCAATGCTAAGGGGGAGACTACCAACTTTGCGGTTTTAGAAAAGAATGGGCAGTTTTAGATTAAGAAGAAAAGCCCGTGTTCTATTTTATACAAAACTATCCTATTTTGTTTGTATGATTTGAAGCAGGATAGCAGTTGTCCCCCTCAACGGAGCTCTCTATCCTTCTTTTTAATTCTTTAAGCACACAAGTATACTCACTTATACTCGACTAATGATACGATCAGCATGATGCTTCAATTGCAAAAGTATATGCATTAATTTGCTTAGAACGCAATGAAAACATTATTTTTGTTAGAGTTCAAGTATCAATGAAAACATCTTGGAAACTATTGTAATAAGTAATTGACGTGTGTAAGAACAACTGTATACTCTATTTTTATTTTTGGTTTAAATAATGTACTAAAAAAGATTATGCTTTTCTCTCTCTCTCTCACTCTCTCTCTCTCTCTCTTTTTTTTTTTTTTTTTGTCTATTTTGACGTTGAACTTCGGTATGCGCTTTTTAATTTTTTTTATGCACGCCAGTTGATGATCAAACCTTTTATTTTTTTTTGGAAACAATACTACTTTACATCTTCTACTTGTTTCTCGAGAGAACAAAGAGGAAGCTTCTTGGGATAAAATAGAATCCAAGCTATTCTAATATCAAGCACATTTAAAAAACGCAGGAGAGATATTTTTCTTGGTTTCTAATGACGCGTGCGATGATATTTGATGAATACTTTGTCTGTTCCTGCACCCTCCTTCCCTATTCTCCTCTTCTCTTGTTTTTTTCTCCTCCTCCTCAATGGGTTCATACAAATGATATCGAATGATCTTTTTTTTTTTTTTTTTTTGTTAATGTATCCATAAAAGAAATGCTGCAAATCACTTTATTGACAAACATTGAAAGCGCCATTGAAACAAAATGTAATCCCACAAATCAGTCTACATGCATAGGCTACATTTACAAACTATGCTACTGGATGACTATTTTTTTTTCAGATCCCCTTAACCTTTTCTTCCCCTCGAATTTCATAAATGCAATTCAGCGTAGAGTCTTTATTTTTCTTTCTTGTTTTAATATGCAAAATGTTTACGGAAGACCGAGAGATGTTCTCTGATAAAGCACAACTTTCATTCTACCATTTAAAGAACTTTATTTACATTCATGCACAGTGTTCCATGTACTATTTTATTCTTCTTCTTCTTTTTCATTGACATAACCTCTTGCAATACCCGAAAGACCTTCTTGAATTTCTGCAGCTTCATCTTGACCAATATTTGCTTCTAAACCTCGATAGGTTCTATTCTTGAGATATTCTCCTATAACATCAAGTTAAAAGAATGAATTTTGTGATTAATTTTTCTTGCCTGCAGTACTGTTCAAGAGCATGGCAATGCTTGACTCTTTGTTTCTCAAAGTCAGATCTGTTAATGTGCTTGTCAAGGCTTCACTTGATTCTATAGAACTCATTAGGCTTAAATGAACTGAATGCAGTCTTACCTTCTTTATTGGTACTTGTTCGATGAAAAGGGCCCGATTTGTATTGACCGGTAATCAAGGAGAAATGGGGTTCTTCATCACTAGATGCATCGTCGTCTTTCTCCTAGAATTCGAAATTAATATAATATTTGTATACTAACAAGAACAATACCTCATCATAACTGAAATCATCTGTACGTAACTGAGGCAAAAGCTTTGAGAAATCAGTGATATAATTGCCAGTCCATTCCATATCTCTACAAGAAGCATTTAGAAACTAAATGCATCAATGCATGAGTTACCTGATGAGTGCTATTTCTAATTCAAAAGGTGTCACAATTGGGCGGTAAAACTCCTACTTGAAATGTTAAGTAACATCTCCTGCTTTCACCCTCAATATATATATATTCATACCTTTGAATCAATCAAACTATTTTCAGGGCAAGAAACAAGTACATAGCAGTCGACTTCCATGAAATTGGCCATTTTAGCAACATTGAGTTTCCCCATGACAAACAAGTAGGATTTCTTTCCAGCAGCTTTAATGACCTTTTTCAAGTGCTCAATAATATTCAAGTAGGAGGCTATATTGTTGAGATTGGAAAGATCAGCATAAACCCTTTTTTTTTTTTTAATCAAGACTTACCAACTCCCAAAGTGCCTACAACAATACCAATTGTGTCAGCATCTTTGGCTTTTTGAACAAGAAAGTATCTATGTCAAGTGTTATTATTCTATTTGTTTATTTGTGTATATACTTTACCTCTTCATCAACATTCTACTCACTTGAACAGATTCTTTTCTAGCTTCTTTTGTTTTAGGATCATAAGTATAAACCTAGTCTGTTGTAAATACATATATCATGCTTAACTAACTTGACTTACGGGACACTTGTTATGAACCATCATAATGTTGGTCAATGTCAAGCCCTCAGTACCGATAAAAAAGATGGAGCATGATTCCATGGAAACAGAATCAGGTAGTTCAAAGTAGCGGCCACCTCGCTTAACCTCGGCCTTCAATCCTTCCATATTCTCAATAGGAACAGCAGGAGCTGGGTTCACTTGTTCTTCTTCACTGTCACTGTTGAATGTGTCTTCTAAGTCGCGGTTACATTTACCACAACAGGGCTCTCCTTTCTTTTGTCGCTCTTCATGATTACCACAGGTATTCGGACGTTGGGCTAGTTTCTCGGTCAACGTGTGCTGCAAAGTAGATTCTGTCTGAATAACAGTTGGAATAATCGTGTTGTATGTCTTTGCTAATTCAGCTGTCAACTTCTCAGCAGCATAAGAATACTCAACGTCGCACATGATAATGACAGGTTGGGTTTTATCAGGAAACTGCTGTTCGAACTGTTGTTGGCAATCTTCTATATCAACAGGTTGCTGACCAAACACATACAATACAGGTAAACGAGAAGTTCTTGATGATCGTCTTTAGTTACAAACATGTCTACGGGTTTACTTACGGGCTTAAACAAGATCTTCCATAATGAATAATAAAATCAGCATGGACATGTTCAGCAGCCACCTCATCAACACAACAGCTTCCGTAAGATGTATCTGCTAATACAAACACATGTTGACCTGTCAATTCAACCAATTGCTTGGAAACAGCAGCTGCGTCTGCCAAGAATTCGTCAGGAAATTGAAGTGCAATACGCTTATATCCTTTCTCTTTGATTTTTGCTACAGTGCGATCGATCTCGTATAGATCTTGAATGTGTTCATGTTTTTCACTCTTTATTTCGACTTGACGTTCAATGACGTCTCTGCCATCATCGGCAAAGTTAGTAGGACCAGTAGCAGCACTTGACATCGATGGAGAATAATGATAAAAAGGGACAAAACTTTTTTTTTAAGTCTATCCTCAAGAGCAAGAGTGACTGCTTGTTTACTTGCTATCTGGAGCGAAAATGCATAATTTCAGGGAATCAAATTGATATTTAGGAGAGCTTTCTTTCTTTATTGCGGTATGATAAGAGAGAAAAGAAGAATTATAGAAAAGGAGAAAAAAAAGAAAGAAATGGTGTATAGATATAAAGAAAACTGTATTTTTTTTTACAACTAAAAGAGATGAATGAGTTTAACTTTAGACAATATAATTTAACTTACAATAGCGTCCATTCTTGCAAGTACATTCAAGACACTTGCAACAACTTCCAAAGAAAGATCAGTTCCAGAAGGTATTTCTACTTTGCCGTTACTACTTGTAAATGGCCAAGAAGAATAATCATTCATTAATTCATCGACCTTAAGAAATGCTTGTTCTCTTAAATCAGGCTGTAAATAGAGCAGAGCATTTTCCAAGACATTAGCAGCATAAGCAGCACAAACCATGCTAACAGTTCGAACATAGGCATGTGGTACGTCTGATTGAGCATCTACAGATGCAGGTGATACGCGGGTGATAAGCATCGCACAAACTCGCTTAATGATTTCTTCTTTTACTGCAGGATCAGCAACTGGATGTGTGGCCATATCAAATAATAAGAAATTACGCTTTTCAGTTCGAAGCACGCCTTTGTCTACAAGGCCTTTGGCTAAACGTTCACGAACTTGCTTTAATTGATACCCAATCTTCATTACATTCCATGTTTCGCCTATGTTTTAATATGAGAACACAATGAAGCATGTTTTAGCAGACACGCTACCACTCATCAAATCAATCCAGCTTGACACACTCATTTTGTCACTCACTTTCATCATCTTTAGTGCTTCGTCCAACAATACTTCGCCTGTCAAATTATCATTGATGACTTCAATGTGTCTATCACAAAGAGCATATTTTCGACGGTTAGGATCTTTGACCATGGAGATTCTGCCTCTAAGCGCTAATTCAATCACAATACAACCACGTAAAGCATAACTAATACTGTCATTCCAGAATGAAAGATAGCCCTATATATATATAATTTATTACACGTGTCTATATATACATTTATATAAAAAGGAACGTCAAAGCACACACACACACACACACACACACATATATATATATATAATTTATACTCTCTCTGCTTACTTGTTTGTCTTTAAGTCCTAATAATAAGACTTCTTCCATAAGAGTCAACTTAGGTGTAGACTTGCTTTCATCTATATCGCGAGGATCATAGGCTATTTTTTTATCAGTTATGGGACTATTGTGTGTAGAGTCTGTGTTTGATGTATTGTCGTCATCTGAGTTGGCACTATGGCCTGCTACTCTTCTTCTTGTAACAGTAGACATATGTTCCGTATATAAGAAGAAAGAAATAAAGAATCAATAGAAGGACAAGCACAGCCCAATTAGAAAAGAAATTGTGCTTGAAAATGGATTTTATTGTGACGTGACATGGCTGCTTTATTTTTAGTAACCTGAAGGCTTCTTTCACACATATATAGAGCCCTTAACATATCTGGAATACACCATTTCAAGGTTAGTCATACATCTTGGCATAGATTTATTTATATACCTATAGATGATGGAGTGCTATGGCACTCAAACCTATCGAAATGAGTTTAAACGAATTTAATGCTTTCTACTGCTGATTACAGCCCCGACTATGATTATCATGGATTCATGCGAAGCTTTGTATGTCTATTGAAGCCTCATTGTTTCTTTTGTAATCTAGAGTGATCGTTCGGCTGCAGTTGTTGCTCAAAAGGTCATTTTTAGCATTATGCTGTCTTGTTTATTATCCTTTATTACAGAATTGCATAATGTTAATATGACTAAATCATCACTTTCTTTATTTAAGCATAGTTAGTCTCTTCAGTAATTCGATACTACTTTATTTCTTTATCAAGTATTTCTCGGCAACTTCGCCAAACTCATCAAGTACTTGACGGATAGTGGCTTTAAAAGCGTTTGAGTTAGTGTCTTTATAATGATTCCAAGAAGAGACACTCATGCGCACACGTCCTTTGCCAATAGCATAATTAATACCGTATCCTTCAGGCACAACAGCACCAAACCCTCCCCAAGCAAGGTCACCTGGAGAAGTGTTTGAAGTAGACAGTAACCAGTACTGTGATCCCCAGTAAGAAGGATCTTGAAAAATAGCAGCTCTTTCTGAGTTTGCTTCTTCTGCCGTCATCTGGCAACGAAGTCCCAACAAATGACGGTCTACACCTTGACCGTTACTAGATGCTTTCATGTATTCTAAATGACTGGCAATGGCTTTTTCCATCAAACTTAGTTTGTCGACCATCTATGTGTATATATGAGCCTATTGTTGTGCACCACCTTATTTTTTTGTTCTTACCTTCACATCCTTGTTTTCCCATGCTTTAGTAAATGCAACCGATTCAACAGAGCATGAACGGACTGTTTCGGTACGACCAGCAATGAACTTGCGTGTAGATGCAGATTCATAGGTAGGACAAGGCTTACCATAGTGTCTATAATAGGCAAGTTGATAGGCCATTTGGATCCAAGCATCAGGACTGACTTTGGCCTCTTTCATGAATTGAGAACCATATTCATGGTAATGAAGCAAAACACTGTCCAGATCAGCAATCAGCTTTGAGGCATTTGTTTCGGCTTCTCTGATAGCTTGACCTAGTTGCGTTGAAACATGCCATGTGAGTAGCTCTGGCTTTTCTAAATTCGAAATAGAAGCAGCAGACATTGTATCTTGAATAGGTTCACTAGAATCTTGGAATTAGATGGTACTTGAATCAAATTAGACTGTTTACCGAGTTAAGACATCATCCACAATACGAGAAGGAATAACAGCATCCGCTGGAGAATGCTACAAGAATAAATAAGCAATCTTTTATATTACTCAACTTACTTCGCCATTGATACCAGCACGACCATTGTTTTCAACAATGAACTGTAATGCCTTATCAAACCATCTGTTTCTACCATTCCTGCCATGAAAAATATTACGATGAGAAAGATCAATGTCTAAAGGAGAGCTATAATCGTCCAAACAAAAGACAAAGATAGAATCATCAATATTCTTTAAGGACTTGGCATTGGTGGCATCTTTCTCCATTTCTTCGCGAATCTAAACATTTCTTCATATGAGTATGTTCAAATCAAATGCTCGCAACACACAACTTACTGGGCCCCAAGTATCGCGATGTTCAGTAGTCAAAAGACCTACTGGAGCTTGTCTTTGTTCCGCTGGTGTTTGTTCAACTTGGTCAATGACATTTCGCAACTGACTATCCATATTATCATGAGTCTAGGGCGATGATACCATGTGTGTTTTTACTTTTTCAACTCCTTGATAGGCACCACTTCACCGTGAGGGCCAATGACTTGAACTGAAAATATCTGATCTTTGTAGATAACATTGATGTGCTTGCTTAAGCAAGGCCATTGTGTAACTACACGATCACATCCTGAACTAGCAATACGGCTAGTGCCAAACATATTCTTCAACTGATGCATACAGAAAGGTCCTGAACGAGACACATCGGGAGGAATTTGTTCACTAAAAGCCGTAGTTTAGTATGTGTTTGTATGCATCAATACACATCTTACTTGTTGACTCGGTTCGAATAGTCAATCAAGCCAGCAATCATGCTAGCTGATCTATCCAATTGAAATTCAGTAACTTGACCTTCAGGACCGCCTTGTCCTAGACCTGATTCAGGGTCACGAAATTGATTCCACCAATTGACGTTAATCAATGTAGGAATGCGATATTCAAGGTATCCTTTTTTAAGCCAGAGACGATCAAGCCAATTTAATCCTAACGCAGTTTCTTTTTCGTCCAATGCATGAAGACGCTCTTGTAATTTTTCTCCAAGGCCTTGAGGTTGAACGAATGTATCGATTTTCTTGCTTACCTGTGCATGCTCAGAAGCAGACAATAGAGGCAAAAGGCTACGTTTATAACGCGCTGCTGTGGATTGAAGTTTAGGAATAGGTAACCGAGGAAGCTTCGATTGGTTTGAGAAGGTTTTAGGTGCTGCTTCGACACTGTACGCACGGCGGCTTGTTGCTCTATTTTTTTTAAAAAGAAAAATATGTAAATGATATGAATCAAACACAACTGCTTCTTTACCTCAAGGCGTGTTGATAAACAGACATCGATACAGTTTAAACAGATAAAAAAAAGAGAGAGAGAGAGAAAAAGAAAAAAAGGGGGGAGTGAGAAAAAAAACGATTATATTTGTTTTTGTATGTGTTTGATATCGAAAACATATTTGAATGAAATATACTTTATTTATGCATTTGGCTTAGAGAAACATATTTATATTGGCCTATAGTTAAACTACTCTCTTCAAAATGCGTTTATGAACCATGAATCTTATCGAATTTCCCCAATAAAGAAAGAAAAAAAAATACCCAGAGAAAGTGTATTTCATGTGATGATGATTCATGCAGTGTTACACACATTGACTTGTCAGCAATAAGATCCCATTGCATGAGACATTTGTGAATCTATTGCTTTTATAGGTAATTTTCGAGAATTAATTACGTTTATTAAGAGAGAGAGAAAAATATTAATAAGGTGGGTAGCTATTATTAGGTCTAGAATGATATCCATTGGGAGCCATTGGTGGAGGTCTCATGCCAGACTGAGGTTGAGGAGGATAATATCCTGGTTGATGAGGTGGTGGTGGTCTGTGTTGATTAGAGTCATGAAATCCTCCAGGAAGAGGGCCCTGAAGATAAGGTTGTTGTATTAGTGGATAAGGAGGTCTTTGTGGCGAAGGATAATTTACTAATTAATTGTGTTAATTCATGCATCATGTTTTTTTTAATTGACGCCTTACCATTTGTAGGTCTTGCAGATGGTGAAGGAACCGGATTGTAAGGAGCTGATAGCAATGGTTGAGGAGATGGCATTGTGGGAGAATAGACTTGAGTGGATATGCTTAAGGATGGAGAAGGACCAGTTTGAGAAGGAGGATAGGGCGAATGATGAGCAGATGGAGGTCCTTGGTGGTAATTTGGAGACCCTTGTTGACGATAAGCTGGTCGTGGCTGTTGTTGAAGGGGAGGAGGGTGCTGATGAAAGGATGGCTGTTGTGTTGGTGGTTGAGGCAAAGGCCTTTGTTGCAAAGGAGGGGGTTTATGTTGCGCTGGAGAGTGCATTGGATGGTGTTGTGGAGGCATATTATAAGCATATTGTTGCTGCTGTGGTGGAGGAGGTGGTCTTTGTGAGAGAGGAGGTGGCCTATGTTGTGGTCTATGTTGTGGAGGAGGATGAGGCTGATGATGAGATGGTGGGGGGAAATGACTTCCTGGCCCATGACCTGGTGGATATTGATAACGAACTTGTTGTTGAGGCCTTGAGGTATTTACCTATTGATATACAGTCATTAACCAACTCAATTAAATAAAATTTAAAGACTCACAGCAGAATAGAAAGTCAATTCCAAGTAAATATCACCACAATGAGGTTTTCCTCTTGCTTGCAATGGAAAATAGCTGTCATGTTCCTTTTCTCTTAATACTTTTGATAGATCAACAACACCTTCACCCATCAAATTAGCTGGATTCGTGTCTTTATCAAATACTTGAACATATAAATGGTGATGTCCAGCTGGCACAGGTATATTTACCTACAATAGTGCGATCAGCATCCGGGATTTTTCGTTATTTATGATGGTAGTACCTGATCATCCCAAATAGGGTAGAGCCCACCACCAGGATCCTTTTTCGTTCTTTTAACCACGTCGGCGACTCGAAACACACAGAATGGATCTTGTTTTACTGGGGACTATAGTTTTTGGTTAGGGTAGGCTTTCCTCTTTGTCAAGAAATCGATATTACCTGGTGCTGTAAATTTTCCTACAATAATCGAAACAGTTATCAGACTCTAATTAAGAAAAGAAAAGCATAGTGCCATTCACTTACAGCTTTTAGAGCAACTACGACAAGTTCACCCGTTATTGGAGGCGGCAATGGACGTGACATTCAAGTAAGTAAGAGATCTAAAAACAAAGAAGAAAAGTGAAAATAAGAAATTTGGCCAAGAAACTTACTCCTTATGCGCGCCCCATAAAAATTGTGATTGTTATTTCTGATACTTATCGAGAAGTGCTCTTTAGTGAAAATAGCTCGCATGATGGATTTTTCCTACAATTTTTGGTCAGTATAATGGCGTAGTACGTTTGGAGTTGAGGTCCTTTTTAATTCTATAAAATGAACTATGCTTTGCGATTTGCAGCTGAGAGAAATTATATGTATGCATAAATATCTCTTATTAAAGTGACCATTGAAATAGATGTAATCTCTCTTTATTGACTTTCATTATCTTCAAATGAAGCTGAAAGAAAAAGATGTCTCAAAACTATCAAAAGCATGAATATCATTGCCATTGTATCATATGGCACAAGCAGCAGCCAATCTTTTTATATACCTTCTGAATAGGCTTAGCCTTGACATTGCTGCGCTTCATGGGTGTCGTATGAGCTATGATTGTGATCATGTTTTACACAAATGTTATTGTTCTCTGTATGCTTGACTCTAGCATAATCTGAGGCACAAGCATTGAAAAAAATTGAGCCTCCGTTTAATGAGTTTCAACTGTGATGCAGTTCTCATATTTTGACAAAGACGGAATGGCTCTAGAAATTTCAATTAAGGGGGATAAGCGCAAACATGTTTTATTAGTTGTGACATTCAGAGTTAAAGAAGCAAGTGGAGAATAGTCAAAGAAGTTGCAATACTTGACTTGACGATTGAGGACATTAATAGCATAACTGACAGAATTTTCAACAAATTAACGATGTTGGTTAAAGTGCTTGGGACGAAGAGTTCTTTAGAACAAGTAATTCTAGCAATATATATGAACTTCATGTCATAGGTGACACAATAAGCATTATATGTAGATTTTTGTTGCAATGCTTTATCAGAATCAAACATGCAGAATCTAGCAGTTCCGAGGAGGTTCGGTACGATCACGTGACGTAATTATTAGCTATTAGAATATAATTTATTTAAAATTTTACAAAAATAACTGCTTCTATGGCGCAATTGGCTAGCGCGTCTGACTGTTAATCAGGAGGTTGGTGGTTCGAGCCCACCTAGGAGCGTTTATTTTCTTTTTTAAGGCTTTTTCGTGAGACGTTTTGGTGTTGCTTTGAAAATATGTAGTAACAAAGGGCATCTTACTTCTCTTTTATGAAACGTCTATTACGATGCATGGAGACATTTCATGCTTGTAAAGGGCATTGGATTGTTGAATCATTCCACTATAAGTCCTTTTATATGAAAGATCAGAGAAATGATAAATTGAACTACCCTCCTGAGACAAAAACAAAGTTATAGGCAAGAACCAACTGCCTAACTATATATCTAGCGATCCAAATAGATGTATGAATTATAGTTTACATAAAGTCTGCTGTAAATTTGATATTTCATAGATACTGATTTATTTAAAATATACATATTAAATAATTGGTTTAAAGAGAAAAGAGATTATGGATACTCGAGAAGTTTAGAAACTACTTTGTCCAATTCCCCTTTATACAATCTCAAGAGACTCAAGGCCAAATCATCATAGGACGTGAATCCCTGTAACAAAAAAAATATAAGTACAAAGATCAACATAAATTAATTACCATTTCATGCAACTGCAAAAGTTGTGATCGATAAGGCAAATCTTCATAGACTGATTGTATTTCATTTGGGGTAATAGTATTTGTTGAATGTGCAGAAGAAACGAGATCGCTATGTCCTACAGAAATATTCGATGCATCTTTAATTTCAATTGTTGTTACTTTGTCCTGCTCTTCAATCAAAACAAAATCTTCTTCTTCCTCAACACTATTCAATGTATTTCTTTCATGATCAAACGTGATTGTAACACTAGCTGAAGGACTAATTACATGATAAGCATGGTTAGAGAATTCATCACTGTCGATATCTGAATCGAATCTGTGATTATTACAATCGCCAAGATCAAGTTCGGATGGTGTAGGACTACTGACTTGACTATCTGTGTAAGTATATGTAGTATTTGTTTCGACGGTTGAATTATGGTCTCCTGTTGTCTCTGATGAATTGTCACCATCGTATTTAATATGTTGTCTCGATTTTTCTTCTTGTTCGCCTAAGTGTAACATTTCATCAAAGCGTCCTCGACTTCTGTCTGAAGCATGGTCTCCTGTAGTTTCTGAAGAGTTATCATGAACTTCTAAATCTGTATGAGACACTTCTTCAAAATGTTCTTGCTCTTTGTCTGAATCATGTAATAAAGGTGACGTGGAAATTTTTGGATATATCATTGTATGCGAATTTATCATAACAGGTGACTTTGATGATGTTGCCGTATTACTATGGCCTTTATCAGGCTCAAGATCTTCATCTACGGTTATTGTGCACCACAAATTATCGCCAAAACGTTCACCATTTGGTGCACATAAACAGAAAAAACTAGTATAGCTACCAGGTGAGTCAGGCGCTTGAAGCTCAGCAGAGACACATGTTTCTTCATTGGGAGCTATGACTGGAACAGCAAAGCAGTCTGGACGAGAAATAGGATAGGGTCTCAAAATGGATCCTCCGTTGAACAAGAGATGTGACCCAATAGGCCATTCAACATTACCAGTGTTTTTCACTTTCCACATCTATTATAAACTTAGTAAACTTGATAAATGTATCTATCATTCTAGACTTGCCTTGATAAATGTCTTTTTGGGTACGATAATGGTACCGTCAGGAATGTTCAAGTCTGCAACAAACGAAGCAGCAATGATAGGTCCTGGCAGAGAAGTTGAACTATTGATTTCTTCTGGTTTTGAGATGATATCTACAGAATTTGATCTACTTGAAGATGATTCTGATGTCTTGTTTGTTTGTTTGACTGGTTCTGGATACAGAAAATTGAATCTGGGTAATAAAGGTATGTCTGTAATGCTTCGGATAGGACGTCTTATTTTAATAAAGACATGGTTTTTGTCATGAATCGAAAAAGCATGTTCTTCACAAGTCTCGCACAAATCATAGTTGGCACAGTGTCCACACTGTAAAAAAAAAAAAAAAAGATTTGTCAGTGAGCTATTGCTTACTTGGCTCAATATCTTACCTTGAAACGAATACCTTCAATGGATACATCGCAAGAATCACATCGGACTCCAACATGCTTTGTTGTGGGAACCATATCATGTGATGTCGTATGCTTATTTCTTCGTCTGGTGAGGTTTCGGTTGGCTGCTTGTGCTCCAACCAGACGAGTGACAAAGGTGTGTTGTCTAGGATGGTTCTCTTTGACAGTAGAGAAGCACGAATGGCAAACATCAAAGTCTAACAATATAAGTCATCAAGAAATCTTATTTTTTTTATTCATACCTGGACAAGCACCACACGTATGTCGAATACCAACAATCTCAGTATCACAATAATCACAAATAAACAAGTTATGTGTCCAATAGCTACTACAGGAGCTTTCATCAGAAACATAAGGCTCAGGCGTACTTAAAGGAATATTGTTGTTGACTGTACTGATATGTCGGAAATTATGGCTTGGATTATGGTTCACACGCGATTTACAAGTACTGCATAAATCAAAATCATCACAAGTTTCACAACGGTATCTTTGACTTGAACACAGTTAGCCTAAATAAATTAAAAATAAATAGGGACTCACCCTCTAATAGGAGAATAGCATCCATCACAGATAACATCAAACTGAGGTTGTTCAGATAAACTAGGTGTCGACAAGAGTGAGCGATAGACTTGTGCAGCTGTTTCTGCAGCAGTTTTGACAACGTTATCTACTGTGGTTGCTGCGCTTCTTTCGACGGTTGCTTGGAGATTGTTTATTCCCAATTCCAAATGTTTCATCATGGATTGAATGGATTCGGATACGTTGGGTTCTTTTTGATCAGTTATATTGAAGTTTTGATGACCAGCAGGAATTATTTTAAGCTTGATATTGGTATTGGTATGAGCGTCTGCTGAAACAATACGGTTAAACAGGTCAGAATTATTTTTGATGGAAATCTCATCTCCTTCATTATCAATAAAAGTGAAATAGAAGTCATAGTCTTTGTCCAGGTCAAAAGCGGTTCTTGTCTACAGTAGGTCAGTAAACAGGCAACATTTTAGTATTAATCGCATACATTGTCCTTCAATTCTGATAAGTAATTTGATGCCAACCCAAGGGTAATCAATGGTACAATACATATTTCTGACTTTTGAGGAAAAATAATCTTAAACCAAACTCGACTCATAATGAATAAGTGAAAAGAAAAAGAAAAAAGAAGAAAAAAGAAAAAAGAAAGCGATTAAATACTAAGAAAGGAGTTATAAAAAAAGTCCAGACATTAATGTTCTGCAAAGCTGAAAAGCGGCTTAAGACGGACAATTGAAAGCCAGAACTGATCAGCACGCATTTGATAAATTACAACTTTGTGTTTATCATGTCTAAAGCTGTTCCTTTCCAACCTCAGAAGTGTCAATTGTTATAGTATCATTTTCTCTTACATATTCTGCGCATCAAACGGTGTATAAATAAGTACCTACTCAATACTAAATATCTACTAAAAATGGGCCTCTTTTGTACTGATTACAATGTATCGCGAACTTTGAATGCAAATTTGAAGGCAATGCACAAATGAAGTCCATTCTGTTGTCTTAGTAGGCTTATTTTTTTTTCATCAGAAGTATCTAGACATGGTCTTTCCTCATTTCGGTGGGATCAGGGCTACATTGGATCATTACAAAATTTTCTGATCGAGTTTTTTTTTTTTTTTTTTTTTTTTTTTTTTTTTTTTTTATCTTCACGGACCTCCGTGGATCCCCCAGGGTCAAAAATATAAATTTCACAAAACAGCTAAACCAATGGTACCATTCAATTGCTGAAATCCAAAGAATATGTTTTAAATAAATAAAAAAAAACGGGCTGTTTTGATAGTCTGTTTGTCGAGAAATGGCCCGTCAAAGAATGGTGTATTTAAGCTGTGTTTTGAGCACTTTTGCTCTCGATGACATATAGAACATGTAAGCAATGAACTTATAGAGAATATCATATGTTATTCCGAGTACTAAGAAACATAGGAAAATAGAAATATAGGCACTTTGTGATGCAAATGCGAGCTTAATGAACAAAAGGCATACTGATTGACTGTAATGCGAGGTTTAAAATAGAAAAACTCGAGTTTTTCATCTCGCCGCATTTGAAATCAAGCTTTTGCCGAGAACTGCATAAAGACGCAGTTATTGGGCTTTGGTTTAGTGACAAAAGCTATAGATCTTTGCTTTCTAAGCCCATCAATGCTAATGACATGACAGCTTTGCTACTAAAATGTTGAGCAAATATGCGAAAATATTTTTAAGGTCTTTTGCTCTTTTCATACCATTTTTATAGTGCAGTTGGCAGATAAACACTTTGACCAAAAGCTAGAGTTTTTTGCGCTCATTTTGGGTATTAAAGCTTATTGATAGCTTTATTTTTCATCTTGTAGCATAAAAAAAAAAACTAGAAGTTGTCAAATCGAGCTTTTTTCATGAATAGTACCCTTTGGATCAGAGGTAAAAATGACCAAATTTTACAAGTTGCTTTTTTTTTGGTCCAAATCAACTCCAAAGGTACCGTAGATGTTAGTGAGTATTTTTTGCAGGTACCTAAAGTGTTTATACGTGTATAAGCAGGCTTTATGCTACCTTTATATGTCTAAGAAAAACGAGCTCTGTATGGATTACTGTCTTTTTCTTTACTCTCAAAGTATCTATTTGCCTGGCGATCTCTGTTACAAGAACAATCGGTGTAATATCAAATGACTTATTGGAATAAGATACTTGATCATTTAAGTTTGCCAATGAAAATGTCAAAATGCCAAAAAGAAGAAACTTATAAAAGTTTAGATTGTTTTATTGTCACCCTTAAACATGCTTATATATAATAATTTGAATGATCTCATTACCTAATGTAATAGAAAATATAATTATCTTATACACTGACCCAACTTAGCAACAAAGGTATCATGATCCAAGAGCCCTTTAATATAATTAAACACGCTCAGTTCTTTTTGCTGATTTGTCGAGATATTTGCTTCAAGATAATATAGTTTAGTACTTGGTGATACAGCCTTTGGCAACAATCACAGCTTGATATTGGTTGGCCATATTGTGTAGTAGTATAGATGTAATGGGAAGATAGTAAGGGAGCTATTCAACTACTTACTCGTATTCATGTAAGTATTTTACATATACTGGTTCATTTCTGTTACTAATTTGTCTTTCTTCTATCTCCCTCTTATTCTCTGCTCTTTCTTATAATCTAATACAATTAACAATATAAATGTTATTTATGTATCTCATGCTCTGCTTCATTTCTAAACTTTGATTTTTGCTCATTTACTGTTTTATTTTTAATGCATGAACTGACTCTCGATATCTTTAAGATAAGTTTGCAAGCAACCACAGTCGTTTTGTGCAGCTTTTAATACTCCTTCATGTTGTTTGGTCTTTCCTAAGAAATTCAAAACAATTGTTAGGAGAGCTTGGCCACTTCTCTCAATCAAAAGCGATTCTTTAAAATATGCATGTACTGGCTCGGCCACTTGGCTCAAACTTCAATTGTCTGAGTAAACAAAGAACAAGGTAAACCCAAAACTTGCCTTAAACATATTGTCTGCTTTTCAGTTTTTGATAAACACAATCGGTTTTGGTAGTTTTAATGATAACTTAAACATTTTTTTTACAGATATATATATATATATATAAAGAATAAAGATCAGGCGAAATAGTATTAGGTATTTTGGTTGTCCTTGTCTGAGAGTAAAGTAAACCACAAGGATCCTTTGCTTTTTTTTGTTCATAGCGCAGACAAACAAAAGAAAAAATCAAGGAAAAAGACTATAAAGTGCGTGATCTATTATAGAACATAACGGGTTCATTTCTATTCCGGTCATCATTCATTGAAAGTGATGTATTTCGTCTTCTTAACATGTGATCTTCATGCTCTTTTTGCTCTAGTTGTTCTGAAGGCAGTAAAACTGCTCGATCAATAGCAGCAGGAAGTCCTATTCAATATCATCAATATGTTGTCTTTTTTTTCTTCCCCCTCTTCCTCTTTTTTTTTTTATACCTCGATGTCTTCCCCTATACATCAAGAGAATCAACACAAGTTTACTTAGTGTATGGTATTGTTGTGCTTGAGAAGCCGTTGTATTCGGATATCCCGTAGACGCACCCACATTTCCAAACGCAGAAACGCATTCATAAATGACAGTAGAGATCGTGATAGGCGAGGGAGAAACAATCGCCTCTGCCTCAATCACACAAATCGCAAAGATACAACAAATCACCCAGAATATTTCACTTGTCAATTGTCGTTGGATTTGCGTCATGACAAAGAAATCAGGCCCACGAAGCACTTTTTTGGAGTTCGTGACAATGCTTGTTACGGTCGAATAGCGTTTCAGTCGATGGACATAATTTTGCATAGTCATGTCTGCTCCTTCATCATTGTCCTCGTCAGGACCCTTATAGATACCAAGGGCACGTTCCTATGCCAATGTTTAATAGGGTGACACAGATGGAGTGATGTATGCAGACCTGGTACACGTTACTGTTTCTCATTGAAATAGCAACAGGATAAACACTAATATACATGGCTACAATAAACACAATTTGAGTTCCCGGATTCAATGCCATTAAGTCTACTACACTGAACCCAGCTAAACAAACAATAAAAATTAAATCAATGATCCAATTTCCCTCCCCTCTCCCCTCCCTTTACCATTTCGAGTGGCAACAGATTGAAAAAGGCCATCTAAAATACGAGCTCCCCAATCGACTCCTTGAAGTACCGGTAACCAATAATTAAGGGCAATAAAACAAGTGAATTCAACAGCAGTAATACCCACAAGTACAATCAATAGCCATTTGGTCTGTGTGGAAGGAAACAAGGTAGTATAGCATCGACGCGGATGGTCAAGTAAATACCGAAGTGCTTCTCTTTGAATCACAAACGATTTAGGTGTGACCTTATACACTATCCAGATCAGTAATCTCAAGAAGATGGCATAAGCTGTATTGCCAGCCAAGATAAGAACCATGGTGAGTATAAGTATGCAAGGTGCAGATTGAAAAGGAACCATGCTTGCATCGACCATGGATAAGCCTAGATTATTGAATGCGGAAATACTCAAAAAGAACGAAAATAACCATGCATTAACAGGTCCTCTCACATTCGATGTCTGTAATACGTGTTGAGCATAAGAAGAAGCAGCCACATAGATCCGAAAAAAGAACCCAAAGCTAATGATAAAAAACAAGTAATAGGCAGGCACAATGATTGTAAGCAATTCAAGCGCACGGTATTCTGCACCGCCTAATCGATAGCGTTGTTGTCGTGTCAATTCACTTTTATGAGCAGGTTCTCTCATGATACGTTTCATTTCTTCGTCATCACTTTCGTTCATGGCAATCGTCTGATCCATAGAAATTGAGTTTGAGACAGAGTCTGTATCTCCAGTAATACGCAATATATCGTCGAATCGTCTGCCTTGTTCTAGTCGACGACGTGCAATTTCTCTCTGTCGTTCAATATTACCTGCAAAGGCAATGCCTTGATTGCCACCTGAACTAGCACCAGGGTTAGTAGCATTCTTTGGGTCATCATGGAATTGAATACTGATATGGCGTGTATCAGCAGTAGACTGTGCTGTGTCAGTTGTGTTAGAAAGTGATTGCAGACTATTGTTGCCATGATTCAGGGGCTTGGAATGCTCTTGACTATCCAACGATTTCTCCCTAGTCGTCTCTCTGGATAAAGTGTTATCGTCGGTATTGATATTAGGCTGTGATAAAGATCTCTCTAGACTATTGTGTTTCCTTTTCAGTCCTCTTACATCAAAGTTAGTAGACAATGGTCGAGTTGAAAAGAAACTCTTTTTTCTTGTGGTAGGCTGATCATAAGGCAATGATCTGACAGACATAAAGGATAGTCTTCTATGAAGTGGTTTTGCCTTGTCTATGCTTTTTCTCGGTTGCTCTTGAACATTCTTTTCAAATTTTCGCTTGTTGGCTTCCCAAATTCGTCGAGCATGATTAAATAACAAAATATCTTCAAATCGTTTAGAGAAATAATGTCTTCGAATATAGACAATAATGACGGAAATCATGACATGCGATCCAAAAAATGAGCCAAAATACATGACAAGTACTTGCCAAATTGAGAGCTGCGACATGTCAATTGTGGCCAATCCCGTATTTGTTACTGCTGATGTCCCCATAAATAATGCATCAATGTAGTGCCATTTTGTACCAGGTTGGAAATAAAAACAAAAAGAAGCAACGGAGCTTAATAATAAAATATAAATGTAATGTAACTGAAGGAAATGGATTCTTTTATCATAAAATTGATAAATACGTTGATAAAATGTCATTAGAAAAAAAAAAAAAAAGAAAAAAAAGAGAGAAAACTAGAAAAAAAAAACTCCTTTTTATATCAAACTGCATGATTTTCGAGTCATGTTTCATTTTCGTTTTTTTTTTCTTTTTATTCAAGTGGAATTTAAATGATGATTGTGTGTGTGTGTGTGTGTATACATGAAAAATGGGTGGATTATTTATATGTATGTATATATTTAAGCCTTGTTCTTCTTCTCCTTCTTTTCTTTCTTCTCCTTCTTTTCTTTTTTCTCCTTCTTCTCTTTCTTGGCCTTCTTGCCTTCAGTTTCATCTAAATCATCTTCGGCAGGGCGCTTATTGTTATTATCTTTAGCAGCAACATCAAGCACAGTAATCTTGGGAGCCATACCAGCAGCAGCAACAACAGTTTCTGAAGATGTACCAAAGACAGGCTCAGGTTGCTTACCATCAGGGTTATTGGCATAATCAACATAGGCATTCTTCCAAGTAGCAGGTGTTTCGTCTGTGATACGACCGTACTTGTCAAGCTTGCCTTCTGTCTTCAACTTCTTCTTGGCAAGAGCAACAGGACCCATACCCCATCTGCGAGGGTATGTATCACGTTCCATAATGACACGCTTCACCTTAGCAACAACACCATGGTCACAAGTAGCCATGACAGCCGTGGTCATTTGGGCATAGGCAAGAGCAATGGCTTCACCCTTTGTTGTCATCAACACAATCTCGTCATTGACTTCAATACCGCTCTCAAAACGCAAAAGACCGGGAAGCATCAACTTGGCACCGTAACAGATGGCATTGACAGCACTGTCCTTGACAACAACACGCTTGTAGTTGGTCAAAAGTGATTCCAAAGGACGAATGACACGACGAAGATAGGATTCGTCCTTGGTGTTGTCATATAACCATTGAGCATCCAATACATCATGCATAGTAACAATATCATCCTATACAGACATGAGGTTATGTTTCTTGGTTTATATGCTTTCATCACTTACGTTTTCAGAAGTAGTACCAGAACGAACACGGCGAAGTTCTTGCATGTGACCACCCACACCGAGCAAAAGACCCAAGTGAACACACAAAGTACGCATATAAGTACCAGCTTCACAAGAAGCCCAGAAGACAGCAAGATGACGATCGTTATCGAATTCGATCAATTTGCTTTCATGGATAGTACGAACACGCAATTGACGCTTGACAGCAGAAATAAGAGGAGGACGTTGGAAAAGAGCACCTGTCAAGGTTTCAATAGCCTAGATAACATGAGTATACATGTCTATTTGAAATCGATACCTACTTGAGACAACTTCTTTTCACTTTCAATAGCATCGTGAAGACGCAAGATACACACGTATTCTTTACCAGCACCTTGTTGAGACTTGACTAAACGAGTAGCTCTATCAACACAGACAATCAAACCACCAGTAACCTTGGGATCAAGAGTACCACTGTGACCGGTCTTTTCAACACGAAGGATACGCTTAATCCAAGCAACAACTTCGTGAGAGGAAGGATTAGCAGGCTATGTGATGGATGAGTACTGAAGTCTATCTAGGGTATCACATTTACCTTATCAAGGTTAATAACACCATAACGAACATATTCATCAAGAGGACGCTTCAAAGGAGAACAACCACTAGGAATAGGAGTATAATGACCAGTACGAACATTAAGTTGATCGTAGTTCTACACATTGTTAATATCTTCTGTACTTTTTCATATGTATCTACCTTTAACAAAAGAGGCCAGTTGGAAGTATCGATAGCTGGAGCTGAAGCAGTAGGTTTAATAACTGCGTTGTCGGCCATTGTTATATTAAGTAAAACAAAAGGAAGAGAAAGAGAAAAAAATAAATAAAAATTTTGACAGGCAGATTTTTGATGTACGAAGAGCGGAGGGGTGACAGTGCCCACCATTCTTCAGAAGAAAAAAAAAAGCCACGCAAGTGACTGTTGATCAAAAAAGGAAATTCGGGGTTTGAATATCGAAGCATTGATGCCCCTTTTTTTTATCATTACACAAAGCAAAGGAGACAAAAGAAAAGGTCAAATAAAAAAAAAGCATACAATGTTTACCAGATCAATTATAGATGGAAAAAATATATGAACACAATTGGATAGAGACAAAATATGAAAAAAGACAAACAATGGGTCAAAACATGGTAGTGTGTCCATTCAATGTAGCATAAAGATGAAAGCAAGTTCGAGGGGGTTTTTTTTTTATTAACCTTTAGGACATATTAAACAGGAATTGACGATATTGTGTAAGATGCAATGTCGTTTATAAGAGTCAAAGTATGTTGTGCATGAAAATGAGTCTCGGATGATCCAAAACTATTTTAAAACTATATGCATTTGTACGACAGAATCCAAAATAGAAAAGAAAGACTCAATGCTAAAAACAACTCTTGTCTTCAATGCTTCAAGTGACTGTGGATCAAAAGAGAACAATCATAATGAAAAAGAAGAGGGGAGTACGAATTTGAGTCCAGCCGGGAAAGCAAGGAAAAAAAAAAACTTAAAATACGCGCTTTTTTCTTTTCTTTTCTTCTTTTGATAAAGCAATACATATGCCATTATTAAATAAAAAGAGAGCACCTATATCACCACCTATTCCATACGACTCAAAACGTAAACGTAAAGAGGTATGGTACCTTCGCTTTACGAATGAAATGTTCACTAGTTATGAGTATGTATGCACTTTTTTTTTTTTTCTTTTTGTCATGACGACTCATTCCCTGTTTAGCTCTTACATAAAAAAGTTGAATTTATATCATCAGGCTATTTGGGAGTGCGAAGCAACTGGTAGAAAGAACTTGACCTATGAACAAGCACTTGAAAGTGAACGAACAGAGCATGATAGAGCTGAATACAAACTGTGTTATGCTTTAAGAAAACAAATGCTGCATCGAGTTCAGTTTCGTAAGTGAATAAGTGCAATACACACAAGGATTATTCATGGTCAATAGAAACCAGTCGATTGGATGATTTAGTGAATGATGTCTATCATTATTTTGAACAAAACTATGTGATTGACGAAACCGTGCATTGTAGAATGAATGGATACACGTACGTAGACACAAGTTGAGATAAAGCTATGTTGCTATTCACACAAACTCTTTTATGTAGTTATGTAGCCAAGATTGTCGATATTCTTCCTGGACGCATTGTAGTTCAACATCATACACATGTATTAAAAGACCCAGTATCAAGACAACTTGTGCCTAAATCAAACTTGAATCATTCAGGAACAGAAGAAGAAGAGGAAGAAGAAGAAGGAGAAGACATGGATGGAATAGAAGGTGAACAAGTGCCTAGACAACCTAATGGTCGGTTAAGGTTCCCAGACGCTTTTCTTCATCCAACTCCACAGCCACCCATCATTCAGTCTGAGAATGACAATCGTCTTGTAGAAGAACGTCAATATAAAGTACAATTGCTAAATGAAGTAGGACAACCCTTAGAAGACTGTAGACGGATTGTACTAGAACACCAATTGGACAGAGATAAACATAGTTTTAATCGGTTTAATGTACAGAGTTTTATACGTGAATGTTCTTGTAAAGAACCTTATGTCAATGCACCATGGTTAATTAAGGTATACAGAAACAGTATGCAATAGATACTGATTGTTCTTGTTAGTCTTCTGTTGCTATTGCTTATGGTATGGATACAGCTCTTCCTCATCATTTACAGCATAGACAAGATTCAGCCTTTTTACAAGCATCAAGGAAACGCAAATTGACAACGTTTAAGACAGCCGATGAAAAAGAAGCAGAGAAGCAAGCCAGACGACAAGAATCCTTGCTTCAAAAAGCCAGACTAAAAGAAGAAAGAGAACGATTACGCCAAGAGAAAAAAAAGCAAGCAGCTATTAAATACCCCATTGAGGACCTTGATCTTCCCATCTACCGTAAAGACCCTAATCTCAATTGGGCCTTGATTGACATGAATCCTCAGATATATAATGCTCAACATGGCATCATTCCGTACTCTAGTGGCGGCAGATCTGGACGCCCTCGACCTCATGGCGACTCACCTATACCGCCTGAACTGTTTGATGCTTTTCTTTCGATCTGGACATTCTTGACTGTGTTCTCTGAACCTTTGAAACTGACAGCCTATAGTGTGGATGATTTTGAACGGGCTCTTTTTCATACAACACATCAGCCTAAGGCAACTGTTCTTGTTGAATATAATGCTTGTTTGCTGAATGTGATCATTAATGAACGAAATGAAGATACGGCGAATGAATTGATCAATGGTGACGTGATGGAAACCTATGTTGAGTCCCTTGAAGAAGAAGAAGACGACAGTCAAGCAGAAAGTGAAGAGGAAGAAGAGCAGCGTCGAGATAGACCCAGATCAGAAAGTGTCTTGCCCCGCGTTGAACGAGGCTGGCGAGATAAAGAGCATTTACGCATTGCTCAAAAATGGGATAACAAAGAACTGCGTGCTAATTATGATCGTCGTGGTTGGGAGACTTCTTTAATAGGCTGCTTAAATGATGTGGCTACACCTGAACTATTGCCGAATGTAGATGAGTTATTACAGCATTTAGTGCCCAAAATGGGCTCAACTGCTGCTGACCGAGAGAAACAATACCCAACCTTGAGTATGAAGCAAAAATTGGACATTTTGAGTTTCTTGATTGATGTTGTGAATGAGTCTACTTTGATAAGGCAAGTAGGATTGTTTCGTTTGTCTTATTGACCATAGTATAGAAACTATATGGATTATTGTCAAGAGCAACTCTCTGAATTTCGAAAGCAAAAAGTAGAACTCAACAAGGAATCAAAAGCACTGTAGGATCACACGATGAACATAGAATCATACTCATCATGGACTTCTGTTTAGGGCTATCAAACGAACAGAGATGGACAAAAGAGACAAAGCAGAGAAATTAGAATTAGGTGAAGAAGAGGATTCAGATGATAGTGATGATTCCTGTTCTTCAAGAGATTCGAATGATGAGGACTCTGCGTTAGAAAGTGATTCGTAAGTATACGATGCGATGATCAATACTAATCCAACACTCAAGTTCGGACAGTCGACTTGCTGCTCGTGAACGACGACATCAATCCAGACAAGAAAAACTCAAACAAAAGCAACGCGAACGAGAAGAACAAGAACAACAACGGAAAAAGCAATATGCAGAACAACGCGAAGTTGCAAAAGCAAAGAGTCAAGAACAACGCATCAAAGCTAATGAACGACGAAAATTAGAAGAAGATGAGCGTACCTTAAGAAAGAAGGTAAAAAAAAAAAAGATTCATGATTGATAGACTGAACCAACAATAGGAGGAACATCTGGAAAGATCCATGCGAAGATACATGACATTACGCATTCGTCCTCTTGGTAAAGATCGGTTCAATAACCGTTATTACTATTTGGATAATGTAGGTATCTCCAATACATGTGGTTCTGGTCGTCTTTATGTCCATAGCCCAAGTGACGGTGATATTCAGTTGATGATGGAAAGAGACCATCAGACAGATTTACCAGAACAACCATGGGGTTATGGTGGGGGTCGATGGTTTATCAAAAGATTAATGGAACTACAAGGCTTTGAAGAAGAGAGTATTTGGCTTGAAAATCGTATGAATGAGCTCTCAAGTGGACATCCGAGTGAATACCATGGTTGGTGGAAATACTATACAGAGCCTGAAGAAGTAAAAAAAAAAAAAAAAAAAATAGTAAACTAAATTTTAACTGTAGATTGATCAATTACTAGAATGGTTAAATCCTAAAGGTACAAGGGAGCATAAACTAAAGAATGAATTAGTCAAACAACAGCCTTATATTATTGAATCTATCAAGAAAAGAGCACAGGTAAAGAGCAAGTTGAAAGACACTAGAATAATTAACAATCAAACAAGGAACTCAAACAAGTGGAGACTGTTTCTAAAAGACCCAGTCGAATAACCACTAAACCCAAATAAAAAAAAAAAAAACTACCATTTATTTATTTAATCACTGCCTACAACACCTCCTTTGTTTAATCCAACTGCCTTTTCTACTACTTCTCGCATTAAATCTATCAATGTACTACAAGTGATAATAATATGTGCTTCTAATTGATCTGGTCTGTCTACTAAACCCAGCGCATTCTTGTCAATCAACAATTGTCCCAAATGAACAAAATAGCCCATACGATGACTATCAAATTCAGCAATAACACGCCATGTCTTCTTGTCATTGCCATCTTCCAAGTGCTTTTCAGGTCTAATTTGACAGACTAAATCATGCGATAATAGACTAGCACGCTTCCAACGAATCAAAAAGCCTTCAAATTCAGTATCATACGTAAACAAAAGATGAGAATTGGTTCGATTGTACAATGGGCCTGATTTTGTATCTGCTGTCAATTCATCGTCTTCTTCTGGTGTATATTCTTTCTCATTCAAAGGGAAATCACCCCATTCAATCGTGATTTCTTTCTTGAAAGCTCTTCTTTTTGCTTCTGCTACCTTGTGTTTGTCACTCACGATATTGCCATCCAGAGACAATCGATACAGGATATTTTGGAATCCCCATGAATACGAATGAGGCTGTATCTTTTTATAGGCGGGTATTTTCGTGCCTTTAAAATACACATCATGTTCAAATGGTCTAGCAAGCGACTGTTTACGTAAATCATACATGACCATATCTTCCATAGGCTTCTTTTTCAGGATTTGTAATAGTGCTTGTCGTGTCGTTGAGCTGCTTGTGTTACTGCTCTCGCTACTGATACTAGACGTACTAGGACTTATGGAAGTAGGAGGAGGTGTAGTGGTTAGACTGGTGGTTGATGAAGGCACATGAGACAATAAGCTGATAGTTGGACATGAGGAGCTTGTGTCTTGGTCATTTGTCTTTATGTCGGGTCGTTTGCCATTGATGAATTCAGCTCGTACGATCAGGTCATCAATCACTTCTTGAGGTAAAGGTTCTTGGTATTCATCATATGTGTTTGGTTTATCATATGTTGGTTCATCAGGTTCATTGGGTTTTTGTAAAATAGTGGTGGTATTCTGGTCATCCATGGTATCCGGCTTCATGATATAATTGGTAATAAAAAGAAAAAAAAAGCTATTTTTTTTTAATGCTTACTTAAATAAGTGCTTTTATATTAAGACATCTTTTATCGATCAGATAAGCTGTTGTCATGACAACACATTCTTGTCATTCAGGACACTGTGGCTTGATGGATCGATATATATTTCATGCCCATTTTTCTTTTCTTTTTTTTTTAAACTAAAATGAACAAAGGAAACAAAAGAAAGGCGCCCATTTTTAATTTCAATACACTTAGTAAAAAGAACACATTTGGGGATACACATGTACAAAAAAAGAACAAAAACAGAGACTACCAGGTAACTGTTCCTATCTCATCCCCTGATGTTGTCAATATAACCAGATTTCAAGATCAACTGAGTACCAGTCGATCTCATGAAGGAGACGATGGTTTTGACGACTTTCAACCTATGAAGCAAAGATCTGGACCTATCATGTCTTCAAATCAAACTACAGGAGAGTCATCATTATCCAAGCAACGACAAGAGTCTCTGGTGATGCCAAGACGATCGACTGCTGCTGACAACGATCCATTCCGTACTGATCATCCTAGCGACAAGAACAAGTTGACTTTACCTAAAAAGATTGCCAAAACACCAGAGACACCAGTCCTGCTAAAACGCATTGTCAAGACAGATCTCAAACAGGATGAGGATGCCTATTGTCCTTATTGTGGCGAACGTTTTGCTCTTTTGACAGAACCATTAAAAAATGCCATTCAAGCCATCAAAGACAAAGACCGAGAATACGAAAAGAAGCAAAACGATGAAGTAGAAAAACAAAACGAAAAAAGCGTCTATAGCTTACCCACCAATTTGACCATCAAGCGACGTGTTTCATCCATAGATAAAGATGCGTTTTGTAAACTACATCGATTGGAATTAAATATTAAACCAGAAGGTCGTAAAAAGGGGTATCCTAGAGAGATTGATTTTGATAAGCTTGGAAAAAGGGTGATGCGATACAAGGATGAATTGGACTTGGTGATTGCTGACAAGCTACCTAGTGACTATCGTACACTGGCTGAAGATTCTTATCGAGAGATGGGTTCCAATAAAGCCCGAAGTACCATGGGTGTCATGACTCGTTTTGAAGCTACTTTGCCTGGTTATTACGGTCCTAAGGGGGCTGCTGTCATTTTGGATGTCTTGACAGAACATTATCTCAAGTCAGGCTATTTAGCTCAACACTTAGTTTCACCTCAGATGCCCTTGGAATTTCTTCAACAAGTGCTTGTACCCGAAGTTGGATTTCGATTGATCCAGAGCGACATGCTAAATCAAAAAGGTGTTGTCGAAAATGCGCGCGAAAAGGCCAAGCAAATCATGGATCAAAGTCGAGAATATGGCAATTATATGTTTCCTGTCAAAGATCAAGATATAGAATCACACGATATAGAATCCTATCCATCAACCTCCATTTTAGACTCTGAAGAAGACTCTGAAACAGAAGAAATTCATAGCGTAGGAGATACAAAAGATGAACAACTCTATGATAGTGAGTAGAATAAAAACAAAAATAAACCAGACAAGTGTTGTATGTGTACATCTTGTTTCCCCCCTTCTTTCAATTAAAAACAGAAACAAAAAAAAGCATTCATTGTGTTGTTTACATACAAAAAAGTTGATTTTATTTTTCACTTTATGCCTCGCATTTAGTGGTGTTCGACGTTCTTGTGGTGCTCTAATGATCAAGTCAATAAAACAAAATACTGAATATATAAACAAGTTACTTACTCAAGTGGAAGTGGTAGTCGATAGTGTAACCAATGGTGAAGACACCAAAGATAAGGTGAAGCAAAGGAGTAACAGAAGCATTGTCACCATCAATGTAACGAGCCTTGTAACGACCCCAAGGACCAGAGGGCTTGGGAAGTTCAGCAGTACCCTTGGGCAATCTCTACATAGACACATGAGTCATTAGATATGAATAAGTTTGTTTACCTTGTAGAAGTTGACCAATTCGTTGATTTGACCGTCCTTAGCAGAACCAGAGAGTCTGGTGGCAGCAGCAACGTTAGGAGGAATAAGGGTCTTGGTAGAATAGGCGCGACGGAAAATGGCACTCATGGTGTATAATAGTGGGGCACAAAAAAAAAGAAAAGAGAAAAAAAAAGAGGACTATAAAAAATAACAGGGGATAATTCTGAGCTGTAAATCAAACAAGCTTTCAGACGTCACCCTTACAATACATTTAAATAGCGATTGTCAATGGTTTGTTTTAGCAGAAGAAAACAAAAAAAAAAAAAAAAAAATACATGTAGGTATAAAAGGTCCTTCAGACAAACATGTATTTTCATTAGATCTACACTTTATCCTGAAAAAAAAAAAACAAAATATTAAATAAGCAAAAATTAAATTCTAGAAATTAAGCAGAGCATAAGTAATAATTGTAGTGTTACTTACATTAGAGCAGAGAAATAAATCAGCAAGAATATGACTCACCAGTACTAATGTCTACTTATTTTTGTCAAGTAAACAACCTACACAGTTTACAGTGTTCATTTATTCTACTCTAGGAAACTTATTATTCATGGATGGAAAGCATGCAATCTTTATTTTTGATTTCAAAAATCATGAAAAGACATCCAATATTTTTTTCTGTGTATAAAAGGTATAATCAACAATAAAGAGGATGTATTGTAGAAAAAAAAAAAGATTAGTTTTGGTTAATTGACCTAGACATGCATAAGTTTGTTAGCAAAAAAAAAAAAAAAAAAAAAAGGGGGGAATATGTTTGTATTACCTTGAAACACTTTCAAACAATCGTTCAATGTCTGTCGCACAGCGAGTAAATGAATGATTCCAAAAACTATACCGAGGATTCTTGATCAATTCAATAAAAGTAATCAATAGGCCCCAAGGATGAGGTCTATTGACAATCAAACGCTCTAAAAGAACACGGGTGATTTGTTCTTTGGTGATCTCTTTTTTGCCTTCCACAAACAAATACAATAACACACAACTGAAGTAATGTGTATGGCTATTGGGATAGCGTAATTGGTTGGCAATGGCACTCAAGAAATAATAACGCCCTATAAGTCATTAGCAACATCATTGAGACAAAAGACTTATACCTTCTGAATTCAATTCAGACAACAAATGTTGGTAGATATCCATAGCAGGTCCTTGATGGACTGGTGTGCCTTTAGCAATGGCCAACGTGCCTAAATAGAACACAACTGCATTCATAAGAGGTATGTCCACCTTCTTGGTCAATTGGCTCGAGATATCTTTCAACAAGCGAGAAGAGGGTGATCTCTCTATGCATTGATCTAATGGTTGCTTTAGATGAGCAAGTACAGTCGTATAATCAGACAAGACTCGAGGAGACTGATGGATTTCAGGCAACAAGTCGATTTTCAGATTGGGCGTGAAAGGGTCAGGCAACCGCATGTTTCGAGGAAAAGCACTCAAGATCAAATTGCGCATTTGGATACAACTGATTGGAATTACATCACAAAAACTATGGTGATAATCACACAGGAATTCAGGGAAATCATGGAGCAACACAAGCAGCACACGTAACGTGCCTCGGTAGAGCATATGTGTAGTGTCACCTAACTCAGTTTGAGAAAGATAAGGAGCCAAAAACTTGAACAGACAGACAAGCAATCGCTGGAAGCTAGGCCATCCCTAACAATGAACACATAAGCAATAGAGATATGATACTATAGGTATTTACCTTTTGATTATCAGACATTAACAGTTGAGGCATAAAGAAACGATGTGACATCAATTGCAACCAAGCAAATGTGAATCCTGTAAAATAACTAGGTTGTAATGTATATAATGTATCACTGAATGCTGTCAACAAAGGTAAATACAGTGGCTGAATATGCTGTTCAACTAAATGCAAATCAGTCAAGATACTAGCCAGTAATCTCAAAAAGGGCCTTTGATCAAACAACGGACCACGCACTTGATGATGTTGAGCCATACACAACACAATCACAGACAAGACACGGCTGAAATAGTCTACTTGACCTTCAGCTTGTACTAGGCACACAATCAGTTTAGACAAAGCATCAATGGGCTGATAAGCTATGCTGACCGATTGGCCAGGTACCATTTTAAACTTGATAGCATGCTCAATCGAAGCTTCAATAGCAATACGAGAAAACAAATAGCTATCGGATTTAAACACGGCTTGTTGAGAGAGCTGAGTAGCAAAGGCTTGCATCGTCTTGTCTGTTGTAGCTGGATGTTGATATAAACGTACCCATTCTGCAAAGTAAAACTGGAGTTGTTCACGAAGACCAGCATCTTTGATATTCATTTCTTTCTGTTGAGGTTTAGCCATCTTTTGCAAGTCTTCAAGTAAAGAAATGACCATGGGATAAGGTGTCTTAATACGACTGAGTGCTTCTAAAGAAGCCATAAATTCCTGTCTTGTGGCTAATGGATAGTCACTCAACAGACAAGCTCGAATCAAACGCACAGTAAATTCAATTGCACTTGTTCTTCCACTATCAATTAAAACAGATAGTTCTTGATCTTGTTCAGATAAATGAATCAAGCCTGCTTTCATCAGAGCGACGGTTACTGGCACATTGTATTTACGTTCATCATCAGCATGGGTCAACCAAGAAGTGACTAGGGTGCCTACGTTAGGTGATACTTCACACAAATGTTCTAACAAGACAACATAGACTTCAATAGCTAATGGCGTTTCACTCTTGTAAAGCAATTGAACTACTTTTTGTGCAAATGCTCTGGCTACTTCTGCTTTGTCATGACTTGACAAGGCAAGTAAAGGAATCTGTCTGACCAAGTTTCGAATATCACTTTGTGGAGGTAGACCGTTGATTGTGTTGATGTTTGTTTGGTGTATGAGTTTATCAAGCTCAGTCATGTATTGAGCAAACCGGTCCATGATAATGTGTGCATTTAAAATTGGAAGATGGCCAGGCAAAGTATCAAATGCCATGGCAGGCGAACTATAGTTTGGATAATCCATACGAACATGGTTGGTATCCATGATAGAGCCATTTGTCATAATGGCAGTATGACTACTCATTGGTGTAGTAGCAGTAGCAGCTGTTGGCGCCACAAGAGGCGTAGTAACAGCAGTCGCATTTGATAAAGTACGAGGAATACGCATGAAATCTTCATAGACACTCAATTGAGCAGGTTGCAATCCGTTTGGTTTTGGACGCAAAGGTTGTGGTAAGTGAGTTGGAAACCTTGACATTTGATATGTCTCCATATCCACAAAAGGTTGATTGGGTCGTTGTTCGCGATGTTGTTTACGAGCAGCAAAAGCGGTGGTCAATGTCTCATCGATCTCCACAGTGGCTTTTTCTATGGCTGCCTTTTCAATGACGGCACACATCAGATCCAAATTATCAGCGACGGTCAAGATAATCGCTTGTTCTGCCATGCTATCGTTCAATCCATGGGCTAAAAAGATAGTCCTCAAGTTAGCCACCACACTTAGCCTGAGTGGCTCTTTGCTAGTGACCATGGCAAGACTGGCAGCTAGATTTTGAGCCATCATATGAGCTGCTTTTCGCATCTTGTTTTCATCTGCTTCTGTCACAAAGTCCTTACTGACTAAATGGCGTGTGGAGACAGCAGCAATCGCAACAGCACGCTCTACGACAGGACCAATGAATTCTCGAATGGATTCTGTAAATGCCTGTAACACTAAGTGTTTGGCACCTGGTTGAGAAGAATACAATACGATTTGAGGATTGAACACTAAATAAGGTGCCAAGTTAGGAATAGGAATCGTATCAAGTCTAGTGGAAGGAGGTGGTGGAGGATTAAACGCTTCTTTAGACACACTGGTAGGTTGTTGCCTTTTTTTCAATACACTGGTAGGTGTGATGTCTTTGAGTTCAATCGATAAACTCTTGCATAATACCTCGACTTCAAACTTGAGATTTAATTTGAGATCTGCATAGTCGTACAGTTCAACCAAGAGCTTAAGAATAGAAATCAACCAAGGATTAGGTGGCCTAAATATCTTGCTTTTAGCACCTTGTTCAAGTACTTTGCAGACAAACGGAATTATTACAATCAAGCGTTGTGTATCATATCCTTCCAACAATAAATCCTATGCTATCATTAACAAATCTATCACCAAGTGCCAACTTACTTTGAATGCAATGTGTTTATGAAGAATAGGTTTGTTTTTGGCCAATGTAATCCTTCCAAGCCATGCACCGAGATTCTTGAGTAAAGTACGTTCTGAAGAATGAGAAACTGTCTTTTCAGAATTCAGCAAGACCAAAATATTGGCCAACGTCTCATTCAAGACATGCAAATAGAGTAATTTTGATCCAAATAAGTCCAGCACTAACACATACAGTTCGTGATTGTTAGGCTCAGAAGAAATACGCTTGACGACCAAATAACGACTAAACCATTCAAAACTAGTTGGTTTCAATATTTCCTTGAGATCTGCTACTTTTGTTTCCATTGTGTTGAGTGCCACATTGTTAATGATAAATAAAATCTTTTCTTGAACTGAACTAGGAGGATCTGTGTAGACAATATTGCCTTTGGGTGTAGGAGGTACATGTACGCTGATAAAAGGAATACTCACAGGCATAAGGTCCACCGCTGTTGTTGTTGCTGCTGTTTCTTTACTATGCAATGCTTGTTGAATAAAGCTTACTAGATCAGGCTGAGATTGCACAAAATGAGGGATTTGAAGCAAATGTGTACAGTATTGAGGCCATTCAGACAAACGTGATTGAAACTGCCCAAGTGCCTGTACACCAAAAGTAAACATTTTTGAGCCAACCGGATTCCTTAGTGCATCCAACACATAGCGTAGTGCAATTCCCAAGGGCACAAAGGACACTAATCGATGCTGGATAAGCGAACCAAGTAATGTACTTGTAATCGACAGTTCTTTATCTGGATATTTAGGGAAAAAAGCATACTCATCAAACAAGTTATGAATCATACAAGCATACACATCTTGTTCTCTTGGGTCTTGAGATACAGAAAGCCGCTTCAATAGTTCAATCATGGCCTCCATACTTAACTCGCCATTATAGATACGCTCATAATAAAGATTGGCTTCTTCTTCAATGTCAGGCTTAAATGAGACTTCTGCACCTGTGGATCCAGGTATGGCTTGTGTTCCAATATTGATAAGTTTAGGAAATGCTTGTAAGCATTTGTTTTGGACTTCTTTCATCATGTCAACATAATGAGGAGACAAACCACTGTACATTTAAATCAGTATGTCTTCTATTTGTTGATCTTCTTTACCTTTCTGATAAGACTTTCAATAATGTACTTATGGCTTCAAGAGAGACAGGCATGCTCTTTTGAGTATCTTTTCCTGTCTGTCTTTCATATTCATTGACTATCTTTTGATTTAAGAAATCCAGACATCGACTAGCATAAGCATCTTTTTCTGATTGTTGCTGCTGCTTTGAGAATTGTTCTTGAAGCCATGATTCTAAATGCATTAGCTTTTGGCTATCTGCTAAACAGACAAGATCCAAGGCAAAAAACAAGGGAAGACCTTCCAATATACCAGGAAGTACCTATAACATCCTATCAGCATGACAAAAAAAACAAAAAAAAAAAACAAGACACGCAGTCTAGAAAAAAAAAAAGCTTACATTCAAGTCTTTTATCAAACCCAATATCTTGTCTGTAGAACAAGGTGAAGCCTTGTACATTTCAGCTATACACAATTCGAAATATGCCTCATCCATCAATTTGTTAGGTTTTGGCTTGAGGTTGATCAATGACTTGACTTGTTCAATGGCTGCTGTGCAACGATGACCGCAAATGGAAATGATCGCTTGAAGTTGTTCATAATTGAACTGATAATCATCTTTGCTCAATACATTAGCAATCGCATTAAAAAAATACTGCAAGACGCTTTCAGGCAACTTTTCAACTGTAGCTGATAATATTGGAATTGCATAATGAATATGGGTTGTAAAGACATGTTTGGCTACCTTTCTTTAGTATTGACCATAGCCTGCATGTTTTCTTACCTTGTTCATCCAATGGCCCAGAAAATAAAGGAGTTGAGAATATAATCTTGTCCAATGAATCCAACTCGAGTTGATCAAACAAATCAGCGAGATCAATGCGAGTACCTACATCTGATTTGCTAAACTGCTCCAAGGCTAAGCCAAAGCTCGTCATGGTTTCTAGGTTATCTTTTTGTTTTGAAAAATCAGTGTATTCCTTCAAGAGTCGAACATGAGGTGCATTAGGATCCTTAAGTAAACCTTGTTTACAGATATCTGACAGTACAAAACGAATCAAGTGCTCGCGTATGCTTTCACCATGTGTCTCCACCAACTAAGACAGTATGAGTGTTAGGATTACATCTAGCTAGACTTACTGTTTTGATTTCAGTTGACTTTCGAGCAAAGTTATCTTGGTTGAGATTAGAAATCAATAAGGTGACTTGGGCTTTTACAATGCGTATAAGACTTGATTGTTGAGATTGTGTTGTGCGGGGTTGAGGAGAACTGGGTATGTCTAATTCGCTGCTCATTATGAAAGGACGATAAGCATGCTGCTTTTTCTTCAATCTCGAAATAAAAAAGAAAAACGCGTTTCCCATAAAACGTCATCTTTCCTCCTTGAAAACCCCGCTGGATTTCTTCAATGCAAAAAAAAAAGAAACCGCCGTTTTTTTATGCCAAATCAATAAGATTGTTTAATGTTCTTTTTTTTAAAAGAGAAAAAACATGTATTGTATCGAGGTACTCGCTTAAATGTATATCTTGGCTATTGTATTTCTCGAGAGAATAGGAGTATTTCTTTTATGATTTTGTTCTTGCATTTTCATGCAATGTCAAATACAATATCTCTAAATTTAGAAGGTGTAAAATTTTTGGCACGAAATTAAAGACTGCAATTCAGACAACTTGTTTATCTGTAGAATGTATAAAAGAGTTATACCAAGCATGCAGGGTGATAGCTATGATTTTTGGAGTTAGTCAGACATTATTCTTTATAAATGCGTATAAGAAAATGCCCGAGATGTTTTCCACAGCCATAATATTGCGATTTCAAACAACATTTGAGATGGTTTTTTGGCACTGCAATACTGAGTACATTGTTTTTTTTTGGTTCTTTTGCCACAACTTTTTCGGTATTTCCTTCTTTACAGAAGTCGCATATTTGGCTTGTCGAATACTTTCCAACCATACAAATGAAGCTACTTCTGTCAAAAAAGTACCTGTACAAAGCCGTTAGGATACATTTCATCAGCTCCAATTCCTTTCCTTGTATACTCGAGAAGAAGCTGTCATTTCCATACGCAATAGTTATTGTGGAAGGCTTTGCACTATCATCGATCAGCAAGGAAGGACAATCTTGATTTGGATTCTTCTTGGCTCTCTTAATATCGGTAGATACATTCTAGTTATACTTTATGAGGTGCTTGCTTATTGCACTTATCGCTTTTTGTTTCTTAATATAAAATTGAAACTTGAGTTTTGAAGACTTGTTCCAGCTAGTGGAATTAACCAACATTTATGTTATAATATGTATACATATTATACCTTTGTTTGCATCCAACAAGAAGCTTTGTTAAGCTTGCTGTACTCAGAGATTGAAGCTCGGTGGTTGCTTTATGTTTTACTTAGATGATGCTTATGAATTTATACAATACTGTGGAATATGCATATATAATAGCGCTAACATTTTCTGGAGACCGGAGGGGTACATAGCTGCAATTGCCGTAGATATCCCAGATTTCGCAGCCCAAATCTTGTATTAAGTGAGAATCTTTTCAAAACTTCAGATATGACTTACATAAGATCTTGATCAAATTGGTATTTCTTCATCAGCCTCAACAAATTTCAAATGTAAAAAATTGGTGAATAAAGAGTTCGTATAGACGGCTCTTGTTACGTATTTAGCCAACGCATTGATAGACTCAACCAGCTTTTTGTCTTTACAGGTATTTTTCAGAGAACTTTTAATGACAGAAGATCCTACTTTTCTGTCATAATTGTGTGCGACCTCCTTCTTGGGCTTCTTATTTGGACATAGCCTGTTTGTAGTTATCCTGTATCTTCCTTGAGTTCTTTTTGTGGTTGCGGTTCATCTATAAACCATAAACAAAAGGAAAGAGAAGAAAATGGCTTCTTTTTTTTTTTTACCAGCTCAAAAAAAATATAGACTTGATTATACTTTTAGACCTTTATCGAAGTCTTCTAAATTATAAAAATAGTTTTATCAAAATGACCAAAATTTTTTATTTTTTTACAAAGCTGATACTTGAAGCACCTGCAAATGGGTTTCCTTTTATTTGGTTGTGTTAACATCTTGCAAAACTTGAGTACAGGGTTTTTGGATGTACTTTATGCCAAAAACATGTCCTATTTTAAAATACTTTATGGTACTATTAAGGTACATTCATATCCAAAGTATGCAAGTTATGTATCTATTGGCTTAGCTAGCTCTTGTTACATTTTATGCTATACATTATCGATCATGGTGGCTTATTTCATACCTTTTGAGACGCAAAATGCCATTCTTTATTTCTTTATTTCTTATTTCGTAATGTCAGACACAGAGAAAATGAGAACAGCAGTCAGTAGGCTCTTTGTCGAGTCAGGAGAGAAAGAAAGGTGAAGAAAAAGGAATGTTAGGCAATAACTAATCATCTCCAGATTACTTGAGCTACTGAAGCTGCGCTTACAAGAATCAGGTTGGAATGACAACTTGGATGCTTACAGTCGTGGTAAGAGAGAGAGATACATAGGATATAGGCTTAATAAAAAATAGATACTGTACGAAACAAAAACTTGCAAAACGCTTCTTTAGATGAATTAACAAAAGAAATGGGAGATTATGGTCGATGTAAGCATGTTTTATTTAAAATGGCAACCCATCCAATACTTTTATAGCAACCGTCAATGAGGTGATTAAAAAGGATTTACTCGAACATATTAAAAAGTTCCTTGATGAGAACCTCGATTAATGAGCAGCAACAGCTTCATTAACCTCTTCCACAACACCACGAATGACAGGCTTTGTTTCCTTCAAATTCAAACGCATTGCCAAAGCATCTTCACCATCAGCATAATACTTTTTCTCAATGTCATGCACACTATCATAATAAACATTAAAATCACACGACATGGGCTGCTAAGAAAACTTACTCAAACTTCAAAGTATCTCTATAAAGGCCAATGGCAGCACGATTGGTTTTACGGACGTGTAGAGAGACGTAATGAGCACCAAAGACAGTGGCCATTTGACTGGTAGCTTGAGTCATCAACTTTTGAGCAATACCAAGACGTCTATAGGTACGCATAACAGATAAAGATGTGATATGGCCATGAGGAACGTCTGTAGGTTCTTCTTCCCTATGTATCTATCAATATCACCATTGTGAATACTTTTCAACTTACATTTTAGCTAATACGTATCCAACAATCTTGCCATTTTCATCTTCAGCAACGAAAGAAAGCTGAGGCCAAGATAAAGCATGGTAAAGGTCTATATGCTATGAGTATTTCAATGCGTATCTACCTTCTTTTTGCTTACAATACTTCATTTGGTAGTTTTCTGGAAGATCCAGTAAATTACAGTTTTGAATATAAATCAAGTCGTCAAGCTGGTCATTGTTAGAACTCAATTAGAGCCAACTAACGTTACTTACAGTTGCTTGTCTAATGCTCATCTTTACACAAAGAAAAAAAAGAAAGAGTAAAAAGCCACGACTGTAACTTGGAGGGGGTATCTATTAAATGACCGATATCAATCTAAACGCGTTTTTTTTCTTTTCTTTTCTTTATTGTACCATGGAAATACAGAATCTTGCTCAAGTAGAAAATGTACTATTTATAAACTAGAACGTATTGTTGACTGTTGTATAGCTTGTTGAGCAACTGTACAGTTCAAGTGATCCTTTAGTCACGAAACAAATTCAAGATCAGCTTCAAACACTCCAAAAACAACCTTTTGCTTGGGAAATAGCCTCTCAGTTACTTTCTTTACAGGCAAGCCAATGTTTTTGACCGAGAATCTTTATTAATATCATTTCTTTAGTCTGACCAGTGCCGTTTCTTTGGTGCTCATACGTTCCAAGTCAAAATTACGCGTGACTGGTAAAGAGGATATGTAGTGTCAAGATTCATGCTTATCGTACGATTTTATAGGGAAACGCTCCCAGAAGAAAAAAGAGAATGGCTTAAAGAAGAGTTACTAGGTTGGATTGTTCGTTTGTGTGGTGGACCTGCTTTTGTTTCGACCAAATTATGCCTGGCTGTAATAGTTCAATTATTTTTAAATATATGTATTAATAGGATGATTATAGTTGATTGCATACGCATTTCATACTGTGCCAGATGAGTGGCCTGATTTTATTAATTCCACTGTCGATGCCTTGCAATTAGGTTCACAAGCCTACAATATACCTACAGATACAGTTCAACTGATCCTGTTAGAATTCCTTACACTTGTACCTGAAGAAGTCACGAATTCGAACCTTTTGGGTGGGCGAAAGTAAGGTAAAACTATCAATGCAATATGGACAAAAAGAATGAATAAAAGATATGTAGGTTGCAACTCATTGGTGAATTAAAAGGAGGCGTCCCGCTTGTCTTGTCAACTGTTTCTTCTCTCTTGTTTGCTTTGGAAACATCTCCTCTTGTTCAACAAAAGGCATTGCGTTGTTTGCAGAGTTGGATTCAATATGGATTTGATTTATTAGAAGCCTATCCCATTCTACAAAAAGTCATGTCTCTTTTGGGTAATGAAGATATATTTGAGCAGGCTGTTGAAGTTTTGCTTGAGTCCATGCAACAGGCTGCTTGGTCTAAATATCAAACATATCGGCATGACTTACTTGCTTGCTTCACAAGTGATGATATGCGACAAAAGTTTGAAGCTTGTATAGCACAAGAAGATGAAGAAACAGCGCGTTTGCTTGCTAAGCTATTTACAACATTTGGTGAGACCTATACAGACTATATTGTGTTGGAATTAGCTAGACCAGATATCAAATGGTTCTTGAATATGATCATGCAATTGACTGGCTATCAAGGTTACTTCCCAATTGATCAAGAAGTGTCTGAAATCCCTCTTAACTTTTGGTATATTATGCAAGAGACATTGTTTGACGAGAATGTATTGCCTGTACGTGAACCTGAAAATAATGAAGACATGGAAAAGAAGATGTGGATTGTCAGTTGTGGTCAAACAGCTTTGGCTATTTATCGGGAACTTGTGAAGATACTGATAAAAAATGCTTGCTATCCTGATGATGCTACTTGGAATTCATGGAATAAAGGTATGCATACATTGAAGCCTTCATGTGTTTACTGATTTTGTTTAGACATTAAGGACAAATTCAAGATTTGGAGACGAGATTTGGGTGATACAATGATCAATCCTTATTATGTTTTAAGGGGAGAAATGCTATCCATTTTGTTGGATCATATGACGTATATCATTGCTCAATGGGATTCTTTACCCGATGCAAAGCAGGCAAGTGTACCTTTCTTTTTTGTCCTTGTTTTTGATCTAATTATGTCTTATATATATACATATATAGTTATTGGAGGCCACTTTCTTTTGTCTAAAGAGCATTTCTGAAGAAATTTCCCCTAACGAAGACGCACATATTCCTCGCTTGTTTGGTCTTGATATCTTGGGTCGTTTTCCTAAAGACTGCGACACACGTCTCACAAATACCTCATTGTTATTGATGGGTAAAAATTAGAAGCATTTTCTTTCTTGAATTATTTGTTTATTTATCATGTCTTAGGTTCACTTGCTGAATGGCTTAAATCACATCCTCAATTCCTAGGCCCTGTTATGAATTACATTGTTCCTTGTCTTAGCAATCCAGTGTTGGCACCTGCAGCAAGTTCAGCTTTTGCTGATATATGTGATAATTGTCGTGCATCATTAGTTAGTGAATTAGATAATCTTATGCATGTCTACGCTGCTATGGCTAATTCTCAAATTAAGGCAAGTTATTTTGTATATTGTATCCTTTGTCTAACAGAGCAATCTATAGGCCAATATCATGCAAAAAGTAGTAGAGTCAGTAGCAGGTGTAATCCAAGTACTTTCTCCTGATAGAGCCATGGCTCCATTGATGGTAATCTATTCCTGTCCCTTCTTGAATCTCATCACCCCCTTTTTATATGTATTAGACTTTGACAGGCGATATCCTTCAAGGTATTTCTAATGCTCTCAAGAACCAAGATCCTCAAGCTGCTCATGATGCTACGCTTGTTCAACTTCAATATTTAACAGCCTGCTGCCGCGGTATTCAATCACCTCATGATGACTATCAATCCTTGGTTGAACGAAACTCGGTCTATGACGCATTTGCAGCTGGACAATCAGCTACATTGTATGCCAACATGGAAGGATTTCATGAAATCACATTTGCTATCCGGGAATCCACAAAGCAAATAGCCCAAGTCTGGGCATCAGACGAAGCCATCAGCAAGGCCCTTTCTACCTTTTTAGACCAAGGCATGCGTTCCACAAGTCCACTTTTAAGCCTGAGGTTTCCTGACCTTGCAACACTGGTAGAAACAAGTTATGATGCAACACCTTTTGCTTGTTGGTTAAGTACAGCTTCTTTAATGATGACAGTCTATGGTAATCAAACAATGCATATGGAAAGGCTACGAGATGTGTTGGCTTCACTGACTACCAAGACATTGGTATTTATAAATGGAACAGAAGGTACAGTTTATCTATTTATAAACAAAATTTGCTCATAGAAATATAGCTATGGAACACTATCCAGATGTTGTTGATAGTTATTTTGGATTATTATCAAGGGTAAGTAACACATTAGGTTTCATCCACTTATATTGGTTAGGCTATCACTCGCTGTCCTTTTGCATTCTATCAACTTCCTTCTGATATGATGGACACTGTCTTTATGTTTACTGTTGCTGGTATGGGATTACAAGAGCGACTGGCCTTAAAAGCAGCTTTGAATTTTATGGTAAAACAGCACCATGTGTTTATGTAAGCTGACTTAGATCTATCTAGTCTGATTTTGTAAGCCAAGATTACCAAGACAATTCACAGGTAGCCCAAGTGATGGATACTATTATGATGAATATGGGAATTCGCATCATGGAACAATTACTGTTGGTAAGTTTTCTTAATGATTTAAACCTGTTTCTTTTTTTTTCTTTTTTAAAATCTCTCCCAAATGGTAGGGAATTGGCGGTCGTGTACCTCGGTCATTTTCAGGTCCGCTTGTAGATGTGTTGTATAAAATTATAGGGAAATATGTTCAACCATGTCGACAATGGATGCAGACCCTGTTGGCCAATGTAAGTAATATGTTTAATTTTATTTATATTAACATAAAATAGGATGGTTTTCCTAGTGCATTAGTCACATCAGCTGATAAGGAAGCATTTATGAAAGGCGTGCTTGGGTAAGAAAAAATGCTAGAATACAGCAAAATAACTCATTGGCTTTGTAGGGCTCGATCACCTAAACGATTCAAGGAAAATACAAACATTTTCTCTATCAAATGCAGAGGGTTAGGCAATACTTCTTTTGGAAAAGTATAACAATAATAATAGTAATATTAATAAAAGGAGAAGTTCAATTAAGCATTGATCAACAGTAGATATATATACAAAAAAAAAAAAAAAAAAAAAAAAAACGCTTCGGTATTACAATTTATCTTAGGTACCAAAACCTAAGCCAAAGCAAGGGTTTATTTCTTGAATGCATTTTACTGTACTGAATTCGGTTGATCGGAGTGTGTTAGCCCATTCATCAATTAATTTACGTTGATGACCATCGAGTGTCATTCATTTTCTCATTTCTCTTTTATGTATGAACAAAGGCAACAGAGAATTGACTTTTTCTTTTAATGGATATGATAAACAAAGAAACAGAGAGTGAGGTTCAAAAGGAAAAAAAAAAGAGGTCCATTTGAATTACAAATATGTTGCAAGATCACACTAACCTTGTGTTGGTGCTACACAAAACAAGTTGATAATTATTTCGTTGTTGAGAATTAAATAAAAATCGAAAAAAGTTTTCTTGTTCTTCTTTTCTTCATCTTGTCGTTGCTCATCTTGCCCTTTTGACACTATGGCTAGTATAGGCATAAGAAGGCCAAATTCGCCTTTGGCGTCAAGTCATATCATGCCGTCACATAACCCTATTCAACTAGCAGCTATTTCGAATTTTAAGTTAGCTCAGCTTACTTTTGCTCCTCCCGACCTTCACTCACTTAGAAAGACAGCGGTTATCAAGAATATGTTGGAAGATGTTTATATCAGTACACCTGTCGAGTGGTTACAACAAATGACTCGTTGGCAGTTTTTTACGCCCGAGTAAGTGAATTTTCTATTGCCTGTTATATAATCAAATTAATCTGTGTTTTATTAGGTCGCTGGAAGAAATGACACAAGAAGGTCTAGAAGAAATATTTGCCCAGTATGCACAGACAATTGAAGCATTTAGACCTGTCAAATCTATTCCTGTTTATCACTATGAAGAAGACGTATTTGATGATGAAGATGATGGTCAAGGAGGAGATGATCTTTGGATTGCAGAAGAAGAACAACCAGTATCTCAATCCAAAACAAATTCGATTGATTCAACCACATCTTCTATTTTTTCTCAACCAAACATGACACTTTCAACCGAATCTATTGCGGAGACACCTATGCGTGCGCCTTCGCCACTATCAGAGAAACCTCTGCCTGCCAATCCAGCCTCATCCAATGACGATACTGCCAAACAAGCCAGAAGGAAAAGCGGATTTGGAGGTAACAAGAACAGGTTGAGTTGGACAAGTGATACTGGTATCACATCCAGTGCTGTTTCTCAAAACTTGGCAAATGAAATCATGAGTTTATTTGATATGGACTTTGCTGTTGACATCAAAGTAGATACAGCACCCAAATTACCTGAGCTGCCATTTAGACCTCGAAGAAGATCACAACAGCGACAGTCCCAAGACATGTTGACAAGCTTAATCCCTGCTTTTGACAAGATTGCACTCGAGAACTCAAGCGAAAAACTTGATTATGATTATCAGCGAAACAATGCACCTCGAGTGAAGCCCAACTTGATGGTCAAAACTGTACCTCAAAGATCTTCTTCTCTTAGACATCGACAACAAATAAAGGAAGCTGCTACACAACCTCCGCCTATTCCTCCACCTACAATACCCGATACCCCCGTTGAAAAGACCTTATCTAAAAAGAAATCCATCCTTCGACTCATTACTGGAAAAAAATCATCCCATCAAAAAGATATCCATCATGGTCTTGAGGCTCAATCTGACACTTCCATTGCTTCCAACAATAATACTGCTATAGTAAACACATCTCGCAAGACAAGTACATCTACAATCAATTCAATTGCCAGCACCTCTTCCTCTTGGTCTTGTGTTTCAGATGCTAATAATGAAACACCTAAAAGACCACAAAAGCCATTGCCAGATCCTCCCTTATCACCCGATATGCCTACTATGGAAAGTGATTCGAACAGCAAGAAACACACCCGTCACCAACATCGTTCAACAAAAAAGAAGAGAAAATCTGTGATGGAAAAAACAATGTCTAAACGCAAGAGTACAAATGGTCTTCAATCTATATCTAATAATACACCACAAGAAAAGGGTCTTAGCCGGTCTAAGTCTGCTTTTATCAAGATTGGCAACCTCAAGAACAAGAACAAGAAACAAATTAGAAGAACATCTTCTGCTAAGGTTTTGACACAGCAAACCTATATAGATGAACCATCAAAGCTTGAGACTCATTTCCAATATCATACTTGTTCTGAGGTCAATCAAATGTATGCTGAATCTTCAGGAGAAATCTCACCCACGCCTTCTCAGAGTTTTGTTAAAAGAATGGCTTCTTTCAGTTGGAGAATGAAGTCTCGCAATAAGACTGTTGAGGTTTAATCCTTGTTGATACCCCCTTTTTTGTGTCTAATTTCGATATATATTTACCAATCAAGCTACAAAAAAAAAGTACTAGTGTGTATATTATATGCGTAAACAAAACACTTTGTATAGCTGAGCGCATATTTACAGTAACACAAGAGAACGGATCACAACTAGTTTAAAAAAATAAACATGTTTCCTAAAGCATAATTCTCCCTCCTTTCTTTCTCACTCTCTCTAAACCATGGCATACAGAAGAAACAGACTTCCATCTGAATTCCTACATCAAGTATCTACTTATTTATCTTTACAAGACTGCTACAATTGTTTGTACGTATGCTGGTTCTGGTACAATACATTTCAAAAAATAGTCTATAAAAAAATCACTATCAAATCAGAAGCTCAATTAGAGCAACTCTTAAGCTCTCTTGAGTTCTCTAAAAAGCTCTATGAAAATTATGATTTTCAAAACGGTCTTTTGATAAGAGAGCTTTATTTAGACGATACTGTCCTGAAGCGTCAAGTCCATCTCTCTCAAAAAAATCTAGAACTATTAGCTAGTTTTTGTACTGAATTAGAAGTATTCAAGTTTGATATCACTCAATGGAAGCATCTCACACTTCCAAAGACAACATCATGGAAACGTATACGGCAATGTGCTCCTGTTTCTTTCAAGAATTTTGATTCAACATTTCTTTCAACGTTCAACGGGTTAACGCATTTAAATATCAAATATGAGTGGGAGGAACTGCGTACACTTGTCACACAGATTGGCGTTGTGTCCACATTACAAGACTTGACCTTGGAAATCATTAACGACTCAACCGAAGTACTTGTATCTCTGAGTCAGTGTTTACAAACACTGCATGCGTCAGTACCTCAACTAAAGCATTTTACGTTTATTCGCAAAAAGACACCTCATCAGGAGTCAACTTCCGAGGCATCACATGATCCTGCATTCTTATTGCCTCTTTCAAAGCCATCTCGGCTGAAAACACTTACATTGCATGGACATGTAGACTCAGTCAAATGGTTTGATTTTATTGCCAAGAGTTATCTCGAATTAGAAGACTTAACATTAACACAATTGAGCACTAGCCAATTTGGTACTAAATGGATGTGGCAAGGTGCCTTGGTTCATATGATACAATCCTTGCCTTCTCTCAAGTCACTCACACTTGGTGGCAAAAATATACCACAGCTCTTCTCTAAAGGGTTTGCTCTGGAACTCAAGAAATCAACCTGCCCAATAAAAGACCTGTATATTGATTTCCATACGTATCAAGCCATTGAATCTTGTCAGTTTCTGATGGTCGTCGCCTCTCATGGTATTCGCCAACTCAAGCAACTTAAATTACGCGTATGGGAGCAAATTCCTGGATGGTCTGGCGTGACATCAAACCTGTTTCAATGCCAACAACTTGTCATACTTGAACTGTCTTTGTCAAAAGGATTAATGGATCAGTTTCCTTATACGCCTTTTCTAATTGACGACTTTTTGGATCATTTGCCTCAACTGCAAGATCTTGTTCTTACAGGTGCTCAAGTGCAGGTCACTTACAATCATTTTGAGGATCTCAACAAGGAAGATAGACAGTTTGCTTTACGAAAAATAACTCTTTGTCAATCAAGGCTTGAAAACCATGAAACAATATCGAAATACCTATCTTTTTGTTGTCCAAAACTAGAGCATGTCGTGCTTGAGAAGTGTGAGATGGACAAGAAAGCAAGATATCAACAGCACGTATCCTTGAACAATTGCAAACTCTTATTCACCTATAGCAGATTGGAAAAGATAAAGCTAAGTTCATTGTTGTTATATTTGAGTACTATGCAAACCAACGACTATATTGGCATCAATCTGGTAACAAATGAGGGAAACAGTGCTCTTGTTTGGCTCAATATTGACAGATCAAAAGGTGCGCTTATTTACCCTACTTATGAACTCTGCGAGGATCAAGAGAAATGCATAGAATTGACAGATCTGCACACAAAATACCAATCTACAAAAGTTACTGCTGAAGTGATGCCATGCTATTATACTCCTAACATTGGTGTCATTACTTTACATTGTAAATCAATGCCTTTTGACATTTCTTTAGATGATTTAAGAATACCATCAAAAATGTTTAAAAAGTTTTATTAAATTAAAAAAAATTAACAAATGACAGATATAACTTTTCCTGCTGGCTTACGCATTGTGTAATGAGCAGGGACGACAAAGAGATTTCCTTTGCAGTCTTGATCAGTCCACATAGCACAATGACTACTTCCAGTGTTTTGAACATATTCAGCTTGAAATTCTTGAGGATATTCTGTGCATCGATGATCCGCACTAAGAACACCGGATCTTGTTTGTTTGTCAGAAGTGAGTAAGACAATGCCTTCTCCGGAACCGAATATAGCCAAGGTAGACATTGGCAACACAAACAATATAAAAGACAATTGGAACTTCATTTTAAAGATGCAATGAAGAAAAGAAAGTCTAGTTTATTTTGATTTGATTTATAACAACAATACATGGGGGTTGAGCAATAGAAACCCCTATAGTTTAATACGATGTGAATCTTCAACTACTTTAGGAGCCTTGTATAAGCGCAATAGTAAACTGGAACAGACCACACTAACGCTAGACGCAACCATGGCAATTCCGGCAATATAAGGAGGTAATCCTGCACCTGTAGCAGGGTACAAAACACCAGCAGCTATAGGAATGGCAATAGCATTATAGAGAAAAGCCCATAAAAAGTTAAATCGAATACGTCGAACAACAGTTCGAGAGAGATCATACATTGTCAACAAGTCCATCAAGTTACTTCTGATAAGAACAATACTTGCAGCTTCAATAGCAATATCTGTGGCAGAGCCAACAGAAATACTACAAAAAAATGAGTCAAATTTACTTGATTAGCTACTAACTTACCCCACATCTGCTTGTGCAAGAGCAGGAGAATCATTGATACCATCACCAACCATGGCGACGACTGCATTTTTATGTTTCTGGCTTTTTTTGTAATGCTTGCTAAATCGGTAAGTTCCATGAAGAGTATCGTTTGGTCGAATGCCTCGTATTTGAAGGTTTCGGATTTTATCTGCCTTTTGTTCGGGTTTTACGCCTGCCAATACATAATCTGAAGGAATACCCAATTGTTTGCCAATGACGCGGCCAGTACGTTCGTTATCACCCGTAACCATCCATACTTCAACGCCTCGCTCACGTAGCTCGCTAATGAGTTGTGTGGCTTCAGGACGAGGAATATCCGCAATAGCTAGTTGAGCAACCATCATGGTCTGAGAAGCACTACAACAAAGGGAGTTGGTAGCACAATTACAGACATCACAAGCACATGCGTCTTTGCAACCATCTTGATGGTTGTCAGAAGCAGAGAGTTCTTTGTCGCTGGTAATGGGCGAAGCTGCTACTAGAACAATGGATTGACCAAGGTTTTGCCAATCCGTCAATAAATTATGACATGCTTTGGCTTGACGTGAATGTTTATAGCGAGCATGGTTTTCGTCCATCCATTCCTGATTACCCAAAAATATATTTAATGCACGCACATGCTTGAGTTTACCCGTCAGGTTTTCAGAAAGCTCTGGAGTCAACGTGATGGTTGCCAACAAACCACGGCCAGGAATTTCTTGAGCATTCTTGATGGTTACACCTTCGAAAAGTTGGGCATTTTGTTTAGAATAGGTTTCTTCGTCTTCTTGCTCCAAGGCATCCGTATTATTGGTAATCAGCTCAGTATCAGATACATGAGGATCTCCCAATAGTGTTTGAATGACAAAACGTGCTTTTTTCTCGATAGATTTAGAGAGTGGATGGTTACTTGCGGACCCAACAGAACCTAAAATTTTCCAGATAGCAATTCGTTGACTGGTGTTATTTTCTTTTGCTTGTTGCTGACTTGTTTGATCAATCCAGGCATGTGTCACAAGAGGCTTTCCCATAGTCAAAGTACCTGTCTTATCAAATGCAACAGTAGTGATTCGATTGGCCATTTCAAGAGCATACCCACCACCTTTGACAAGCACACCATATTTAGCAGCAACACCAGTGCCCACCATGACAGCTGTCGGGCTAGCGAGACCTAAACCGCAAGGACAAGCAATCACAAGTACAGTGACAGCAAGCATTAAAGAAAAAATACTTTTACTTTCACCCATAGGTACCCATGTATCAGGGTACAAGTCTTTGATACTCATTACTTCCCAAACAATAAAGGTAATTAATGCTAGTAGGATTACTACGGGTACAAACACACTAGAGATATTATCTGCTAATTGTTCAATAGGTGCCTTGGGAGAGGCTTGAGCGTCTTGTACAAGCTGAATAATACGAGAAAGTGTTGTATCGGATCCCACACGAATAGCACGGATATAAATAGGCGCACTCGTGTTAATTGTGGCTGTTATTACATTGTCGCCTTCTTTTTTGGTTACCGGGACAGATTCACCTGTAATCATGGATTCATCAGCAGCTGAAGAACCTCTCCAGACTTTTCCATCACAAGGAATACGTCCACCAGCGTTTATTTTGATGATATCACCCACTAAATTAAAAGTAAGTACAAAAAGTATCATTATATCAAGCAGCTTACCTTGAATATCTTTAGAATCGATTTCCTTTTCTGAAATTATTTCGGGAGAAGTATCTGTATTCTTTTGAGAAATTTCAATCAGTATTGCTTTTTCTGGCTGCAGATCCATCAACTTGGTGATTGTTTCAGCTGTTTTGCCCTTGGCCAAAGCCTCTAGCCATTTACCAAAATGAATAAATGTAATCAATAACACAGAAGTTTCAAAATAGTTTAGACTCATAGCTCCAGCCGTTTTTCGAACCATGGCAGCGATCACAGAAGCGACAGAAGCGAAATAAGCAACAGTGGTGCCCATAGCCACTAACGTTTCCATGTTAGCCGTACGCGTATATACCAAAGACTTGTAAGCTTTGATGTAAAAAGGCATACCAAGCCAGAATTGGACTGGCGTAGCCAACAAGAATAGGATTAGATCGCCAATTGATAGACCATGCACAACTTCCTTCATGAAAGCTTTGTGAATTGGATGTGATGTTGATAAGGCCATCATAAAGATCATGGATATAAGCACGACAGGAACAGCGAATAAAAGCGACCACAAAAACCTTGTCCTAAGTACACTTAATTCTTTATCCATAGAAGCACGCAAGGACTCCCTCTGCTCAGAAATAGTAACGCCTTGTGCTTCTTGAGAAAGCTCTGCTTTGTAACCAATTTGTTCTATCATTTGAGCTAGAGAGCGAGCACCAACCACACTAGGATCATGCCGAATCACAGCAGATTTTGCAAGCAAATTGACTTGGCAGCTAATAACACCGGCTTGCTTCATCATGGTGCGTTCAATATTAGCAACACAAGAAGAACATGTCATACCCGTAACCACTAAATGAGTTGATGCAAAACGATGGCTCTTATGACTTGATATACTGGCTGTGTCATCATTGTCTTGTGTTGTTATTTTATTGATCTTAATGCTTTCTGCGTTGAAACCCAGTTGCAAAATAGTTTGATGAATTCTTTGACGAGTGATAAATTCGCCTATGTATTCGAAGCTGGTTCGACCTGTATCAAGATCTGATTGAATTGACTTGCTGCGAATCCCATGCAATTTAGTCAATGTATGATACACCTTCTCAATACAATTAGGGCAGTACATGCCGGTGATCAGCATGTCCGCTCTATAGACCGTGCTCTTGGCAGTTGTGTTTTCTGTTGGCTGATAATCAGAGATAAACACTACATTTCCTGCCGTGTAGCCCATCTTTTTGACAGCTTGAATGAGCATCTTTTCATCAAGTGTTGCGCCATAAAAAGAGAATGTACCTATATGGGTTAACAAGTTCACTTGAACAGAAGAAGGATTTACACCAGGCAGTTTCTTGAGGCCTAGTTCAATAGTACGTACACAACTAGCACAAGTCATGCCCGAGATTTGAAATTTGACTTTATGAGGTATAGATACTGTTTGGCTTTCAACAGAAGCAAGCGAGACGATTGAGTTTTGACGCTGTTGACGAGACAAAAGCACAGCAGGTGGTGCCAAGTTACGAATGATTTGAACGTTTTCAACATCAAATCCTCTTTCTTCAATCACAGTATGAATCAAGTCTACGTCAGGACGTGTGCAGATAAACATGGCCATCTCTGTCTGCAAATTGACATGAACAGAGCCCGCTTGAACATGAGGAATTTCGTTTTGAAGAGCGTCTGTGACGGAAGCAACACAGGAATGACATGTCATACCTAAGACACGCATCACTACTTTACGTTGTTTTCCATCATCATCATCTTCTTGAAGCATAGGCAATTCTTCATCCATGGGTATAGATAATTGACTGGTGAATGATTTAGATAGTTCTTGATAGGTACCTTTCTTGATTTCTGGTTTCCCATTCAGATCATAGCCAAGATCTTCAATTAGCTTTCTTATTATTTGCGTATCAATCATGCTGCCTTCGAATGAAAATGCAGCTTGTCGTCTCTCTAAGTTCACATCAACAGAACCAGGAAGAACACCAGGTAAGCCTTCTAGAGCATTGGAAACAGTCTGAATGCAATGCTGACATGTCATGCCTGAAATAGAAAACACCACATGCTTCATGCCATTGTTTATTTCAGTAGATGTATCGTCTGTATCAAATAAAATATGACCAACATCATAACCTAGATTCTCAATGGTTTCCTGAATCTGTTCTTTTGTCATGCTAGCATATTCACATTCCATGGTGGCTTGTTCCTTGTCTAATGAGACCTCTACGGATGCTGGGCGGACAGAAGGGAGTGCTTGTAATGCTTTCTGGATGGTATTGGTACAATGTGAGCAAGTCATACCAGCTATAGAAATGATGACTTTTCTTGGTTGAACTTCTTGAACCTTGAGAGTATCTTTGGCTTTGTTAAAGAGTTCTGGAGTATCAGCATCATAGCCTAAGTCTTCAACAAGTTCTTTAAAGGAATGTTGCAATTCTTTATCGGTCTTGTTTTCGGCATTGTCATAGTCAAACATTGCTTCAGCATCATCTAAGCTGACATTAATAGTTGATGAATAAACACCAGGATAAGATTCAAGGGCTTTGGTAATGGTATTGACACAGTGCTAAAAAATATCATAGTTAGTTATAACATCTTTCTAATGAAGAGTCATCATACCCCACAAGTCATACCAGTCACCCTGATCTTGACATTATAATGAGACATGCTTTATTCGAAACCAAGTTCTCTAAAGACAAATAAAAGAAAAAAAGTAAAAGAATATAATAAGAAAAAAGATGTATTTATGCGATTTGATTCAAGTCAATCTCGAAGTCTTAAAAAGGAAAGTGACTTGTTATTTTATGTCAAGGTGCGCACTTTTTGCTGCTCCAACGTAACAAGGTCCGCATCAGGTGGAGGTTGAATATTCTTACCACACAAAAGAAATACATCATTCCAAACTTCGAAAAGATACATCTACATTTTACTGAAAAAAAAATCGTATGGAAAAAAAAATATTAAATAAGCAAAGCAGAGCATGAGATACATAGATAATATTAGATTGTTACTTACATCAGGCTAGAAAAAGCAGAGAATAGAAGGGAGATAAAAGAGAAACAAATTAGTAATAGGTATGAACCAGTATATGCAAAATAATTACACGGATATAAGGAAGTAGTTGAACACCAATATCTTGTCAATTGCATTCATACTACTACACAATATGACCAGCCAATACCAAGCTGTGCTTGATGCCAAAGGCTATACCACCAAGTACTGTTTATATTATTTTAAAATAAACATCTCATCAAATCATCAACAAAAAGCTGAGCGCGTTTAAGTATCACCTTGGAATATTAAAGGGCTCTTGGATCATGATACCTTCGCTGCTGAGGTCGAACGACAAAAAACTGGGCTAATTTTTATTTCAGATTAGTGTATAATCGTAAAGCATAATGATCGACAAGTTCCTACAAGTTAGCATAGACAGGAACCGAACCCTGCTTTTGGAGAAAATTCAAAAGTCAAAAAGTCTCGAAAGATGAGTGATAAACAAAGCAAAACACCTCTTCAGTGATAAATCATAACAACATGAAAAAAAAAAAACTACATTCATCAAGAGGGTCTTTGTTGAGCTACTTTTCTCTTGCAACAAAATAAAACAGAAGAGAAGCGAGGCTGAGTACATGACTTTTTCTCTGGGTTACAGTTAGGTGCTTAGCAAAATTTCCTGTTCAAGTAAGATCTTTTGTTATAAAAGAAGCTAAATTCTCTTTTTTTCTTCTCTTCCTTCCTTCCTTGCCAAGTCAATCAATATGAACTTTTTTTCGAGCTCTGAAAAAAGAAAATCGCACCAAGACGATGCAGGATCAGATAGTGGATCCATTGTACAAATAGAAGGAACAAACTTTAATCGAAACGATATTCTGATTTGCGCTACCAATGGAAAAATATATGCTCTTCATAAACGTGATGGAAGTCGCCTATGGCGTGCCAAATTCCCTACAAGCGCTTATGGCAATATTGTCTCTGTATTTGTCACAGATTATGATGATGTGATTGTGGGCGCAGTTGGTAAAACTGCTTGCATGAAACTCATGACGGGTGAAACTAAATGGATTAATAAAATGCCTGTAAGTATAATATCTACGAACCACAATGTACTGACATAAAAAAAAAAGGGATTTGGAGCAGAAGAAGTGTCGGTCATTACTACACCGAGTCGGTTTTTACGTCCTTTAGAAATTACAAACAATCCGAATGCATTACCTCCTAGCTATGGGGAAGAAAGAGAAGCTTTGGGAGAACCCATTGTGTTTGGATGTTCACGAGGCAAAGTCATGGCCATGAACAGTCGGACAGGCGAAAAATTATGGGAGTACAATTGTCCAGGAGGATGGTATAATGTACCTGTAGCCCTTGTTGAGCCACCCAGTTTAGAAGCAGGCCGTCCTTACCAATTGATTTATGTTGGTTCAGGAAAATGGGTATATTGTTTACGTGCCACTACAGGCCAAGTGATGTGGAGTGTGAAGGTGACAAACGCTATATTTACCTTGAACTACATAGCATTGGCTACACCATGGAGTTCTCGATTAGCAGCAGAATCCCATACTGCTTTTAGTCAGAATCCAATTGCTCAAGCAAGAGATAATGAGCGAAAAAATGAATAAAGTATGTTTTTATTACTTATCCATGATGAGATGGGTGAATAGAAGGGTCAGGGTGATGAGATGGATGAATGGAGGGAGCAGCATGATGGGAAGGATAAATAGAAGGAGCAGCGTGGTGTGAACCTGGAGGAGCAATTGATCCACCATCATCAATGACAGCTTCTCTATGTTGATGGAAATCTTCATGAGCTTCTTTGCCCTTTACAGCGGCAGTGACATGGAGAGCAAGTTCATAAGCTGCATTAAAAACAAATTGCCATATCAAGGAAATCAAGAACACAACAATCACCATGGCCAATAAGACATAGACATAAGTGGGAAGGGTGTATTCTATCATGTGACGTGGGTTTCTATTCAACAAAGCTTGTGGACCAGCAATGAAGCCTGTACGTGCCAAGCAATCGATACCAAACATGAGAATATAAGCACCTACAAAAGAAGTAGCAAAGAACAAAGCAGGTCTTAAAGCAGCCCATATCAAGGCAGCACAAACAAGTGCCATACCGCCTATAAAGCAGTATCTTCCAATAAGCTAAAGAGAAAAGAATAAATACAGGTATGATACAACTCTCAACTCACATTTTCAATTAAGAAATTACTCTTCCAGGTCAAGATAAATACAGCAAATAAGAACCCACTAAAGGCTATCCAATAATAAAATGAGCATGTGTATTGTTCAAAAAGAGAACTTACCTCCTACAAGATAAAGAGCAATGTTCCAAAGGAAATAATAAACAATGGCACCCACTACACCTACACCTGCAGGAACAGTGATCATTGTGATTTCATCTCGACTGTATCCTGCTTCTGGCTTTAGGTTGGCTAGAGCGATCCAGGTCATGGACCCGAAAGTTAAGAGTCCCATGACACATAGCATTAGTTTAGACAATCTAAATCCAAAAGAACACAAGAATAGACCCAATGCAATCAATACGGCACCCAAAGCCGCCATTCTAGGAGAGATTCCAGATTCTGTGCCATAAACAGCAACTAAACAAAAAAAAAACATTAAGCGTTATCATAGGCACTATATAATTACCTTTCCATTCTGTTGAATTGGCAAGGATGAGATCATTTGAAGGTGTGTCATTACCATGGTGGCTTTTTGATGTTGATGTTGGGGAAGCTGTTGATGTAGTAGCTGTCGTTTTTGTTTCAGTTCTGGTGAGGGTAGTATGATGTAGTTCGTTTAAATCATCTTGTCTCTTTATAAGCGAAGGATGAGCGTGTGTCAATACAATACAGGAAATAAATGCTAAAAAGAATAGCCAAAATGTCGAATATTTATTCATGAAGAAAAGAAGCAAAAGAAAGAACAGATTGACCAAATCCTTGTTGGTTTAAATGACATAAAGAGGTACGTGATACATAACAACTTTGATCCCTTTTTTTCTATTTTTAGCAAGTCAAAATCAACATAGGACCAAGTCATCCCGGGGGAAAAGATTGTTTACTGCTTGAAATCGGCTGGTAAGGAAGCAGTAGTTCCGAGTTTGGCATCATGCCATAACAAAGGACAGATAATTTGGGTGTCCTGGAGCTTTAAGCTATTGATATAAGCCACACTGTCCTAACTTACGTTTTATGTTTTCGAACTTGAATAGCAATAGGTCTTCTTTATCTTCATCTATTGATATGTACAGAAAACAAAAACTATAAACAAAACTCCCTTTAGAACTCAGTTTCCCAATGGAAACCGTGAAGAATTGCCTGAAGTTCAAAACGAAAGAGCTGTTGTGTATAATTTCTCTGCTTGTAATCTTGATGTTAGATAAAGAAAATGAAAAGCTAACTGGAGTCCTCCATATCAGAATCAAAAAACGCTTGGGTGCATAATACTGTACAAATTAACTTTTTCCATTCTTGAGCAAAGGTATGGGACCAAAGAGTAGCATTTGATTGACCCAAAAGTAGCAGTGCTTGTATTGCAAAGGATTAATGCAACATACGCGCTGTTCTGTAGGTGTCAAGTACGATATGTATTTTGATTACAGAATCAAAAAGAACATCTATACTGTTAAGCTCAATGGCCTTCATTCATATGAAATATATAAGCGTATCAAAAGCTTTTATGTTTTTGGCGAACACTCCGTCCACTCCTGTTAAAGCTTGTAGGTTTTGCTTTGTTACTTTAAGCCAGCTTTTTTTTTTTTTTTTTTTTTTTTTAGGTTTGGTAACCTGCAAAATCCAATAGCATGTTTTATTCAAATGGTATCATATAATGTCTAAAATCGTATATATATACATGGCTTATTTTCTTCGTTTAACATCTTCAATGAGGCGAACATAGTCATCTTTATAGTGCTGCTTATGCGAATTCAAATCTTCATTTTTACGCTTGAGTTGGTTGTTCTTTTCAGCCAACATGGAGCTCTCCATTTTCTGCAATCTTTGTATTAAGACATGGGCACTAACTGGATTTTCAGAATCATTGTTTGCATTCCACATCGTTACATATTCTGTGTGTCTCCACATCATTTGTTTTCTATCACCATGATCTGGTAAATTCAATGACTAACAAAGTAAGAGACATAGTTTGTGAAATAAAAACTTACTCTTAAAAGCGCTTTGATTTCTTTGTCCTTCATGACACCAAATACTTGTTTGATAGGCTTTGGTCCTAAATTTACTGATGCTTTTCTAATAGAAATATGTAAATAAGCGTTTCTTGTAGTTTAAACTTACTTTCTCATTATAGGCAGGGAGTGTGTAGGTGGTGCATTACTACCCGAAGCATTTGAGTTGAGGACAGGAATAGATCTATCCCCTTTTAAACATCGATCTACATGAATATCCAATACTCCAAATGCCATTTGTTGTTGGCATATAGGACATACAACCATTGATGTTCCTTTTTTTTTCTTACATAAGAATACTTTTCCTGATTGTTCAACTTACTATTTAACTCAATTTCTTTTGGAGACTGAGGTGCAACGGGTTTCAGTGGAGGATGTTGCAATTGAGGTTGCATAATGCTTTGTTCCTGTAATTGGGGTTCTGCATAATTAAGCTTGGTCTGTGAGCTTAATCGTGTAGATCTTCTTGTAGATGGTTGACTTTGAAATTCGTCTTCACTATCTTGAATAGAAATACTTTCCACTTGATTTGATGGTACTTGATCTACATTCATAGTGTCTTCTTTATCGAGTGTCAATAAATGATGCCTAGATAAAATAGATAAGCTACATGTCTTTCGCAAATAAACTACCTTGAGTCTTTCCAGGATCTGACAACGTTATCCAAATCATAATTATGAATAAGGTTTTTTTCTACTGCTTCCTTTCGACACTTTGGGCATTTTTGTTCGGTGGAAAGACTGCGGCGTATACAAAGAGCACAAAAAGAATGCGAGCAAGTAGAGAGTATCATGGTTGTATTAAACAATTCTTTACATATAGGACACCTCAAATGCTCGTCTAGTATTTGAAGCTTTGTGGTTTTGAAATCGGTAGGATCGTCAAACCCTGCTTCTGTAGTGGCCATGGACATGTTAAATTAAAGAAAACAAACGCGACTGTAGAAAAAAAAACTTTTTTTAAAAGCACGCGTTTGATCTGGATTTGATTGGATTGAATTTTTTCACTTTAAATGACAGGAGAAATTATCATACAAAATCGTTTTATTATAGACCATCTACCATACAAACCAGACCTTCATAAGCGAAATAAAAGACAAAGAAAGTAAGGTGTTTTGTATCTATAGAGACCTTCTCGACCGTTACACGAATTCGTTTATGTACACTAATTAATATTGTACTTTACATCCCGCAAAATGATTAAATCTTGTCAATTCCCTCTATATGTCTTTTTTTTTTTCTTTTTCTTTTTTTCTTTCCCGGTTTAAAATAAATAAAAAATTGAAATGGGCTGCTGTGCATCCGTCGAAGAACCTGATAATGCTGGAAGGCTTAGAAATGAAGAGATTGATGGTCAGCTTCGCATGGAAAAATTAAACAATAAGAACGAAGTCAAACTTTTACTTCTTGGTAAATATTTCTTGCAACAAATGCTTTATTAACCATGCTTCTGACTAGGTGCTGGTGAATCAGGAAAGTCAACTATTCTAAAGCAGATGAAGCTCATCCATGATGGTGGATTCACTCAAGAAGAAAAAGAGGCGTACAGAGAAATTATCTTTAGTAACGCCATCCAGTCTATTCAAGTTTTATTGGAAGCCATGGAAAATCTCGATATTAATCTCGATAATCCAGAAAATCGTGATTATTTTGAGTTTATTATGGATCAAAAACAACAGTTCAATGACACTTATTCTTTGTCACCCGAGGTAGTCAAGGGCATTAAACATTTGTGGGAGGATGCTGGTGTCCAAGAAGCACATAGAAGAAGAAATGAATTCCAACTGAATGATTCAGCTTCATAGTAAGTTTATATTTTACAACATCTTGATCCTAATTGCCACTTTTAGCTACTTTGATTCTATTGAGCGTATAGGTGATCCAAATTATTTACCTACCGATCAAGATGTACTGCGTTCACGTGTTAAGACTACTGGAATTGCTGAAACTAAATTTGTGTTTGGTACACTGACCTACCGAATGTTTGATGTGGGTGGCCAGCGCTCTGAGCGTAAAAAGTGGATCCACTGCTTTGAAGATGTTACTGCTATTATCTTTTTGGTAGCCATTTCAGAATATGATCAAGTCTTAATTGAAGACGAGTCTGTTAATCGAATGCAAGAAGCCTTGACCTTGTTTGACTCTATCTGTAACTCAAGATGGTTTGAAAGAACTTCAACTATTCTTTTCCTCAACAAGACAGATTTGTTTAAACAGAAATTAGCGTACAGTCCATTGGAAGAGTATTTCCCAGATTACAAAGGAGGTGATGACTATGAAAAGGCGAGCAAATATATCATGCAACGCTTTGTTTCTTTGAATTCCTCAGCCGAGAAGCAAGTCTACACACATTTAACTTGTGCTACTGATACAGAGCAAATTAGATTTGTCATGACAGCTGTAAACGATATTATCCTTCAAGCAAATTTGCGAGATAATGGTCTTATTTAAAGCAAATACCCTTTCATACCTTATATATATATAATATTCTTTAATACTAAAATAAAAATGGTTGCTTCAAAATATACAGTGGACGCAGTGTCAAATTTCAATGTTCTAAACTTAATTGCGGAGACGTAATTGTTTAAATTGCGCTTTTCTTATCAGTAACTTTAAACTTGCTAAGATTTTGACAGTCCTTTAGCTGAACTATCCTTTGTGAGCAATTTATCTAGATTAATAATTGCTCTTTAGAGAGTTCTCATCATTATCATGAAGGCAAATCAATATTATATACACTTATCCTTTGTTATTTCAGTATGAGGATAAGAATCAACAAGTATAAATAGGAGACATAATGACGAAATAGATCTCTTTTGGCCATTGTTGGTTCTAATTGGTCACTCGTCTTATTGTTATTGTTTATGCTACAATCAATTTGGGAGAATAATATGTTTAGCTTGTTTGCTTCTTTTTAACTTTTATCTTTCTTGAGTTTATTCAGTTAGAATCTGTTTGATTGACCAACGCTCTACATAATATAGCTTTGCTTTTCTAAAGCAATGAGTTATCGTAAGGCTGTGCAAAGTTCATTCTGTATGGATGAAGGTTACACCCTGCCACCAAGACTAGCTTCGGATGCAGTACAACTACTACCGCCTGTTGTTTCCTCTACAGAAAGATCTGCTGTTGATATGCCTCTAGACGAATGTTTACGTCTCTTCAGAACTGTGGCACAAACAACGTTAATAAATAACATTCGCCATGAGTTGAATACCAAGAAAAGACCGAACCTCAATGCACTGTAGGCCAAATCTCTCAAGGGCAGTATTCCAAGAGGTCTTTATGCTGAGATGGACACTTTGGGTAATTTAGAACTACAAGGATCTGCAAGCCGTTTTACACATGATAACAACCTGCTATTTACGGGAACTAAAGGATACCAAGACTTTGTTGAACAAAACTTTGATACCATTGCTCAATCTATCAAAGATTCTACTTCCGAAGAAGAGGTCTCTAATGAACCAGTTGAGCTTATTGCTGAAGGTCTTCTTCTATAAGATGATGTATTTCAACCACTACCAGCTGCAAAAACCATATTTGCCCAGGACATTGATTTTGGCAGTCAAAGCATGCAGCATAGGCATCGCCTTGCTACTGTGAAGAAGAAGAATATTAGATTGATTGTAGCTGAGAGGGAGTTGTCTGAGTAAAGCCTGCTTAAAGTTGATCAGATCTGCGGCATGGATTTTAATGGCTGGAATGGTTATTGCTATGCCATTCTGCCATTCAATGAAATTCATGTCGCTGTGAAGATCAGATCTTTTACGTTGCCTTCGTGCAAAAAGGACCTTGAGGGTGATATGCTGCTGAATTCCCTGATTGCTTTCTACGAAATGAAGATAATATATAGATATATATGTATATAAATAAGAACAGAAATAACTAACTTGAGAGTGTTTAGCAATCATGGGTAAATACTGCTGCTACCTTGAGAGCCAGCCATAAAGAAGAAGAACAAGAACAAATAATGTTTTTTTTACTCTTAAACTAAGCAGAGGAACTCTTCAATAGATATACCCCTTCAAAGCCTAGCTAATATCAAGATTACACTTAATTAAATCTTCAAATTATAAGCTCTACTCTTTCTGTTGTTTCATTCAATATCGAAAATAATATCGGTAAATAATTTGGAGCGCAATGAGCAGATGAATATCATTTATAAATACAATTAATCAGTTTTAGTATTTTCCATCTAGGTGGCTTAAAGTTGAAATCAAAGCTCCGGGTACACCCAAACTATTCTACCCAAATTATCTGATTTTTTTTTTTTTTCAAAGATCAAATTGCGGATTTCAGTAAGCTTACATTGCAGGTAAGAGCCATCAACGTTCAGTCTATCTTTTTTTTATGTCAGCATGTAAATAAACACATGTTCATGTGACTTATAAATAATAAAAACTTGTACTCTTCACTATTTTTCGCTCTTTTTTTTTTTTATCTCTTTTCTATATTCAGTATGCGCTCCATTTTATTTGTTTGTCTCATGTTGGCTTGTTTGGCAGTTGCTTATGCTGCTGAAGCAGGTAAATAAAAATGATAAATTACCCCTATTTATAAAATGTACATCAAGGCTTCACCAATTATATGCTTGCTCTTAAAGAACCTGTAACTCAAAAAAAAATCAATCAAGCTAAATCAGATATTGAAAAGATGGGTGGTAAAATTCTCTACGAAATTACTCTTGGTATGCATGGCTTCGCTGTTGCTATTCCCTCCAACACTGTGATTGCTATGGACCAAAAGGATTATGTTGAGTTCATGGAACAAGATCATACAGGTAAGCTGATGGTCATGCGTACACAAACAATATTAATTGTGTTCTATAGTTCACGCATTTCAAGACTAATAAAGGATTGAGGTTCTACACAATTAAAGTATACAGTGGCTCAAAATATTCGCTTCTTGAAAATTCAGTGTTCGTTTTTTTATTGGCGGAAATCCGTTAGAGTTGTTGTAGAAGGTTTGATACAGACATTCTCGTCCTTTAGTAATAGCCCAGAATCAATATGATTTGGGCTCAACATAAACAAATGGCTATCTGCCAGTAAATGCGAGTATAAGCAATACATGCACATGGATAATTATCTTGTTCATGAAAAGAGCGAGGTGAGCAGTAGCTGATTCATTGTCTTTGATTTAGATGGCTCTTTCCTTTTTTTACTATTAAGTCTTTCTTTTGTAATGTTTATATAATTTCATGTTTTAATGTCTCAGGCAATCAGTCAATCAAGGAGATGTCCTTGGTCAAGAAATAAAAAAGTGAATTAGTTGTAGACCGTGTACTTGAAAAAAAAAGCACCTGGATCATTTAGAGCAACGAGAGCATTCTTGTTCAAAAACCTTGTTAAGCTTGATGAATAAAACACAACAGAAAGCAAAGTTTATTAATTCTTCTTCTAAATCATTGACATGATGCATCGAGTGAAGTAAGAAATAAAGCAAGAAGCAACTGGTGCGCAGTATGCTACAACTGTAGGTTAGTACAATAAAAAGAACCTTTCTAGTTGATCAAATATCATGTATAGCTTAACCGTTTTATCAAGCTCCACTTCAAGAATGGCAGACTTGGCTAAAAGCTTTTTTTAAGGAAAATTCATTCGCATGTGACTGAAGAAAATGAAAAAGAACTTGTATTTTGTGAGTGCAAAGAAAGTCAAACAAGAAGACACTCTAGTCGTAAGAATCAAAAGCAATTCAATTGAGTGTTTGCTTTCAGAAGAAGTCCAATTCATAACTCAAATTAGATGCAAGCATTATGACAACTAGCTGGGGAGAATGTGTGTAGTTTTTCAATGCTTTCCTAATTATTAACTTTTGGTAGCATATAGCATAGGCCTTCATGATACAACATACTGATTGATGTCTTTTGGTCCTTTCTCTATAGTAATCAAAACAATTGATATTTGCATTCCAGAAAATGCACGCTTAATTGATGCAAGCCTCAAGTCATCACTCATTGCACTTTCAGATGGAAGATAACTAAGCTTTACATTATGCTCTCCTTTCCAGTTTTAGTTATGTGGCCTCTAACAAAATTTTTGTTGAGACTATCTTGCTCAATAGAACGATAACATCTTTATAGAAAAAAATGGGATAAAGTAACAAAAGAGACAGATACGAAAGCATGCCATATGTTCTATTAAACCCTAAACGAGCATGTCTTAAATGAACGCCTTTTCTTTCTGCTCCTATGTTTCCAAACCTTATGAAAGTGATTTTTTTCCCTTTATATAAGATATTCTTTCCCTAAATATTAAAGGCAGAATCAATAAAAAAATGTTTGGGTGCTAAAGATGATAAATAGTGAATAAATTCATCAAAATAGAAGTCTGGCAAATTGCAACGAAAGATACTTTTTGTGTTAATTCTATCTCTGATAGAAATATTGAATACGTCTTCTAAAAAATGTCCATTTGCTTTGAAATGTAATGATGCAATATTCTGAACCATATTCAAGATGTGTATTAAAGGCCATCTTTAACATATCCTGCAATATAAAAGTGATAACTTCGCGGACAACTGTTTCTTTAATTTATTAAATTAAATATCTTATTAAGAAGGTTTGATTCAAATGAGTAATTCGGCAATGCATTGATTATTCAAGCAACTGATACAGCAGGTAAATACATGCTTCAGCAGTGAAAAAGACAGCATTGCATACAAATTTTCTTCTTTCTCTTAGGCACACGAAGGGGATATAAAGTCATTTTGGCCATTTTTCGCAAGTCTCTTTTTTTGGTCCAAATCAACACCAAAGGTGCCCTGTATGTTAGTAAATATGGACTGTAACTATTTAGAGCATGTAAGAAAGTACAAACAGACTTTATATCCCCTTCGTGTGCCTAAGAGAAAGAAGAAAATTTGTATGCAATGCTGTCTTTTTCACTGCTGAAGCATGTATTTACCTGCTGTATTAGTTGCTTGAATAATCAATGCATTCCCAAATTGTTTGTCTGGATTAAATATCTTGTTGAGACATGCTTAATCTATAAAGCAGGTGAGTTTAATGAACTGAATTTGAGTCGAACAAACTTAGTTTTCATGACAATGAATTGTTCTATAAGTATTCGTTTGAGCTTTATAGTCTAGATGGAAATGTGCAATTGAGAGCATATAAAAAATGACTAACTTATTAGCGTAAAATCACCAACGGTGGACTGCTAATCCATCGCAGGCATTAGCTAAAAGCTCCCCCCCCCCAAAAAAAAATGCAGGTTGAAGGTTATTTAACGAAGCTTAAAAAGCCTAAAAAAATTCACATCGGAACGGAGGCGTTTCCAGCTAGTTAATAACAAGATAATGTCATTTCATGTCATTTTATCACATTACTCAAATAAGCAAAATAATAGCTTCTTACCTAGAACATCTTTTCATTTTATCGCTGAGTTTTCTCAAATTTAATGAGAAATACCATAATTAAAGAAGTACTTATTTATCTTTCCGGCTTAAACGTGACTTGATCTCTTTACCCGACCCGAAATAGAGTTAGTATGCAGCACAATATCTATATATATGCTGTTAAAGTAACCTCGTGCTTTTCCATATTTTATTTGTTTTTTTCTATTCTCTTTTTCTTTAAAATATAGTTAGGTAAAAACAAAAAAAAACAAAAGGACAGAAAATGTCAATAGTATGTCAAGAATACAAGTTGAAGTCTAGAGAGAAAGAGAGAAAAAAAAAGGCGTATTTGCATAAATAGACGCTTATCATTGTTTCTTGACACAACCAACCGCGTACGTTATTAACAATCATGATAGGATGGCTGAAATCAGAAGAAAACTCGTCATTGTAGGTGATGGTGCATGCGGTAAAACATGTCTCTTGATTGTCTTTTCAAGGGGAACTTTCCCTGAGGTATGATTTAGCTGTATGGATCCATAGAAATTGACTCCCCCCTTTTTTTTAGCTTTATGTTCCTACTGTCTTTGAAAACTATGTAGCCGATGTTGAGGTTGATGGCAAAAATGTTGAATTGGCTCTCTGGGATACAGCAGGTAATTTCTTGATCTGATCTAAAATTACCCTTTTTATTAATTTAAATTATTTTTCAGGCCAGGAAGATTATGACCGTCTTCGTCCTCTTTCGTATCCTGATTCCCATGTTATTTTGATCTGTTTCTCTATTGATTCCCCTGATTCTTTGGACAACGTTCAAGAAAAAGTAAAGCCAAGAAAAAAAAACACATGTATGTACATTTATTGACTCATCTGTATAGTGGATTTCTGAAGTACTTCATTTCTGCCAAGGACTTCCTATTTTGCTTGTTGCTTGTAAAAAGGATTTGAGAAATGACCCCGCCAAGATTGAAGAATTAAGAAAGACATCTCAAAGACCTGTTACTGCTGAAGAAGTAAGGATAGTATAAAAATAGGTTTCATATTTAATTTTTTTTTTTATCTTTGTAGGGCTTGGGTGTAGCACAAAAGATTGGTGCTTACAAGTATCTCGAATGCTCTGCAAAGTCTGGTGAAGGTGTACGTGAAGTGTTTGAGAATGCCACTCGTGCTGCTTTGATGATGAACAAGTCTTCTGGTGGTAAAGGAGGCAAAAAGAAGTGTCTTATCTTGTAATTACATTAATTTATTAAACTACAAATCAATGGAGGGTTTTGGTTTGAATTTTTTTGCCGCTCTTTCTGCAGGACGAGCAACAAACTGAGGACCATAAATCGTATAATCCTTGTTTGTTTCTTCAATATGTACACTAAAATAACTGCTGTTCTTGGGTATTTCTAGAATAGTTTAAGCAAAATAGTAAATTCATTCAATTGCTTACGCTTTAATTTATCTTGTTTTGTTATCATATTGAATACAGATAATGTTTCTTGAATAACGATGCCTGTGACGCCTACATAAGTTGGATTTGCACTTTGGACAACTATTTTTTTTTAGTTCAATGTAAGGTATAATTTCTTGTTACCTGTCAAAATGGCTCCATGAAAATCTGCTCGGATCAGTTTTTGTTCAAAGTTAGCTTGGCCCTGTGTCAACAATTTGCTCATATATCCTTGCCATAACTTGGCAAGCGGTTCAAACAAACGATATTGATGCGCATCTTTTGGGATATCATAGACCTTGAGTCGTCGTTTTTCTCTTGCTGTCAATTTGCGTTCTTTTTTATTTCTCTGCTTTTTCTTTTCGGCTTTTTTATCTTCTTCTTTAACAAATGTATGCGCTCTGTCGATATAAATTGGCTTCATTTCTCGCAAAACTTTGTCTGCGTCAGAAGTTGGTTTTATAAAGTCTTTGACAAATTCTTTCACTCCTTTCTATAAAAAAAAATGGTTAAATCAAGTAGGAAGATCTCTATACTACTTTACAGAACCAAGCTTACAGCTTGTACTGCCCGGAAGTTGTTGATAGACACTTTCTCCTATTCAGAAAAGGTGAGTATAGAAATCGTGTATGTTAAAAGTTACCTTTATCCATATGAAGAAAAAAAAAGTCTAAATGAAAAGGAAAAAATTGAAACTCTAAAAAAAACAAAGTCTCATTGTTCTTTAAACTCAGGATGAAACGGTTTTGATTCTTGCGCTTTCTCTTCACAATGCATTACTCAGATACAAGATCGTTTGCTTCTTCCATGTCTTTGGAATCAAATAATACCCACTTGAGTCCATGTTCATGGTATTTTCGTGCACAAAGATCAAGTTTATCTCTTGCAATTCTTGTTGCATTGATCCTATTCACGTAAGCCATTGAGCTTGCATATATGTTTATTGATCTTATTCAGGGACATGTTGGTCTATGGCGCAGTTATTCCTTGCCTCCCTTTGCTTGTCTTGGACAAGTTTCATGGTACGCCAAAAGATATTGGTATTTTATTTGGTTGTTTTGGTAAGTTGGAGATACATCATATACATTGAATCTGATGTTAGAATAGCCTGTGGTTATCTTATGGCTACACCTATTTTTGCTGTACTCTCTGACAGCTATAAAAACAGAAGATATCCTCTCATGATAGGCTCCATTTGTTTGATCAGCTCCACTTTGTGCTTTTCTTGGGCAACAAACTACAAGTTATTTGTGATGGCAAGACTATGTCAAGGCGTTTCTGCTGGCGCTTCGTGGTAAAGGAAACAAGATCCAATAAAACACTAATTGTTTGTAGGACAATTGGCTTGGGCATGTTGGCAGATGCATTTCCTAACGAAACGTTAGGCCGTGTCATGGGCACAGTAATTTTAGCGCATACAATAGGGTTTGTTCTTGGCCCTGTTATTGGTGGTATGTTGTATGAGTATGGAGGGATGTCTGCTCCCTTCTATTTCTGTAGTTTCTTTGGCTTGTTGACTCTGTTGGGATCTATATGGATAGCTGAACCCTCTCCAGTTCAACCAACACTAGAAGAGTCCACACCGCTTATGACTTCAAGAAAGAATGAATTAATTCGTTTGGTTCAGCATCGTCGTATTCTTGCTTGTGTCATATGTTGCTTTGTCACGTCCGTTGCTTTAGCGGGAATAGAACCAGCATTGCCCATTTATCTTTCAGAAAAATACCATGCTTCTACATCAACGATAGGAAGTAAGTAATTAGGAAAGAACCAATAATAACAATACAGTCATCTTTGTTTCTTTGGTCATTCCTTGTTTTCTAGGTCTATTCACAGGCTATTTGTCTGATAAAGTAAGGAAATGGTATTCAAATGGCCCCTATTGACGTTGATGATAGTACGGCAGACCTTGGTTTATCGCAACAGGTATGTTGGTTGCTTCGGTTGCTGCTCTCTTGGTCAGTTTGTCTGCGAAGACATCTTTATATGGTATGGTACCTTTTCTTTTTTTGTTGGGTCTGTCAAATCCCATAGTACATACACCTCTTATGCCTGAAATGGGGTCCATTGTTAGTCAAATGGTAAAATTTAAATATGTATAAACAAATAGTAACCATTGTTAAAGAAAAGCACGGCATTTGCTCAAGTCTATGCGCTGTACAACATGGCTTATTCATTAGGCACACTGGTAGGACCCTTGATCGCTGGCATCATCCTGTCTTCCCCTTCCCTTGGTGATACATCTAGTCAATTCCAGATATTGATGCTCATTTTTTCTGTTTTACTTGCCATTTCATTTCCTGCTAGTATTGTGATTATTATGTGCAAATAAACTATTCCATCTGGTATACGCAAAATCCATTGTGTACATTAGATAATACAAACAAACAGATTTATTATTAGAAAGTACCATTAATAGCCCAATTGGCTACATAGGAAAAGTTGGTGAATTCATGTTGCTCTTGGGAAGTCAACATGGCATTCACAGGTGTCAAGATAGGGATCTCTCTTGTGAATTCTTCATCAAAATTCGATGTATCTGCTCTGCCATTTACAATAGGCAAAAAGGGAGGTGCTACTCGCTTCGCTAACATGTCATCCCAATTGATGCCGGCAAAGAAAGGATGGCTCTTTACTTCTTGAGCATCTCCTTTACCTCCACCAAGACGTCTTTCAGGATTACGTTCAAGTAACTAGAATGGCATGAGGGAGAGAAATATAACAGAAAGGGCTTACTTACAGATTCACAAATCGAGACAGAATGCTTAGACATATTGATAGGATACAAGATCTTGTCTTCTAATACAGCATCAAAAATTTCATCTTCATCTTCACCCTTGAAAGGAGACTAATATACACAAGTAAATCAATAGATCGAAAAAGGCACGAACTTACTTGACCAAGTAACATTTCGTACAACAAGACACCAAAGGCCCACCAATCAACAGCACGACCATATTTGTGTTCCAACAAAATCTCAGGTGCCATAAACTCGGGTGTACCACAAAACGTATTGGTTGTATTGTTACCCCACATGTTTTCTTTACAGAGACCATAGTCTGCTAACTTGATATGACCATCAAGGCACAGCATGATATTATCTAGCTTAAGATCGCGATAAATAATGCCGTGTTTATGGAAATACTCAAGAGCCAAAAGCACTTCGCAGGCATAGAAACGAGCACGCGTTTCGGAAAATTGTTCTCGCTGAATTTGGAGCATAAGGTCACCTCCACTCACGTATTCCATCACATAATAGATTCTGGTCTCTGTCTGGAACGTACTATGTAAATTCACAAGAAAAGGATGGCGTTCTTGATTCGCAGTCAAAAAGATACGCTTTTCAGATCGAGTGCTAAGACGCAGGTTAATTCGTTGAGTTCCATGCCATGTCTATACCTTTCTACTTCATCGTTGTCCAGTACAAATCGCTTCTTAAGAATCTTGATAGCATATAGTTCATTCGTGTATTTCTCTTCTGCTAGCATAACTTTACCGAAATTACCTTTGCCCAAGACGGCCAAGAAATTAAAATCATCTAAGCCTACCTTCCGATTGACTTGGACAGGTGTTGTCTAATGTTTCAAATCAATGCTTCATAAGACCTACGAACAACTTACAAGGTGTTGACTAAGTCTATTGTTGTTTTCATGGATATTATGATGGCTAAATAAATGAGTTAAAGACTGAAGGGACGTCACATCATGGTGGAATGATAATGGTCGGCCTGAGGTCGAACTTGATTTGGGCAAGACAGGTGTAGAAAGTGAAGAATGAGGAGAAACAGTGTCTTCCTGAAGATACTTTTGTAGACTGTGTTGTGTGTTGCTTGAAGAGGAAGCAAACAGAGGCTTTTGATGGTTATCCATGGAGAATTGTGCTAAGCTTTCTGAGTGGAATGTACGACGGCGGTTATTGGCTGCTTTCATTTCACTCAACATCAAATTTGCCTTTTCCATTGACATGCCACAGAAATCGGGTACAAGACTGGCGCATTTTGTATGGCACGCAACACCGCATTCTATAAACTGACGTATCAAGAAACCAGTTTGTTGGATAAAACTCACCTTCACACTTCTGTGCTCCTCTGAACCCAAGTGGAAGCATAAATCCACAATGACAACACCAATTGGCGCCAATAATGGTCAATGGTTCAAATCGATGAGGAATACGGTGTTTTAATTCATCCTCATCATGCTCCTATGGTATGTTAACAGCAAAGACAATGGTGAATGGATTCGCTTACTGATTTAGCTGTTCTCGAAATGCAACGGATTACTACTTGAGTATAACATTTCTTATGACATGCCAAACCACAATCTATTGAATATCCCAAATTAACAAAAAGAAAGAAAGAAAGAGACCTATTTAAAGCAATACCTTCACATTGAAACGTTAATTTCGCCATAAAATCACCACATAAAGCGCAACGCATAATATGATAGAACCGTCTTGCAACAAACTGATGGCCGTTCATTTCATGCACTTCTCCTTTTCTTTCACGCACAGCACCTGCTCTTCCCAACTTATCCATAGGACGTCGATTGACATTTTCACGCACAAAGTTAATATCCAAATAAATACGACCTAAAGGCTCCACATCAAACCATGCTGTCACGCTTTCAGGCGCAGGTTTACGCTTATGTGTCGTCTTGTCTTTTCGATCTGTGGTCTGCAAGGTTGAGTCGCTATGTTGCTGAGCAATCTGAGCAGGTACCCAACTCGAATCTTGTTGTTCCAACCCTAATTTCTGTTTACGCAAGTTCTCTGCAATATCAGAAATCTTGAGCCAAAGCAAACCAATAGGCAATGTACGATCACCTGATTGATCATAGATCAACACTTCTACTTCCGTTGCTTTATCGACATGCATTTCAAACTTATCTGACCATTTGTCGTTCTTGGAGGGTCTTGTACGAAACTGAATATTGCCATCAATCTTGATCATCACCACCGTTTGAGGGTCACGAAACATACGTGTAGGTGCATGGGCTAATTCATGTGCTTCAATGATTCTTAGTTGAAGTTTGCCAGTAACTGGGCGACGTGCACCAGGTAAATCACGTACAGGACGCGTTTCTAATTCTTCCAGATGTTTCTCTTGTTCTTGAGCTTCCTGTTCCTCTTCTTCCTCTTCTTCACCTAAATATAAATCTTTGTATTTCTTGACTGCATGGTTTAACAAGGCCATCTTTTCTCTGCTTTCCATCTGTTTCTCTTGTAATTCTGCTTTTCTTCGACGATCCGAGGCTGAAGAAGAAGCAGTGCGTTCCAATGTTTGATACAAGTTACGAATACCTTCTTGTACTTTTTTTTCTACATCGACTTTGTACTCCAATTCATGCAACTTTAAAGATACTTTGGCTCGATTGATAGGTGTATCTGCCTCCAATAGATCTAATCGGATGTCAATTTCCTCCTCCCCCTTTCAAACTTTATATATATATATGTGTGTGTATCTACCTAAAATAGTATATCTCCTCCTTGAATCATCGTCTTCAGAAGGAGGTGTGCTTGTTGAGAAATAAGAAGATAATGTTTGTTCAGGAGAATCAAAAATGGTTTTTTGGACATCGTTTATGCTATTACAAGACTCGGCCTGAACGGGTGACATGGAACTATAGGAGGCGCGACTGCCTTTAGTCTGAAGTCTCCGTAATTCCTCTGTAAAATAGTCAATGTAACGCTGAGACTCTCTTATCTGTGTATCGCACTGTAGTTGAGCATTGCGATCTTTAAGTATTTGACGAAGTTCAATAGCCTTTTTCTTCAAGTGAACATTCTGTTCAATTTTAGACTGAACTTCTTTTATGCGTGCTTCTATTTCCTTTTATTTTATTTTAATTCATGCATGGATATAGCTATGCTTATTACCTCCATAGAAAAGAGCAGTGTATGAAGGAAAAACAAGAAAAATGAAAAACAAGAAAGCAGCGTGTGTACTGCAAGCCTTATTCGGCGATTGAATCATGTAACCATATTCCATTGTGTCAACCCCGTTAAAGGAGACAAGAATAGAATACAAAACCGCGCTTAAAGCTATCCTCATCTAGTCATTGATTTTCTAGTCTCTTTAGTTCTTACCTAAGGATGAATGAAAAAAAAAAAAATAAGTCACTCTCACCATGAAACCCTTCATTCGTAACAAAGTGTTCCCGAAATCAACTGCGGTTAAATGGTCTTTTACCTTCTCTTTTTAAACCGCAGCACTAAGTCACAATACCATCATTTGATTGGTTGAACGACTGCGCCTTCTATAGACGCAAGTGGTGTTTATAAGCAAAAAATTTATTTTTTCGCTTTTTTTTTTCTTTAGAAAAACTTTTTTCCAGCGAAAAAAAATATGGCTGTTCGTAAGTAAATGAACGATCGATCTCGGGCAATGTCGACTAAATAACACATTTTAGGTGCACAATTCGAAAACAGTAACGAGATTGGTGTCTTTTCCCGTTTGACCAACAGTTATTGTTTGGTTGCCTTGGGTGGCTCTGAAAATTTTTATAGGTAAAGTGAATAGAAAAGAGATGTTATCCATATGCTTATATGACATGTAGTGTTTTTGAAGGTGAATTGGGTGATGTGATCCCTGTTGTCCATACCTCCATTGCAGGTACTCGTATTGTAGGTCGTTTGACTGCTGGTAACAAGAACGGTTTGCTTGTTCCTAGCACCACAACGGACCAAGAACTCCAACATTTACGTAATTCACTTCCTGAAAACATTGCTGTTCAACGTGTCGAGGAACGTCTATCTGCTTTGGGTAACGTCATTGCCTGCAACGACTACGTTGCTCTTGTTCATCCCGACATTGATCGTGAAACAGAAGAAATCATTGCTGATACATTACAAGTCGAAGTGTTCCGTCAAACAGTTGCCGATAATGTGCTTGTGGGTTCCTTCTGTGCCTTGTCTAACCAAGGTGGTCTTGTTCATCCTCGTACTTCTGTCCAAGATCAAGACGAATTATCTTCTCTTTTACAGATTCCTTTGGTTGCTGGTACAGTGAACCGTGGTTCTGATGTGATTGGTGCTGGTTGTGTTGTTAACGACTGGTGTGCCTTTGCTGGTATGGACACTACTTCAACCGAATTAAGTGTCATGGAATCTATCTTCAAATTACAAGATGCTCAACCTACAGCTATTGTTAATCAGTTGAGAGATACCTTGGTCGATACTTACTCATAAATCACATCTATATATATACATACACACGCATTTTGGTTTCTTTTTTAATTATAAAAATTGTAATATATACGTACAGATTTCGCTTTTCGTACCTTTTTAAATAAATTTCTGAAGACAGGAAAAGTGCATGATTTTGATTCTTGAATAAGTCTCCTAAAGCATAAACAAAGAGCACTATAAATTGTGTAGAATAAAAAAAAAAGAAGAAACGCATACTTGGTGTGGTCACCTTTTGCTTCTGACCAAGCGTGCAGCATATTCTTAGCCACTTTTGTCAAAGTATCGACTTGAGGTTTTTCGATAGTGTGAACCTCGGACCGTCTATTGTCCATAAGCTTTTGGAGAGCAATTTCAAATATGCTCGATGGAGTTCAGATCAGGACTTTGAGCAGGCCAGTACTCAAAGCACTTAATATGATGAGTGTTCTTCCACTATCGAGCATAGGCGCCCGTGCGACAATTGGCCGTATCTTCTTGCAAGATGAAATCCCTGTATTGAGTTGCAGTGAGCACAATTAACGAAGGAATGTCTGGACTAAGATATTGACATATACATCCTAGTTAAAGGAGTCCTCTTCAACAATTGTCAATGGCCAGAAACCTTCTAGGCCAAAAACACCCCCAGACCATAACACCATTGCTTCCCCATTTTAATTTTGAGACAGTGTGAGCCTCCTCGTATCGCTCACCAATCTCTCGGGGCACTCCTCTGTATGAATTTCTAGAGAGACAAGACATTGATTCTTCTGACCAGATGATATTACGCCATTGGTCATCTGTCCAGTTGATCTTGCTGCTGGCACAGCAAAGTCTTTTCTTTCTCTCCTGTTCAGAGAGGCGAGGCTTCTTTGCTGCCACAAATGATTGAAAGCCCATTCGGTGAATAGCTGAGATCACAGTGTCCTTATGAACATGGATACTCATTGCTGCAAGTTCTTTTTTTGATTTGTTGTAGGAAGCAAAAAGGGATTCTTCTGAATGATACAACCAAGGTATCTCTCAGCCCTCTCATTAATCTTATAGGGCTTCACGGTTGGTTTGGCAGGAAGAGGACTGTCAGTTTGCTGAATTCTTTCGCTGATGCTTCTGGCAGCCGACAAAGGCCATTCCACCCACACTACCTTCTCTCATGATTAATACAGGATTTTACCTTAACGAATTGAAATCAATTTCCAGATGTCATTCTCAATGGAAATCAGATAGTAATAAACATGGTTTTACCTAGTACGGATTTTGATTGTATAAGTAAATCTTTGTCAAATTGAAAAATGGTGGCTTAGATGCCATTGACAGTAGAAATATATGTTATGAAAAATAAACTTTTATTTAAAAATAATATATAGACATACATTACCTATGAATACATATTAGTAAAAGGATAAAGAAAAAAGAATTATCTTTTGTTCTATCAGAATATATAGCTAGGAGCCGTTTTCATCAAGGTTTTTATGAAGACCGTCGTGAAAATTGATATCATCATTATAGAACAAAAAAAAAAGGAGATAAAAGGACATGCTAGATAGTTTACCTTATAAACAGACCCCTTTCTTTTAGAAATAAAGGATGCTTGCTCAAGATGAATTCAATCTAAAGTAACATGTAAGTAATCCATAACAATAGAGATAGAATTCTATCATGGACAGTAAAAAAGATTCGGATATCAGAATGGAAAAACTCTTCATAAAAATCAGACATATGCTTGTCTATTTGTTTATAAAGTTCATCAATTGAAAATCTTCTTTACCACCATGATAGTCACACAAAGAGATGTTTTACCTGTTAGCCTCTTCAATATAAAAGAAAATATTCAAGAAGCACAGAGAATCTAAAGAAAATGTGAGTCTTGAACCTTTTTAAATAAATGCAATCAAGTATTTTTTTTTCTTCATGTCTCAGAAATGCATGAATGGAATTAAAAAAAGGTTTTTCAACATCGAATGACTCGTCAGACTCGTCATCTAAAGGTGATCATCATAACACATGAAGAAAAAAAATAAAAAGGAAAAAAAAATAATTACCATCTCAAGAGAACACAGCCAAGAAGCAAGTCAATAGAGTATTGATAACTATAGAATATAGTAAGTAAACATGTACATAGGATATACAAGATAATAAAGAAAAAGGAAAATAAAAAGGAAGATCAGAAAAACAGCCAATTTTATTTCTACAGAAGTTTCAGACGGTAATTCCAACTATAAATAGTCGAAACATCATTTCAACCTCTTTTGATTTTCCTTTTTCATTATTTTGCATTAAATTTCTTACCTATTGACAACAATAGAACAATCAAAAAGATAAACAAGACTTTAAGGAAACATTGTAAATCAGTCTATGAGAGCAATGAATAAAAAGTCTTTTTTTTTAAAGAAATAAAAGAAAAGAAACAAGTGTATTGATTATAGCATCAGTGGAAAAGGTTCACATCAATAATCAGAAACTCTAGTTTGTTTGACATAAAACATCTTTTGCACAAACAAAGACACTTTTTCTTATCTTTTTTCTTGTTGGAACAAGTAAACTTACCTTATTTATTTATCAAAGAGAAAAAGAGAGAAAAGAAAGAATAGAAAGAGAAACAGAGGCTTTTTATAGCAGACTATCATAAAAAAAAATTTTTCCCCTTGCGAATCGCACAGTCACTATTTGAACTACCTCTCAGACACACTAGTAGATTGAAACTCAGTGATTACTTTTGACTCTTTTCTTTAGTAAATATGGAGACAGAAACAGATTACTATGAGCTTTTGGGTATAGAGATCACTGCATCCGCAGACGATATAAAAAAAGCATACAGAAAGAAAGCTCTCAAGGTACATCCTGATAAAAACCCTAGTCCTGATGCAGGTAATTCGTTATGCATAAAGCAATATATATATAGATGTACTCATGCCTAATTAGCTGTTCTTTTCCATGCCTTGACACAAGCACAGGATCTTCTGCTTGATACTAGCAGAAGAAACGATTATGATCAGAAACATCGTGCTCGACAAGAGCGTCTTAAAAAAAGAAAGAAATGGACTCAAAGCGAAGAGATGCACAAGATGAACTAGAGCGAAGAGAGCATGAAGCCAAACGCGCCAAAACAGAGCAGCAACAAGCCAAAGCACAATATGAAGCTGAATTGGCTCGATTACGTGAAGAAGGTGCTAAACGAAGACAAGAGGATTGGGTGACTGAACCAAAAGAAAAAGAGCCAGGTAAGATTGACATGAGGATAGGGTGTGGACACTTATCCAACTTGACAGAATTACCACCTGAGACAGAAAGAGATTGTGCGCTCAAATTTAAATGGAGTAGTAAACATCGTTTATCAGAAAAGGATGTGGAAGAACTCTTAAGGACAGTGGCGAATGTAGACACAGTGGCATTATCACAAAAAAAGAAACGATGTGCTCTTGCTGTATTCAAGACAGTGGTGGATGCTGTAAGTGAGATGAATGCATGGTTTTATGTGTTAATTACTTTATATAGTATACAGTTATTACAAAGAAAGAAACACATCCTTCATTATCCAAGTTTGAGACAATAGAATGGGCTGCCAAGAAACCACCACCATTGGTTGAGAAAATGATACGAGAAGAAGAAATGAGAAGACAAGCAAGAGCTGCTTTGTTTGCAGTTGATAATCGTCCTCAATCCAAGTCAGATAAGCCTTTGTTCTCTGTTGGAACACAACCCTCCTTTTTTAAGGCAATGAATATACCTGCTTTCAAGGTAAGCGGTGGTTATCTGATTGGAATACATCGCTAATATATATATGAGCAGAATATCTCTTCTTCTAACATGTCTGATAATGACTATGAAGCTCTTACATTAATGAAAATGAGACAAGCAGAAAAGGATCGTCTGTTTTTGATCAATCAACAGTAAACATATAGCTAAAAATAATGATAGTAATACAAACGCAACTCAGGGCTGAATCACATCGCCACAAGAAAATTTATTTTTGGCTGATGGAGTGGCTCAATTAGATAAAAATGGTAACATTGCATCATTTTATTTAACCTATAAATAAAACAAAGTAAAAACAAGACAGAACAAGCAATAGATATATAGAAACAATGTGTTAAAAGGGAGAAAAAGAAAGACACGCATAGAGAAAGAGAGAGAGAGAGAGAGACAAGCAAGTAAGGGAAAAGGAGAAAGAGTTGGATAAATAGGCTAAGGGTTATTTCACTGTCACTTTCTGATTTATACATATACATTATTTTGATAAAAATAAGCATCTGTCTTTCTTTTCTCTTCTTTGCCTTTTTTTTTTTTTTTCCTTTCTTTTCTTTTCTGTCTTTTTCTTCCTTTTTGATAGAAAGTTCAACACTCGATATTATCTCCTATTTAAGGGAGGAGGGGAACATAAAAAAAAAATCAAAAAAAAACACATTGTAGAAATCAAATAGCCGACATCAGTCAATTTTCAGCCAAACAAAAAGAGAAAAAAAAAACACCATCTCCATCTTCATCTCTCTTTTTTCTACTTTATATATCAAGATGAGAACTATAGCAACCTCAACACTCGGCTTAATATTGTTTGCCATGGCAACTAGGGCACAGGAGTCTAACTCGACTTGTTTCTCACTAAAAGGTTCAACAACTTGCCCAGCGTTTCAAAACTTCTATATCAGTCTTACAGGCAATGAAAGTCGATACCCTTTTCTAGCCAACGTAACAGACATATCTTCATTTGATACTGCACTTACCGAGTACGTAAACTCGGCCAACCTTTATCTATCACCTCTGGGATGCACCAATAGAGCCATCGTTCCGACGACAATACCCTACGCACGCTATTCTTTCAGCTACATGTGTGCTACTCTTATTCAAGACAGCCTCTATTCTTTACCGTGTAATTATCAACACAATCTATCGCCACCTCCTCTTTGCCAATCAACTTGCCTTGATTACATGGCAAGCGTTGAAAGCATCACAAACAACATAGACATGTGTCCCAATCAAATAGAACAAGATAGCCAGTTTGAGAATCTAAATTCATCTTGTATCTATTGGAGTGGATTGAATGGTACATATAATTGCATTATTGGCTTAGCTAATGAGCCCGACAATTGTGGATTTTCAAATAAAATGGATGCGTGTGGATACTGTAGGACAAATGGCACAGACAGCTGCTGTCAAGAGATCAAAGGTTGTCATCAGTTACCGATAGGTGCTATTGTGGGTATTGTCTTGGGCTGTCTTGTGTTTGTGGGTGCTATGGCTGCCATTGTCTATCTGTTCTGCTACCGAAATCGAAAAAATACCCAGCCAAACTATGGTCGATTCACCATGATGAATAATAATAATAGTGGAGCCACATCTAAGCATTTCATGAATGACAGCCTACAGAAACCTCTAGATCATGTGTCACCACAGCCGCCACCACCTATTGCCACAACACCTCTTATGCAAGACACACAGCCATTACTGGAAGAGTTTTTTGAAGTCAAGCATCCTTATCCTCCACAAATGGGAGACGAATTAGGATTACATGTAGGCGATATTGTGTGTGTAGCCATGAATTTCGATGATGGATGGGCACTTGGATTCAATGTGACAACGGGCCTCAAAGGCGTGTTTCCTGTTGTCTGTGTTGCACCTGCACCTGAAGAATTGCTGGAACAATTACTTTTGCCTGCTGAACCTGCAACAACAAAGACATTAGTAGAAGACGGCACTCCAGAACATCTGAACATGCAGCAAATATGTGAAAACCTAAAACGATCTATCAGTATATCCTCTAGACAGAGTCCTATACCGCCACTAACACAGCATAGCAACATACCAAGAAGAACAGCCAGCATCATGCGAAATACTTATGATTATCATGAAAGTGATTCACCTACATCGCCTACTTTACATACTCCCTTTTTTGATGTACCCCAAGTCAATGCATCTTTATTATCTCAACCTGAACCTGCTTTGATTGAGACTTATGAAATGCATCGAAAAAACAACCGTGTTTCTAAACTTGAAGAATAAACAATTTTTTTGTTTTAGCTTATCTTTTTCTACTCAGCTATAAAATCAAAAGCTTTCCTTCCTTTTTCTTTTTCTTTTTTTTTCTCCCACTTTCTCTTTCTTTCTTTTTTATATGTGTCACACTTTACTCTTTGTTAACTCATAAAAATAAAAATAATAAAAAAAAAAGTGTGACATGAAAGCAATATTCAAGTCAAGAATAGACACAGTACTTGAGTCTGAGTCTTCCTCATCTTCACTCAATAGTGATTCACCAGAGTGCTCTCGAAAGTTTTGGACACGTCCTACCAACAGTCCTGAACCTTCTAGCTCGTCTAATAAGGAATATTCCGATACTCATGATATGAAAGACCAAGGTAGTAATCATAAAGCAGTAAAGCAAGAGCTAATACAACTTAGTGGATCATTTTTATACCATGACATACGTTGAAGAAGAAGGAGGAGGAGGGAGAGATAGCTTCCTTTCTCATCCTAGGCACCCTATTCGACACCAAAAGAATACACTAGCTATTGCATCATCCAACGACCCTCAAGAGACCAAGAACGAGTCAGCAAATAAAAGGCACCAGACAAAACTACTTTTGGTGTCCCTGATTGAATCCTTATGTCAGACCTATGGTGACTCTCCCGAGTCCAGGCGCAAAATATTTTTCATGATCTGCCAAACACTCAATAGCATGGGCTTTATTGATTCTGAATTTATTGATGAAGTAGCTAGTGTTCGATCCACATACCATAAGGCATTTGAACATTTGTTTTATACAGCTGCACAAACAGTTCGTCAACAAGAACTGAATATGGGTAAACAACCTCGTCTGTTGACATCGCTGGAACAACAAGACATCTTGAAGGAGCGTATTGAATCACTTTCTCGAGAACCAAAGCTTCAGTATACACTCAGTATTCAAAACTCACGTTACAAGAATGATTTTGTTCAAGTCAAAATTTTAGGTCGAGGCGGGTTTGCCAGTGCTTGGTGTGCTCGCAATAAATTGGACGATATAGAGTATGCAATCAAGAAGATTCGATTGATGGATCAAGCTGAAGAAGGTTATGAAAAGATTTTTAGAGAAATCAAGAATCTAGCCCGACTTGAACATCATAACGTGGTGCGATATTATTCGTCATGGCTGGAATATGCAATTGATGACGACGATGATCAAGAAGATGATGACAATGAAGATTGGGTCTCGACGAACTCGTATTCAAGAGCAAGCGTGTCTTTTACAGATCAAGAGGATAACTCAAGTGTTTTCAATGGTCAAGATCCTACGTTTGATGAACCAAGTTCATCTTTTGATTCTTTGAATAATAACAAACCTACTACAGCAGAAGAAATGTCATTTATTCAATTTGGAAATGAAGAAGGAGAAGGAGATGAAGAACAAGAAGAAAATAGCGAAAAACCAAAGATTTACATTCACCCTACTCGCTCAAATTCGACCATAACGTCGTCCAACCAGCATAAAACGAAAAAAGAGGGTGGCTTTATCCTGTTTATTCAGATGCAACTCTGTCCAAGTAAGTCCTTTTTGGTATTTCGTTTTGTGTAACTCGTTCTAGGTACTTTGCATGAATACATCAAAATTAGAAATCAGAATCCTAAAGAATACTTTGACGAGCAACAAAACAAAGATTTGTTCTGTCAGATCTTACAAGGTGCTGCTTATATTCACCAACAGGGCCTTATTCATCGTGACTTAAAACCAAGCAATATATTTCTTTCGAGACGTGATGGATCATCTGAAGCATTGATTCCCAAGATTGGTGATTTTGGTTTAGCTGCCAGTGTCATTCAAAACGAACAGGAAGAGGAAGCAGAAGGTGTTGAAGAAGACGACGATATGTATTACGATTATCTTGCGTCGACATTTGAAAGTCAACATTCAACGCAAAGTGCCATTGAATTACTTGCTGCTTCTTCCTCTCCTTCAAGCAATCATAAAGAGAACAGCAGCAGTACGTCAGATAGTATTCTATCTCTTTATCCTGCATTACCGCCGAAAAGGAAAACATCTCAGTCACAAAGAAACAGGACAGGTGCTGTAGGTACGCGAACGGCAAGTATCTATATTGTGTAAGCCTTCTTTTTTGTCTTCTTCTAATACGTTTGTATCATAGTATGCTGCACCAGAACAACTTGCATCTTATAACGAACCCTATGATGAAAAAGCAGATATTTACTCTCTAGGCATCATCTTGTTCGAACTCTATTATCCATTTTCATCTGCTATGGAACGTGCTATCACTCTTGACCGTCTTAAAAAGCATATCTTTCCTGAAACTTTTGTTAAAAAATACTGCGTGTTGAAAGATATTATTTCAAGTATGATGAGCCTTGATCCTTGTCATCGTCCAGCTGCACTTGAGTTATTGAACCATGCTTTCTTTCGAGACAACAAGTATGCTCAACAACAGCAACAACACAGTTTAATTACTACCAACACTGCATTATCCTACGTATCTTCACGAGAACTTCACCATGATCGCGAAATGGCCGAGATGCAACATCGGTACCTTCAAATGAAACAAGAAAAAGAAGATTTACAGAGACGGTTGGATGAACTTCAAACGAAATTGGATGGATGTAGTGTCGATACCAAAAAGAGACATCATTCTTGTGAAGAAGAACAAGGCCAGCCGGATATGAAACGAAAAGAACTATCATAGATATATATATATATATAATACCACAAAAACATCCTCACTCTCTCCTATTCATTGTAAATAAAAACAAATTCACACTATACAAGAATAGTTTCAACTTGGCCGAATTGCAGAGTCTCTAAACTAAGAAAGAATTGAACTACCAAGAAGAACCTATTATAGCACAAGTTGATAGTCACGGAATTTTACTTTTATTTTTTAATTTAGTTATGAAATTAATGTCGTTTAACAGGAGTATAGGTAGTAACTCTGGTTAAGACTTTGGAGGATATATAATAAAGGACCGTTACTAAATAGGAAGTATTTAGGAAGTGGAAAAAAGGTGTCTTTATTCAAATGGAATTAATTTCATGTTTAAATCAAATCTGATTTCCTGTCCGGGCCGGCCATCTTCCTTCTCTTTCTGTCTTCAATATTATTGAGCATGACATTAACATGACAACCCTCTCTTTTTCCCTTTGTGTTTACCTTGAATGACGAGACTAACAAACATAAGAGATAAACCAATAATTAACAACAGAAGACTGTAAAGACTATTGTAATTATAGAGAGAGATAGACACAAATAGAGAGATTATAACCTTAGGCACAGTTCCTTCAAAAGACAATGAAGATATATGTAAAAGAAAATTTATAAAAAAAGTTTCGATTATTAAAGATTAATTTCTTGATATCTTTTATTCCTTCTAAAGTTCTTTAAGCTTTTATACTTTCTTTAGAATAAATTTCTACAAAGACAATTGCTTGTCATTAATCTAGAACAGATCAAACTTGCCCAAAAAACAATCATGTTTGAAATGTCAAACAGGAGAACAATTAATACAATTAAATTATAAAATTCAACAGATTCAAACTGAGATGAACTGTCAAATATAATAAACAAAAAAAAATAAAATAAATACACAATTAAATCACAGCAAAATATCATGAAGCAAAATACGGAAGAAGTAGGACAAATAAGGAACCAAAAAGTACAACAATTGAGACCCAGACCATAAATTGACACACCGATCAGTGGTTTTGACTCGAATCTGATTGGGTCTAACAGAAGACAGAACCATTGGCTGAAACCTTTGGAACACCATTGTACAATCAGACCTAGACCAAATCACACCAAATTTTGTATGTACTTTAAGGAACATCAGAGACATGCACCATTTCAATTTGAAGTTTTGTTAACATAATAAAATTACTAGAAAAACCGCGAAAGAGAATAAAAAAGCGAGTCAAAACAAACATGCACACATGACAAAATTGTCAAGGTATAATGATAATTCAGTCGATGTTTTGAAGGTGTTCTTTATTGTTTGCGAGTATGAGTCTTGATGTTGTCGGATCAAATGCGGATCAACAGAAAAGCCTATTTACAGAATGTAAACAGTCATGATCTCATCAAAGGATTTTCACTTACAAATCCAGTACAAATAATTCAAAATACAATTGACAACAAAACAAATAGAATATAAGATAAAAATAACTAAGGTACATGATAATGTTAATAAATGTTCCCAAAAGCATCCTTCTTCAGATAACTACCAAGTATGTTCTTTCCCAGAGCAACCAGTTACTAAGACAGGAGTTTTTACCAAGGACAGACCCCAATTAACAATATTGTATAGTAGCTTTCTTCTTTCTTATTTGTTTCTTTCCTTTTTCTTGTATACTTCAATTGACAGACAGATAAATCCAATCTTCCCAAGATTTTCCAGATTTCTTCTTCAATTAAATAGTCAGAAAAATAACCTTTCTTCTTTTTTTTGTATTTTTTTATGATGATGATGATGATTCGATTTTGTTTTCTTTTGATGATGATCAGATTATGTTTTCTGGGATGATAATATTTCGCTTAAAGGAATAACAATTAAGATTCGTCTTGATTCCATTTTGAGATTGATTGCTTCATGTGATTTAATGATCTTCTGAGAGTGATTGTGAGTTTTCATTTTAAAAGGCGTACCAATTATATTGCTTCCTGCTGACTTGGAAAATAAAAATTTCAACATTTTGACACTCACCAACAAACCTGTCAAAATATATAAGCGGGTATAGCTCAGCTGGGAGAGCGTTAGACTGAAGATCTAAAGGTCAGGTGTTCGATCCACCTTAGCCGCATAAAATTTTTCATACTCTTCCAAGTAATTGCGAGATGGTATTCCTTTTTTTGTTTCCTTTATCGAAGTTCCAGCTTTACTTTAATGCATGAATTGATAGAATTTGCCTTGGTTACGGAACGAGGTTTGATTAATATACCAGTAACGTATAGAAGAATTTATACAATAGAATCCAAAGCAAAAAAACTATTGTATATAATGACCATTAGGTTTCAAGTCATTTGGCCATACATACTTTTATGAAGACTATCTTTACAAGTCTTTTTACTCGCTGTAAGCATTAAATGAAATTATAGGCTGAACCTTGTTCATTTAGATAAAAACTTTAAACAATCCCAAGAAAGAATTTCTCCTGATGTAAAGAAATTTGTGCATAAAAGCAATTTTCAGTAACCATCAAACTTTGTCAAGATTCATTTATTTAGCTGTAATACTATTAAATAGTTCTTCTTGACCTGCTTCGATAACAAGCCTGAAGCCTTAAAATTCTTTCCTGAATTTAGGAAAATTACGGATGGTAAGATTATCATTGATATCAATAATACACCTTTTTAATCTGGACTGAAAAGAAAATAAATTTAGACAGACTTCATACCCAGTGTAGACAAAACTCCGGAAAGAGCATTTCAAAATTGAATTCGTGAATGTATTAATATGTATATGAGTAGACATTTTTGTCTTGATTCATTATCTTTGACAAACTTTCAAAACCTGATATTCTTTTTAAAAAAAAATGGCTTTAGAAGTAGTTGAGCATATGGAAATTGACAGATCTCAACTCTGTAAAGTTCACTCAAATGAAATTGAAAAGCAAGCCAGAGCAACAAAAAGAATACTTGATAAAGTAGGTAATATCAAGAAAGATACACAAGTTTGCAAACAGTTAAGGGAGCAAATATCAGTATGATTGGCTATATCAGTCCTTTTGGTTTAATTGACATCTCCAAGGTTGAGGTGCGTACCAATTCAGATGTCCAAAAACTAAGTCAAGGGATTTTGGGAGGAAATACAGACAAGCAGTCATTTAGAAAAGGGGAGGCATTTCTCAAGTTGTAAAGTTCATTAAACGTGTGTTGAATATTCTTGATTAACATGAAATAAAAGGTTATTGTCTTGTGTTAAATGATTGTCGTATCCATCATTCAACCTTTATCAAAAATTTTGTCGGGAAGCGTGGCTATAAACTTTTGTTTTTGCCTCCTTACTCATTTTTATTTTGGTCCCAACCAACTCCTAAGGTTTCATACGTACGATTGAACACTACCCATGAATATTCGATGCATTCAAATATGTAGAAGTAACTCTTCTCATCTTTATATGCACAAAGAAAAATAAAAATAAAACTGGAACTGTACAGACTTACTTGACTTCTTCAACTTCAATGAATGTTAAGACTGGATTAACTTACATAGCGTGCTTTAGATGTCACAACGAAATTCCTTATCAAATCAAAGCATTACTCTTTGCATACCTCATGGGCATACAAAAGTGTGTATTTATAAAATAAGCTGGTCGAATGAAATTATATTTCATTCATGAAGGCTTCTTTTCCTTATTGTTCTACCATTTCCGAGAGAAAGAGCTTTTTTTTTTTTTTTTGTTTTGCTTATTAATAACAAAATATTGGAAACACAAAAGCAACACTACATTTTTCTTGAACAGGATATAATGGCATGCTCCCCCAAAAGCAAATATAAAATGCTTTCGTCAATGAATACGATGTCATTAGACATATCGATAAAGTATTTGGAAATGCAAAAATAAGGATAATTACTGTTTTTATGCATGAGATATCTGATTTTTTTCCCGAATAATCTTTTTCTCTGTTTCCAGAAAAAGAATATTGTGTTTTGATAGCAAACCGGAAAAAAGTAGGAAACGGTAAACTGGATAAAGATTTCAGGCATATTTATTAACGGGAGACACCGTATTGTATTAATTTACAGAAAAAAAAAGGAGAAGGGGGAGGGGGAATGGAATATATAAGTACACGTTGAAAATATGATTTAATTATTAGTGACGAACTTGCTTACAGTGGGTTTCTTCCAATAAGCCTGCTTCGTACGTTGAACGTTTTCTGCTATCATTCAGCATGGGTATAACTGTATCATCTTCATCATGCATCTCGGGCATGAGTAATGATCCGTCTTCAGGATATTTGTATATAAAGTGTGGCTCAGGTAAATCCTCGGGTGATTTGATAGGGCTGCAGATATCTGGCATAGTGTCACACTAGAAATATCATGTATTAATATCTTTTTATATTTTGCATGTGAAAAAAGGGCGTACCTTATCTAATGCTGGTATATCCATATCCTCCAAAATCATTTGAATAAAATCGCACATGTTTCTTTCAAAGTAGATGAGTGGATACTGCTTTTCTAATTCTTGAAAATGTTTCTCTAAAGTATATCCTGGTTTAATTTGAATAAACTAGAAAGGGAAAAAATTTAGTACATATCTTGTGATAATTGTTGCAAGTCTTGTTACCTCCTTCTCACGTTGGCGTACTTGCAATTTGAATAAGTACATTGTTCTTGTCTTTGGGAAAAGTAAATGATGATCTGCAGCTTTTACATTCCAAATATTATCTTGATCTTCTTCTTCCTCTTCTTCATGGCATTCCTCTTCGTCTTCTTCTTCATCAATATAGTCTTCTTCATCTTCATCTTCAACATAGCCATAAGAAAAAATTTCATAGATAGTCTCGAGACCAGTTCGACCATCGCACATATAACTTTGAATAGCAGCTTGGGTCAATAAGTCGAGGAATAGATCATACCAACGAGGAGGCATGCCACCACCCATCACTTGTTGACCTGCAACAGTTAATGGTTTAATATCACCATGGTTATTATCAAGTACGGAGCGCAACATATTAGCGCTTGTTTTAAGGAAAGCAGGAATAGCTTCAGCTAGGCCCGGTCCTCCCGTTTTTGCCAAAAGACAAGGGGATTGGCTGCAATTTGGACGACGATGACGGCGGCAAAAAGCTGGAGAAAATGGTTTGGAGAAGAGCTGTTCATTATGTCCAGCTACTTCATCATCACGCTTATGGCGTCTAACTGGAGCAGAGAACGTAATATGATGTGTGCGACCCATTGTAAGATTGGTGAGCTGGCAGAGATTTAGTCTTTGTTCAAATTTGGCACTCATTTTCTTATTCTTGTTCTTTTTGTTGGAGGAAAGGATGCCTATATGAATTATGAATTCAATAGTTTAAATTATTTCGAGATTTACCTTCAATGACAGATTCAATGACATTTTTATCTTTGGTATACTCTGTTTCGTCGTCAAATGTAAGTGCTTTCTGTAGTCTTGACTGAATAGACTGGTAAAAAAGATAATCCAGTATCATAGCGTTGGTGGTTGAATTGTTATTCAACTGTTGAAGTTGTTGGCTCAAGTTCAAATAGAATGCCATGTTTAAAGCAAAAGAGAAAAAAAAAAGAAAAAAAAAAAGACGATAATAAGACGGGTCAATTAAATAAACATTAGAATAGGAATAATCGGATTCGAGTAGAAAGGGTAAAATGCACCCGAAAATCACCTATATTCATATAAACTTTTTTCTCTGTTCCGATTAAATAGTCACAGATAACGAAAATGAAAAATAGTATTTTTTCCCTGAATTATTCTTTATTTGGTAATTTACAAGATAGTGGATTATTTACAGACTGAAAGATGCTCTTTTTTGTTGTTGACCAGCAGGAGATGAGATGGACTTTTTTAAGATCCAAGAGATGGGTAGTAGACTTTGATAGAGTAACCATGTGGTTGTCAGAGAAACAACAGATTTGAACATGGAGGCAAGTAGGACAATGAGATGCAAATGGGGGTGGTAATGTAGTTGACTTTTTCTTTTGTGATTGTGGTAGAATATAAACCGAGCAAGGAATTTCAGTCGCACACTGGCAGAAGATTTGATAGATAAGGCTGTTTGTACAAGGAAAGTCCAAAATAGGTCAATTGTGTCATCTTCCTCGTCATCTTCCATGAACCTTAATTTGTCTTGTAGATGTGGAGAAGATGATACAGGGTATTCAGGCTGATATTCAATCTCAATGATCTCAGGATTGAAATGAACTCCGACCGAACTTTTATGGTTGAGGTTGACACTACTGTTGCTGCTGCTGCTTGCGATACTGCTGAAACTACTAAATCTGCTGCTACGGCTTGAGTATAACATAGGCGTATGAATATCATTCAACACAAATGAGTCAAAATAAGAAAGAATTGGATCGGAACAATTCGGTACTATTTGAGTTACGTTGCAATGTTTCTTCAAAACAGGCTTAAGTCCTTGGAGAGCACTAGAATAGTAATGCAATTTCTCCATTTCATTACAACTATTTGTGTACATTGGTCCATAGAGCCCTACAGAAGAAAAACATATGTTAGTTTTCTTTCTTTCTTAATCATCTTATTCATATTTACATGTGATATCAGATTCCTTCTGCCTATTAATTATTCAGTAAATATTCAAACATTGCCATCAGTACTTACCAACACACTGTGGAGGGATCAATGAGCTGATTGTATTTGCCAAGATTTTTAACACACGATTTAGCCATTGATCTCCATAAAGCATTTTGAAGTCTGATTGATTTGTTACGTTCAAAATTTTCATCTTTTGATACATGATATTTGTTCATTTGACGCCAAGTAAGAATCAGGTCATCACAGCTCCATTGGTATGATAAATAATCAACACAGTGTTCTGCTGTCATTCCTTAATATGTTGAGAAAAAGAAAGAAAGAAAGAGAGAGAGAGAGAGAGAGAGAGAGAGAGAGAGAGAGAGAGAGAGAGAGAGAGGGAGAGAGAGAATTTGTTTTAAAGAGGCATAAATATATACACAAAAAAATTAGAAGAGCGAAAAAGGGGAGTGCTTTTTTTGTTAAAAAGGCCCTCTAGAACTTTTTACGATGGAGCATCTCGGATCCGATGTTCCCACAGGAGACAAGAAAAGACAAGCACAGACCGTGTTACACTATATTGATAACCTTTCTTACTGCTTAAAGGCTAGTGTAGTTGATACAATGATTTGAAACCAAACTACAATCTGTATATCATTGATCTTCAACTTTGATCCTGATAGCAATTTAAGCATACATGTTGACACATGAATAGGGTGGTACATTCATACTTTTGTACACATGTGTGTGTGCGTGTCTCTTTCCATTGAGAAAATAAATAAATTCGAAACGCGATTTGGCGCCAAAATTAGTATGCTGTTGATAAGTAAACAATATGCACTACACAAACAAAATGTGTGAAGTTTGTTTTTTTAGACTTCTTTAGGAATGATAAGTGTGTGTGTATATCCAATTGTTTGAGAGAAAGATAAACCCCTTATGGCGAGAAGTTTTATTGCATAAATACAGGTTAATACATTCCTTGCTTGTTATCTCTGACAACTCTTTCGTTGTTTTACGCCAAGTGTAACAAAAGAGTCTAGGTCAATAAAATACCTCATCATCAAAAAAGCTTCGCAGCAATAACAAGAATATTTATTGCATGACAATAGAGAAGGGAGAAATGGCGTGTATGAGTTTTATTCTTGTAATTAGCCAACATGTGAAAATAACCAACCGAGAATTGATTGCTTTTCGGCAACTTCCGTACGACTTTGATTGTCAAATCGATCCTGAAATGAATGTGGTGCGTTGTTAAGGTGTGCTCATAGTATCCATCAAATTAGCGTGTAATTCTTTCTATACCCCTTATTTTTTCTTTTCTTTTTTCTTTATTATGACAAACAATATCTCTTCCCGTATAATGTAATAAAAGGCTTATTTGTATTTGGTTACTTACTTGAGTCTATAGGCAGTTTAACTCTATTCAAGAGGAACTAGATTATTGGAGAAGCCACGCAGAAAATCTAGAGAATACTTTACAAGATACAAGAGCAGCTCTAGACGAGTTTCAAGTATCTTCTCGCGAACTTGAAGAAGAACTTGAGAAAGAATTGCAAACAACTGAAAAAGCATACAATGACCTAAAATCGCGTTGCGAGCACTTTAAACGAGACGCAGAGGATTGGAAAGTAAGATATAAAATGTTGTAAGCATTTCAACTCATGTACAAAAGGCAAAATACACAGAATCAAAGCATGAACAAAATATCACAATGGTTCAAATGCAACGAGAAATTGATATTCTGAGAGCGACAGAAGAATCATTTAGAAAAAAAGTGTTAGAGCTAGAGCTCGACAATGATGATTTGGAAAGGACAGAAAGGTAGCAAAGGATGCATTTTTTTTTGTATTTTAGAGATGCTTACCTTACATTAGAGCTGCGACCTCTTCTTTGACAGATCTGGAAATGAAGCTGAATAAAGCAATTGAAAGAAATGTGATTTTAGAGAATGAAATTCAAGCAAAAGACAATTTGACAGAACAAACGCAAAGATTGAAGGATGAGCTGAATGGTAAGCAAGTATAGAGATACGTCTTATTCACTGTGTATGCTAGAGGCACACCAAGAGTTGTCTGTTTTACGCTCTCAATCTTCAAAACAACAAGAGTATATTGAAGAACTTGAAAACAAGGTTGAAGAAGTTGAAAAGAAGAATAGACAACAAGCAGCCTTAAACGAACAACAAAATAGATCACCTACTCCAGACCGAGGTTCAGGCTATTATGATCCTTATTCACGTAATAGAACTACTCGCATACCTCGTACATCAGCATCTGGATCTCTTTCTGCTTCATCAAATCCAGTCAAGATGGTACAAGAAATGGTTGGTCGAGTCAGAGTAAGTATATTTTATAAAAATTAGATATCATTGGATTTTAAATAATTGTAACAGAGCTTAGAAGCACGATTGCAGTCATGTCGTTCTTTGGTTACTCCTCTTTTGAACCCACCACCTTCCTATAGTTCATCCAACTATATTCATAGAGACTCACACATGTCTACTGGCCATAGTCGACCTTCTTCACCTGATACTAGCAGTATTCGCTCAGGTAGCCCAATGCATTTCTCCAACATTAAAGCAAGAAGACCTTCTGAGTACATGAAGACAAGTATGGATACCAGCGAAGAATAATTTACTAGTACTTAATGATTTAATACCGTCTTGAAAGTATATAAAACTATTTAAATAAATGCTCTCTTTATATATTGTATGTTCTATATGATAGACAGAAAAAGGAACAAGATAAAAATATAAAAGCTATAAAATAAGACGGCTAAGAGTGCATAATAATAAGAATAGAAAGGAGCGATAAGTATAGAAAATATCAAGATAAGCTAATTGTATTGATATTAAAATGAGCTTGAATACACATTAAACTGTTGTTGTGGTAGTAATAGCAGCAGCTTGAGCAGTTGTTGTTGTTGTTTGAACATCATTAGTAGTTGTTGTTTCAGTGGTTGTTTGAGCAGGTACTTCTGTAGTGGTTGTAGCTGTAGTTGTAGCTGTAGTTGTAGCTTGAATAGGTGATTCTGTCGTTGTAGTAGTAGCCTCAACGGGTGCATCTGTAGTCGTGATAACAGTGGTGGCAGTCGTGGTAGTAGCATCAACAGTAGTCGATGTACTATTATCAATGGGAATAAGAGTTGCAGTAGCAGAAATAGACTCTGTAGTAGTGGCATTTGCTGTCGTGTTAGTAGAAAGAGCAATAGCACCAGGGTTGCAGCTTGCAGGACCAGAAGGATCATCAGAAAGGCCAGGAATATTCATATCGTAAGGTACATCATTTTGGTAATAGTACATGTTGGAGGCATGGAAGTCATCATCTACAATGACTGAGGCATTCTGAGTCACATTATAGAAGAGGTAGCCATCATAAAGAGTAGGAAGAAGTACAAGTGGATCACCAAGTTTGACAGGCCAACTGTCAGTAGTAACAGAACCTTTAGGAGGAATTGTCAATGGACTAGGAAGCTCGTAGTCAATTGTACCAACGGTGACATATTGTCCTTGAGTACCCATCATAGAGCAACGAACCGTTTTTTTGGTTTCAGCATAGATATGAACAATCTTGAAAGGTGTATCCAAGGGGTTGTAAAGCTCAATAGAAGCATAAGCAAGACCACCTACTGCTCCGATAATATCGCCAGTGACATGGATCTTTTTGATCAAACCACCATTGATACCAGCCATAGGAGAAGAGAGTTTCAATGAGGACAAGGCAGGTTGCAAGGGAGCAATAGAAGTTGAGCTAGGGGAACCAGCAATGGTCAAGGGAACAGTGACAGATGTCAAGTAGTAGGTGAGAATTTTGCCAACAGCTTCAATGTTTGTAGCTCCTTCAGCTAAATGCATGACAGCATTATAGTTTTGAGCACCAGGCTTGATGACTGTGTCTTTCAAATAAACTTTACCGATGACAGCATTGTTGAATTCAGGCATGAGAACATCAAAGTTGATATCACCAATAGTGATAGTAATACTGGAAGGATTGTTCATTTCAACAACAAGATCAATGATAACATAGCCAGAAGTACCACCAGTCACCTTGAGATCAACAATACGAGCAGTATTACCAAAGCCATTGAAACCTAATAAAAGAGATCAGTCTGAATAAGGGTATTAATCATACATACCATTCAAATGTGTTTGAACATCAAAGCCAACACCTGGAAGAGTAAGAGTACCAACAGCAGTATCAGCAACAGCATTAGAAACACCCTTAAGACCAAAAGTAACCTGAGGACTCAACGTCAAGAGTTGAACAAAACCAGCAAATAGTTCCTTATTAGCAACCTTGAATGGAACATTGGTGAATCCAGTTGTGATGAGCCCAGTGGAGCTTGTAGTAGCAGGGGAGATGGGCACATCAAGATTGGCTACCAAATTACCATTGTAGTTGGCCGCTACTTTCATGTCGAGTTGCTTGACACTCAACGGGAAACCAAAAGGGTTCTTTAATTGAGCTTCTACTTGAGAAGATGAAGTAGGAGGTGCCCAAGGATCCTTGGTAAAGTCCATCTCAAGTGTCTTCATTTCGACAGAGGGAATGAGAACAGGTACAGAAGAAGGACCAGGTAAGACCACGTTTTCAATAGAAATTGTCTTGAAAGCTGAAGTAAGCCAACTTACTTGGCCATTGTTACCAGAGCCAGACATACCCTTGACTGTAAGCGTGCTCGATTGACCAGCAAGGTAGTGACCAAAAACAGTCGTGATAGCAACAATACCTTCCTTTGTCGTTTGAGGAATCAAACGCCCCTTCATGTTGATATTAGAAGAAGAGCGAGGGGCAAAGTAAGCAGCGCCATCGGAGGCAAGAGGTCCAAGATCAACATCACCAAAATAGGTTTCAAAGCCTGCGCCACCAAGGTTGAAACCAATTTGACTAGGATTGTAAATAGTGGTCTTGGCTGTCAAGGTAATACCACCAGCAGGATCGTTTGAAGGTAAGTCAAAGGATTGAACAGTAACTGCATCCTTGAACCCATTTGACCCAGCGAGAGTGACAAATTTGTGAAGTGAGATCTTGTTAAAAGTAAAACCAAGAGCGTTGACACTGACATCAGATGTAGTAATTTCCCATTCAAAAGACTCATTGTTGATTAAATAAGCAGCAAAAGAAGCCATGTCGTCACCATTGGCAACAGTGAATGAGCCTTGAACATCAAATGAAGCACCGACATCAGCCTTGGCATTAATAGCAGACATAGAGACGGTACCAAGTTTCTTTCCTTGCCATGAAATAGTAAGAGGACTAGGGAAGCTGATTGTAGCATCCATGGGACCTGTGTTGGCAATACTGCCCTTCATTTGAACATTGAAGGAGCCTTCAGTCACAGATGACAAGACAATGGTATCGAAACCAAGAACAGAGCCATCTACAATTTGTTGTACGATGGGTTGACCAACAATAGGAATAAGAGCAGTGACGGAACTATCCGTGGCAACAGCGACATTACCTTGAGAGAAGGCCAGGTCGTTGGTGTATTGACCAATCCTGATAGTAGAAGAAAGGGTAAGATCAACCTTCAATGCCTTCATGGCGTCCATAACATATTGAGATACATTGAAGTTAGAGAAAAGACTTGAATCAGCCTTGATGTCTTCTTGTCCATCAATATTAAAACCACCAAGGCCAAACAAAGCATCAAGAGCGCGTGTATCAAGGTTAGCCTGAACAGCAAGTGTACGAAGCAAGAGGGCAACAGCAGCAGGCTCAAGGTTCATGTTCATATTCAAAGCTTGAGATTGTGCAGTAGCTTTACCAGGAACTATAAAAGGATTGCTACTGATATCTTGATCGATATTACCAACAGGCATACCAGCAAAAGTAGCAGCAGCAACAACCTTGGAAATACTCAAACCAGCAGAGAAAGGGTTAGCAATTGAGACCTTAACACCAACCATGCTGGTTTGAAGAGTATCGGGCAAAACTGACATGGAAGATCCTTGAATAAGAGCAGTCTTTAAGCCGGGAAGTGTAGAGCTAAGACTGACAGCGCTCAATGCGTTCATGAGAGAAGCAATATTGGTTGAGTTAGAGTAACCTGTGATTTCAACACCATTATCGGAACCCATGATAAAGGTACTCAACAAGTTTTGTCCAACATCAGATGATTTGGGATCAAAGGATGCAGAAGCAGCAACTGTATTTTGACCACGGTTCAAGACTAGATTAGAAAGAGTAACAAGACCAAGCGTAGTATCACTAGCACCCATGTTGAAGCTAACGTCGCCAGTAGAGAGACTAAAATCAGATGGGTTTTCCATGGTAACATTGATAGCAAGATTCAAACCATCAGATGTGCCACCAGTAACATCAAGCGAGTTGATGACTGTAGGAGTGCTGTTCAAGAATTGAAGACCATGTAGTGTGGTGGGCACAGTGAAGTTGATACCTGTCAAGAGAATAGGGCCAATGGGTGTCATTGTCTTTGTAGAGGCAAGACCAGAAATCATGAAGGTGTAGTTACTTGAGGCAGTCAATTCATAAGTGTATTGATTGTAAATAGCTTCTTTTCCTGTAATGCCTGAAATGGCAGTATTGTTGATACCAAAGACAATAGTGCCACTCTTCAAGTCACTAACAGCAGGACTGAAAGGAGCTTGCATAACAGCGAAGTTTTCTGTTTCAGCACCAGAAGTATTCACAGCAAGAGTGATGTTTTGAGCGACTTCTGTAATATTCAAGGAGAAACCAAAGGGTAATTGGAAATTGGCAGTGACAGAAGGGGCATTGGCCACAGGAGCATAAGGTGTATTTGCATCGAACTTCAAGTCAAGATGACCCATGTTGACACCATTGATGATCTTCAAGGGAGAACCAGCAGAGAGTCCAACATTCAAGCTAACAGACTTAAAGCCTTCAGAGAGCCAGTTAATAGGGTTGACACCGTCAGGAGCACAAGAGACACCAAGAGCAGTTGTGTTGGAGAGCTGGCCAGCAACATAATTTGAGAAAAGGACACCAACTTTTTGTAAGGCCGTAGTATCATTTTGTGGTGTGAGTGTACCTTTAAGAACAATATTGTTATCACCCTTAACAAGATTTACGTTAGAGCCTTGGACATAACCCAAGGGAACACCATCGTAGCCAATGGCCATTTTGATTGTACCAAGTTGAACACCAATGGGAGAAGGGCTTTCCAGAATTGTACCCAATTCAACAAGGATACCACCATTGGGATCATCACCTGGAAGTTGGAAGGAATTGATTTTTACGTTAGGAAAACCATTCATGCCTAAAAAAGGAAGTTTAGCATCAGGTCAAAAAACCAATTGATTTAGCTGTTACACCTACCATTTAAAACAACTTCTTTGTTCAGGTCAACTGTGGCTGTTCTATAAATTTGGTGAGGGACAGAAACACAACAATATATGAATGATGAAAATCCTTACCTTGTGAGAGCACTAATATCGAGTTTTCCTTTGAGGGTCCATTTGAAAGTTTCAACAGCCAACATTGTCCTTGCAAAGGCAGCAAAGGCAGCTTGATCTCGAATCAAGAAGGGCGTAACGGCATTCAAAGTGCCATGGCCATTGGCAATGCTTGTTTCATTAAAGAAGAACATGTCACCCAAATAAGTTTCATTGTAGTAGACCTGAACAGGATTGTGGAATTTAATTGAAGCATAAAATGGACCAGTATTGGAGAGTGCACTTTCCATGTTCATATAGAAAGTTGAGTTCATATCATCACTACGTTTGGAGTATACTGAGTTTGTCAGGGCATCAGGTTTGTTGAAAGAAATATCGGCGGCTGTTATATCAATATTAGATTGGTTCATCAATGATTGAGCAATCTTGGGGAAGATCACATAAAGAGCAAGAACTACAGCAACTACTACCACAATGACAGTAATGATTGAGCAAATGATCCAGTACTTTTTTTTCTTGTAGAATTTTTGCTTTGGTGGAGGAGCAGCTTTTTCAGAGTATTCTTCCATTAAGACATCGTCTCGAAGACCACGATGATCTTCTGCTGTATGATGTTGATAGTACTCATCAGCATCATCAGAAACCACTACCTGATGGTTATATGGTTCGTTGATACTACCAGTCATTAGGTATTAGAATTAGATTAATATAAGTAAATATAAAATGTTAAAAGAACGGAGAGGATGAATTATGAAAAGGATCGTATAATATCAAAACAACTATAAAGAAGGGAAGAAAAAAAGGCAAACGAGAAATCAAAGAGTCCTTTTATAATACTACACCTATGAATAGCTATTGAATAGCCATACCGTTGGGTATTTGAGAAAAAAAAAAGAGAGACTCTGTGCTCAGGTAGTACGACATCAGCAAAATACAATAATAACAGTGCAACTCAGAATGTTGTATAGAATGTAACTGTTACATTATTATCTTTATTCAAGAGAGTGTATTACCCTAAAAGAAGCACAACATTGAGTGTGGGGAATACATAATGTTTGTTTGCGGCCATTCATATGAATTACTCACCAAACTGAAGACAATAATGTATGCTGATCATCCTTTTTTTGTTCTCACTCTTTCTCTTTAACAATATAGTGTCGCATGATTGTTTACAAAGTCATTCTTTCTATCACAGCAAATAAATGAATAGTCTTCAAGATGCATTGAAACGAATTGCAGAAAATTGTATATGTTTTTTACGCCATATCATTTGTACAACAAGGATCAAGAGTCTTTTTTTTATGACTGCACAGACCGCTTTTGTTTCAACCGACAGATTATGCAAATTGTAATCAAAACAGCCTTCATAGCATTCTTTTTAAAGAAGTAGTGATAACAAAAGAAAAATAAAATACTTAAGCGCATTCGAGACATATCAAGAATTGTACTCTAGTACAACAATTTTTTTTCTGTTTACATGAATATACCTTGTGTCACACTCTTGCGATTTTTGCTTTGATGTTTGCAGTGAATGATGCTCAAACATAATTTCTTTTATATTTGTCACCCGTTCAACTTGAATATAGCTTTTCAATTACCCTCTCAATATTTGTGTATTTAGATCATCTATAAATTAACTGTAGAAATGCGTATATTTAAAAGAACTAAAACTTACATTTAGTCTATTTATTCAAGGAGTATGATAATATCTTAACTTTGTGAAGATATATAATTGACAGCAAAACCAAACATAATTTTCTGTGAAACATGTTTCCACAAAGGAGACTGATATGTTGATCGTTGGTCAATGTATCAATGGAGCCTTGGAAGAGGTAGCGGCAGAGTATCTATGAAAAAAACCAAAATTGTATGTTACATGCTTAATCGTATCACTCGAATCATAATACCTTTCGATCTACTTATGTAATGCTTTTTTTGTGAGTTGATCATTTCCTCTATTGTATATTTTATTTATAGAATTCATTTCAGAAATTATAAAAAAAAACAACAAAAAGAGTGTTACCTAAATAAGCAGTTGATATACATAATAGCATAGAAGCTATACTAACAGGAGGCAAACCAAAAGTTAACATAGCCATGTTATTTGCAACAAGAGTCTTAATGACTTGATAAAGTTAGAGCGAGTTTATGTTAAGACAATAAGTAGTTTTTTTTTTTTTTTTTTTTTTTTTTTTTTTTTTTTTCCTTTTGTCATTCAAGGTGTCTTACCAAGAACTATGTACTTTTAAGCAACAATTTTATTTTGACAAAACAATAAAGACGGGAATTGTTTATTGCTTAAAGAGAAAGAAAATGCTATAGAAAGATAAAATAAAATAAAAAACGATATAATTTAATAAACAGTAGCAGTAGGAGCACTGATTTGAATTTCACCAAAAGGACGATCTTGCTTAACCTTGATCTTATCTTTAGTGGACAACAGCAAGACATCATAAAACATACGAGCAGCTTCGGACTTCTTACTGATAGAAGGCATAGCCAATTCATTGAAATTTACAAAGTTTTGAGTCGTGAGTTGGTTTTCAATGTTCTCCAAAGTGGCACGAGTGCTTGAGTTGAATGTCTGTGTGTTTTGAGCCATGAAGGGATCATAATCGCTGAAATCAGAACCATTGTTCTAATAGATGGATGAGTATGGACATTAATATTAAAGATGTACAACTTACTTTATCGAATTGTTTCAAAGCATCTTCATTGATACCAGCATCTCCACCAAAGTCATAGCCATCATCATCAAAGTTGAAGGCATCACCAGCGCCAGAAGTAAAAACATCACCAAGACGAGGTTCCTTGGGCAAATTACTGATCATACCAGAAGCACGACGCTTACGGTTTAATCCAGAGAACAGGTTATTCAATTCAGAACCAAGTACATCACCAAATGGCTTTGTGATATTGACAGTAGTCTTTTGCTTTGTGACACCAGCAAGATTAGCAGTGGTAGAGATAATAGCACTTGTATCAAGTGTGTATCTACGAAGATCTTCTTGAGAGATTTCTGTTACTTTGTCAACCACCAATCTTTTTCTTCTGCGTACAGTGGGTTCAGTTGATAATTCATCAATACCAAACATGTTGTCATCTTCTACAATACCAACTTCCATCAAATTATCAAGGGAGTCAGTAGGAAGAGCTGGTAAATCAAATTGAGCTGGTTCAGCATTCATATCATCACCATAGTCAGCACCATCATTCAAATCGAAATCGAAATTAACACCATCATCACCAATACCGCCAAGGTTGTCATTCAAGTTCATGTCTTTCATAGGATCAGCAATGGCATCCATGTCAAAGCCAGTATCGGTAAGACCTGCCTCATTATCACGACGGCCCACTTCAATACCGGCATTAAGGCCACGTTCAGTGTCATAATTGCCAAAGTTAAAACTACTCAAATCATTTAAATTGATGTCTTGAGACATGGAAATGTCACCAAGACTATCAAAAATAGGATCGTATTCGCTAGCAGGCACATTGGCATGAAAGGGAAGATCAGGAAGCAAGATATCAAATTCAGTCAACTTATCTTGCAAAGTGATTGTATTGACATTGGCAATAGAATGATGAATATCAGGCATGTTCACTTCACCTTTCTTGAAAGCCTTTCAAGAGATATTAGTGAATAGAAACAGACAAATTTACATACTAATTTGATCTTTGTAAGAGCTTCGTTACAGTCTTCTAAAAGATATCTTGTCTTTCTTGAATAGATACGAACAACACCAAGCAGCAATTGACCAGAAACACGCAAAGTCAAGGGTTCTTCGTCTTGGTTGGTAGTGATGGTTTCTAAATAAATGTTGTTAGTACAATCTATAATACATCTTCAAGTTACCAATCGTCTTTTCGAGGTTAGTTTGCAAGAATTGTGATTTGGAGATCTTCTTTTCCCAGTGAGAAGCAAGCCAAACACGAGCTAAAGGCCCTTGCTTTGTTCTTAGTTGATCAGATATCATTTCGCTTGGTTACAAAGATAAAGGAGTAAAGAAAAAAAAACCTTTTATTTACACGCGTAACAAATGACGCGCTGTTTTGAAATCGCGCTTAAAGAATTCGGGATATAAACTACAAGTTTACCTTTCTTTCGTCTAGAGAGTTTTTTAGTATGTTGGTCTAATCACTCTTGGTGGTGCTCCGGATTTCACTATAATCCCTTGCGGAAGGCTGTATCTCTTAGATATCAACAATTGTGTCAAGTACCAGGTAATTGAAGACATTTTGAAATGATGTCCTCTACTTGTGGTACTGGTATTGCCATCTGTAGCATTGAACAAGACAAGATATAAAGAATACTGACTCTAAGGAGCAACGAACGAAAAACCTAACATATCCTTTTTAGGACATATTGAGGGGTAGCTCAGATGACGGCTATTTTATTGAGATTATATAAGACCCATATAATCGTACTGAATGCTTCCACAAAAGCATTGTTTTCAGGATATTTCATATGGCTAGTCACTTTGCTTCACATACACTAGTTTCCATTTATACGATGGTTTTATTTCTTTAAAATAAAACTTTCATCCAATACAAAAAAAAATTACAAGTACTTCTAATACAATTTGGCATTTGCATAAGTATATAGTGCTTTATTTTGTCTACAGTTGCCTAGAAAATAGTGTTTATTACTGTAGTCATGTCAAATCATTGAACATGTATATCTTTGATCTATCTGTATTCAAAGACAAAGTGAAATTTATATTGACTTGTTCATTATAGTCAAAATCCCTTTTTTCAGCAGGGAGAAAGGTATCAAAAAGAAAGAATTGCTGATAAGATATGCATTATATTCTAAAAGCTGATAGCGTTTCAAATACGATAAACAAGTTTTTTTTCTCTTTGCAAAATCTAACAAGAAACGAGTTACTATTCTTTATCTAAAGTATCTTTAAATGTAGACTAAGGATGTCTGAGTAAGAAAAGGTATAACATAAGCATGTTTTCTATCAATAACCATGCCATCTAAACCTAATCTCGAGTCTTTAGTATTACTCGATATGCCTGGCAGGATAAAATATTCAAAACCAATGAAAACCGTCTTCTCTTTTTTCGTGTGTGTAAAGCACATCGGATTGTACTTATTCAAACTGTCCCGTGTACTTGCTTGTTGCTGTAACAAATCAATGCTGTTGCTTAGTAGTGTCATTTTTGGGCCCAAGATAAATGAAATGATTGGATAATATCTGATTCATGATGAGAAAGAAAGAAAATTCCCAGAGTACACACTTGTAAAAACAAGATAAAGTTTAATTCAATCGTCCTTTTTATTCTCTGTCTATTCGCTATTTTCTCGATCTATTCTCGGTTGAATTAAATGTATGTATGTAAGTAAACATTTGAAAATGCAACTCGATCTGTCCTTTCGCTGTTTCTTTTTTTTTTTTTTTTTTTTTTTTTGCATTAAAAAAGTGAATGACTATCTGTGCGTAGTACAATCAAACGTTTATCTATGATATCATTGGATGGCTGGTACAGTTGAACAACATAGAATTACCATAAAAAGACGACTATCTTCGGAATTTGTGGGGAGAGGGAAAAGTGACCAGATAAACAAAGTATGTGCAGATCACAAGACGCACTTTGTGTAACTCTCTTTCTTTTGATTCGACTTGAATGGGAAAACTTGTTTAATTCTGATGTGGGAATGGTTTCGTAATATTTTTTCTTTTAATACATCTTAGAGCTACAACAAAAAACAAATCGAAAGTTTATCAAAACTAGTGTTACATTAAAAGGAAATTATCATTTTCTCAGTAAAATGGTAAGACGATACACTCAAGTTGTTCTTTAAGATAAAGGTAAAAAAATTCATTGATAATAAAATAAAGTTTAAAACCACTCCATTTAAGTGAATTCAGTTATTTTATTTTATCAGAAGGAAGGTATTTGAATATCTCAGATTATTTCCTTTTATGTATCTTGTCTCTCACGATATTTATGCTAGCCAAAAATAACGATTTGATAGATCAAACCTATATAAACCAGTCTTGTTTTCTCTTTATTTATTCTTCCTTCATTTTTTTTTCTTTTATCAAAAAATGGCTGGTGAAAAAAAAGAAATAGACAATATGTCAAACTATTCTCACAAGGAAGAAACCAAGATAGAAACCTTGACTGATGAAAATGACAGAATCACTGTCAGTTCATTAGAAAGTCAAGAACAGCCTCAATTGAAAAGATCCCTTAAATCTCGTCACTTGGCTGTAAGTACTTGGCTGTTTATTTTGATTTACTCATGGTATTAGATGATTTCCCTTGGTGGTGTCATTGGTCAAGGTCTTTTCCTTTCTTCTGGTGCCAATTTAAACCATGCTGGTAAGAAGTAGTGTATTTTCTAGGCCATTACTAACATTAGTCTATAGGTCCTGCTGGTGCTCTTATAGCTTATGCAATCATTGGTTTTATTGTCTTCTGGGTCACTTTCTCTTTAGGTGAAATGGCCACTTATATTCCTGTAAGTAATAATCAAAGACCCGCCCTATCTGTTTGCATTATCTAATCTGTATTCAAATTTTTAGGTCTCAGGTTCATTCACCGTCTTCTGTCGTCGCTTTGTCGATACTTCCTTTGGTACAACAATTGGCTATAACTACTGGGCTTGTTGGGCTATTATTGTTGCTAGTGAACTTACTGCTTTACCTCTTATCATGGAATTTTGGACTACAAAAGTTCCCAGTTGGGCCTGTAAATATTAAATTATGTTCCCTTGTTCTTTCATCTAACCTCACAATAATAGGGTCTGGTATCTGGCTTGTCTTGATTTTCCTTCTCAATATGTTTGGTGCTCGTAGTTATGCTGAAGCCGAATACTGGTTCAGTGTGGTTAGTAGAACATACACACTTGTTATTGGTTTACTAAAATGTTATATTTCATAGATCAAAATTTTAGCTGTCCTTGTCTTTATCATTGTAGGCTGCATTACAAGTGGTGGTCTTATTGGGTAATAGACACCTTCTATATATGTAATTTACTTATCTCTCTTTATAGTAACACAACTCCTCACGAAGTCTATGGTTTCAAATACTGGAGTAACCCTGGAGCCTTCTCTAACGGTGCTCTTGGTGTCTTGAATGCTTTTGTCTTAGCCTCTTTTAGTATGCAAGGTACAGAAATCGTTGGTATCACAGCTGGTGAATGTGAAAACCCATTGAAGGTAAATACTTTCTACATTGCTTTTGCTTTTTGATTTAACCATCTTTATTAGCAAGTTCCCCGTGCCATCAGAAACGTATTCTGGCGTATTATTATTTTCTACTTGGGTTCAGGTAATGTGAACACAAACACGCATCATCATTTAATTTACTAACCTTTTTGATTAGTTTTTGTGATGGGTATGTTGATTCCTTGGAATGATCCCCGTAACTTGTCCGGCTCTGGCAGTGTCACTGTCTCTCCTTTCACTATTGTGTTCGAATTGGCTGGTTTATCAAGTGTTGCTCACATCATGAATGCTGTCATTTTGATTACTGTCCTTTCTTGTGCCAACAGTGGTATGTACGTCAGTTCCCGTATGTTGTGCGCCCTTTCCAATGAAGGTATTGCTCACCGCAAATTATGTAAGTAAGACACAGCAACAAAACGAACTTAAACTAACCATCGTCATTAGCTTACATTTCCAAGCGTGGTGTCCCTATTTATTCCTTGATCTGTACTACCCTTGTCTGTCTAATAACTTTTGCTACTTCATTTATTCCCGGAAAAGCTCTTTTCCTTGTCTTGACCAACCTCTCCGGTGTCGCTGGTTTCGTTACTTGGGGTGGTATTTGTTTTGCTCACTATCGTTTCCGTAAGGCACTCAAGCACCAAGGTCGTCTTACTTCTGATTTACCGATCACCACTCCTTTCCATCCCTTTGGTGATATCTTTGGCATGGTTGCCTGTACTGTAATTGCCTTGATTGCTGGTTACTCTTACTTTGTTCCTGCTGATGCCGTTGGTTTGATCGGTAACTATGGTGGTCTTATTGTCTGCGCCATTTTATACATCACTCTTAAGCTTTGGACCAAGTCTAAGATGATCCCTATTGATCAAATTGATTTGGATACTGGAAGAGCCGATTTCTCTAATATCAAAGAAGACAGTGAAAGCGAGATCACTGGTCCTTGGTACAAGCGTATCTTTAAGCGTATTGTGAATATCTTAACTTAGTTCTTTCTTTTTTTTTTATAATTATTTGTAATATTAATCTCTCTTTTAACATATAACTTATTTTATCCGTTATACAATTAATTCCCCTTTTCTTTTAAAATAAATCATGAAATATTTGAACAAACACTTGAATGTAGCATATGATCTCTTTTATCATTTCCTGACTTGGTGAGGGATATCTACAGTGATTTTTTATAGAATCAATGAACCATTGATTAGGTTTAAAAAGAGATTTCGCAAAACACAGTTACGCCCCTAGATTTGATTCAATGGCCACTAGAATCTCATTTCCCTAACAAATGTATCAAAATTGCTTATTCATGCCAATTCGAGAAGTTCCTGCGCCCATTTCAAGTTACAGCCTTTCCATAACAACTTGTCGCGTTTTAAATTTTTCTTGACGGATTTCAAAAATTGGCTTGTTGCATATTGAATTTACACTTGTCGCTTTACTATTTTAATTCTGATGAAGAGATGAAGATATTGAGTTAATGGAGTTAGATGAGCTTGGCGCTCAAGTTAAGAAACTAGTCACAACGGAATGCTATTTGAAACAACAGTCAGATGCCAAAGTTGAGACGGCAAAAACCGAGGAGGGACTTGCAATGAACACTAATCCCAAAAAGAAGACAAAAAATTAGCACATTCTATTCAGAATACGACAAGGTGAACTTAATCCTCCATATGCTGGCAAAGACACCCAAGAAAATTGCACCTGTAGCTAGAAAGCACGACATCAATGAGCGTACCGGTCAGCGTTGGTGGAATCAGTATAAGAACGATTCAGATTCTTTTTTCCTTCCAAAAGTCAAAGGAGATCACAAAAAGCTTAAAGAAGAGCATCGCGCTTTCTTGACTGACTTGCTAGACGAAGACCCTGCAATCAATGTCGAACAAGCACCGGAGCAGTTAGCTGCTAAGTTTGATGGACTGCAAATTGGAAAGTCAACAGTTCATAGCTTTATTACCAAAGACATGGGATTTACTTTTAAAAAAGCTGCTTTTCACATCCTTAAAAGAAATGATGAGGGTGCTATTGAATGAAGCACGATTCAAGTGGGCTAGACAAGTGATTGAAACGGACATGAGTTTTCTTAAAAACTATGTATTTATTGATGAGTCTGGCTTCTATATTAACATGAATCGTAGTGGTGTGTGGGCACCAAAGAGTGAGACATCCATCGTGAAGGTTGAAAATACTAAGGCCGTTTCAGCATATGCAGTCGTGAATGTCAGCATTCGAACTCCCAACTTAGCCACCAAGAAGCTTGTTCCTGTAGAGGTTGGTAAAGAGAAAACCGAGCAAATTCAAGAGATATCAAATTCTCGAAGAGGAGTCCCTGCAAAACCGTATCACTGAAGCCTGCAGCCAAATCCCTCAAAGCCATCTTTATGGTTTTGCTAAGCACTCTCATTTGAGCTTGGAAGATTGTTTGAATAAAAAAGCCATTTAATCTCTTTCTATTACCCATAGACTCTTTATGACTCTCGTACAACTTAGTTAGTTTATATCAGAGTTATGCATAGGAAAGCTTTGATGGCTTGCACCAAAGCGACAGGTCAAAAAAAAAATGCAACAAGTGTTTATAAATTGCGACAAGTTGTTATGGAAAGATTGTATTTTTTCATCCGCAGCATAAAAGCAGTCTAATAATTAAAGGTCACTGACAGATCGTCAACAACTTATAAAAAGCATTTTTTTGTTCCTCTTTTCTCTTTTCTCTCTTCTCTGCATATATTACAATGGTTGCTATTGTTTCCAACGAAATGAATGAATTCGTTAGTTCTCTTCCACAAGGGAACTATGTTGAAGCAGTCCGTAACTCTTGCACGCGTTTCATAGAACAGAGTCCTATCAATATATCTGAAGAAGGCATCCACAATTTCTTAACAAAGCTGGATAAATTACAATACGAAGAACTCGCCTATGACTCTACAATGAAAATGCCACTTCGTTTCGAAAAAGTAGAAGACGAGATAAACTTTGTCACTTTTATTGACCTATTGAACTTTGGTAGTGGTTATCGCGTCCCACTTCATGAATTGGCTGGCAGAGGGTAAATAAATTGCTCGACTTTCACATACTCATCATGCAATTCTATAGTGCTTTTGATACGATCCGATTTGGAGCCATGTCTTTTCATATTGGTGGTAAACCTATGGACGCAGAAACATTTAAGAATATCTCGATCTTTGAAGTATCTGAAATATTTCAACTGCCTATTGACAGAGAAGTACGCCATGAAACACTTGATTTTGTCACCATGACAGAACCCACAGCCCTCAAACCTTTTGCAGCTGGCCTAACAACTGTTCTCAACACAACAGGTGATTACTTGAAAGCCCATAATTACAAGGATCTCGCAGATTTCATCATGAATCATGTCAAGAAGCAGCCTCAGAATGCCTCCTATCTTGTCGAACAATTCATTCAAGCATTTCCTGGTCTTCATGATAGCTATCAATTTCCTAATATCTCTGAACCTGTCTACTTGTACAAGAAAGCCCAAATTATTGTGTATCACTTGTGGTTCACATTTAGAGAACAACTTCCTCAGTATTTTGACTTTAAAGACATTGACACATTGACTGTGTTTTCAGACAATGTGATCCCCACCATGCTGATTCATTTGGGTGTGATTACAGATGTTCCTGAACAATGGCAGCAAGATATCAACAACAATAAGGATCTTAGTGTCCAAATAGCCACTACATTAAGAGCAGCGGGTGTTGTTGCCTGCGAGGAGATTGTCAAGGCTTCAAAAGCAGGTACTGGACCTGTTGCTCATATGACAACAGGTGGACTGGATGTTTATTTGTGGAGATTGGGCAAAGAGGGTGATTATAGAAAAGTGCCTCGCTTCCAATTAAAGGACACTGTGATGTTTTAATTATTGTTTTGTTTCCCAGTCAGCATATTTAGCTGCTGCACTCATTCTTTCAATAAATTCTGATTTGACACATGAGTCTGAATTGATGCGTGATAGTAGCTGGTTTTCGTGTTCTGCAAGAACGGTTGATTTTGATCTATCTGAATAAGCCGTAATTTTAATGTTGTATAGTTTACAGTCTAGGGACCCAAGTGCTGGGGACAGGAAATAATAGCGAGGATATTCAAAATCTTGTTGTTCTCCTTTGAGTTGGACTGCTGGTACATGGATTGGATGGTTAAGATCACTAGGGTTTTCAAATGTGGCTTCAATATAAGGTTTTTGTTTAGTATTGAAAGGTCTATGCAGTTGTACTAGCCAAGAATAACTTTCATAAGTAAATAACTGAAAAAATCAACCCTAAACTTACTGTGCACCGAGTTGTTCATTTTTTGCGTTGATAGCAAAACTTGCGCTTAGGTCTTCAAAGTACTTTGACTTTTTAAAGTGAGGTTCTTTCACCTTTTTATCAAACAAACAACCACAAGAAAAATTCATTAAAGAAAAAAGAAAAAAAAAGAAAAAAGAGTCTTGTTCGGACTGACAATTGAATGCTTATTATGTCATTTGGATAATAGGAAGCAAACCAGATTATTCCCGAATTTCATTTTCTCTTTCACTTTCTTATTTTCTTATGAGCCATTTGTTTCGAGATTATCGATTTGGCTCCGAAATTGACAGTTCAGAAGGTCGTTCAGTTGCATCTTCGCTTATAGCACCCAACTCGGATAGACCTTCGATTCAAGATAATGCCTATTATGAACCTTTGACTTCAAGCTTACTCGCTAAAAAGAATCAACTTGACAGTCGGGAGCACAAAGAAGATCCGTCAAAAAAGACAAAAACAAAATCCATTTCACGAAAAGTGCCAAAAAATTTTGTTGATTCCAACGACTCGGAACGTGGTACACAATATCATACATCAAACAGTAGTCAATCGGTAAATACAAGTCATGCTTCTTACAGCCAAAACACGTTTGAACATAATTCACAATCAAATACAGACAGAGCAAGGCGATTTTCTGGACTAATCAGATTGTCAGCAGCTCATATTGCACTAAAAAGAAGCGATAAAGAGGAGCAATCCCAGCACGCCTTGTATAATATATTCCGTGCACTATCGACGATTGCTTCACGCGTCATGAATTGTCGTGTTTCGGAACCAATGGATACCCGTATGTCCGTAGACGAGTTCATTTCACTATCTGAATATTTAAAGACAATGAAGCCATTTTCAATAAGCGATGAACAGCAGCAATTGGGACAAAATCAACCAATTCCTGAAACAATTCATTCTGACTCTCTAGAAACTAACCAATATACAACTTCTGAATTCAGCAAAAAAAGAAGAAAGTTTGGAAGCTTGGGCTACATGTTTTCCTTTGCACCTTCAAGGCATATCACTAGCAAATACAGCGACACAGAAGACGAAGAAGAGTCAAACGATACAGATAATCTATTGTCTCCCCCCTCTGCTTCTGATCATGACGCCACTGACTTTCGCTCCTCAAGTAACATATTTTATTTCATGTGTCATGCGTTTCAATTTGTTAAAAACTATGTTCAACCAGTAAAAGACAATTACATACAGATCCAATTTCAAGGCTGGTCCTTGTTTCTATTCTCACCTACTAGTCAAATACGCTTAATGTTGTGGAAAATAATTGGGTCCAAGTATGTAAAATAGAGGATTTCTATTTTAGAGTCACTCATAGTTTATTTCTAGACAGTTTGAAGTCTTTGTTTTCGTACTCTTACTATGCCAATGGGCTATACTTTCTCTTGTACCAATTCGATTTAGCGCAAAGGAACCTTTTTTTTCATATCCAGTAGACTATTTACTTTTCATCATTAACTCGGTGTTCACGTGAGTAAGAATACCTATTTAAAAGAAAGGATACAAGACAAACTAACTTGTTCATGTGGTATGTAGATTTGAATTGCTGTCAAAGATAGTGGTATACGGCTTTTGCTTGAACAAGCACTCGCTAAAAAAGCCTACTCTATCTTCAATCTTTGGTCGTGTTGTCAATGTGCTAGGTATGTCTTTAGCTGAACGCGAATCGACTATAAAATATCGACGATTATCCATTCAAAGCCAAGATAGCGATAAAAGTGATACGACATCTATTCATTATCTTCGGCAGCGATTGCCTGCTTTTGCCGCTAATCCACAGTCCCGCTCTACGTCTTTCTCAAGTGCTTCAAATATAAGTCATCGTCAAAATAGAATACAAGACGATGGTAGTGATTGTTTAACCAATGGTTCGTCTCAATTGATTGAATCCTTTAAGCGAAGACCTCGCAATGGTAATGGACGCAAACAAGAAGACATCAATACAAACTTAGCTGCTGCTAAATATCAAATCCTTGCTAGTCTTAAACCAACATTAGGCAACGACTCTTCAACTGTACAAACACTTGAAGTAACTCACAAAGTCTTTTTATCAAGTATAGCCAACATAATTGACTTGATATCTATTGGCTCATATTGGGTTGATGTTGCTATGCTGCTCTGCTTCCATCAGTTGCCTTGGTCTGTCTTTCAAGCATGCGCTTGTATTCGAATTTTTCGCTTGTTGGTACTGACAGAAGGCACATCAGTCATTATGGAATCTATCTTCAGTAGTCTGGATATGTTAAAAAATGTCATGGGCTTCTTTGTCTTTTTCTGGATTTTATTTTCTCTGGCAGCACTTGGTCTTTTTATGAACGCATTTAGTCGACAATGCGCAGTTTTACCACTAACTCAGAATCAAACCATTCAATACGTTGAGCCTCGAATCTCTTGCAGTGGTTATATTCTAAACGAATCTCAGGAGCGCACAGGCGTCTTTGACCTTGAGTCCAAAACACAGTTTGCCTATATGGGTGCTGACGGGCATTACTGTCATTTCGGTCAAATATGTGTCCAGGATTCAATCAACCAACCTGAACATGGTTACATGAGCTTTGACAACATCTTTTACGCCATGCTTAATATGTTTACCATTATTTCAACTGAAAATTGGACTGATTTGCTCTATATCACACAAAACAGCATATCTACTATAGGAGCAGCTGCTTTTTATTCGGTTTGCATTTATTTAATGACGTTTATTCTCGTTCCTATGTTTATTGCTGTGATTACAACTTCATTTTCACGCAGTAGAGGAGACATGCGACAGAGTGCTTTTTCTTCTCGTGAAAAGGCCTCTAAGAAAGCATTTTTAAGCTCTAAAAAGAGTAGGAAAGAGCCTAATCGTATGCTTTCAAATGAAGAAGAGGAAGAAGAAGAAATAGAAGAATGGGTTTACGACGAAAGTGCGGATTTAAACAATAGAGCAGCACATACAATTCTGAAAAGAATGTCCAGACTGAAGAACTTGACGTATACAATGATTTATCATGCTCGATTCAAGTACTTTTGGAGCATTATGGTGTTGATAAATATGATTGCTATGTCGTTTTTTCAATCAAGTTTTTCTATAGAACATAAACAGCTTTTAGGTAAATTATGCTTATGCTGGGTCACTCGTTAAAGCATTTCATATGTAGATCTCTCTAATCGAATCTTTAACATCATGTTTGTTCTGGAGATTCTGATGCGTGTCTATGGAAGCTTGGGCTGGAAGCAATTCTGGTATCGCAAATTCACGAACAAAACTGACTTTGTTCTCATGTTGGGCACTATACTGGGCGAATTTTCGTTTATTAAGTCGAGCAAATATCATCATTTGTTTGTTCTATTTGCTATTCTAAGATCTTATCGCATAGCATATCTGTTTCCCGGTGTGCTTCAATTGATTGTAAGTTAATTATGAACTTGTCTGCTTGATAATTAATAATTACTCATAGTCAGATGTAGTCGGTGAAGGACAAGGCATTATAAATCTTACTTTTTTCACTTTTCTTGTTCTTTTTCTATTATCACCATTATCTGTTCAACTATTTGGTGGCGATTTTACATTTGTAGACGAAAACGAACCTTCAATGAGGTTTGACAACTTTTACCAAGCTTTTTTGTCCGTATTTCAAGTAAGACAACGATAAATAAAGAGGAAAATGGTGCTAATTTAATTTTCTCTAGATAATGACAGGTGAAAACTGGACAGATATACTTTATGATGCAATGTACAGTCAAGAGTACGCATCTATTACTTATGCTGCTGTCTTTGTCACATTTCTTTACTTTGCTGTTCATTGTAAGAATTTCTTCCTTTTTTTCTGAAAAAGACTCATTTGTCATATAGATTTAGTGCTTAACCTTTTTGTCGCTGTCATTATGGAGAACTTTGATCTCGAGGAAGAGGAGATCAAAAAGATTCAGATTAAGAAATATATAAGAGAACGACAGTGGAAGCCTGAGTATTTTAAACTCGATAGGATTACAAGGTAACCTTCAAACTTTGACAGGACTCTCACATTTTTTATAATAGATTTTTGTTGCCATTTTCTATCATGCAAGACGAAAAGAAGCTCAAATTGAAAAACATACCTCAAAGTTTAGTAGCCCGTGTGACAAGCTATAAATTCAAGGAATTTTTTGTCCAGGAGAATTACAGCGGTGAAGACGAAGACGAATCTTTAGTTTCCTATTGTGAACATGTATCGCTTCCTCGAAGACTTTTAAATCTCTTAACATTTAAATCAAATTATTCACTCTATCATCAGTATCGTCCTTCGTCTATTTCATCAAGCAGAAGTAGCGTAGCTAGTAGTCGACGAACATCTATATTCTCTCAGCACAGTACACATTATAGTGTTTATAATGGCCATCATCAAGTGTTACCTGGATATTTTACAAGCGATTTTGAAGAAGAAGAGATGCCAGTTAAATATGGTGATGAATATGAAGTCAATGTTGCAAAAGAAAACAAGGCAGTTATTATCGAAAATTTGAATCTTTTTCGCTCTATGATGGTACTCGGTAACGACAGTACACTGCGTAAACTGTGTACTAGGCTTGTTGGTAGTCGAAATTACAAAAAGCTCATTATTGCTTTGATTTGTGTCAGTTCGATATTAGCATTATGGGCAGATGAATCCAGTCGCCTTCGTTATCCCCAACTTATTTCGACTTGCATTGAACCTGTGCACGCGGTCCTTCTTGCCTTTTACTTGACAAATGCCTTGATTCATATGGTAGCAGATGGTATCTTTATTTTGCCAAAATCATATTTGCGCAAGATTTGGAATATACTTGACGTCTTAGGTCTGCTTACTCAAGTTGTCTTAACGTTATTGAATCTAATCACTAACTCAACTGAAGAATCAAAACACTATACAAGCTATTTGCGAGTGCTAAGGACAATAAGATTGCTTCGAATCATGTATCACTTCGAAAATATGCGAGTCATATTCTTGGATTTGTTGTATGGGTTACCGAAAATGGTTGATGTAGTGACATTGAACTTGCTTGTATTTATTCCGTTTGCTATCTATGGATACTATCTGTTTAGCGGCCGATTCTTACAGTGTAATGATGCTAACATGGGCTCCAGACAAGTCTGCTTGGGTGAATTCAAGTCCTCAGACGGCGACACAAACGACATACTATTGCCTAGAGTATGGAGAAATCCTTACGACTATTCTTTTGACACTTTTGGGAAATCCCTTTTGCACTTGTTTGAATGTGCATCTGGAGAAGGATGGGTAAATATATCAAAGATAAAAAAGAATCCTTGACTAACCAATTCAGATTCGTTCACTATTTACTGCAATGAGTATTGATGCCAACTCAAATGATATTCAACCTAGATTCAATTGGTCTTCAACTGCCATATTTAGCTCACTTTATTATGTCGTATTTATGTTTGTAGCTTCACTTTGCTCGATTCAACTATTTATTGGTGTAAGTTCGTTGGCGGGAGGGGGATGCATTATCTTACATGTACATTTAGGTGTTTTTGGAAATTTTTAAGCAAAGAAATGGCATTGCTTCACTTACAAACACACAGAGACAGTTTCAAGACCTTCAAAGACAACTCTCGTTGATCAAGCCTTCTAGAAGAGCATATAGACCTCCTGATGGTACATTACGAGCCACACTTTATGACCTTGTGATAGATAAGCGTGGTAAATTTGCAAGGTTCATGGCTGGAGTTATAATGGCAAACGTGGTTGTATTTGCTACTGAGCATGTAAATCAGCCATTATGGCTCACCAAATTTCAAAGTAAATCAACATATATAGATCGAACTTGAAATCTAATATTCTAAAAAAAATAGCTGTTTCGTCTGGCGTCTTTGTATGTCTTTATATCTTTGAGATAGTAACAAAGATTCTTGGACTAGGGTTTTCAAAGGTAACAATGATTAATAATATACATGCCTCTTTAAAAAATTGGGCTTTCCCTTTAGTGGATATCTGCTAGCTGGAACATCTATGATTTCGCGTTGGTCAGTTTAGGTAAATTACTTGAAATCTTATCAACTTTTATAAAGCGACTAAATAATCTCACCAATTGATAGTTCTCTTGACATATATTTCAAAGCTGTATATTCAGAATGACTCATCTTTCAAACTTGGCCTTGAATTGTCCAGTAAATTGTTTTCAGTAGGCATCGCTTTCCGACTAGCACAACGTATTGAATCTCTAGACACATTATTTAAATCAATCAAGTAAGATACATATAAAGTAAAATAGATAATGCTCACACATTTATACCAGACGCGCTGCTCCTTCTATTTTTTCCGTCACTTCTGTGTTTGGAATAGTCATGATCTGTTTTGGTGTCATATTTCAAGAAAACTTCTCATCGACTAGATATGGGCCTTATGGAAATGAGCATGCTAACTTTCGATCATTGTTTAACACCATGTTGACCCTATTTCGTATTACTACGGGTGAAGATTGGGTAGATACTTGCTACAAAAAAAGAATCATTGGCTGATAAATTTGATAGGATGCTCTTATGCATGATTTCTTTGTTCTCTCTCCCTCTTGTGTTGGCAAGGATGATTGCGGCTCACCTATGTATGCAGTAGTCCTCTTTTCTATTTTTTATGTTATTTGTACGTATATCTTTGTTAATCTCTTTACAATGGTATGTTATATGCACAAAAGGAGGATTTGCTTTGACATTTGTCTTTATAGATTGTCATTGATAATTTTTCTTTTACCTTTGATAAAAGAAATCAATTTACGTTGATTACAAGATCAGACTTAAGAAGGTGAGTGTAATTGTTTAGTATTTTTTTGTAATTTAAAACAATTTTTTTTTATGTAGCTTTAAAACTGCTTGGTCAATATTGGATCCTTCTGCAACTGGGTTTATAAACATTGATCAAGTACCGCAGTTCTTAAATGTGAGTGAAGTTTTTTCGTAATAATAAATCTAACCTTAGCATAGTGCTTAAATGGTATTTTTTCCATTCAAGTTTATGATAAAGAGCATAGCATAAATGCTTTACTAGACGTTGCTAATCAGATTGATATAAATCCTGCACATTTGGTTACTATACCTCGGTCGGACGCATACGTACCTGATGGCAATAATATAAATTCAGAAAGAAATTTCAATCTCTACGAATTAAACCAACGACTGTCGACTATTGATCCACAAGCTATTAAAGAAAGAAAGCAAAAATATACAGAAGTTTATCAGGTAATTTTGAGAAATTATGTATTGTGTATTCATGTGAGCTTAGGAAATTATAAATTCAGCGTCTCGCAAAGGTATTGCTTTTCAAGACATGTTACGTATTTTGGCGTTACAGCTGGTTGACGTCTCAAAATCCCTAACGTTTGATGAGCTTGTTCATCGCGCTAAAGTCAGGGACAAAATTGCAAAGCAATTAGCTATGGAAAAAGCACGGGGATTAGTGACTATGATAGTCAAAAGGAGAGAATTTTTGAAATTGCATCAAAAAGAAAAGAATCTAATGTCTCACCAAAATCATCATGGCCGAGATAGTATAGCCATAGTAGGAAAATGGCTAAAACTGCCTCATGTCGATAGGAAAGTAGCCTCCCCTATAAAGAAGCCGCCTAGTATTATGCGGCCTATACAACAATCTAATGAAAACTATCAAACTAATAGTAATGAAAGCTCTGGTAAAAAAAAAAACAAACTTTCATTTTTACATATTTGCTAATAGACCTCCTTGTCATTACAGTACCTAAAATCGTAGTGCAAAATTTTGATGGAAAAAGTGATGATGACTTGACAAACGTATGTTCATCATTTGACAATCAGCAAAATGCATCGAAGCTATTTGAACAATCCTCTGCAGAGTGGTATCCTAAAACAAATGCTTCAGAAACTTTTTTAAGAAGATCATCATCTGCTTCAACTATTAACAAAGCACCAGAAAATTCAATGCTTCAAAATTGGCCTAGAAGAAACTCGACTAATTCAGCTCAATTTATTAGAAAAGCACATTCCATGCCTTCTATTTTGATGAGCATGGGAGCAGAAACTATTTATAACCAAGTTTTGAGTAGTGATATACATTTGTCTACAGATGAGGATGCTTTCACCAAGTGTTATTCATTAGACGATATAGCAAAAGATATGAACGAACAAATGGCTAATGAAATTATGTGTAAATTCCAGAGTAGTATATGGTCAGGTATGCAGTGCATTCATTTTCATATAATAGGAATGATGCTCATATATATGCCTCAAAATAGATATGCTCGTTGAATTAGAATAGGGCTTTAGCGCACGATTATTCTTGTCTATGTATGTTTGATCAGAACAAGATTTAAATAAATCTAATGAAATTAAATTTTACTGATAGATTTCAGAGAAAAATCAATGTATGAAATTCTTTATTATATTCTATTCTAGTATCATGTTCATCCAAAATCAAGGCAACATGATGTATCTGTATCAGTAAGCGTAATGTTACTGGCATAGTTGTGTAATACCTCTCATCAAAGCTCAAGTTCGACCAAGGCTTGTTTTGAGCTATAATAAAAAATAACAGTTGAAGAGTGGGTTGTTTGTTTCTTCCTTTTGCGTAACACTACCTTCTCAATTGCGTGGGATGCATAATCGAAAATAGTTTTATTTGGAGACCTTGGTTCAGGAGATCTATTCTTTGTATCTGGAATTGATGGCCGAGTACGATAAGCGTTTTCTACACCAAAAGGATGATCAGACAGGTGTCAATTCTAGGCAGTAGAAAGCTGTTATTTGACAAGGAATCTGAAGCACGTTTAGTCGGAAGCATGTCAAGCTATGGAAAATAGCAGGGAATAGCAGGGAATAGCAAAACAATAGAAAAAAATGTATGTGTTTTAGATTTTCGAAATCAATTTGTTCCTTAACGTAATAGGCTCATAGAAAAACGATTTTTTATTCGCTTTTTGACAACTTTTTTGACAAGAAATCTTCCATTGAATGCAGAAGATTTTCATCAAGTTTGAGAATTCTTCAATCATTGGAAGAAATTCTTGGTCAAATCTTCATTCAAATATGGAAGAAAAATGCAATTGCTTACGCTGTGATGAGAATATATTTTTTAGCCTAAAAATAACTGTTTTTCAGAAACGTTTCTCTGCTGATCCACATAGTATACTTCCGCATTGGTATTGGTTTTGTCAAATTCATACTCAAAGTTTATTAATTTGTTAGTTTTATAAGAAAGGCCCTTTTGAATATATGGCCTTTAGTTGCTCGGACTTGATCAATTTATGAGAATGGCTACACTAGGCTAGAAATACCTCAAGAGAACAAAAAAAAAATGCAGAGAAGGGTATTGATCTAATCGTGTGTCTGAGCGAGGTTCTATAACCAGAGAAGAAAAGAAAGCATGTAGTTAGATGTTGGAAGGTGTAGATTGTCTGTGATAGCATGCTACACAGAGGTGATCTGGCATGAAAGCGAATGTATGGAGGCCCATTTGATACGTTAATAAAGCACAGAGCTGGTATTCTTGAGTGTGTTTGTGAGAAAACAGCTTATAAACCTCTGAAAGACAAAGGGATTGGTCAAGGGCGCTTTTGCATTCTCTAAAGCCACCTTGAGCAGTGTCTAAGGACAGTGCTTAGCCTTGAAGAAGCTTCTTGATGCATCTTTTGAGCGTTTTTGGAAGTAGTAGTCAGAATAGTTAGATAGTAATTGACTGGGTCAGTTGGGATGCCTTTCTCATGAATTGGGTCTACTTATGCGACTTGTCAACAGTGAGGCGTGTATTGCCAACGCTAACACAGATAAAAAAAATACGGAGAACCACAGGAATGCTAAAATTTACGATATCGATACAAAAATTAAAGCTAGAGTCATGAAAGGATCAGGATAACAACCGTAGATGTCAGGAACTTTTCATGAATGCAATGAATTTACCGAAAAATATGCATGTTTTCCAACTTCGCTAAAATTTATGCCGACTTACAAGTATGCCGTTTGTATATTTAAAAAAAAATTAAATAAATCAAAAATATTTTCTGTAGACAAAAGATAAAAAAGAAGGATATTTTTTAATTTTCTTGTTATAAATTAAAAAAAGAAGGATATTTTTTAATTTTTTTGTTATAAATTAAAAAAAAAAAGTCAATTTTTCGATTTTTTTATTGTAAAATAAATAAACAAATCTACCAGTTGATGGTCTTGCTGTTTTTAATTTGAAAAGGATATTACTGCCTGGTAGATTTGTTTATTTATTTTACAATAAAAAATCGAAAAATTGACTTTTTTTTTTTAATTTATAACAAAAAAATTAAAAAATATCCTTCTTTTTTTAATTTATAACAAGAAAATTAAAAAATATCCTTCTTTTTTATCTTTTGTCTACAGAAAATATTTTTGATTTATTTAATTTTTTTTTAAATATACAAACGGCATACTTGTAAGTCGGCATAAATGGTACTGGAGTTTACATTGATTAGGTATTCTGAAGTTAATTTTTTATGCTTTTTTTTTCCAGCACTGTCAACTGCCTTCTCCATTGCTATTATTTGTTGTGTTTATTGGCTCTTTCCAATTTGATACTCTGACTGAATCAATTATCAAATTATCGACAGAGTTTTGGTTAACTTGCCAGAGTACTATATCTGCTTCAGGGTGCTTCCAAGCCATTTCTAGTGCCTTTTGGGTTAAGTTTTGGAGCTGGCCTCTGCTGCCAATTAATTCTAATATGATGTGTCGATTTCTTGTCTCCAAACTGTCACCAAGACAATTTCTTCACTACATGATTCCTAATAAATTTTCCTTGCCTGTTATATACGAATAAATATTGCGACAATAAGTTACGTTTATACACCTACTGATTGGCTGGTCTACTCAAGCCGGTTTTCCAAGTGTCTGCAAGGTGATCAAGCAAGGCATAATGCTGGTCCAAGGTTGCTTCTTCTAGCTCTGGTTCCCTTTGGAGTTTGAAGGATATCTGTTCCAGACTTAGTAAGTTTCTCTAGTGTATATTTACTTTTTTTGAGTCTTCTTGTTTCTGTTTGAAAGTCTGATCAACTCTTGTTCAGAAAAGAAGAGGATTTGAAAACGCTTGGTCGCCACCCTGATTAAATCCATAATATATTTGTATTGTGTACGTCCCTCTTGTTTTTACCTTTGTACAATAAAAGATGTGCATGTAATTCATCTATATAACAGTTTTAATTTACTCGAATCTGTTGCTTTATTTCTGTTCTTCATTTTCAGTATAAGTTGATCAAAATACAGTTCGCTTGTCAAACTACAGTAATATTGTTACTAGTTTTTTTTTTATTTTTCTCCTTTCTATCAGCTCAATCAAAATTCGATTGTAGTTTGAAAGTGTCAACAAAGAAAAAAGGATGATCTTCAAAGCAGATAGTACCTAATATGCAAGTTGAAGAATCTTCCTTTTATATGGCATTCATCATTTATCATGTCCAAAACTGTTCTTTTGATCTCAAAAGTACCAAGTATCATAATACAGTCTGCTCGTCTACATTTTGAGCATCATATGATACTAGAATGATTGCTTACTGGCTAATCGATATCTGCTGAAAAGAGCCTCTTTTATGTTAGTTACAGTGTGCAATGAACTTTGATTGCAAATTTGAGGCCAATGCTCAAATCAACTCGCCTGTCTTATCTTAGTAAACTTGCTTTCTTTTCATCAGAAGTACCTAGACGTGGTCTTTCCTCGTTTCGGTTGTACCAGGCCTACATCAGGTCATTCCAAAAAATTTCTCGATGAACTTTTTTTTTTTTTTTTTATCGTAGACCTCCTTGGTTCCTCCCCCTCCCTCCCCCTCCCCTCCCCATAGGTCATGGGTCAAAAATATAAATTTCACAAAACTGCCAAATCAATAATACTATTCGATTGCTAAAATTGAAAGAACATGCTTTAAATAAAAAACGGACCGGTTTGATAGTCTGGTTGTCGAGTAATGGCGCATCAAAGAATAGTGCATCTAAGCTATATTTTGAGCATTTTTATTCTATATGTCTTATCGAACTTGCTAACCATAGAGCTACAAAAGACACTATATGCTATTAAGAACATCAATAAGCATAGAGCAATAGAAACATAGGCACTTTACGATGTAAATGTAGGGTAAATGAACATAGCATACAGATTGGCTGTTTGGTGGGGATTGAAATATATCCATTCCAGCTCTTCATCCTGCTGCATCGAGGATGGAGCTTTTGCTGAGAACTGCATAAAGACGCAGTTCCATGGCTTTGGTTCAGTGACAGAAGTTGTAGATCTTTGGTTTTTTTTTTTTTTTTTTTTTTTTAGTCTACTGGTGTAAGAAACATGACAACTTTGCTGCTAAAATACTGAGCAAATATGCAAAAATGCTCACAATGTTTTTTGCTCCTATCACACCATTTCTATAGTACAATTGACAAGCTGACCAGAAACTGAAAATTTTTGCGCTCATTTTGAGTATTTATGCTTGTCGATACCCTCATTTTTGGTCTTGTGATGTCAAAAAGAAAACCAAGAGTGGTCAAATCGAGCTTTTTTCATGAGTAGTACCCTTTGGTTTTGAGAGATTTTTGGCCATTTTTTACATGTCGCTTTTTTTGGCCCAAATCAACCCCAAAGATGTTGTGTATGTTACCGAACATTGTTTAAAGGTATCTAGAGCATCCAAGAGAGAATAAACAGGATTTATGCTACGCTTACATACGTAATGAAACCAAGCAGTTTTACATTCATTTTGGCATAACATGGGATGAAAACATTGCACACATTGTTTTAGTTATTCATCTTTACAGTTTCCAAAAATGCTCAATATAAGCTGCTTGAAGATGTTACAATTAGAGCCTCTCACAAAGTGTGTTTGATAATATAATGTAGTTTCTTGACAAATTTGATATTTGATTTTTGTTGGATTTAGTCAAATCTATCTCAATGATTGACATCTTTTTTTATGTTTTTCTAGGAGCTACAAACCTTAATGTTTATCCGGGAAAAGCAAATACTTGCTACCCAAAACAGGCATGCATATTCTATCGAAAATAAAGTGAAGAATGTGAAAACGAAACAAAAGAATACTTTTCTTTTTATATTCTGCTTAAACAAGTATGTCAGCAATATGAATTCACCATTAGAACTGTATAATCATGCTTCAACCAAACCAGCTCTTTTACCCGAGTCTTATCATCCTTTGATTTTCGTCAGTATCGGTGTTTGGGGATGGGCTATTACACTTGCTGTTCTTTACTGGCAACGTATCGACGTTAATTTACTCATTCAAACCAACCAAAATAATGCTAATCAACTAAGACCTCTTTTGCTATTAGCTGTCATCCTTTCCTGGCTAATATTCAGTCACATCCTTGTACTGGAAGATGTGATTTTTGTAAATCATACTAATATTTTTAACCATTTTGGTCCCATTGTATCTTGCTATAGCTTTATTTTCTGCTTAATATTCTTTGGCCCATGCTACAAAGAAAGTCAACGATTTCTCAAGTGTTTATACCGACTATTATTCAAATGCCACTATCATCAGGTGTATTTCTCGGACGTGCTTGTTGCAGACATTCTGATTAGTTTCTCTGGTGTATTTACTGGCATTTTTGTGAGATTAATGCAACAGACTGGTTTTGCCTATTCCAGATTGGTGCCAATTGTAACGAGGTATGATAAAGAAGAATATAAGAAGAAAAGTTGATGGCTTGATTAGTGTGCCTTATTTCATTCGGTTCAAGCAATGTTGCAACGACTATTTTAAAAAAACATCGGAAAGACATAGAAACAAGCGTCAACTGATAAATGCAATCAAATATGCTTCAGCAATTCCGGTCATTTTTTTGGCCCATCATACAAAAGTACCACCCGATCATTTTGGATACATTCGTACCTCATCAGATATATTATGGCACTTTTGGTAAGAAGATTGGTAATCATAAATTGTCTGTAACGATATAAATTAGGCTTTTTTTGGCTCTTTTGACAAGTGCATTTGCATTTGTTTGGGATCTTGTGATAGATTGGGGTCTTTTCCAAGTCAAGTTTTGGTCTTTTGAATTTCGAAAAGATATCCATTTTTCAGATCCACTTTGGTATATCATGGCAGTTGCTATCAATATGAGCTTAAGGCTACTCAAGATTGTATCTCACATGTATCAGATACACCCTTTTTGTGTGGATTTAGCGGAGATACTCCGGCGATGGATCTGGGTTATATTTCGATTTGAGCATGAATGGATCAAGAGATCATCTAATGTAGAAGACAAGCTATAATTTATTTTTGGAGTATTTTTTTTTTTACAATATAATTAAGTAGAAATAACCCAATCAGCAGCATAAGAAAAGTTTGTGAATTCTTGTTGTTCAATACGGTTCAAGTTGGAATCCATAGGCGTTAATGCGGGAACTTCATTAGTGAATTCTTCATCAAAGTTGGAAGTATCCAGACGACCAGAGATAGTGGGGTAAAAGGGAGGAGGAACACGCTTTGCCAGCATATCTTCCCAGTTAACACCACGGAAGAAAGGATGGAGCTTAATGGGGGCAGCGTCGTCAGGGCCAGCACCTAATCTTTGTGTAGGTTCACGTTGTAGTAATTGTTGGCAGATAGAGATAGAATCACTAGACATGTTGATAGGATAAAGAATATCATCTTCCAAGATAGCATCAAAGATTTCGTCTTCATCTTCGCCACGGAAAGGAGATTGACCTAGCAGCATTTCGTAGATCAAAACACCATAAGCCCACCAATCAACAGCACGACCATAGTTTTGTTCACGCAAAATTTCAGGAGCCATGAACTCAGGTGTACCACAAAAAGTACCTGTTGTCTTGCCGTAACCCATATTTTCCTTACACAAACCATAATCAGCCATTTTGATGTGACCATCTAGACCCAACATTATGTTATCTAATTTCAAATCACGATAAATGATTCCTTGGCTGTGGAAGTATTCAAGTGCCAAAAGGACTTCACAAGCATAAAATTTAGCTCTTCTCTCAGAGAATTGACCACGTTGAATATGCCACATTAAATCACCACCATTAACATACTCCATAACAAAGTAAACACGGGTCTCAGTTTGAAAAGTACTGTGCAAATTGATCAAGAAAGGATGGCGTTCACGATTAGCAGCTTGGAAGACACGTTTCTCAGAACGGAGACTAAATAATCAGCTATGTAAGCCATGGTTTCATTGAATTGCTAGCGAAACTTACCTTTCAATTTCATCATTATCAATAATGAACCGCTTCTTCAACATCTTGATAGCATATAATTTCTTGTCATACTTTTCTTCAGCCAACATAACCTTACCAAAGTTACCTTTACCAAGTACAGCCAAGAAACTGAAACTATCCAAAGCAACCTTGGGTCGTTGATGCATCATGCCTCCTTGAGGTGGTTGTTGTTGTTGTTGTTGTTGTTGTTGTTGTTGTTGTTGTTGTTGTGGAGGCATACCAGCATAAGGTTGTTGTGGTTGTTGATAAGCAGGATTGGGTTGAGGCCTACCCATCATTTGAGGATGTTGGGGTTGGTATGGATAAGGTTGTTGAGGTCTAGTCTGTTGTTGTTGTTGTTGTTGTTGTTGTTGTTGTTGTTGATAATACATTTGTTGTTGCTGTTGTTGGTATCTAGGATCTACATTCATAGGGGCATTGTTGTAACCATAGACAGGTTGTTGATGAGCGGGTAAACTAGGTGGGCGCTGTTGTTGTGGAGATCCTTGTGGAGGATAAATTCTGTTAGGTTGGGGCATACTCATGGTAGCATTGTTAGGGGAATAATAAGGTTGTTGAGGTGATTGTGGTTGAGGTTGTGGTTGACTATACATGTTGGGTGGTGTTTGAGGCACAATCACAGGGCTCTTTTGAGGTGTTTGAGGGGTCAAACTAACAGAAGATGAAAGTTGCAAACTAAGTTCCTCTTCTACAGACGATTGTTCTTCTGCTTGGGGTAAAGCAGGTAAAGGTGCTTCTTGTGCTGTTGTTTCTTGCTTAGATGTGCGGTTGCCCTTTGTCTCATGAGTCTTGCGTTTAGCAGCAGCCTTGATTTCAGCAAGCATTTGGTTTGCCATTTCCATACTTAAACCACAGAAATCAGGAACATAGTTCTCACATCGTGTATGGGCTGTAATATCACATTCTGAGCATCGCTTAGAACCACGAGAGCCCAAAGGCAACATATAACCACAGTGACAGCACCAATTGGCACCAATATTAGTAATGGGTTCAAAGCGATGAGGAATTTTGTGGTTGAGTTTATCTTCATCAGAGTCATTGTCAGTTGAGTTCTTGGGACATTTAGTAACCACTTTGCTAGAACATTTCTTATGACAAGTGTATTCACAGTCTTCACATTGATAACCGCTGTTAACAAAGAATTCTTGACAGAGAGCACACTTCATGACATTATAGAATCTGTTCTCAACAAAGCCGTGACCGTTGACTTCAACCACTTCTTCACGACGTTGGCGCACAGCACCAGCACGACCCAATTTGTCCATAGGACGTCGGTTGCCTTCTGCACGAACAAAGTTCAATCGAAGTGCCAATTTACCAACAGGCTCAACATCAAACCAAGCCTCAATACCGCCTTCATTCTGATTTACCTGAACAGGGGGGATAGGTTGAAGGGCAGCACTGCTGTCTTCTCTCTCCATGATGGAATTGCCATCAGTATCATGACGAAGCTTCTGTGCGTCTTCAGCCAACATCCATTGGGATTGAGGCATTTTGCGCTTACGAAGACCTTCAGTGATATCTGTGATCTTAAGCCAAAAGAAACCAATAGGCAAAGACTTTTCAGGAGATTGATCATAGACACTAATTTCAATTTCAGAGGCTTTGTTCACATGTGTTTCACATAATTCGTTCCATTTATCATTACGAGCGGGTCTTGAGCGAAAGACGATTTGGTTATCGATCTTGACCATCACAACCGTGGCAGGAGAGCGAATCATACGTGTGGGTGCATGGGCGAGTTCCATGGCTTCTAAAATCTCAAGCTGTAATTTACCAGTAACAGGTCTACGAAAGCCAGGAGGTAAACGAGCAGAAGGGGGTGTTTCCAATTCTAGAAGAAGTTAATTTTATTTGTTTATTTATCAAGCCATTACTTACCATAATCATCTTCATCGCCACCCTCACCAATATACAAACTCTTGTATTTCCTTAAGGCAGAATTCAATAAGGTAAGTTTTTCTTGACTCTCTGACATTTTATCGTGTACTTCTGTGCGGCTCTTTCGATCTGTTGAAGGAGTACGTTCTAGTACATCAACCATACCCCTAATACCCTTCAATACGGTTTTTTCAACATCAAGCTTATATTCGAGTTCATGCAGCTTAAGTGAGACTTTTGGCTTGTTATATGGGGTTTCTGACATTAATAGATCTACACACACACACATATGTATATATATATCAGTACATGACTCATACTAAGGATCAGCTTTACCCAAATTAGAGTATTTCTTCTTGTTATTTCCCTTTTGTGTTTGGGCAATCACAGTAGGTGGTTCAGAGCTATTTGCTGTCATAGAACTTGTTCTTGGAGGATGCTCGGATCTGACTTGCAATGACTGCTGTTGTTGAACAGGACTTGGTTCATCACTTCCTCTAGTCTGGAGTCGATGCAGTTCTTCAGTAAAGTAGTCAATATACTTTTGATATTCTTTGATCTGAGTTTCACAGTCTGAAATCACATTTCGATCCTTTAACAAAGGTCTCATTTGAATGAACTTGTCACGCATAGTTCTGCTATGCTCAATTTTAGCTTCTAATTCTGCAATCTAAGATACAAGTGAGTCATAGCACGTTTTAATGAATTTATATTACCGTCATATTGGATATTTATTTGCTGCAGTGTGTGTAGGGATTAAAAAAGTGTGCCTGAGAATAAAATAAGTTGCTTAGTAGAACTAATAAATAGCTTACCCCTCTACTTTCTCTCTCTTTCTCTCTTTGTATGTGTGTGTGGGATGAGGAAGTGTTTGTACAGATGAACTAGATGAGTTCCAAACAAAGTATATAGACAAAAAAAAAGGGAGAGAAAAATAAACTTTCTCTTACAAGAGTCGACTGTTGAAAAAAAAAAAGAAAAAGAAAAAGAAAAAGAGAGAAAAAGAAACGTGTGTGTCCTTTTTTCAATTTATGAAAATAAAAGCGAGTAACACAAAAAGTCATATTTTTCATTTTTTGAACCATAATAATACATCTTTGGTTTCTTCAAACACCATAAAAGTAACTGCATTTGCAGGTGCTACTTTAACAAGAGAAGGTCCTAGACCCTTGTATAAGCTGGCAAATCCCTCTTGTCTGATAATTGATTTCAAGCATGTCCACCAGGAAGATGTGTTTATGTTTCGAGTGTCCATTTGAAGTCTTTTTCGGACCAAATCAAATGGATAGACTACTATTTTACTCACAAATCCCGATAATGCGCCACTGATCATATCATGTGTTGGTTTATAACTTGAAGACAAGATATTTTCATCCTAAAATGATCAGATAAAATCATACTTAGCAGAAACCTACCCTTAGTTTCTTAAATCCTTTAGCAAAAACATCATAAGTTGAAAACAAAAGCCCCATGTAAGGCATAATCTGAATGATAGCTGGCCATAGACCACGATAAAACCCAAACACGCCCTCAGTTTTATAAATATCAGCCATTGCTCGTGTAACACTTGTGCTGTACTTATTTAAAACTTAATATAAAATATATCCAAGCCAACCTCACTAACCTTTTGTGGTCCTCCTTGACTGGCAAACCTGGTTCTCAACAAATCAAATGGATAAGTAGCTGCTGTAGCTGCACAACCTGCAATCATGCCACAACCAAATGTGTTTAGAGCATGAGGTAATCGGCGTCTTTTGTCAAACAATTCTATGGCTTGTTCTAACTCCTTATATGCCCAAAACTCCACTGCGCTGTAAGATAGATACAAGTATTCTGCTGGCATGTTTCCCTTGTACAATCCCTTTTTTTGTTTATCATTAACGCATGTATTTTGTTTTTAATCGTGCATCCTACCCTTATTCCTTCTTCTTTCATGATTGTCACAAATGCCTGCCTCATATTGGGATATTTTACATTTTCTACAGTATGCCCGAATCCAAAACGCGTTCTATGAGTCTGTAACTGCATACGAATTTTTATAACATCAAGAGGTGCTATCACAGCTCTTTACTTTTGCAGTTTTTGAATAAATTTCCCTGAGGTACCTTTCCCTTTTACTTACCTAGAGACAATACCAGCCACACCACCACAGAACGCTAGCTCCCGGCTGGAAAGATTGGCGTCAGTAACATAAGAAGGCATGTTTGTATAAATGAAGAAAGAAAGAAGTTGTAATACGTGTAAATAAACGAATAAATTGAAATTCAGATTGTTCGAGCCAAGTCAAACATTTCTATTGGACCAAGAATATCATGCATCGTTTGTTTATTTAAAAGAAAATAATGTGCGTCGATTGTTTAGCAAAAAAAAAAAAGCAAATTTTGATTTCAAAATTTCGGGACTTACTTGCACTTGATGATGCTTTTGCTGAAGAATTCTTCCAAGAAAACCGTTCTTTTCAAGAAGTTCTTATCCGCTGAAGAAGCTCAGCACATATACCAATTGTACTACGCTAAGTGCCAATATACTTGTTGCATCCTTAACTTTTAAACATCGTCTCGACCTAATATGTCCTTACATCAGTAGTAAATGGATCAAATTGCTTTGGCGGAAGTTAAACCTTATCACTAGACTGTAGATCCTCTCATGTTTGCCAATGTATTAGAATCGTTGCCAATGATTGCGTGCTTTTCTAGATTTAAAAAGCTATGTTTATTGACTAGTATAGGATTTAACAGAGCGATCTGTATGTAAACATAAACATGATTGTGCCAACCAACCTACTGATAATATAAAAGAAAAGGCTTCAGCTGCCTTAAAGATAATGCAAGCTATGTCCATCTTGATGACCCAAGGACAGATGGTTGGCGCATTGTAAATTATTTTCCGTTGCATATAATTTGTCCAAAGACAGCTGATAGCCAACCCGTCTGACATGACATCCGCGCCTGGAATCAAAGGCAGTGATACCGCTGATGCAAAGAAAATAATTGTGCCTCATATTGTTTTTGATGGTAACCAGACTTTGTATTTGGGACTTGAATCAAAAGCAAGAACAATACTATACACTGTGGATACAATAATAGGAATGAACATGTAGACAGAAAAATCACCTGAAGTTATGTTTCAGTATTCGGTGCTTTGAATTGTTTACTTACCAAAACCAGCTACTTGAGAGCCATTTACAATAAAAGACTTAATGCTTTTTGAGACTTCCGCTAGCAAACTAAATAGGATCAACCCCACAACAGAGTTCCATACATAAAGAAATTGTATAATAGAATCATATTTTAGCAAGAGTCTAAAAAAAGTGTAATAAACTTTGTGTCTCCTAGGTCTCTTTTTAAAATTAGGAATTCTGTGTAACTAATGGGTTGATTGTGTCTAATTTAACCGGCTACCAAAATTATCCATTTGCTTAGAATTATCCATTCGCTAAGAATTATCCATTTGCTTGGAACCAAGTAATTTCAATTGAATGCTATATAAATACCAGGTTTCTCCTATTTCAATTTAACGTTTTTAATTTCTTTTTCTCTCAAACACAATGTCTGTAGCTATTGATAACAAAAATTCTGAAGAAATCAAGAGAATGCGTCAACTTCATGGTGTTCTTCACCTCGAAGAATCTGGCTTCCTGAAAAAAATTACTAACAAAGACAAGACATTGAACAAAGACACTACTGATTTTTATTATGAGAATTGGAGGGATGTTGGCAAACTCGAAGACAATGAGAAGCATGTTGAAGAAAGGCGCCATGAAGCTCAAAAGATGACCAATTCTTTCTATGATATGGTTACAGACTTTTATGAATATGGGTGGGGACAATCATTCCATTTTGCAAAATTGTATAAAGGTATAACAATCCTTCATGTCTGGGCATGACATTGACATGGTCTGGTTTTTAGGTGATTCTTTTGAAGAGAACATCAACCGTCATGAGGCTTTCTTGGCCTTGAAACTCGGATTGAAGAGTGGTATGAAAGTATTGGTAGGTTGCTCATAGATATATACATATCTAACTCTTTTTTTCTTTTGCTTATAAAGGATACAGGATGTGGTGTTGGTAAGTAGTCCATTAGTATTCAAAGCTTAATTTGACAACCGTGTTTCTTTTAGGTGGTCCTCTAAGAGAAGTTGTAAAAGCTTCTAATGGTGCTCATGTTACTGGCATTAACAATAATGCTTATCAATTGCAGCGCTGTGAAGCTTATTCTGCCAAGTATGGCTTAAGCCAATACACAAGCTTTATTAAGGGCGACTTTACCAACATGCCAGTTACTAACGAAACCTTTGATGCTGTCTTCTCTGTCGAAGCTACTGTTCATGCTCCTCATCTTGAACAAGTGTATGGCGAAATTTATCGCGTCTTGAAGCCTGGCGGTCGTTTTGCCTGTTACGAATGGTGTACTACAGATTTGTATGATGAGAATGACTTGACCATGAAGAAAGTAATTCATAGTATTGAGCTCGGAAATTCGATCTCCAAGCTATATTCAACCAAGGAATGCATACAAGCTTTACATTCAGTTGGATTTAAGGTATTGGAACAAGGCGATATGGGCATTGTTGATCAAGCTACCAATCCATGGTACAACACATTGAAAAAAGCTGATAGTGGTCTTCGTGGGTTCCTTCGCTCCCCTGTAGGTCGTTTTTATACAAACACATTGATGACTTTCTTGGATAAATTTGGGATTGTCCCCCCTGGTGTATTGGAGACCTCGGAACTGCTAAATGAAGCAGCGGAAAATCTAGTTGCCGGAGGTGAGTTAGGGATCTTTACACCAATGTTTTTCTTCCTTGTCGAGAAACCTTTATCAGATGTTGCTGCTAGTGCTTAGTTCAATTGGTCTTTACTTTACTACTCTTCTAATTTGTACTGTTAATAAAAGATACTGTATTTTATGACACTTACTTGAGTCCAACTAGAAATCTTATTGTCAAAACCATAAGAAAAAACAACTGCATATCTTTTTTTTTTTTTTTTTTTTTTTTTTTTTTTTCAAAAAGGAATAATTCGGCACTAGAAATTGTGTGTCTACGATAGTTACCATTGTAAAATTTTTATGTTTAAAGCCCTTGCTTTTACCTTTTTTTTTGTTCGTGCATAAAATTATTCTTGCATAATCGAATAGCATAATAAGAAGCGCTTAAAAGGAATATCGAAAGTTGAGTGGTCATAAGTGCCGAGAATTACGAATGCCGAGAATGTATTAAGAAATACTTGGTATCATTATATGTTCTTTAGATAGAGAAACACAAGAAAAGGCCAAGACGAAGTTGAAAAAAAAATAAGGAATTATTCCGTTCACACCAAAAGTGACCAACCTTGTATACATTTTTGATGATTCCGAAGGAGTTGTAGCTGCAATTATTTCATAAAGAAGTTTATTTTAGTTCCTCTCAGGGCAAGATGTCATTCATTTCATTAATCCTGCAGAGAACATCGCAATTCTTGAGAAGAATATACTTTTTTTTTTATCGAAAAGGTGTGTAAACCTTCTTGATACACTAGTTAAACCAGCAATTAAATTGAGCCCATTAAAAGAATACATTAAAATATCGATTTGCGTAGCCAAGCAAAGAGAATACAAATCCTGTTTATTCTCTCTTGGATGCTCTAGATACCTTTAAACAATGTTCGGTAACATACACAACATCTTTGGGGTTGATTTGGGCCAAAAAAAGCGACATGTAAAAAATGGCCAAAAATCTCTCAAAACCAAAGGGTACTACTCATGAAAAAAGCTCGATTTGACCACTCTTGGTTTTCTTTTTGACATCACAAGACCAAAAATGAGGGTATCGACAAGCATAAATACTCAAAATGAGCGCAAAAATTTTCAGTTTCTGGTCAGCTTGTCAATTGTACTATAGAAATGGTGTGATAGGAGCAAAAAACATTGTGAGCATTTTTGCATATTTGCTCAGTATTTTAGCAGCAAAGTTGTCATGTTTCTTACACCAGTAGACTAAAAAAAAAAAAAAAAAAAAAAAACCAAAGATCTACAACTTCTGTCACTGAACCAAAGCCATGGAACTGCGTCTTTATGCAGTTCTCAGCAAAAGCTCCATCCTCGATGCAGCAGGATGAAGAGCTGGAATGGATATATTTCAATCCCCACCAAACAGCCAATCTGTATGCTATGTTCATTTACCCTACATTTACATCGTAAAGTGCCTATGTTTCTATTGCTCTATGCTTATTGATGTTCTTAATAGCATATAGTGTCTTTTGTAGCTCTATGGTTAGCAAGTTCGATAAGACATATAGAATAAAAATGCTCAAAATATAGCTTAGATGCACTATTCTTTGATGCGCCATTACTCGACAACCAGACTATCAAACCGGTCCGTTTTTTATTTAAAGCATGTTCTTTCAATTTTAGCAATCGAATAGTATTATTGATTTGGCAGTTTTGTGAAATTTATATTTTTGACCCATGACCTATGGGGAGGGGAGGGGGAGGGAGGGGGAGGAACCAAGGAGGTCTACGATAAAAAAAAAAAAAAAAAAAGTTCATCGAGAAATTTTTTGGAATGACCTGATGTAGGCCTGGTACAACCGAAACGAGGAAAGACCACGTCTAGGTACTTCTGATGAAAAGAAAGCAAGTTTACTAAGATAAGACAGGCGAGTTGATTTGAGCATTGGCCTCAAATTTGCAATCAAAGTTCATTGCACACTGTAACTAACATAAAAGAGGCTCTTTTCAGCAGATATCGATTAGCCAGTAAGCAATCATTCTAGTATCATATGATGCTCAAAATGTAGACGAGCAGACTGTATTATGATACTTGGTACTTTTGAGATTAAAAGAACAACTTTCGGTAAGATGCGCATAAAAAATTTCCTAATTTTTTAAATGCATGTAAAGCCTGCTAATATGTTTACGCATAAATAGTCACTTGCGTTGAAGTGGACAATGTTTCCATAAGTAACTTCTTTTATTTCTCCAATTGAAATTGTTAAATATCCTATACTTTCAGTAGACAAAACAATGAAAGTGTACCAGATCAAAGACGCTATATATCCATATATTTTCTCGAAAAGCCATCTGCTTTTTCTTTTCTAGTAGATCAGAGCTTGATAGCTATTGCTTTGAAGACATGACTACAATGCAGCTGTGGTTACACGAGTATTTACAAGCCACGAGGACAATTAAACGTTTGACAGTCTCGAAAAAATCAAAAAGACAAAGCTTATTTTTTTCAATCAAGTTTTGAAAACTTTTCTTTCTATTAAGAACATATTAGTTATTATGGCCGCTTCAGAAGTTCAAGATAAGCCCGTCGTCGAAAAGAGAGACAAGAAGGAAAAGAAGGAAAAGAAGGAGAAGAAGGAAAAGAAAGAAAAGAAGGAGAAGAAAGAAAAGAAGGAAAAAAAAGAGAAGAAGGATAAGGAAGAAAAGAAGGCTGCAAAGAAGGCTGCCAAGGAAGCTGAAGCTACCGAAGAACCCACTGAAGTCAAGTCTGAAACTGTCGAAGCTGTTGAAGAACCCGTCGAAGAAGTTAACGACAAGAAGAGAAAGGCCGAAGAAGAGGAACAAGAAGAAGCTGCTCCTGCCAAATTTGTTAAGACCGAAACTAAGTCTGCTTTCACTCTCTGGTGTGGTGGTATCAGCTATGAATCAACTGCTGATGATATCAAGGAATTCTTTGGTCAATGTGGTGAAGTGACTGATATCAGAATCAGATTGGACGACAACACTGGTAAGAACAAGGGCTTCTGTCACATTGATTTTGCTACCAAGGAAGCTCAAGATGCTGCTCTTAAGCTGAGTGGCTCTCAATTCATGGGTCGTATCATTCGTTGCGATGCTGCTGACGGCACTACTCGTCAACGTGCCAAGGATGAAAACTATAGCACCAAGACCAATAAGGTCTTTGTTGCTAACTTGAACCGTGACTACGATGAAGATTCTCACCGTAAGGCCTTGACTGAAGCATTCAGCAAGTTTGGTACCATTACTTCTGATATCAGACTTCCTTACAGAAGAGATGAAGAAAATGTCTTGAAGGGTATTGCCTACGTTGAATTCGAAACTCCCGAGCAAGCTGAAGCTGCTGTCACTCAAATGAACGGTGTTGAAGTCAATGGCCGTCCCCTCCGTACTGATTTCTCTGGTTCTGATGATCGTGAGCGTCTCAACCAAGGTGGTCGTGGTGGCCGTGGTGGCCGTGGTGGTCGCGGTGGTCGCGGTGGTCGCGGTGGTCGCGGTGGCCGTGGTGGCCGTGGTGGTTTCAATAGCTACGGTGGTAGTTATTAATCATTTATATTTGTGTAAATAAATTTATAGAGTATTCATCCATTAATTATTTCTAGCCTTTCTAAACTCGATTTGAAATGTATGTGTTACTGAAAAAAAAAAAAAAAACTTTATGCACTAAGAAAAAAAAAATCAGCTGCTAATTGGTCAACATAATCATTTGTTTGTATCAATCTGTGATTATATTGTGCGTATTTATTTTGTTTATTTAGGGCTATATGTACAAAAAGGAAACTAAGAAGCGTATAAACTATACGTTTGATCGTATAAAATCATGATAAAAATAAGAGGGAGATGGGTAAATAAAGCACTAAACCACCAAACGGAAATATGGTGACAGTGATAATGCAGCCTATCTTAAAAGCGACAGATCGAGTAGATACAAGTGCGGCGTAAATCACCCACAAGTCTAACAATAGAATAAACGCACCGATAACAAAAGGTGATTGTCCACCTCCAATTTTTTTTCTGTTTAGCATGGTAGAGTAAATGAGAATATATATTAAAAGAGAGTGAGAAGGAGAAAGAAAGAGAGTAGACCATATGAGCTTATATATGTTTTTTATTATCATTGTGCAACATAAAAATTAAAACAAGTAAAAACTAAAAACCATACGAATCACTGAGCAAAAGTCTTAAGCCTTGTTGTGGCAACCATGCTTCTTTCTTTTGGTTTGGTACTAGTGGTGATGCAAAGGCTGATACTTCAGGGTTAGATGCTCTCTTTCGAATGATTCGATGCCGATACAGTTCTGCTTTGTTGTTTTTGATAGGAGGACGGGAAGGAAGGGAAGGGGGAGGAGCAGAAGCAAGTGGTTTGATATGGTCTTCTTCTTCATCGTCTGTTGTAGAATACGAAGTTATGGAGGAAGTAGCTGTAACATCACTTCTGACATCTAATGAATTCATTATGTCTTCTTCTGATATGGTAGTCGCTGTGTGGGTAGGGGAAGGCGACAAACGAGCACGTAAAGTGGGTTCTTGAAGGGACTGAATTGTTCCTTGAGCTTGTTCAAGCATGTGCGTGTATTCACGCATTCTTTCTGCTACATCACTGACACTTCCTTGATGCTGCTTTTGATAGTTTGCGATAGTTGTCAGTCGCCCTCGTAATTGACCTGTTTCGTAAACAACCTAAAATAATAGCAGTGAGAATTACAACACATATGCTTTATGCGTATAAACGTACATTAGCTAAGTTTGAATGGAGGTGCCGCATCGCCCGCGTAGCATTCACGTCCGATTCTCTTTGTCGATTCACAGCTCTCTCAAGTAGCACCTGTAGATTCACATTGACTTCTTGTGTTGCTGTCAATCCTTTTTCGATTTCATCTAAACAAATAACATAAGTATGAAATAATATCTTGCAATATTAACTTACGAACTCTATCCTTTGACAGGTTCTGAATAATAATAATAAAAGAAAAGAGATTACATTAGCATTCTCGGCATGAATTACTATCATTATTATTCCATTCTTACAAGATCAATCTCCATACCGTCCATTTGTCGTGCGAGGCCATTCATTTCTTTTTTGAAACGAAGAATATCTTGTCTGACTTGGCCAATTTCTTTCAAGAATCGATTTTTTTCGTGTACGCTTAGAATTGAATTAAAGTCATCCTCATTATCGTCTTCTAATGGGTTATCATAGCGACTACTGAGTGGTGTAGAATGTGATGCACAGAGCTAAAAAGAAAAAAAAAGAGGGATTGATGTTTAACTCTCCTATAAAACGCCCTTTTCTTTTCATTATTATTTACTTTTTTGCGATAATGTTGATTGGGTTCTGTGCGATTATAGTTTCTTCTTGAGATATAGGATTCTAAGGGAGGTATATGAATAAACAAGGTCTTGGTCTTGTTCCATTACCTTTAGTTCGTCTCATTGCCCAGTTATTACTACAATGAAACGACTCCGAATCACTAAAAGACAGCTACAATTTAATTTATTATTGGCTGTTAACCAAAAAAGAAAGAAATCAGGCTTTTCTTATATGTACCTGGGCATTCTCCTCGAGATTCATCTATTTATTCATGAATATGAACTATTGAAGGTATTGTAAGGTTTACTAATTCACAGATAAGTAAAGAGAAATATATAAAAAAAGAAAGAAAAAGGAAAGTAAGTTGGGTATAATAGCGTAGAGGGAATGGGGGAAGAAGGAAAAAAAGTGGTAAAATGAAAAATGGAAAGAGACTGAGTAGTTTAAATACTTGTATTTGTAGAACAACAATAAGACTACGTCACATCACCCATAAAGGGGGTGATCTGTATGCGCTAAGCATCTCTCTGTCTCTCCAATCGTATGTTTATTGTTGCTGCTTCTTTTGAGCAACAATGTGTATGCATTCTAAATTAATATTGCACAATTCTTTTTACAAAAATGAGTATGACGATAATGATCACTTGAAAGAGGGAGGTACAGTTACTATAGCGTGGTTTTAATTAGTCAACAACAGATGCTTTTTGATAACATTTACGATTGACTGAGTTTTTTGGAAGATGCTTAGATTTACATTATGTTAAAACTTATATCAAAAGATGTCTTCTAATGAAGAAAGTACTTTTATACAATTTTTAAAAACTATATCGTATAAAACAAATTGAAAGTATACATCATACTTCTAATGTATTTTCTCCATTCTTTTTTTTTGGCTCTTTCTAGTTAAGCTCATGTCTTTTTGACTATCATGCTTGCTACTACGAACACTTGGGTGTGCCAAGCCAGCTATCGGTCGATGTTCAATTATGTCTGGCTTTAAATGCCTTGTTTCGTCCTAAAAACAATAAGTCTACGTCACATCCTTTCTAAAAAAAAAGGGAGTGGTTTATATACGCCAAAGAAACGATCGCATGCTTCTTTTTCTAAAAAAAAAAATAATTAACAATCTTATATGAGCTCTAAATGAGAAGCGTGCAATTTTATTCTTTATAATGATCTGTTTAAAAAAAAAAAAACTTAACGGCTTAGTTTTAATTATTGATGGACATTTTTTTTTGTGCATCCCCCGAGACAAATAAGCTGCCTTTTTTTATGTCAAGCAAAAGAACTTTCCACCACTTGTCTAAACTAGTTGTTTCTAAAAGTGGACACCAGGCTCAGTTTACAAAAAGATACTATGCAGCTCGACCAAAAAAGATAGAAGCCTCTATGGGTGGTATTTTTGAGCCTTTCCTCAAAGATAACCTGTAATTATCCTTCTTGTATTATTCTTATTATTTCTCATGAATTTTGTAGTAATAAAAAAGTATCCAACGAGGAACCCGAGGTTTTGTCTGCAAAAGAGCTATTATCCAACGTCACTACAAAAGGTTTGGAATCAAAACAAATCAAAAATAAACAGCTGATATTTACTTTATACCAACTAGACTTATTGCCTGACGATGACTTACTCAAGTTATCAATCGAACACAAGCAGACTTCTTTATCAGTAGACACACAAAAACAGCTCGCAACACTTGTTCTTGACATTATCAAACATGACAAGCATGACACAGAAAAAATGATGACATGTAAAATGAAATCACGCATAACAAAATGATACTTATTATTTTTAGTGGTCAATAACAAAACCTCTGAACTTACAGCATTTGGAAATATCTTATTGAGAACTTCAAAATGTAAAAAAAAAAAAAGCATGGCTTATGTGTGTATATTCATATGTGTTTTTCCTTTAGATGGAGCGCCACTTGCTCTCGAACTCTATAGAAATGCAATGGAAAAGGGAGACGATCGAGGCGCATTCAGTTATGCCAATATGGTTTATCGAGGCTACCAAGGAACACCTAAAAATGAAGACGAAGGCATCAAGATCATGTCTCGATTAGCTCAAAAGGGACATCCTTATGCCCAAATGAATCTTGCAGCTATTCTGATGCGTACAAGTCCTGATCGTGTGGACACTGCAATCAAATTATACGAGCTTGCAGGACAAGCTGGTCTGGACAATGCGTTTACTGAATTAGGTCGTATGTACCGTTTAGGTTATGGCGTACATCAAGACCATAAAAAAGCAATTGATTATTTTCAAAAAGGGGCACAAAAGGGCAATGCTCAGTGCCATTTTATGTTAGGCGTCTATTGCTCTTCTGGACTTGCTAATGATCAACGAGAACCAGATCAAAAAGCAGCATTTAAGCACTTTCAAAAGGCAGCTGTCAAGGGTATGGCAGAAGCTCAATACAATGTAGGTCTTCGGTTCTTGAAAGGACATGGTGTAGAAGCCAATAGTTATAATGCAGTGGAATTCTTTCGAATGGCTGCTTCACAGGGATTTCAACTCGCACAAATTAATTTAGCTGGAATGTATTCTGAGGGCAGAGGCGTCAAGCCAGATTTAGGTGAAGCTAAAAAATGGCTGGAAAAAGCAGCCAAAATGGGTGGATCTATTGGCAAAGATGCACAAAAGAGGATAGAACAATTGGATGAAATTCAAGGAAAAAAGAAAAATGACAAATGTACTATTATGTAAAATAAAGTTTTATCAGAGTTTATTTTGATATATTCAATCAGTCAAAGCGACGCATTCAATTTCAACAGCAACGTCCTTGGGAAGACGTGCAACTTGAACAGCAGAACGAGCAGGTTGATGAGAAGAAAAGAACTAAAAAAGAGAAAGGTTAAGTTTGAAAAGACTGATAAAGATTTGCTACTTACGGATCCATAAACTTCGTTCATGGGAACAAAGTCGTTCATATCACGAAGGAAAACAGTAGTCTTGATGACCTTTTCAAGGCTGGAACCGGAAGCCTTAAGGACTTCGGTAAGGTTAAGCAAGACTTGCTTAGTGTGTTCCTTGATACCACCCTCAACAATTTCACCTACATGTATCCATATAAGTAACATGTAAACCCCCTTACTCCTTTTAATCTGGTTGTTACCTGTAGCAGGATCAATAGGAATTTGGCCAGAAGTATAAACAAAGCCGTTAACCTTGATAGCTTGAGCTACGAGAAAAAAAGGTATAAATAAACGCGAATTATCATTGCTTGTTTATGCTTACAGTAAGGACCAAGAGCAGCAGGAGCAGAATCAGTGTCTATGTATACGTAAGCTTTCTTGATACGTATGCACTTATGCTTACTTACGGACGCGAGACAAGGACATTTTTATGTAAACAAAGAAGAAAAAAAAATAGAACAGAAATTAACTTTATGTAAAATGAGTCTATCAAGATGCAATCATATGATTGGCTTTCTTTTACGTTGACAGCAGTCTCGTTCATCTGAAAGAAAAAGAAAAGGTTGTTTTCATTATGCACAAGTTTATATTCAATAAAGAAAATATTATTATTAATCGAAGAGAGAGAGAGAGAGAGATAGGATAAAGATACATGCACATATATAAAGGAAAGTCACCATCTTTAAGAAAGAAAGAAAAGAGAGAGAGAGAGAGAGAGAGAGAGAGAGAGAGGATATAAAAGGTATAAAATAGCTTCATTATGCCCAAATCTTGAGGAAGCTGTCCCAACTACCAGTACATAGAGCCATGCCATCATTTGATACACCAAGACACGAAACTCTGTTTTCATGACCTGTTAAGATACCAACACGCTCGCCCTTGAGAGTATCCCAGACATGGCTACTGAAATCATCATAACCAGCAAACAACAATCTACCTGAGGCAGAGAAGGCAATTGAAGTAATACCGTAAAGGATGTTTTCGTCAGAATAAAAGTTCAATTCACGATCAGCACGCAGATCAAATAATCGACAGCTAGCATCATCAGAACCAGTACCAATAGCATTGCCATTAGGGAAGAACCTATAAAAGAAATTAGTAAATAAAATTAGAAAGTGTCAACTTACTGTACGGAATTGATATCACTTTCATGACCAGTGAATGTTTGCACACAAGACTTGGTTCTAATATCCCAAATCTTTGCAGTAGAATCACAGGCGCCTGACACGAACATATTGGGATCTTGGGGATTCAGGGAGATACTCATGACATCACCCATATGGTCAGTGAATTCATGAGTCTTGACGCCTGCATCAATGTCCCAGAGAAGACAAGTCATGTCACCAGAACTCGTCAAGATACGACGATCATCCAAGAATCGACAGCAACTTAGGTAGCCAACATGAGAAGATAGTTCTCGAGCAGGTCGAGTAGGACCATCACGTGAAGTGAGGTTATAGATTGAACATATATTATCTAAACCACCACAGGCAACATATTTGCCAGAAGGAGCATAGGCAGCTGTCATTACCCAGGCAGAACGCAAGGGAATTGCATGTAATTTGTTGGTAGTATAAGCATTCCAGACAATCAACTTGCCGTCCTGTGAAGCAGAAACAAGGTGTTGGCTGTCGTTGGCCCAATGCATAGCATAAATCTTGGCTAAGTGACCTCGTAAATTGCGGCGCACCTTCATTGTTAATTTGGGCAAAGATTCGACTTCACTTGCCATTTTTCTCACTATACTAAAAATCAATACATTTGCATCTATAGCATTTTAAATTGCTTACAAGTGGTGTCAGCTAAAGCTTCTTTTCTTTGTTTTATTCTTTCTTTCAAAAGGTCTGCATCTCGTCGGGCAGCAGCGATTCTGTCTTGAATGTCATCTTGGTTTTGCATCGGTCAGATTTATATTAGTTACTGGTAGTAAATTCCAATAAAAAGAAAGGAATGTCAAATAAAATGGTACAAGTCAAAGAAAAAAGAGAAGAGAAAAAGAAAAAGAGTTCGACTTTTTCGAAGGAAAAAAAAAGTTTTGAGATACAAGTATTTTGTTGTACTAGGTACGATATCATATTTTACAAAGGCCGCTTTTCTTTCAAGTAGCATTTCTTTGTTGTGTGCTTTTCTCTTTGCCCTCAAATCAGATACAAATGTTTGACTTGATTTTTTATTGCTTCTATATACATAAACAAGTGATAGAGTGAAGCTATAAAATTAAGTTGTTGACTATAAAATGATTTGTATTAATTCTTTAGAAGTTAGAGCCATTGTGCGGAGAAGATAAGCACGTTTTTCAAGTATTTTTTCGATTTCTATCCTATTAATTTTTTGTTCTTTGTTTCCCCCATTCACTTTTTTTCTTTAATCTGGTTCGAAACAATGCAACACGAAGGTAAGGTATTTTGTGTAAAATTAAAGACATGCTTGTCATTAATAAAATCATAAATCAATTGCGCTGGTCTAAACAAAACAGAATCCATTACTAAGCGGCCTGTGTTTTTTGATCTGTAGTTGTCAAACGATTGTCTATTACATAAGTTTATATCGTGACTTCGTTCTTTAGCTTTTTCTTTGTAAGCATCTTTGTCAAATAAGGATTGACAAGAGTGCCTTTTCTTAACTATATCTGCACATCAAGAGAGAGAGAAAAAGACAGCTCATTAACATACAATTAAAATTGGGTTTTTTAAGTTTTGCTGGTCTTAAAAGAAGCTTCTTTTGTGTTACATTTTAGCTTTTCTGTTATTACACGTCTGTTCTTTTTTCCTCTCTTTTTCTTTTTTTTTCAAACCTTATTTGTTAGTTGGAAACAAAAAGGATTACAGGAATACTATCTAGAAATATAATGAGCAAATAGAACAGGCAAAACGAATGTCTCTGCAGGTAAGACAATAATTATTTGAGAAACAACAACGCCTTGCATGTGATCAGTATCAAATACAAGGCACAATTCTACCTTTGCTTGTTCTATCCATGAATGAATAGAATGGCTGAAGACAAGTAACTTTTTGTATGTAACACATGCAGATTAATTGATGCCCTTTTATTTATTTTGGAATAAACAATAAAAAGAACAGTGCGCTCAAGTCGATCTGTGCTTCGAAATCCCTCTCTGACCCACTACCATAAAATAGAGAAATGCAGACTGAATAGCTTGTTGCCCTTATTACCCCCTTTCGGATCTTCTTAAATTCACAAGATTTTCATTTGACAAAGATATGTGCATTTTCATAGTTATGTTCCTGAATACAAAAGAATTCGCACGGTAGTTTAAAATATTCAAAGTACAAATCTCAAAAAAGTGCAATTGTTTAAATTCAAACTCAGAGAGAAAACATGCATGAAACAGTTTTTAATCCAAAAAAAAAAAAAAAATTCACAAGACTTTCGTCTTCAGGTGCATAAGGGGATAAATAGGCTCCTTTTAAGACAAGATGTCGCTAATGTTATGAAACTATACAGAAGACATGGCATCTTGGAATTAAGTGATGTTTTCTATGTACCGCAGCACCTTTTTTCTATATTATGGCATTACACTCAGGACGCATGCTCTGTATAATGCATTTTATAGTATGCCAAGCGTTACTTTTGATTCTTCTTTGTTTTTATGGTTTATTGTTTGTTCAGAGCATCAATACTCATGACCACATCATTCAACAGAATATTGTACCTTATCTTTTTTTTTAAAAGCAAGCACACAAATTGAAAACGGCTCATGTACCAGAAAATAGCCTTTTATCCTGGATTTTTCTGGAGACTCTTGTGATACATCAAACCTATGTTTATTTAATCAAAAGAAACGGCCCATTGGTTGTTTTCATCAGTTCCTTCAAAGCCAGTAACTTCATTTTCACCATTAGACAAAGAAACAGGATGTGAGTGAAGGAATCGACCAGTTTCAACATGACGAAGGACAACAGGCTGGTCAACGCGCCAGAACTATAAAGTATGAGTTCTACAATTTTTAAAAAAGAGTTCTATTTACATCATCGTATCTTTCATCATCTTCATCGTATTGAAGGATCTCCCAAATATCGTTTTCATCTGAATTTTCATCGTCACCAAAACAAGACACTTCTTGTTGTCCGGTAACAGGGCTTTCAATACCATGAGAATGCAAGTTGGAGCGTGTAGGTACATGCTTGAGACGAACCTTGTCTTCGAAACCAACTTCGTAACCAGCTTCTTCTTCGGTTATTACGGGAGGGATAACAATCCAGGTGCTTTCTTCACCTTGGATACCATCAGCAGTAAAAGTCTTTATATCTGTATTAGTGAATCTGAGCATAATTAGGGAGCCTCGGACTTACTAATTGTTGGCCAGAACCACCTTCGTAATTTTCACCTTCTCTGGAGGTGAGATAACGACCAGTGGTGACGTGTTTGAGAGAAATGTGGTTGCTATACATTGCAATTAGAAAAAGTTTTTTTTTTTGATAGACCTGAAGTATTTTGCATACCCGAAGCGAACAATACCATCTTCTTGAGGACGAGACATAATGAAGTTTATTGAAACAAAAAGAAAAAAAAAAGTGAATTCTACTTTGGATTATGGTTTTATACTAGTGTATTGTAGGAGTTCTATTTGACTTCTTTTTTTTTTCAAAAAAAGTTCATTATCATGCACATTATATTCTTAAAAAAGGAAGTTTAAAGCGGTCTTTTTATCCGAGCAAAACCATCCAAACAAAATATAATGTTTCTGTTTTCATTGTATAGGAATATGAGAACGAATTTGTCAAAAATATCTGGAATTATGTGCTTCTTCAAAGTCTGTGAATAGGTCTACATCATTTTTAGTATAGTTTACTTAGAAAAGATAGCAATGACTATTTTTTTTTCTCTTCTGTTTATTTACTAGGGTAATGTTTATATGATGAGGGTAGTATACAAGGCTATTTTACAATAAAAAGATAAATAATAATATCAAAATGGGATATGCATAATTAAAGACAAAGAGCATCATCGGCTTGCGAGACATAAGATTGAATGTGCTTTCTACATTGACTTGACAGCGACTTTGCGTAAGATGAGTCTAAATCTTGTACAATTCGGTCTCTTAATGCGGCAATGTAGACAGAAGCTTGGCTAGCAAGCAATATCTTACTGTCATTTGTTGAAAGAGCATTTTTAGAACATGTTTGTTGGTGTACAATAAGGGCTTTGAGTGCACGTAGATGAACAGCAAGAGTAGACAGAATAAGAACACTGGCTTCTAGATTGTTCTTGCTGGAATATGAGGAGATAGAGGCAATCTGTTGGATGCATTCATTGGATGCACGTCTATCTTTAGAAGCTTTTTCGAGATAATGAGGGACTTGGTCGATGTTGGTATTTGTTTGCAAGGCAGTAGTAGCTTGAAGCAAATAGTAAACCATCGTTTGATGACGACGCAATAGATTAGAAGAGGGATGGTTGTTGACGGCGGGAGTATTGGCTTCAACATATTTAGCAAGAGCATCTAAGTGTTCTTGTTGATTGGCGTGGCTCAAAGATTCAAGTGCTAGTCCGACTCGAACCCACCATTGAAGCATATGTCCAGGGGCAGTGGTAGTAGCAGAAAGAGAAAAAACGTCATCCAATTGGCTCATGGAGAAGACAGGTCTTGTTCCATTCAGATAAGAATGCCAACATTCTTGCAAGTTGTCAAGCTGTTGCCAATAGAAAACCAAGTCCAAAGGAGAAGTAATATAAGGCAGCACAAAAGAGTAAAAAACGTTTCTGCAAGCATTAGTTGGACCAAATCCATTACGGAGCCTGAGCATGTCTAGTACTTGGTCGTGACAGTCGGAGCGAAGCCAATGCGCGGTAATGAGTTGCTGGTTGTTTTCCTTGGACTTGTGCTTCTTTATAGCACTAATGGCACGCTTCCAATAAACAGAAGCAATGCGAGAAGAAAGGACCTTTGGTAAACATAGTTCAAGCTGCATAGCTACAGTGGCGTAGACACGGGCCATAGTGCTTGCTTCACAGTATACACCATATTTATCATCACGTTCCATCTTGCGAAGTTGGAAGAGCATACCAAGACAGGAGTGTAGCATGCTTAAACGAGTGATATCAGGATTAGCTATTTATAGAAATAAGTAATCATGTCATATTTCAAATAAATTAACATACCACCCAAACATTCAACTTCATTTAGTCGAATCCAGGCACCAACATAGGATAATATTTCTTCAGGACATGTCGTGGGGCTAGTGTTCTTTTGAAAACTAACCAATAGAGACCGAGGAACAAGTAAGGAAAGGCTATAAAGAACGATACCACTCATGAGGGATAAGATGTCAAAAGAAGAGGTAGTACTAGTAGATTTGACGATACTTGGCTTGTTGACAATAGAAACAAGGTTAGTATAGAGACGACTCCAAGCATTGGGAACTTCACTCGCATAATGATGATGGTCAACACACTTTTTAGGTCTAGTGACAGGACGAGGGCGCAACCAGCGTACCAAGAACGGAATAAGGCAGATGTAAAGAGCGCCAAAAGTATAAATAGCATAGCGAATAACATTCCTATAGTAATGATTAGAAAAAATCTGTAAATGTGGTTTGTATAGTTACCAAATGCTGAAATAGAATGAGGTATTGGTATATAATGGTTGCAATAAGGCATCGCTACTTTGATTGTCATAAGCACTATAGTGATGCACGGGCTCGCTTGATTTAGAAGAGCCAGGGGAAGCACTGAAAAACACTAGACACATAAAGGCAGCCATAAACATTTTGTTATTTGAATCATCTGTAGAAGCTTTTTTGTTAGGGCTCTTGCTGTTTTTAGAAGATTGTCTGCGGCGATAAGGTCTTCTTTCAGGCTTGGGCAGCAATTGAGCTAAAGCGGCTCTTTGTGCAGCACGTTCTCGTAAAATGCGCTGTCTTTCAGTACGTTCACGCTCTTGAGCCTCACGACGTTCTCGAGCTAGACGTTCTTGCTCCGACTTTGCAAATTCTCTTTTTTGACAAAGGAATCGAGAGAGGACATCATTACCACCAGGCATTTGAGCAATGATTTGCTGCAGAATCAAATTTTCTTGTTCAGTGCTTTCATTGGTGTTCTTAAGAAACTTGATATATTCGGTGGCCTTTCGTAAAATAGTAGCCTTGTTGAGTTTTTTAGCGACTTCGACGCCTTCAACAATTTCATCACTGCCTTCTTCACCACCAGATTCGCTAGAATCATCATCTTCACCTTTTTCACGAATACGGGCTTTATAGAGTGCAGGGACAACATTCTTGAGTTCTCGGATACGATCATTAATATTGTTTCTGTAGCGTCTTTCAATTGCATTATGAGCAACTTTCTTGAGTTGTTTTCCAGGTTCCATAGACGTTCGTATTTGATCCAAGTTATTGCTTGTGTTTTGATGTAACTGTTGGTGTCTAGAAGAAGACTTTCGCCAATGTCTTGTTTCATGATTATCATTACTTAAATCTAATGGATGGATATTGGTATCTTGTTCTTCTATTTAAAATTAGAAAAATGTCAGATTAAATTGTGTGTACCTTTGATATTTGTTGACCATTGGTCTATAGCAGAAAATGCTCGAGAGAGAGGGTTTTCGTCTAAAGGAGGTGAAGGCAAGTTGGCTGAAGCCATGGTATTGATATTCCCACTTTCTGTAGTTGGTGTAGTAGGAATATTGATACCAGGAACATTTTGTAAATGTTGTAAAGTGGGATAGAAGGATCGCTTAGCTAAAAAACCAGCCAATGCTTTACTTGCTTCATCTTTGATATTTTGATTGTAAGTGTATAATGGTGGACTATTTATCTGCGGCGATAAAGTATGTGAAGTATATCCATCAGATGAAGACTGTGGTGAACTTATAGGTGATACTTGTGTGGGAGAATGACCCATACTTTGTTGTTGTGTGTCCATATCCCAATCGAAAAGATTAAAATTTTGTTGTTGTTGTTGTTGTTGTTGTTGTTGCGAAAATTGCTGATACGAAAGTCTATTATTATTTGTATTATTGTTGTTGTTTAGAAGTATGCTTATAGAAGAAGCATTACTGGTTTGCTGATCACCGTGGTATAAAATACTACGTTGATTCTGTTGATTGGATGAAGCGACATCAAAATAAGTGTCAAAATCTAAATCTGTCAATTCTTGAAGCATGAGAATAAAGAATAAAAAGAAAAGGAAAAGGAAAAGAAGGGGAACAAAGAAATAAGAAAACAAAAACAATAATGCTTATATGTACAAACGCATACTTCTTGTCTCGGGAAACTGGGGTAATACATGCAACAGGCCACTTTTTTGATATTATATAGCAAACAAAAATTGATTGGTGGAGAAATACTCACCTCATCTTTTTTTTTCAAAAACGAATAGCCTGTGAAGGAAGCCTATTAATTCCAAATTTAAACCTCACGCCATTAAATACTCAATAGTCTGATAGTATCAGCGAAAATAAAGGCAAAACAATTCAGCGACATATCATATAAATCACTGCTTTCTTTTCTGTTTTTCTTTTTTTATTTTTGTACTGTCTAATGATCCAGTTATTGGATTTATGTGTGTTTATATTGAAGAGGAGGCCTTGTACATTTTAAAAAACACATCTGATGTTTATGTTGCACGAGCAAAGTGCTGAACCACTCTGCTTCTCTCTCCTCTTTTCTTATTGTTTGTTATTATAAATATTCATCTTTTTGTTCTTAAGACTCAAACGATAAACTTAAAACTGAGCCATCAATACCTTCCTTATATGGACTTGTTAATGGGGTTGAAACTCAACGAAGCAATAAGTCTTCCACTCCCACCTTTGATTGTTTGTATGACCAAACGTAGGGAAAAAAAAAGAACATCGTGCAAACAAACTTCTTCATGTAGACTAGCATGTGAATGGTCAAAAAACTATCTTCCTCGAGGATTGAACACAATAAGGGATCTTGATTTAATTATTGAGTTTCAAAACCTGTATTTTCTTGTCGGACCCTTTTTTAAAACCTTTTTCTTGTTTCCCGACTTTGACCGGGAAACATAGGATTACCTAAAAGCCCTCATTAGAAACACGATATATGGTATGATTTTTTTGTCTATTTTTACGCATAAATTGATTTCTATATTGACAGTTAATGTCCACATATCATTGGCCAATGAAAAAAAAAGAAACAACTATAGGAGTAGATTTCTTCTTTCTCCTTTCGAAGACATTGAAATTTTGTTTCCTCCTCTCTTTTATTAAAATAATGCATTATACAACGTCTTGTTCAGTATTGTGTAGCGCTCTTTCTTTAGGATATTCTGTGTTATTGTATTTCAATTCTTCATCTTCATAATCGCTTGAAACTAAATTGACTTGAGGATCATATAATTCAATCTTGCGAGGTAGTTTTGAATCAGCATGGTCAATCAGTGTATCTGAAGGCGAAATGAACGCATGAGATTGATAGACATCACTTTCTATCAAACTAGGGCTCATAGCTAATTGAGGAGAGTATTGCTTTTTTAATAGCTCCCAGGTTGGTTCAGCAACCAATGTATCTGCAGTAAATCTTTTTTCTCTTGTGGAACTATAGGCTGGTGGAGGTTGTGAAAAATGAGTTTCTGTATTATTCAATGTACTAAAACTTGTCCAACTCTTGTAATTGTCTTTTGTTGATTTTTGTGTGGAACCATTAAGACGAGAACGACGACGGCGTTGATAATAGAAAATGATAAAGGCAAGTGCTGCAATCATCAAAGCAACCAGTATGCCCAATAAAGGAGGAAACCAGGTTGCTTTTGCATGATGTGTGTTTGTCGAATATAAGCTTGTATCGTTTGTTGCTACTACTACTGTCGTTGGTGTCAGCGTTGGTGTTGTTACCACTGTGGTAGAAATAGAAAAGGAGGAAACTAAAGTTACAGGGTTACTTTTTTGACTAGATAAACGCTGTGTAGATGCTGCCAGAGTTGAAGTATGAATAGTCATTGGCATGCTCTTTGTGGTAACTATCTTTCTGTCTATCGAAAGAGACATACGATCAGAAGGAGGGGGTATATAGTCAGAATTAAGTACACTCCCACCATAGTATGAATGATGGTGTACGTTTGACATTTAAGAAAAGAGAAATATATATCTAAATAAGAAAGGGAAAGAAAGAAGAAGGTTAAAGGAAAACCTTATGCACTATATTAGTCTTTATGCACTTTATGCACTCTTTAAATCATATATGCATCTAACCAAACAAAATGAGAAAAACTTTATATATATCTTGCACCCCTTCTCTTCTCCCGTTTTATTTATAAGTAGTCAGAGAAAAATAACTGATAGACAAGAAAAATATCTATCATTTATAGCTCTGGACTATGTTTAGAGAAAAAAAAATATGCAGTTCAAAGTTTAAAGGTAAAGAATTCAAAATTCCTGTGAATAGAACTAAAAACAAAATGTGCAGTAAAAGATAAAAACTTTTACGAAGAAGATAGGAGAAAGTGTCTTGTTTTTTTAATATAGATTTGCTTTGACATCTGTGTTTAAACGAATGCCTGTCCATACTTGCTTTAGTACACGCTACACAGGATACTTTTCATCTGCTACAATCATGCAGTGATGTAGTTGATACTAATGATAATATCAACACTCAAATACTAGTCGAATACAAGTTGAATAGAAACAAAGTAGTCTGTTTGAAGTGATAAACAGCTTCTTGAGAAATATCGATAGAGACTTCTCTAGGTCTGATTTGTCTATACTAAGCTTTCATTTATACTTTACAGTGTTTGTATCACCTTGATGCAGCTCGGCATTTCTACCAGTTTCTCTAAAATGACATTTTCTTCTTTTTAGAAATAATTTTTGTTAGCCATATATATTAGAAACATACTTGATATGATAACAAATATGAACTACAGAAAAGAAAAAGATATTTAATGGCAAAGAAGTCTTCAATAATCTAGTACACCTGTATACGTTCATGTGTGGCATAGTGTTTCTCGATCCACTTTGCCTGTTTTAACAAACGTATGACAAGCAAAAATTGTCACCGCTCCATATCCTTAAAGTCATACTCCCAATTACCGAGCCATCTTATTCTCTGAAAATGACAGCAAACAATAACATGTTGCCCACGGAAATAATGACTTTCTGTTATTTGTATTTCTTTCTTTTGTTTTATTTTTTTTCTTCATTGACTTATACTCTCTAAACCATTTCGATGCAGTTGATGCCTGCGCTCCTGACCTACCACAAACACAAGTTTAACAACTCTTATTTTGCTTTTTTTAGGTGTTTGAAAGGCACTTATAAGAAGAAAATGTTTACTCATCTTCACTCCTTTAGGTTTGCCCTTTATATATATATATTTTAAACTATCATTGTATCATTTTTAAAGGAATTTCATTGTATTGCACGTTAAGGTATTTAAAGGTCAGCAAACACATGAACTGGATTACAAGATACTATCCCTCCTTTTTCTTCCTTTCTTCTTTTTGTTTTACAAAACAGACTTCAAACTAAATAAGAAGAAGGAGAGAGAAAGATGACAGTTGAAAATGAACCAAGCAGTTTTCTTGATCTAGCCGGATTCCAAAAAGACGATGAGCAAAACAACATGCCGTGTGCCACAGAGTTACGATCTCAAGTTGCGATAACGCATCTCAGCATTCCACAAGATGTCCTGCGCCAACTGCAGGAACTCTTTACCATTTCCCCATTACCTAATTCTGCCAGTGTGTCACCATCTCTTTTGCTCCAAAAGCCCAAGCATTTAACAGCAGATGAGCGCCATCAACGTAGGCTGTGGCGGAACCGATTAGCAGCAAAAGAATGTCGCAAAAAGAAGAAAGAGTACATTGTTCAATTGGAGAACACAGTGACAAGGTTACAGAGTGAGAACACATCGTTACGCAAACAAGCAGAGGACCTGAGACAAAAAGTGGCTGTAATGAATCCTTCAGATGATAATGTTAGATTGATAAAAGAAGTGGAACTGTTAAATACAGGACTCGGTCTAATGTGAGTTTCTTGTTATATATGCATCTTGTTTTGCTTTTCTTTGGTTCCAAATAAAAATAAATAAAGTGTCACTTGGCTTGAAAAGAAGGCTTGTATGAAAACAAAAGTAAAAATATATTTAAAGAAACGCTTCATTGTACTACTCCAGTATAGGAAAATCTATTTATATTTAGTAGCCGAATTTTGATATAAAAATACACATCAATATAAAAGGGAATGACCGAAAAATAAAAAAACTTTTCCTCTTCCCTCTTTCTCTTTCTTACTTTCTTATCATGATGCGCTCGACAAAATTCGTTTGGGCAACATGCCTCGCAACACTCGCATTGACCTTATTACTCGTCACATACACATCAACACAGTCCATGAGTGTTCAACTCAAATTTAACATTACTCCTGTCAGTCAGCAACAAAAGACATTATCAAAACAAAAGCAAGAGAAGTACATTACGTTCTTACCTCATTCCGGGTTACACAATCAGCGTATTGGTCTCTTAAATGCACTTATTTTGGCAAAAGCACTTGACCGTACTTTGATCTTACCTGAGATCAATATCGGTACTGCTATTTGGTGGAGACCAAGCACTATTGCCGAGTTCCGTTTAAGTGAATGTCCTTCTTTGGGCGTACATGGTCATGCTCATTGCAAGGACTTTAAGAAATATGTACCTGTCTCGGTCGAATCTATTTTTGATTTATCTGCTGCTCATGCCCAAGGTATTCGCACCATTCAACGTTCAAGCATGTCTCAGTCTTATTTTAAAGACGTGTTGGAGATTGAACAAGAAGACATTTATCGTCTGCAAGACATCTCACGTTATTCATACCGAATTTATGATTCCGAGGATAATCAAGACGATATTCGAACTTTTGCTTATCGTGTCGAGTTAAATGATCTCCGTGCAAGAGAAGAAGATGTTATCATGTTTGGTTCATTACATTATACTTTGCGCTTGGCTCTTGAGAATCCTTCCTTGGTTTGGTTAGCTAATCATTTGCGTCAAGAAGTCAGCATCTCTCATCCTATTGTGACTCGACAAGCTCTCAGTGTGATTCCTTTACTTGGTGGTCCCGAATCCTTTGTGGGTGTGCATTTGCGACAAGGTGATGGTTATTTTAAGGCCTTGATGGACGAGACTGTAAATACCTTGAGAGCTACTTTGGAACAACCTGAATTGACTCAAGAACAAATCATTGCTCAACAGACATTATCTGAACAAGCATCCTTGGTCTCTACTCCTCTCACAGTCGAAGACGAGGCCCGAATTACCAAACTAAAGCAAATCGACCAAGCCAACCCTAACGACAAGATGGGGCTCTTGAACCAATGTGTTGCATGGCACAGTCAAAAAAATCACCCCCGTCTACGTCTTATCTTTATGGCCACCGATACACCTCAGCCTCGTACAACGCTAAAGGCTCTTTATGACGAGTTTCCGTGCATATTTACGCTCTCCGATTTTCCTCAAGTCATCGAAAGTACGTTGAACATGACTCCCATGCTGACTGGTAATCAGATGGTGGATGAAGAAATGAAGCAATTGGACACAAGAATTGCTTCTCTCTTGTTTCCCATGATTGATGCTGAAATTGCTTCTCATGGCTCGATCTTCATTGGTACAAGAAAGAGTACTTTCTCTCAGTACATCAATTTCAGATACAACCGTTTCCAATCCATGTATCATACTACAGTTTAATTATATATTCTTGTATTTTGCTTTCATATAGACCTATTTTGTTATATACACATTTATTTATTTTTTTTGTACACACACTCATTTACATATATACATATATACACACACTTTGCGTTAATAAATGAAACTTTCTCTTTACTATATAAAGTGATGTCATACAGCAACAGAAGAAGTTGATTAGAAAAAGAAATAAAACTATTTTTATAAACATCTTTTTTTGGAATAATAAGGGCTTTGTTTTGGCTTAGATCCATTATAGTTTCCGGGCAATGACAAAAAAAGAACAAAAAAAAACTTTGCCATGTGTAACACTTTTTTTCGTGATTCTCGAATCTACCAAGTGGAAGAGGGGCAAAAGTGCTTTATTGTGATTGCTGCGCTTGAATACAGGCTTTGATAAATCAAGTTTTGTATGCATGTTAATTCTGCATGTGGCTGTCTGTTTCTTTTTGTGGCTGCTGTAGCTAATAAAAAAAGATCATTCGGGTTTCAACTCTAACCATGCGATGGCTAAGAAAGTAAGTTTTGTGCTCTGTATATATGTACTCTTGTTAATCTATGAAACAACACTATATTATTTCGCGTTATAACAAGCTGTCAAAAGTGAATTAGCTTCACCTTCTTTGTGTTACATACCCACTATGCAAAAAACAATTCAAAAAAATATGCATTCCTTACCTCTCATCTTGTTCTTCCATACGGTCAGGCCCATTATAGCCTTTTCTTTCATGTCTTGCTCTTGTTTTGAATGGACAACGAGTAGCTTTAAAGGTTGAAATCATGTTAAACTCTTTAATATTATGCATGGGATTTAAAGTGGTGGAACCGTGACGTTGAATGTATTAAACAAAACGAGAAAAAATGGCGTGTGTAATTTATTCTGTCTCTCTCTCTCTTTTTTTTTCCATGAGAAAAGAAATGCAAGTACAACTTCAGCATGATTTACAGGTAAAAAAAAAAAAAAAAAAAAAAAAAAAAAAAAAAAAAAAAAAAAAAAAAAACTCTTTTTTTACTTTGTATTGATTTCAAAAATAGCACCCCTTAGCTGTGGATGATCGTTATACGGATAAATTATCCAAGACCGATGGTTCGGATGATAAAAAGACAAGCAAGCGAAGAAACAGTAGAAGACGTGGAAGTCGAAGACGTTCTTCTGTAGATACAAAAGCAGAAAATGACACCTTTTTTGGCGATATGAATCGTAGCAACAATCAACGTCGCCATTCCCATAAACAACAAGAAGAAGAGGAAGAATCGCCTGCATTTCAGTCGATTGTAGATATCATCAGTGAGATGAAAAGGCTGCCATCCATCTCTATTTATAAGGATGAAGAGAACGATTGGAAAAGAGTTCGTAGACATTCAGAACCACCTCAAAAGAATCAAGAAACTAAAAAACCGGCACCTTTGACACCTATCCATGAAAAAAATACGAATTCTTTCTTAATGCTTGAAAAAGAACAAGACGCGGATGAAAGTGCTTTAGTACCCACACAAGAATCACCTAAAAGAACACGAAGTCAATCAGGTAAAGTGCACTAAAAAAAAACTAGGTTTTCTTATGTTATTTGTAGTACCAAGTACTACCATGCCATTTCACCCTGAAAATACAAGTAACCGGCGTTTGTTGTATACCCCACATTTGAAAATCTCAGAAGCTGCTGCCGCTGTTCGTTCACATACGTTATATTCAGGAATCTTATGCGTGAGTGGACAAGATAGTTCAGAAGCCAATGTGGAATGTGAAGAACTGGATGCTTCTATCTATATTTTTGGATCAAGAAATAGAAACCGCGCATTGGATGGTGATCAAGTCGTAGTAGAATTGGTGGATGTGGATGATATGTTAGATGAAAGACAAGCAAAGCGACAAGCACGTCAAACACGTCGTTTATCAGCCATTTCATTACAGGGTCCTTCTTCACTTGCTTCAAATCATGGCTTGTCTTCTATTCCTGAAAATAATGTAGCATCGTTGGATCAATTAAAGGATATCAGCGATCGACCCAAGTATTGTGGAAAAGTAGTATGTATACTTGAAAGGCCAAGAAACATGCTTTTTTCAGGGTAAGTACACAAAGAAAGACATGGTGCATCACTAATACTCCTTTTTTTTTGGTTCTAGTACTCTTTCGTTAAACAGACCTCATGCTCCCTTGTTAGATAATGGCAGTCGTGATAAAAGAGATCCTCATGGTCCTAAAATTATTTGGTTTATACCTGCCGATAAACGACTTCCTTTAGTTGCAGTCCCTATTAAACATGCTCCACCTGATTTCATAAAGTACCATGAAGAATATAAGAACAGAATCTTCATTGTAAGTTGAGTAGACGCTATAACCAAAACAAGCTGACATATGGGGTCATAGGGAAGTATACAACGTTGGCCTGCTACATCACTTCATCCTTTTGGTGTCGTTGAAAAAGAAATTGGCTGGATTGGTGAATTAGGCGTTCATTCTCGAGCACTCATGGCTGATCATCATATCAAAGACATGGACTTTACTGATTCAGTCAAGAAAGCAACAGGATCTGTACCAACAGGATTTACAGATCAAGAAAGAAAAATAAGACGTGATTTGACAAAGGAAGGTATCCATCTATTTACTATGGGTGAACAAAGCAAAGGTAAAAAAAAAAAAAAAAAAAAAAAAAAAAAAAAAAGCTAAATAAAGGAATATGTCATTAATGATTTAGACATTGATCATGCGTTTTCTATTGTTGAAGTCGAAAAAGGTCTCTACGAAATAGGCATTCATGTGACTGATGTCTCTAAGTATGTGCGTCTCAATACGCCTTTGGACCGGGAGGCTCGTGAAAGATCGTGCGCTATTGAGCTTGTAGACAAACATATTTCTATTTTACCTCCTTCTTTTCTTGAGTCCCATTGTAGCTTCAGTGTTGGTAAGGAACGCTTGGCTTATTCTGTCATGTGTCGATTTACTGAGAATGGGATTTTGTTACATACTTGGATTGGAAAGACCATTGTCAGTGTGAAGCAACATGTTCAGCCAAAAAACCTAACGAAGGACGCAGAAACCTTACTGAAAATCAGCAAAAAGCTACAGATCAACCGCCTCAGAAAACTAGGAGGCACAAGTTTAGCCAAGTCATGTGTTTCCTTTGAATTAGCAGAAAGTGGATATCCAGAAAAAATAGAAAGACAAGATCAACATGACGAGGATGTGCTTATTCAAGAACTCTTGATTGTGGCCAATACAGAAGTAGGGCAGAAAATATCAAGTCGTTTTCCAGATCAAGCCATGTTGTACAGACAAGATTCACCCAAGTTATCAAAATTAGTAAGTGATCTTTATTGCTTTGGCTATACAGCGTATTTATGAGAGAGCATGGGTAGTCTACCGTACAAGACTATTTTGGCAATGACCCTTCTACTGGTACTGTGCAAGGCTTGATTGAATTGATTCGAGAAAGAGAAACAGTAACAGGAAAACAAGAAACTTTGATGCATGTTGTTCAAAAGGCCATTCCAATTTCCAAATACTATAGCGCTGGATCTCTTGATATCTCAAAATATAGCCATTTTGAGTATAGCGCATCTATTTATGCTGTATTTACAGAACCTGTTCATAATTACGCATCGATTCATGCTCAAAGGCAGCTTTCTGCGGCACTTCGAGGGGAACGACAAGACAGTGAAGACTCTGATGCCATAGACAAGATTGCTCGTCACTGCAACTCGTCTTGTTTGAGTAAATTGGCAGCTGAACAAGACAGCAAAAAACTGTTTGTAGCAGCCTATGTCTATCGTCAATGCCTCTGTACAGAAGCAAAGAAGATTTCAGTCGAAGCCTATGCGATTGAGTTTAACAAAGACATGGTTGTTCTTTACATTCCTGAGTTTGACTTGGAATTACCGACGGTTATAAACGAAACATCTTTGCCTCATGGACATCACTCTTTTAATGCTGATCTGAATGAAATAACTCTTTATTGGGATGGTTCAGAAAAGACTCAGACATTGAGATTTTTGTCCAGTGTGCTTGTTTATGTTTATGTAGATATGAAGGCCATTAGGCCATCTTTTAAAATTGAATTCATGCAACAAGTTTAATTTATCAATAATAATATATATATATAATTTGCATTCTATGTCTGCACGGACCTTCTATCTATGAGAATGATTACTGTTTAAATTAGGTTACATCTCTTTTTTTTTTTGTAGAACCAATGATCGTTCTTTTTCTTGATCTATTTACAGACTTGTCAAAGTATGCAGGCTATTATTCAATGATTACATAGTGCTTTACTGCTATAAATTACGTGGTATTGACATACTCGGTCGATAGAATCTGTCGCTGTCGGGCCGATAAATGGGATTCTCGCTTTCCCGTACTAAGATCCGAGAATAGAGAAGCCTATAAGGAGACAGATCTTTAAATAAATAAATAAAACAACAAAAAGTAAAATAAAACAAGACAAGCAGTAGTATAGAAAAAAAAGCGAGCATCAAAGCGTATTTGAATACAAACTAGTCATTCATCTTTTCATTTTTGTAGATATCCTCTTTTTTTTATCTTTCTTTCTCTCTAATCTAAAAGACATGGCTCCTTCTTCGACGTTATCATTACCAAATAATAAAATGTATTCTGTCTATGTGCCTGACATAATCTTTGCCTTAATTGGGTTCTATGGGTTTGTTTATGTTCTAAAGTTTGTTTTAAAGATCTGTCGTCGATTTCGAAAACAAAAGCATCAAGCAGAAAAGCAACGACTCAAGAAAGAATGGACTACTTGTATGACTAAAGTGGAATCTTCTCTTCAACATCCCTCTCTTTCTTCAATTACACTTCATCCGTATGACTCAACAGTGACATTAGCTAGTTTCTCACATCAACAACGGAAAAGACGATTGCACCAAATGACACACTATTTTCATCTAGATCAAGCAAAAAAACTAGGGTTTCTATGGCAATGGAGTGTATCTATGGGTTACTGTGAATATGGTCATGCAGCCCGCTTGAATCGTTTGGTTCTTAAATTACAGGATGAATTGCGTCAAGCTGGTGCTTGACATCTACTTTTTTTAGCTACACTCAAAATTAGACGGATTTATCGTTATGACGAAAAAATAAAGAAATGACATAATACATATACTTTTTTTTTTAACTCTCCTTCAATTCCTTCTACTACAGAACGAATGGCTAAAGCCAACAATATCAAGAAATTTGAAAAGGGAGTTTCACAGGTATATATTAACTTTTTTTTTGGATGTGTAACAAAGTTTAAAAGCGTGCAACTTGGCTATTACAAAAATGACAACGAGTAACATCATTTGTGTTACAGAGATGATATCACACCTATAAATTAGAAAAACCGTCGAAATAAACTATTGAAGCGTGAGTCTCGGACTCGCCATCCTTCCACCTGATCAGTCAATGTTGTTTTTTCCTCTTCTGTCTTTTGATCCACCGCCTGCAATGGCTGCCCATCATGATGTTAGTATTTGTTTCTATGGATATGTATCTTACCTCTGTATCTTGTTCAGTGTATTCTTCTGGTCTCATTCTAAGCCATTGCATCCTTGGGCCAGCATGAGATCGTTCATTGACTCGAAAACCAAAAATACGTGGTTGATAAATGTGTGGTTTTGGTTTTGGAATCAATTCAGCATATGTTTGAAGCATAAGATGTGCGTAAGTAGTACCAAAATGAGAGCCTATTTAAGCATTAGGATAGGTCTATTAGTAATGATAATACCATCAATATTCTGGAATATTGGGTTTGGAGGACAATAGAGATCCATACAAGAAGGGCAATAAAGACGCACACTTTCACGCGCAATTTCATCATATCGTCCACAAGGAAGCACTGGACACTTGTAACAATAGTAACGAGGACACACACCAAACTGCTCACTCGAATATCTCTCAGCCATCAGCCGGAGACCATTCCGTGTAACAAGATATCGAGCGTGAATCAGGCCATATAACATAGCAGCGTAGGGTTCCACCACATTGGGATCAACCCACCCACTGTGTCGAGGTTGGCGTGGTTTTTCTAACCAAAATCCATCATCATCTTCTTCTTCTTCTTCAGATACATCTTGATGTTCATGATCTGATGTTTCTTCAGGCTCAATATCTAATATCATTTCAAGTGCTTCATTATAAAACGGAACAAGTGCTGACAATCCAGTCAAGTTAAATTCGTCTTCAATAAATTCTTCAGGCACTTCTAAATAATATTCATGTCCAGAAAGTGAGCAGAACCAACTAATCCAACTCTGTAAGGAACCATCTGTGTTGGATTCAGAATCTTCATTGTCTAAGATGATGAGTCTCATGTTTCAACATGCCTGTATCGTTACCATCATAATCTATATTTTCATTCTCTACTGTGTTTGTACTGAATATTCTATCCATCACCCTTCTTCTTCTTTTTTGTGTGTATATTTGTGCGTTTCAATAAAAGAAGGGGTAAAAGAAAAAGAAAAATACTTTTTTCGTATACTCACAGTCGAAAAATAAGCACTTGTTTGACGTCATTCGTACATTTTTTTCTTCCTGTTCTTTTTCTTTATAAACATGACTGATAAAGGCGTGGATGTTGCTTGTCAAACTGAAATATGGGAGGATACACGTATGGAAAAGTATCGAAAAATGAAACGCAAGCTGATCGAATTATTAAACGTAAGGAATAAAACGCGTTCTCTTATCTCACCTATACTTGTTTAGAAACAAAAAGAAGCTCAGACAACACTTGATAAAGCCAATCGTAAAACACAGAAACGAACTCGGTAAACCAAACAGACAAACCAGTCATGTATGCTTATCTTATTAGTCAAAAGAAACCAGTCAATGAAGATGCTATGGATATCAGTCAGGATGAAGAAGTAAAAAATCAACAAGATGAACAACAACAAGAAGAGGAAGAGGATGAAGAAGAAGAGGATGAACTGGATGAAGATGATGACCATGGTAATTAGTGACTATGGCAACCCTTCAATCATTGATCCATATTAGATACGCCAGCACCTAAAAAGACACGTATCTCAAGAAGAAAACGCGTGACAATCCCAAGAGACGAAAATGGTAATATACAGTTACCGTTTCAGATAGCTTCTTTGAATGTGATCAGTCTCGGTAAAATCGATTGGGAAAGGCCTGGTTTTCATAATGAGCGATATATTTTCCCCATAGGGTATACAGTAGAAAGGTGAGGTAATCTCATGGTTTGATTCAACTAAACCCAAACCAGAACATATATGAGTATGGTAGACCCTCATAACCAGACAACCTATACATGTAAAGTAGAAGATGGCCAAGATGGACCACTCGTAAGTCTTGATCTGTTCTTCAATAAAGCACTCATCCACTCTTAGTTTACGCTACAAGCATCAGACGCACCTTCGATTGAACTATCTGCTCGAACAGCAACAGGGGTCTGGGCATTAGTGCTCAAGAAAGCAAACGAAGTACGTCAAAAGGAAACGTCCAATGCAATTTCAGGGCCAGAATACTACGGTTTTGCTCATCCCCTAGTAATTAAAATGATTGAAGAACTAGATGGCGTTGATAATTGCAGTCGCTACACACGACGAACAAAAGATAATATTTAACCTTATCAAGTAATAAAGCGTAAATCTTTATTACACAAAACTTACCTATAAAAAGCTGCCTATGATGTCAGTATCATCAATGCACACAAAAATCAAAAAAAAAGGGTATAAATACACTCGGTATTAGTTTTATAACTCTCTCTTTCTTTTTCTCTTATATATACATATAAAATGGACCATCCTAGAAGCTGTATGTCTATTCATGCTATTGTTGACCATGAAGCCCCATTATCACCACCTGATTCCTTTAAGAGTCGATCACCTACTCTCTCACCTCAAATGGAATATATGCCATGTCCTGAAGAAAGAAGACGTAATAGTCTGCAATTACCAATGTCAATAGAAGAACGACGGTACAGAAACAAACTTGCTTCTGCTAAATATCGAGCAAAAAAGGTACAACAGACAAACAGAGAATAATAATGTCTTTCATGTTGCTAACATTCCTACTAGCAAGCAAGTATGAAATCAATGACAGCTAAAGTATCACAATTAATGGCATCGAATTCAAGTCTTCAACGAGAATTATCAAAAGTAAAGCAAGAAAATGAAGTATTGCGTGCCATGTTATTGAATCAACAACAACAGCAATTGCCTTCTTATTCTGTGCCATCCCCACCTCATGTTCCACCTGCATCTTTTTACTAAGCATTTTCTCTCTCTTTTTTTTAATTTGTAAATTTTTTTCTTTTTTTGTATACCTTTCTTTGTTTTGTTTTTTTTCTTTCTTTCTTTTCTTTCGTATATCCTTTGTTGTACAAATTTGTGTGAATAAATAAATATATAGTTTCAAAAAAAAAAAAGAGCGACCAAAAAGTTGGTAAGAGGAGTTGGTTTACACAAAAAAAAAAGCTTAATTTTAGTATAAAATTGCGGTGTCAAATGGGAATGATGTACATAAACGTTACACAGTACTTCTAAGTTTGATTTCAAGGGTTAACACACAAATAAGGAAAATCTAGACTTCAATTCGGATCTCTGTTTGTGAGATCATTTAAGTGAAAAAAAGAAGATTTGGCCTAGCGTCCATATCGAATCATCATTGAATAATAATCTCGAAATGACGCCATGACTAAATAAGCCAGGTTTGTGATACAGTTATTGGGTAATTCATAACTTTGAGTCATTATGAAACTATGTGTTCTCGTTGATCCTTGTATTTAATATTGTTTTGTTATGTTTGAAGTAATACATGTAAATGACATCGGTATGACTAACGATACACATAAAAAAAAAAGAAATGAAGTATATTTTCAATGATTATCCAGAAGAATCTAGAAATCAAGAAAAGAAGAATGCAATTTTTGTTTCAAAAGAGTATTGTCTTGGATCTACTTTAGGTATCTGTTTACTATCTTGACTTTTCTCATCTCAAAATGGACTCACACAAGGTGGGTTTGTGTAACACAACACAACACCCTTTTTTTTTTGTTTCTTTTTCGTTCTTCTACAAAAGAAAAAAAAAGACCTGTGCATTTTTTGTCATACGTTTATAATAATAATAAAAAATACGCCCATTTGAGGAGAAGAAAGATAGTCTGTACAACTTTATTACAAAGTGGTAGAGATAGGAATAAGTGAAATGGGAATAGGATCCACCAAGATAGAAGGCTCAACAATGCATGCCATTAATGTACATGCAGCACCCCAAGCAAGACCATTCGCTGGGCAAATGCAACGATTACAACCATCCGTAGCCATGAATGTTTCACCTGGTGTACATCTATCTTCGGAAGGTATACACAGTCTTTCAGTACATGCTGCGTCGCTGATTAAACCACTAGCAGGACAGTAACACTGATTACAGCCATCAGCAGCAGTGAAGCTTGTATTGGGGGTACATTGTCCAGCACAGGCCATTTTTGTACATGCAGCAACACTCTTGACGCCATTTGTAGGGCAACGACAATAATTACAGCCGTCATTAGCAATAAAAATACTACCTGGTGTACATCGGTCTTTGTAAGCCAAGACTTGAGAGAGCACACAACTTAAGACAATAAGGAAACTACGTTTCATTTCTTTGATAACAGATAGAGAGAGAAAGGAATGTAGACCTTGTTCTTTATTGTTAAATAGATATATATATTTCAACTGTGTTTGTTTATTAGAGGCATGAAAAAGTTACACCTTGAGACCAAATATAAGAACCTAAAATGACAAACATTGTACACTGAGCAATGACGACAGAAATGGTGCCATACAGATAACTAAATTTCCTTGGTAACGTACACAACTCAACCTAAAAAAATAAGCATGTAACAGAACAACATACGATATATATACCACAAATGTAGAAATCGTGGTTAGACAACCACAATAACCATCACTCAATGCCCCAACCACACTACATGAAATCATACTCATGGATGGACCTGACTGTACTAGTGATAAAGCAGCAAGTATCATCGTACCAAATACGTTTGCTACCCATGTGCCTAGAGGAAAATGCGGCAGTTTGTTATTATAAAACGAGAGATACCATCGGGTCAAAGCACCTAGAGGAGCAAATACGCATGCAAGTGCTACTTCTTTTTGATGTTGTGTAAAAATAGCTGCTAAAATAACACCCACCCAACATAATATGCCGAACAGTAGGGTCAAATAATCTCTTTTCTTTAGGTAAGCAAATGAAAAACCCCGGGGTACTGGTTCAACCGCTGTTGTATGATATCGACTGGACACGAATTCACCCACATGCTGTCCAAAGATAAGGCCATTAATAGCCATGGCCAAGGTCACTAGGAATACAGACAATCCTGCCAACACATTTTTCCCGCGTGTATGTGGATAAGCATGATAGTTGGAAAATGCTTGAAAAATACCGAGTTGCCAGGAAGAGAATGTAGTGATGGAACCACAAAGACCTGAAGTGATGGCAGCATGAGATGGTTGATACCTTTTCTTTTACAAAGAGAGGAAATGAGTCAGTTTGTCATCGCTTCTTCATTGTTACCATTGTAATAAAAAGTTTTTGTTTTTAATGGCAATACCCATAATAAAGCAACCCATCCATTGTGCATAAACTAAACTGAACACAGGTGCTCCCGAGTAATCTTGTAAACGATTGAGCCCAATACGAATTAAGGTACCAACAATAGAAAAAGGTACAATCGCAGCTGCAATTACAAGTTTGTTCTCATTCACTTGTATGATTTTGACAGCCTGATCACTCATGGAGTAGAGAAAGAACTCGCAAAAAAAAAGGCAGATAGATAGTGACTATTGTTTTTTGCTCATAAGAAGCTATACACCCTTTTGGATTTAAAAAAATTGGTCATATTCATGATGCCGGGTATTAGTTTGGCCGCTTTTTAGATATTGTATTTTTAGAGTACATTACTGATACTCAGGTTCAATCAGACCAGATGATACCTGCCTTCAAGACTTTTCCTTACGATACTTATGTCTATAGACATGCATTGGAATAAACTTGTTTATTTTAAATTCTTGAGAAAAAAGGGGCATAAGGTAACGAGGCACTAAGTCCGCCATCCACTCTGATATCTTGCCCAGTGATAAAGGAAGCGTCAGAACTGGCCAAATAGGCTACCATAGTAGCAATCTAACATGAAATTCAGTATACACATCGATTGAATACAATTTATGTCTTTACATCTTCTGGCTGGCCCCATCTTTCTAAAGGGGTTACTCGGTTTAAAGCTTCTCTTGCATCTTCATCTTTATCTGCTTCTTTTTTTAGCCGACTGGTCATTTCTGTTTGAGTAAAGCCCTAACATAATACACCCATGAGCCTAGTCTATTTTTTTTTGAAACGACTTACAGGGCAAACAGCATTGACACGGACATGTTTGCCTCTTAACCTCCATGCCATAGACTGACAGATACTGATGACACTGACAGAATGAATTGGATATGTTATCCTTGTCAAATCAGGCTCAAACTTACGCTGCTTTTGAAGCTGAATAACCCACTGGGCCAGCACCTGATCGAATACCAGCAACTAAAAACAAAAATAAGAACTTTCGGTTCATTCGTGTAGGCCTATTTACCTGAAGCTGTAGCAATAATGGAGCCACCACCTATAGGTTTCTTGTCACTGGTCTTTGACATAGCTTCCGATGCATTCCTGATGGCTGCATAAACACTATGGAAATAAAGATCAATGGATACTGTCTAAACAGAATACGCCTACCTCCATGCATTGATACGCATCACACGAAGAAACGTTTCTTCTGTTTCAGTATTCATACGCTGAGGATGGGCAACACCAGCATTTGCAAAAAAGACGTCGAGTCGACCAAATCTATCTAAAGCGTCCGAAATGACAGCCTGTATGTCTTTTTCTGAGCTTGCGTCTACAAGATAAGGAATGCACTCAACATGGGTGGTTGCTTTGATCTCTTGTGCAAGTGTATCTAAATGATCCTTGTTGATATCTGTAGCGTATATAGCGCGTACTCCCTTTTGAGCAAGGGAAAATACAGCAGCTCGACTAAGTAACAGGTTATATTGCTGTAGTTGTATCATTTGCTTACCCAATACCAGCTAAAGAATTAGCACCAGTGACAATACAGACAAAATCGTTCATATTTTCTTAGAGAGAAAGAGAGGGAGAGAGACGAATAAGCGAGCTGATTAAATACTCGATCAAAGAATACAATTTAATCGTTTATTTATAGTCTGTTACCACAAATTCCCCTTTTCGCATAGAGAAAAAAAAAATACGTTGATAGCTTGAACGTTATGCAGTTTTCTCCTTTTCATCTTCTTTGGTAAAATATGGTTATTGTTTATGATCCAAGTAAAAGTCTTTCCATGTATACTAGGGATTCAAATGTCCTTTTATCTCTCTCTCTCTCTCTCTCTCTCTCTCTGAGCATGATGAAACAAAGCGATAATTTATATTTGTAAAAGATGCAGTTATTCCATAGAAAACAAAAGGTACACATCGCTATTGGCCTACTGCTTTGCATAAGCTACTCCTTGTTAACCTAAAAAGATAGAAAGAAACTATCAAAAAAACAATGCACTATGAACAAACACATTTGTCTTATAAGAGGCATTCCTTCTTACACTAGAACCAGAAAACTGCTTTTATCAGAAATTAAAACCCCCCTTCCCTTTTGTTCACGTTGTGGCACTGCTTACTTTTTTTTTTACTTTCTTTTTCTTTCTAATATTAAGCAATGACTTCATCTAATCTAGCGTTTGAGCTGTTTACTCTACCAACACAGGTAGACACAAGTACTTTTTGGACAAACTTAAAGGAGAATAGTCACTTTGTTTTACAGCAAACAAAAACTCAAAAGAACGGCATAATGAGAAGTGTCTTGGGCACACTGCAAAATGTGTAAATAAATACTATGACTTAACATACCCTAAATACATATATTAGCCTAGATACAAAACAATCACCTTATCGAGTTTTGTTTCGACGTGTTAATGGAACAAGTCTGCAAGTGGCTGTTGCCGAAACAGAAAAAAAAGCAGAGATAGTATGGGCTTGGATTGAATGTAAAATACCAACAAACAAAAAAAAAACTTTAATAAAACTGACATACCCTCCTTCTCCTCCCCCCTTCTCTTATTAACAGCCAACTTACTTCCTCCACTTGATAACCTGGATACAGAAGAAAGAGAACCTTATGTTGTTACAAAGATAAACTCGATTGTTACACGCAGAGGTAAACTCATAAAGAACATTCATTTTATTCATTGTTTTTTTTTTAGATTCTGGTACAGATGAAATATCTGCTGATGAAAAAGTAAGAAAGGCTTCAAGAAGTTTTAGACAAACCTTTAATGTTCCTTCATCAGAACGTCTTGTTAATTGTAAGTATATGCATATGCTAGAATAAAAAAGAATAAACACTGTATATAGACTATTCCAGTGCCTATCATACCAATCGATTCACAAGCCAAGGATGGCTTTATATCAGTGAAAACTACCTTGCATTCTATTCTTTCTTGCTTGGGTTTGAGACAAAACTCTTGCTCGAACTCAAAGATATCCAGGACCTTAAAAAGGAGAAATCAAAACGTGGCGTATTTTCTGATGCTATCAAGATATACATGAAAGATAAGAGCGAGGTAAATGAAGAGATAGACAAATACACATACTAACATAGTACAAAGCATTTCTTTTCAAATCTGTTTAAACGAGATGAAGTCTATGAGATTTTGGTCCAATTGACTGGATTAGCCATGCAAAGAGTGCTGAAAAGTACAGCTTTAGAGCATGCACCTGGAAGTGATGTGTCGATTGATATCAAGGACAGTGATATTGATGCTATTCAAGATGCTGATGTCTCTTCAAACAAAATGGCTTCTTTGCCTGCAGCTGAAATAAGAAAACTAATGCAGCCATTAAAGACTAACTTGGAAGCACAGAAACGAGATGAGAAATTCAGGGCAAAATTCAGATTACCACCCGATCAACACTTGGCTTATTCATTTATCGCAACTCACCCTGCTACTGTCTCAGAAGAAATTGGGTCAGAAAAGCCAAAGTTGGTCAATTATGCAGGCATTTTGAACTTGTCAGAAGCCTACTTGACATTCAATTCAACAGATCAAGGTGCTTATTTTGAAGCAGTGATGCCTCTTTATACCATTCGTCGTGTAGAAAAACTAACAGACGAAACTAATGCTTATTCTATAAAAATTGTGAATTGGCATCAATCTGAATCTGTATTTCATCTGAATGCGTAAGTAAGAAAAGAGGGTTTATGGGAATACGTTATGGATTGATTGTATTCGTAGAGATGAAAAAGGTTATCAGGAATTCTCGGCTACATTGACCAATAACCTCAAAAATCAAATCAAACATATGAGAATGATGAAGCAATTCTTAACTACGTGTGCATCAGAAGCTGTGCTTGCAGACAAGACCTACGAGGAAATGAACTTGATTCCCGGTGGATTAGGTTTAACATTCGATTTTCCGGGTGATCCCAAAAAGCTCAAGGAGAAAAGCAAAATGAAGTTATGGAAAAAGTATTTTCAGGGTAAGCCAAAAGAACCAAGACATAAACAAATCGAATTAACGCCCTCTAAAGAACATGGCAGAAATCTCACGATTGCAAAAACACCTCGCTTTGCTAAACTGATTCGTGTTGGATTGCCCAATCGATTGAGGGGTGAAGTATGGGAGATTTGCTCAGGCGCCATTTTTGAAAGATTTAGAAACCAAGGATTATACGACAGAATTTTAGAAGAAAACAAAAACAGAAGCTCATTGAGCCTGGAAGAAATCGAAAAGGATTTAAATAGATCATTACCCGAATACAAGGCTTATCAACAACCCGAAGGTATCAATAGCCTCCGAAGAGTATTGAGCGCCTATTCATGGAAAGATCCTGAATTGGGTTACTGTCAAGCCATGAACATTGTCACGTCTGCTATCCTCATGTAAGTCACTACATTAGTCCAAGTGTATACTGATATACGCATTAGCTACATGAGCGAAGAACAAGCTTTTTTTACGCTTGGTGTTTTATGTGATGACTTGTTACCCGGCTATTACAGTACATCAATGTATGGTGCTCTTTTAGATCAAATCATTTTTGAACACTTGTTAGAAAAGACCATGCCTAAGCTGCATGCTCATTTCAAAGCGGCTGATATTCAATTATCTGTTGCTTGCTTGCCATGGTTCTTGAGCCTTTACATCAACTCTATGCCATTACTGTTTGCTTTTAGAGTTTTGGATTGTTTCTTTATGGAAGGACCCAAGGTTTTATTTCAAATTGGGTAAGTCTTTAGATTTTGTAAAACGAAAATCTCATTCTCTTTTTCTTTTTATAGTCTTGGTAAAACTATTTTTTTGTACAAAGAGATAAACACTCATATGTTACATTAGCTATCCTTAAAATCAATGGTGACGAACTATTAGAAGCTACTGACGATGGCGTCTTTATGAACACGCTGAAGCAATACTTTAATAATTTGGGTAATCCTCTTTACCCTAACTCAGAAAACCCAAAGGCCAAGAATCTGACGGCAAGTATTCATCTCAAATCTGTATGAAATGACTAAACCATGTACTTAGAAATTCAATGAGCTCTTGTTGGTTGCTTATCGTGAATTCAGCAATGTAACAGATGAACTTGTTCGAGAATTAAGGCAGACAAATCAACTCAAGGTGGTTGCAGGCATTGAATCTTTCACTAAACGATCCGCTGTGCGTAACATTGACAACACAGCAGGTCTTGACAAGACAGAGATAGGTATTGTTTATGACAAATTTCATAATGTATTGTATTACAAGCAACAAAGTCCCTCTGAACGCAATGATTCTAAAATGGACCTCAAATCATTTGAAGTCTTTATTGGTTCGCTTGCTTCCTGGGCTAAAATTGACTCAGAAGATCATCAATCTGACGATCGTCAACGGCAACTAAAAGTAGCTAAAAATTTTTTAAGCCAGCTATTCAAAGTGTTTGACGTACAACAGACACATCATTTAAGTCTTCAGGTAAAAAAAAAAAAAAGAAAAAAAAATAGTATTGAGGGACTAAACTAAATATAGAGTGCTATCATTGGACTTGGCTCTATTTCCAAAGGCGATTTGAATTCACAAATTAGACTATTTTTTAACTTGCACGACATTGACAAGGACAACTATCTAAACAAGGAAGAAATCCTTCAGCTATCTGAAACTTTACTTTGGATTTTCCGCCTTACGCAAGATGAAAACCATTTGAATGCAGTCTCTACATTTCTGCATAATGCATTTGAATATGCAGAGACAAGAAATGACGAAAAATATTTGTCATTAGAATCATTCAGGTAAACCAAAAAAAAAAAAAAACTGAATCATCATTGATATAAAGCTTAGGATGATTGTACTTGCAGACGAAACTTTAGAAAATTTCTTTGATCATGAGTTTGCTGCTTCTTTCAAGTTGACCGAGAAACCTGTTGAGCAACAACGAAGTCTTGGCCGAGAAATTTTTGACAACCTCCTTGCTACAGGTGCTAAATTAGCTTCAACAACAGTTCGACCTCAATTCAGATCGAAATTGACAGATGCTTCTTCCATCAGTACATCCGAAGTTCAGACAACTATCGATGCTATAGAAACTGCCAAGGTTAAAGAAAAGGAAGAAGAAAAGAAAGAAGAAAAGAAAGAAGAAAAGAAAGAAGAAAAGGGAGAAGAAAAGGAAGAAGAGGTGAAGGATATCCCCACAAATCACTCGGTTGAGAAGCATATTCTCGGTGATGACTCTGATCCTGATTCCGACGATGAAGAAGATCTTAGTCCTGATGTATTGGAAGAAGTAGATAGACTTTTGAAAGAGTACGACGATGAAGATGAATAAATAAATGACGAAATGAACACTACAATCTGTTTATTGTTGTGACTGAGCCTGATTTTTTTTTATTATCTTCAAAAAAAGTTCGTTTGCCTTCTTTTTCATCCCTTTCTTTTTTTTTCTAGTCTTGTGTTATTTCTCTCAAGTTGAGAAAAAAAACAACAAAATACATCTTATATGCTCTAAAGCACAAAACAAAACTTGTTATCATGAGTCTGCCGCAAACAGTTATAGCCATAACCACAACAAATAAATTAGAAAAGAAACACAATTTGTTACAAAGAAACGGTAGCCAATTGCTACAACATGCTACTCGATTCGGCTTAAAAAGGTCACTTACAACAAGAGTGACATCCTCTTCTCCACAAACTCAACCAAAGTCATCGGTCTCTGTTTCTTTTACTTTAACAAAAGATCCAAAAAAAGAAAATATACCAAACATTCAGACTGAATCCAATCCTTCTTATTCTCCTACAAACACTAAAATGTCAGGTTAGACAGAAAAAAAAACATAGATAGACTGTTTGTGCCTGACTAAATCGTTCTTTATTTAGCATTTGATATGCAATCACGGTCGCTTTCAACGATACCCGAAAACAAGCAACAGTCGTTGTTCAAAACCCTAAATAATCAACCGCCTCGATATTATCGTGCGTTTTTGTCTTCAGTCGCATATGAATTGAAACGACGCATTATCTTGAGTGACAGAATAAAAAACGATATTGAGTATCATAATGTGTTTGATGGAAAAGAAGCAGTGGTAACAAGTAAATTACTGTTATTTAGAACTGATATTCACTTTCTCTGTTTAGGATAAACTGAAGGATATATTAGGCACAGTAGATCGTCAGCTTGCCTTAAGGGTGGGCCGTGCACTTGAAATGCAACGATTTTTTCACGATGTGAATTACGAAAAGAGATTGATAGATGATATTATCGAGATTTATCAGTTCAATGAACTTCTCTTTCACACTAATCACGAATCGAGTACAACACATAGCAGCAGCAACACTGATCAATCTACCACACTCACATCGCACTCAGTGACTTCAACCATCATTAATAGCTATACTAGTGATGACGACGATTTTGACGAAGATGATGATCACAATTCACTCAGTACAGAAACAACTACGGCCACACATAGCCCAAATTTACAAAAGGAATTATTACCTAATGGTGTTTACACTGAACTTACGCACTGTTATACACCTACTTGTTACGACAATGTGTACCCTTGCTACAGTTACACATGTCCTAAAAGAGAAAAACTGGTAAACTGAAAATTTCTCACAACGATGATTTAACTTTTCCTTATAGAGAAAGAGACCTCTTAGTGTTGACACAAGAGAAAAACGAGCAACAGCTTATGCATATGAAGTTCAAAAACATCAGCAGTTATGGAGTCAGACAGTGGATGACTATATTGTTCTGTCTACACCAGCAAACGAAAGGAAAAGACAAGAAACCATATTTGAACTTGTGTACACGGAAGAAAACTTTCTGAAAGATCTTGAATACGTGATCAAGGTACCCACTTATATAACACAATGTACACATTGACATAGTTTTGTGTAGATGTGGATTGAACCTCTCAAGACAAGTGATATCATACCCAAACATCGCAGAGAAGAGTTCATTGATAGAGTCTTTTCAAACTTGATTGAGATTCGCGAAATTAGCAATAATCTTACTTTGGCTCTCAGGGCAAGGCAACAGGAGCATCCTATTGTTTCACAAATTAGTGATATCATGCAGCATTTTGTAGCTGAATTTGAACCTTTTGTGTACTATGGCGCCAGACAGCATCAAGCGAAACATATGTATGAACATGAGCGATACAACAATCCTAAGTTTGCATTGTTTGCAGAGGTACGCACATATTGATAGATGCACTACGACTGACTGTATGATATAGCAAACAGAAAGAGATATTTCTTCACGAAAATTGGAATTAAATGGATATCTCACAAAACCAACCACACGGCTTGGAAGATACACTTTATTATTAGACAAGATTTATGCACGCACTTTACCTACTCATCCTGATAAAGAGAAAATACCTTCTATTATTGAAACCATCAAACAATTGTTGCAGCGTGTTAATAATGCAGCAGGAGCAGCTAAAAACAGATTCGACCTTGAACAAATTCATCACCACTTATCATTCAAGAACAAAAAGGATGTCATGAACTTGAGACTGCTTAAACCAGAACGAAGTATTATCAAACAAGGCACTTTTAGAAAGACAGCAGCACTTGATTCAACACGATATCAAGTCATTTTGTTCGACCATTATTTGATGATTGCCAAAGTCAAGATGATAAATGCTATTGAGCATTATCAGATTCAGAAAAGAGTAGGTCTTTTGTGTGTGTGTGTGTGTGTGTTTGTGTGTTTTCTGGAGAGACTTATATGTATAGCCAATACCTATTGAACTTTTGGGTGCCAACTTGCCTCCTATTTATGATGGTCTACAACGAAAGAAATCACTTACTATATTGTCTGCTTTGGATCGCACCTTACCACCTTCACCTAATAACACAACCCATAAGATTAATACATTTAATTCACAGCCTATTGAGCAAAACACACGAACAGGGGCACCTATCACTTTTTATCATCAAGGTAAAAACCTGGAGGATGCAATTACACTGTACGCACCTAATGAGCCCAATCGAAAATCATGGAATGAAACTATTCAAAAGCAACGCGACACCAAGCTGAAGAGACAGCCAGCATTTGAAATAGTAGACAGTACAAAGCGATACGAGTTTTTCGCAGACATCAAAGCACATCACATGTTGATCTTTGGTAACAAGTATACAAAAATATACGTTATGTGCTCATGTGGTTCAATAGATCAAGGCAAAAGCTACATGTTGGCCACAGATGCTGGTCTTTATGTAGGTCCTAATCATTCTGTTCATACAGGTGTTCCTCGAAAGATATTACCTCTTGAAAAAGTAACTCAAGTGCATGTACTAGAAGATTATCAGCTCTTGCTGGTCTTGGCTGATAACACCCTGTGGCAATATCCTCTTGATATTACTATCAATGGTCAACCCGATGGGATCAAAAGCATTCAATGCTTTGGTCGAAAAATTCGTACGAATGTATCCTTTTTCCATGTAGGAAAATGCCTTGATCAAACCTTGATCTGTGTACCAAAACCACCTTCTGTCAATGGTACCGAAATCGATTTGTTTGAACCTTCTATGCCAAAAACAGAGCTCAAAAAGAAGTCGTTATTAGGAAGATTGTCTATTAAATCCTCTTCTGCTTTGTCATTGACAAATACCCAAGTGACTCAGCTCAAGTCTATTTACAGTCCCTGTGATGTCTGGGCAATTGATAATACACGATCTATGTTATTATTGACAACACCTCTTGGTATTGTAGCTGTTGATATGAAGACAAAAAAGCAGACAGTAAGTGATTTTAGAAAAGAAAAAAAAAAAAAAAAAAAAAAAGAGAAACTCATTTATTACCTAGGTCTTTTAGATCCTTCTGATAAACATTTGAATTTCATCACAAGAAATGAAAAAGTAGATGAACAAATGAAGCTTAACCCAGTTGTGAAACGCATTGCTGTTTTCCAAGCACCAAATGGAGAGTATCTTATTTGTTACGACAGTAAGTTGATAAAAAGGGGTAAGATTTGAATCTCATATCCTTTAATTTAGAATATGCTTTTTACATTGATAAAAAGGGAAGACGAGCTCAACATAAATTCAAGATTGAATGGGAAGGCCACCCGACTGCATTTGCCTTTCACCATCCATACGTGATTGCATTTGAACAGCAGTTCATTGAAATAAGAAGTGCCATTGATGTATGTGTGTATGCGTATATGATGATTTGAATAATTCACATTGTTATAGGGACATTTGGAACAAGTGATACAAGAGAAAAACTTGGATTGTTTACAACATAGTCACAAATCCAAAGGACCCTTTATATTAGGCACCATGCTGGACAAGACAAATTCTATATACCAACACATTTTTGAACTACAACCAGTTATTCTAAAATAATCATAATAAATCTATATACCAAATCGATCTTTTTTTAAAAAAAGAATCACATGTTTTGACAACATTTTTATTTTTTCATTCTTTAAATGGTCCCTTCAAACAATAAAAAAATACTTCAACAACAAGTTATTCGTTTAACAAATGAAATAGAAGAATTACGTCTAGAAAGAGAAGAGTCAAAAAAGAACGTTGTGTTCTTTATACAAGAAGCTGATCTTCTTCGACAAGAACTACTCGCTCTTCAGCAGCTATCAAACACGTCTCCTAAACTATCCAGTCTTTTGCCTAGGCTCAATAGTCTAGACGAAGAGAAACTGAACCTGATTTTTATCATGCTAGAAAACCCCAACATGCCACACGAACTTGCCAAACTCCAGTCAGACCATGTCTCACTTGAGATAGAGTTGAATCAAACACGTAATGAATATCATGCAACACGCGCTGCTTTACTCATCGAAAACGAACGCGCTGATATCATCGAAAAACGATGGAAAGAAGCTGAAAATAGCCTTGAAGAAGCTGAATCGACCATACAATCCCTGAATCAATTAATAGCCGTGCGTAATGAGACAATGGGAATGACTACATCAAAAAATCATGCATTATTATGCAACGAATCAAAAGGAGAAAATCAAAAACTTCAAGTTAAACTGGGTCAATTAGAGCAAAGTGTGTTGCATTGGCAAGAAAAGTGTGAGAAAATGAATCGAGAAAACGTAATAACCCATTTACAAACCTATAAGTGGATCTAACAACAAAATGTTTAGGTTGCATTGAATGAGGAAAAAACAAGAGCGAAATTAAAAGAGCATCATTTAAAGACAAACAATAAAACTTTGCAAGAAGAAATACGTAAATTAAGCAAAACAGAACAAGATTGGGTCAATATTGAATACCTCCGTAATGTTATTCTCAAATTCCTTGAACGAAAAAACACGCGCGTAAGTAAAAAAAAAAAAAAAAAAAAAAAAAATGGCCTAGTGGACATATGTATTTAATTTGTATTTTAGGCTCAATTGGTACCTATCCTATCAACATTACTTCGGTGCTCCAGTGAGGATCAAACACGTCTTTTTCAATTGACGCGAAACACTCTCACATCATAATTATGTCTTTTAATAAACAATAAAAAAAACATATATAAACCCCAACTCGTCTTGTTGCGTTATATTGCGTTATAAATCAAATTAAACATTATTATTCAAAATGGAAGGTAAATGGGATCAAGCTGCTGGTAAAATGAAGAAGGCTGCCGGAGAAATGATGGGCAATGAAAGAATGGCTGCTGAAGGTGCTGCTCAAGATACTCAAGGTAAGGCCTGTGGTATGGGTCAATCCACTGGTGGCAAGATGGAAGGCATGAAGAACGAAACCAAGGGTACCGTTAACTCCAATATGAACAGCGCTACTGGTAATACTACTGGTCAAATGCGTGGTGAAGCTCAAAAGACCCAAGGTCAAGCTCAACAAAAATGGAACTCTTAAATGTTGTAAATAGCTCAACTTTAAACAGTAAATAAAATATGTTTGTAAATAATGAAAAAATGATAATGACGTTTATTCTGTTTCTTCCGTATGATAACCACTGCGTCTATAACAAAGAGTTTAGTATGGACTATTATTATTTTCTCAAAAAGACTTACCTCATTTCAGCAAGAACACGACGAGCATTCGTTAATTCAGCATCCAATTTTAAGATCTTGACTTGTTGTTCCATTTCTCTACGCTTGAATTCATGCACAGAAAGTTTGTTAAAGTCAATATCCAACGTATCTGATTTGTTTTGTTGAGCAACAAGACCCTTGACTTGCTTGACTAATTCGGCAGCAGCATCCTTGACAGCCTTAGCAGCCAATTCCAAACGCTCTTGAGTACGAGACATGAATGATGACTTGACACGAGAAGCAGATACTAATTGAACTGTGGCAGCAGAAACTTCATTTGAAGCAACAATCAATTGTTCCAAAGAATGAGTTTTACTGATGACACCGTCAGCAGCTTCCACAAGTAAATTTGTAGCTACAGCTACGGACTTGGCAGCTGAAATAAGACCTTCAGTCCAACGATTATGTTTCTTGTAAAAAGCAGCTTTTGAGGAAGAACCACGTCCTTGGGCAACAATCTCCTGTTGTGAGAGAGTAGCACACTTGATCAAGTTACCGATAGCATTAGTCAATGCCAAGACAGAATTCAAGATCAATTGATGGACTTGAATGTCTGTAGCAGAAAAATTGGGATTAGCTGGACGACGCATCAAATCTTGAATCTTGAGGGTAGCATCTTCAATGGCACGGGCAGCCTTGGTCATTTCTTGTTCAACAAGATCACCTACATCACCTTCAGACATCTTGTTGACATCAGTAGCGCCTGTCAAAATCAGATCTTCGGTCTTTTGTGAAAGTCTTGTCAAGGCTTCTTGGACACGCATGTCACCTTGAATTACAACTTCAGGACGTTGAGCAGGAGGGAGCATCTTGAGATAACTAGACATGACACTGCTAAAGTATTGGATACATGCTTCAGCAGATCCTTTGCCGAGTTTAACAAGTTCTTCGCCGTCTTCGTCTTTCATGACAAATTGAGTAATACCCTTAGAGTGTTGAAGGACGTCAAGGATAGTATCAGAGAACTCAAGAGCTCGTGTGATTGTGCCTGTATGATCACCTGTATTACTGCCATCTAAGAATCGACTGAAGGCAGACATGAACTCAACAGAAGTAATACTGGCTCTTTCAATCATAGACAAAGCCAATTCAGGCGTAGAGTTTTCATTACCGTGTGAAGTGGGTTGTTCAATATCATAAATACCGTCATTGATCTTTTGAATACAAGTTGTCAAAATACAGTCTGCATAAACAAGTGAGACAAAAGACGCATTGAAAACAGTAAAGAAACTTACCCAAGACTTGATTTAACTTATCGGTTTGTGCAGTTTGTAAACGATCGAGCTCATCTTGAAGGTCTTGTTGTCGATCATTTTGTTGCAATTCTGCCAATTGTGAAAGACATTCATCCATACCAGCTTGCAACACAGCGATTTCTTCGTCTTTTTCTTGACGGATATGATCAGCTTCACCTTGTTGATCCTCAATTTGCTTGAGGAATTCATCAATCAAGGCTTGCTTTTCCATCAAACTGGCTTCAAGGTCTTGCTTTTCTCTGTTGAATTTAGCAAGGAGAGCACTGACTTCATCACCCTTTGATCTACCCATGTTTTGCATTTGATTACGAGCATCGTCCAATTCACGGCGCAAACGATCCATATCTTCACGCTGGTTACCTTGTAAACGAGCCAACTCGTTGCGTGCCCTGTCACGCTCACGGATCAGATCAGCAAGTTCGACATTCTTTGCACGCATATCAGCTTGCATACGTTCTAGTTTTTCTGTGGCTTCTTGTGCAGAATTAGCCTTGACTTGAAGTCCCTTGTATTTATTAAGCAAATCAATATGCTCTTTTCTTAATTGACTGTAAAGCTTAGCCAATGCTTCATATTTGTTCTTCCACATTTGAATTTCAGCTACGGAGCATATCAGTATCCTCCACCCAACTTACACTACTTACATTGAAGAGAGCGAATAAGCTCATCTTTTGATTGATCCCTAAGTTGAGCATTGGCATTGACAGAAGCCAGCTCTTGCTCAAGTGCCTTAACTCTTCTATCGTATTGTTCCAACATCATTTGGTTACGTTCAAGTTGATTACGAGCATTCAAAATCTGCATTTCCAAATCGTTAATTCTGCCTACTTGCTGATGCTGCATTTGCTGTCTCAGGAGCTCTTCTTGTCTTTGACGTTCAAGGTCAGCCATTCTTCGCTGTTGTTCTTCATATTCATGCTGTTGTTGCATTTGCATCTGTCGCATACGTTCTTGTTCCTCAGCGCGTTGTTGAGCTAATTTTCTTTGTTGTTCTTCGTACTCTCGTTGTTGTTGTGCTTGCTTCTCGGACCAAAAGTCAATGACAGGTTCAGGAGACGCTTGTGGTGGTGGAGGGGCTTCGATACGAGCTACTTCAGGGCGCTTAGGTAATTGAGGTGTATTGGCATCAATCAAAGAGGGTGGATCGGGTGAGAGCTTAGGCACATTGATCAGACTCGTCAAGTATTTCAAGTTGGAACATTCATAATAGAATTTCAAAAGAGCATAATGTTGTGTATTGAACTTTTGTCTTAAGGGAGCAAGTGCTTCAGAAGCATCGGTGCCTAATTTCCTTCACTGAGTCACTTTTTTTTTTTTGCTTAATTCTACTTACGCTGATGCATGGCTCTCATCATGCTTGTGATAAATTTATAAATACCATAACTTTCTTCCACAAGAGGCACAAGAGCAGCAATACGGCATTCATTGTTTGAATGGTGACGGAAACTACCAAACACGGTTTTTTGGAATCGATCTATATGATCTTGCAAGGTCATTAAGTCACTGATGGTCTCGAAACTACACTGTGGTGATTAGACCTGTTTTTTTAAAAAAAGAAATATACTTTACCCTTCATTAGGATCATCAATGTTCTTTAAACTAATGTACTCTTCATAGTCAAAAGTACCATTGAATTCGGGGTGTGTACGGTGGTACTGAAGTTTGTGTAAAAGGAAATCAACATAGGCACGAATAAGCATACCATAACCACGCATACCCTCTCCATTCACACTACGAGCACATGTCTCAAGCCAACCAGTTTCTCGAAGGGCATCTTTAATAACCTACAGTAAACGAGATGAGCTAAAGAGCGCGTATGCAATGTGTTATGTACATTGGGATGACCATCTTTCACCACTTTATGCACCAAAATGAGAGCCTTAAAAGCTTGTACTTCGTCAGAAAGTAAAGGCTGCACTTTAAGGATATTCCAGATAATAGCTGATGTTCTATGGTCCCAAGTATAGACGATGCATTCTATATTATACAGCTTAATAGGTGTTTTATTCAAACGACAACTTACTTCTAACGTGCTTTTGTTTAGGAGCAGTTTCTTCAATACTGCAAGCTTTCTTGATACTCTGAGCGAGTTCAGATTCTGCCTTTTCAGCAGAGAGGTAGGACATATCTTTAAAAGAATAAAAGACGTATGTGTAATTAAAATGGGAATTAAATACTTGCGGGACGTTTTCGATTTTCTTTTCCCGCTCTCTTCTTTCTTTTTTTCTCTCTCTCTCTCTCTCTCTCTCTCTTTTCTTTTTGATCGTTTGTATTTCCTGTTGGCTATACATGTCAAGTTAAAGGAGTGAAACTATCAGTAGACGCTGTCTTTAGTGGTAGTTTGTAGTTGAATTCTCGAGAATTTTATTTGATGTCTTTATGCGTACAAGCATATGATTCCATAGAGTGTAAACTAAACTCCGTTTGATGCGCTCATCAAGTGACACAGATATTCTTTTCCATTCCATACAGTGGTTCCATGAGGTATTTGTAGAACAATGGCAACAAGACAGGACTATCTAATTATAAAAACAGTCTTTCAGGCTATATAGCATTGCGAATGGTGTCTTTTTTTGTAAGGCATACATAAAGAAAAAAAGTGCTGCTCAAAAGTCACATAAACATTAGCATGGATCGGCAAGTTGAATACTCATAACTATAGACTTTGTGGCTCTTTAATTCCATTGGGGATGGGCAAAATCAATCTACTTGATATGCTTCTAATCCTCTCCTTATGTGTCTTTTTTCGGGTATCAGGTGTATTGTAGAATTTTGATTCATAGCTTTCCTCGCAATTCGTTTTGACAAACAATGGGCAAGCATAATAGTACCACAGACGGATTGGCAGCCCGCTGCAGGTGCAACTATTTATCGATATGAACCATCATTTCTACCTTCCAATTCCCTTTGTTTGAGTATACATAAAGGAGCATTTTTGTGCAAAAATAGAGCACGTTTTGAAAAAGTGAGAAAATCGTCATTTTGCCCTTATGATACCGTTTACGAAATCTTTAATTTTCACTATTTTGTAACTGGTGGTCGATAGAGACATTATAGACACAACATGTCTTAATATGAATAAAAAGTGTACGCTATAGTTCAGAAACTGAAAATACGTTTTTCAAGGATAGCTCGATATTTTACTAACAAACATGCTGTAGTTCTTACATCATTAGATACCTTAGGTTTGTATTTACCATTTTGTTAATACACTATTTTGATAACCCTTCCTTTTTGGCTACTTTTTCGTTCGTTGCTCCTTAGAGTCAGTACTCAATATATCTTGTCTTGTTCAATGCTACAGATGGCAATGCCAGTACCACAAGTAGAGGACATCATTTCAATTACTTGGCATTTGACACAATTGTTGATATCTAAGAGATACAGCCTTCCACAAGGGATTATAGCAAAGGTGGATCTCAAATGTCTTTTTTTTTTTAAAATGAGAATATCAATTCAAACTCAGATAGCTCTTTCTCAAAAAAATGCTCGACACAAGCGAGAGTGTTGACGTCATCAAGCTATGTCTACAAATTTTCTTTTTCTTTTCTTTTTTTTCCTTTAGTTTAACCTATTATCATGTACGGCGAATGACGGCATCCAATACTTTTGACCCTGACCCTGCCTTTTGATGGCCTTCTGCGATTGGGAAGGTTATCCCTCAGTCTCTAGGTCACACATGAGTACTAACAGTAGTTTGAATCTCATCAGAGGAGAGCTACAACCTTTACTTGTGTCTGGTGGTATGCGCCTGCCCATTGTTGCTTTGGCCGCCCCTAGATGTTATGCGAGGATACTGTTTGTTGTTTTTCTTGCCTGTGTTTTCTTGTTTAGTTTAAATCATAGATTAAAACGCTGGCTTTGTTTTGGATGGTTAAGTGCAGTCATCGGTGGTCTTTGACCCGTATCCCGTAGTAGGTAAACTCTCTTTCCTTGTCTGTCCTATACTTGCTATTAGCGATAAAACGCGTTGTATTAGCGACCGTCGAGGGCTTAGCGACCAGCTATAGTGCTTTGGCACGTGCCTTATTCGCCTTTTCTATGAAGAGGTGGACATGACCCTTTTGCCGGCGTTGTTTTACGCAATACAATGAGTTTGGCTTTCTAACCGAAAGTTAGTTGGTAGTAAGGTTGTTGACGTTGAGGACTTGGAGGGACTTCCACGACGCCAAAGCAGGTCTACGCCCTGTGGAAGATGGATACAATCTGACAAAGATTGTTGAACCAAGACTTTGGCATTTTTAAGAAAAAAAAATAAACATAAATCCTTTATTATTAGAATTGAGCAAAACCGAACCGAGAAGTCTTACGTACTGGTGAATCAAATAAGCCGCTACTAGTATTATTCTCCAACACATTAGGTAAAGAAGAAGCCATTTGTTGTGGTGATCTGAGTAATTGATGAGCAAAAGGATTGAATGTACCCATATAAGTTGGTGTAGGCATTGCATGTGTCAGGAATTCTAAAGGAGACACTCCGTTGCTTGTCAAATTCATCTTGTCCATGTTTAACACATCAATCAAATGTTGCTGTTGTTGTTGTTGTTGTTGTTGTTGTGGTAATGAAATATCTTCTGATCCTGTAGAGGATGAAGAAGAAAAGTCATATAAGGCAGATACACCCACTGGAATATCCTCTTCTTCTTGCACGAATTGAGTAGGTAAACAGACTTGATCAAATGCACGTCCCAATACAAAATTCACTAGGCCATCATGTTGGAATGGATTGTGTTCAGTTGTCTTTTGGGATAAGGGCATTGTTGTAGGAGGAGGAGACGGCATAGTAGTTTGAGCAGCAGCAGCTTCTTCTTTTCTCTGTTTAGCAAGCATTTCTTTACGTTTCTTTTTCTCTAATTTTCGCTTTAGTACGGTGGGTGACAAGGGTTGTTTTTGTTGTTGCTGTTGTTGTTGTTGTGCTACTGCTACTGCCAAAGGAGGTCCAAAAGCATCCGGTGTTAAAGCAGTTCTATCGACAGAAGAAGAGGATGAAGAAGGCAATGGACTATGTTTGGCTATAGGAGTACCAGGTGTACTTGTCTTTCCCCAAGAAGCAGTAGCTGGTAATGCTGATCGCTCATCTTCTAGTTTTCTTGCTAAAGAAACTGGAGGGAAATCAGAATTAGATAAAGAAGGTGAACTGTATTGTCTTGAAGAAGGTGAATAGACATCTTCTTCATGGTCTTCATGGTCTTCATTATCTGTATCTTGGGACATTTGATCTCGCATATGATGCTTTCTATTCAACAATGAGCTGTATTCTTTACTAAAGCATCCTTACCCTGTAGCCAATTCTTCTTTTGAAATCGTGTCTGCATCTTCCCCAGGTTCATGCAGATAAAGGCAGTTGGGATTTGGGCAATTCATGTTACGAAGATAATAGGTGCAGTACTTGGTAGTACCATAAGACGCTCTCAATATTCTTCCTGCCATAACACTGCCATCTACTGCATGAATTGCTTTGGTGGCATCTTCTTTGCGGTTATAAGTCACATAAACAGCTGCACTAGGTTGCATCGAAGTGGCTCCATTCGCATGGGAAGTAGGCGCAATCTGTCGCTTATTGATCACAATCTTTGCAATCTTGCCAAATTGGCCAAAGTAATCTGGAGATCGGATCGTCTAACATCATTAGTCATCGTGATTAATATGACTGGCTACTTACTTCTTCTGTCGCTAATTTAGGGTGAAGACCAATAATGTAGACCAAGTTCTTTTGAACAACTCGCATGTTTGCCAAATGACGTCGATTGGCCATTTCCATTTCTTTTTGTTGTCGTTCTTTTTCTTTCTTTTCTCGTTTGATACGAGCGATTCTAATCAGGTGAGTTATTGTCCATTCTTTTTTTTTTTTTTTGGCGTCTAGACTTACTCATCAGCACTAATAGGCTCAAATTCAGCATTTTGATCAGAATATTCTCTTCGACTATACAATGTCAATACTAATCAGGCCCATGTCATTCTTTACCAAGCAGGACAACGTCCATTGAGGTTTTCACGAATATGATGCCAACAAAAACGACATATCTAAACAGTAAATAACTCGGATAAACAGCAATAAACCTACTTTATATCCACAAGGACATGGCTTGAAATTTCTATCAGCAATATCTAACTCTTCCATACAAAGAGGACAATCATATTCTTCTTCTTCTGAACTAGAGTACATCTTTGAAAAAACTGAAGGAAAGGGGGTGGTTTAACAACAGATTTTTTTTTTATATATAGTCGTTCCAGCGCCCAAATAGCGGAAATCTAAAAAAAAAAAAAAAAAAAAAAAAAGCCAATAAAAAGGTACACTTCAGTTTATTGAGTGAATTAAGACTCTTAGTGATGCTTCTTTTTCTTTTTCTTCTTCTTTTTAGTCTTTGAGCTATGTGTATTAATATGGATATTATCACTGACTTCTACTTCTTGATGATCATATGTATCTGCTGTAAGACTCTCACCCCAGATGATGTCCATTGGAAACCCAGGTTCTTGTATTATTGAATGATCTGAATTTCTGCGAGATAGATACTCATAAGGCGTTTCAATACCATTCTCTGTCTCTTTAAACCCTAAACAATAGGCAACTTATAGCCTCCATGTCAGCTTCATAATAATAATAGAAACATGATTACTTACAATCACTGCCTAGATCAATACCAGCAGCAGCTTCATCATGGTCATTGGCATTGGTCATTAAAGGCAGTGTACTTGCATAAGGAGAGAATTGAACAGATTGGATAGGAGGTGTAGGTCCAATATGAGCTGGTGGTCTAGGACATGCTTCTAATTTCCAGGCATAAATAGATTCTGTCTGAGCAAGGGTATCCTTTCTTAATGTGGGTAGAAATTCTTGGTAGCGAGGATGTTCAGCCATAGTGCGGTTAATCAGAGCAGAATGGCGTGCGTCTGCCATCAAACGCAATTGATTCAAGATTAACAAGATAAATCCTCGGTTGTCTGTCTTTTGTTTGCTTTGATAGGCATCTATCATACGTGTAATCAGACTCTGTTTTCTGACAAGCACTAATAAAGTAGGTTCATGATTGATGGCCAATGCAAGGCATACAATGCGATAGAATAGTGTATGGTAAATATTACTTGTTGATTTTTCAAAAAAGGAGTTGGTCAGAATCTTCCAGAATGCACTAGGAATGGATGCCAGCATTTCCACTTTTTCATTTGCATTGTAGAGTGTTTGATAGATAATGTCTAACAAGTCCATATCTGATGTTGTCAAAGGGCGTCTAACCAACATAAGAAACACTCAATAAAATAAACAGTACTTACTCTTTCGTATTCTTGTCTTTACGGTCCTTGATAAACAAATGGCAGAATTCAGCAATATATTCTATCAGCAGGTCTTGGGATCGTAAGGATACAAAATACAATGGTCCTTGTACTGGTTGAGATAAAGAAGATGTTCTGGTAGTCAACATGCCACTCTTGACGAGTAATTTGATAATAGTGATTGTACGTTCTCTTTCTTCTGAAGGTGCATTGTGAATCGTCTGTTTAACAAGGATCTCCATGATATCTTTGCCTTTGTCTGTCCTTAATGCTTTCAGCAGAATATCACCATTGTCTACTTGAGATGCTTCTTCAATCACTCGAATAAAGAATTCCTGCATTGCTTCTACATAATCTGGATGGGATTTCAATTGCATAGCCTTGACCATCCATTCCAAAAAACCTAATTCATACAGTCTTTCATGGCTCTTTTCACGCTGTTCTTTTGTCTCTGGATTAATGTCTCTCACAAATAGCAAGGTTAATAAGGCATCCATCACAGATCCTTCTGTTAAATAAGGCAGCATGTAATGAAAAACAATAGACGCATTGTTACGTAAAATGACAAAATCCAACATATCGCAAGGATGACGCCTGACCAAATGCTGAAATATCTTGAAAAAGTGATTAAAGTTGCCATGCGAGTTAGGCAGAAACACTTCAAACAAATGATTGACTAAGAATACATATAAGCATACAAATCAACATATATTTCAACTTACCAATATCATAAAACTTTGCATTTTGAACCCATAAATGATTGGCAGTAGTGCCTGACAAGAATTCCATCGCATGATAGGATCTTTTTAAAGCAGCCATATCTTCCATGTCTCTTTTGTGTTTACTATACTTTAGTTTTTGTTCTACACTACACTTTTCTAGTTCGATCTTGTCTGCTTGTAGATCCAAGCGAGACACATGAGTCATAAAGATATCCATCATGCCTACATGAATCAATAAACATGTTGAGAAATGTATGTCATTTACCTTCCAAGAACAAGACATTGACTATTTTTGAATCGAGACGAGGTGTGCTAAACTGCAAGAGTTTTTCAATCAATGCTACTGAAGTTGATTTAAAAGTAGCATCATGAACAAGAACAGGAGCAGGCATAACTTCCTCTTCTGGCAGTGACTCCACTATATCTTGGTCAACTGCCATTCCATCTTGATCATCCATATTGGTTTTTACGAAAAGAAAAAGAAAAAATTGAAAGAAAAGGCCCTTATTTCGTTGTTTCACGAATACGCGTTTATTTTATTTCTTTTTCAATGCGTCTAAACGTCTAGCTAAAGCATCAAAATCATTAGGATCGTCTTGTGTTGGTGGTGGCATAGGCTTCTTTAAAGGAGAAGTAGTAGGAATCTCGGGTAAATCAAACTGAGCATCATCTTCTGTTGTTGGGTTCTGTAAAGGAAGTAATAACTAATTCAAATCAATATCTATCGATCTAATCAGGATAGACTTACTTCTGCTTGTCCCCCACTTCCATGTTGACTATCACTATCGTCATCTAGTTCTTCGTCTTCTTCGTCCTCTTCTTCTTGCTCATGTTCAATGAGACTGGATCTCCATTTAATATCATAAGTACGAGCAATTTCTTCCAAATAACGTTCAACTAAAAATGAATCTGGTGCATTGACTTGAAGCTTCAAAACAATCTACAGGAAAGATACATAAGTATAAAATAATAAAATAAATGGCCGATAATTTACTCGAGGATTGACTTGCTCATCTGTATTTTCCAAGGCTTGCATCATAAATTCCTTGCCAAACTTGGAAGCAAGCTGATCTCGTACCTGAATGAAGGCATATAAGCTAACAACCGATACAGTTCCATGCTTACTAGGCCGAGTTCCTTGACTTCTCCAACACGGGGAGCAGCCCAAATGATGGTATTGACTGCTTCTGCTATGCTTGGATCACATGTTCTAACAAGAGTGTTTAGCTGATATTATACTTGGATATCTATACTTGTAAGTTTCTAATAAACCAAAGCGTGCTAATAGCAAATCACAGTAAAGTTCTAGGCTTTCCATAGCTTCAATAAGCAAATCATCGCGTATGATATGCTCTACTCTGATACGTGCACTTTCTTCTTTTCCTTTTTCCAATAAAGTGCCAATCTCTCTTCTGTTTTGTTGGTTAAGAGAAGTCTTTTTGGCCTGTAGCATCTTGAGTCTATTGATAGACAGCTTAAGCTGTACTTTAAGGCGTGTAGGGTTAAACATGATAAAGAAAGAAGAAAAAAAAGGGTATGGCGTTGTGCTGTTTCAATGTATTGTGTAACTTGGCTGGACATGGAAAAAATAAGGACCTATTTTTCATTGACCTTTTTTCTTTTTTCTTTTTTATTAGATCTAGACATGATGAGTACTTCATCAGGTTTAAACATACGAGATGATGCCAGTATTCATTTAGTAAAAGAACAACCAAAGGCATCTCAGGTCACAGATGAGATCCGTATTTTTGATGGTGAAAATAGTCCTCAGAATATATCCACCTATGGTTTCTTGTTAGGTCTAGTCTGTAGTGCTGGCCTTATGTTTGCCTTGCTAAGTGGCAGTCAAATCCCTCAATTCGGTATCTTTCTGTCTGCTTTGGCTTTATTTCATTTCTTAGAATATCTTGCTACTGCTTTATTTAATGCTGATAAATTATCGCTTGACTGTAAGTTTCTTTCTATCTCTAAATCTCTAACACATATCATGGCTAGCCTATCTTATCAACCATAGTGCACATTATCATGCAGCACATGCAGTAGCCTTGTTGGAATTCTTGGTTGAATATTACTTTTTTCCTCGTTTCAAAACCTTTTGTTGGTTTAATTATATTGGTCTTTTGCTTGTCGTGGTGGGTCAAGCTTGTCGTACTATTGCCATGTTTTCAGCTAGACATAACTTCTCTCACCATATTGTAGACTACAAAGCACACAACCATGTTCTTGTCAAACATGGTATTTACAGGTACATGAAAAAGAAGAAAAAGATGGAGTTATTCTTATGATAGTTTAGCATTATGCGCCACCCTTCTTATGTGGGCTTCTATTGGTGGGCATTAGGTGTTCAACTATTGCTTGCTAATCCTATCTGTTTTGGCTTATTCGTCTACTGGCTTCAAAAGTTCTTTTCTGAGCGTATTCAATATGAAGAACATACATTGGAACGTTTCTTTGGACAAGAATGGAAAGAATATAAAGCAAAGACGCCTACGCTTATGCCGTTTATCAACTAAGTCATGTGTTTATTAAAAAAAGAAAAAATCCTTGCATTTTTCTGGTTTATTTGTTTCTTTCTTTCTTCTTTATGAAACACATCTCTCTGTTAGACTTGCCTAGTGAAATTATTCAAAGGATTATCAATCTTTCTTCAACCATTCCAGAACGACAAGCATATGAATGTTGGTCTTATCCAGAACATAGCTATTATGATCTCAAATCAATTGCACTCTGTTGCCGTCGTCTTTATCTCTTATGTCTACCCTTTTTATGGAAACATAAGGAGTTTATTTTACCTGCACAAGACGACCAAAAGACAGACAATGATAATGTACATGTAGCCACAGATATTTTATCTAAAAAAGCACAGTTTCAATACAGTTATTTGGGAGACTATGTACGCTCACTTTACCGTGACTTGACCAACAGCCCTTATTTTGATTTACATAATTCGATGATTATGGCTCAATTGGTGTCCAACTTAAAAGCACTACGCATCGATTTCCATCCCATGACTCGTACTGAACATTATGGGTTGCGTTATTTTGTAGAGCATTGCCCTCATCTCGGTGAGCTTTATCTAAGTCATTGTTGTGATACTTTTGACGATTTTTCATCACTTATTACTTTTCAACCTCCTTTGATCTCACTCACACTTGTACACTGTACTATCAAACAAACGACCTTTGATAAACTAGCCGAATTCTACAGTGCTTCACTAGAGAGTGTCTTTTTGGAACAAGTCTTGGTTGAACCAGATCAACAAAGCCTATTTCCTTATCAACCCACATCAATCCCCCAAAGTTTAGTCCAGTCTTTATTTCAATCATCTCGTCTTGTCCAACTTGCTCTAACGACAGACTCTATGTCTATCTCTCTTTTGTGTGTCTTGGTAGATCATGCACCCTACATGGAAAAACTCACTATCATGTTATACGAACTCATACCTGTTTATGTTCAACGCGCTATTGAAACACTTTCCAGACTTGTTCATCTCTCAACACTCTCCCTTAAATTCAATCAATGCTATCCAGAAAGTGGTGAATATACAAAGCTACCATGTCATGCACCCAGTTCAGCATGGACTTTGTTTGCTACACAATTTCCCAAACTCCAATTACTTCATATTGCTACGACACGGCTACTTGTGACGCTTGATTTTATACCTATTTTGTTGCGTTCTAGCCCTCTGTTAAAGAATATCATGATCCATAACTTAGCCTTAGTGACAGAGCCCTACACCCAGTTAGAAAAAGAAACACACAGGATAAGGGAAGCTTACTTAAACGATTGTGAAACAATAACTTTTGATTTGCAAAAGTGGCAAGACTATAGGCAATTTATTTACTCCTACGAAGAGGCAAGGATGAAAGGCTTTGATTGTTTTGATAGGCAAGATCAAGTTTGTTTTATTAAAGGGTTTTGTTCCTTTATAGAATAGTGATGTTGCAATCCAGGAGACTTTAAACCTCCGTGTGCCTGAGGTGTGCAAATAAGGGGGCGCCACCATGATGTGACTTGTTTCATTTTGTGAAAAAAAAAAATGATTTTTTTTTAGTATAAAAAGGCAATGAAAAAAAATATTTCAAATTATTTTTTCTCTCTTCATTCTATCTATTTATTTCTTTTTTTTTTTCTTTTGAAATGGCATATGAACGCAATACGCTAGAAGGTGTCAGGTCCTGGCTCTCTGCAGAGGTGAATTCCATTACTTGGAATAGTGCCGCTGTTGCAAAAGGTCTCACAGACGACGTGATGGCTACGCTTGTGCATAATTTTAACCAATTCGATAGCCGAGTAAAACAAGCTATCTTATTGGGTATTATTTGTATGAGAAGAACAGACTTACTTGCTCTTGGAGATGAATTAACAAAGGTAATGTATTATATAAAGTTGTGTTGTAAATGATGATATACATGCAAAAAAAAAAAAATACCTAAATGACGTTGTGTGTTTTTTCTTTTTTTTTATATTTGACAATTTGATAATTAAAGCTTAAATTTTCTTTTTCTCTCAATAAAGAACAAAGAAAAGAAAAAGGAAAATTTAATCATACTGTAATTACACGAATATATTATTATTATTTTTCTATCGTATTAATTTCACTTTGGGAGAAAAGGCTGAATTAATTCATGTGATGAAATAATAAAAAGACAATTTCATGCATGTATATTCATTTACTACATACACACCAGATTGACCTTGTTTGATAAATTTACTAACACCTTGTTTTCTCTCCTTTTTTCTAGATCACTCACATTGCTATGAATGATACTGATGAATTCGTCAAGACTTCTGCTCATATTCTTCAACATTATCCATTGAAACAGCAGTTTGATTTAAATGTGGATGTCTGGTCAAATGGGTTCAGAGGTTTACTCCAATCGATTGGTACTTCAGGTAAAATAAATATGGATATTGCTGACGATAGTACTCACCATTTAATAGTCAAACAAAAAGGATTCAATTTCCATCCACTCGAAGACATGATCAAACAACCTGCTGCTCGTCAAGCACCCGCATGTGTCTCTTCTACCTATCAAGATTACAAATTGACAAGCACACAGCACTTTAACTTGACATCCAATCCAAACGATATCATTTCTTCTGAGGCAAGACATGCACGTTTTAAGGAACTGGTTGAGATGGAAGAAAGATCAGAACAAGCCGAAGTTCAAGCTGCTCAAGTGGTTGCTCAAAAAAGAGCGGGTGCTGAGTTAGGCAGCATGGCTAAACGTATGGCTGCTTCACCCACCAGCAACAGTCAAAATCCTTTCCCTTATCCACCTGCTGTTCATCATCGTAACACCATGCCCCCAAGCCCTGGTGGTGTTCCAATTAGCAGACAAGGTTCTGTTCCTCCAAGAAACTTTGCGCTTGGTCAACCTCCCGCACCTGGCTCTTCTTCTTTGTTCACAAAGCGTCCTGCAAGGCCTTCACCTGGTGGTGGTAATGGATTATTTATCAAACAAAACAAACCTACTGGAGGACAAAGACCTGTTCATCGTGCTTCTATTGGTAATGCAGGTACGATGTTTTAGTTAAATATATATATATGTATGTGTGTATCTAACACGTTTGAATAGCTGCTAATTTACCAAGAGGTTTACAACGTGTACAAAAGACACAAATGCTTGACTTCAATGCTGCTACTCAATTTGAACAAGATCAAGCAAATGCCATGAAGAAGGCGCAAGATGGTGAGTTTTATTTTTGTTTATACCTATTCACTCATACTTCCATAGACATGAAAGCAAAAGCAGAAGCAAAGAAACAAGAAGTGGCTGAACGAAAGAGAAAAGCACAAGAAGAGAAGAGAGAAAGGGATGAAGCAAAACGATTACAAAAGGCTGCTGCTGCCGCAGAGAAAGCAGCCAAAAACACAGTGTTACCCAGATCACCTATCTCTAGACCTGCATCACCAAAGACGCCTACTTCGCCTATATCACCTAAAATTAAAGATGAACATGTCTTTATGTCAGAATTGCCTCAACAACAGCAACAACAAAACTCAAATGACACGAATGATAATTCACCTGCTCGTAGACTATCTTCTGGAAAGTTGACTACTTTTTGATCCTTGTTTCCTTATGCATCGATATATATATATTTAAATGTCATGTTTAAAATGACTACTTTATTCTTTATTTTTATTTTCTTTTTCATGATGATGTGTACATATATATATAATGAATTGTATTTAGCTCAAAATAAAGAAACATCGTTTATTCTTTTACTCTGCATGAACGTCAAAAGTTTCCGAATTTTAAAGTATGATAAATAAAACTGCATTCTAAAGGAGTTTAATGTAAAAAAAAAAAAAAAAATGAAATTTTATTTTTCTAATTGATTATTAGACAAAAAAAGTGAAATTAAGCAAATATGAATATGAAAAATGATATATTATCTATGTATATATAAAAAAGATTTGAAGCCTTCTTTTTTTTTTTTATCGTTTGGCTTTTCTGAACAAGAATACAAAGAAGCAGAAAGCGAAACAGTTAAAGACGGTGTATAAACAAAGGATACCAAAGTCTCTCCATCTGTTAGAGAAGGACCAACCAATTCTTTGCTCGTAGAAATCACCACCGGTATTGTATTGACAATAGTTACAGACATCAGTACCGTTAGGGTTACCAAGATAACCTAAACCACCAGATGCAAAGAAATCAGACATGTATTCTTGACATGTTTGACCAGGAGGTGCATTGATAGTAACAAAGTCACCATCACCACAAATAACAGGAACACTGTCTAAAGCATTGACGACTAGACCTTCAATCAGATAATGGTATGGATCGACCCAGTACATCCAGGCACTCCAGAAATGAGGCATGGCACTTGGAGGTTGCATGATACCAGCAAACAAAATCAAGATGGATGTGAAGAAAGGATTGATCACAGCTGCCATAGGCGGTGTGCTTGAGAAAGCGGCAATGGTAAAACCAAGAGAGACAGAGTAGAACAAGAACACAACAAAGTGAATAAAGAAGAAGCCAACACGGTCAGATTCGTTTTGAAGACCGGCAGTCCAGTAGAAACAGAACAAGAAGAGAACACTGAAACAAATCAAGTAAGGAATTTCGACCAACAAACAAGACAAGGCGAAAGGAGCCCAACCATAGTATTTACTGGCATATTCTCTACGGAACCACATACGTTCTTGCATGAATCTTGGTTGAGCAAGAATGATAAGAGCGTTTGACATCAAAAGTGTAGTAAAGACAGAGAACATACGGTTTTGCATGTCAGCAGGAGAGTTACCCAACTTCCAGAAAGAGAAACCAGAAATGAGACCAATGAAACAAACGTTGAAGAGACGACCCATGTTGTAAGTAGGGCAACGCCACCATGAGACATTCATACGCTTGTAGACAAGCCAGAATTGTTGGAAGAAATTAAGAGAGTAAGCACTTCTAGTGTTCTTATGATCCTTGTTAATAGAGCGATGAATTTCTTCGAGTTCTTCTTCAAGAGCCTTAGCTTCATCAGAAGCAGCCCAAACTTCACTCCAGTCCTTGGTGACTTTACCACTGGTACCAGCACCGACACATTCGAGAATGTATTCAGCAGGGTTAGCATTGGGAGAGCACTTGGCTGCACCATTCTTTTCAAAGTAATTGATCATAGTAGAGGCATCTTTACCAATTTCACCAAAGTAGGCAGTCTTACCACCACGAACCAAGAGACAAAGGTGATCAAAGTGTTCAAACAAAGTAGCAGAAGGTTGGTGAATGGTACACAAAACGGGCCAACCAGCATCAGCAAGCTTACGAATGAAACGGACAATGTTGAAAGAAGATTGAGCATCGAGACCAGAAGTAGGTTCATCCAAGAAAAGAAGCTTGGGTTTACCGACCAATTCAGTAGCAATAGTCAAACGCTTACGTTCTTCAACAGAGATACCAACACCGGCTTCGAGATCACCAACAAGAGCATCAGCAATCTTTTCCATTTCCATAAGACGAAGGATTTGTTCAACATAAGCATCCTTTTCTTCCTTGGGGACTTCAGCAGGTTGACGAAGATAGGCAGAGAATTTGAGAGCTTCACGAACAGTAGCAGCAGGGTTATGCACATCCATTTGTTCACAGTAACCAGTACTACGTTCAAAATCAGGACCAAGGACTTCACCGTTCAAGTAGATACGACCTTCGATTTTACCAATAGTCTTACGTTTAGCCAAGACATCCAAAAGTGTAGTTTTACCAGCACCAGAAGAACCCATCAAGGCAGTGAGATGGCCAGGACGGACAATACCACCAATATCATTCAAGAGTTGACGAGTACCGCCCTTGACGGGGACAGTGTAGTTCATGTGATGCCAGGAGAAAGTGGTACCATCAGTGACAGCTTCCATCTTTTCTTCTTGTTCAGTGACAGTTTGTTCAAGAGCTTGAGATTCGTCCATAACCTTAGGAGCTTTACCAGCCTTGTAGACCTTGGTAATAGAACCTTCCTTTTGAAGCTCGACATATTCCATAGCAAGAGCAGTAAGAACAGTAAACAACAAGAAGAAGAGAATGACAGCAACAAAGTTGATCCAACGTTGCCAGACATAGTAACCATAACCATCAGCCAAGTAGTCATCACCAAGAACATAGTCAGCACCGGGCTTAGCACCGTTAAGGACACATGTCTTGTATTGTTGATCCGTGTAGGAAGGACCGTAAGGAACACTACCAACACCTTCACAGCTGAAATGGAGGTTTCTCATTTCATTTGAAAGTAAGGCCTTGTAACCGTAAGCCAAAGGATTGATCCAATAAATCCTAAAAAATGAATATTAGAACACAAGATCAAATAAAATGCAAAAGCTTACCAGAAAAGCCATGGATGCATTTGCTTGTAAGGAATTTGATAACCACAGTAAATCAAACAGGCAATCAACAAAATACTGGACAATTGAGAGGCAGTAAAGAAGTTGGGACTGACAGCACCCCAGAAACGGAAGAAACCGTTCATACAAAGGTTAGTCACCACAAGAATGATCATGAATGTGAAGAACTATGAAATCATAAGTATTGGTTGTATTTTTTTTCTATGACTTACTCTTCCTGCTTCAAGGATCAAACCCATCATAAAATAGACACAGATTTCAAAAATAAGCACTTGAATAATAGCCAAGGGAATATCAGCGACAACAGTAGCAATATAGAAAGCAGAGGGGCGGTATAATGCATAGTGTTTGTGTTTTTCTAACACACGACGACCTTGCATGAAAGCTAAATGAAAATAAAAGCGTTAGCTATATATAGCTTTTGAAATTCAATGGTTTACCTGCTAGTTCAGATTGAGCAATCAAAGCATTAAACAAGAGAGAGAATAAGAAAGAACCACCACGAGAGAAAGCACCAGAAGCATCAGTAGGCATCATAAAGAAACAAGAAGCCATGATAAGACCCTTAACAACGACACCACCATAACGAGAGATAAGAGCACCCTTATCACCGAGGATAAGTTGGAATTGACGAACAGTAAGAGACTTGACTTGTTGATAGTAAGTGGCAACAAAAGGTGATCGCTTAGGAGCGTGCTTTTGATGAGCTTCAACAAAGGCTTGACGGAATTTTTCATCAGGACGGTCTTGTTGAATCTTGTTTTCATAGGCATCACGTTCTTTCATCATTTCAGCATAGACAGAAGATTCCTTGTAGGCCTTTTCGAATTGGACAGCATTGATAGGAACTGAGTTCTTGTATCCTTCACGGTATTGACGTTCATTCATGTTACAGAGACCAGTCAAGAAATCAGGAGTAGATTTACGATCAGGACAATAGAACCCCATATCTTCAAAGTAAGATTTGGCGATAGAAGTAGGACCAAAGTAGATACAGCGACCTTCATCAAGAACCATGACCTTGTCAAAGAGATGGAAGATACTATCAGAAGCTTGGTAAAGAGTAGAGATAGTAGTCTTGTGCATAATATCAGTCATGATACGAAGAGAACGAACATAATCAAGAGCAGAAGAGGCATCAAGACCACGAGTAGAACAATCCCAACAGTTGATAGAACTACGAGTTGTCATTTGTTCAGCAATAGAAAGACGCTTACGTTCACCACCAGAAAGACCACGGACAAAAGCGTTACCGACCATGGTATCCATTTGTTTAGTTAAACCAAGCATGTTACCAAGCATGTAGAGAATCTTGTTGATGAACTCTTTTTTTGTTTCGTCAGGCAAACGTTTACCGGGAGTCTTGTTCTTCAAGGCGAAGCTCAATGTTTGCTTAGTAGTTAAAGTAGGGTAGTGAAGATCTTCTTCTTCGTTGTAACAGACTTCACCACGGAAATACTTGGCAAATTCTCTGGCTTCGATACCACCATAGTGGACATCACCTTCAATTTTGGTATAAGAGGCACGCATGTTAGAAAGTACACGCAAGAGAGTAGTACAACCAGCACCAGGACGACCAAGAACAAGCAACATTTCACCATCTTTGACAAAACCGTCATTGTCTCTAAGGATAGTGAAATCGTGACCTTGATGCTTGCCCCATTTCCAGAACTTGACAAAATCACGCATCCAGGTATAATTGGTAGGAATCGTTTTGGCATCGGCACCAAGGCCTTGAACTGTCAAATTCTTCCAGATGACACCCATCTGCTTAGGATAGAAGCCAGCAGCTTCACCTTGATCATTTTGGTCACGCAAAAAGTCAGTCAAATCAAAATCTCTTACATCGCCCTTTTCAGCTTCACCAGCAGAAATGGATTTGCGGCGAGATACACGAGATTGGTGAGTTAATTCTCTTCTAATTTCTTCGTAGTTGCTCATCGCATCTTCAATGTTGACAGCGTTACCGTCAGCTTCACCGAAGCCACCGGCGGTAGTATTTTGCTGATTTTGATAGGTGGTAGTTTCATTGTCGCTCAAGTTGATTTCTTCTTTTCCATGCACACCTTCGATGGTAGATTCATCGGAAGAGTGGTTATGTCTATGTCTGAATTCTTCATCACGATTGTTCTTGGGTTGTTGCATATCTTGCAACGATGGAATATCCATGTTGGATTATTAAATTTATTGATTTGCGTTGGTGAAAAACGTCAAATAAAAAAAGAGGAACAAAAGAAAGCAAAAAAAAAAAAAAAAAAAAAAAAAAAAAAAGAAAAAGGAAAAAAAAAGAAAGGTTTATATAGAAAAAGGATGATTATAAATCAATAAAAGAAGAAGAAGAACCAAAGAAATCGGCTTGCTATTTTATATTTGATCTAGTTCCTTGAACTCTCCGGGTAAAATATTCAAAGCCTGAACAGTTCTACCAGCCGTTTGAGGATCCGCCTAAAGAAATCTGTTTTTGTGCGGTAAAACCATTTCTATGTTACACAAAATTACCATTCTGGCATTTAAACGAATCGTTTGGAAATCGTTATATAGTGCAATAAACCAGGCATACTACACCATCAAAACTCCCATTTTGCTTGGAACAAGAACATATTTTGGTTTCAATAGATAATGGCCTTAAAACTTGAAACTGAGTAGCTTATCTAGTTTATCAAGTCCATGATCCCGTTTTACTGCTTGCTTAAAAAAGAAAGTTTTATGCCAATCTCACACAATAATTACATGGAAGTGGACTTACATGTTTATTCGCATCCTTCTCTCCGCTTGAAAAATTCTGCCAATCAATAACATCATTTCTTACCAAAAATAGGTCTCGGCCTGGATAAAATAAGGTGAGCTTGGCGGTAAAAGTATTCTTCAGACTCACTCTTTATTTATAAGCTTGTTGTTTGGTATTTACAAACTCTGATTTGAGACAGGATAAGTTTATTATTTCCCTTATCATGATCTTTCCTTGAAAGCATAGCTTCTTGGCGTACTATCATCTGGCTCTGATTTGTTCTGGATGTAATACTTCACTAAAAGAAACAGAGAGCTGGTTTGTTGGACAAAATTACTCCGCCCAACAGTCGTATTCAAATAAAGTGTCTATCTGATCTAATGACAGTTATTATCAACTTTTTAATAACAAACAGACCCTGCTCTACACAATTCCGTCGGTTGCCTTAAGGCTTTTTTTTTCTGTTTTTGATTCATCACACACAAAACATACAAATCAATCTTTTTTGTATATATATAGCATATTTATATCCGAAATAGAGTATTGAGTTACACATGTACAAATAATTTATTACATTCTTCTCTTCCGAAATGAATGAGTCTGAATGAAGGTAGGCCCTAAATCTTTGTTGTATAAGCATGCAGCCTATAAATTTTCTTTTTTTTATGTCTGTGCTAGGTCTTGTCTCCTATCTACTCACAGTTTCAGTATGGCATGCATTATTACAGAGTTTGCTTCGAAAAAGATTCGATAAGGTTATCCGGATATTAATTCTCCCTATCGTAGCAGAAAAATAGATTACGTTTTTCTCAAAAACTAAGTTTCATTTCTAGTACGCATCATTGAACAACAAGGAAAAGAGTTTGGGCTTTTTTTTTGACAGTTGAGAGATCCGAGATATACTAAAAGTTGGTGACATGTCTATTTTTGTAGGTACTATATACGATTATCAAATTGATTTATGTTGACTTTAAAATAGAAAAGTACAAGAAAAAACATAGTAAAGAACGTGTATACACCAAACGGAAAAATTATTCGCGCATTTCTGAAAAAAAGATGTGCGTACTTTTAAAAAAATAAATCGCACAGAAAAAAAAGAAAATTTAGCGTAGTATTTGAAAAAAAATCAGCATATTCAACAGAAAAAAAATGGCGTAGTTTTCCAGCTCTTTTTTTCAACATTTTATTACGAAAATGAATAACATTATTTTTGAAGACGGGTTAGGAAACCAACATGACATTGAAGGAAACGAAGTTGTAGAGTTTGAAATGGAAATTGACAACGAGATGTATCCAGTCGAAAGCGTAACAGACTACGATAGATACACAGATTTAAAGCCTCCCGAGAGAGGGATCGAAAAGAAAGCTGAGTTACCTGCAGAGCTGAAGCAAACACCTGCGAGAACAAAAGCATATAAGCACTACAAGGATGCTGAAAAAGAAAAGCTTTTTTTTCTTTTCGAAGAAAAAGGGATGAGTGTTCGTGCTGCTGCCTTGGCCCTCAACATTAATGTTCGAACAGCACAAGGCTGGGTAGCCAAGAACAACAAAGATCCTCAGGAGTATATCCAAAGGGCTACAGGCAGTGGAAGACCTGTAGGCAGACCGCCCATTTTAACTGATGAGCACAGAGATTTCATGATCGAATGGGCAGACGAGAACACAAATTCCGTTACATTGGACGACATGCTTGACGTATTGACAGAAAAATTTGGCAAACTCGATATCAGCAAAAGCGGTTTCAACAAGTTTGTCAAGGATAAGTGTAAGATTACCTTCAAGCAGGCTCGTTTCCAAGCTTTCGAGAGAAACAGCTCTGAAAAAATCGAAGAGCGCTATCAGTGGGTGAAGAGATGGATGAAAACAGATATGGACTTCACTAGCAACTGTGTGTTCATTGACGAAGCTGCTTTCCATATCAACCTTAAGAGAAATTTTTCTTGGTCCAAAGAAGGCGAGCGTGCGATCGTGAAAGTGCCCAAAACAAGAGCAAAAACTACTACCATTTTGGGTGCCATCTCGCCTTTTGGTGTTGTTAACATTAGTGTAAGAAGACCAAGAGCATTACCCTCATCAAAGAAAAGAAAAGCAGCAGGAGGTTCGAATGCAAAAGTGGTCAGTAACAATGGTACAGTTACTGGACATTACTTCAATTTCATCAGTAGTGTTTTGGATGTCATGGATCGTCATGAGGAATTCCGTGGCCATTATTTGATCATGGACAATGCTCCTATTCATAAGCATCAAGATATTCAGAATCTCATTGAGGGCCGAGGCTATAAGTGCGTGTACCTCCCCCCTTACTCGCCTGAGCTTAATCCCATTGAGCAATTCTGGTCGGTTTGCAAAAGCAAACTCAAGAGGGAACAGCTTTTGGAAGAGGAGACATTGACTTCGAGAATTGCAGATGCTTGCAATAGAATTTTGTACAGTGATCTTAAAGGCTTCTGTAGATACTCTGCTGCCAAATTTGAAGATTGCCTTCAACGCAGACCTATTTAATAAACTCACGCATTTTGCGCATACACAAGCATGCTAATTTTTTTTCAAATACTACGCTAAATTTTCTTTTTTTTCTGTGCGATTTATTTTTTTAAAAGTACGCACATCTTTTTTTCAGAAATGCGCGAATAATTTTTCCGTTTGGTGTATTGTAAAGGAAAGATAGGCAAGCACGAGTAACTTCTCCGAATTCTAGAGTTACGCAAAAAAAAAATATGCTCCTACATGAATATCACATCCTCCGAACCTCATAGTGTGCTTGAAAAGAAATCGCTTTTTGGTAAGCCAGAATTTCTTTTTTATAACGATCTTGGTGTAATACAAAATGTGTTCTCGCCACAACGGATACCAAATCTGTGTATCCATAATTTATTAACGTTTAGAATTTTGTTTTTCTGACAGAATTCAATATAGAAGTAACATAGGCGTCAATTCCTTTTTCCCACTTTTGGACTTGACCTTTCTTGATCGTGTAAATTTCACTCTGGATTATATCTTCATCTTCTTGTTCATCCGAATCCGAATCTACTTCCGGTTCCATGATTTGTTTGAGGAACCAGATATCGTGGCTTACTACTATAAGTGCACCCGAGAAGTTCATTAATGCATCTACTAATACTTCCACTGTACCCATATCAAGATGGTTGGTAATTTCATCCAATATTAAAACATGAGGTCTCTCGTAGAGAATAAGAGCAAATGCCACTCGGTTACGTTGACCACCACTAAGTGAACGGATCTTTTGCAAGACATGTTTGCCAGACATGCCAACAGTACCAAAGTATGCACGACAATCTTGTTCGGACAAAGAAGGATATTTTGTCATCATGTATTCTACCGGAGTAAGATCCAAGTCTAATTGATCAACAATATGCTGAGAAAAGTATCCAATGCGCAATAGATTATGGTGATAAACCTCGCCTTTTGTTGGTTGTATCTTGCCGGTGAGCATATTGAGCAATGTTGTTTTACCACATCCATTTGGGCCAATAAAAGCAATTCGAGAGCAAGGTTCAATGCTGATAGAAAAGCTTTTAATCGTATTTTCACTCGCACCTGGATATCGAAACGAAGCTTCATTCATGCGGAACACAGGTCCATTATACCGCAAAGGAGATGGCTCAGGTATCTTGATAGCAGCTGTCTTGACAGCTTTTTCAACAACAATTTGCTCACGGAGAGTAAGGTGAAAGCCTGCTCGATTGTTTAATTTAAACCGTTTACCATCTTCTGTCTTTTCCATCCCTAGTCTTTCTAGTTTTTTGCGACGTGAATTCACCATTCCGTGCCTCTTGTCATCGCCTGTAGCTTTGGCTTGTTGCATGTTATGTTGAATGCTGTCTAAAATCTTCTTTTTCTTTTTCTCAGTGTTCTAAAAAAAAGGGAGAATGAATAAAAGCTAGCTAGGATCTGTAGACTTACGTCTAACAAGTTTTGTTTACGAATACGCTGTTCTTCTGTGTTTCTTTCCCAATCTTGATAATTGCCAGCATGATATTTGAGTTGCTTGTCTTTAAAAATGATGGTCTCATCAGTAACATTGTTTAAGAATTCACGATCGTGAGAGACAATTACAACAATCATATCACTTGTGTCGTTTACCAGGTATTCTTGCAGCCACAAAATAGCAGGTAAATCTAAATGATTTGTAGGTTCGTCAAGAAGCAAAACATCTGGCTGCATAAACAGACTTTTAGCCAAAGCAATACGCATGCGCCAACCGCCAGAGAATGTTGAGACAGGAGACATGGATTGACTTTCACTAAATCCTAGTCCCTTAAGAAGTTTCTTTGCTCGGTTCTGTCGTTCTCCTTTATCGATTAATTCAAAGTCTTCAAAAACTTCGGCAATGACTGAATTGGCAATATCGGCAGTAACGTATTCTTGAGGATTTTTTTGACAAAATTCACCGTACTCCTGTTCTCTTTTGACAAGTTTGATACGTGCATTCCTTCCGCGCAATCCAGATCGTTTTATAGCAATGCGATTGGCTTCTTCCACTTTATCTTTGATTCGAGAACAAAGAATAGAAAAAACGACCTTGTTTAAATCTTGACTTGAAGCATTCACTACTGTAGTGTCATCAATGACTTTTCGAAGTGCTGTATAGATATTCAGTATGAGAATACAAAATCAAACTCCTTACCTTCATATTCACGAACTGCGACCATAGCTTTCTTGTCAGCGCTTAGTACTTCGTCTACGACAACAGTTTCTTCATCAAAATCTTCTAATTGAGACACATGAAGAATATCCAAGTTTTGAGGCAAGCCAACCAATACATTGTCTGCTAGACAATACATCAAGATTGATTTACCAACACCATTTTGACCTACTAAACCATAACGAGTACAAGGTTTGAGTCGCAAATGAGCATCGACTAATAGATCTTTTTGATTAATTGAGATTTGAACTCCAGACAAATCAATGTCTTTGCTTAATGTCTCTAATGTTTCTGTATGGAATCGACTTTGTTGAGAGATGGCTACTAAATCAATCTCTTGGTCTCCATTTTCTTGGTCATTCTGTTGTTTTTTCATTGCTCGTTTTCCAATACGCTTTGTAGTGGAATTTGACTGTTTTGATGAATCGGAGCATGTAGTCATAGAAGAATTGAGACATTTAGTTGACTGATTTGCTTCCTGTGTATTTGTTAGTGATTTCATTCAATGTAATTTGTATTTTCGTTACCTTTTGATTGTCTAGTTGAATTGGAATCTTAGTTTCTTGAATCTCTCTATTTGCTTTAAATAATTGATCCGAGAACAAGGCATTATAGAGCGTGTTTCTAGTTTTTTCATTAATATTGGCGTCGATCAGGAATGCTTCAGTTGATTCGCGCACTTCTTGATGATCTGTCAAATCCATCTCATTCAAAATAATGCATATATAATCTGTTGAATCTTGATCCAACTTAATGCCAAAATACTCTAACTGTTGATTGAATTTTTCAGAGGCCATTGTCATTTTGTCTAATAAAGAAAACTTTATTTCTTCTTTTGTTTTATATTTACTGCATTGCTGCGGTCAAAGAATTGCCGCAGCAAACATATATAAAGGGGAAATAGCTGAGGTTAAAGCCTATGACTTGAGAGTTAGACCAAAGCGGTTAGTTATTCTTTCAATTTTATCATATACAACAGACAGTATCGAAATTTCAATTCAAAGTCATGAGTTTGTCTATCTTGTTATCCTTGATTCAATCAGATAGTTCTTGAAACTTTTAGACAATGAAACTTTTACTAGTTGAATTTTAAAACATTATATCCTTTTGAGCGACTTGAAACGCTTCAAGTGTCGATGTACAAAGGAAATAATCCAGTAACGCTACACAAATCAGCTGAATGACTTTCTTTAGCAGAATAATTGCCACTCCTAAAATGATTATCCTTTCAAGCTTGCAAAACCAATTTTCCTTAATATTGCGGAGCTCTTTGCCAAGAAAAACAATGCCAATTGATTGAATTAGTCATCCTGAAAGTCAGTTTTGAAACTTTGTTATGACCAAACGTTATGTTACTCGACTATGATATTGAACTGATTAAATCTTAAATGCATACAGCACCATTTTATGCTTTCATTATTTAAATGTGAACCACTGCAGAGGAAGCTGGATTGCTACTCAAGTGATTCATCACTTTATTTTATGGCAAGTTAGGTTATACATTATAATGAGCTCCACAAAAAAAAAAAATGTATTTTACAGTTGCATACATCTAAAACTTTATGCAAGAATTTATTTTGGTTTACGAAAAATGGAAAAGTTGCGAGTTTATATAAAAATGAGGTGATTAGGTAATAAAGAGATTGGTTGTGAATGCAAATTAAGCTTCGGAGGTAAGGGGTTGAAGTAGGTCGAATGAACCAGTACCACCTTCAACAACACGGCCAACAACAATACGTGATGATGGTGAATCAAGTGTATCATAATCACCGTGACTATAGAAATGAGTTAGTAAGGATTGTTACAGCTATTACGATTCAAACTTACAGAGTAGCTTCAGTCAAGAATTTACATGTAGATTCGAAACTCATCTTGAGGAAAGGTGCGACATTGGAGCCAATACCGATACGAGAGAATGGCTTGTAACCACCTTCAAAGGTCATGTAATCAGCAATCAAAGTCAAGTGGCGGCGATCCACCTTAATACCATAAACACCAAAGACAGCAGCGACTTCCTTAATGATAGCATTTCTGGCAGCTTCAACACCATACGTGTTTAAGATAGCAGCAATGTCGTTAGTGTCAATGAAGTTCACATCAATCAAGTCAGAGTAGGGCCACATTCCTCTTAAGTTAACACCTTCAGTTTGAAGACGCTTGGATGTATCGTTCTCTGTAGGGTTAACGTATTCGAAACAGGTTTGAATACCCTTAATTTCATGAACAACAGTACGAGAACAGGCTTCTTCGACCAAACCAACCATCAAAATCTTCTTGGTATCAGCAGGGAACTCCATGTCGATTTGACAGAAAGCACCATTCACATCATCGAAGATGAATTTCTTGGTGTATTTGCTCTTTTGAATGATACTTTGCTCAAGGTCCTTGTTCTTTGAAGACTTCTTGGGCTTTTCTTCTTCATCATCGTCTTCACCTGCCAAAACAGATTCTTCAAACTCTGCTTCTTCATCTTCAAGGGACTTATCAGCTTCTTCGGGGACAACTTCGTCTTCGTCAGCTTCGTCATAAGTGGCTTGTTGCTTGTTTCTAGCAGTTGTACGAGAAACCTTAGCATCATCTCCATTATCAGCATCAGAGTCATAGCCATCTCTAGCAGCAGCTTCGCCGAGGTTTTCGTTAGCATCATCGTCAGAAAGACCACTCATCTTGTGAGCCTTGCTAATATCATCCACCTTCTTGGTATCCTTAAGATCTTTACGGATCAATTCTTCCAAATCTCTCAAGAATGTAGAAGATAACACTTCCTTAATCTTGTTAGCAGAGACGCGGTATTCTTCCTTGTATTCACTTTCATTAAAGAGATTGAGACGAATAGAATATGTCTTGGAACGACGGTAATTAGTTTCAGCAGACTTGGCAGTGGTCTTTTCAGTGACAGATACATCGTCCACCAATTTAGCCAAAGTCAATTTAGAGGCAGCCTTACAGAATTGAGAAGCCTTCTTGGCATTTGTCTCAGGGCGAAGAGGCAGCAACATGGTAGGTGTCTTGATCTTACGAGCAGCAGTCATAATGATTTCACGAAGACGAGGAATACCCAAGGTAACGTTAGCAGCACCATAACCAGCAAAGTGGAAAGTGTTCAAGGTCATTTGAGTAGAGGGTTCACCCACAGATTGAGCAGCTAAAAGACCAACAGCTTCACCAGGTTCGACCAAACTGTGAAGATACTTCAAGTTCATTAAAGCCTTGAACTTGCTCTTTGTCAAACCAGCATAACGAGCTGTATTCTTGGAGACCTCAGCATCCTTTTCAAAAGGCATCTTGTCAGGGTTCTTTTCCATATAATCCTTCATAGCAATGGCGAAACGCTCAGAAACAACACCAAGGTGAGTACCAGGATTGTAGACAGAAAGGGCAGGGTCGTACTTGTTGGGCTTCTTGAGTGCCTTCTTGGCGTAATCTTCACCCTTCTTGGTCTCCAGCGACTCAAGAGCAGCTTTAGGGTTGTATTTTTGAGAAAGAGCTTCAAAGTTATGAGCAGAGAAACTGAATTGGTTGATATGTTTGGCTTTGATGACATCCAAAGAGTCTTCACCGTAATGGAATTGTAAGACGGAACCATCGGAATCACGCACAGTGTGATCATAGTGAACACGCAAGCCTTCAAGATGCTTGATCAAACAACGTTGCAAGTAACCGGAACGAGATGTCTTGACAGCAGTATCAATCAAACCTTCACGACCAGCCATACAATGGAAATAATATTCTTGGGGACGAATACCCGTTAAGAAACGACCGGTGACGAAACCACCAGCACGTGCGCTTGTATCGAAAGGACGGAAAGAAGGAAGCGAACGACCAGACACCATGAGAGGTACACGACGGCCTTCAAGTTCTTGTTGACCAAGCAAACAAGAGATTTGGGTAGCATTGACGTTAGAACCCTTGGCACCAGAAACAGTCATCATTTGCATGTCGTTCTTAGGAAAGGGACGGAAGAGACCGTTGGGAAGACAGGTTTGTGTGATTGAAGAAGTCAATTTGTTGACCTTGGCCTTCATAGCGTTATCCAAACCAGCTAATTTGTTATCATCACGGATGACTTCGTTCATACGGAGTTTAAATTCTTTAGCGAGAACAGAAGGGTTGGCAGTTTTAGCAGTATCAGCCAAACCAAGGAATTCCAAATGAGCTTCATCACCAAGGCCCTTGCCGCCATCAAGCAAATCACGACGCCATTTATCACCTTCCTTTGTCAAGATCAAATCATCCATACGACAGGTAAAACCATGGGATTGAATGAACTTGATAAAGAGACGACCCAAAATACTCAGAAGCATACCAGCTTTTTCAGGACCATAGATTTCATAGATAGAGTGCACAAGACCAAAAGAAGAAGCACCAAATTGAGACTTATCTAAAATACCATGCAATAATTCACCATCCATTACATTTACAATTTCTTCTTCCTTGGCATTAGGGCCCCAAAAACGAGCAGGGACCTTACTCTTAGAAGTCATGTTGAGTTGAGCACTACCCCAAGTCAAGTTCTTCAAGATAGTAGAGAGAACTTGCTTACCAGTCCATAAAGGTTGAGGCTTAAGGATAATAGGAGGCAAAGTTTGAATCTTACCACCACCTGTACCATCAATTTCAGGACGAAGAGAACCATACAAAAGTTGTTGGTATTCATCTCTTGTAAAGAAAGTATCACGACAACTCATCCATACACCAGAATCAACACTATCTTGGATAAGACCACGGAGAGGGTCACCACTGGTAGGAACCAAGTATTGGTTATCGGTGTTGGCGATGAAAGAAGCTTCAGCACGAGCAATTTCGTTTTGAGGAAAGTGAATGTTCATCTCATCACCATCAAAATCAGCGTTATAAGTGTTACAATTGGCATAGTGCATACGAATTGTCTTTTCACCAGGCAAGACACGAGCCTTGTGAGCCATGATGGAGGGCTTGTGAAGTGTAGGTTGACGGTTAAGCAAAAGCATATCACCATTACGCAAGTGACGGAAGACCTTCTTGTTGACTGTTTGAGTACGAGTAGGATAAGGGTTGTTGCCAGTTTGAGTAGTAGTAGAGCTTTGAGGAGCCAAGAGAGAGTTGGCAAGAGCAATACGGGATTCGATACTCAAATCTGCAAGTACATCAATGGATTGATCTTCATTTTGAACATGAGTAGCACCAGGCCATTTGTTGGGACCATTGATAACAGCTTGTCTCATTTCCTTAAAATTATGAGGAGTAACAGGCTCAGGGTATGTCAACTTGGTGGCAAAGACAGGAGGAATACCAATCTCTGATGTTTCAATAAAAGGATCGGGCGAAATAACGGAACGAGCAGCATAGTTAACACGCTTACCCATCATGTGCTTTCTGAATAAACCTTCCTTCTTTTCTAATGCTTGACGAATACCAGGAGGATTGGTTTTACCTTGAGCCACTTGAGTAGGGTTCTTTGTGGAATCAATAAAAGAGTTGACAGCATGTTGAAGGTTAATGATAGCTTCAACAAAGTTGTTACGGATACGCTCAATCTTATTCTTGTCAGCGGAATCTTCTTCAGAAGCCTTTTGAAGTTCTTCAGAAAAGTCGCGCACAAGGTGACTACCTTTCAAGATAGCAGACAAAAGTTCATTTTGAGGAGATTCAAAGATTTTATCACCCATGACAGAAGGAGGACGGAAACGAGTAGGTGCAACAGCCAAAGTTTCAATAAAGAACATATGATAAGTGGCTTTCTTGATAAAAGAAGGGACACGAGGATCACGAGCACCGTATAACAAAGTAGTTACTTCACCTTCCTTTTCAAACAAAGCCTGAACTTGCTTGCGAACTTCATAAGGCGTCATGAAACGCTGGCCATTGCTGTTGAAACCCTTCACTTCATCATCAAATCCAAGGTTGTTCTTAATGCGGTCCATATGAGCTTGTTCCTTTTTGCTGAGTTGAAGTTGGAAAAGTTTGGCAGCACCATCGCGACGAATAGGAGGAGAAATACCTTGACAATTAAGACATTTCTTGGTGTGAAGACAAAGTCTCATGAAGTCAGCCATGATCTTCTTGCGCACTTCATTAATCACAGTGATCTTGTAATGGTTGGCTGCGAATCGGCGAGCTTCTTCATCGGCTAATGAGTTTTTAACAAAAGTTTCAATATAATCAATGTATTCATCAGCACTGGCGATTAAAAGACTGTCTTCTTCCATTTTATCTTCCAAAGTTTCGTCTTCTTTTTCCTTCTTGATCTTTTTTTGGTCGAAATAGACTTCTTCCAAAGCTTGAGCTTCACGAATAAGACCATGTTGTAATAATTTCAATTGACCTGAAAAGCGCTTCATCTATACATTATATATATATATATCAGTCACTGAATTATGCTCGATGTATCATCATCATTACCACTGCGCGGGAAATACGGAAATGGTGACAATAGACACACTTGGCACGAAGAACAGCATAAAGGTTGTCGAAAAACATGGGATTATAAGCGGGAATAGGCACTTCAATATGACCATAGTGACCGGGACAGTTAAAGTGATCTTGAGAACAAGTAGCACAACTATAAAAAAAATTGCATGAGCTTTGTATGGTGTTTTGACGTGTATTACATTTGTGTCTTTTGATAAGGACCGAGGGCGGGATCGTAAAGACCACCTTTAGTAGGGTGACCCAAAGTGTCAAAAAGTACAGGGTTAACAATTTGCTTGACAGAAATCTTTCTTATTTCATTGGGCTCATAAAAAGAGAAAGATACTGAGTCAACCTCAGTACCAATAGGAACTGAAATGTTCATATTAATAGAAAGGTTTTCTGTCTAGTGAAAAGACTAAAGAAAAAAAAAGCACTTCTTTTTTCATGTATAGCTCAGCTTTAAAAAAAAAAGTAGAAAAGCAGTCTTCTTTTCTGTTTCTCGGTCCAAAGCCACTGAACCCAATGTCCTTAGGTAAGCATTTAGGCGGCGATTTGACAAAGGCTTATATAGATGAGGGGTTAATCACAACCCAACAATTGGTGGTTTTTCTTTCTCAAATAAAAAAATATGGCCAAAGGTATGTGTTGACTCGACTGGATAGCATTATTCATGTAGAACTCTAGCTGAAGCGCAAACAAGTACTGCTCTTCCAGGACCCAAGAACATGAAAGAGTGGTATCTTCTTTCTTACAATCAGGTCTCTTTCGGCGGTTGGGGTTGGATTTTATTATTAACACTTACTCAACTCTACAATACCCAAGGAGATTATACGACTGTTTTTGATGTTGTTTGGCCAGCATTGTCTTATGTTCAAACGGCTGCTTTGTTTGAAGTAGGTTCAACAAAGACGAGAGCAACATGTTCACCCTCTATTGTAGGTTCTTCATTCTTTGTTGGGTTGGGTTAGAGCACCAGTGATGACTACTGCTATGCAAGTTGCATCCCGGTTATTTTTGGTATGGGGCGTAAACTATATTGTGCCCGAGATTCATACCCATTGGTCTTTCACAACCATGGTTATTGCTTGGTCCATTGCTGAACTCGTACGTTATTCTTTCTACACTTTCCATTTAAGTGGTGGTGTTCCTGGTTTTGTTTCTTGGGCTCGTTATAATTTTTTCTTTATCTTGTATCCTTTGGGTGTTTTTTCTGAAATGATGATGGTTTATCAAGCTTTGCCTTATGCCAAGGCTATTGATACATTGTACTTTTATGGATTGATTGCTGTTGCTCTTATTTATATCCCAGGTAGAGTCTGATTGAATTTTAGTCTTGTTTTAACAAAAGAGTAGGTTTCCCTGTCTTGTTCTCTCACATGTTGGTACAACGTAAGAAATACATGAGAGGTGATACAAAAAAGAAGCAATAAAAGAAAAAATAGAGTTTATTTAAAAAGAAATGTCAATAATACCACCTATGCTGATAGAATAAGAGGCTTCACTTTCTGGCATATCAGGGGAGTCAAATAATTTGGCTACTCTTTCTTCGCCTCTGCCTTTTCTCAAGTAGATACGTGTAGATGATCTATGATCGAATGAGCATACATTTTCTTTATGATTCACTTACGCATGGGCCTAATATCAATTGATAAGCTATGTGTGTTATTGAATCCAATTGACTTACCAATACATGTCCACCTACAGGCTTTTTTGGATCAGCAACAAATGTCATGCCAGCTACATAAGACGATAAGCGTGCGATATTCTTGCGTTGCATTACCTCCTGGATCAGAAGAGACTTGATTCGTCAAGAAGACAGCAACATTGTATTCTTCAGAAATCTTTGTCAATCGACTCAACATTTGGTTGAGTTTCTGTTGTCGATCAGCTAATTCACCACGACCAGAATAATCGCAGCGAAAGAGAGAGATAATGGAGTCAATGACCAAGAGACGATAAGCACCTTTTTGTTCAGCGAAATGAGCAGCAAGTTCAGAAATGAGATCCATTTGCTGATCGCTATTCCAAGCGCGAGCAACTACAATGTTATCAAGTACAATATCTGGGTCTACACCAAATCGATCTGCAATGGACATGATACGATCAGGTCTAAAAGTACCTTCTGTATCAATATAGGCTGCTTTGCTACTGGCACCGCCTTCTTCAGGAGACAGTTGAACTTGCACACACAATGTATGAGCCAATTGAGTCTTTCCTGTTCTGTATTCACCAAATACTTCAGTCAATGACATGGTTTGTATACCACCTAGTTAAGGATTGAGCAAGTAACTTATCGTAAAGCACGCACATACCTCCAAGAAGGGCATCCAGTTGTTTACTACCAGTAGAGATTTTGACCACTTTTTCTCTTTGAACAGCAATTTGTTTTGCTGAGACAAATCCAGGTCCCTATAGACAGAGCATGAGCATAAGACAATAAAACGAAACTATTTTACTTGGCTTTTAATAGCTGCTTCTTTGATCTTGTCTACTTTTGTTTCGGATAAGCCTTTGATCTTGAGCAATGCTTTCTTTGTCATCATCTGAACTCCCTAAGCCAAGACATAAGTCTGTATGCTAATATGCTTGCTATTTACTCTGACTGTGCATACACCTGCAGCCTTTAGTTTTTGAATGTCAGCTACACCAATGCCATGCATCTGAAGTTCATCTACTTCTGTGTAAAATAACTAGAGAGTATATTACTAATACTAGCCATCACCAATCATATGCTGTGTAACTTACTCCTTCCTCTTCATGTTGTTCCTGAGGTTGTTGATCCAATTCTTGCGTTTGGAGTATAGATGAAGCGTCTTCATCGATAACAGATCCTTCTCTTTTAGACGGCATATGGATGTTAAAGAAAAGAAAGAAAGAAAGCAAACAGCATAATGAACTTACTAAATAAAGAAAAATCATCCATTGTCCAATCAGAACTTGATTCAATTCTATGAGCTGACTGTACAAAAAAAAAATAAGATGATTATTCATACGTACATGTGTTACATTGACCCCGTATTTTTTTCTATAGTCTTACTTTATGATGGCTGTTGAACGCAATAGTTTGTTGAAGCAGAAAAAGAAGTACGTGGTATGCTGACAAAACAAATACGAAAAATGCACTATTTACGCCTAAAAGTATATCAAGTGGTGTGACTTTTTATCAATCGGGTATAAAAATCAGCTCAGGTTCTTGTATATTTCAGTTTCTTTACTTCTCTTATTTTTTTTTTACTATGCTATCAAGATTATTTTCTGCTTATCGAAACACAAGTATTCAACGCCCAGTACAACAACAAGGTCGGCTTTCTTTGGAAGATTCATCTGAAGAACTTGTTAGGGCTACTCAAACAACGAAAGCTATCCATATACCACTTTCAACAGCAAGTAGTAGTGCATTGACTTGCTTTGGACTATCCTATAACAACACAGATGACTTTATTCAAAAGGATCTTATCTCAACTTCTCTTTACTAAAAAAAAAGAAGAAGAAATGGCGCTGTATATAACCAATCCCTGTGGAGTATTTCTAAATTAGAATGTCGCATTATACACCAAGGCCAAATGACCCTTAAAAGCTGCACTCGAAACATAAAAGTCATAACTCCTGTATATTTATTTATTTGTAAATAAAATCTATCTATTCAAATAAGTGTACGAACAATGGGACTTGGTTTTGCCCTGGTGCTTTATGTGTTACATGATATTATTTTATCCAATAACAACTGATTCTTTAAATAATCTTTTTTTTTCCTTCATTTTCTTCTCGCTTCCTTTCCTTTATTTTTATAGAATGGCTATTTCAGTCTCTTCTTCTGGCATAGGTATTGCTCATCTCCCTAACCAAAGACACAAGATCGTGACCAACCAAGGCTGTGACTTCACTATCATGGTCTGTGGTGAGTCTGGTCTCGGGAAAACAACGTTTGTCAACACACTCTTTACAACCACTTTAAAGGAACCCAAAGATCAATCGATTAGACATACAAAACAATTAGACAGAACTGTCGAAATTGAAATTACAAAGACAGGTAAAAAAAAAAAAAAAAAAAAAAAAAAAAAAAAAAAAAAAAAAAAGGCAGATCTACAGAATTTAAGACTCACGCAACAATAGAAATCGAAGAGAAAATGTTTAAAGTCAAACTATCTATTATAGACACACCTGGTTTTGGTGATTATGTCAATAGCCATAATAGCTGGGTTCCTATTTCAGAATTCATTGACGATCAACATGAAAGTTTCATGCGTCAAGAACAACAGCCAGATAGAAAGAACAAGATTGATATGCGAGTCCATGCATGTCTATACTTTATTCGTCCTACAGGTCATAGGTATTTGAAAACTCAATTGGGATCTCATTGACTTATATTGAAACCAGATTGAAGCCTTTAGACATTGAAATGATGAAAAGACTCGGTTCTCGTGTCAACCTGATTCCTGTGGTAGCCAAAGCAGACACATTGACACCCAAAGACTTGGCTGCCTTTAAAGAACGTGTACGTCAAGACATTGAAGCCCATCACATCAAAGTCTACCAATGCCCTGTAGAAAGTGAAGACGAAGATGTAACCAACCTGAACCGTGATATCACAGCTGCTATGCCATTCTCTATCATTGGCTCACTTGAAAACGTTCAGACACCCGACGGTCGTACAGTCAAGGGCCGTGCCTATTCTTGGGGTGTGGCTGAAGTAGAGAATGAAGCTCATTGTGATTTTAAGAAACTGAGACACTTGTTGGTTCGTTCACATATGTCTGATTTGATTGAGACTACAGAGTCTGTTCATTATGAGAATTATCGTCTGAATGAAATGGCTACACGTAAATTTGGTGAAAGCAAGGTGGTCAAGGTAGAGAATCCCAAGCACCGAGAAAAAGAAGAAAACCTTCGAAAGGAATTCACAGAACAAGTCAAGAAAGAAGAGAACCGTTTCCGCCAATGGGAAGCTCAACTAGTTTCTGAACGTGATCGTCTCAACAAGGATTTGGAAATGCGACATGCACAAATCAAGGCACTTGAACAAGAGCTGGAAGCTTTGTATCACAAAAATGGTGGCACCATGAGAAGATAATTTCATTACTATTTTACTTAATTTATTTATTATAAAGTCAATATTTATTATGATCAAAATGGTATATATAAGGTGTGTATGTACAAAAAAATAAGGAGGAATGGGGGTATATCTCTAAACAGGTGTTTCTTGGTGAGGTCTGTTCTTGTTAAACATAGCATATTGACCAAAAATAGTAGCATCAAAGATAAGTGTGCCTGCACTACCGATAAGAAAGGGAACAGCTTCTAACATAGTAGCACGAGTAGCATGAGGATTGGTAAAGACACCGAGTACATAGGTCAAATTTCCCATGGCAGCAAAAAAGAATAAAGCCATCGACAATCCTTCTACAGAGCGACGACGAAAGTTTTGATAGATTTGAGGTAAACGAGATGAAAGGTAGAGAAAAGTACAGAGCCAGGCAAAAAAACGGCCTACCCAGATAGTCTTGTCTTCATGGTGAGATGTGATCATCATATCTTGTGTCGTCAGACTAGCATCGGAAGTGAAGCCATTGAGCGTTAGGAAGCCAAAAAAGAGCATCATGGTGACATATTTCTTGGGTTGAGGTGAAGAACCTAAAAGAGAAGATTGCTCGTTGATTTCTTTTCCACCACCTGTACTATAGGTAGTATAAATGCGTTCACCAATGACGTTGTCTACAGGAGGTGTTGGTGTAGGCTTGATTTCATCTTGACCATCAAACCAACGGCGAAGGCGATTGTCAGTGTATTTAACATAATAAAGCCATTGGAAGCATAAGATAGTATCGATAATGGTATAATAAATGGATAGATAAAGTTGAAAAGGAAGTTGGCCGGTAATAATGCAACCGATGAAATTGGCAACATCACCTAAGTCAGAATGATCAATACTTAAACTAACAATCAGACAAAACTTACCCGCTAACCAGACAGTCAGGAAAGTAAAACTAAGGCCTTCTGCATCACGCAATCTGTAGTTTTTGATCACTTGACTATAAAATAAGACGATTAATGACTCTATATGATATGATCACACACAATACATACGGCATTTGTGCATTGAGCCAACAAAAAATAGAAAGATAGCCAAACAATAAACTAATTGATTCTTGCCATCCATAAACACATTGACCAAAAATATTCTATGACATTGTCAGTATGTTATTGTTTATATGTTTATTACATACAAAGATCCAGTGAATGGCTAATGTACCATCACTTAAAACAGGACAAGTAGTCTCCATAACAAAAAAAAAAAATGAACTAAAATAAAAAACAATAAAAAAACCTCCTTTTGTTCTTATTTATACAGAAGGAATGCGGTCATTGAACCAAAACCATACATCTGATCTTTCTTGCTATAAAAGGAAACTTAAATTTGATGAAGTCTAATGTAGCTCCATTCATCAAGATGCCCCTTGACGGATTTGGAACTCACTCGTGATTGATCACCGTTTCTTTTTTGGAAGAAAATTTCTATTTTCTATCACTCTGCATAATCATCTTGATATACAAAGCAAATGTCAGTGACGTATTCCTAAATACTCTTTATTTTAGACAAACAGGAACATACAATAGAAGCATCTTGAGATACGGTCAAAGGACTTGCATTTGAAATTTCTTTTTAAACTGTTTCTTTAGGCCGATTTTTCGGTTAAAAAAACAGAGTAAATGATAAAGAAAAGCTTATCAAAGAAGAAAAAGACATTTTTGACAACATCTCGTGGGAATACGGCGGTCCCTGGGATTTATAATTGTTACACTGCTTAGTAGCTTTTCTCTCTCATTTTTTCTTTCAACATTTATAAAATGCTTTCTACTCGTCTTTTCTCTGCTAGACGTTTATTTGTTCGACCTGATTTTTATCCCGCTCGATTTTTCTCCACTGTAAACATGACCAAACAACCGCAATTTTTTGATTTAACAAGTGACACTGCTACTGAACCTACTGATGATATGTTTGATATGATGAAATTAGCCCACCGTGGTGATGATGTGTTTAATGTAAGCCGTATCATGACTTAATATGTATTGACAAGCTATAGGCAAGCACTTCTGTCAATGACCTGGAAAAATACGTTGCTAAACTACTGGGTAAAGAGGCTGCCTTGTTCTGCGCTACAGGTTGCATGACAAACCAACTTGCCCTTCGTGTCTTATTAACACAGCCACCTCACTCTGTCTTGTGTGATGCTCGTGCCCATGTATTTGTATATGAATGTGGTGGTATTTCTTACCATTCTCAAGCAAGCGTCTCTCCTGTCATGCCTAGAAATGGTCATCATTTAACACTGGAAGATGTCATGGACAATGTGATTACAGACACCTTAGCATCTGCACCCACCCGTGTTATTTCCCTTGAAAATACCCTGAATGGTACACTCATGCCAGTTGAAGAAATGAAGCGAATCCACGACTTTGCTCGCCAAAACGACCTGAAGCTTCATTTAGATGGGGCTAGATTATGGAACGCAAGTCAAGAGACGGGTATTCCTATGCATGAATATGGTCAGTACTTTGATACAATCTCGGTGTGCTTGTCAAAGGGTGTAGGTGCACCTATTGGATCCATCATGGCAAGCACACAAGAAAACATTGTGCGTGCAAGACACATCCGAAAGCTGATGGGTGGAGGATGGAGGTAAGACAAGTGTTTAGATAGGCTGAGACTGATCTTCTTGTAGACAAGCTGGTTTTTTGGCTGTGGCTGCTAAACATTGTATCGATACGGTTGTGCCTACCATGAAGCAAACACACAACATGACAAAGCAACTGGCTACAGCGTTGCAAGAGTTAGGCATGAATTTAAGCACGCCCTGTGAAACCAACATGATCTTTTTAGATACTGCCAATGCAGGCATCACAGTAGATGATTTGGCTAAAGCACTCAAGCAGCATGATATTTTGATCGGATCAGGTCCTGGCACCAAGACACGTATTGTCATGCATTATCAGATTACACAGCAAGCCGTGGATACGTTTATTCAAGTAGCCTCAGATGTAGTGGAGAAACGAAAGGCAGATCCTAAACCTATCGTTGTGGATGCTTTGAATAGCAGTTCTATTTACAACACAAGTGTGTAACTTGTTTATTGAATAAAATGTATGTCATAGTTCGTTTGTGTGTGGACAATGATTTTCATGGGAGAATATAGAGACATCGACACCACATGTAGGGCAAAATTTATATGGGCGACTGACTTGCTTCATGGTGAATTGAATGGAGAATAGGTATAAAATGAGAATTTATAAAAAAAACATGGTTTATTTTTATAATTTCTGTTTGTCTTCTAGAAAATGAAAAGATGTACCAATCACAACATGAGCATAAAAAGACATTCTGCACATTCTTTTTCTATGCGAACTATCAATCAAAAAGAATTCTAGTGAATTCTGGAATAAAAAAGAAAAAGGAATTTATTATTACAATTTAGCAGTAGGATTCACTGTCTTGAATATGTTATCTAACTTCATAGCAAGCATAATTTGCCCCTTAATCTTGAGTTTACCACTCATGTATGCCTTTTGACCGTTTAATTTACCCGTAGCCAAATCAACAAAATCAGCGTCTTTTAGAGACAGAACGGCATCGGGTTTCATACCTTTACCACGAACCACTTTGCCTTCTTTTTTGACATCTACAGTAAAGACTTCTTCTTTGCCTTCTTTGTTCTTGATCACAAATTGAAATACACCATTGACTTGTTTGATTAACTTGGTTCTTTCTTCAGGACTAAAGTCTTCAAAGGCTTTGTTAAGTTCAGCGATCAATTCGGAGCTCTTGAAACCAGGAACAACAATATCAGACATCGTAAAAGAATAAAGAGAGAATAAATACACAAAGTATTGGTCATTTATATACACCTGTTGGAATCCCCTGTTTGTCAGCTTTATCTATACAAAAAGGGTAGTTTGTATTACAAAAAAAATAGCTTTTTTGTCCTATTTAAATTGCGTAATAAATTAAGTAGTAAAAGTGGGTTGGTCTGTTCTTTGCGCAAGGTAGAGATAGAAAGTTTGTTTTTCTTAATTTGAAATAGGTTTCATAAGGGCAAATGGTTGGCCTGGTCCCTTAGCCATGATTGCGCTTTGTTGTGTAAATTAGCATGCAATGATAGAACAAGATGTATTAAGACATGCCTCAAAAGTGAAAACATGCATTAATTATGTTTAAGTAAGATACATGGATCATTTAGAGTGATTTTGAGCCAAAAATCGTGTTGGAGGAAAAGGGTTCAGTCGAGACCCTTTTAATTCAATCTCCGATTATGAGTATTTTTGGAACTTTGTAAGCTGAAAAATGAAGTTATTGATACGGTTAAATATGAGAAATATGTTTCAAAAGCTACGCCATATAGTTATGGTCTCTATCTACAGTTTTTGCGATAAGATTTGATTGCTATGATCTAAGAATTGAAAAACATATTTTGTCAATTTACTCAACATTATATCAGTCAACTTGTTGCTTTCTTTACATCATTGAACTAGCAAGATGGGGATCTATAACTTTGATTAGAACGTCAAAAAGAAATAAAGCCTCCTTCCACCAGTTCTAGGAAACGAATGGATTTTAAAAGTCTGGAAATGTCGGAGTTTTATCTATCTAGTTTTTTGATCCCAAAGAATTCGGCAAACTCTATGACTGGTCTTTTCATAATGTTGTTTGATAGTGTCGATATATCGATATCTTATAGGATCATCTCATTCTGTAGTGATTACGATGCTAAGCCATTGACTGTATCCTTTCTTAATTTATTTTAAAAAATAAAAGAAGCGTTTGGCTCATAATTAGCTGTAGTCCTGAAATTATGCATTTCTAGCAGTGATATCTACTGGCTGGGTTAATTGTGGTATGATTGAGTCATAAGGATGTCATGGTCCACTAAGCAAATTTGACAGCATGACGGTCATTTTTAATGCTCTTAGTTTTGTTCCTATACGCTAGTTTTTTTTTTTAAAAAAAAAAAAGAAAAAAAGATTTTTCATAGGATACAAAAGAAACACAATCAAAAGTATGCAATGTCTGAACTGTATACGATAGTATACTTCTTTTTTTTTAAAAAAAAAAAAAAAAGGACTCATACTGAGTGGTTTCATGTTGAATCAGTTGGGTATGAAAAATAAAAGACAGCCTTCATCTCTGGTTTTTTTTTTCTTTCTTTCTTTCAGTCAACAGATATGGGACAAACACTTTCTGAACCTATTGTTGAGAAGACAACACATGAAGGAAAGAACAAGCATCTGTTGTACAGTCTTTCTTGTATGCAAGGATGGAGACTCAGTAAGTTATAGGCTTATTTATATATATATATATATATATATGACATACTCAACCATGTAAGCTATGGAAGATGCACATTGTGCTGAACTTGATTTGAACGGCACAAACGCGTGCTTCTTTGGTGTTTATGATGGACATGGAGGTAATTCATGATGGACATGATCGTATGATTCATAATTTGGAAATAGGTTCAACAGTGGCTCAATATACAGGACAAACACTCCATCAACGCGTATTGGAGTCATCTCATTTTGATTCAAGGGACTATGCCAAGGCCATGGTTGAAGCCTATCTTCAGCTTGACAAGGAATTGATGGAAGGTAACGAATACAGAAAGAGAGAAAGGGGGGAGAGAATTGAAACCAATGTTGTTGCATAGATCAAAATTTCACGTATGATCCTTCTGGATGTACAGCAGTTACTGCTCTTTTTGCACCTGATCAGAAATCAATTGTTGTGGTAAGTTGCTCTTGCCATATCAACATAACTTACTTGTTTAGGCCAATGCAGGTGATTCTCGATGTATTATCAGTACTGCTGGTAAAAGCAAACCATTATCGTATGATCACAAGCCTGGCGATGCTAAAGAAAATCAACGTATTATTAATGCAGGCGGCTTTGTAGAGTTTGGCCGAGTAAATGGTAAGCCTCCACTGTTCTTCTATGACATATTTACCAGTATCTTTTTTTTTTTCTCTCTCTCTCCTTCCAAGGTAACCTTGCACTTTCTCGTGCTATTGGTGATTTTGAATTTAAACAAAACTCGACCTTGTCTCCTGAAGAACAAGCCGTCACTTGTTATCCAGATGTGATTGAACACACCGTGACAGAAGAAGACGAATTTGTAGTGTTAGCGTGCGATGGTATTTGGGATTGCTTGACAAACCAACTTGTCGTCGATTTTGTCCATCAACATCTTGCACAGAAAATGAAATTAGATGAAATATGTGAGCAAATGATGGACCATTGTCTTGCACCAGACAGTGATGGAGGTGGTGTAGGTTGCGACAATATGTCTGTGATTATTGTTGCCATCTTGAATGGCAAGACAGAAGAAGAATGGTACGAATGGATGGCAAGTCGTGCTACTCCTAAAAAAGACGCATTAGGCAATGATATAGATACCAATAGTTCTAAAGTTGTTTAATACATGTTTATTTTTTAATATAATGAAGGAGGAGGGTATAGTTAAGGGTCCATAGGATCAGCTTTCCAAGTGTATTTTTGTCTTTGAGGTGGTTTTTTATCTCTGATCAAATCTCTCATGTTCAAGTTTGTTTCTGCAAGATGACTAGGGTCAAAGTTACTTGGTAGTCGAATAGTCTCATCAGACTTGAGTCCATTCGCCCATTGTTCGTCTTTGATCAAGAAACGATTCTTGGTCCAGTGTATATGAGAATAATGACCTTCCATCTTGAACAATACGTGAATGAACACTAATGTTCACTATTAAAAATTGTTGGTTAATTCTGAATTATGCAGTCACCTATTCAATCCGAGAATGGATGTTGAAACTCCGGCACTCTTTTTTGCCGGGCTCACCTATGGCTGATATAGATCAAAGGCAAGTGAATCATTGAACACCCTCTTTTTCGTTATAGCCAAAGGTAATACCATCACCAGTCTTATAAACAAAGCGAGGAAGGAGAGAAGAAAGAGTGTAGAAAGAACAAGAAGATGGATTCACCATGGATGGATGATGTCCATTCAATCATCCTTATACGATAGACTAGAAATAATAACAGCTCCAAAAAAAATAGCCAGCTCGATATACCTCATTTTGAGCTTCGATCCTGATTCGTCCATGCTATAAAGCAACAACAAGAGATATCACAGTGTGCTTGGCGCAGGTTGCAACAACAGTATTAAAACGATGAACAACACACAGCAAAAAAAAAACCTTTCATCGTACACCATGCTTTCTGCACTCTTTCTACTCTCTCTCTCTCTCTTTCTCTGTTATAAACAGACAAAAGATACTAACTTAATTGATAGCTACAATGCCTCACGCTCCTAGAAATAGCTTCATTGCTCCCGGCGTTTCCCGCTACTCTCGCTCTGTTGCCTACTCCAAGAAGGCTCAATACAAGCGCAAGCAAACTGCTGTTGCTGCTCCTGCCAAGCAAACCGTTGCTGAAAAGACTGTTGAAGTAAAGGGTGCCAAGAACGGTGGTAAGCGTACTGTCCCTGCCCAAAAGGCTTCTCGCTTCTACCCCGCTGAAGATGTTCCTCAACCCAAGGTTACCCGTAAGACTGCCAAGAAGACTGCTCTCCGTAAGAGCATCACTCCTGGTACCGTTGTCATCCTTTTGGCCGGTCGTCACAGAGGTAAGCGTGTTGTTGTCTTGAAGCAACTCGACTCTGGTCTTTTGCTTGTCACTGGTCCTTTCAAGGTCAACGGTGTTCCCTTGAGACGTGTCAACCAAGCCTACGTTATCGCTACTTCCACCCACATTGATGTCTCTGCCATCAAGGTAAATGAATATGTTAGGGTTTGCATGAATACTAAAAAAAAATTCATATAGGTTGATGAAAAGATCAACGATGCTTACTTCAAGAAGGCTGCTAAGGCTGACAAGGCCTTCCTCGAAGGTGAACAAAAGAAGGCTGCTTTCCCTGAATCCAAGGCTGCCGATCAAAAGGCTGTTGACAAGGCTATCCTCGAAGTTGTTGCCAAGACTCCTTTCCTCCGTCAATACTTGGCTTCTACTTTTGGATTGACCAAGGGTCAATTCCCTCACAACTTGAAGTTCTAAGCTGTTTTTTTTATTTTCTTCAAAATAAAATTTTCGAGTATCATTTGATTAAATTTACTTTTCTCTCTTTCACACACACACACACACACACAATGTGGTGGCAAAGTCGTTTTCTATTTGAAAAGAATGCAGTGAAGCAGCCTTTGTTGACTAGCAAACAAACAATGAGGCGAGTGGGTTGTATTGTTCTTTTGTTATTACTGATTTTTTTTATGGGCTTCAATCGATTTGACTATAACAAGATCAATACGATTATCTCTTTTGGTGATTCATATACAACGCGTTATTTAGATATGGATTCTCTTACTTATGCCTGTAGAAACTGTACCTCAGCAGGCGGACCCAATTGGGTTGTCTATCTTACAGATACCACAGAATGGATCAGTTGGAATTTTGCTTATAATTCAGCACCTGTCAGTAACCATCTCGTGAACCAGGTTAAACGAAGGCATATTCCTAAACCACTTAAGCTAATCATATACCCTCTTCCCCTACCTTTTTTTTTTTTTAATTAGACATCCACGTAGGTATGAAATCATAGAGCCAAAGAGATTCACCAGAACAGAGTCACAGACATGCGTATTCAGGTACAAGCATTGTATCCTCGATTGTTTGTATCACCCAATGAGAGAACGGCTTCCATCATTCAAAAGGTGTATGGAAACAAGAAGCGCACAGCCCAGTCTACACTTGTCACATTCTGGGTGGGTATCAATGATATTGACTTGACTTATGATTGGGAAGATACCACAGATCTTGATGTGCGTATCATGAACAGATATGCGTACCTTGTTGTATGTCACTATTTTATATGTTATATGTGCATTCATGTGTGTCTATTATAGGAGCAGTTGATTCAACAAGGAGAAAGACAGTTTATGTTTATCAATGTACCCCCTATTGACCGTGCACCACTCTGGTATCATACTCTCCATAAACAACGCATTCACAAGCGTGTATTAGGTATATATATACTATGTCATGCATTGGGATAATTAACACATAAAACAGAATTCAATCATAAGCTGACAAGGATGATCCACAGCTTAAGAAAGACACATCCTCATATGTCATGGATAGAATATGATGCTTGGGGACTCTTTCATACCCTTTTAGACAATCCAGATAAATACAATATCACAAATATTGATTCTTTTTGTCCAGACTGGTAACAAAAAAAAAAAAAAAAAAACTCATTATTCATACACGAATGTATGGGCTTATCGTGAATGTAGGGAACATCCAATCGAAAGGGAATGCAAGCCTATTGAAGAGTAAGCTATAATGTATTGAACTTGATATTGACTCTTGTTAGGTATTTTTGGTTGAATGATTTACATCCTACTTTTCATGTACACCGTATGTTGGCAGAGGATATTCAAAAAATAATAAATAAATAAATAAATTTTTTTTTCGCTCTCTCTCTCTCTTTTTCTTTTTTTTTTTTCTTTTTTTCTCTCTTTTATTTATATATACAACATACACGCTAAAATAAAAAGGAATAAGAATACTATCATAATCCATGGGCGACTCTTTTTTTGGGTAAAAAAAAAAAAAAAAAGAGAGAGAGAGTCAATAACAGACTCATAATATCAAATAGTTTCAATACCAATCTGCCGCCTTTAAGTGAGGACGAGATGCGTGCACTAACTGAACAAGGCAAAACAGATAAAGGTGTTGAACATACTCAATCATATGATCATACAGATGATGTTTACGATTTTGCGGATTTGCGTCATCAATATGAGGTGAATGACCAAGGAGAAACAGAAGAAGATGATGGTCTTGGTGATCAACTTATTGAAGAAGGTGACGATAATAACATGTTGACCTTTGGTGACGCACCTATTGGTAAGTGAATAGGATACTATTGCTGCGGTTCTAAAATATATATATATATATACGCGACTTTATAGACCAAGATTTTGATTTCTCTGGTAATACGCAACGTTTTCAAGCCAACATTCCCGAGGAAGAAGCATTTTTTGTAAAACGAAAGCATCATGAAGAACCTCAAGGTAAAACAACATAGATGGGCATAGTGAGAGTATATATATATATGTATATACTAATATTCAAAAGGTGGATTTCGTAATCCTTGGGCTAGTACCCCAGTACGCCAAACTTCGTCTGGTATTGGTAGAAGTTTCGGAGAGGTAAGAATAAATATATATATATTGATATATACTCAACATATTAGGCTTCTCCTATGGCAAGTGCTAAATCGATTTGGGGTAACTTTGGTGGTGGACTTTCACCTGGTAAAAATGATCTTGACCATCTTGTCTATAAGGATACTAACATCAATCACAGGCAGTCAACATAGTTTGTCTCCTTTCTCTACTGCTAATAGACAGGCCATGCGTCCTCAACCTCAACAACAGCAACAGCCTCCTTTCATGTCTCCTACGACATCCACTGGATATCCATCACAACAACAACAGCAACAACAACAACGTCGTCCTGTCACTTTGGAAGATATTGAAGCAGACATTCAAAGACAACAAGCTGCTAACCGTTATCGTGTCAACCATGGATCCCCCAATGGCAAGACATTGAGTTTGGCCGAGTTGGAAGCTGCTCTTGCTGCTGGTGCCATGTCTCGTCAACAACAGCCACCACCCCCACCCCCTCAGCAACAACCTCAACAACCCTTTGGTTATCCTACGCAACCTGATCCAATGCAACTATTAGCTATGAAACAACAGCAAGAATTGAAAGAACAACAACTTTCTATGGCTAGAGAATTAAAGCGTAGAGAATTGCATCGCAAGGTAAGCCATCATAGAAAAAAGAAAAAAACACGCGCGTATTGACCCGTTCTATCAGTCTCAATACGATGGCCTTATGACGCAACATGATAAAGATGTTGTGAATCGTATTCAACTCTCTCAACTTGCGAGTGGTGATCCTTATGCTGATGATTTCTATTATCAGGTCTATACGACCCTTCGTCAACGTCCTGGTATGCCTTTGCAGACCAACATTCCTCTCAACAATGCCACGAATGAACCTGGTCGTACTGGACGTGGTCGACGTGAAGAGAACATGATGCAACGCATGCAACAGCAATTGCAACGTATTGTGAATGATGCCAAGCGTCGTCCTAAGCAGACACAAGTGTCCTTGGAAGGTGCTTTAGGTAAAATCACTTCGCTTACGGTGCGTAATCCTCGTCAAGTCTTGCAAGTTCCTTCAGCCACCAACAATAATGAACCCCATATGCCCAAGACGGAAACAAGCCCAACCCACCCTAAATCATTCACGGCGTATGATAGACGACAAGTCCTCAAGATCACAGAGGACATGTACACCATTGTGCTCGAGATAGAAGAAATGCGTCGTCAAGGTGTTCCCAAGGACGAAGAAAACGAAAAGGACGCGATGGAAGCATTCAATCAAAAGTACGCTGCCAAGGTTGAAAAGCTTTGGAAGACTTTGCGTTTGACTGAACATGCTGAATCTTCCTTCTTGATCTCTTTACTCTCGACAGCCAAGGGTAAGAAACTGATTCCTCGTATCGTCCGTCAATTGAGCCATGATCAAAACCTGGCTCTCTTGACTGTCTTGATGGCCAATTTCTCAAAGCTTCAAGTCTGTCGCCATGTGATTTATCCCGGCACAACCGTTGCCAATGTGGACGAAGCCAAGAAGCAACTGTTTGTGTTGTTTGATGAAGTTGAACTCTTCATGAATGCCACGGCTCCTCATCTGTTGGGATTCATTACAGATGCTCCTCTTCGTATTGTCGTGGGTCTACTTCAGTTGTTTTTGGAGAAGAACGATATTGGATTGGTTGCTCAGACCAAGCCTGGTTTGGCTTTCTTGACCATGCTTTTATCGCGCGCTGAAATTTTGAAGCAAGGAGGTGGTTCGTTGCAAGGATTGCCCCCTCCTACACCTGAAGAAATGAACCGTTGGCAAGAACTCTATGGTCATCTGTTTAATGGACTCAAAGGTCGTTATCTCTCTATATTCCCTTCCTTGTACTATTTGGTTCCTCTTAACCCAAATACGCCCATGATGCAATTATCACTTGCTGTGGATGATATGTATGTATGGCAATTCTTGGCTGCCATGGCTGTGGGTGCTTCTATGGATCAACAACATATTTTAGTGACTGAAGTCAGGTAAGCAGAATGGATGAGATCCAATGGTTTGCTTAAATTATCAATGTTATATAGGGATCGTGTCATGGATAATATTGTACTTGCAAAGAGAAATCGACTTCCTCTTGATCAAGCGACTCATCGTATTTCTAATGTGAACTTGTTCTTGCATGCTTTGGGTTTGGATGCTTCACAGGTCTCTGTTCCTCTGTAAATTTTCATTTTGTATGTCATCTTCATAATAAACCAACAAAAAAAAAATAGTATGTACAATCTCTTTTTATTATTATTATTATTGTTATTATTATTATTATTTCAATTGGTATAAACTTAGACAATGACTTTGATTTGTTTTCTATCATCATATACAAAGAACTGAAGAAAGATCTACCAAAAAAAAAGGGGGGAAGTTACAGGTAGGAACAAACAAACTAATTTACTTACAATAAAGTCAAACACAAGTGTGCCACAACTACCAACAATCCAAGAAAGATTGACAATGATATAGTCTAATTCGGTTGATTTTAAAAAGATAGACTATATAGACATCAGCATTCAAATCTTGGTTCTTGTACAACTTACAGAAGTAAAGAACACATTGCCCATGACAGCACATAAAAACATGCCAAAACTAAGTCCTTCTGTACTCTTGTTTCTATAGTTCTTTAATATTTGCGGGACACGACTGCCCACATATAAAATAGCACTAGACCATCCCATCAACTGAGGCAACCATTGGAAGCCTTCTAGTTTATCTTGGTTATCATGAGTACGATAATATGCATAACAAGAGATGATAGTGACCAGCACAATCGAAATAGCCGACATGATATTCAATAAGGATGTATGTCTTGCTTTCTTTTGATCTAAAACATGGCTGGTACTAGCAAGCAATGGACTGGTTTCTTGAGCCATCACTTCTTCTTCTTCTAATCTACGTCTATAATAAATCACTTGCCATATCAATCCCATATCAGCAATGGTATAGTACAAGGCCAATACAAACTAAAATAAACAAATAAACATACAATCCCCCTTCTTTTTTTTTTTAAAGTGTTTTACCATGGTCACCAATAAATCTTGCATGATCACACCAAGCAAGTTAAATACATCTCCAGCTAACCAGACTACGAGAAAAGTCATCGAGAGACCTTCTCCGCTTTTACGTCTATAATTTTCCCACAATTGTCTAATAATCAATGTCAATCATGAAGTCTCATATTGCATTATTTACGGTGTAAAGACAATTAACCAACATAAAATAGACAAATATCCTGCTACTGAAGAAGCGAATGTAGGATCCATTCTAAAAGAGAAACAAAAAGGAGAAGAAAAGAAAAACAAATAAAAAAAAAAAAAAACTGTCTAAAAAAAAAGTGATCGTTTCAAAGCCCAGCCACTGTTTTTTTTTTTTTTTTTTGGAGAAAATATATATAAATGTTTTATGTATTTTAAAGTGAACAGTTTCAAATAGAAACACCTTAGAAGTAAGAAATATCGCCGAACTTTTCCTTGTAACCGGGAACAGAGAATTGACCCTTCTTGAGGCTTTCTTCAATGTTCTTGGTGATTTCAGGCTTGGCAACAATAATATCATCAACCTACACAACACATGAGTGACAATATCCAAGAAATCATCATTACGTACAGTAAGTTGTTCAATAGGGCGAGAACCTTCAATGTTGCTGAGAGTAGCGTGAAGGTCCTTGAGTTCGTGTTCGATTTGTTGAACAGTCTTTTGAGCCTTGGAAACCTACACATCATCATAAATATACATTACGTTGGCTGACACTATCAACTTACAGCCTTGGTTTCGAATTGGTTGATGGCGTTTAATTGAGCATCCAAGTTGTAAGCAACGGGCTTGAAACCGCCAACAGCCTTTTCGGCTTGGTCGACAATAGCTTGGTTCTTAAGAACCTTGCGGTATTGAGAGAAATCGACAGTGGTGGATTGTTCCTTCAATTCAGCAAGAACACGCTTCACTTCGTCATTGCGCTTACGGAAAGCTTGAAGAGAAGCAACAGTTTCTTGGGGAAGGCTGACGCTCAACTTGGCCCAGTTGATAGCAGCGGCACGAACAGGAGAAGCCATGTTTAATAATATGAACAAAGAGAGAAGGGGAAGTTTTTTTTTTTTAGCAAGGAAAAATTCAACACCCAGCTAAAAAAAAAAAATAGAACAGCCTCCCCCCGCAACACAAGCTGGAATTGCGGCGCGGAGTTTGTTGCGAAACTACGTCACTCTAAGCAGCAAGACCCAGTTGGCTATAACCTTCCCTTGATGGCGATGAGACTCCATCTTGTCATGCATCTATTGACATTGTTCATAGTACTATACTTACTCCAAGGGAACTTTGAAGAAATAAGAAACAATGCGCATACAGATCATATGGAGAGCACCTTTTGTATCGTCTATGTTTCTTGATAAATGCTTTTTCGAACAAGGCGAAATTCAATGCTATACAAACAAAAAACTAAGCTTCTGATATCTTATCAATAGATTTCAAATAACATTTGTTCATCTTTCTTTTTTTCAAAAGAAAAAAAAACAGGAAAATCGCAAAAGAGAACAAAAATACCAATATGAATCCAACTGAATACATTTGAAAAGAGGAGAGTGTTCTATAGTGATCTGCATAATATTGGCTTTGAACTCGCCCGAAAAGGAAACCTTTTTCAATAAATGTGAAAGCATCCTAGATGGGCTGTGACTTGTTGTTCAATAGGAAGCAGGTTCAATTTTTTCATTTTTTACATTGTAGCTTCTCTTTTATTCTAAAAAGAAAGAAAAATAACGTTTAAGCAAGAAGCATGTCTAACGAAGTTGTAGAAAGCTCTCAATTGGCATCCAATTTATTGGCAAACACGCCTACTTTGTCTTTTCCTTCTAATCCTGTTGTTACGGAAGTCAAGCATGTACCAAGACCAGAGATCAACATTATTCGTCATCAACCCAACAAACTAGTTTCAAACGGAGAAGATAATCAAGGCACAAGTAAGTCCACACGTAAAACGACAAACAAGCGAAACTGCGAATACAAAAAATACGATGATCACCAAATCAGCGAATACATCAATCTGATCACCGAAGGCATGTCTGTCAAAGAGGCTGCAAAGAAATTGAATATCACGATCAACACAGCTTATCGATACAGAAAGATGTGGAATACGGGTGGAGTGACACCTGTAAGGAATAAGCGAGGTCCAGCTGAAGGCGCCATGTCTAAATTAAAAGAAGAGCATACGAAATTCATCATCAACTACATTGATAACGAAAAAAAAGATGGTGCATTGATTCATATCCGAGACGCTCTTCGAAGAGAGTTTCCTGATTTAGAAGTCTCTTCTTCTGCTTTACATAGACACATGAAAGCCAAATGTGCCATCAGTCTTAAACGCCTACATACTCCACCAGAGAGTCGCAATGATGCTGATTTGCTTGCTGCTATTGAAACCTGGTTAGCAAGTAAAGACATGGACTTTGAAAAAAACTGTGTGTTTGTTGGTGAGGCAAGTTATAGCATGCATACTTCTCGACATCATGGATGGAAGAATCGAACGAAAAATGGAGAAGCGGTGATTGCTCCACCTCCTGTGCCTACTAACTCAATGGGTGGTGTGAGTATCTTTATCTTGGGAGCCATTTCAGCGAAAGGTGTGATTAATGTATCAACAAGAAAAGCTACTACTGTTACCACAACGACAACTCAAGGAGAAAGAAGACACCCTGATGGCACACTGATGGACTCTTTTGAAAATGATCAGTTCTTTATGTATTTGATGACTGTGCTTGATATATTGGATAAACACGGATTAAACGGATTTTATCTGTTGATGGATGATGCCTCTGTTAAAGAACCTGTTTCGGTCAAAAGAAGGATTGAAGAGCGAGGCTACAAATGTGCCTTCTTACCTACTGTCTTGCCTTTTCCTAATCCAATTGAAAAGTTTTGGTCAAAGACAGTAGGAGGGATTGATCGATCACCGCTTGTCAATGCTGAAATCAGCAGCAGAATTGCACAAGCATGCTTAAAGGTCACGCCAAATGACTGTTGTGAATGGATTCGGCAATCAATTCCATACTCTCCCCTTCGTTTATCTTCAGGCGGAAGAGGAACAACCAGTTAAACATGTCATGTATTTTATTTTATTTTTATGTAATAAACCTTTCAAATGATCAATTGTACACTGTTTTGATCAAACATTTAGTACATTATGAAAACAACTTTTTTAAAAAAAAAATCCATTCGATACACAGAACACTACGTACAGTCTTTAAATCATCAAAGTTTTTTGCGCTACGGACATGATGAAGAAGTATACAAAGACAAGGTTTTTCACTGTCTCATAGCATAGACACCTCCAATTGTTGTGTCTAGCTTGTTTTATCTCAACTTCCAACCCCATTCCAAAGTACCTCGGCCATTGGAAACCTTTGCCCAAACACACTTTTCCAGAAATTCGATATACAAAAGTTCTCTAACATTTTCAAATCTTTCATTGGCCTTAAACTACGCCATCCATGTTGCCTTCTTCTCCCTTTTACTTCAAATCTCTTCGGCCGTAGAACTTTCATAAAAATAAACCGTCTGCTCATCAGGTCAATGAATTGAAAGTCTTTGATGCTTTAGGGATTCATTGTGCAAAGAAAAAGAAAAAAGTCTTCAGCAAGCTTCAGTAATAGATACATATCTAGCATCAACAAACTTTTGTACTTTGTCGACTTTATCCATAGCAACCTAGGCTTTGTTGTGGTCTTTGTATACATATTTGTATACGTATTTGATCGAGGTAAATGATGCACAAATCTCAACATGGATGTGGGGATTGTATTTCAGACAGAGATATCTATTGTGAGGTACTACCCATCTGTTGTCCAAAACGTGCTCTCCCTTTTTGATATTTCTGCTATCTCTTCTTCTGCGATACTCTGGGTATCCACCTAGGCCGGCTTGCAGAACACTGGTAGTATCATCCAAGTTTTTAGGGCACTTTTCTGACCATGATTCATCCTTCATACATTGTGTATTAGACTTCAGGAGACTCCAGGGACCATACATCATCATTTTGGTTATAGTCTCATACAAAAAAGGATCAATTGCTTGATCTGGAATCTCTACTAAAACCAGCTTATCAATATCTTCTTCTCGAATATTGTCTTCAGGAACCAAGATAAGTAAAATATGGGCATGTGGATGTCCTTGTTTTTGAAACCCAATTGTATGAATGTGTGCTACAACTTCGCCCAGTACTTTGTGCTTCCTAATATCTTTCATCAAAGACTTGAGCTTCATGTTAAAGTATACAGGTACAAAGATCTGGCCTGTCACTGGCAGCTTGACCGAAAAGCAATTCATGTTGAATTTCTGGCCAGTCTGGATTGCAAGTAAAAGTAACAAAGAGGTCTAGTTTTCCATACTTGCGAACGATACTCATTGCTGCCAATAGAAGAAGGTAAAATTACCTTTTGGCCAATAACACTCAGGTCGCTATCATCAACATTTACTGCATCTTGCAAGTTGTTATAGAGCTCGGATCTCAACGTTTTTTTGGTTTTGGCGAATAAAGTTAAGTCGTTCTTGCTCTATTTTGGCGTGCATATCAACAACGTACTGATGAAACAAACTACCAAAAAGACAATGACAAATTTCGTCAGTGAAAATAGGAGCACGATACATCAGATGAAAGCGGTACAAACTACGGATGCAACATCAGTCTTTTAGATTGAACAGTTTCTTTTCTTTTTATATGGATTATATATAGCCTAATTGTAACAGATAAAAATAAAAGAAGCTGATTCAGAGAAGATCGTCTCATGTTGTTGCAATTGACGAAGAAGAGTAAGAAAGTCGCCAGGAATATTAGCTGAGTTACGAAGGAGTTGTTCACATGTAGTTTCACTTGTTTGTGCAGGGTCTTGACTTTGGTGCAAAGTGAATGTAGAACCCGAAATTTGTTCAAATGGATGAATATGGACTTTGAATGCTTCTAAACTTCAGGTCGCATGATGTGAAAAATGCGAAATGATTAGAAGTGCTGGAAAAGTGAAAGTGTCAAGGTATGATGGTAGTTCCATTCAATAATTGAAGATGCTCTTGTTTTTATTGTTCTTGGGTTTTTGAGATCTGAATTCAAGGGACATACATTGCAATATCATTTTGGATTTTGCCTGGTGCTTCATTTGTCCTTAGTAATATAATGGAGACTTGCTTACATAACAGATGTAAAAAAGAATCAATCATAAATGCTTCACGTGACTTGCAGCTAAAAAAAATTGTCTTTTTACATTAGTATTGACACGCCCAAAGTGATACATCTGCGGTATTGAAGTGTGGAATACAGTTTAGTAATTTGAGCAATAGCTCTGAATAGATCAATATATTTCCGGCTAATATGCTATTCTCTCAATTCAATTAAGTCGAGTGTTTTACATTCCAGTTTTTGATTCGGTTATCTTTCTAAACCCTTTTTCTACAATAATCACCAAGAAATTCGAAGTTCAAATCAACTCTCCTAGTTAAATCAGGAAAAAAAGGCTCTTTTTATTTTCTTGTATTATTTTTCTATTGTTGTAATGTAAGAGAGAAGATAAAAACAAAGAAGTCGATTAGAACTTGTATAGGTTTATTATCCAAATATATATATATCTCTGTTTTCTAGCTCTTCATTCTCTAGGTATTTATACATGAAGAGATGTCGGAGTAAGTAGTCGTAGAGTTCATGCAAATGACTGAGTCTCTATTATCATAGACTACTTTAAATTAATTAAATAATATAAATTATGGACTTCGGTTATACGTCTTGATCTATTAAAAGATCCATTGTCTTATTCAGTACAAGAGGTTCTTTTATGTCTATTTCTGATGTAAATTGATTATGATATATTATAGTATGTAAATGAAGACTTATTTAATGTCAGATCATCATATGCGCATAAATTCTATGTTCACAACAAGAAGATTTTCATTCTCATTGCTTAGCTCATGTAATTTTTCCTTCAGTGAGAAATTTTCTTGTTGAAGAGCCAAAAGTTGTTGGAGATCACCAGCATGTTGTTGAACTTGCTGATGCAACTGAAAGTCAAGGTTCTGAAGTTGAACAATGTCAACTTGGTGATCAGAACCTGGTGATGTCGAGATTAAGTTCGAAATGCTGGACATCTTGAAAAGCTAGTTTCAAAAAGAATGTCAAAGTAAGATTTCGAGTTGTATAGTAAGTGCTGTATAAGTTTCTATAGCTGTGAGGTACTGTATAGCGATGTTTGTTGAATACTTATTGATACGTCATTAGAGATACTTGATTCAAATTGGGTTGGATAAAGAATTAACCGTTTATTTAATTAAATATTGTTAAAACTTTTAGAAAAGCTAAAAAAATTGAGGGATTAGCTCAGCGGTAGTAGCGAAAGATTGCAAATCTTTAGGTCCCGTGTTCGAATCACGGATTCCTCTTAGAAAAGAATAATTCATACTCGAATGAAGATTTTTTGTTATTTGCATAAATCAACAAATGAGCAGAGTTTGTTTTGTTTTCTTTGAAGGTGTCTGGACCCACTTACTTTTGTTACATACTTGATAGCATTGGTATAAAAGAGCTTTAAAGAAATGCTGTCTTTTTATTTTTTAAGCATCAACATGATTTAATGGTATAGGCAGAATTTTTTAGTTTTATTCATTGATTTATAAGGCTGATCCCTGTGGGGCAATAATAGTAAGAAGATAAATTAATAGTATAGTTACAGGATGAGTGAACGACTTTGATCCTTTGGGTCCAAAGCATTTGGTTGATACTAAGCTTTTTGAATTATATAAGGCCGGCTATGCTAGTGAAATGTCCTTGCGAGTAAACATTCATTGTTTTTCACGTTCAAAGCTGTTCTTTTTGGCCTCAAAAGTGTCAAGTGTTAGAGTATGTCTTGCTTCTCTGTATTTTTCCCGTCTAATCGTGTATAAGTAAATACCTATTCAATATCAAATATTTATTGAAATGAACCTTTTTTCTACCAATTAAAGTATACAATCAACTTTGATTGCAGATTTGAAGGCAATGCTCAAACTAAGTCAATTTCTTCATCTTGATAAACTCGCTTTCTTTGCATCAGAAGTACCTGGAGATGATCTTTTTTTATTTCGGTTGGATCAGAGCTACATTGGCTCATTCCAAAAATTTTTGATTGAGTTTTTTTTTTTTTTTTTTTTTTTTTTTTTTTTTTTTTTATCTTCACGGACCTCTGTGAACCTCCTATGAGTTAAAACACAAATTTCGCCCAACAGCCAAACCAATGGTACCATTCGATTCCTTGACTCCAAAGAACATGTTTTAAATGAAAAAACGGGCTGTTTTGATAATCTAGTTTTCGAGTAATAGTCTATTAAAGAATGGCTCATTTAAGCTGTGATTTGAGCATTTTTACTCTAGGTATCATATAGAATTTGTTGGCAATGGGCTTCTAATAAACACTATATACTATCCTGAGTGTCAAAGGACATGTAAGAGTAGAAACATAGGCGTTTTGTAATATAAATGTGGATTAAATGAACATAGGATATACAGAACGGCTTCAAGCGAAGATTAAAACATAGAAGTTCCAATTCTTCATCCCACTACATCGAGAATGGAGCTTTTGCTGAGAGCTGCATAAAGACGCAGTTATTAGGCTTTGGTCTAGTGACGAAGGCTGTATATTTCTGCTTTCTGAGTCTACTGATGTAGAAAGCATAACAACTTTACTGCTAAGATATTGAACAAATAAGCAGAAACATATGCGAGATTTCTTACTCATATCACACCATTTCCGTAGTTTAATTAGCAAGCAAACGCATTCACCAAAAACTAGAGCTTTTGACGCACATTTTGAGTATCTAATTTCATTGATAGCTTTATTTTTCTTCTTGTAGCGTCAAAAAAAGATCAAAGAGTTGTCAAACTCAAGACTTCCACGAGTAATACCCTTTGGTCAAAATCCATTTTTGACTAAATTTTACATGTCGCTTTTTTTGGTCCAAAACAACTTCGAAGATACCGTGTATGCTAGTATATTGTTTGTGGATACTTAAAGCATTTGCGCGTGTATAAACAGGCTTTATGTTACCCTTATATATCTAGGAAAAAGTAAAAGATATGTATGAATTGTTGGCATTTTTCATTGTCGAAGCATTCATTTGAATGGTGTCTTTGTTGCATGAATAAAGAATATTCTATAAGATTGCTTATACACATGAAACGTCCTATTAAAAAGATATTTGTTCCCTCTACATAAAAAAAAAGAGTCGTTGCTTATAAAAAATGTCAAAGTATGATATACGAAAGACGGCCTTTGGCAAACGCATTGAATATGTCACAAACTACCCTATGTCTGTAGCTCCAATTCAATGACTTGCTTTCTCTATAGTAAGGGACACATCCAGCTTAAGACTCGCCATGTCGCTTGCATAATCTAATAAAATCAATGACATATTGTCTTGATAAAAGCCCCAATTATTTTTGTCTATGTATACACTTCATTTCCTTTTTTGTTTCTACATGCCTTATAACTCTGTTTTTTTTTGGCTGCTATTTCTACTTTGACTATCATGTTTATTGAAAATAGTGCAATGCAATAAGTTATGATGTGTATCAGTTATCTCATGCGTTTATTGCATTGTCATTCTCAATACAATTGACTAGTGAGTGAGTGTTATTTTAATGATGTATAGCAAGTTTTGGACAATATCTAGCTTTAGCATTTTGCATTTGAGACGAAGATGTTCTGGTTATTGGGCATGTCATGTTTCAAAATAGAACAATATATCAAACTTGGATTTTTGCAGTGTATCTCCTGTTGTTTGACAAGATGTGATATAAATTCAATCTAATATAGATCTCAAGCTCGTTGTTCAGGATTATGTCGAACAATAGACGTAATTTACAGGTTACGACCATCCTCAAAGAGCAAGATAAACTTCGTTACTTAAGAGGATTTTACAATGGCACACATCATAGTCTTTGCGAGAACAATGAAAATCAAACTACATAGTCAATAGGAACTGCAATGTGGATGACGTAGATTCAAACGAGAAATAAATAGAAGAAAAAGAACAACAAGCGAACCATGACAACAAAACAAACAAGGCTACAACAAGTAATGCAACCATACATCTTCTAAAAGAAGGGTGAAGAAAGTTACTTTGATTCCAAAAAGAAAAACTATTGTGCGAATACAGTGAAACATAAAGAGGTTTAGTATGTATAATAGCAAATGATCTGACATCGTGATACAGGATTGCCATTCAAAATGTACCCTTGATCAAGAACCAAGATAGCGTCTAAACTTTGTCATTGTTGCACGTACAAAAGACACGCACGTGATTTTTGATTCTTTGACAGAACAAGTAGTGTACGATCCAGGTACTGCCATTTACTCTCTGTTGAAGATGTATGTGTATACAGGTTTTAATGAATGTTTTGGGTATGATTATCGAGTGGCGATAGATATTAACATGAGGGTCATTGGAAACAAAAGCACACAACTTGCAATAGCTACCGTTGATCTACTTGAAGGGAAATAGCCGTGTACCAAAGCAGCTTGAACGTGAAAATAACGAATACAAGCAAATGCCAAAAAAAGCATACCAATCACAATAAACAGTAGACCCGTCATTTTACCGTCAAACCATAGTATAGATGGTTCTCGGGTTGGATTTTTAGACATTGATTTCTCCAATCTAAATAACTGTGTGATACCTTTATACGTATATGCAGTCAATAACATGATTTGTTTGTTTTCCCTTACCTATTCCGACAGATATAGTAGATAAACTTGTTCTTAACCAGGCCAGGTACGTACGTTCGTTGGCTACACACACAAAAAAAAGGAAACATAAACAAATGATGAAATATGCTTTAGGTATTAGGAAATTACCTAAATGGTCTCTTGCAACACTGCCTTTATTCTCCAGGTATATTGAAGTGGAGTATCTATCAAAAATATTCGCCAAATACCCATGCTTGGGTATCATTGATTGTTCTCTTTTCATGACCAGCTTCCCCTGCTGACTTGAGGGACAACTGATTGTTCTTTTGTCAATTGAAGCATAATTAATTTGTTCATTGTTGGTTATTAATGGTTGCCTTTGATCCGAATCTTGTTGCTCTTGAGTAACAAATGCTTGAAACATACAGATGGGTTTCTTTTGATGCTTTTTGTGTATAAAGAATATATAGGAGAAAAGCAAAGAAAAAAAAAAGAAAAAAAAGAAAAGAAAAAAGAGAGAGAGAAAAAAAAGGAAAATATGTAGGTTTGCACTTTTTTTTTTGAATTACTGTGTAACTTGTTTAATCAAAGGAAATGTAACAGATGAAGAAAAAAAAATTGAGCGCAATATAACAGAAATCTTTTTATTTTTTTTTTACATCTAAGTTCATCATTTACATAGTTTAAGCAGATCTAAAGCTATCAAGGTTTTCCTTGACACGTTTCATGTATTCAGCAGTAGTAACATAGTGTTCAGGCTTAAGGCTAAAAAAAAGGTTAGAACACAGCACATTTCAAATATTGCGCAATCGCTGATGTAGTGGTACACTTACTTTTTGCCGTGGATGGTCAAAGCCAAGTCTTTAGTCATAACTTGATCTCTTTCAACTGCATCAATACAAGCTTGTTCAAGTTCAGAAGTAAACTTCTTCAAAGCACCATTGTTGTCTAAAGCAGCGCGGTGACTTAAACCTCTTGTCCAGGCAAAGATAGAGGCAATAGGGTTAGTAGAGGTAGGATTGCCCTATCATAACAATGTGTTTCAGAACAAAAAAACAATTAGTTCATTGCTTACCTTTTGATATTCACGGTAATGTCTGGTGACTGTACCATGAGCAGCTTCAGCTTCCATGGTCTTACCATCAGGTGTGATCAATACAGATGTCATTAAACCAAGAGAACCATAACCTTGAGCCAAAATATCAGATTGAACATCACCATCGTAGTTCTTACAGGCCCAAACGAAACCACCCTTAGACTTGAGGGCTTGAGCAACCATATCGTCAATCAAACGGTGTTCATACCACAAGTTAGCCTTTTCAAATCCTTGACGATAATCTTTTTGATAGATTTCTTCGAAAATGTCCTTGAAACGACCATCATACTTCTTCAAGATGGTGTTCTTGGTACTCAAATAGAGAGGCATCTTCTTGGTCAACGCCATTTGGAAACAGCTGTGGGCAAAACCAGTAACAGAGTCATTGGTGTTATACATGGCCATACCAACACCACCATTTTCAGGAAAGTCGAATACAGTCCATTTTTGAGGTGCAGAACCATCAGCAGGAGTGAATGACATTTCGAATTTACCTGCCTTATTGGCAACAAAATCAGTAGAACGGTACTACCAAAAAAGATGGTCAAAAAAACATGGATCAAATCCTATACACTTTCTTACTTGATCACCAAAAGCATGACGACCAATAACAATGGGTTCAGTCCAACCTGGGACAATACGAGGGATGTTGCTCATAATAATAGGTTCACGGAAAACTGTACCGTTCAAAATGTTACGAATAGTACCGTTAGGAGACTTCCACATTTGCTTCAAGTTGAATTCTAATGATCACTGTCAATTCACGCGTATTCAACCAAGATAGACTTACCCTTGACACGAGCTTCATCAGGAGTAATGGTAGCACATTTGATACCAACATTGTATTTCTTAATGGCTTCAGCAGCATCAATAGTAATTTGATCATCAGTCTATAAACAACTCAAACGGTTTAGCTGCATGACCTCTTTTTTCTAGAAAAAAAAAACTTGCCTTATCACGGCTTTCCATGCCAAGATCGTAATACTTAATATCCAAATCCAAGTAAGGCAAAATAAGCTTGTCTTTGATATCAGCCCAGATGATACGTGTCATTTCATCACCATCCAAGTCGACAATAGGGTTTTCAACCGAGATACGACTACCAGTGGCATAGTTAGCTTTAGCGACAACTGGACGAGTCAAGGCAGCGCCAGCAACTTTACGAGCAGCAGTTTGAATAGCAAGCATGTTGAGAATGATAAAGAAAAAGGAAGAAAAAGGAAATAAATCAGAATAAAATAAATACAAAAAAAGGGTATCTATACCAATTATGAGTCAAGTCAAATTGAAAGGGCAGGAATTCTTTTTGGTAGAATCGGTACTTCAAATAGGATTCGGCCCATGAAACTTTAAATAAGATGAAGATGGGTTATCGCTGATATAGTTAATCTGGGTTGAGACAACCCTTAGATTTTGAATTCTATTCTAAACAGTGATATGATGGTATTATTCCAATGCAGACTCATACTGAATACATCTATAATTGATTTCTGATGGCTTCAATGAACAAAACCAAGTTTTTGATATACAAAATAAATCAACTTAGAGAATTAAAAAGCATGATTTGTAAGTCATGATAAAATACTCAACAGTGGCAGTATCGAAATAATATGAAGATTTGCTTTCTAGTAGAGTATTTCAATGCAACCCATTCTACAACAAAATTTGCAACAGGAAGTCATGTATTTTTTCTTACAGATCGCCCTTATCTAATCTGTTAAATCAGATCAGCATTTTATTATGCCCCTTTTTTGAACACTTTTTGGTTACTGGAATGACAACACATCAAAGCCGCAATAAACAGTTCCAAGAGATCCAACATGACAATGAATCTTATTGATATATGTTATTTAAGTCTAAGCTGAAATAAGCTTCACTCCTCCCCTTTTTCTTTGGATCTTTGTAGAAACAGTATCTGAATCTCGAAACTTTGGTATTAATGTAAAGCCTTATTATAGTATAGGTAATATCAAGCATCTGATTGAACTTTTGACGCACATACCAGCAACACATCAAGCATTGGCATTCCGCCATACTGCCCTACAAGATGAAAGCATACTGTCTGATTACATCAGTCCATCTTTACGACTGTTTATTCAGCATGTAGCCTGCAAGTAACTATAGAGACCTCGACTGGTATTGAATTCACGCCATTATTATATTGTTTACGATATTTGGCTACTTGTGTTGGCCTTAAAGAACATGTCAACATGGGGATCTAAACTATATCTCTTGGACACGATATTAAAAGACAATGTAACACTAGCACAAGCAGGTTGTTCAGGGCAAATCTACTCTACGTATGTCAACTTTAGATTAAGCTACTATCCTTTCATGAAATAAAGTATTGCTTTGAATTAGAGGTTGTTCTACCCTTCAGAATTCATGATTGAATAGGATCAAACAAAGACAAGGATATAGACTGTATATGTCCTCAAATAAAAGTAGAAATTGGCCGCATGCATCATTCTCCGGGAATAATTAAGACGTCTTTTTTATCTTTTTCTATACCAATATGCACAAACGGAGTACTTCTCCAAATACCAAAGCCGTTTCTCTAGAGGAGAATAATACTTCTTTAAAGTACTACGATCCCCTTTTGAATAGATCGAGCACTTCATTAGGACCGACAAGTTATGCAGAACATTTGAAGCACTTTTGGCGTACTCATCTAGACTACTTTTGGGGTCTACTCTTTCGAGTGATCAGTCTGATTGTGATTATTGGTGTTTTGATAGCGATTGGTATAGGGCTTCGATATACAGACAACATGCCAAAGCCAGAAGACTTTAGTCATCTGGAGTTTAATTGGAAGATCAATCCTCGAGATTACCTACAGCCTTACAATACTTCATTTCAATACAATGTCTTGTTGGACGGTCATTCTCATTCAACCTATAGTGACGGAAAAATGAATGTTCGACAGTTGCTCGATTGGCATATAGGCATGTTTGTTTTCGTTTATGTGATGTACTAATAACTACCAACAGCAAATGGATACAATGCGATTATGGTCACGTAAGTAAAGGGGAAAAAAAAGCACGCCTATGAACTGACACTCAGAGACAGTGATCACAACACAATTGAAGGAGGTCTTGCTGCAGAGAAATTAGCTCTTGAAGAATACAATGATACTATTGTCGTCATTCCTGGCATGGAGTATACGTAAGGATAGACAGACCATAGCAATAACTTAGATTTGCCTAGTTGTTGTAGGATTCATATGAACTTTATCGATATCAATGAAACTGTGCCTGTAACTGGACCTGTTCCTTCAGATGAAGAATTACAAAAAGCTATTAACCGAGTGCATGAATTAGGAGGTTTAGTGATTGTAAACCATATCCCATGGAGCAATACTACAGGTAAAAAAGAGATACATGATAGACATCCTTTAACTGACTTATGGACAGAGGATGGATATCAATTGCCTCGTCTACCCAATCATCCTAGTGTAGAACAACTCATTCAATGGGGAGTCGATGGATTTGAAGTGATTAATCAAGAGACATTTGATTTATCTACCTATCAGTCTGCTGTGCAGCATAACCTGATTCAAATGGTAGGTATGGATTTACACCATCCTTCTGTGGGAGCTCAAGTATGGCTTACGATCAATGCACCTAATATGACCCGTGCTGGTATTATGCAAGAAATACGTGCTAGGCGCACTTCTTTCTTGTTTGATCCTGCTGGTACACATCCCCGTGTCTATGTTGATTCCCCTGCTTCTTATTTAGCATTGACACCATTGACATATCTCGGTGACTATTTTGGAATGTTTTATGATGATATGAAGGGTATGTACAGCTTCCAAGGCACATTCTGTCATCCAGAAGTGTTGACTGTACACAAAAGTGTGATTGGTTGGTTTATCTTTTGGGTATTGATCTTTTTGGTTGTGTTTGAGCTTGTTCGTCTCTTGATGCGATGGTGCCTGAGTGGATTAGGTTGGCTATCCTATCCACGTGTCCGACGAAACTCGGATATCGAATAATAAAAATTTCGAACCGGACTACCGGGATTATTTGCTTAAGCGCCTCTCGTCTCTCTGTATAAAGAATGATAGATGTATTACAATTCAGCGGAGGGTCATAAGTGATGGAAGGCGATAGCTTATCCTATTTTCTTTCTCCTTTTATTGTATAAATTAAAGTAAGTGCAACGATATGGATGGATGAAAGATATTAAACGACGTTTGATTAGTATGGCTGACTCTGCTACGGCCGGTGCTTCTCGCGGTAATTGTTTGGATGGATGGATGGACCGAGGAAGTGTTTTACTGATATTTATATAGGAAGAGGTTTTGGACGTGGACGTGGACGTGGTGGACCTCGTCGTGGACGTCGTGGTGAAGAAAAGAACGAGTGGGTTCCTGTTACCAAGCTCGGTCGTCTCGTCAAGGCTAACAAGATTAAGTCTATTGAAGAGATCTACCTTTTCTCTTTGCCCATCAAGGAATACCAAATTGTCGACTACTTCCTTCCCAAGTTGACTGATCAAGTCATGAAGATCATGCCTGTTCAAAAGCAAACTACTGCTGGTCAACGTACCCGTTTCAAGGCCTTTGTTGTCATTGGTGATGAAAACGGTCATGTTGGTTTGGGTGTCAAGTGTGCCAAGGAAGTTGCTACTGCCATCCGTGGTGGTATCATCCTTGCCAAGTTGTCCATTATCCCCGTTCGTCGTGGTTACTGGGGTTCCAACTTGGGTGAACCTCACACTGTCCCCTGTAAGGTCACTGGTCGTTGTGGTTCTGTTATGGCTCGTTTGGTTCCTGCTCCCCGTGGTACTGGTATCGTTGCCTCTCCCACTGCTAAGCGTGTCCTTCAATTGGCTGGTGTCACCGATTGTTACACTACCTCTCGTGGTTCTACTCGTACTCTCGGTAACTTCGTCAAGGCTACCTTCGCTGCCATTGGTAACACTTACGGTTTCTTGACTCCTGATCTCTGGGAAGAATCTGAATTTGTTAAGGGTCCTTATCAAGAATTCTCTGACTTCCTTGCCCAAAAGCAAAGAAAGTAAAAGATGCTTTGATCCATAATAAACTAATTTTACGCTGAATAAACCTTTTTTTTTTTAAAAAAAAAAGAATTTTAAACTCCAATTTGTCTTTCTTTTCTTGTTTTTTTTTCTTCATTGAACAGATGCAACAAAGTTTGATTTCACCTGATATTCAGATTCGAAAACGTTCTGCTGAAAATGACTCCATCAATAACCACATCAAGTATGAATCAAACTTGATTTGATCGTGTTCTAATAAAGACAATAGAAAAAAGAGACCCTTTGATCGCAATATGCCACCCAAAGTAAAAAAAAAAAAAAAAAAAAAAAAAAAAGTCAAGTACCATGTCAACCAACTTACATTGATGTTAGATTGAAGCCTACATTCCTGAATCGAAACTATATACAGAGTTATGTGAATTTGAAAAGAACTTGGATGTGGCTATCATGAGAAAACGTTTAGATATTCAAGAAGCCTTTGGTAAACCACCTCATGTATGTCCTATTTCTCTCTCTCTATACCTGTCTATTGATGCTTGTTTAGGTGCGTCGTACGCTACGTATCTTTGTTTCCAATACAGCAGCAGATCAACCGTCTCAATCAGAAGATGCAAACAACTTTGAATCCAATGACGATAATGCACCCTCTTGGACACTCAAGATCGAAGGAAGATTGTTGGATGTAAAGTGATGGTCAAACGACACAGAACTCATGTTTTGTTTTATAGCCTTTGATTCCTACCAAAAAAGCACAGCCTATTCAAAAGTTTACTTCGTTTTTCAAGTCCATCATAGTAGAATTAGACAGAGACCCTGATCAATTTCCTCAAGGCAACATCATAGAGGTAACCTATCATATCTAGGTGGACTATTTATTCAACGACATGACTAGTGGCATAAGCAAGCATCAAGTACAGATACAGATGGAATTGAAATCAAGCGCAAAGGGGATATGAATGTCAATGCACGTATCATTCTTGTGCCTGATTTTACTCCTCAGAAATACAAAGTAAGCCATGGTTTATCTGAAATGATTGGCATCAGGTTAAGTACACGATCAAATGTGATGGATGAATTATGGAAATATATCAAGGTAAATATCACAGCATGATAGTCAAGCACTCATTCATGTAAAGAGAAACAAACTTCATGATGATCAAGATAAGCGTATTATTCATTGTGACAGTAAAATGACAGGCTTGTTTGGTGTCTCTCAGACAGATGCTGCACAATTACCTAGTCTTGTTCAGTCACAGTTGTCTTTTCCAGACCCTGTTGTGATAGACTATACAATTTGTGTGGATAAGCAATTCAATCAGTCAAATACTGCTTATGATATGGACGTTGAGTTAGATAATGTAGCACGCCAGAGAATGGCAAATGCTGTTGCTGC